CGTACATGGCGCTGATAATCACATGGTCTCGATCTTTCAGCAAATGCTTTACATGCACGCTCAATGTCTTGTTGACCTGTTAAGAACACAAGGATATCGCCTTTGGGCTCTTGTGTATGGATTTGCCATGCTGTTTCCACAGCACGATCGACCAAGGCTGATTTCAATGTAGCCAACTTGATCTCTTCAGGTGGATAGATCACTTGCACAGGATACGTTCGACCAGGAATCTCGAAAATAGGGCATTCGTCAAAAAAGTCAGAGAATTTGGCGACATCTAATGTGGCAGACATGATCAAGATCTTGAGTTCAGGTCGTAAACGATGCGTTTGTTTTAATAGACCAAACAAGACATCTGTTTCCAATGTACGTTCATGCGCTTCATCAATCACAATGCAGTCATAGTGCTTGAGATAAGGATCGAGTGTCGCCTCACGTAGTAAAATGCCATCGGTCATATATTTAAGTCGAGTGGTAGGTGAAGTATGGTCATCGAAACGAATAGTATAGCCCACTGTATTTCCTATACGTACATCTTGTTCTTCGCTTACTCTTTTGGCCACTATACAAAAGTTGAGTTTGAGATCAAGCATGACACGTTACCTGTCATGGCAGCAATACGTCTAATGATAGCATGAGTCGATGAAACAGCTGTTTTTCTTTATTTTACCTTGGTTGAGTGACACCAATCATCTTGATCTCGGGTAGTTCTTCTAAAATGTATTGAGGGATCTGTGTTGTTTTACCAGAACCTACATCATGAGAACCATCTCTTTCTGTTTATGTTTTACCAGTTTCACCAATGACAACCAAGATGCTATATTCTCGAATAGCATCCACAAGTTCATGTTTATATTCAAACGTAGGTAAACTCTCTCTTTGTTGTTTTATATGTTCATGACGAGACATAACTATTTTTTTTTTTTTATTTATTTATTTATTTAAAAAGTACAACGACGTTGATGCTTTGACTTAGTCACTGTGACTTGATCGATGGCGCCGCCTAAAGATCCGTCTACATTGGCTTGATGATGTACAATCTGAAGCGTGTTTGGTGTGACACGGAAAGTAGAGAACCCAAAACTACCATAGCGTTGAGCAGACCATTCAGGGAAAGGACCAGAACCAAAGGCAACAGGACCTTCAGGCTGACCTGCATTACCAATCACAATCTGGAAAAAAGAAGGAGCATCATGGTACGAAGTAGCTGTACGTTTTCCTTTAGCTACAGGCCATGTTCTTTCATAGTTATGAACATGACCACTAAAACAAGTCAGACTTAGCATCTATTTCCTAAATTCGCTTACCTGTAATAAAGATCCACTTGATGCTTTAACAACAAATCTTCTAAGCCTCCCCATGTCTGGTTACTGACAGGATCCACAACGCCATTTCTGATTTTGTTGGCTTTGGTAGTACAATCTGTACTGTTGACAGAGCAGTAGATAGGATGATGTGTCAAGAAGATAATCCAAGGACGTTGGTGACGATGTTGATTGGCTTTTGTCAGATCAGCATCCAGCCAGTGAATGGCTGTCTTGATTTCATCTGGAGTACCCGTAAAATAGATTTCAGTCGAAAAGGAGACCAAATGAAGTGACTTGTAATTGATGGAATACATGAGTGAGTTATCAAACTTGCTTTCTGTATAGGGCACACTGTCAAAACGATGCTTGTAATGACTAAAGTTATAAGCGCCTTCATGATTACCCACAGAGCCAAGGTAAGGTATACGGGCAAACAAATTTTGCATAAAGTTCAAGTATTCGTCTCCCTTAGTACCATTAAAGTCAGCCATGTCGTATGCTTGGTCTCCTGCCAAAGTAACAAAATCGTATTGATGTGTCTTGGCAAAATCTTTAAGATGTTGAACAGCAACTGCATTACAAGCACCCTATCGAATTGAGTTTTACGTATATACTACATGGACTTACCACATCTCCTGTAGCCAAAAAGCTAAATTCGTCCTTTTTTGAAGCTGTATGAAATTCGAATACTTCAGACCAATGCTCTTGGTGGTCAACCACAGATCCTACTTGATAGCGATAGACTGTCGCAGGCTTTAGCTTGTGGGTCATGATCTTGTGGAGATAGAGCTCACGGTGAGCCAATCCACCATCGACAAAGGTCCAGTCCTAACATATAACTGTCAATGTTGAATTTATCCTTGTATACTTTACTTTTCCTTGCACAGTCACAGCCTTGGTGTTTTTGGATACAGGCCAATACTTGAGCAAAGAATGATGCACTTGTGCCAGAGTAGCAAATTGAACGCGAACAGTATGAGCATCGTCTGTCAAAGACATTAGGATCTGTTGAGGCTCATAAGCAGAGTACGTCTTGTTCCAGTTGGTATCTAAGGTGTTATAAGCATCCGCTAAACAGGCATATCCAGGAGCACCATTGGCCTCTTCTTCTCTTTTCTTTAACCCATGTAAGGAAGACAAGACACTGGCTTTAATGACAGACAATGTCAAGCCAATCAAGAGAACAACCAAGAATTTCATAAGGATAAACAAGAAAGAAAGAATTTTAGTTTATATATATATATATATGTTAGTTGTCATACACTTGAGTCTTTAGCCAATCAATTGATTCAAGATGACCATTCAGTAGATCTTCACTGTAACACATAACCAGCATGTCATGGAAGTAAAGTATCGATTGGACAAAGTAATGCCAAATGTCAAGTACGTGCTTGTCATTGAACAAGAGATTGGTTTATTTTGTATTACTTTATTGGTGATTTAGGACGTATTAAGGTAGTTGTTGAGAAAGGAAGACCATGGCCTTTTTTCTGTACAAAGCAGTTAGATCTATACACACAAAGAATGCAAAATACCTTTTGTTGAAATGTTTCTTCTATGGATATATGGCTCTTGAGCTCATTTGCAAATTTCTTTTCTGCCACCATATGCTTCACTGCAAATGGCTTTGAACCACGTAAATGTCTTAGTTTAGCAAAGATCTGATAAGAAGCATAAGCATCTAAAGCAGCATATTGGATTTGTTTGTCTGTCAATTTGGCTTTGGCCCAATTACTCATGCGCACTTTGCCCTTGGACATATTTTGGCCTAGAAAGATACCTGTCAGCGCACGAAGTGAGCGAAGATTGTGTGACCAATTCACATAGCCTTCAGACATTTCTTTGAGTTCAACAAGGCCATTGGTAAAAAACCCAAAATCACGCATGAGTTTAAGTCCATCTGCATTGATATTGACACCACTTTTTAAGACAGTCTTTTCTTCAAAAAAGCGACGCAATTCAATAGGAAATGCTATGTGTACTGATCAATAAGCAGGGTTAGACATCGCTACTTACTATGCATACGAGCAAGTTGGATCAGCAATATTTCATTAGCAGAACAGATCTGAACAAGTGTGATCTTGTTCTCTGGTTTACCCTTCACAAACTGAGGTGGCCATTCTAGATCAACACCGAAACTTGTGTCTTGTTTATTGGCTTCTAAAAGGGCATGAATGCGTTCATTGGTCTCGTTCACATCAGACACAACATTGACTTGATAATAATCAGGATAGGTAAGTGAAGGAAGTCCTTCTAAATAAGCTTTGAATTGGTTATTGAGTTCCATACGCTGTCTTGCCTTTTCCTCTCTTTCTGCATTGGATGGTATAGAAGGTAAAATACGTCTGGTTTGTACAGGATATTCACTAGAAATAAATTAACTGAAATGATACAATGCACATACGTAGACATGGTGGCTATCAATTGATTTGCTTTAAAAAAGAGTCTTTTATTTAACAAGGTAGCTCGTTGAAAACAAGTCATAAAGAGAAAGAGAGAGAGAAAGAGAGAGAGAGAGAAAAAAAAAGGGTAAAAGTCACAATTTATTTCAAATCCACAAAATAGGTCCATCTGTTCTCTTGTAATCCCTTTGCCGTGTCTTCTAATAAGATTTCTCTGCGCAACTTAACATAGACGGATTTGTCTAAAACTGCCTGTCTTAACTCTGCAATCTTTTCTGGCTCTAAGGGTTTTTCCAATAATTCTGATAATTGTTCTGTAGCCATTTCAAGGTCTCTTTGGTTATCCTACACATACATATTTTTTTTTAAAAAAAACACCCGTTAAAATCAGTAAGTTACCTCAAATAGTTCAGTTTCGTTGGTTCGGTCAAGGTAAAAAGCAAAGGCATATGTCCATTTTAAGGTAGTTCTGCTCTGCACTGTAACATCAACTGCCTTTTTGAGGAACTGTACTTCAATCCAAGAAAGATCGCTTGTCTTTTGCATTTCTTCCATTTTCTTCTCAGTCTTTTGATACAAATCTTGGTCGAGTTTAGCAGATTGTTCATGATTAGCATAGCGATTGTAATACTAACAATAAGATATGTAAGCTATGGTATCAACAGAATAAAGACTTACATGAAGATAGCGTTCTAAACTGGCTCTGGATTGTGTTTGACTGTCTCTTGCTTCTTCACTACTCTTTTCATCATATCGGTTACATGTATACCAAGAAGTGCCATGTTCAGACCAGGGACCCATACAGACCCAACAGAACTCATATCTACACTTTCTGCATGTCATATGGTTACAGCCGCCATTCTTCTCAATGGTCGAATGACATTTAGGACACTCTTTTGTATGAGCAGATATCCAATTAGCAGTCTCTGAATCATCTTCACATTTCTGCAGCCACTTCTTTACTAATATACAAATACAAGGCTGATGATCGTCTAATCCACAGCCAAAGCAGAAACGACATCCACACTTACATTCTACAGTAGGTACAATGGAAGTGAGTGACGTACTGGGCACACTGCACTCAATAGCATACTCGCAATCAGGTGCAGGACACCAACGCAAGAAATCATTGTCATCGACAAAGGTACGGTTGAGTAGTTCGCGGTATTTAAGCCAAGTGTCATGGTCAACCAGTAACTCGACTGTCTTTTCATCCACAATGACATCACAGTTGCTTTCGGGACATTGAATACGACGGCTTTCACCTTCTTCTCTGATTTTCTGGACAAGATATTGTGTGTAACATGGCCTACAGAATCGATGTCCACAAGAGACACTGATGGTTTCCATGTCAGGGGAATCGTCACAGCAAATATCACACATAAAGTCTGCATGAATGTCTTGTGCCTTAAGGATAGCATGCTTTAGATCAGATACAGAAGAGACACCTGCCTGAGCAAGTACTTTGTCACTAGAGTCCATGTATTGTTCAAACAGCTTTTCCTTATTCCAACGAAAATAACGTAATAATGTTGCTGAATCTTCAGTAGATAAACCTACATAGATGATGATGTTTAGTCGTACTGCGGAAAAAAATTAGCTACGTAGCTTACCTAGAATAGAAGACACTTGATTGATTTCTTTATCTTGCTTTGTTTTTAATAGGATGGCACTTAATACATTAAAGTCAACTTCATATGTCTTTTTCTGTTGTTTTTCAACAAATACATCGTCATTGACATCGTCATTACTATTGTAGCCTTCTTCACTCTCTAATAAGAGAGGGTGTTATTCTATGTAGGTATGCTCTCTATAGACTGTATTAGACACACATGATCACTAAGATAAAGAGTGCTTACTTTTTTCTATTTACCACTCATGATACTACCAAAATCAGACTCATCTTCATACTAAACAAAGACTGGCATTAGTAACCTATAAGACGCCATGTCTTTACTTGCCATGTATTCGTCTTCAAATTCACTTTCAGAGCTCATTCTTCTTTTTCTCTTTTGTATTGTTGATTGAATGGTGGGTTTGTATAAAAAAAGAGGGAGGGGGATATCACAGAAAGGAGAAAAGAACGAAGAAATTATAAAATATAGAAAAAAAATCAAGTCACCCAATCACGTTCTTTTACTAAGGATCCGGTCAATTATGCATACGCACCGGATCGATATGCCGGAATAATACAGAAAGAGAGCATTTTTTAATATGTAAAATGGATTATAAACAAGACATGAAGAATTTGTACAAATGTAGATTGAGTTTAAATGCCACCTCTAACTAATAAGGCATCCACAACAGCAAGAATGGTCCATTTTCTATTTTCAGCTTCAGGGAAGACCAAAGAACGTTCTGAATAAAACACTTCATCATCAACTTCTTCAGGCTTACGAGGAAGACAGTGCATAAATACCCAATCAGGTTTAGCACCACCACGGGCTACTAAATCATGAGTGACTTGATAGCCTTTAAAGTCTTGAAGACGCTTCTTCTTTTCTTCTTCTTGTCCCATAGAAACCCAGGTATCAGTCACAATAATATTGCAGTCTTTAATGGCTTCTTCAGGTTGTGTTGTGAAAGTGATAGTGGCACCGGTCTTTTGGGCATCAGCTTGAGCGATATCAATCACATCTTGGTCACATGTATAGCCAGAGGGACAAGCAGCAGCTACACTGATACCGCACTTGGGAAAAGCAACAAGGATTTCTTGAAGGATGTTATTGGCATCACCTACCCATGCTACCTTGAGTCCCTTAAGGGTTTCGCGAGGATGTTGTGTGTGTGCAGAATAGACGCCCTCACTGACATTGTTGTTCTTGTGGTGATAGTATTCGTGAATGGTCATTAAATCAGCCAAGATTTGAGTAGGATGGTATTTATCAGACAAGGCATTAATCACAGGCACTTTGGATTCTTTGGCAAGTGTCTGTTTTAAACATGTTAGTTAAAGAGTTTTTTTTTTTTTTTTTGACTGGGTTACTTGCCTCAATTTCATGATGACCACCCACACGGGCCATAATACCATTGACCATAGAACTGACTACACGAGAAGTATCAAGTAAGGATTCATTCACACCAAGTTGAATATCTTGAGAACCCAAGAACATGGCATTACCACCTACATATCATATAAATATACATTTCAATAGCTTATCGCTGACTGCTTACCTAAATATGAAACCGCTGTTTCAGTAGCCACACGGGTACGAGTAGAACGCTTAGAAAACATAAGAGCCACTGTCTTGCCAGTCAAAGGGAATTCAGTTCTGACTTGGGGATAACTATACTTGGACTCAACCTTGAATTGAATAGCACGATGGACTAAATCAAGTAATTGTTCAGAAGTATAGTCAGCAGTAGTGATAAAATGATGAGGCTTTTGAGTTTGGATTGAAATGCCAGTCATGGTTAAGAAAGAAAAAGAAAAGTGAATAAGTTGGTCAAAGCATTGTGCTTGCATTATATATATACATATATATATAAATTGAAAGCGGACTATTAACCCATTATTCCGATCTGCTGTTATCTCTAGTTTCCTTTTTTGTCATGGAGTCTTTCTTTTACCCCAGATTCAGAGAGAAACCATGAGTCATAACAACTACATATTCATATTGAGTCACAAAATAGAGTCCCCTTTAATAATTTTTTTTGACATGCATAGTGATATTCTAGAATACAGATTCATGATACCATAGCGTTTATCATGGTATGGTACTCTGTTCCTGCTCATAATGAATTGATCCCCTTTCATGTTTAAGCCTCAGATAGTCTTTCTCTCTTACGTTTCTTAGAAGCATGTTTGAGGTAGACGATGTGTCTGTTTATGACTGTCATGACGACGATAATTAGATTAGGTTATTTGCACTCGAACGTGAGTCTGAAATACATTGAATTGTTTCCCAGAAATAGAGATAAGCTAGTTTTGGTAAGAACTCCCTTTGATCTGAATCTACACCACATAGATTGGTTTGTAGGACTGTTCTATGATTGTTGTCAAATGCATTGTTGATTAGTAGATACAGATTGGACGGAACCTATCTTTATCTTTTTTCTTTATGTTGTATTGATGGTTTGATGGAATTAGAGATTATCTTTTAGAAAATCAGCCAATCATGAAATAGTCGCTAAAGATAAAGAATTTTTTACGTAAAAACAGTACAACTCGTTGTTTCGAGACGAACGAACTGTTTCGCTCAAGTGTTTGTTTCGAGAAAAAGAGAACCTTCACGGATTGAGATATGACATGTTTTCTTAAAAAAGAACTGCTACTAAGGTGTAGGTCGTTGCATTTGGCGGGAAATCACTGCAAGTAGAAAACTAAGCATCATGAAAAGACATGTCTCTATTTTATGTCATGTATTTTCTTATTCAGAATGAAAAAGTCATTGTTTTGGCGAATTATTTGGTTTATTAAGATGATCATAATATACTTCTCAAAGGCCTTTTTTTTTTGTAGCAAAAAGAAAAAAAAAAAAAGAGAGCTAATGTAAGGGGAAAATTTTATGATGCATTCATGTTTCGACTCATTCTGAAAATAAAGGATTTTGAGTTTGCGTTTCTCTCCTTATTTATGACCGGCTTGACTAATACATGGGCATTGATGAAGACCAAAACTAAAATGGTCTTTGATCGCTTTATGTTTTGCTCTTTCAGCTACCATTAAAAAAGTGTTGTATTCGAAGTTTGAGTAATGAAAGTATCATTTTTTTCACCAGAGCTCCAAAATCAAGCTTCTCTTTAACGTGCTTATCTCCTTTTATCGTATTAGTGAAAGTAATACTTCTTAACATTAAAGCTCTAATGTCGTAAAGAAAGCGACTGTTTTGATATAAAAATGATGAGAATAGTCATACTTTTAGTTTTGAGGTTTTTCTTACAGAAATGACTGAATTCTAAAGCAATATAGATTAAAATATACCATAAATCAACTTGGTATCTTGCGCTTCTATTGAGTACTTACAAACTGCCATAGCATTATTTTTTGCTTCAAAAAGCTCAAAAGTTATGTGTGTCGGCGATTGAATAAAAATCCTAAATAGATTGTTTTTACTTTTTGACCATTTTTCAGTATGAATATTTCTCAACTAACAACAAAAGTACATTATATACTACTAAATCATTGTTATTTATGTGCAAATACTTCATTATACATAGGCAGAAAATGGCAGGCTTCTATCGATTTATGCAAAAATTCCTTTGTAAACAAGCGCTAAGAACCCGTGTGCTTTATTTAACTTCTTTTTTTTTTTATTTGCTAAAGAAAACACTTACTATTTTATAGTTTGCTAGATCACTGGAACATAAAGACCAAGGAAAAAGTGTATTACTGACATCATTTGTTCACACATTCTGATATATCTGCATGAAACACAAAGCATTTTTAAACGAAACAGTGACAACAAATAGTGCAACATTCATCAACTCGAACCATTCTTTTGATACGTCATGGCACGAAATCTTCTTGACCCCATAACAAGTTGCTACAAAATACACATGATTTGGAATACAAACAAATGAGTCGTGCACAGAGAATAATAAACAAATCATACAAAAAGAAAGCCAAGAAATTGACCCTCTTTTAGTCGATTTATGTTTCATGTAACTTTCCAAGTCAATATAAACTAGATTGTTTGTACAAACAAACGGAACTATTCCCCTCCAGTGACTTTGAAGGTGCTTGCTTATCCTCACCCCCCCCCTTCTTTTGTTTTTTAGAATTTCAATATTGACTTATTCCCTTTTAATAAAACAAGTACAGTTCTTTTTTTTATCTATCTCTCTATCTCTTTTTTTTTCTTTGATTATCTTTCTTTAAAGCACAAAAGAAAACAACACATACTTACAAAAGAAATAGTATAAATACAACATAAAAGTGTCAAACTAGAAAAAAAAATACAAAAAAAGGAGGTCGATCAATTCAGCCACCATCAAAATGATCAGCTTGCTTTTCAGAAGCTGACATGTTAGGCAGGGAAAATATACATGCACCCTTACATGTTGAACAATTTCTCTTTTGATAAACAAGTCTATACAATCCAATGAAAGACACACTTGTTAGTACCATGCGAAACAAAAACTTCTTGTCAAACAAGCATTGACAAGATTAAAAAAAAACATATGATCAAATGCACATAGAAAAAAAAGAGTAGAGAAATACCGTTTGTTATTGTTTTCTTACTGCGCGATGTTCATGAAACTATAGAGAGCAAACTCAGGTGATTCTTTCGTCATGAGATAGGATATATTCATGTGCGTTCAAGTGTAAGGAGGAACAACTGCCTGTTCAAATCGAAATTTTGCAAAAGCATCGAAATTATGACGAGAGCTATTGATAAGAAAATGTCGCAAACAAATAGATTAGATTGATTGACAGCAGTAGAACATAAAGTAAAACAAGAAAGTTGATGTTCATATTGCGAATTGAATTATCTCTAACTTTGCTCATGTAGCACAAGAAAAAAAAGATAGTTTTTGTTTATTCCGAGAAGAATTATGACAGGACAAGATGAAACAGAAATAACCAAAAGGTCAATCGAAGACCAAAAAAAAATAGCACTTAGTCATGGGATAGAGACAAGTTCAATATACGCATTTAATGGAAACATTTGAGACCATTTGTTTTCAAAAGTAACCATTCGTTATATTTTCTTCTTGGTCAGTGCCAGAAATTATACCATGCGTTCAAGAATTGCTGAAATAAGCATAATTATCGCAGTCTTCTTTTAATTTAGCCATACAGAGCGAGTTACAAAAAAAAAATAAGAGAGACTTATAAACAAAGCGTTGCTATAGATCTATGTTTATGTGTGCTTCGGGTTGATGACTTTTGTTTTTGTGTGTATAAAAATAACTCACTACTGGGCCGTGCTTATAACATTCAGGGGCTGTTTGTCTGTAAACATATAAATACTTTGGTTGTTAGTTTCAATGTCACAAGTGATTTTCTTTTTATTATTTTCTTTTCTTTCTTGAATTATGTTGAATAACAATCCAATTTTGCCTGCATTAAGAAACGATAGTTACTCCTCGGGAAAACCAATGTCAATTTCCTCAATCATTAGTATCCCTCAAATGACTACATCATCTTCGTTAGTAACACACAAAGTTTACTATAAAGAAACAATGGAACGGAGAGCTTCTGCGCCCAGCCATCCCTACCATCACCCTCAAAGGTATCCCAATGCTTCCTTTTTTCGCTCCCCTCCTACTTCCCCGGAAGAAAAGCTATTTGAATCATCGATTCCATCTTCTCCGTCGTCCTCTGTCTCGTCTCTATCTCCACAAAGGTCGTCATTTCGCGCACAGCCTTATCCATCACAACAAAAGCAATCCATGGACGACGATGACGACGATCTAGATGATATGTCTCAGCCACCACTGACCCTCCAAGAGCGTCGCCTAAGAAACAAGGCAGCGTCTGCTAAATACCGCCAAAAGAAAAATCAACAGCAAAATGAAATGAGACTCATGATTGGAAGATTGTCTGAACAAAACGCTGTTCTTGAACGCCAACTACAAGAACTTCGATTAGAGAATGATAGACTGAAAGCAACGACAGATAAACTTAGAGGCAAGATGGTTGCAAAGAAAATGCTTAAGAAATGGATTGGTCGACAGGCTGCCGAGATAAACGATAACAAAAAGAATTTAAGCTTCCAGCAACAAAGGTACAGCAGTCGTAATACGGATGTTCATCAGGATGACAGTAGTATAAACCATCTTCCCTATACCAATTACTCTACGAAGAGTAATAGTAACGACAACAACGAGCATGATGATGGTTTAAATGCAGTTGTGTCCAATATCTTGGATGATCAAGACGAAGATGATGAAATAGAAAGCATAAGCTCAGACTAAAAGGCATTTTTAATAATTTAATTATTTTTTCCTCAATGGAATAGCAGCATTCTTAATTACAATGTATACTATCATTCCTTTAACATAGTATTATCTCTTTTATATATATATATATATATATATATTATATATGCTAAAGCAAAATAAAAATGATCGTCTTTATTATGCTATGAATAAAGTCCCATTTCTGTCCCTATTATCTGCAAGCATTCTTTAATCAGACCAACAACTACATCATCTTTGCAGGTAATCATGCTACACAAAGATGGATACAAATAGAAAAGATGTGCTCTTGGTCCAGACAAAAGCATCTGCTTTAATTTGTCTATCATAGATATGAGTTTTTTTTTTTCTTTTCTTGCTTGAAATTCATCCATCACTTACTTGTATCGTCTTGTGTAAGGATATCATCTTGTAATTTCAACTGAATAGACTGCTTCAAGAGGAAAAGTATTTCCTCCTTCCTCACTCTATGAACAAAAAAAAAAGAGTATGAGAATATGATCGATCATTCCTTTTTTCTATCTATATCCCACAAAGCAATAAAAGAAAATATAAAGAGAAAATCGCTCTCACCCCATCAAGTACCTTGGAAACGGGCATCTCCCCAATAAGGGCTCGTCTGCAGTATAATTCCGAAGAATTGTCTCACATCGTTCAAGCAATACTGAGATGGCAACTCGAGCAATTCTTTTACGTACTTCAGGTATGTCTAGTACAGAATGAATAGGTGCGATTTACAACTGCGTTGACTTACCAGTCTTTTCAGCAGAACATAAATTGAACAGTGTCATAAGAGAAGCGTAGGCAAACGATTCTTTCATGACAGGTACAATGGTACCAGTTGTGCCAACAATATCGCTTGATCGATCGTTTAAAAAGATGGGTACTCCGTCTTCATTTACATGTTCCTTCAGTCCTTCTTCTACATAATAAAGTCGAGAGCTTTCTCGGATAACATGAACCAATTTCTGAATCACATCTGTTGGTACGCGAGAGCCCATATGGACCACAATATCATTCTGAATCACGCTTAGGACAGAAATATCAAAATGTTCATCCACATCGAGTTCCTCAATCTTCATGTTTTCAGGAGGTGAGCTGGGCGAGAGTAAACTTCCTTCTAAAATATCGACTAATGTACGCCAAACGCCACAGAATCGTTCGGTTGAGACTTCTATCATATCATATGAGTAAACAATCCTTTCAAAAAGTCTATATTTACCTTCACCAAAATCCTCTAATGTCTCCAGTCCTAATTTCAAGATCTCGAGTAACCCGATGGTAGCAAGCTTCCAAAGAGGCGTTTTATCATCACCATGTTTATAAGAAGGAGGACAATCATACTTTAGTTTCATAGGAAGTCCATATGCGCCAATGATACGTTCGAAAACGCCTTCTGTATATAGTGATACGACTTTGACGTGTGCCTTGAACAGATCAGCCACTAACGTGCTGCACTTTTTGTTTAAAGCAATGTAGGTCACTGTAGAGAACTTGCGCTGACTAGGTGGAATATACCCCCGATTTTTGTTTTGTCCGTCTTCAGGAGGGCTCAGGAAGGCAAGTGTCATGTACTCTGCCAAATCAGCAAGCACAAGAGGAGGTACACCGTCCGTATTCATATCCAATGTCTGTACGACTTCTAGCACGGCTTCTTGTAAAGGAGAGAGATGATCCACATCAGGACGATATTGTGGACTTGTAGAGTAAACAAGCAGATTGCGAAGAATACTCAACAATGAACCCACGTCTTCTAAAGTGAAAACAGAAGCAATAAGCCCGTGTAGATCTACAAACATAGACACATAAGATGTCAAGGTGTCTTGTGTAAAGTCTTTAGAGATGGGCGCCACACTGGAAGACGAAAGAGAGAGTGTCAATGACTGAAGCTCAGCTTCGTCATCATAGTTCTTGTGCTTCTTTTCGGACATATCGCAAGAACCTCTATTGTTCATCGACTGACTGATGCCATATCCTATCACTTCCCAAGTATTCCATGCTCTTTGCCACAAGTTCATCATTTTGGATGGTTCTGTGAATTCAGGAGAGATAGTTACAATAGTCTTAAAGCTCTTGATGCTCGCAAATGATACTTCTTGACTCGATCTCAAGCAAGAATCTTCCAAATGTGCTAAAAGAAGTGTAAATGCACGTTGAAAGTGTTCCAAGTCATGCAAGTCTCCCAAAAAGTCTTGGAAGATACTCGAAATGCCTGTCAAGATCAAAACTTTGGTTTCGTCCCATTGCTTGTCCGCAGTGTCCCTTGAGTGATGAAGCATAAATCCTGATGAATCGCGATCGCTGCTTGTATTAGGAGATGATGCCTTGCTGAGCGAGATCTTTGATGCACGAATCGACGACATTTTAATAGAGTCCAACAAAGGAAACAGTACTTCCCAAATACACGCATTCCATAACTGAGGTCCAAGCACATGGCCATTCATGGTGATTGTTCTAAACAGCGTCTGGTTGGCACCATTACGTACTTCTGGACGCCAATCAATGCACGTATGCGACAATTGAAGCAACAAAAGCATCCAAAGAATACTGTATGTCCTGGGATTTCCATCTTCGTCTGGCTCTTCAAGCAAAAGATCAATATTCATACATTCTTTATCAATCTTTTCATCGACATAGGCACCTTCCTGTTTCTTGATCAAGTCGACACGTCTTGTCTGAATGAAATCAGACAAATTCCACAGCAGTCCAACAGCTGTCAGACTGATGTTCAAGTCGTCACTCTGCATGCCAAATGATCCCAACGTAGCAATACATAAACGAAGACAGTTGGGCGAAAGCAAGGACAGGAAATCAGTACAGATCAATTGAAGACTGGCAAATGCAATTTTGATAAGACCTGTCGCTGATTTGGGGCCTGCTGCTGCCATGACACTGCTGCCCATAATCGAAGATGCTATGGTATCCATACTTGAGCGTTCGTTTCTAACATCAGGTGTGTCCACTTCATCGTCACTATGACTGACAAAGTTAGCATCAGGTGGTGGACCAATAGCACACATAGCTACATGTCGCAACATGTCAAAAATAAACTCCCATCCACACGTAAAGGAATGTCCTGCTGTTTGTAATAAACCATGAAGTGTCTCTAGTCCCATCTTTTGTACTTCTGAAAAGACTTTGGGATTGTTGTTCAATGCTTCTTGTACAAGTGCCTCTTCAGTTGCAGGCGCAGTGTAGTTAATACATTGACTCAATGCTAATAAAAGGCGGTTTTGTGTGCCTTTGTTGACTTGGTTGTATTTAGACAGGACATGATTCATGGCAGTGGTGATGATGTTGGCAATAGTCTCACAGCACTGTGTGCGAATAGAGGAAGGAGTCAAAGGATAATTCGCAGTAGCAATCAAGTGCGACATGATCAAGTCCCATATTTTGGAAGAAGAATCCTTTTCGGTGTTGATGAGTCTATCCATATCTAATATCGCAATGTACTCTAATTTGTCTAGTGCGAAGGATCTGGCATTAAAAATTTTCTTTTGGCATATAAGTAAGCCATACACGCCACATATCTTGTACTTACTATTCTAGAGGATTTACTTGCTGATAAAGACTGATCATCAGAAAATGGTGTGCCACTCACTTCAGAACTCATTCGACACAGTGCAGAAGCAAAGGCCATGAATGAAGCATCGTCAAGATATTTGCTATTTTCAAATAACCGTTGAAAGGATGCGCTGATAATAGGTAAATGGTCTGCATCCATGACTTGACTACTGGGTTGTGCTATTGATATTGTTAATATAATATCAAAAAAAAACTGTTAACTTACGGGATGTCATGGCTGGGCTCATGTTGCTGGAATTGGCAGATGAACCAGTCATGGTGCGTCTCAGACTGTTTGTTGAACTAGCCACACCTGAATTCGACAATCCCTTAGGCACAGGTCGATTGAACAACAAGAAATCAGCCAATTGCAATGTCTCCAACACAAGGTACCATGATGTGCCCAACATACTGCTTAAAAACATGGTGATGTTCAACAAGACTCGTAAACTGTAGAGATTCTTTTCGTTAAGTGTGATACTAGCCAAGGTTTGTTGTTGTTGTATGGGGAGATCTGTGAATGAAAAAGCACTGGCAGAAGAGGATAGCGTGACAATGCTCGTTGAACTGTTTTTGCCGGCCGTTGAAAACCCTGAAGAAAAGAGAGGAATATTAGGAATCGAATTCTTGCACAAGTTTGTCAAAAATGCATCTCGGGGAGTAACAAGATCAAGAACACCACACACATTAGTGAAGTTTTGATAAGACCGCATTGTACTCTGGAAGAGTTCTTCGTCAAGATTTGCGGTCAAGTAAAATGACATGGCTGCTAAAAGACCAGGCCAGGCTACATTGGCCATTTCAGTCACCAGTGTAAGGTCGTTCTTGTTGTCTTTGGGTGATGCAGTAGAATCTGGCGAGAACTGAGGTAGGGCATAACTAGCCAAACCGTCTGCGATTGAGTTAAGACAGATCAAAGAAAGATAGTATATATAAGTATCAGGGATAGCTGGAGGGTCTGATTTGTCTAATTGATCAATGCTAAAAATATGCGTTATTACCAGCATCCCTTTTAAGTGTATGTGTATACCATTGAATTCGCATTGTACAAGTAGCTGTATTTAAACCATCTGAACCTAAAGAGGCGCTTTGATTGACATGAGAAGAATGACTGCCTGTGCCTGTGGATCCATAATCTAAACTATCTCTTCCGGCTTGATTTGCACCAATCGATTGAGGTTTTTCTGTTGCTAGTCTTCCAAATGCTGTAATCATATCACGAAATACATTGGTTGAACTGCTCTGTCCATCATACCATTTATAAATTGAACTTGTTAAAGCAGCATCACTACAAACACCTTTGAAAATTTCCATAGCCAACACACGGTGCCAAATTGGATTTTCAGGCTCTAATATCTTGACAAACATAGATAAAAAGATTTCACACTCCATTACAAGTAACTCGCTAAACTGCTTGATAAGAATATAAACAACACGAGTCAAACGCATTGTTTGAGGAAATTCACTCTTTTCTGAAAAGTTCTTGATAAACATAGGACATACGCGCTCTTTAAGAATAGCACTGAGCTCTTTATGCTATTTAACACAAAGAGAATTAGGGATTTTGTTTTGTATAGACTGACATACCTCTCTGAATAATCTATAGTGATTTGTCAAGATACTCTCAATCAATTCTAGTCCAAATGTCTTTGAGAGATGATTTAAGCGAAGATATTCGGGATGGTCACCATTTGTCAGCACGCAAAGATCTTGGAATAGATAATAAGCGTCCTTTGCGCATGGATGTAATTTGATCTTTTCCCCTGTGCTGATTTCAATTTCATGAATTGTGTCTGATTCAGGCAGGTTAAGTGTGTCTTCTTTTGCCACCTTATCAAACACAAAAATCACAAGTTGTCGTAATGTGGCTGCTGCTGTGTTGTTCACAACAGCAATTTTAGAATCCTGTAGCCGAAAACAGATCAAGAGTGCCTGAAAATGTTGATGAATGATTTATTTGTTTGATTATGACTCTTACCTCTGCTAAAATGTCGTCATGTACACTTCGATAATTACTGAGTAAAGGCAATACTGTCTGCAGAATCTTGAGTTGAATGTCCATGCCATGAACACTGATATCAGTCAATGTTCGCAAAATGGCCCGAACAGATGTCTAATCAATGTCAACACAATCAGTTTGAGTACAATAACATACTTCTGGTATCGCGTGAAACGAAATCAATTTTTGTATACAACCAATGGCTATCGTGACCAGCTTTAGCTGCTTTGTTTCACAGGCGAGTACAAAGGGGCGTAAAGCGTCTTCTGTCTTTGCGAGTTCTAACATACAAGATGAGTATTGTTGTATACGAACAGTGTATCCCTTACCATTGGCAATACTATATCCAGGTCTTTCTTTAAAACTTCTCAAAATGACACTAAGGCGTTCTGCTGCCTATATAAGATAGGATAAGCCAAGTTGGCCACGACTGATGAAGTCTATACCTCTTTTATTTCAGGATGCTTTCTTCTGGCCTCACTCGATAGAGTCAAAAGCTCTGTTTGCAAGAAAGCTGTGAGACCGCTCATATTCTATACCGAGTTATTAAACCAAGGTATGCCAATAAAATAGTCCAAAAAGAAAAAAAAAAAAAGAAACTCGTGTTGAATAAAAGTGTCAACTCCCTCTTGGCATGAACACATACTCTATCTCTCAGGTCCCGAACACGTCACAGAACAGTTCAATATGCCTAAAATCAAGGCCCGCATCATTTTGTTTATTCTTTCAGAGCAATGCTTTCACTCTTGTCATTGTTGGTATTACAGACACTAGCTTAATAATTTGGTATCTCAGTTGCTTACAAAATTCAAGTTTCTTGTGTAGTGATAAGGAAGACAGACGTTAGCTATGGATTTAAAGCTTCTTTCAATTTGAATTGTAGATATTCCAAAGAGCGAAAAGAGAGTTGAACATTAGAAATCAAAAGATACAAGGTTTGGGGATACTTACAACTTAAATTCACAGAAATAAGAAGAGATAGACATGATGACAGAGAGAATATCGTATTGTAATGATGAAACTAGTATATTATTTTATTTGTAGCAAATAGAATCAACCATAAAGCTACCTTATATTTTGAATGCGGAAACTTTAAGATCTTAGTAGCCATAAGGTAAAAATGATTAACATTACTTATTTAAAGAGACGCTAAAATCTTAAACAATACACCACTTCTTGTACAGAAGGCTACCGTTTTTGAATTTGGTTCAGTATTGGAGTGACTGACGCTTGAGAAGAAAGCAGGAAGAGTTTCATGAAAAAGCAAAGTGGTGATGCCTGAGATAGCAATGGCTAAAGCTAGATACCTTATATTTTCCACTTATACTACGACCATTCTTGACTAAGGGACATCCAGGATTATAAAAGACTAAAGGCGCCTTTCATGCTTCTATATCTTGTTGTACATTGCCTTCTGACTAATTGCTCAGGACGTTGAAGTTTCTAGAAACAGCAGACACAGGTCTGAGATGTACTTTTATTTTAATGCCAAAGTTGCCATCATTATGCGCCTTGTAGCTTTGTCTCAGTTCTGCTTACCACTGCATAATAACAAAAGATGATAGTGACTAAACTTTCTAGTTTTCACTACTTCAATCAGAGTGTACTGCTATAGAACAAGATAAGAGTTTCCTAAACCTAAGCAAGTCCAAAATTTAAACGCAATGAAGTATAAATAATCTATAATGACTTAAGTATACATGCATAAAACTTCGTTGAACACATGTACTGTGTTTTATAGAATCCTTCATCAATTTTCAAATAAATCATAAAGAATAGTTTTCATTAGAAGCTACGCCTAAAAACACAAAGAAGAGGGAAAATTATGATAATAGTTTTAGTCAATAGATCTACAATGCGACAAACAACAGGTCTGAATACTTTTAGTGCAGTTGTTCTACTGGCACATACTTAAATAAGCTCCCATCGAGAATAAATGAAAGTTAACTTGTTCAATTTCTCTTTGCTTTGATCAATTCAGGTGAATACATCATAGCTACGTGTAGCCTTATCTGCGCTTCTGCATAGTAGAAGCCCACGCTTTGTGCACTTTGCGTCAAAATGTTCTATTTCATAGCTAGATGTTAATATTTCAACACAGTTAAAGCTGTCCAATTGAATGTATATCGGACTTTAGATTGTTTTGTTTGTACCTGAAATGCATGAAACCTAAAGCAAATCAATGCATTTATACATGATAGACTTTAAAAAGGGATCTGGAGGTAGTATCTACGTCTTTTGGCTACAGTATTTACTCTCTTTTTTTCTCAAAAACCAAAAAAAGAAGAACAATACACTTTATTGTGATTGATAACTTCAAGTGACATCAACATTGATGCTGAGTTGTAATAATTAGGCTAAAAAAAAGTTGCTTTGAACTATTGATTCATTTTCTTCTTTGGTTACTATGAAGTTGGTTGAAAGCTTTAGTGACATCCTCAAAGAAACACGATACGACACCATAGCATGTGATATTTATGGTGTTATTCATGATGGCATTAAAGCCTATCCTCACTCCAAGTCAGCCTTGACATCACTTAAACACAATGGCGAACATGTTGTATTACTATCCAACTCAACACGCTTACAAGACAGACTTGTGTCCAACATGCAATCAAACTTTGATATCAGCAGTACTTCATTTGATAAGATCTTATCTAGCGGTACACTCACAAAAATCTTTTTACGAGACATGGCCGAGTGTCTGGAAATAGGTCAAGTGAAACAACCTGGTTGTCATGCTACTGCTCGAAAACAAGGTCAAAGCACACGCATGGAACCTGATGTATTTGCACGCACCTACTTGAAGACAGGCAAATTCTTTTTGGCGGGTGACACAGAGTGGCAAGAACCTCTGTATTTATCATTAGCACCCACGCTTACTCGAGTATATGATTGGGAAGAGATTGAATTTGTCTTGTTGGGATCTATTCATGGTGTTGATCCAGTAAATAAACCAGTCGATCCTTTTAATGAAACACAAGTTCGACAGGATTACCAGCCATTCTTGGAGGCATGTCTCGAAAGAAATGTGCCTATTATCTGTGCTAATCCGGATATATTTGCACCTAATGGCAAACATGAAGATGGATCTACTAAATTCCTTATTTGCCCAGGATATGTGGGCCAAATGTATGAGGAAATGGGTGGACAAGTACTTTATTTCGGTAAACCATTCAAGAGTATTTATGACTACTTAGTCCAGAAAATAGCAGCATCTTCTGATGATTCATCATCCCGTCGAATAATTTGTGTTGGGGACAATGTAGCAACTGATGTCAAAGGAGCAACCGAAGCGGGTTTAGACGTTGTCATGGTGATGGGCGGAGTTCATTGGGAAGAATTAAAGCAGGCCAAAGACGATCAACAACGAATGATCATAGTAGAAGAATTGTGTCGAGTTAATGATTGCAAGACACCTACTTATCTTATGCCATTGCTCAAGTATTAACGTATTTTATTGAATGGCCCAAGAATAATAGATACAAAAAAAAACCTCCTATAGATTGAATAAAATGGAAATGCTGGGATAAAAAAACAAAACAAAAACAAAGATGGGACTTTTTTTTAAAAAAAACTCTTTTCTGTTTTCATGTCATGAATGAATCTGCTGCATTGCCTGAACCCTCTCATATTGTTCAAGTTCCCGAGTACTATTATGCGGTAGACATAAACTACTTGACACATATGATCGGTAACCGATAGACAAGATGAACAAAATATACTTACTTTCTCTTTTTTTTAGCCGATATGTTGGGCAGGCTTATTAAACACAATGATTTGATACCACTCACACCTAGTAATTTGACGCGTTTCCATTCACGCATACCGCCGAATATCTCTCTCAGCGATTATTTACGACGTATAGTGAAATACACTTCAGTAGAAAAGTCTTGTTTATTAATTTTGCTCATATACATTGATCGTGTATGTGAACTTCATCCACATTTTACCATTTCTTCCTTGACTGTGCATCGATTTCTGATTACAGCAGTGACAATATCATCCAAAGCACTATGTGACTCATATTGCACCAATTCACATTATGCCAAAGTCGGTGGCATTTCAACACAGGAAATCAACGCTTTAGAATTAGAATTTTTATCCCTCATTGATTGGCATTTGACTTCTACAGGACCTATTTTACAACAATACTATGCCAATTTGGTCGAGCAACACCCTTGTTATGAACGCATTGTATCTGAAGAACAAGAGATCAACAAGAAGCGGCGAAGGAGCAGTACAACAGAAGTCAGTCCTGCAAAAAGGAAGGATCGAAAAAACTCACTTAATACTGAGTTGCTTGAAATAGAAGAAGAAACCACCAAAAACCATTTTGATACACTATTAGACGATGAAACCATACCCTATATCGCATAGAAATTTTTGAATTCCATCTGGTACAACCTTCCCTCTTTTTCGTCCATAACCTCGTGAGGTCAGTTTTGTCGAATCAAAATTCACTGGATCAGCTATATGGATGATCCAATCTCTCAAAATTATACGCTGGCGTCCTTTTTTTATATATAAAGAAAAATGTAGAGAACTATAAGTTACTTTTTTTATGTTGTAAATGTACATAATATGTATGTAAAAAAAAACTACAGTAGTGACCTGAATAAAAATAATCATTACCGGCTTCCTGCGTATGGTTTCTGATTTAAGGAAGCGAAATTCTCTCCGCCTGTATTGCGCTTGAACACAAAAAAAGAGAGAGATGGATTATCTATTTGATCCAATTAATTGTTTATGGAAATATCAAAATATATTGATTAGTTTATAATCGACAAACATGCTATTCCCAGACACTCGGACCAAATCGATTGAATTGAATTTATTTTGCAATGTAATCAAAGATATTTTATGTTTGAGGTTTTTACTTTATATGTTCAAAAAATAAGGGGAGAATGGTTGTGACTGCAAACAATAATTTTGCTCTAGCATTAGATTTGCCCTTGTCTCTTTTTTTTTTCTTTTCTTTCTTAAAGAAAATGAGTTGGAGTGGTAGTTATGCACAAAATTTTGTTGACCCTCAACACCTTCAAGAAGCAGAACAACAAGTAGATATTTTTATGGGCATGTTCAACAGGTAGCAGAAAAAGAAAAAAAATTATGTCTCACTCAAAATAGAGTTATGTCTGCTTGTCAAGAAAAATGTATTCCCTCCAACTATCACGAACCAGATTTAAACAAGGGAGAGCAGAAATGTATTGACCGCTGTGTAGCAAAATATATGTCGATTCAGTTTATGCTGGGTGAAAAAATGAAGTCTATGGCACCCACTACCAACACTACATTATAGAAACAATATCTTTTTTTTATTATTGAACCATTTGTACATTATCTTACACTTTGGAAGACGGTGCTGTATTTCTAAATGAATACGGCGTTAAAAATCGACCTGGAGCATACAAGTAATTCATGAAACCACCACTTGGATAACTGGACTGTATAGGAAATAATTCTCGAAGCTTTTCATAGTAATAAAATACACACATTCCCCAGTAAATCTATATCAGCGCATCAATAGGTTTTATGTTTATCTCGAATTCACTTACATAGCAAATACACATAATGATCCAGACAGCAAGCGAAAACTTGATCTCATCTTCCCATAGCTTTTGACAGTGATAGATAGGAATCGGTGGTATGATAGAGTCAAGGGTAGAGACAGTGCCATTTGTAGAAGCACCTGATATTCTTTCATCTAACATTTGGCTTATAGAGGATGTTGAACACCAGTCTAGATAAGATGGTTTTTGTATACCGAATATAAATACATTCGCAAGCATATCAAGCAAGTAAATAGGTATGATAAACACTAAAAAAACAACGCCTGCTTGGAGTGCTAGTGGCGTATCCTATCAACACAATTAGCCTGTTTCAGTTTTATATATATATATATATATCGACAACTTACAACAAACAAACCATACAATACTAGGAGAGCTACTAGAGCAAAGGCAATAGACAAAGAACCATATGTTATTAATGCTGGCTTGTTTAAAAACGAAAAAATAGCTTAGGTGTTTTGTGAGTTATTCATAAAAAAAAAAAGTAAATGACACTTACGTGTGTATCCTTGAAATGATTCAGCAGCAATAAAAATATTGATGCCCTGTTATAAATAAGTAAAAAGCTTTTTTTTTAGTGATTTACAATCCATATCGCACACGCCACAGCACAGCCTGCTCTTAAAGACATGCATCCACAAAACTTTCGTCTAAGAGGATTTGGATCCAGATATCTAGACTCGGACACTGGACGTTGAAAAAACATCTTGAGATAAAAAAAAAAAAAAAAAAAAAAAAAAAAAAAAAAAAAAAAAAAAAAAAAAAAAAAGGAAACAAGAAGAGTTAACGAAGGTTATTTTTTTATGCAGTCCAAGAAAACATTGCTTTATTTGGAACATCTTGTTAATGTATTACAATAGCCAATAACTTCATTTCCAACTACTTTTGAGCAATGCCCAAACGTATATATATATATATATATATGTTTATATCAACCTTATCATGGTTACCGTATCGATTTCTAGTTTAATCTAAATTTGTTCATGTTAAAATCTTCATAGCATTCCTAAAAAAGGTTTCTCGTTGATATAATTGCTTAAAGGACACGTCGACTAGAATGAACTTTGATGCGCGAAAAGTATAATTCCTGCATGAATATTAAGCATAGCCAAAAATAGAGGTCAAAGGACTCCAGTAGTACGCAGTCGGAACATACTAAAGCCCTAACAAGCTTCGAGCCGAAACTTTTAAGACGGTAAATCTACTTAAAATAATTAGATCAGATATTTTATTGCTGATGCATAAACAAGTTGAGGGGCTATGGCCCAATGGATAAGGCGTCTGACTACGAATCAGGAGATTCCAGGTTCGACCCCTGGTAGCCTCAATACTTATTTTTTGATATTCTTTGAAATATCGTGAGACGTTTTAGGGAAAATAAGATTGATTATTCTGGATCAAGTGTTGTTCCTAAGTTTGGATTGTTCAGTCAACTGTAGTATTTAGTGGTTGAAATGACTGAAGTCTCTTATTTGCTTTTGTTCCTTTGAAAAAGCTTATGCTTAAACAATATGAAACTCGACAAAAAAAAAAACAATTGCATGTAATAGCATTTTTTTTTTACACATGTAGACTTGGGTACAAAAAGGAAGATTAAGTACATCGTGTTAGAATACTTTCTTCTTCTCGAGTAAAATAGGTCTTTTAGACTAATTGAACATATCTAGAAGAGCAGTGAATTTTTTGTTTGTTTATGCTGCTGTTTTAGTGTATTATGTTACTCTAAATTGTACTTTAGAGTGTTCGATCCAAGTATATCTTTAACCAGATAATTTTCTTCATCTTATTAGCAATTACAAAAACCAACAATGATATTGTGACAGATGTGCATAATAAATACTACCACCTAACTTGAGCAAAAAAAAAAAATAAGACAAGAACAAACGATAAAAAAGTAAATGGCTGAGACCCAATCAAACATTGAAAACACAACAAAAAGAAACAGAAAAAAAAAACGCGTTTGAATGCCAATTAATCATACACAGATATATACTTGATGGCATAGATCAAAAAGCTTACTTCTTCGGCCTTTCAAAACAAGTAGCATTTCTATATAAAATAATCATCCAATGCACTTCTTTTCTTTTTCTTTTCTTTTTTCTTTTTGTTCTGCTTCTTTTTCATAAGTTTCTACAATAGCAAATGACCAAACATAATCTATTTAGCTCAGAAAAGAATCTGCCATTCCAATATGAAGCTGCCAAGCGAATTGATTTCTTAGATTATACAAAAGAGAACCTTCAATCATTTATAAAGCATCATTGCACAGTCCTAGGAAAGCCTTTGGTCGTGTCAAATATGCACAAATCAAATGGCTGGTCTGATGCAGCTTTTAGCCTAGAAAGACTTAAGACATACTGTGGAAATTTAGGTAAGCACATAAACTTATGGACAAATAAACTTATGCATTTTTTTCCCTTTAAAGAGGTGGATCTTGACCTACAAAAGCAAGCTGAAGTAAAGAAAACGAAAGCGCCATTAGGAAGTTACATAGAAAGTATTCAACATAAATACAAGTTCGATCAGCCTGTTCTAAATCATCATGAGAAGCTTCCTTTTTCGATTGAAAAAGTATACGCAAAAGATATTGTATGTCCAAACGAATATCAAACCGCGCTGAGGAATTTCTTACCAGAATACCTGTTGCCTCACGGAAGCGAGGATCTCTTCACTTTTCTACCTGATCGATTCAAAGCTGAAAATCTCATGTGCTATGTAGGTCAAGACATGACGGGTACTCCTATTCATCGTGATTTATGCGGCACAATGGGTCATAATGTCATGACCATGGCAAGTGAAGATGCCTTTGCAGAGTGGCTCATTGTTGAGTGCCAACACCGAGATGATCTTGCTTGCTTGATCGATCCTGAAGACGATGATCACCAGCGTCACTTTAGACATATAGGCCGCAATAAAAGACGATCTGGACGACCCAGTACCGCAGTTAACAGTCATGTCACCAAGAGTTCCTTTATGGAAAGTGATCGTGCCTGGCTCAATTATGACAAGATCTTAAAGGCCAATTTCAAGGTACAGGTTATCGTTCAGCGTAAAGGTGATCTTGTTATTATTCCCAGTCGTGCCTATCACCAAGTTCGCAATAGTGGTATCTCTATCAAAGTCGCATGGAACCGAATTACGCCACAAACATTAACCTTTGCATTTCAAGATCAATTACCACTCTATCGTATCATTAGTCGCCCTGAAGTCTACAAATGCAAGGCCATTGTCTCTTTTACTTTGCAAGAATGGAACCGCCAGATAAATGACCTTGTGCGCGACCAATCTAAACGTACATATTCTATTCCTATCTTGTGCTATGGTAGTGACAACTTTATAGAGAACTCGAGGCAATTGCTTGATATTTTCCTTGAAAAAGTCATTTTGCCCGAACTACTCTTTGATGATGACAAAGAAGGTATTGTTGCCGATGCTGCCGGTGAAGTATGTACTGTCAAATGTGATTTCTGTCATGGCGATATCTTTTGTCACTATTACCATTGCGATATTTGCAACCAATACGATTTATGCTTAGATTGCTATTCAATTGGCCGTAGCTGTCAACATGTTACAGAAATGCAAATGTACAAAAGTCCTGAAAGTATCATGAATGCAGTCAAAACCTATCTCAATTATGTGAAAAATGTAAATGCGACATTTAATGGAGATCTTATTCCAAATAGATCGCTTGATGTGTTAAGAAAGTAGAGTATAACATACTATTGGCATGGCCTAACCGTTTGTTAGTTCACCGCATGATCATCCTGCTAATTTGGCTACCACCTGTCGTCGTATAGAAAGATATCGTCGAAAAAGATCTCATAATTTCAATATCTTAGAATGCAATCATTGCTCTGCTGCTACAACTGTATCGGAATTAGGCGAGCAGGGTATTAGTTTACTTAGTATCTTTAAGCGTAGCTGGTGTAAACATGCATCCAGAAAAGCTCGACAAGAAGGTGTCAATTACTATACTTGTCTTTCATGCGTAGAAAGATGCAGGTCATGTCAACCACTTGAAGTCAATACAGAGTCTCTTAAAGATTATGATTTGGTATACTATCTTCATCCTAGTCATGATGAACGTAACCGAGGTGGGTTTATTGATCTTGATATGAAGAGGGTATAGTGTGGATCAGATAAGATTAAAAAACAAAGACTTATATTCTGTTCAATAGACATGTGATATCCCCCAAACAACAAAAAAGATGATTTCTACTTCCCGTGGTCCTTCCAGAAAAAAGGCTCGAAAATGAATAGTATATATTTACTGAATACAACAACAATGGCTTAAACAAGAGCTCTTAGTATTCTCTTCTTCCCTTAAATTATTCTGACTTCTACTTGAATTCACTATGTAAATATTGCATGTTAGTCTGATAAAACAAACAAACAAAGAGTAAGATTATTACCATTGGTATCATGATTTGAAGAGTTCATACGAGGTAATGGCTGATTATCTTGTTGTTGATGATATAGTTGTGGTTCTTGCTTTTGATATTGTATACGCCTTTGTTGTTGTTGTGGTTGTGGTTGATCTTGGATTGTTGGTTTATCGGGTGATTTTTCTTCTATACCATTTACAGTAATTCGCTGACGTCCATCACCAAAGTCTTCAATGACACGTACACCATTAACATCTTGAATCTTAGTCACAGTATGCCTTTGACCATTGATAATACGAGTTGTTGTTTGTACACTCTGTGAAGTACCCGACATAGCAGGTTCAAACATACTCAATGACTCAAAAGGATCTCTCATCATCATGCTACTCGTACCACGGAAGAATGGATCATCTATCACCCGTTATTACATTGTTTGTCTATTTGTCTATACTTACCAGAAAATATACTGAAGGGATCGTCGGATCCAAAGAATTCTCGAAAGATGTCTCTTGGGGTTTGAAACTTACAGTGTTGAGTTATTACTATTATTTTTTTGATCTATCATCCAAACTTACCTGGAATGTAGCAAAGATAGGATCTTGGTAGAAATTCGGTCTCGGTTGTGCTCCATAGAAAGAGTGATCATGACTAGAGGACTCCTCTGGTTCACTACTATCATATGCTCGTCTTTTCTCAGCTAAAATAAATACATGGTGAATGCTTGTTTCATATACATTTTAATTTACTTACGATCTGATAAGATTTGATATGCTTCACTTTTTTTTTAAAGAGAAAAAGTATAAGGCAACTGAAGTTTTTCTTATTCTAATCTTACCTTATTCTCTTAAACTAAAGAATAAATCAGTATGGTCGTTGTATATCTCATTTTCTACCTTTTCTGCTGCCCCAGGTTCATGGTTTTTATCAGGATGATATTTCAATGCAAGCTTTCTATAAGCCTTTTTGATATCATTGTCTGTTGCTTCAGGTGTAAGTTCGAGTTCGCTGTAATAGTCCATAATGAGAATAAAAAAAAGAAATAAAGAGAGGTTAAGAACATTCGCGAAGAATAGAGGAATTTTATGCTGCATTTCACTTCAAAACCCGCTTCATGTCGCGGAGTTCTAAATCGGATGTTGACAAGCAATATGTAACTTTACGTATTGCTCCTTTTGATAGCTATCTTTATACATAAGCATCCCCCCAAAAAAGAAGAGATAAGAAAACACATCTATTTTATTCTTAGATATTTAGTGGAAGTCTTAATACAGAATCTAAATGGCATAGTATGTATGTATATATATATATATATGTGAGAAAAGTGTATCATAAAATTATATTGCTTACCTTTGTAATGTGCGGTATATAAAAAGCAAGTAATTGTATCTAATTCCTTTACTGTTTGATTTGCAAAGTGACGAGAAACAGCTGCTGCTAACTCTTCTTTGTTCAATTTAGATTTAGTTTTGATTTTGTGAATTCGGGCATATTTGCGAAGAACAGAGATATCCATAGAGTTAAAGTCAATCTAAAAAAAAGAAAAAAAGTTAATGGACCTCCATGTGACACATTAACTTACTGTCTGGAATTCCTTTCCAACATTAGTCTCTACTGTACGTCTCTTCTTGTCGCGATCTCTATCAGAGTTTTGACTCATAACGTTGGTTGGTGCTGAATGTACTGGTTTTTGTTTGACGCCCATATAAAAGAAAATAAAAAAAAAATAAGGGAAAAAAAAGGGATACTTTTTTTTTCAATTTGTTTACCTTGTGACTTGTGTAATACCAAACAAATCAGAAAATAAAGTCTTTGGTTCAAGCATGTAATTTAATTCAATAGTACTCGGTAGCTACTTACATATCAAGCGAAAAAAAAAAGAAAGAGAGAGAGAGAGAGAGAGAGCTTGACATTGCTAGTTAAATGAAAAAAAGAAAGGCCTAGAAGCAAAACCTTTTGGAGTTCACTTTTTGTATAGCAACGTTTCATATTCTCAGCTTACAAAGGACTAAAGAAACAGTTATTGTTGAATGTTACTATAAAAAGCAACGAGAAGAAATACTTTTAGGGTTATTCAAATACTGTTTTTACACTTCAATTCAGACGATGCTAGTTTTTTTCTAGGCGAATCAAAATTAATTTCCAGATGCTCTTCTTGCCTATTTTGGACGAAATAAAGATGAAAATTAGACAGAAAAAGAATTAGCTTTTTGTATGAATGAGAGTTTACATTTAGACATTTATCTGTAAAGGGAAATCAATTGTTAGAGAAGCAATATCAAAATGACTGGTTATCGTGGTGTTTTGGGACTTTTCAAATAAAAAGATTGAATATAGAAATTATAAAAAATAAAGAGACGTGTAGGAAGTACTTTGAGACCGTTTATAAATGTTTATAAAGATAAAAGTTCAAGAGAGATTTTTTATATTCTAGGTTTATATATGACTTGGATTATGTCCTTAGATGTAACCTGAGATAGGACTTGATGAGCTGAAGGTTATATTAGATGGAATAAGAGTATTGGCTTTTTCAATAAAATATACTTTGTGAACCATCTTTACAGTTATTTATCATTCAAGATGAGGTCTGTTTACTGGTTCCTGGATTATATGACTCTATTCCGTAGGAGTGTAAATGTTGATTCAGCTATATCATTGTTTAGAATGAACTCAGTTCTAATGCTATCAAACTATGACTAGCTGACATAATAATAATAATATATGACAAATGTTCTTGTTATGAGAAAAGACTCATTTGTGATAATATACTCTTTTTTTGTTTAAAGTTATTTACACCAGACCATCAACAATAGTTAGATCGACTTGTCTGTTATAATGTTTTTTTTAACGAGATTCATCTTATTAAAGAAAAATTAAGTTTTCCATCTGCTATTGGAGGGGCTAGCCAGTGCATTACTGAGGCCTGCAAGGAGCTGGCAACCACCTACGAGAATGCAGTTGTAGAAAGACTTGAAAATATATTGAGAAGATTTTTGCAATATCAAATTCAAATTATGTTTGTTGTAAGAGCTAATAATCACATTCATTTACTCTAAATGCTTAAATATTATGTATATAGTCCATGGCTCCGAAGGACATCGATGATATTGTTATAAAATATGGATATCAGTATGTATGCCAAGGTGAAGCGGTGTGGCCTGAACAGAAATCACTTGAAGACCCTATGACCAAACGAAGAATCGATGAACTATGCCTGCCACTTAAAAACAAACTCGATGCTAGAGCTAGTATAAAATCATTAGCTGATAACCCAGGCTCTTTTGTTCCTCTGCTGTTTCATATACTGACTGTCTTTGAAAGGGAACATCAGTCCCATAAAGCGTTTGACGTTAGAAGACTTCCTTTACCAAGGCTGTTCAATGTATTCCCTTCACCATCATGCCATTGGCAATCAGTGACAATTTCGGTCAATGCATTAGCAGCATTTCTTTCTGGTGAACCACTGCCCAGAGGGTATAATGATCAGCTGCATTTATTTTACAAGGTATTTGATTTTAAACCGCTTAGAATCAAATCGTAAGTACATAGTAGTAGAAAATGTTTTTATATAATAGTCATTTAAAATATGTTTACTATTAGGATTGAATCTTTATTACCCACTGGAACAAATAAGAGGCTCTTTGGTAATCAGATCAGATCAGACGGTTTTTCTGTTGATTTTGTTTTTAACAAACGAACAATCACAGAAAAACGTTTAACCGAGCAGATCAATCAAGTTGACCTGATACTGGATGATTTTGAGAAGCATGAAGCTGACAGCCACTATTTACCAATAGCCGTAGATCTAGGAAGAAAAAGGGCTTTCACTGCATCTGCTGGTTCAAATGGTAATATTAACGACTTCAGGCAACGTTCCATCAAGGAATATTACCACTTGACAGGCTCTACAAAATTCTCAGCAGAGCAAGAGAAGAAAAAGAAAGCATGCGGTATTAAGACGATTGAAACAAATATACCCACTAATAAGACTACCAATGAATCGCTGTATATGGAGTATGTCATTTATATGCTCGAAAACATTGGTCGTATTTTCAGTTTTTACAGTCAAGAAACTGCAAAAGAAACCTTTTTCTTATACCAGAATCGCCAACGAGCACCGGAGCAAATGGTGAAAATGTTGCTAGATGGTACCAAGAAATACAACAAGAAGTCAAGAGGAAACAAAAGAAAAAGAGCAAAAAACAAAGGGAAGCGGAAAAAGAAGGGGAATAAGTCCGGAAAGAAGGATAAAGGAAAGAGAAAAATGGCACCGAAAACAACAAAAACAAGTTAAAAAGTTACTTGGGCATACTCATAAGTTTATGGTACTTAGAGAAAGCAATTTCTTTCAGTACAAACAGAAGGTATCACTGATAGTATTTGGTAGTGGCATATTTGGGAAGGAACATGTGAGGATAAAAACGTTCTGGACTGATGACTTACTCGTTGTGGACATTGATGAATATTTGATGTCCCAAATATGTTCCAAATGTGAAAGTAGGACTTTAGGTGGTATTAGTGGTGCCCGCGATAATAGTGTTCTCGTTTGCAAGACATGCAGAACATTATGGCAGCGTGACATCAACACTAGTTTGAATATGATGAACATTGCTAAGTCAATTTGGAAGGGTGAAGGCCTTCCAGAATGATTCAAGAGAAAATAAAAAGAAAAGCAATAATCGCCGTAATGAACACAGTATTTCCTTTGGGAATTAAGGTTGTTATAGGTAAAGTCATCTAACATACTATTGTACCTTCTCTAATAATTCTTCTCTTTCTGTTTAATTTCCATTTTTATTTCGTCCAAAATAGGTAAGAAGAGCATCTGAAAATTAATTTTGATTCGTCCAGAAAAAAACTAACATCGTTTGAATTCAAAGTAGAAATACTGTGAAAGATGTTGCTACCAGGTTTTCTTTCAAACGAAATATACAATCGCCACTTGAAATAAAATAGAATTTAAATATCAGCTTTTCTTTTTTTTCTGTTTTCTTTTTGCTCATCATGTCAAAGTATGGAAAACGGAAAAGAGTAGACATAGAAAAGCAACCAACAGAGATTGAACTAAAGCCAACATGCACTATATGCTTAGAGAGATTTGAAAATAGAACATTTATTCGACCATGCTATCACTCTTTCTGCTTTCAATGTATTCGCCATTGGATCAACATTGCTTCTTCGCAGTGCCCAGTCTGTAGACAAGTTATCGACTCCCTTGTGTACAATGTCAATGACGAAGAAAACACATTTGACGAATATCACCTTAAAGATAAAGGAAACAAGAAGCAACATGACCCACCTCTGAATCGCATAAAATACAACTCACCAGAGAAAAGACTACAGATCGAACGTCAAAAGGTTTATCGAGGCCTTCTAAAAGCAGCAAGTTATCCTGAACCATTACCTCAACATGCTGATTTCACTGTCCTTACACCTGATTATATACCCAGGGTAAGGAAAGAAAAAAGAAATTAATGACTACAGATACTCATTTTCTATTCTCTATAGACACGCGTGTTCCTACAAAATGAGTTCAAGAATATGACTGGCATTGATAGTTTAGATGAGTTCCTTGTAGACCATCTGATCAAGATATTATCCAAGCCTTTTCATGAAAAAAAGACGACGATGTATGATACTGATACAATTCAGCAATTATCTGAGTGGCTAGACGATGATGTGTCTATTGCTACACGATTACTGAATGAGCTCATTGCTTATTTGAAATCTGGTCTAAGCTATAGGCATTTTATTTCTGCTGCCATGTATGAATAAATGAATGACTGGTTATTAAGCATGGCTCTTGTAGTGGTGGCCATGAGATTACTATAGCTTGGCAAGAGTGAGTGATAAGGTTCAGGATTTCAACCAAGGGTGTTCCAGCACCTCATGTATATTATAACGCTTTTCTACATCACGATTTAACATCTTTTTAATGAGATCCAAAGAGCCTATGGTTTGACTAAGTAATGATAGTATATAAGCGTAATGCTTACCTTCAGACATAACAAAAGGAATTCGCAAGTCCTGCTCTAGAATTTCATCTACATTATAAAACGGATTCTCTCTGTAAATCAACGTATACAACAAGGTACCTAAACTCCATATATCCTGTGCAGGCCCTTCATATGGCATGCCCTTTAGAATTTCAGGAGCACAATAGTCCAGAGTACCACCAAATGTATCAAACGTACGGCCCTTTCTAAAATAAGCAGCACTTCCAAAATCAATCAAATGAACACACCCTGTTTCATCTAACAAGATATTTTCATCTTTGATGTCACGGTGTACAATGCGAAGGCTTTGAATATGTTCAACTGCCATGGCTACTTGTCGGAAGATGTCTTTGACTTCTGCTTCAGAGATCTTTTCATTCAGTTCTATATAGTCAAACAAGTCCATGCTGCTTGTACCATAGAGTTTCATGACTACAAAATAATTGTCTTCGTCTTCCATATAGGTTTCTAATAATATTGGTTAAAGAAGTTGAGGTTGGCCTGTAGGGTTTACCAAGCGAACAACAATTGACTTGTGGATGTTCTTTTAATTTCTTCAATATGTGAATTTCAAGAGGTATCAGACCAAGCTGTCGATCTCTTATCCATGAATCCAGAATAATCCTAGACTTTGCAATGAACTTGATCACCACTTTTGTCTATTTGTCAAATAAGCAACTAGGTTATGATAGCATGGAACTTACCTGTTTGGGGTCATCTTTTCTATAAGCTAATTTGGCTGTACCATAAGCCCCTTCGCCTAAAGTACCCACAATCACATAAGCATCCATGGGATGACTCGGTCTTTCTTGCTTCTTTTCGATCTGTATGGCGGGTATGGTACTTTTCCTTTCTTCTGGTTCTTCCTCCATACCATTTGGAAACAGTGCCTTTTTCTTGTCGACAGAGCCAAACGAAGATACACCATAGGTTCGAATAGGTGGCCTCTTAAAAGGTACTTGTTCTGTTTCAGACTTGATGATGGCTGGACGTGATTTAGGACTCAATGGATGTTTAGCTTGATCCATAGGAGGAATTTTGAGTCTTTCCTCTGGTTGCATTTTCCCAATGACAGCAGCAGTGGCAGCAGCAACAGCAATAGCAGCCTTCTTTGGTCTTTTGAGGGCATAGATACGATCATAAGTTACCCAAACACTCACTAAATCCTCTTGTTCACTCTTGATCAACCTCAGTTGTAATTGAATTTCAAATTGACTGCCATCTCGATGAACAGCATAAATAATGGGCAATGCTTGACCACTTGCATTGATAGATGGCTGTCGCTCCAAATGCTTTAATGATTGCTCTACTTCCATTGATTTATACTTTTCTGTGTTGAATATCTCGGAAATAGCCCATCGACACGCATGATTGTTGACTGTGCTTGAGAATTGCAGTAGTTTACAACGACGCAATCCAGCCACAATTTTGGAAAATTGAGGAATAATTTGGTCTATACTGAACTTCTCTACTAATGTCTCTGTTGAATAGCCAAACAGGTATTTTGCAGGCACAGGATTGATACTCTGGATTCTGCCATTACTATGAACAGTAATTAGGCCAGCAATGGAAGGCAAAGACACAATTTTGAGTCGATGAACAGAGATATTGACCATGGTTGGGAAACAAATACCATTCTTAGACTTTCCACCATAGTATTTGAGTTTCTCAATCTTGTTCAGATTCACACCTGGATTTGTCTTGTTTTCATTGGTCAATGCAGGGATAAGTTGTGTAATGGGTTTGCCAATGACTTGGTCAGGCTCATAACCAAACAAATCCTTTGTTGTTCCCGTTATTTCCAGTACATTTCCCTAGAGAGAGCCATAAACATCCCCATCTGCCTATTTTCTCTCACTCCTGTTTTACCTTTTCATCCAATTGGGCCGATAAAGAAGTCTCATAGATTTCCTCAAATATCCAAATATAGATACTTTTCCCTTCCTCTGTCACTTTTTCCTTGAGCCAAAGTGAGGCAGCAGAAGACGTCTCACCATTCATCTTGCGAATCGGTACCACAATACCACAGACTAAAACTAGCCCTTTTTCCAACTGGTTCTCTTTGACCAAATTGCGTCTTCTCTTTAAAATATGCTTGATTTGCGTTCGAAATGGGTCCTCAAGCGCTTTTAGAATCGATTGTCCAATAAACGACTTATCAAACCCAAAACAAAGGCTGGCCATGTCGTTAAACAACAGAATGGTGGCATCTGCATCTGTTGTTAAAATAGCTTGGTTCTGAGGCAAGAAACGAGAAGGTGCATGCAGTGCTCGAGTGTATTGTGTTGAATAAGGTAATTCTGATGTGTTTTGAGGCATTTCATAAATGGGTGGTAGATTATGGAGCATTTCAAGCGTCTGTCGTCTATTTCCAAAACTTTCGTCTGGCTTCGTTTCGGAATTGTCAATGGCTACACTATGCCTTAAAGCGGATGTAGGAATAGGTGAAGATAGAGTGGGTTCGGGTGGTCTTGTTTGGATATATTTGTTGTGAGGTGGAAAGAGGGGCACAATGGGTGATGATGTCAAGTTGGACAAGAACTCTGTGTTTTTTGAGGCGATATCATTCAGTGATGGACATGGCTGTAGCTGCCGTGAACCCGTCTCACTTACCCAATCATTATTTTGATCTAATACACCAATATCAGGCTGAGAAAAGCGCCTACCGGTATCCCTTTCACCCGTTTTCCATCGAATGCGTTGCATATAATCCATGCCCCGACTCAAGATCTGTCTCTTGATCTTTGCCGCCTTGTGAACCCGAGACAGAGGCGTAAAGCTGTAGCTATAAAGGGATTCTGCACAGTATTCTGCAATTGAATCATTGGGTGGTGGGTAATTCATGACTGATAGCGTGTTATCTTCCTCAATTGAAGTCACGCTATTTTCTCTAAATCGCTCAAAACTCTGAAGGGCTACTTCATTTGTATTGTTTTCGTCACTGTCTGATAGACCCGACTTGGGTGAAGAGTCATTGCTTTTTCTGTCGATAAGCAAGTTAAGTACTGTTTTGGAACATAGTTTGTATGCCTTTTACCTGAACTCAGAGATAGATCTCTCTAGTTGGTCCCTAGTAAGGTTCGGTTCGTTGTCATCTATCATGATCAGAATTTTTTTTCTTGGACTGGTATTCAAATAAAATGCCACTAAAAAAATGCACATACATACACACATACACACACACACACACATATATATATATATATATATATGCAATAAAAAGAAAGAAAGAAAAAAAACACTTACTTGATTTGTTATTTTGAGAAGAATGCATACGTATACAAGAGCTAAAAAGAAAAGAAGAAAAAAAAAGAGTATGTTTTTCACCTGTCGTCATTAAGCAAAAGGGTCTTAAACAACTGTCACGCTGCTAAAAAAAGTCAATGCACAATCTCGATAAAGCCATTGGTTCCTTTTTCCTTTCAGCTTTTTTTCTCTTAGTGTATTTTTCTTTCTGATGTTTGGTTTTCATATGCTTTTCTTTTATATACACATCAATTTAAAAAAAAAAAAAAAAAAAACCAGGAAAAAAAAAGAATCAAGTTGTGATATAGAATCTCCGAACTAGATAGCTTTTTCTTTTCATTATACAAAAATACATGTATGACGGTTTACTTGTTCCTTTTGAGTCTATAGGAGCTTATGCATACAACGTTCTTTTATCTATTAGACAAAATCACTATGCATAAGAAAGTGTTCTTCATCATCGTTCCTCCTTCTTTGATATGAACTTGAGTTACAGTAATTTATCAAAAAATCAGGAGACAAAGACGATCTTCAAAAAAAAAATAACAGGGCCTGGGAACTTGCTACAGGACATGGTGTATTCCGTTTCTTATGGTAGCCAAATAAAGAAACTATGTTGACATGAATTGTTTTTTTTCTGTAGAATGGCATCATTGTTTACAGGGGCGAGAACATATCTAATGAGGAATACATTTACGAAACAAAGCCAAACATCATTGTCATGTACCTCGGGTTCAACTCCTTTTTTTTTTCTTTTTAGATGAATTATGCATTTCCAGCCTCTTTAGGTAACACAATAAAGGCGGTTAGATGGTATTGACTATAACAAGACTTTTTAAATATTTAAAAACGCCCTATTTAGTATTGAATAGTGTCAAACAACACTGTTCCCTAGCATTTTCCCGGGATAAGCATGGCTCCTTTCCAAAAGGATTTGAATTCAAGTACAGCGCACCTATTTAAAGAACATCTGGACCTAAAAGGGAAGTTCAATGATAGCCATACGTAATTATTAATAGTAAAAAAAAAATGGCGCTTGGATTCATTTAAGAAAAACCTTAATGGAATGAAAGTTCCCGGTATAAACTGCTTTCAATAAAAAACTTGATCTAGCAGCAATAAAAAAAATTGAATAATTGATCCTGATATTTATGTTTAAAAGGAGAAAAAAGTACCATTTTGGTCTATTTTGCTTTAGGTCCCGTATTGTAAAACGTAGCCCAACCAGCCGTCCAGGTTTTATATTATTATTTTTTCAGCCATAGAAAAAAAGGATAAAAATAGGTACATGCAAAATCATTGAACAATAAAGTCAGCAGCAAAAAAAAATTGACATATATAAAAAGGGGATCTTTCACTGTTTTTTTCCTGGTTATTTATTACTTTTTATTACACAATTACATATAATGCGTTTCTCAATTGCTGCTTCCTTGACCTTGGCCATGACCTCTCTTGTTATGGGTGCTCCTGTTACTGTAAGTAGAGGAGAAAGGCTGTCATGCCAACATTTTACTAAATTTGTACAATTAGACTGTTCAACCCTCTGCTACTTCTACTGCTGATGCTGCCGCTTCCACTGAGAGCTATTCTGCTGCTGCTCCTGTTGATGCTCCTACTGGCTCTAATGTTCAAGGCGGTGTCTATGTTTCTTGTAACAAGCCTGGTGTCTTTGCCCTCACTTTCGATGACGGACCTTACCAATACTCTTGGGACTTGGCCAAGTCTCTTAACGAGCAAAACATCACTGCTACTTTCTTCATTAACGGTAACAACTGGGTGTAAGTATTGAATGAAATGTCATCATCGTCACTCTTACTCACTCTATAATTTCTCTAGCAACGTCGAAACTGACAGTGTAAGCACTTCTGATGGTGAAAAGACCTACATGGAAGTCATTGCTCATTACAAGGAAATGGGTCATGAAGTTGCTAGCCATACCTATGAACACAAGGAACTTGCTGGTCTTAGTGCTGAGGAAGTTGAATATCAAATGAACACTCAATCTGATATTATCAAGAAGGCCATTGGTGTCAGACCTGCCATCATGCGTCCTCCTGCTGGTTCCTTTGATGATAACGTCTTGGCTACTTTGCGCAAGTTGGGTTACTCTGTTGTTGACTGGGATATCGATACTCAAGACTGGGCCACTCACAACTTTGACAGTGAAAAGGCTGCCTATCAGGCCATGGACAAAGATACTTCAAGCTCCATTGGTCACATCACTCTTGAACATGAAGTCTATGACCAAACTGTGAACGAACTTGTTCCTTGGGCCGTTGAATATGTCAAGTCCAAGAACTACAAGTTCGTCACCATCTCTGAATGTTTGGATGTTCCTGCTTACTACCAATAATTTGTTTATTTGTACACTTGTAATTCTATTGCTGATTTTCCTCTAACCCAAAAAAAGGAAAATAGTGCTTGCTTTCACTCCCTCTTCTTTTTTCTTATTTTATTACATAGAGATACTATCTGTAATTATATAATCTAAACATCTCTTATTCTGTGCATATGTGCAGATATCAATAAACATAAAAACCTAGTACAAACAAGTCTTGTATATTTATAGACATGTTTTCTACGGCAATAAAAATTTTCAGATCGTAAAGCAGTTATTGTCTGCAAAAGTACAGGAAAATTAAAGTTTCTCCTTGTTTTATCTTGCAATTCTACAGCCAACAACAGGTTTGAGATCGAAATGACTTTTTTTTTGCACATAATTACAATTTCAGTGCTTCTTTTCCGAAACGTAGCTCATTGAGTATATAGTGAAAAAGAAGGAGGGAAAATTGAGCCCAATCTTTCATTTACTAACAAAGTCAATTGTATATAAAAAAAACAAAATTCAAAAATAAGAAATATGCTTTTTCAAATGAAAATGAATTCTTTGGATAAGCATATGAAAGGGCTCAAGTCCCTGATAACCTTGAGTGATGCATGTCATGTTTGATTTATTGGTTCGCTCAACTGAATTATGATAGGTTCTGTATTTCTGGTAGTGTGTGGATTAAGCATTAAATTCCCTCCCTCTCTTTTTGATACACTTTCTAAACCTAACTCTCTTTTAACTTTTACATCCAAGCCATTGGAACACCAAACAATAGTGGGGAAGAATCAAGCAGTGTGGTTAAGGAGATGGGGGGAGGGAGTTTTCAAACCAAAATATGTTTTCGCTCGATCTTTCTTCTTTTTCTTGAAATTCCTATACCAAAACGTGTATGAGTTCTAAAATGTAGCTATTTTGCTGTTATGATATCCTTATTTTTGCAGCCAACATTTACGAGCGATTAGTAATATGATTTTGCAAGGAAATAGTTGCATTCGACATTAGAACACACTTTAAATACTAGATGTATAAAAGTAGTTTTAAAGTTTTATCTTACGACAAAAGCGTTTTGTTTCTTAGCATTCATTGTTACATTTGAATAGCTCTTTACTCTTGATCCATTACTACTTTTTTGTTTTTACGAGAAAATAAATTCATCGGAATACAATTCCGACGCAGTAATGATATACAATTGTTGTCAATCAAAGCTTCTTTTTTTTTTGAATACAAGTAGGCATTGTTCTACTTGTAAATGGTTTCTGATCTAAGAAGAGAGTGTAGGTTATTTCGGTCGTTTATTTTTAAGCTTGTTCAAATAAACAGGTATTGGTTTTAGCTTGATCTATAATTAAGAATATTATACAGCAATCAATCTGATACGATAAATACCTTTCCTCGCCTATGTTTCATTACAAAAAACCATTTACATCTCTATCTATAAAGCAACTAAATTTTTTTTTTTTTAAAAAAAACAAAAAAGCCATTGAGCTTAAATGAATGCTTACGCTTATCTTTTGTGTATGTGTGTACTCATCATTTGGCCTTTGATATCAATAGCAATGCATTGCAAATAATGATGAAGCATTTTCTCCCAACTAAAAAAAAAAAGGGCCAAAACGGACATGTAAATATAATTACCAAAAAACCACTTTGATTTGCTTTGGACAGTCCTGTTCCTTTCACTAAAAGACAATCTAGTAATAGCCAGTCAAATCAGCTGAACAACTTCTTTGAAAAGCACGTTGCTAATGTCACTATCGATTGTATTACGCTTGATTACAACGTCTATACTCAAGCTATAAATGAAACTTATTTTTTGAACTATTGAATAACGTCAAATTTCAGAAACTATAAGTCCATTATCACCATTTCTCAGTGCTTGGATGTCTCGAAAATGATTGCACTGTTGATCTTTCCTCATCATCAAAAAAGGGAATACTTCTCGCTTTTTCTCCCCTTCTTTTTTGTTTTCGTAATAGTATATATCTTTGTCTATACACACAGACGCCTATATGAAATGTAATACAAGCATATTTCGTGCATGACATTAAATTTAGAAAAGGTAATAATTCATCTTCATGCAACATAAGCCTATTTAGAATAATAATGATCTCTGCTTTCTATTTTACAACATCAACAATCTCCGGTCACTGTCAAAATAAAATTTTTATAGATCATGGAATTCTATGCTCATTGCCAAAAATAAAAAAAACCTGCGAGTTACACTTTCGAAATGTTATAAATACGGTGCCTGATTCACTCTTGCAAATCACTTATCCACACTTTACATTCCTTTAAACCATTATGCGTGCCACTGCTTTGCTTCTTTCTTTAGCGTATGCTGCTACTCTTGTCATGGGCCGCCCCGTACACACAACTGAAGAAACCACTAAAACTGCTCACCACGGCAACAGCACCAAGGTTGAAACATACACTCACTGTAACAGACCTGGTGTGTTTGCTCTCACTTTTGATGATGGACCTGGTCAATACTCTTGGTCTTTGGCTAAGAGCTTGCACGAACAAGGCATTAAGGCTACCTTCTTCATTAACGGTGCCAATGCTGTGTATGTATACATGTCATCTTTTTTTTTATTTACTAATTCTATTGTAGTGATGTTCTCCATGCCAGTACTACCACTGATGAAGGTGAAAAGACTTACTTGGAAGTCATTAAGCACTACTACGACTTCGGTCATGAAGTTGCTAGCCACACCTGGCAACACAAAGATCTCGCCAATATGACTGTTGCACAAGTTAAGGAACAAATGAACACTCAATCTGATATTATTTTCCAAGCTATCGGCAAGAGGTAAAACTATCTATCATTTGATAATCATACTCACAATCTGCAGAGTTCAATTGATGCGTCCTCCTGAAGGTGTTACTGATGCTGTTTCCAGCAAAGTCTTGAAGGATCTCGGTTACCACAACATTCTCTGGGATATTGATACCAATGACTGGCGTAAGCAAGGCTTGGCTGCTGAGCAAGCTTTAGTCAAAGAAGTCATCGAAAAGGACGTTGCTAATGTCACCATGGGTCACATTGCTCTTGAGCACGATATTCACGAACACACCGTGACCGAACTTGTTCCTTGGCTGATTAGCTATGTCAAGGAAAAGGGTTATGAATTTGTCACTGTCTCTGACTGTATTGGCGTCCCTGCTTACCAAAACGATACCCTTTCTGCTGTCAATGGCACTGCTATCGGTGGTATTGCTGCCAATGTTACTGATGCCGCTGCTACTCCTGTTGCTGCTACTGTTGTTCCTGGAAGCAATGGCTCTCACATCGATATTACCCTTACCTTGTAATCATCTTAATAAATTATAGACTATAGTTTGTACTCTTCTAATCCAAATGTTACGATTACCAAACATGTCAATCGCGTTTTCTTTTTCTTTTTCGAGTCTCTTTTTTTTGGTCTCCCGGTATTCTAGCTTGTTGTCTTTATTGGCTTAGTATCCTTACTTTCATCTGGGACCGAGGTTGCAATTTAGTCGGAGTTGACCTCTGATCTCGTTCTCTGTTCCCTTGAAAAGGTTGAATATTACATAATAAAGCCCTTGAGGGGGGTTCTTTCTCTGGTTCTTTGTGAATTTGTTTTTGTTAGTTGATAAGTAGCATGTGCTTTATTGTTACAGCCATAAATCTTGAACTAAACTGATTTTGTTCAAAAAGGAGCTTTTCTATTCGATATCATGTCAAGCAAAAAAAGGAGGAGCTAGTTGCCTGATTTTTTTTAACATGTAAAAAAAAAAAACTCCTAAAATCAATCAAGAAAAACAAGAAAGTTTAAGGTTTTATTAGCATTACCAATTAGCCGACTTGAAAGCTTCATTTATTTTGTATATTGAAGAATTTTCATAATTTTAAATGGTAATTTGTGATTGTAAGAACGATTCACTAAAAATACTAGATGCTTATGTGAAAAGCAACATTAATAAAATGAAAAAAAAAAAAAAAAAAAAAACCTTCTATATTCCTTCCAAATAAGGGACGAATGAGATTTTTCTCACTGTTAATACACAAGAGAGTAATGGCTAGTTTAATTCCAGAGTCAAATGAAAGTTTTAACGGGCGTAATAAAAGCATTATGCAATTCTTGTTTATATGATCCTTTGATTGCATAATGAAAGGTAATCCTTTTTTTTTTACCAAAGAGGCTTTAGCCCACTTGTAAGCCGACCATTACATAATGAAAAAGAGCACGCTCTCGACAAATTTTTCTTTGTTCTATTACCTGACAAATAACATGTGTTTTATTGTTGCAACAATGCCTTTTAAGTAAAGCTGATAATGCTCTAAATAGATTCTGATTTACGCATTGTAGGACTTGCGTAGTACAAGTAAATCATTGTGCTCATCTTATAATCGAGATTGGGGGAGTCTAGACGTCAATAGTATTGTCAGTTTATTTCCTCTTAAATTGATAAGGACAGGACTTTAAGTTTACCTGACTCGGTTTTATTCAAGAGTAATAGTTGAATACAAGTATGTATATAAAAAATAATTTCATCTCTATCTTTAAACGGTTATTCTCGATAACAAGCTGCTTGGTTTAATAAATTGTTGTAGCAAGTCTTTGACTTATTTTTACGATTTGGCTAAGTAGTTTGCTCAAAAAGGGAACAAAAGCATCTTTTTATTATTACAGTTAAGCAGTGTTTTTTAAGCAAACTCAAACAGTAGTGCATTGAAAGAGGTTAAATAAGCGTGGAATGGCTTTGATAGATATCTGAAAATCGTCCAGTTCTACTATCAGATAAACTATAGTATTGTCAGCCATATGTTTACACGCCTTGATCTCTTTAGTTTTACACTAGATCTATAGAAGAAATAATTTTTTATAAGAAAAGAGAAAGAATTTACAAGAACTAATATAGAAACATAGTAAGCTTAGCAACCGGCACTACCTTGGCTTACTGAAAAAAAATACATATACAAACTCATTCTTCACAATACCTGTTAACAACAAGCTCAATTTTTACCAATATACGCATTTGACAAAGTCTTTTATTTTAATTGTTTTAAAATCAAAGTATAGATACTTGGCCTATATCTTTAGGTAATTGCTTTCCCCCCTCCCTACTTTTTGGCTTAAAGATTTGTTATGTTTAAACAGTGATCATAAGGTGCATGGTTGGCCATACATCTCATGACCAAGTGGCTATGACTATGAATTCAAAGTAGCCACATATCTTTAAATTGCAATTGCTATAAGCCGTCACTGTAGACTTCCTTGGGGCTTCTCTATATAATATCATGCAAGCTATTTTTAGATCGCATTCTAAAAAAAATGAAGCGATTGCCAGTTCTTTCCTTTCCAGGTAATTTTAAGCCAATGCAAAAACTCGGTAAACAGACGCTGAAGTTGATTACAGTTGCAACCAAAAAATACGTTGATCTCTGTTTACGTACGCACACATAGACTGATTGATGGATAGATACATGATGGTCATTTTACTCTAAAGCACTTTATTTCTTCTTTCTTTTTCTCTTACTTTTGAACCGTATAAATTTCCAGAATTTCTTTATAATGGGTAAAGCATGGTCTACTTGCATTGTTATTGTGTTACCAATCAGCCAAAAGGGCTTTGCCTTGAATAAATAGAACAGACTAGTAAATATATAAAGAGGAAAGCTAGAGCTGAATCTCCATTATCCTTCCTTACTTATTTAAATATGCGCTTCTATTCTCTTCTTACTTTGGTCTTTGCTACAATTGTCTCTGCTGCTCCTGTCACAACCACAACAAACAGTCTTGTTGATACCTATACCCATTGCAACCGACCTGGTGTGTTTGCTTTGACTTTTGATGATGGACCTTTCCAATACTCTTGGGATTTGGCTAAATATCTTCATTCTGTTGGTGTCAAAGCTACCTTCTTTATTAATGGCGATAACTGGGTCAAAGACTTTAGAACAGCTACCACAAATACTTCCGATGGCACAAGATCATACATGGACGTCATTAAATACTATCATGAATTGGGTCATGAAATTGCCAGCCATACTTATGGACATGTCCCTCTTCGTGGACTTACTGCTGCACAAGTAGAATATCAAATGAACCAACTTTCTGACTTAGTCTATGAAGCCATTGCTTTAAGGTAGATAAGTTGTTTGTGTTTATCATGATTTAACTTTTTCTTTTTAGACCTTCATTTATGCGTCCTCCCGAAGGTGTGTTGGATGAAGCTGCTTCTCAAGTTGTCAAGAGACTTGGTTACAGTTCTATTATGTGGGATGTTGATACAAAAGACTATGAACTCAAAGGCATGACTAGTGAACAAGAACTTGTAAGAAGTGTTGTTGAAGCTGATATTGCTGTGCAAACAAATGGTCATATTTCTCTTCAACATGATGTGCATGAACACTCTGCCAAAGTACTCACACCTTGGATGATTGAATATGTTCATTCCAAGAATTATACATTTGTTACTGTATCTGAATGTTTAGGCATTAGTGCTTATCATTCTTAGAATAGAATCTGATAATTACATTTAAATAAAAAATTTAATTGATCTGATAATAGTTTGCAGTCAAGATATCCTTTGTCTTGACACGTGCAAATCTTTGAAAGAAATAGAAAACATATTTTTTTTGTGACAGCCGAAGATGTAAATGACAGATAAGCATCTATTATTTCCTTTTTCTATTTGTTATAAACAAACTCATTGTGATTTGTTTTCGTCTGTACAACTTATAAAACAAGATAGAAAAATCATTCATAATTGGTTTAATAATATGAAGCATAGAAATCATAATATTTCCTTTTTTTTTAAGAAAAAATAATAGTATACAGAAGAAAAAGAGTGCGTGGGCATAAATAGAAAGGGAAAGAATGGTATTCAAAATAATGTGGTATATATCATATTTGTACTATATAGAAATTATCCTAGTTTGTGTGCTATTAGAGCGTCTAGTCTTAAGGGTGAACTGGACAGTGCTCTGGCAAAATAAGTTGAATTGTTTTCATCCAATTCAAAAGGTACTTACTCGTCATGTGATTATAAGAACCACATACTTTGCAAGCAACACCATTACTGTGCGAATTGGTAATAGTTTGAATAGTTTCTTGATACATTTTAAAGTGAAGAAAGCTAAAGAAATAAGAAACGAAAAAAGAAGTATAAATACCCTAGTTGGAAAACCGAACAAGGTAAATCCGGCTTATCGTCTTACATCAATTCCATTGCTGTCATCTTTGGTTGTACCTTATCTGACTGACGTTCCGATTTCCTTATTCAAGTATCCGATCCGCTGAATCAGAAACAGATTAGCATTTGACAAGTATTTTTTGATATGCTTCAAACTTTAAATTTGTATATACGAGTAGTTTATTACACACCAACCGGTTGGGTTAGTGACATGGTATAATCAAGTAATTAACATGTGATTTGGATTGATAATGTCGCTATCCGTGTTTGTTGTTAATTAGTACAAACAAATAATCAGCGCATGCTTTGAGAGGCAGAGACAGAACGAATTAGGCTAATACTGCTCAATTTGTCTGTTGAGTCAAATTCCCTCATGTCTGCTTCTAACTGTTTTTTGAACTTGGACATGGTCAGCATAATATCGTCTTCTCCTTCCAAATATTCAATCAAACCGAGTTGAGACCTTGTGTGCATACGCATCAATTCTTCTTGTTGGTCAGGGTCTAGTTTATTCTTGAGTATATTGCTGCCACTATTACTTCTCATAGGCTGATAGAGTTCTTTGATTCTGACTTGCAGACAACCAACGAGTTCTGTCAAACTTGCGTTCTCGGCTTGTACTTGCTCCATGATTTTTAACTTAGATTTTAGTTGTCGATTATCAGCTACCAGCACTCGTTTGCTTGTATTGTCACACAAGTGTTCTACTTCTTCGTCATTTCCACTGTGTAAAAGTTCAAGTTGCTGAATTTGATGTTCTAAGCGTTCATTTTCATCCATAACGGATCTAGCAGCTTCTCTAGAGACAGTTTCAAGGGTCACTAAATCGTCTTTTAACTGCTTGTTCTCTTCTTCCACAGTTTTAATCTTGTCTTGTAATTCCTTTATCAAGTCTGTATCTTGTTTGTCTGCATCCTTACGTACATTGTTGTTTATCTCAATTTGAGCCAATAGTCGATTCTTTTCTTCCACAAATTCCCTTATTTGTGTAGTGCAGGACTCTAACTTTAATTTTGTCTCCGTGTGTTCTTGTTCAATACGCGCTATGTGTTGCTCTTTCTCCTTGATCTGATTGGCATGCTCTATTTCCAATGCCTGTATCTTTTCGGACATTGTGCGCTGTTCTTCTTCAAGCTGACTGGCTCTTTGAGATAGGTCGAGAACATACTTCAGCTTGTTATGCAAGTCACTATTGTTATCGTCATTTGTGGTGGTACTACCAAGAAGTAAGGAGACTTCTTTTAATTGAGCATCTTTTTTTATCAACTCCTGATTTTCCTGAGCTAATTTGGCGTGATCGGCATGTAGAGAATCGTATTTCTGACCAAGTTGTGTCAATAGAGATGCTTGGTGTTCGATTTCGCTTTTGGATGTCTCTTGTTCTTGCTTTAAGGCTTTATTTTCATCGCCTATGGTCATAATCGTCTCTTTTGAGGACTGAACAATCGATTTGACTTTTGTTTCTAGAGACATACTACTGTCAAGTGCTTTTGTAAGGAGTTTGTTGGCATGTTCAAGTTGTTTTTTAATTTGCACTGCATTATTAGGGTTTGCTGCATTCAATTGTTGTTGTACATGGAGTAGTTCCGAATACAAAGAATCTATATCTGAGTCAGTATATACCTTATTGTTTTATTTTTACCTTCTGTTTCCTTTTTCGTGTTGGTTGTGGCGGAGTCAGGAGTGACACGACCATTTTGATAAAGCAAGGAATGAAATGCATTTTCATCTTCTTGTGTATCCTCCTCTAAAATTTCGTACTTGTTGGAATCATTGGAATATCCTGCAAGAAAAGGATTGTTCATTTGTTCTGGTGATAAATTCAAGTCTTCATTCGATGCAGTTGTGAAAGAAGAAGAAAATTCAGAGGAAGACGAGTTTCTTAGCACATTGACTACATCATTTACATCTCCTAATGATTCTGAAGGTGTCAAAGGTGTCTTGGTGAACGTGGATGGACTGTACATGCTATGACGTTGGGTGACTTTGTTTTCTCTAGTATTATTGTTTATGGGTGCTGTAACAAACGAAGAAGCAGATAATGTAGGTGTTGGTATGACTGAAGAATGACGCTTTTTGTCTTTATGAGTCCAGTTGCTGATAGACAATGAAGAAGATTTGCTTGAATTACGCTTTTGATCATATAATTTTTTCTTGTCATGCTCTTCTTTGTGAAATAGTTTTTTTAAACCCATATTGAAAATAAAATATAAAGAAAGAGAGAGATAAAGATAAAATAAAGTAAGGTTTTGTCGGGGAGAATATAAAGAAATGCAGATACATAATAACAACAATGGTTACGAGTATATAAATAAAAACGTGATGTCATACTGTTTAAGAAATACCATCAAGTTTTTTTTCTTTTATGCGCTCTTGCCATCCCTTTTTTTACCTAAATAGAACAATTACTTTGTTTAATATGTCTGCTCCTATCTACCGCCCGTATATGCTCCTAGTGAAATCTTTATGCTTTTATCTAAATACAAATACTATATTAAGCTTGATTTTGAAACTCATCGTGCCAAATCAATGCTTGTAAGATAGGCCCACTTGATGCTGCTTCATTTGAGGCATTCTTTTTTTTTTCTTGCTTTGATCCCAACAATTCATAGGAACGATCTAAAAAAATTTAATGTATACGATATATGCTTCAGTAAATATTTACTAAAGCCCTTTTTTTAGATATCTTGAAAGAAATGACACCACGAATAAGAGTCAGGAATTTTATGTAATGCTGACATAAAGAAACGTCAATGATGCATCAAACATGAGAAACATCCTAGCTAACAAGACATGACATCAAATTGAGAATCACTGAATCATCTAGAGGTCAAGATAGCTAATAAAAAAAAAAAAAAAAAAAAAAAAAAAAAAACTCTGAAACGTTATATCATGCAGATAAATTTCGTCTCTCTTTTTAATAATTAAATTGAACAAATGCGCTTATTGACAAGTCTTTTTTTTTCTCTAATAACGCTTCTTGCTCTTTTTGAAAAAAAATTGCATAAAATGGTTTAGATTATCTTCTCCTATTTTTTTTTCTATCATTCGATACAACAAGACAAAAGACTATTCTTTAATTAATGGTAGTACGGTGTTTACCACGTTTTTATTTCTATTTGAACACAAAATCCCAAGTTTATCCATTGATTGTCTGTGCTTGTCAATCCTTCTTTTGCTTAAAGATATGATTAAACTCGACTCAATTCTAATCCATAGAAGTAGAAAATAAATAAATAAATAAATAAATAACGCGGTAATTCAAATAATTAGCCAAATGAGAAAGAGAAAACTTAAGAGAGGGGGAAAAATCAAAGATTAGTGAAAATAGAAGACGCACAAGGAGTAACAAATGATGTGTAACAACTTATTTCTAGCTCTTTTTTTAAAATAAGAACGTGGATAATACATGTAGCATAAAGAAAACAAATGCATACAAGCACACACATACATAAATAATAATTTTTATTATCTTGTCAAAAAAAAAATGTATATACATCTTGACAGCATAAACACTAAAAAGAGTTTTACTCCTTTTCATCGTCTTCGGTTATTCAAATTACTGTTATAAATACATTTTTTTCTTTATCCTTTCCTCTTCCTCTCTTCATTTTATTTATTTAACTTTGTTCATTACAAAGAATAACTCTCTTTACTTTCCTTATTATTAAAATACCTTCCTTTCCTTAATACAAGCCCCCATACCAATCGTTTAAATGAGTGAAATTGTTTTATCTAATTCAACAGCACATCCTTATGATTATTCTAATGAATCATTGATGGTCAATATCAATCCCGGACTTGTTCATAAATCATCAAGACCATCAACAAGTGCATCTCCTCCAATCACGTCTTATGAAGACAATTCACAATTTACAGCATATCCAGGTATTACTCGAAACAAAATTAGTTTAAGGAGTGTAATCTAATTCTCCTCTCTCCTTTGTGATAGCCTATGCCTTTGAATCAATGCCAATGGGATTTACCCCTGTTCCAAATTACCATCATTCAACCATGTCTCGCTTAGGTTATTATGATGAAAATTCAGTACAACCTAATAGCCCAGAATCCGTTTCTTCTTCTATCTCGACATCATCACCACCCTCTACTACTTTGGTTGTTCCTAATCATTCTGTAGTTGTCTCTTCAACGATATTAGCCCCACAAGCCATTGAGACCGAGCTAATTACGCCTCTTGTGTCTCCCATCAACAATAACAATCAAAAGTCACCCAAGATTGATAATGTCAATACTGCTCGAGTCAAAGAGATGATAACACGCGCCAACTCTGTTCCAATGGAATTTTATCACACAGAATTTTTGGAATACTCAAAGGAAACATATGAAAAAAAGATGGAATCTAAGCGTAACAAGCGCAAGAGACCTCAATCAAAACAATCAAAGGATGAAGATGATCAAGAAAATAAGCGCAAAAAGACTTTTGAATATAATATCAAGGAAGATTCTGAAGAAGACATGGATGAATTTGATATAGAAGATAACAAACAAAAGTAAGCTCTCAAATTTAGCTTTGAAAAAAAATTTTTTTCTTATTCACTGTATAGTGATCATAGTAACATGTCTAGCGCCGAGATCCGTCGTCAAATTCATATTCAGTCAGAGCAGAAAAGACGTGCACAAATCAAAGATGGATTCGACGAATTGAGAAAGCATTTGCCAGGATGTAATAACAAAAAGATGAGCAAAGCAGCCTTATTGACAAGAAGTAAGATGAATATATATGTTTATTGCATTTACTAATTATCTTTATAGCTGTTCAACAACTTCAACATTTGAAGGGTATGCAGAACGAACTTTTGTCTGAAGTTGAGAGACTTTTGCAAGAAAATGAGACATTAAAAAAGTAAGTCGTTTATATATATACTTCTCAATAGACTCAATCAAAATGTGTAGGTTCCAACATGGCGTATTACAACGTCAGGCCATGGAAAAAATGTATACCTTTTGAGCACATAGTATTCCCATCTATTTTCTTTATTACGTCCTAATTTCCTCTTTTCTTTCGTCTTTCTTATTACGCTCCTTATGTCTTTTTCTTTTCTCTCTGCCTGTACCTAGTTTTTCTCTCTCTCTTATTTCTTTTTGTTTGTAGTACACTTTTTAATCTTTAAAGCTTTAATAAACCTTTTCTTTTTCTCACCATGGATTCTGCATGGAAATGATAGGGAATTGCTCTATCTAGTTTATTAACTCGTAACATAACGCTACAATTTTATTCCTTGGCTGTATTTAATCAACCAAAGTCTTCTGTGTTCAGTTAACAACAAAGAGATCAGTTGATAAATGTATTCGTCATATAAACTTCTTATTGCTCCTAAAAAGGTCAATACGTTTACACAAAAGTGGTTGCTGGAATGAATAAGCCTTGGTTTTGCGTGGCTTGATATAATTCAGGTAAGCTATATGGCCTCAGGATCATAGACATAGAAGCCTGCTGTTGAAAGTACATTGGTTTAAGCTGATTTTGCATTTTAAAAGATTCATTTTCGGCCATGTTTAATCCAAGGCAAGCTACTCTATCCCTGGTCTTCAATCAATTGATTTTCTTCGTCTATTGTCTAACCGTGGCTCAAGAAAGGATGACGAGAGAATACAAGCAAACAAAGGGTCACTTTTGAGTCTATGGAAGATAGCGTTTTATATCATCTACTGCAGTTTAGATATTCTGCATCATCACAACATTCAGGGCAAGTCACAGTCCCTTTTTTTCTCTCTCTTTTTCTTTGTCTCTTTTTTTTTTTTTTTTTTTTTTTTTTTTTTTTTTTTTTGCATACATGAAAGAGAGTTCTTCACCTGCTCGTCCTAGTCTCGAGCATGCAAGCAGTAGTACAACACCCACTCGGTCTACCATTCGAAGCAAGTCAAAAGAAGAAATAGAGAAACTAGCAAAACAATCACTAGACTCATCTCATCTCAAAAGAAAATATACCCCATCTCCTCTCTTTTCACCACCTCGGTTCTCTCGCACAGATACATTTGAAAGTGACTACGATAGAGACAATCCCAACCGTTGGACAAAGCGTCAATGGAAAAAACTAGAAGAGTATTATCTATTAAAGAATCGTGACTATGAGAAAGCAGCCAATACATTTTACTTTCGAGAATCTCTTATTACAATGAACTTACCGTCTTCACAAGACATAGCTGGCAAACCAAAATGTAAAGAGTTATGGACAAAAGAACAAATACTATGGCGTGCCAAGTGCCTACATACAAGTGTACAATACCATAATGGGCTTTTACCGTCTGAAAGAAAGAAACAAAAGACAAGATAATCATGTAAATAAAGACTTTTTATTATAATTATTATTATGCAAATCTATGTTTTATGATGACATGGGTGATGGTGGTGCAGATGAAACAGGTGTATCGTATGGTTTTTGTTTCGTTGAACTCTCATAGTATTTTTGAATGGCAGGGCCTAGTCTACGTAAAGTGGCCGCCAAATCCTTGGGTATCAATGGCTTTGTTAGATAGCCGTCCATACCTGCATCTACACAGATTTGTTTAGCTGAAGCTTGGATATCTGCTGTCAGGGCAACAATAGGCAATCTAGTTCCAGTGCCTGATTCTTGTGCACGAATACGTTTCGTAGCTTCAACACCATCGCACTTTAAAAAAAGAAAAAGAAATGAGTATATATGCATGCATCTAACACACTATTTTACCTTGGGCATATGATGGTCAAAAAAGCCCAAACAAAAGTAACTAGGTGGTTTTTGACTCCATAGGTTTACAGCTTCCTCACCATTATTTGCACTCTCTACCAAGAAGCCTAGTTTTTCCAATTGTTTTCTTAGAAGTTTTTGTGCCACCATATTGTCTTCTGCAATTAATACAGGCTTCTTTGCATACCAGCTCAATTCATCTTGTTTGAAATAGTCTGACATTAGGTTGCCCATAGGTGGCTGCAAATGTGGAGTTGGTGCGTTTTGTTGAGGATCCAAGACTTGGTCCAATAGACCCAAAAGCTTAAGTCGACGTACTGGTTTAGCCATCTTCACAATTCGACCACGACGCTCTGATGCTGAGTTTGTTGCTTCAGCGGCCAATTTATGACCTTCTGTTGATGGTGTATACAACAAAACAATATGTAATTCACATTCAGGATCGTCAGCTACGCTCTGTAATTGATGTGCGATAGAACCACTGGGCTTAGGAGGAAGATCTAATATCAGGACAGGATGATGTTCTTGCAATGCCTGAGAGACAGCATGATGCATGTCTTCAATGCGCTTCATATGGAAATCACTCAATAAAGAGCGAACCATGTTTGCATTCAAATCACTATGGGAAGCCAACAGAATACTTTGATTACGCAGCGAAGACCGGAGTGCAGCTGCATTAGCGGTCTTTTCATTACATGTCTTTTTTTCCTTATTTGCAACAATAGTAAACCAAAAATTGGACCCTTTTTCGTACTGCGATTCAACACCTACTTGACCCATCATAAGTCGTACCAACTGCAAACAAATAGAAAGACCAAGTCCTGTACCACCATACATGCGCGTTGTGCTTCCATCCACCTGGGAGAACGGTTCAAACAGTTGAGACTGTTGCTCGGGACGAATACCGATACCTGTGTCAATCACTTCAAACTTGAGATGGACAAAATCGTCATTTTCATCATACTCCATGTCAAGATGACACTTAATAACAACGCCCCCAAAATGCGTGAATTTGATAGCGTTGCCTAATAAATTAGTCAAGATTTGGCGCAAGCGAGAGGAATCAGCCACAACAGTATCAGGTACATCAGCATCGACAATATAAGCTAGTTCAAGACCTTTACGTGCTGCTAATGAGCTCAGAATCTCAATTGTATCGGCAATCACTTCTTCTACGACGACGACACCCAAGTCCAATGTCACTTTACCAGCTTCTAGCTTGGAGAAGTTCAACAAATCATCTAAACTTTATGAGCAAACAAATCAAACTTGTTTCCAAGACACTTACCAATAATTTTTAATAGCATTTCACAACTCTCTTTGGCAGTATGTACAATATCTTTTTGTTCGGCATCCAATGTTGTCTCAGATAACAACGAAATCATGCCATAAAACCCAGAGAAGGGAGTACGTAATTCGTGCGACATGTTAGCCAAGAAATCTGCCTTCAGTTTCATAGCGTGTAATGCTGCCTCTTTGCTTTTTCGTGCTTCTTCAAGTGCCGCCTTTTGGTTCTCAATCATTTTGACATTGGCATAAGTGACCTTTTGTATGCTCTTAAACAAAAGTGCATTTGTGACAGAGATACCGATTTGCTGTGATAGTAGTCGCAACACAGTTTCATGTCGTGATGTCAGTGAACCTAAAGCACCTTCAATGTAGATGCAACCAACAATAGCTGATTTATGAATGATGGGTGTACATATACATGACTTGGCTTGTGTTGTACAATCTGAAAATCGGGAGTCTTGTTGTACATCGACGATAAATATAGATTCCTGAGCATGAATTGCATAATGCGCAATACGTGTAATGATAGAATCAGCCTCTTCTGATAAGGGTTTTGGTGTATTGAAAATCTCGCATCCGTCCGTTTGTGAACCACAACCGACAATCAAAAAAGACGTGTTTTCCTTGACGATAATGACGCCTGATTCTGCTCCTGAGTTTTCCAAAATGATGCCTAACATTTGCTTCATAAGTAATTCAAAGTTCATCTCGCTGGAAATAACTTGAGAACTCTTGAGAATAGAAGCTAAATCAACCACATCCAATGTCAAGAGTGTTTCTTCAGGGCTGTCTTGTTGCACAGTATCTGCGGGAGGAGCATAAGGATCAGCCACATTCAAATAGTCAATCGGTTCACGTTTAGGTGCTGGCTGTGGAGTATCTGTCTGTGTACTAGTGTCTTTTGTCTGTCCTTGCCATGTTGTTTCTTGTAAAATCGCACCATGTTTCTTCTCCAAATGTCTGACTTTACCAAAGATACCAAGGTGTCGGCAAGTGATGATTGATTTCTCAATCAGAACTGAAGCAATTGTAGGCATATCTTGTCGAAGATAGTATTCAGCAGCTAACTCATGCATCACAGCTATTTCAATGGGCCATTTTCCTTTTCTTGCTTGTCGAATGGCTAAATCAAACAACTTTTGAGCCATGGGTTGATCATTATTTAAGCATGCCAATTCAGCTTCAATGCAGGTGATGAACATCTGAAGATTATCTGGGTGAGCGTACTGAGCCCATTCTTCTAGTTTTCCTCGAGCAATGTCTACTTGCTTTAGATAATCGCGTTCGAGTTGTTTGTTTCTAATGAGTCGAATGATACTGATACAGCGATAAAATAGCATCAAGTGTGTATGACGTTGTCCAGGAAGTGAATCTGACATAGCCATATGTTGTGAGCTGAGCTTGACTGAGGCTGCATCAAAATGAAAAAAGGATAAGACACACGATTTCATAGCATAGTAATAATACAGATGCATATCAGCATCAGCTGTATGTAGTTTTTGGGTTTCTTTGATAAATGTTGCCTCTTCAAACTCGTTGTCATCAAAAATAGCGCTTTCTGTTAGTTTTGTTTTACCTTGAACAGCCAAGATGATGCGAATCATGGTGCTTGCCATAATAGAAGTTCCCACTGTTTCGCCTAAACTATCTGTTTCTTCCAAGCAATTTTTGGCTTCTTTGAGAGAATCAGCCATGTTTTCACCCGTCAGCAAATTACCAGCGACCATATAAAGATGAGCAAAAGTAGCATAGATACGGTCACCTCCCAATAAACTTTGCTTCATAGCTAATCGGGCAACAGGAATCGATTGATAAAAAGGGTGCTTCCACGAACTTAAGAACGTAGCATAGAGATATCTTGCACGACCTGATTCAGAGTTACCACCATAATGATTGCATAATGCCACACCGATTTCACCTATCTGCTCACCAAACGCATATGCTTTGAATAACTGCATAGACACAATGCCAAAGAAAACAAAACCTACGCCTGTTGAAGGCGTTGTGCCATTCTCCAAAGTTTTAAGCACAAACTGTGAGCCTATGGCCAACATTGCCCGCATGTCGTTTGTCCAATAAGCCCATAGGCACAGTTCTTCCATGATTGTGAATCGTGTACGAATCAATCGGTTTTCACAAATAGGAAGCCTCAAGATATTATTCATGCCAACTTTCAATACCTCTTTACGCGTATAGATATAGATTTCTTCCAACTCTTTTTCTGAAAGGTCCATCTTGATATCGTCCATACCTAATTCTCTCAAGCATTCAAGCAAAATAGAAGGGCTGTCTTTGCTTTTTGTACGAGACCAGCGATAACGATGTTGCACTCTGTAAGCAGTAGCACGATCGATGGCTGACTGAGCATGCTTGAAAATAGCTTGCAAATATGTTCTAGTCTTGTGATGACCTGTCACCCAACCAATTTCTGCTAGTCGAGTATACAAGTGAATGGTCTCGATATATCGAGCGTCTGGTCCGTCTTTCCAAGGATTAGCAGATAACAAGTGTTGAGCAGCAGTATAATAATCAAAAGCAAGTGTATGAGCACCCGAATCAAATGCTTTATCACCAGCTTGCAACAACACTTTTCGATAAGGTGACTTGATAGTTTCGTTCTGAATAAGATGAATAGCAGCCATAACATGATCAGCTACCCAAAATCGATCTATATGGTTCTTGACGATAAAATGCGAAGCAATTCGAAAATGATATTCGTCCTTCTTCTCTGGGGAGACAAGCAACATGGCTGCTTGAGAATAACGATCATGAGTAAACCGAAAATTGTCGTTATTGCCAGCCTGAATAAAGCCTTGTTGAAGAGCACTTTGAAGGCCATTGATGCAGTCTTGATTCTTCTTGCCTGTTTTCTCAGTTAATTTGAGGCTAACAGGAGATACAACTGATTCTTCATTTGAACTATCTTGGTCAGCTTCTTCATCGTCGTTGTCGTCTTCGTCGTCATCCATATCTTCATTCTCCCGCATCAAATTTCGAACAGTTTCAAAATTAAAGCTGTTACCAAAAAAGGATGCCCACTTCAAGAATCGCCTACCGTCCTGCGGTAATTGCTCTTTTAATCTGCTTACAAGAAATCGAATGTCCATATCGCCATTTTTGTTAGCATTACTGATCTCAAGTAGCAAAGCTTTATCAATCTCTTGAATATTATATTCCCAACGTCTTTTTTCCCAAGTAAAATAAATCAAATTCTTCTTTTCCAGCGTCATTAATAGCTGGCAGATGTAAAAAGGATTGCCATTCGTACGCTTATAGATAAATTCGACAAGCGGCGCTAATAACACAAGATCAATTTCTTCTAGTCGATGCATAGTTGTGCGTACAAGGTCCATGACGGCTATTTGCTGCAAATTTTCAATTTTGACATAGCTGACAATGGAGTCTTCGTTTGACAACAGTTTGGTAATTAAACTAGAGACATCGTTGTTGCGATACGATAGTATAACCAAGAAATTGAGTTTTGCCGATACAAGTGAGTCTAATAATTCAATGGATGCTTCATCTATGGAGTTGTTAGTACGTACGCATTACAGTCAAGTTCAAGTCCAGATTATAAAGCTGACGTTTACCTGCTTGATGTAGATCTTCCAGAAACTAACATAATGACGTAAGTAAAACAAGGCTTATAGAAAACAGAAATGCGTATATTACCAATGTAACAAATTTAAAATTGACCATCACTTGAAAGATTTCAATAAAAGCTGAATGGAATCTTAATTTGATTTCACTACTTTCCATGTCACATTCACAACCTGCAGAACTGATGCTGGTGTTGCTTGACATTCTTTGTAAAGATGGCTGGTCTAGAAACGAAGCCAATTCAGGAACATTATCAACCAGAAGAGTAGGAAGTTGAGAAATGGTCTCTGCCCCTAATTGATCTTTAAGCATGCGTCTGAAACGCTCAATCTCAGATACGGGCTCTACTAAAATATTCTTAAGGAAAATAGATAAGCATCTCAGAATACATCCATATGGTGTAGGCTGTCTTCTGTCAAATTTAGCAATAGCAATATATCCATAATCTCTTGCAAACTGTTGAACGTTACGTATTAATGTCGATTTACCAACACCTGTGTTGCCGTAGATCGCAATAATTTCTGTAGATCGCTTTCGATTATGATGGATTTTGTTACTGCTGTTTCTATCAACACGCTCGCTCGTACTAAGTTTAAGAGGTGACATCACTGCTGCAGCAACTGCAGTAACACCGCTTGAGCTTAGGCGGCGTCTTCTGATATGTGATCCACACATGTAAGCTGTACGACGAATAATTGTATTGATCAAGTTTAGTTCTTGTGTTCTTCCAAAGCATGCATTATTAGGTAGAGTAAAAATGCTGGCAATGTCGTATTTTCCTAAAGGAAATTGATGAATTGTGCCATGCTGATTGAGTTGTCTTAAGCATTCTTTCAGGTCTTCCCTTACACCATGAGCACTGGTATATCTTTCGTCTGGAGACTATATGAAGTCATTATTATTTGTTTTGTTTATTTTGGTCTTTCACCATACCTTGTTTGTCAATTTTTCAATAATCATAGAAATTGGAACTGGGATATCTATACATACAGTGTGTACTAGAGCAAGTTTTTTGTTGAGTACGTTGTGTATAATCTCCATAGGGCTGTTGTGTGCAAATGGCAGGCTGTTGGTCAACAAAATCCATAAAGTAATGCCAAGACTGTAGAGGTCTGTACGATGATCAGGTTGGAAAGTAGTCCGCCCGGTTTGTTCAGGCGACATGTAAATTAGCATCTGTAAGAAGTTGTTGGCACCGTTACGATGTACTGTCTTTCTCCAGCCTTCTGAAGTTAGGCTCTGTTCAAGACTACTGGAGCTAGAACCAAAGTTCCAAATCTTGACTGAGCTATTCTTGTTACCAGGCCAAAGAAAAGCATTCAATTTGATTTCTCCATGTACAACTATAGACTGTCAGTCATTCATTTGTTTCATTCTGAATATTACTTTGATGCTTATGGATCATTTCCAGGCAGTTGCAACATTGGATTGCAAAGTCAAGAAATGTTTCTAGTGGTACATAGGGGTTAATGTTTTCTAATGTTGTGCTATCATTACTGTGTAATTCAGGTGTATTGTTGTACGGTTGACAATTCTCTAATCTATTCTGAACATCTTCATATATGAATGCAATCGAATCACTGCTGGATAGTTTAATTTTCTCTAGTGGTTTACATAGTAGTTTTCTAGCTGAAGAAGACTGCCTATATAATCGTTGTACAATATGATATTCTCTTTCTAATCGTAATGGCTGGTGTGACAATTTGGCTATGACTGGAAGCTTATCTTGTTTTCTATACAAAATAAATTAAAAAAACAGTGAAGCCATTGTTATATACCTATAACCATGAGCTACTGCGACATTATCAACGCCTTCTAATAATTTAGGTGAGTCAAAATGGTAGCCGTTTACTGTTATTGCTATTCCTGAATCAGAAGAGTTAAAGTTCATGATATAAAAGGCTATGAGTAGACATAGGAAAAAAGAAAAAGAAGCAAAAAAGAAAAGAAAAAGTTTATTTTCTAAAGGGAAAACTTGGTATAATGTGCGTTTTTTAGGCTTTTTTATACTCCTTTTAGTCAAATTTAGATGCACAGCTGTCTGATTGGATGAAATTCGTTGTTTGTCCGCTTTCTAATTAGTAATATGATGCTATGTCTTCATCTAAATAGAAAAAGAACATAGCTACACGTATGCAGGTTCAACCATGAAAGTTGTTTTTTAATTACTTGTACCTTTTTTCTCTTTTATTGCCAATGACTTTACCACTCTATTCTTTTATATTGTTTCGCTCTTTGAATTAGATTGACATATTAAATTGAAATCAAACAAACCAGGAGTGTTCATTTATTTGACATGTCTAAAAATTTTTTTTTGTTGCAATCTATTTCATCATCGTATCATCGTTTGCTGATTTCAGTTACCGCTTGTCATTTCTCAGAAACAGACAGAAGGAAAGCGAAACATTTAAGATTTCTATATTCTGACTTTGAACAATTTGTTTTTCTTTGAGCAACTGTTGTTCGACATTCTCAAACAGGAAAACATCTTGCATGTCGTCCATAAACAAATGATACCATAACTACTGTCTTGTACAACACATAGACATGTAAGTGTCTTGTAAAGAAAATAAAAAAAGAAGGAAGGGAAACAAGGATATGATAAGGTTTTTTTCTAGATTATTCCTTCCTGTGGCGATCAGGACATCATCGGAATAGTTTCGATCATACCAGGATATAAGCTAATGTTGTGCAAGCAATGCTAATAATATAACTCATATAACGACACAATGTATTAGGATAGAGTATTGTGGCTTTAGTCATGGATGATATTACTAACAAAAAGATGAATGTTTGTTTGTCCTGACAATTGCTTTTTATCAGATTTCCTTCCAATTATCATTTTCTCAATTACCAATTGCTCCAGTAAAGCTACTATCGTGTCCATATTTATTGACACTAAAATGTTTGTTTTCTCTTTTGTGTGCTTGTTTTATAAATAACTATTCTTTCTCACTTAGAAAGACTGACATCATAAATTATGATTCGTAAAAGAACTCTTTATATCCACACGTATTAATATTCATAGCATTTATGAGCTAAGAAAGAATTCTTTTAAACATTTTTGGTGTTTCCAGCAGGTTTGCAGTAAATTGAAGAACTTTTCATGTTGATTCTTTCGACAACAGAGGTTGTAAATGACACACCCGTTTCTTGTACTGGCAGTTGCTATGGAAAAGGTAATAACAAAACGAATGTTGTCAAAAAAACATAAATGGATATTGAAATCTAACATGCGGATGTTAGAATTTTGATAGACGCATGATAACAAAATCCAATACAATGGTTAATTTTTTGTTTGAAAATGATGTGCAAAAAGAAAGACTATTTAAGAAGCACATATTTTTGGGAAGAAGGGCCATTCTTGTCATATATCTGAGTTGTCTTTATGCCTTGTTCTCTACATATGTTACATCCTTGCTTAAGATAGTTTTTGTCTTGTGTTTGAATAAGTCTATGTACATCTTGATGATAAGCCTGTTGCTCCTTGTTGTTATATGGTTGCTTCTTCTACTGGAACATGTTGATCACGATTGTAAGCAACTTCAAACAGCATCATCTCTTCTGCAATAGGCTCTTCACTATCACTTTCAATAGTTCTTTCAGAAACAACTTCATCTTGTTCTTGGGTAATTTCTTCGTCACTTGTTTGTTCGGAGTCTCTGTCTGACCCTTTGCGCTTACCATCAACATCCTGGAAGTCATCATAATCAATACACAAGAATTCACTTCGTTGGTATCATTGTTCTTGGTTTGTTGACTGGATATTAGCTTGGCTATTTCAACAGTTTCGATGCTGTTCAAGGGTTTCGTCTTCTTCGTCTTCTTTATTGTGTACGCCACTACTGCTAAACTTTGGAGCATTGCTCCAAATATGGTGCATAGGACGTCAAGTACATTTCAATTCCGATGCACACTTGGTGTCAAATTTAAAAATCCTTGTCTCAAATGCGCCAAGTTTGATGCATCATGCACCTTTTTTCTAGCGGTAGTGTGTGAGAAAAAAGGGGAATAAAGGTACCCGAAGAAGATAATAAAGTGATTCATGAAACTCAATTTCTTATTGCATCTGTTTGATATGAAAATACATACACTGACACAGAATAGATAGTGCTTTTTTGGGCTTGAAACTCAGGCTATCAAAACAATATGTAAACATGGCTGGTCTTTTTTTTGTCAGCAATCAATTGAGAGGTCTATTTTGTGAATATAAAATTAAATGCATGCTCAGTATCTTGTAGGGTCCTTTTTGACCCCGATTAAAGCTTAAAATCATCCTGTCTACCAAGCGACCTAATAAGTCACTACATATCTTATTTCAATCCTCCAACAGCATTTCGTTCAACTCGACAGTATTTTAGGGTGCTCAACAATAATTTGTAGATTCAAAAGATTGAAACGAATGATCTGGAGATTTGAGTGACTCAGACTACATTTTGGTTCACTTTGCCTGATTTATCAGACCTTCAATGAATACTGTATGGCCAATATCACCTCTTCAAAAAAAAAAAAAAAAATACCGTTATCACATTACCTCAACCTTCTCTCACTTTGTAGCGCTCACCTTGTTGCCAAAGAACTATAATCTCACCATCTGCACCTTTGATAGCCTACCAAGATTTTTCAGACCAAACCAAACAAATCCATTGGTTTGCTGTCTATACAGCATATTCCTTTGTCCAGAAGGTGAGCTTTGTGGACTGTGTAGCACAAATGAAAGCCCAGCTCACGTAGATATCGAATGATACTGTCTCTAAAGGTACAAATGCCAAGTTTTTCCAAAATGATTTTGATGTCGTAGTTACTGAAGAAAGGGTACAATTCGCTTCAAGCGTCTTTTTCCTCTCTTATTTATCTTTGAAGGTACAACAGAACCTCTTTTGCATACAATTTAAAGTGATTTTTGTATATCCTAACCTCAAGGTCTCAATACACTTTTCACTTTGAACAACAGGACAAAAGGGGGGGGGGGGGGTATCTTTTTAGAAAAATGGCATGGCGTTGGAGGATGGATAAACAAATTGTATAACTTAAACACTGACATAGTACTTTTAAAAAGTTTTTATTGAATTATTGAACAAAAAGTAAATCTTCTTTTAAAAACCACTATTAAGTAGCTTATTTCTTGGAGGCCTTGGCAGCAGACTTGGTAACCTTACCACCCTTTTCGACCTTTTCAACGGCCTTGATGACACCGACAGCGACGGTTTGACGCATATCACGGACAGCGAAACGACCAAGAGGAGGGTAGTCAGTGTAAGCTTCAACACACATGGGCTTGGAAGGAATCATCTTGACGATGGCAGAGTCACCAGACTTGATGAACTTGGGGGCATCTTCCATCTTTCCGTAACAAATCAGTTAAAAAGGTTCAAAAAATAACTATATATATACATACCTTCTTACCGGAACGACGATCGATCTTTTCGATCAATTCAGCGAACTTACAGGCAATGTGGGCGGTGTGACAATCGAGAACGGGAGCGTAACCAGCACCAATTTGACCAGGGTGGTTCAAGATGATAACTTGAGCAGTGAAAGAACCGGCTTCCTTGGCGGGGTCGTTCTTGGAGTCAGAGCAGACGTTACCACGACGGATATCCTTGACGGAAACGTTCTTGACGTTGAAACCGACGTTGTCACCGGGAAGACCTTCAGTGAGGGTTTCGTGGTGCATTTCGACGGACTTAACTTCAGTGGTGACAGCAGCAGGAGCGAAAGTGACAACCATACCAGCCTTGATAACACCAGTTTCAACACGACCAACGGGCACAGTACCGATACCACCGATCTTGTAGACATCTTGGAGGGGAAGACGGAGAGGCTTGTCAGAAGGACGAACAGGGGGTTCGATGGCATCAATGGCTTCAAGGAGGGTCTTACCAGTCTTGGCACCAGCCTTGGTTTCCTTGTTCCATCCCTTGAACCAGGGCATGTTGGTAGATTCATCCAACATGTTATCACCGTGCCAGCCAGAGATGGGGACGAAGGGAACAGCCTTGGGGTTGAAACCAATCTTCTTGATGAAAGAGGAAACTTCCTTGACGATTTCGTTGTAACGGGCTTCGGACCACTTGGTAGTATCCATCTTGTTGATAGCAACGATCAATTGACGGACACCCAAGGTGAAGGCAAGAAGAGCGTGTTCACGGGTTTGACCATCCTTGGAGATACCAGCTTCGAATTCACCAGTACCACCAGCAATGATAAGAATAGCACAATCGGCTTGAGAGGTACCAGTAATCATGTTCTTGATGAAATCACGGTGACCGGGAGCATCAATAACAGTAACGTGGTACTTGGGGGTTTCGAACTTCCAGAGAGCAATATCGATGGTGATACCTCTTTCACGTTCGGCCTTGAGCTTATCGAGAACCCAAGCGTACTTGAAGGAACCCTTACCGAGTTCAGCGGCTTCCTTTTCGAACTTTTCGATGGTACGCTTGTCAATACCACCACACTTGTAAATCAAGTGACCAGTGGTGGTAGACTTACCAGAATCGACGTGACCAATAACGACAACGTTAACGTGAGTCTTCTCTTTACCCATTTTGAACTATAGATGATGTTAATGGATGGATGGCCTTGATGGATGGATGTATGGCTTACCTTTTAGTGGATAGAAATTAGGGAGGGAACACAACGGTTTCCGATTTCAAAAACAATTTAAACGAAAAAAAAATTGGATTTCTTTGAACGTCACATTAGCACTCAGAAAACGTCACAGTACATTCGTAAAACATTACCGGACTTGAATACTGTCTTCCTTAAAAATGGCTTTATTTACAAGAGAAACTGCTTTTCTCGTTAACCAATAAACAAAGTATATAAACTAAATATCATTCTGATCTACTCTAGCCATCAAATACGGATGGGTCAATTTCTACACCAAATTGCTTAAACATCTAAAAAATGTTTAGTAGTTGTTCTATCTTGCCTTTTTTTTCATCTACTTGCCTGTTCTTTCATTCTTTCATCCAAAATATCTTCGAGTCCTCGAGCTTTTGATCCAAACAATAATCGGTTGGATGCATCTCTAAATCTAACTAACCAAAAACTGATAGTCATGGCTAACAAAGTCAATTCAAACACAACAGATCGCCAACTAAGCCAGGTTCCTTTTTCTCTTGAAATGCCCATGACAGCCCATCTTGCCATAATATTGATGCGGTTGATTGGACTTCCTACTGCCTTGTTATTGGCTCGGACAATGTTCATATTTCTTGAGATAAAGATCAATTCTCGGGGAAACAGTGCTTGGTCACGCAGAAAGTTCTTTATTCTTTCTTTCATGTGCGTTTGCAGCTCGTACATGTCTTTGACATCTATATGCTGTTCAAGATGGACTGCTTTTTTACCAGAAAATGGCCTTTGAAGAGTAATGGATGCAAACATATTTGCATCGTTAATGCCCCATTCTTTACAAATTTCTGTCATTTTTGGTATATCTAACATGAACAGAGCTTCCCATAATTTACAATACTCTAGTCGAAATCTATTGACATGTTAAGCTTAGCATTGATTTTTGTTCACTTACTTTTCTGATTCTTGAATATAGAGTCCATGGTCTATCAAGATGACTTGAACTTGATTCTTATTTTTGGGATGTTTTCTTACCAGCACATTGCCTGGATGGGGATCCGCTATACAATTTCTGTAACGATCAGTTCAACAATTCTCTCATAACATGCCTTCCACGTACCATGCACAAATCCACTGCGGAAAATCTGACTAGCAAATGCTTCTACAGTTGTCTTCATGGCTTCCACATAATCCAAACCCTTTTCCTTAAGCTTTTCTGTGTTTGTCAGCTGAATACCGTCAACCCATTCGCAAACCAAAACTCTTTTCGAGCTGTATTCTTCATAGACTTTGGGAACATACACCTTATTTTTTAGAGATTTCTCGTTCTTTAAATGCTCCCAAGCCTTTTGGGCATTTCTATACATATGTCAATTGCAATCGTTCAATCAAAATCATTGGCTTACCTTGCTTCATTCTCAAAATCGGCTTCCATTCGCATATGTCTTTCAACATAGTCACTGGACCAAGACAAGGGCAGATCAAAGACACGCTCATACACTTTAAGTAAGGTACGAAAAGCAGCAAGATCCCCTTCCATTTGTTTTTGAATTGTTGGTTTCTGTATCTTGACAGCCACCAAATCGCCATTTTTCAATCTTGCTTTATGGACCTGAGCAATGGAAGCAGAGGCTACTGGTGTCATTTCAAATTCAGCAAAAATTTCGCTTGGATGTTTGCCTTCAAAATCATCCATAAAAACGCGCTCAACGGCTTCAAAAGAGATAGCAGGTGCACTGTCAAATAATCTTCTAGCACGAATCTGGTATGCGGTAGGTAAAACTGCTGCTTGAGTACCAATCACTTGGCCAATTTTTATATAAAGCCCACCATTTTTTTCAAACACGTCAAATATGCGGTTAGCTACTCGAGTATGCAATTGCTCAATACGCTGGTTATCTTCAGCTGTATGTCCTGGTTTAAAGTTGAATTTATAGTCAACAGCAAGTGCTACGCCGTTATAGAAAGTACGGAAATTACGTGTAAGTAACTGCGCTTCTGTTCTCGAGTCGTATGCGTATATCCCAGCAGCTAAAAAAGCACTGCCTAACACAGATCGAGTTGTTCTTGAGCGAGGAATAAATCTTCTGGCTAGAAAAGACATAAAAAAATAAAGAAAAAAAGGCAAATATCGATCATCTTGATGGCAATCGATGTTTTATGCTTGTACAACTCTGCAGCCCAACGCATGTACGTCACTAATTGTTTCGCCGCAAAGTATAAAAGGTGAAGGAGTGCAACTAATAAAACACCGCAATACCCCGCATTTTTCTTCCTCTCTTTTTTTCATTAATATGGCTACTAAAAGAGCTCTACCACTTTTATTTCGACAAGGTTCTACTTATTTAACCAAGTGTCAAATAATTAGACCACTTTTATCTCAGTATAAAAAATCAGTCTATCACTATACAACAACGACTACACCAAAACTAGCTGCAGTACCTGAACAAACAAGTATGTAAAAAGAATGATAAGGGCCAAACTTACATATCTCTTTTTATATCAGACACTAGTTCTTCTCGGTCAATCAATTCTGACTCTCATGATTCTTCAAGGTAACAATTTAAACAAATGCAAATGGCACTCATATAGTTGTGAATATTTAGAGCAGTTGAGATAAAAGATGCCAAACTGATTTTTAATCAAGCCTGGAAGAATATCGAGGATCATTATGGCAGAGAAAACCTTCATTTACCTCGTGAATTTATCTTTTTGATGGGTGCCCCTGGGTAAGTAACAATACAGGTTGGATATTGCTGTTTACGATACGGTACAGATCTGGAAAAGGAACACATACTCCTTCTATATTGCGTGCACGTGGCATCACTAATCCGCCCATTTCAGTCTCCCAGTTGCTTCAGACGCCAGAATGTAAAGAACTGATCAATCAAGGTCAAATGATATCTGATCGTTATGTGATTGAGCTGTTGCTACATGCCATGCTTGACTGTGATCCAACAGTAGGTGTTTTGGTAGACGGCTTTCCAAGAACGGACATTCAAGTGGAGGCACTCAAGTTGTTGCATGACCGTATGACGGAATTGAGACGTGAGTTTTGGAATACCGATAGAAGAGACCAATTCCCGTAAGTCAATAAGCGCTTTCTTGATATATTGTTAATCTATTCTATAGTCGACCTGTATTTCGTATTTGCGTTTTGTATGTAGATGAGGAAATTTCTGTTCAAAGACAACTGGCAAGAGGTAGAATGATTCGTCAACATAACTTGGAAGTCAAAAAGACAGGTCAGGGTGTCTTTTGGGATGAGCGTGTGACAGATAATGATGAAAATGTAAGTCCCTTTTTTTAAGGTGCTTATATATTCATTTTAAATAGTTAATTCGAGAACGTTATTCGATCTTTAAAGCTCATTATGGCTCACTCTTGAAACTGTCGAAAATGTTTCCTTTTCGTAAGTTTAGATATTCATACATACTTACTCATTCTATATTTCTAGACTTGATTAATGCTACAGGATCTATAAAAGAAGTACTGCAGATTATTCTTAAAGAATTCGAATATCAATCTTCCCTTGAACTGGATTCAGATACTTATGATGCTATTTCACATATTCCCGTTGCAACACAAATTGGTATTCATGCTCGTCAGGTATATTTGATCGTCCATCAATAAGTGAATAACAAGGTCTCGTAGGACTTGATCAGTCGATTAGAACACTATCAAGACACTGAGCCTGATTTATTACAAAAGGCTATCCAATTTATTGATGACAATGTCATGCCTAAAGTACATCGTCATGCTATCAGTGGTCATACCAATGTTAGAACGTAAGTCTTATAGTCATGCCTCTTTATTGACTAGGCTGACCTTTTATTTATAGTGAAGAGCCACGTATGGGAGATACTCACTTTGCAGCTATTGTGATGGATGTACTGTCTGAGCGTGGATATCATGTATCACTCGACCGTCGTTTACACCATGTTCCTGTGCGTTTTGACTTAGAGACAGGAAAGATTGAATTAGAGACACATCATATTTATTTATTATCAGTCGAGTATCCCAAACACTATATTCGACCTTTAGAACAAAAGTTTAATTAAAGATTTGCATTATTCTTCCATTCAAGCCATCTAAACTTCAATTGTTCTTTCACTTCATCGCTGCCAAAAATAGCGTCAATAGAACAAAAAGAGATAGTAAAGAGCTCTTCATGGCTCAGGTTGAATGTCTCGGCAGCCAGCTTGTATTCATTGGAAGAGTCAGAGAAAAAGACACCTTTGTCGTCCGTCTAATGAATATGAGCATGATTTGTTTAATCCCTTCATAAGACTTACACATAAAATGAAAGGATGTTTATCGTACAAAAGTTCCTTGATATGATGTTCTTCATATGTATTCACAGTCTTGCACAACAAATTTGAAGTCATACAAATCTCAACAGGGATATTATGCTCATAGATCACCTTACGGCAATATTCATCAAGAAAGGTTGCATGGCCTAAGCGATCAGGTTTAATGGCTAACAAATCAGGACCTTCAACCATGTTTTCTATCACTTCATTAAAATGCAAAGTGATGGGGAAGTTGTGTTTTTGGGCTCTAAGAAAAGCAGGTTTTAAAGCTTCAAATGAACCTTGCTTCACATCACCGCAGAGATCAATACCAACAACACCTCGAGAACGGAAAGCTAAAGCCAAATCAACCACTTCTTCTGCCTCTTCAAGCGTATTGCGACGATCAATAGACACAATCAAGTTCACAACAATATCCTCTTTTCTAGGTTCATGGAGCACCGAGACAACAGCTTCAAGATATGATATCTTTGTCATGCCTTTTTGGTCATTCAGTCCCCTTGTTTACGCATAAATAAAATACCTGTTTCTGAGTTTTTGCGAGGTGTTGTTCTTAATTCGAGATATTTGACACCATCTTGAGCAAATTCACGAATCACATTTCGAGTAGCAATACAAACACTCTCTTCATCGTCAGTCAATTGATAGATAAATCGAAATAAAGGAAAGAAGCTACAAAGAGTAAAAAACTGATGTTTTTGCTCAAGTACGCGTGTACATATTTACTTGTAAATCGTTAAGACATCAGGGATCTGGAACTGAGCCAACTCTGGCTTTTGCTCTTTCTTACGCTCGACAAGCTCACGCATAGTAGCTGGACTTAAGCTTCCGTTAATATGGGCATGGAGCTCAACTTTAGGAAGTTTAGTACAAAAATCAGCTAAGTTTGTGAATGTCATAGCAACAAAAAAGCCCAAGTGCAAAAATACGATTCAACTCCTATTTATACACCGTTCCTGAATCTCAATCTGTACTACAGATGAGTGAGAACTACTGCGGTAGATATTCAATGTGTTCTTTTGATGACAATGGTTGCGATAGAAACAATAATTTCAGGTACACATTTTATCCCAGAATGTAGGTGTTGAGAATAAAAATTATCTACGCATGCGTTTAGTTAGTTTGTTCATGGTGCGATAGCATATATAATAACAGCGAGAAAGCAAACAAGAGATTGCTGCGGCAAAAGTCATATCAGGCTTCTTTTACCAAGTATAGCTAAAGCCAATGTCAATAAAATAATGTTGTATTTGATCTAGGCGTTTCTCATAATTGAAGCACTGGAAAAATGAAATATTCCATCAAGAAAATCTATTACAAGCAGCTTGTTTTTGTTTGTGAAGATTATTATAGAGATATGAGCCTTATTACTTTGTGTCAATAGATTTGCTTGAAACCCATTTTGCGTTTAGTAAAATTAATAAGTCATAATTTGCTTTTGACATCTACAGCGAGTAACAAGAAAATTGTTCAAAGTTTATTTCATCAAACTTGCCTGATTCGCCAGACTCGCCAGCTTAATGAATCAAATGCGTTTTAGCAAAATATTTTATCCAAATAACTATTTTAGTAGTACGTTAGTTATTCATGTAACGGAGATACTAGACAAACGAACGTTTCAACGGTGTAAAAGATAACAATTTATGCAAATCTTCTTCCCCTCCCTCCCTCCCCCGCATATAAAGGTGGCATAAAGCCTGTTTATGCACGCATGAATGCTCGAATACTTACAAATTATGTCTAACGTCATGTATGGTATCTTTGGAGTCGATCTGGATCAAAAAAAGCGACTTATCCAAAATGGCCAAAATATGTCTTTCGACCAAAGGGTACTACTCATGAAAAAAGCTTGTTTGAAAACTCTTGATCTTCTACGAGACGCTACAAGACGAAAAACAGAGCTATCGAAAAGCATAATTACTCAAAATGCGTGCCAGACGCTCTAGTTTTTGGCGAATGTGTTTGCTTTCTAATCCTATTGATGTAGTAAACGCCACAATTCTGCTACTAGAATGTTGAGGAAATAGACGAAAATGTTTAAGAGGCTTTTCACTCATATCTCATCATTTTCAGCAATCAAAGTTATAAAACTTTTGTCACTACACCAAAGCTATGAAACTGCGTCTTCATGCAGTTCTCGACAAAAACCTAATTTTTCATGTATTTTTGATGCCTCTGCTTAAAAGCTGTCTTTTACGTGCATCCTAGTACGCCAAGTGTTTGTCAAGAATGAAGCTGCTTTCAATTCTTGAATTTCAATTGTCACTTTAAAATCTGTGGCTATAAAGTTGTACATCCTGTCATGGAATCCTTAATGTACAAGAATAAAAGCGAAAATGCTGACTTAAGCTAAGGAAAAAATAACAGATAAAAAAAAATGTAATGCATTCAAATTATGGACGTTTTATAAACTTGACTTTAAAAGTACGAGGAGATAAGGTAAGGCTGCTGTCAGGATGATCAATATCTGGCAATATGACTTGTCCTTTTTCATCCGTAGGAGGCTCTACAATACAGCGTCCTATCAACTGAACAAAAACGATAAAAAGCTCTACCTCAGCCTATGATGTTACATGAGTCTATCTAACTTATTTATCGCTCATAATTACCAAATAGATACCAGGACATAAGCGTCTATAGATTTACATCGATGAATATGAATATATATATCAACAGTACTTTACCTTCCCCAGCCAAAGTTGAAATGATCTCTTTCTTCAGGTCTACCATTAGCTGCTGCATTCATTGTTTTGGTATCATTTATGAACCTTTCAGGATAAAATCGTTCAGGCTCAAAGTATACTTGGGGATTCCAATGAATACTTTCCATAGGCGTCATCACAGATGTACCCTTTTTAAACAAGTATTGATCAATGACAACTACAAACGCACTGTCATAAGAAGGTTGTCTAAGAGTGTGATTGACTTACCATCTTCTTTTACAGCATGAGGAATACCAAAAGCTGTGACAGGTCTAAATCTCAAGCTTTCTTTCAAGACACAATTGACATAAGGAACTTGATCACGATCACTAAACTGAGGGAAACGATTATGTTTACGAACAAACTGCTGAATTTCGTCTGCTACACGCTGTTGAATCTCTGGATGATGACACAAAAGGGCTACGGTCCAACTCAAAGTGACAGAAACAGTATCTGTTCCACCAGCCAAGAAATCAGCTATAGAAATAAATGAGCAACATATTTCTTGTGTCACATATTCTTACAAATAATGACCAACTTATCATCTGAACTAAGGTCATATCCTTCCAAACTCTTGGTGACATTGGGTCCTTCTCTGCAAAGTGCATCGTTCATCAATCTACGAAGAAGAGGATCGCGCACTTGTTCAATATGATGTTTCATGTGTTTCTCTTGACCAGAAAGATGCTCCAAAATCTTAAAGGCAGGAATAAAGCCAGACATGTCATTCACAAGTGTACCAAGCTCAATAGATTTGAGGATGGTATCTGAAAGGTGCCGGAATTCTGGATCTTCCACAGCTTGATAGCGCATACCAAATCCTAACTGAAGGACAATATTCATGGATGCCAAGTGCAAATATTTGTTAACTACAATCCCTTCGGAAACATGTGATGATGTATCTAACAAAAGCTTATCGATAAGTCGTTTCGATTCTTCTTCAACCAAATGAAGGTATACTGTTTCAATCTGCTTAGGCGAAAGAACAGAAAGTACTACCATGCCCAGTCAAAACAAGTGTTTATGTCTCTCTTTTTTTTTACCTGCAGTTCTAGCTTCTTTCCAATTCTTTCTAGGTTGCACGAATGCAACGCCTCTAAATTGATGAGTCACTTGTCTTCTTTGACTGTGTAAACTTACTTTCCACCTTTGGCATAGTGCGTGATACAGTACTTGTTATAAGCTCGGTCAGAAACCTGCATACCATGTTTGGAAAAAACAGTATGAGCCAAGACAGGATCATTAATCATCACCCAAGTCTGAATACCCATACGGATCTGGAAGATGGGGCCCAATTCTTTATGCCACTGATCCACTGTGCGCCCAGGATGTTTACCTAACGATAACATATGGCCTAAAACCGGATAACAGTTTCGAGCCATAGGGATTTCTTTTAGTAAAGGGTCCTTTTTCTCTCTTGAGAAAAGACGATAAAGGACAACTGCTGCTGTAGCAGCAGTTATGCTAGTGATAACTATTTTTCTGCTTTCAGACAAAGAAGATAGTCGATCTTGAACCAAATGATATGCTTTTTCCATTTTGATGAGAGAGAAAGAGAAAAAAGGAGAAAGAAAGAGGTAATCAGAAGTGTTTAAGTAGTAACACAGTTCTTTATTTCCATAAACTTAATTCACTTGAGACTAAACATTAATTTTTCCCTTGTTCCTCTTGTCCAACATCCAAAGGCAGTTGAATGGGTTGTTTTGCTTGACAAGCATATATGGATGATGCCAAAATGACCAACACTTCTAATAAAAGTACAACAACGATCACATACTTTAAATGGTATTCTAGATACAAGGCCAATATCGATTTTGATGCAGTGTGAAGCGCATTGATTCGGTCTTCAAATGAGATACAAAAGATCCAGCTGAGTGCTAATCCACTAGGCATAAATGATTCAAGTAGGATCAGATGGTGTTTGTTTTCTGGGTGATCTTGTGGGTTTAAAAGTAAGAAGAGAGGACAGAAAATAGACGCTTGAGCAGCTACTAACGTTGCAATCAGTCGTTTATTCTCAATCATATCGTTCACCAAATTCTCTTGTTGTTGATTGAGTAATGAAAAAATAGGTTGTGTATCCTTATTATAAACATACAGTGACAAGATGACAATCAGAATAGATAAAAGCAAAACGATACTTCTTGTCCAGACAAGGAATAAAGAGCAATAGTGTTTCATAGGAATATAAAGGAAAAGATAAAGAAAAAACAAATCAATTTTATAGCCTATAAAAAGAATGTGTCAAATTCAGGGGATTAAGATTTCATAATTAAATTTCTACAATGCATAGAAAAAAAAAGTCTATTTCTCCTAAAGAAAATAACTCTTTATTAATGTTTAAAGAATTAAAATTATTGACGAGCAGCAATTTCCTTAGCGGCAAGAGCAGCACGCTTAGCCATCTTGGCGTTGGACTTGGGACCCATGATACCACCACCCCAGTGACGACGTTCTTCTTCCCACTTGGCAGTGAAGTTGGTGTTGACAGCAGAGACAACAGTAGCCAATTCAGCCTTATCAGCTTCAGAGACTTCAGTCAAGGCAATAGCAGTAGCAGTCTTCTTGTGGACGAGAGTACCGAGACGAGCCTTACCCTTAACAATACAGTATGGGACACCCATCTTACGACAGAGAGCGGGCAACCAAAGGACCAATTCAATGGGGTCAACATCATCAGCAATGATGACCAATTGAGCCTTCTTGGCTTCAATCAAAGCGGTGATGTGGTTGATACCGTACTTGACAACAACAGGCTTGTCAGTCTTGGCAACTTCCTTCTTTTCAGCCTTGGCAGCAGCAGCAGCACGGAGACGATCACGCTTTTCAGCCTTGGATTCAGGTCTGTACTTGTGCAACAACTTGAAGACTTGAGTGGCAGTGTTCTTGTCCAAGACATGAGTGAATTGGTTCAAAGCAGGAGGGACCTTGAGACGTTGGTAGATGATCTTCTTTTGGCGTTGAAGTCTGACATATTGAGGCCACTTGACGAAACGAGAGACATCACGCTTGGGTTGGATGTCTTGACCAATACCAAAGTTCTTGGGGGTCTTTTCGATCAAAGGGTTAGCAGCAGCCTTAGTGGTTTGCTTGCCCTTGATGGGATAAGGAGCAGGAGCAACCTTCTTTCCAGTGGACTTCTTAGCAGGAGCCTATTTAAATTGATATGTTAATCCATCCATCCATCCATCCATCTGTCTATCTTTGTGTTTGTCGTGATGCGTACCATATTGAGATATATGAAAAAGAGGAAGATTCAACATGATCTAAGCTTCAAGGTGCTTTTCTTCCCCGTTGTCGGCTCAAGTGCGTCCCCCCACAATTCAACCTCCCCCCAAATATATTGTTTGTAGGACACATTCGGCCCGGAGTTCTACATGCCGGTCTTATAAAGATGAGCCAAGCAGGTTTTAGAATATAAACATTTATTTACAGACAATCGGATTTGAGGTCGAAATAAATTTCTCTACAGAATGTATTGGGATCTTCAGCCTAAGAAACATCAATATCCTTCAGCGGCATCAAAAAAATTCTTGGTTTTAAGTCAATTGTTGGACGGTGTATTGCTAGAGATGGAGCTTGCTTGGTAACTGCATTCATAAAAACCTTTAGAACAAAATATTGCGTTTCAGGTACCACTTCTAAAGCCGAGTTGCAAGCTTCATCAAAGATAGCGATTTTGTCTTCCCCCCTTTGCTTGTTGATGTACGCCACCGATGTTGTGTTGTCCGTGCGTATCAAAATCTTGTTGTGCAACTGAGGAAAGGTCTTGAAATCTCGTCAATTTATTGACTGGTCGACTTCGTCTCTTATCCAGTGGTCGTAAGCAGTTAGATCGCCAAAGTGGCAGCCCCATCCTGTATTGCTTGCATCGACGTAGACTGTTTTGGCTGGTTCGTGGTTGATGAAAGACTTGCCGTTCCATTTGTTGAGGTTTTACAACCACCATTTGAGTTCTTGTATACATTCCTTCGGTAGTGCCTTCTTCTTGTCCCAGTCTTGCTTGTGCTTCACTATTTGATTCTTGAACTGCATCAGTTGGCTGGTGTATAAGCGGACTGGTGTGGTGGCAAAGGTTGCTACCCTTATTTTCATTGTAAAAAAAATAAAATTTTAGAAATTAAGTAGAGCATGAGATACATAAGTAGTATCCATATTATTACTTACATTAGGTTATAAGAAAGGGATGAATTAGTAACAGATATGACCAACCAAACTAAGCTGTGATTGATGCAAATAGTGACTACATTAAATATCATTTTTGTTAAGTAAACAACCTAAGCTTTTATTCTATATGGACCAAAAACACGACAACTTGTCCAATAAAAAAAATAGTAATAGAATCCCTATGATTGGTGAATAAGAACACAATGTAAAACAACCAGTAGTCTCGTTGCTCCATTGGAGCCATATTGTCTTTTATTCAATACAATAGCTGATAAAAGGTGCAAATGGAATAAGATATCAAGTTTGTCATTCTTCATAAGGTAAAATATCACTCTTTTCACCAGTTACAATATTATACCCATCTAAACATAGTATTTTCGGGTTTACACACAACAGAACAATTTTCTCCAATAATCACTCTCTATAAATAAACAGCATTTTGAATTAGCAAATAATAACGGAGGTATAACAGACACTGACCTGATTCTAGAGATAAAATTTAGTACAAAGTTCTAATCATTGTGTCAACATCATAGTTATTATTGCTGCAACCAACATTGTCGGCTAAGGGAGTGAAGCATGTCATTGATAGTGTAGAGTTCAACAAGCTCGATGGATACCTGCTAATAAAACAAAATGTTGGTATTGAAATCTATATCTATAATTAAAATTGCGTTGTTTACTTACTTTCAGATAACCGAGGCCTTCTAATATCTTGGTAAAGTCGTGTAGTCCATTGGCGCTTTGAGAATATCAAAGATTCTTTTGACAAAAAGTAGCACAAAGTTCTTCAAAAAATACGGCATAGGTCAAAAAAGTAAAGTATTTTCTTCACTTGCTCTTTCAATGTGGTACTCACCCAATCATAAATATGCTTAATGGAACAAATAACGAAATTCGTGCCTAGCTCTGGTAATATGGTACAAAATAGTATAGCGCGTATTGAGATCGGTGGGTAAACCATGCATAACATTGTACAAGAGACAATGCTTAGACCACAATACTGACCCAGAGCCATACGTTCCGCCTTGAAAAGGAATAATAGCATGGACTTATATGAGCTTGTCATGTTCGTAGAACACAACGCGTATTGAGATCGGTGGGTAAACCATGCATAACATTGTGCAAATAAGAGACAATGCTTAGACCACAATACTGACATAAAACCATACGTTCCGCCTTGAAAAGGAATAATAGCATGGACTTATATGAGCTTGTCATGTTCGTAGAACACAACGCGTATTGAGATCGGTGGGTAAACCATGCATAACATTGTACAAGAGGCAATGCTTAGACCACAATACTGACCCAGAGCCATACGTTCCGCCTTGAAAAGGAATAATAGCATGGATTTTACAAATGCTTGCCAGTCCGTAGAACACAGCGCGTATTGCGATCGGTGGGTAAACCATGCATAACACTGTGCAAATAAGAGGCAATGCTTAGACCACAATACTGACCCAGAGCCATACGTTCCGCCTTGAAAAGGAATAATAGCATGGATTTTACAAATGCTTGCCAGTCCGTAGAACACAGCGCGTATTGAGATCGGTGGGTAAACCATGCATAACACTGTGCAAATAAGAGACAATGCTTAGACCACAATACTGGCATAAAACCATACGTTCCGCCTTGAAAAGGAATAATAGCATGGACTTATATGAGCTTGCTATACATTTAACCTCTATAACTATTCATTTGTTAGCAAAAAATTTAAAAACTTGGGTCAATTCTTAGTACGTGGACAAAATAGAAGAAATATACACTCCGAAAGCAAAAACGATGACGTTACACTTTTAGGTCAACACTTGGTATACGAACTAAAAACTCCAATCAAAAATAACAAAAAACTTAATATGGATTAAAAGTTCACTAGCATTGACAACAGTAGTACAATATAATTGTGTACTTGATATAGAGCTAAACCGTCGATCAAGCATGTCAACATTGGCCATATATAAATGCATAATCATTGTCGTAGGAAAAGACTATATAATTCAAAATAAAAACGTCCTACAATCCAAATTTCAGAATAGTATAAAGAGGACATAAATCAGATAAGAAAGGACTGACTTGAAATAAAACAAGATAGTGGAAATTATTTATTACTTCTCTATTATTGTGTTTTCTAACTATTTTTTACAAGTCTGCTAACGTACCGCAATGTCAGCAAAGATCAAGTTTCCAAATACCTGCAAGTATATGTGGTGATCTGAGCACTTTACAATACAAAATATAATAAATAGTCTTTCATCATATAAATGAATAATCACTTATAGCGCTATACATCATAAATATAAGGTAAGCATTGTATAATGACAGTAAATAACTGTAACTGGGATAATATGGATATTTACAAAAAGGAAACCATAATTGTACCTTTTAGATAACCAGGAGGACTAAAGGAGAATCTACATAGTCAACTCCCAGGCACAAGCTGTCAAAGTGTTAAGCAATCAATAATCAATAATCAATAATCACAATTAGTCAATAAATCAGGTAGTATAAAAGACAACCTGGAAAAGATATATCTTAGAGGGTTATCATTTATTTTTGTAATAAAGAAGTACTGAACAGTCTCACTGTATTTCTCTGTTTTCTTTTCTGTTTTCTATATTTCTTTTCACAACCTAAACACCACAGTACAGCTTCTTAAAGCCATTTCCGCTATTCATAGCGCTGGTGCTGATGGCAACTGTGGTTTTCACGCGGTGAGTCTTGGAGTCTTTACTGACCAGAAAAACTGGAAACAGATGAAAGATGACATGATTATCACGTACATGAAGTATAAATATACTCTGTACAAAACCATTGTCACTTCTGGGGCCTTAGCCAAAATGGAGAGCAAAAGATAATCGAAAGACTTCAGCCCAAGGTGTCTCTTTGTCTCAGTAATCCAGAATTATAGTTTTCAACCTTCACTTGCTCACAAATTGTAGCGGATACTTATGAAAAACCTGTTCTTGTATACGACTACATTGGAAAAATACTTGAAACAGATGAAAAAAGAATTCATTATAAATCTCAATTTTACTTTATTTTAATCAGCCTAGAGCTCGTCAATACTTATCACCCCAATACACTCCTTTGTGTCTTTCTATTATGTTGATTTCAGCCGAATCCTAAAGGGAAAACTTAGAAAATTCAACACTTCAATACTCAATTTGGATCATAAACCCTTAGAGCTTCATTCCCTAAATTATGCAGCTCAAATGACTATTCATTTATGTTCTATCTACGCCTTTTTATGAAAACCTATGAAGACTTTAATAAACTATGTCCTTGAAATCTGTTTAATTCATGCAAACAAATTAAATTCCAGATGAAAACACTGACGTCATTTTTGGTCCGTGTACCAAGTATCCAATTTTTTTAAACAGCTAATTCAATTTCACTATACAAAACCAACCTTCTTCATATGCCTAAACTTAAAGTTACCAAAAAGCCTGTTGTTAGTGGAATTAGCCCCAAGCTTACAATAAGTTTAATTGATTGTAATAAGCGAAAAATAAACCCTGTTTTGAGTGGATTAAAAGTGGAACATTGGACAAATAACGAAAAATTGGTAAAACAAGCACTGAAAAACAACAATAAGCAAGTTAGTAAAGAGTCAATTACGCGAATGATCTTGGAGTTTTTTGCCTCTGTAACAACTTCGTTTGCCACAAATATTGGATTGTCAAAATATAGTAAAGCTTGTAGGAGTTACTTTCTAAACCCGAAGAATAAAGCTGATCTTCAGAAAGTCGTCAGTACTCAGTTAAAGTTGATGAATTTGGGAAAACAAAACCAAAAGATAATCGAGACAACTCATAATTTAAGAAGTAAATCAAAATTGCAGAAGAACTTGGCGAACGCAGCAAAAGAATATCAAACAGCAAAATATGAAGCAGACGTGTTTCTGAAGGCTTTGGATGTGGATAGCAGTGACTCAAGTTCAGAAGATGATGGCACTGTTGAACTACAGACACCATTAACGCAATCAGCCATAGAAGAGAGTGACAATGTCTTTACGACAGAAAATCAAGCCGAAAGTGTGGGCAAACGAATTAAACAAGAAGCTGTGAATATTCATAACGAATATGTAAAAGGAGTTGACGTTGGTACTCAAGCCAAATTAGTGATGGAACTTGGTCTAAGCTCGATCTTGGATTTAACTCATAATGAAGACGCGTATCAGAAGTATATTTTTTCAAATCAAGAATGGAAGCAGCTGGAAGACTATTTTAACAAAAAATACAAACTCAAAACAACAACAACTATTCCAAAAACCGTCATTGATACTTGGTCCACTGTTGCTCAACTTGCCACCAGGAAGGGTGCTTTTGTCGCATTAAAATACATAGCGAAAATCCAAAGCCTTGAATCAACAAGTGAGGTCAATTATATTTTTCTTGAAATATTGAAACATATGCAAGTGAAAGATTATTTAGAGACGAGAAAAAAAAGAAGCTCATTCTATTTTATAGCGTCCTTGTACTTCATCAAGATACGGATTTAATTAACGGTATCATTGAAAACAATGGTTCTATTTCAGAACAAGATGTGTACGCCCTTTGGTTTCCTATTATCAAGAAAATTATATCTATGAAAAAGATCATCAGAATGAAGCAAGGAGAGACGACAAACCTATACACCACTAAACGAAAACAAGCCCAATATTTTGATCATGAAAAAGTCAAAGGATTCAAGATTGATGCACGTTTGCTAGTAGATTATGGTCGAAACGAAATTGATTTATGTGCTGGAGAAGTTGCGGTAAACACTCATGATGCCGACAAGCTTATCCATGATAGAAGCAAATTTATTCGAGAAGCAAAAGAAATATGTGATCGTCATATGGAAGCAGGATTGGGAAGAGACTCAGTTGGTTGGGGAATTCAGATTTGCGGGCTCGAGGCACGTTTGGTGTCAGTTCATCTTTTTCGAGAAGGCCTTTTCGTTGCTGTATGCCAAAACAGGTTTCGATTTCCCCAAAATATCAAAGAATTGCCGGAATTTATTGACACTTTAAAGGGTCTTGTATACCTTATTGTAAGAAAATACTTGGATCTCTTTTTTGATATATGCTGATATTTTGTTTATTTGTAGGAACGTAACGAAAGTGAAGCTATTAAACTCATCGGACTCTACGATAAGATAAATAGATCTTATAATTCTTCATTAAATGGTGAAACTAGTAGCAATAGAAGTGACAACGGCAAGATGACAACTTTGTCTACCTATTATACCCCACCTCTAGGAGAAAGAAACAAATCGATCATTCCTCCTCAATTATTCCGTAAAAGAAAACGCCAGCTGTTTCATGAAAGAGTCATTATCGGAGAAGATAACTCTAAATCAGCTATGTTAGAAACGAAAGGAGCTGCCGATATGTTTGGTTGGGTAGAAATGGATGATAATACTTGGTACAATACTGTAACTGGCGAAAAGAGTGACATTTCACCTTATGAAGAATGACAAACTTGATATCTTATTCCATTTGCACCTTTTATCAGCTATTGTATTGAATAAAAGACAATATGGCTCCAATGGAGCAACGAGACTACTGGTTGTTTTACATTGTGTTCTTATTCACCAATCATAGGGATTCTATTACTATTCCATCACATGCAGCTTTCAAGAACACCTTGGCTTTTACTATGTTGAAGCATTGCAAGACGCTTAGGGATGGTGTTGAGCCCGAAGAAGACAGGCATAGAGCACTTAGAAGTGACTCAGATGACTTCTATGTCTCTTTGGTGCCAAGTGTATCAGATTGATTAAAAAATATCCAAAATTTTTTCTTGAGGTTGATTAGTTTGCATATATATACATATATTTAAAAAGAGTAAAGAACAAGAAAAGCGTAATTAAAGGGGAAAAAAGGGAGGGGAGGAGGAGGGAAATCATAATATCTGTAAGAAAGAAAAGCAATAAACATCTACATAGATAAAATATATACATAAGAAAAAGCATATCATCATAAAAAAAAAAAAAAGAAAGTGGCTACAATAAACTAAATGAAAATGAAAATGGATGTCTTTGGTATTGTTGCATAAATAAGTTTTCTTCTTTTAAATTTAGTGATGGTGATTGTGAAGGTGTCAAATAAGTAATTGAACACGATTCAATCGTCTGTTGGTCCAAAATATCTGTCCAATTTGCTGGCCATTCATCAATGACTAACAGTTGATTAATATCAAATGATTCTGTCAGAGGCACAGCAATTGTAGTTGTACTTGATTCTGTTACAGGTGTTGAAGGAGGGGAAAAAAATGGCAAGTCGTTTTCCATCTCATGAAAAGATCGCTTTGACTTTCTTGGTGCAATGTTGGGAGTGGAAGGAGAAGGATAGACAGATTCCAAGCGAATATCGCAGCGGTCAAGCAAGAAATGGTCCAAAAGTTGATCAAATTCAAAACGAGAGAGACAGGTTGAGTTGAGATCTTTAATCAGTGAGATGCTTTTGATCAAATTGACTTTATCAGGCCCATGTTCTTTTCCATTCATGAGTGTGTTATCTAAATGAATGGAAGTTGCTAATGTCAAGGAAAGGAAAAAGACATTTGAGAGATAAGCCTTTTGTCCTGAGGCTACCATATGCTCAGAGATATGAATAATAGTGTTTGCAGCTGTTGTACAGATACTTGAACTAAGTATGTTTTGGCGTTGTTGTTTATGGCTCATCATGATTTGAGCAGTATAATAAAGAATGCGATATATCTTGGTTATAGGTGAAGGCTTATTGAGTTGTGTACTATTAAAATCAAGATAAGAAGGCAGCTGCAATAACCATTCAGTCAAATTGGATTCCAACTGCGATTGATGACCATAAGCAATATCGCCCACAATATGAGCTAATCGTATCATTTCTTTAAACGAATTGATCTGAAAAGCTGATTCAAGCGTATCTGGCAAACTCAATTCTGCTTGCTGCTGCTGTTGTTGAGAGTAGAGAATAGACAACTGACTTTCTTCCAGCTGAGGATACTTGCAATCGCCATGAATGATCAGGGATTTTGTGTCTGTACAACTAGCAAGCCATTGATCAAGCACAAAAGATGTCCAGAAGGCGCGTCTTTTCATTTCTGTCAAATGCATATCTTGGGAACGATTTGTAGACTCATACCCCAAATTTAATTTATGAACCATCGTAGCCAAATAATGGCGAAGTGAATGGCATTGTTGCATATCACCCGCAAGACACGAATACCAACACATGATAGCAAGAGCCTAATCTACAGTTTAAATATGACAATGATAAAAATCACGTTACCTGTACTATAGAAATATCAGGTAACATATCATGAGATATTATTGAGTGGAACTGTTGAACAAGGTCAGCCTCCTGGTTACCCTGGTGCAAGCGACAACCCAAGGCAAACACAGCCAGCCTTAAGAGTGGGTGAAGGCTATTGTTCTCTAGCTGAAATTGGAACTGGCTTTTTGACAGAACAGGAAAAATGCAATTAAAGTAGTCAAAATAATACTGTATCCAGGTTTCATGCATTAAAAAATCGTGTATCATGCCATTGCTGCCCTAGAAAAAATTCATAAAATGGACCTTATCAATGTTCTATTTCTTATGCTATCTTCATAATTTTTACGTACGTGTGCATTCTTTGCGTTTACTGCACCAGCAATCAAGAAAAGTAATGGGTTTAATGGTTTCTCTTGTACTATGTGCAACATGGTTAAATATCTTTGTTAAATACAAAAATAGACTACTTGATAATGAATTGACGTCAGTACATCTTAATAAAGATTGCTGCTGTTGCTGTTTTTGCTGTTGTTGTTGCCCCAACAGAGACTCAATCCGGTGTGCACGATTTTCAATGATTTCAACATATCCCTTAGGTGGTCCTCTCTTTTTAGGAGGATCTGAATATTGGCAACAGATACCAATTGATTGACATCGAGAACAAGTAGGTTGAATACCATCACATTTGACTTTCTTTTTGCGACAAATCACACAAGCTAAAGTCACTTTGACTCGTTTTGTTGGTTGGCTTGTTGATTTGGACATGATACAACATAAAAGAAAGAAAGAGAAACAGAGAGAAAATGAAATGAAGACTAAATATATAAACACAAATAAGGAGAAAAAAGGGGGTCCCAGAATTATAAAGGGGGAGGTTGAAAAGTAATGAAGTTATGATGGGTAACTTTGCGGTTCTTGTGATTATCAAAATAAGTGGTAAATTCATAAAGTGTGGGGAAATGAATCTGATTGGTTGAATGAATAATCTGTTTATGCATAAGTATCGGCGAAATACATCGCTTGTCATCTCATGATGGATTGACCCGTTCGGTAAGCACTATAACCTTGCAATATTTCTTAAAAAAGGAAATTTAAGGGGAGGAATTCTTTATTAGCAATATGTGCATTTTTTAATTTCAACCAAAACATTTTATCGTCTGACCGATTAAATTCAAACTTGGCATTTATACGCGTAAATTTACGATTCTAAAAGAACCAGAATGTCAACACATATGAATAAAGCTATACTTTTCATTAAAAGTCATATGTCAATAACAGCTAACAACTTGGTGAATCCAATGACTCTATTTTTTTCTGTATTTGATTAAATACAGTTAAACTTACAGTAGAGTATCAAAAATAAATGTAGTGGTGTCTTGTTAATGACGGTACTAGCAACGACAGTTGCATATAATAAGGTCTATAGAAAAGGGCACTTTTACATCGATCAAATCTATTTTTCAGCATATGCCACTAATTGCAAATCATCATTTAGTGTATGTCAATAAGGTCAATTGAGAACCAGTCAAAATATATTTGTAATCAGTGATTAGCAGAATTTCATGAAAGAGAGGCAATTATACTTTGCTATAGTATGAAGTAAATGAGACCTTTGTGATATACGGTAAGTCTCCAAAAGATATCAAAAATAGATTAGAGCAAATATCCAGAATAGTATAAATAACAGAATTGATGAAATTGTTCGCGACAGAGTTCCTTTTATTTCGCATTAACAAGTTGTACATCAAGGGCAATGCTTATAAATTTAAACTCAAAAATACAATGTTTACATTGCACTAAACTGGCAAAGGGTGATAAAGCTCTATGAATAGCTTATATGAACCTCTGAACTACTTTTGAAAAAAGATACCACTTTTTGATTCGTATAAAAGTTGCGTCTTGAATTGAGACTCTATCACACAAGAAAGAAAGAACAGCATCTAAATCTTAAAGTGCATAGAGCTGACTGGTTGCAAAGACCCTGCTCTCTACTTAATTGTGTCAGGCCCATGTTAATGAAGAGTATGACTCAATTTCCCTGCATCTACATTTACATGTTATATTTCAAGAGTGAAATAATTTGATGATTCAAATTAAAGAAATTCGTCATAAGGAACATCGTAGTAGAAGGTTCTATGGGTCAGGCTAGATATATCGAGATTTTGTAAGAGAAATTTCAGTCTTGGCTCATAGACATGCATTTTCAGGATGGCTCGCGCTTTCTATTTCAAGAGGATGGGGCGACATGCCATATTGGTGCTGTAGCTTGTAGTTGGAAGACCCTACATATGATCAAGGGGTTTGAATACTGGCCTGCACAAAGTCCAGATTTAAATCCCATTGAGCACCTGTGGCGGGTTCTTGAGCAAAAAGTCAAGAGTAGAAAACGTAGTATAAAAAATACCACTGAATTAAAGGAAGTACTGTTGGAGGAACAAAATCAGTGATGATTTGTTAGTCTGTTTGGTTGACAGCATGAAAGACAGATGTCAGGCTGTCATTGATGCCAAGGGCGGCAATACCAAGCACTGGTTTTTTTTTATTCATATTATTTTAAAGTAAGCATTATAACAAATCATCAACAGAAAACAGAGTGTCTTCAAGCATCATCTTGGTGCATTAAAAAGCTTTTATTGCTGAGTTCAGAAGAACAAAAAAAATATTTTCATTTTTTATTTCACTTATGAATATTCGAGATGAACTGACAGAATCTACTTTTTGGGATCTTCTCTCAGAAGTAGTTGGTTGGGTAAATAGTATAGAAACAAGCATGTCTATTGACGTAGTCTATAGTCTTATGTCATTGTATGGTCAATAAGTTTTTATCCACAAGCTTATTTAAACTGGAAAAGAAAGAGGTAAATTTCCTTGAAATAATAACAATGAGTGCTTAATATTTGAAAGTGTAAGAGGATTATCAATTGACTTTGTGTCTTATAATGTACTTGGATTCTTTTGCTATTCGGTAAATACGTACCAAGAAAAAAGGTTGATGTTGAACAATGCAACTAGATTTATAATTTGTCGTTTTATTTTAATGATCAAATCAAACATGAATGTAAGGTGAACATCATTTATTTTCTTGTATTGATACACCTATTTAAGATCACAAGAGACACCCACATAGTGAGAATAGTTTAGTGCGTCTAAACGATGTTGTCTTTTCTGTACATGGGTTTTTATTGTCTTTTTTTATTCTGTTACAAGCATGTATTTATAAGGTAGGGCCATACTCTGTTGATTGACCTTGTTAACCATATGGTACAGAAACACAGGAGCCAACATATTTCTTCTTTTGCTGCATCATTTGTTTGGTTGAATATGATAGCTGCAGTTCTTTTGTTGGCTACAACACAATATGGTGGCGCAACTTCCATTGATTTCATGTATTTTCTTAGTTCTGTCATGTTAGCCGTCAGTTTTATTAAATATCTTCCTCAGGTAAGCAAAAAGGCTACTAATATTTTACTAATGAAGGGATATAAGGTATGGCTCAACTATAGACGACAATCAACTCAAGGTTGGAGTATTGAGTATATTCGATGGGTAAAATTCAACCATACATCAGTACAAAACCATTGATTTTGTATTAGGACTTATCAGGTGGTATTCTTTCCATTTTTCAATTACTTTTGGACGCCTACATTGATGGAGATTGGTCTGGTATTGAAGGGGTAAAAAAAAAGAGGATATAAAATGATATAATAATCTAAATATAACACTCTAGGACAATGTGAAACTGTAAGTAGGAGTAGATAACAATATGTTTTAAATATATCTTAGTGGACTTGGCTGTATTGTTGTATTTTATGATACGTTCTTCTTGATTCAACATTATGTTCTTTACCCAAAAGATGTATCTAAACATCCTATTCGAGATGAAAGAAGAAGACTCATTGAAGAATGTCGACAGCCGATTGAAGACTCTGACGATTTAGTAGAAGATGATACAAGTGATATTTCATCTACTTTTATCACCAAGAGACCTATCCATGTTAATTATCATCACTATGGTTCTGTGCAACATGAATTTGTACCTTATTCTTCATCTGTTTAACTGTATATATAGAAAGTATGTGTATTTATAGAATGTTATAAAGAACATCTTTATTTTTACGTTAAGGAGGAAAGTAGACTACATGAGAAAGGGATTTAAGAAAAAAAAAAACGGAGGGAAAAGTAATTTGAAAGCAACTAGGGTCGAGAACCAAGCTCAAATGCTTTTTGACGCATGTAGATGTACATTTTGTATTGCAGATCATAAAGTGGTGAGTTATACTCTTCTGTTCGGATTGTCTTTTGTTCAGCCAAATAGTTTTGAACACCCATGACAAGGTTAAGCAAAGAATCAGAGTCATCTTGCACATCATCATTAGTCTGTTCTTTGTCTTGTTCCCAATAATCTTGATAGTCAGCCTCAGCAATGACATTTGCCACTTGGAGGTCGTATTGAATATAACTATCTTCCATGTACAGTTGGTTACTCTTGATAGAAATTTGTGAAGAATTTATCTCTTCTTTTTGTTGGTGATCAGTAGACATTATATCAGGCAATATTCTCGGGAAACAGGACCAAAAAAAAAGAATTCTGTGCCTTTTTATATATTTACAACCAAAAAATATTCACTGATATAAAATCTATAGGCCAACTTCAAGATATATACTAAATTCAAAGTAAAAGAGAAAAAAATGAAAATGAAAGAAAAAACGTTCTTTTTTTATATATAGTATAAAACATAGGTAAAGGAGACTTGTTTCTACAGCATACGATACGATTATAATAAAGTTTATTGGAAAAGGGAGTCCAATGTGGGAGAAGAAATTACTTTCTTGTTTTATTTGTCTGTTTTCCTTGATATATGTAAGCTTTTTTTTTTCTTAAACTTTGTCTTATCACAAAAGGTAACTGTAAATGTATACATTAAATAAATAGAGACTCCTGATTCTCTTTCCAAGATCAAAAACACAAACCTATTGTTTTCTTGTGTATCACTACAAGTGTAACAATGAATATTTATGCACAAACAATAACCCATTTGAATTCAATGTGCATGTTTAAGCCTGTCTCCTATTTATCTTTTTTTTTTTTTTTTTTTTATTTACAAAGACATGCAGATATATACTTGATCGAGAAAAAACAATGTTTATTTCGATATAATCTTAACTTTTGCTGTAGATTTTCATTAGCTATACTACAAAAGAAAATGTTGAGTCTTTCTAGATAAAGACTATTGATCATGGGCAATAGGAGCCATCTTGAATGAAACAGATCTCCTTTGTTATTAATAAGAATAATTTTTATTTTTAATAGAAATACACAAGGGCATACAAAACTTGTTAATAGGTAGGTCGTTGATAATCATCAACAAGGTAAGTATGTTGAGGAGGAGGAGGAGGGACAGACGTTGGACTTGACATGGAAGTATTGTAACTGGGTTGCATAGGTTGATTCACATCGTCTTCATCGTCTTCGGGCCTAAAGACTTCACGATCTGCAGCCGATTTAGCTTTTCTTTTGCGCAAAAATAAAAATGCAAGGGCACCGATCAATGCAACACCAACAACGCCACCAACAACACCACCAGCAATAGCACCCTTATTGGTAGAAGAGCCTGAACTAATGGCTGCCTCAGTAGGTGTTGTACTCACAATAGAAGATGGCACCATCATTGAACTAGAAAATGTATCAACTGGATCTGTTGTAGTCGTAATTGGATCTGTTGTCACAACTGGGTCGGTTGTGGGTAAGGTAGTGGTAGTAGTAGTAATAGGGAGGGCGTCTGTTGTAGTCGCTATCGCGTTGGTTGTCGGTGGAATTGTAGTGGTAATAGTAGTAGTGTCCGTTGTTGTTGCTATTGTGGGTGTATCTATATTATATTATAAATAATTTTTTTTTAATTGGATAAAACAATAGAATGTACCTGTAGTAGTAGTAGATTGGCTATCATCATATGAAGTGGTTGTTTCAATGCTTCCATCATCTGAGCCATCTTCTCCAGTCCCATCATCCGAGCCATCACCTAAGAAACAAAAGATTGAGCTGTCAATAAATAGCTTTAAAGAAGCAGGGACTAGTTTATACCTGAATCATCCTCTTGTGCATACACTTGTGCCCAACTATTGAACGTCGCAGCCAATAATCCAAAAGCTGGGCTAAAGGCGAATTGTTTCAACGAAACCATTGTTTCTTGAAAATAATAACAAAAAAAGAGAGAAAAAAGAAAAAATAGAGAGAGTTAAAAATAAACATAGGAAGTAATCACGTTTCAAAATGAATAAAAACATAAGTGTGCAACGTGAAGAACGCGGTTAGATTGGTAGACAGTCAAAAGGAGATTTAAATAGTAAGAGGTGTGTGATCGCCCAAGACTATATACGTGTGTGTCTTCTCGGCATCCTTATTTTTTTTTCACTTGCGATATTTTAAAACAAACCCGAAAATAGCATGCTTTTTAATGGGCATATAGTGTTAAGCAATAAACCCTTTTTTACTTGTTTGTTGTATATTAGACGTAGGTTGATTTAACGAATACTTTTTTGCTAACAAAGAAAACAAAAGTCAATGCGAGTAAGAGTCTTTCTTTAAAATTGTGAATGTTTATCACTGGTCTGTTTCTGTACTTGACATAAGGGAATGTTTACAAGCCAAAAGCAAGTAAATCCAGAAACTTTAAAATTGCGAGTTGTTACACTGAGTTGAAACTATACAGTGGCTAATAAAAATATACCTGTGTCAACAAATGTACCTGATTTGCGATACCTTTTTATTATAGTATTTTTATCTTTTTGATGACTATATTCAATTCTGTTATTTCCTTTCAATTCAGCACATATTTTCATTTTGTACTCCAAAGTTCCTCTTTAAAAACAGCAGCAGCCAAAGATTTTTCTAAGAAAAAATCCAGGTAAGCCTGTTTAGATGACAGAGTGAACCTCTTTTGTATCACACATCTGGGCTTAATTCTATAGCCGTTTATAGATCACTATGAGGCTTCGTCAAAAAAGCATTTAAAACCGAATACATTTTTTTCGTTTGAGCCATCAATTTCTTTTTTACTTTTTTTTTTATTTCTAACAAACTAACCATGGGCCATTATAAATGCTGCTGTTGTGTTCCTCTTAGGTATAAACAAAAAAAAAAATAAGTCAACAACCTTACTCATTGTTCATATAGAGCTGGTATTTTGATCATTGCTTTGATTTCATCTGTAAATGCGATTGACTCTTGACGTACATCATAACTAATTTGTTTTTTTCAATAGGCTGTCTACATTGCCTCTACAGTTGGACTCTTTATGTCAAGATCCACAGGAGGTATGGCTGATATTTGACTTTTTTCAAAAAAAAAAACTAATTCCTCTTCTTGTTTTCTAGTTAGCGTATACGATGGTTACAATGTCAATTCTGTCACTTTCACAGCTGTTCACTATACAACCATTGCTGTTTCAATTATTTTCGCTCTTGCTTCTCTTTTTGGTGTCGTTGGCAGTATTACTGTAAGCCATCCAAATAGAAAAGAAAGAAAATGGGCTCAGTTTTTTTTTTTTTTTTTTTTAAAATAGCAACATAGAAAAATGATTGCAGTCTTCAAATTAGCTTATTGGACGGTAGCTACTTTACAATTCATTGTAAGCATTGCAAGCATCATCATTCTAGGCCTCAATCGATCAACTATCATCACTGCTTGTGCCGAAGCTTATGCAGATGAGACATTAGACAGTTGTGCAGTTGGCTACAGAAACTTTATGATCATTTTCTCAGTCGTTTCAATGATAATATGCTTCATACAGGTATGTCAAAGAAACCAGCCACATTTTGTTTCCTAAAACATGCTGATTTCTTTTTTTAGTTTTACTTTGCCTCAGCCATCAGTGCTTATGCAACCCGTTTGCGCAGAACCAATATGCATGAAAAACTTCGAAATTTAGAGGACTTTCCTGAGCCACCTAGTAAGACTGAATATTTTTGAGTCTTTTCTCTGTATACAACACATCTTCTTTAATAATTATACATATCAACCAAAAAAAAATCATCATTTTTATGATTATTATTTGTAAAATCTTCCTCTTCCCTCCCTCACTCTTGTACTTTCCTTCTCGTATATAATATTTATTCCAAATAGTCATTAAATGATTTGTTTTTTTTTAAAGAGAATGTAAATTTAGATATGTTGATTAAAAATAGTAGCAGCCTAAAAAAAAATAAAAAGGAGAGCACATTACCTGGTAAAGATGTCAACGGTTACACTTGGCTTTAACGGTCAGGTAACCGATTGGGTAAAATCAAGCCTTCTTTTTTTTTTTGTATATTCTGATTTGTTCTTTCAATTAGGGCGACGTAGTGGTACAATGAATGGAGTCATGTCTATTTTTCAAGCTCTTGAATCTTTGTTTGAATGAGATACATTTTGCATTTATATTCTCTTGAAGATTTTTGCAGAGTCGAAATTGAACTTGATTTTCACAAAATCACAACCTTTCACTGTTGTAGAATGAGCTTAAGGTGTTGAATTTACAAAACTATAATTAGTAGAGAACTGTTGTTATTTTTGCATTGTAAATTATATCTTGTTGAGATCTTCAAACTTTGTTTTTGATTGCAGCAGAAAAGCCCAATATCAGTTCAAAATGCGGCTTGATAGCTCATCGTTTTGTTTTTGTAGTGACGAACATCGTTTTTTTCTTTACTATAAATGATTACTAAAGCTTAGGCTATGGTCGTTTATTCGAATATTAAAATAGATCCTCTGTGATATGTCTAAGCATATTTTTTATTATGTACTTGAAAATGTCTCTTCAAAGAAACTTACTCATTTTTTTTTTGTTCAAGTATAAAATCAAAGACTCCCATCGTTAAGATTCTCTCTCTTTTTGTCTTTTGATTCAAACAAGCATGCTTTATTCGGGTAACTATTTCGTATATAAGATAACCTAAAAGATAACGTCTTCATCTTCGTGCTCCAATATATCAATTTGACCTGTCTCCTCTCCAGCATGAAGTGTTGGGCCTATTTATTAAATTAGATTGGTACTCTCATGTATTTAGCTTACCTTCACGTCCTTCAAGTTCGGCCTGAGCAGCTTCTTGAATTCGAACGGCTTCTTCAGCAGCAGCACGGTCCTTCTTCTTACCTTGAACTTTCTTCAATCTATAAAATCAATCAACACAGATCCCCTTCCCTCTGTCTTTTTTTATCTATTTCTTTACCTAAAGAATTCTTCTCTGTCTTGTTCATCCAATTCAGAAATGATGTATTTAATTGTGTTTTCATAACGAGGAATGATGACATGCTCAATAGCATTCACACGGCGATTTGTTGCCTTGATAACTTCGTCCAAAATAACAAAAGCAGTCTATCATAACTTAATTGACACAATTACAAAATTCAATCTATACCTGCAAACTAGCAAGTTCTACTAGAGTCTCAACAGCTTTGGTATAAACTTCTTTGGCTCTTTGGATTTGTTGACCACCACGACCAAGACCAGTGAATTCAAAAGCTAGTTGAATTAGAACGCGTCAAATACAATCATGCTTTTACCATTGCCTCCTTCATTATACATTTCAAAAGCAGGAAGCATGACACCAGAGACATTTTCTTGCTTGGCTCTAACGCGTAGTTGAGCATTCTTGGATGCTTCTTGAATTTGGTAACTAGATATAATATGAATACGCATGAATACGCATGAATACGCATTGTATACACAAACCTGATATCACCTGTAATGTATTGTACTTCAGCGAGGGAAAAAGAAGCAAGTTGCATAACTTGGCCCATCTTGCGTTTAAGCTAATACAGAACATGAGTCTATATCTATTCTAGATATAAACAGCTAGATTTACCTCGTCAATCTTGACTGTAATACCTCTGAAACGCTTTGTCAAGGCTTCTGATTTACGCTTCAAAAGTGAATGACCTGTTTGAGCTCCTTTTAATTTGAGCTTCATGTTAGTGAGCGCCCTAAGTGATTTATTTTAGCATGAATAGATAGGTATAGAACAATCATACATTCGCGTAGGAAAGATATTAAGACGTTGGTTGTTTCCTGACATTATTGATAACAGAAAAAAAAAAGAGGGGCAACATGATACAGTCTCAAACAGTATATGAAGGTTGATCTCCGCTTCGTGTCACAGCTTTATTTTACATCATCATGTACTTGTCAAGTATATAATTGAGGGTTTCTGCCCATTTACGACTCGTCTTTCTATGCTCGTATTCACCAGGAGCATTTTCAAGGCGCTTAATACTTGATCTTAACTGATCAAGGAAGATCTTTTCATAAAAGCAATAGCCAACACCTCGAGAAGAAACAGACATGATTTGAATCAGACAGACCCAGGCTTCGATTGCATACTGGTTATCATGTCCAGCATAAACAAGCGCATCTATCAACAATTGAGTGCAATGAACGACAGACCACTCTTGCTGCTGTACGCCCAAGTGATGAAGTCTACATGTCCAGTCTAGACAGAACAATCCTGCCTTAATGATGGTTTGCCAAGGTATAGTAGATTTGGGCTGTCCATGAATCAAGCTGGATAGGGTCCACATTAAGCTACGTGTTTGTGTCATAAATATCTCGGTTGATTTCAATCTTTCTGTATAATCTTGTTGAGGTACCCATTGTGTCAAGCAGATAGATACAAACACATAAAAAGTATCATGCTTATCATCTTGAATGCAACCAGTAGTGATATCGCGAGAAGCCTTGAAAAACAAGAAATCTATCACATCAGAGTCAATGTCTTGCCAAAGAACATTCACATCAAATAGAATTGGATTAGAAAAGGATTCCTTCAAGTGTTCATAAGCTGATGCTAAATCAGGTGTAGCAGACAACAATGGAGTCAAGAGTTGATGGTGTAAATAGACAGTGTTCGTTAAGCCCTTTATACGTCTTAGATCATGGTCGAATAGATGTCTTGTACGCTTGGTAACACTCTCTAACGAATGAATGACATGCAAATTGAACTGCATATCAAATAAATTGCTTTTTTCGTCTACAGGTTCTTTCAAAGGTATACTTGAATCCAAAGGTTCACAAGCATAAAGAGATGATTGTTTTGTGCCAACATAAATATCATCAAATGCTCTTCTTTTAGGCTTGTCTGACTTGAGGAAAACACTTCCATTGTTATCAGGGGCTTGGCCTGATCTATCAAACCATAAACGAGAGAAAAGAGGAGCGTGAACATAAATATCATCTTTGGTTCGCTTGGGACGCTTTCTACGACGATGTGGAGCGGGATTGACTTGAAGGCGAATCAAATGAGTGGTATCGACTTCTTCATTTAATGGCTTCTTGATAGCAAGAGATGACTTGGGTACTTTTCGTTTGGGTTTCTTGGATGTAGTGCGTCTACTGCCTGAATGAACCCGATTGTCTTCAACAGACTCTTCTATTGGCTTCTTACTGAGTAAGATAGGCATTTTGTTTTCTGATATAGTATAGTGATCTTCAAGATAAGTTTGAAAACGGGGTTTTGATTGAAAGGAAGGTGAGCGAGAAGCTTTTGGTAGCTTTGTTGATACGTTGTCATCACTAGAGTCTTTTTCTTGTTCAGTATTACTTTTATCTACTTGTTCTATACCATCAAATTCTTCGTTATCAGAAAATACATTTGGTATAGAATACTCAGTTGGGGTATCATCTTCTGAATCATGACCTTCACTTTCTGACTCAAGAAATGCCGCAAAAATGTCTTGTGTGCTTTTAGATTTTGATTCAACAGGCTTGGGTTTAGCAGAATTGGTGGGTTTTGAGCGATGTTTTGCTCCTGCTCGTAGTCTATCTTCTTCTTGAATATCCTTTTCAAATGTCTTGAGAAATGATGCAGGCAATAGTCCATTTAATGCATGTTTTTTTTTGAGTACATCTCGAATGGCAAAGCGTTTTCTCTTGGGCTGTCTAAATTCATATTCATCTTGAACAACAGGGATAGCCTCATTGTCATTTGTAACCTTCCTTTCTAGCTGTCTCGGATGTGGTTTTAGTCTCTTGGGCATAGCGAATATATCTTTTTCTTCTTCTTCTTCCTCCTCCTCCTCTTCTTCTTCGTTCTCTCCTTCGTCTTCATTATCTTCATTGCCTTCGTCGTTGTCGTCTTCTTCTTCACTGTCCAAAATAATACGTCTTCTTTTAGGTCGATGAGCAAAGTGAATATGTTCTTCTTCGTCGTCATCGTCATCTATTTTATCATAGTCACCATTTGCGTTGTCATGGCGATCATCCATATCCTTATCAGATGAACTAATATTAAAAATAGCTTTAGGTTGATAATCAAATGCAAAAATATCTTTGTTTAACGGTTGAGAAAATCGAGATGGTGTCCTTGCTGAATACTTCTTCTTTTTAGTAAATGTAATTGGCTTCCTTTTCTCTTGTGTGTTTAATGATGGCAAGATCAGTTTGTCCAAGTGATATTTTTCAAAATGTTCTGAATCTAACATAGTCTCGTCTTGAGTTAGGGCATAGTTTTGATCTAGTAGTCCGACTGAACTTTCGCTCTGCTGAGTTATTGGGATATATTGAGATTCAAACGTTTCTTGTTGCTGTTCTTGCCCAGCAGTTAAGAGATCATGCAGTTCGGTATCAACTTCACTTAAATTTTTTGCTGTAAAGGCTCTTTTGTATTTTTTAACAGTTTTGCTGATTAGTTCTCGGTACTGCTCGTATTCTAGAGTAAATGGATGAAGTTGAATGGCATTTCTTTGTCTTAGAGAAATACGAGATGGTGGAACAGGTTTCTTTTTCGATATCTTTACTACTAAAGCATTCGATTTAGGCTTATTTGCATCGAGTTCATTTGATTCAATTTCGTTCAATTCGAGTTCATTTGATTTAGGTTCATTTGATGTTGTCTCGACATTCGCATTGGTTGCTAAAGGGCGAGCATCAGATTGTGCTGGTATATCATCAGGCAAATTAACATCAATTGACTCGCTTGTATTGTTTTCAGCATTATTTGAATTGATTTCTTCAATTGCTTCTGGCCAAAGTGAGTCGCTTGTCAATAAGGCTAATGTTTCTTCGTCCAGGTCGTTTAGGTATGTGTCTGTATCTATATATGTAATTTTGAGTACACTATATGAAGTATAAAACAAGTTTACCAATAAGAGTTTTGTTGCTTTCTGAATGCTCGATTAGGTTCACATTGCTTTTGTTTTCGAGATTCGACATAAGGTGTTTGAATGCAGGAACAAAACGCGAGAATTTTTTTTCGGGTCTGCGCATTTTAAGACGCGTTTCTTTAGTCACGTGATAGACTATCATGCAGCATTGTCAAGACGTTCAATGGACTTGATATTCTACATTGAACACTCTTATATTGACATGGATTTCCAATTTCTTTTATTGTGATATCGTTACAAAAAATAAAAGCAGAAAGCAAGACCCTTGTGAATAAATGCTTATTCAAGTCAATTTCCTTTTTCTTTTTTTTCAAGTAATATTCTCTTCATGACAACGTTCACCGACATCAACCCTGACCGTCCACTTCTTGTTGGATCTGAAATACCAAAACCACCTTTTCCTTTTGCCTTACAGGGCACTGTCGTTAAAGGCTATGGCAGAGGTTCAAAACAACTCGGTATTCCAACAGGTAAAATACCTCTTTTTTTTTAAACCAGTAGTTATTAAGACGTGTAGCCAACTTGTCTGACGAGGCTATTGATGCCCTTGTATCTGGACTTGAGACAGGTGTTTACTATGGCTGGACACAAATTGGAGAACTCAAAAGCCAAGTATATCCCATGGTTATGAGTTTAGGTTGGAACCCTTATTTTAAGAATGAAAAACGCTCTGCAGTAAATAACATAAAATGTGTTTGTAGCATGTTACTCATGTGTATTTAGGAAGTGCATGTTATTCATGAATTTCCTGAGGACTTTTATGATGCACCTATTCGTGTGTTGGTCTTGGGATTTATTCGACCTGAACAAAACTATCCTTCTTTAGGTAATTAAACCGAGATTAAATCAAGAAAAAGGTACTAAGAGTCCATTAGACGCTTTAATTAGAGATATCAAGACAGATGTAGCTGTGGCACAGACTTCGTTGCAGAGAAAAAGATATCTAGAGTCTAAAGAGCACGAATTGTTTTTCAAGTAATGCGCCATATTGATTTTTGATGGCGTGCTTTTCTCAAATGATAGAATAAAAACCATTGATTTCGTGATTCAATGTTATATGTACATACAGAAGCTTTCTTTATTATTATTTTTCTCTATCGTATTATGACTAAAGATACTTTGTTATTCATTGCAGTTGAATCCAACACATACCGTATTGGATCTTTTTCTATCACAGTGAATGCATTAGAAAATTATCTGTTGATTCAGGGACGACATGATCGCGTTGTTTGGCAAAGTACATGATCCCAATGTTTGCAATGTTTGATTATTTATTTGTTTACGTGTAGCAATGAAAAACAAGCCTTTTATTCAATCCTCTTTGGGACAAGATACGTTTAAAAATGGTGATGGTGGTGTATTCAGAATTACTGAGATAGAAGATGGCCCTACCAATACAACGCTCTCTCAGACAATTCAAGAAGTCTCTTTTGATAAACAAACACTAGTCTTTTCGGGCTATTTGAATTTTGCTGACCAATCTCATCAAATCGAGTATCAAGCTCAGTTTAGTGCATGGAATGAAAAGCAACTCGAGCTCCATGTCTCTATTAATGACGGTGATCGTATTTTGCTTAGCTTTGCAAGTAATGCTGGAGAAGACTTTTATGGCTTTGGTGAACAGTTCTCTTACTCTACGCTCAAGGGACAAAAAGTACCTATCTTTGTCAGAGAGCAAGGTATTGGTCGAGGAGAAGAGCCAGTAAGTAGAAAATTCTGCCTATTTGTAAATGTACTGATGGGCCATAGGTAACTTCTATCTTGAATAATCCCGAGGGTGTTTTTGGTGAATTTGCTGGCGGTGACAGCTTCACAACCTATTGCCCTGTACCCCAATTCATTTCTACAGACAACCGATCTTTCTTTCTAAAGAATTCAGAATACTCTAGTTTTGATTTGCGTGACGATGATCGTGTTACTGTTCGTGTAAACACAGCTGTACTTGAAGGCCGTTTGATCGACGGTGATGATTTACTTGATTTGGTTTCGGAATACACACTATATTCAGGTCGTATGGAAGCTTTACCCGATTGGATTTCTGAAGGTGCTGTGGTGGGCATGCAAGGTGGACAAGAAAAAGTTCGCAAGACAATAGAAGATCTTCAAAGACACAATACACCTATTGCTGCTGTTTGGTTACAAGACTGGTGTGGTAAGAGAATTCAAAGAACACCTCAAGGTGCCGAGTTTAAGCGTCTTTGGTGGAATTGGGAAAGTGATGATGTTCTCTATCCTGACTGGTCTAGCTTTGTAAACAAGGAACTAAAACCACAAAACATTCGCACTTTGGCTTATGTCAACACCTTTTTGGCCAATGTACATGCAAAGCCCTCTTATCGTAACAATTATTTCTTGGAAGCCCAAGAGAAAGGCTATTTGGTCAAGAAAGCCAAGACAAATCAAGCTTATATTGTCAGCAGTGGACCTAATTTTGAAGCAGGTATTTTAGACTTGAGTAATCCTGAAACTATAAGCTGGTTCAAGGCGATCGTCAAGAAACAAATTTGGGATGCAGGTATTTCAGGCATGATGACGGATTTTGGAGAGTACTTGCCTTATCACAGTGATGTGATTGAATTGGCATCAGGTGTATCCCCAGAAGTCTATCATAACCGATACCCTGAAGAATGGGCAAAGTTGCATTCTGAGCTGTTGCATGAACTTGGGTTGATTTCAGAAGCTGTTCTGTTCTATCGTGCTGGTTTCACTCGTACACCTGGCTACATTAACTTGATGTGGGCTGGCGATCAGAATGTTGCTTGGGACGAACATGATGGTATCAAGAGTGCAGTTACCGGTATGCTCTCAGGTGGTTTCTCAGGTTTTTCGATTACACACAGTGATATTGGCGGGTACACAACCATTCTGGCTGCTCCTTTGCTAGAGTTGGTTCGATCCAAAGAATTGCTATTTAGATGGATGGAATTATCTGCTTTTACTGCTGTCTTTAGAACACATGAAGGTATCATTCCTGATGCTAATGCCCAGTTTTATGATGACGAAGGTAACATTGTCAAGATAAAAAGATGAGCACTCATTTGCATTTTGATAGAATCTCTAGCTCATTATGCTTATACAGCCAAGTTATACAAATCATTGAGTCCTTATAGAAGAAGCTTGATTCAAGAAGCACATACTAAAGGCTGGCCACTCATGAGACATCTTGTGCTCTATTATCCCCATGATCCTATCGTTCGCCACATCAAATATAGTCAATATCTGTTAGGCAAGAGTCTTTTGATTGTACCCACGCTTAGCCCTGGCCTATCCCATGTCAAAGCTTATCTCCCCAAAGAGGAAGGTATTACCTGGCGACATATTTGGACAAATCAAACCTATACCGCAGATGGACAGCATATTGAAATTGAAGCACCCTTCAAGAAACCTGCTGTTTTCATTAGAGAACCACGCGAAGATCATGAATTACTAGATGACTTTTTGACTTTTGTTGCTCATCAATAAAGCCTCTGTTTATTTACATGTTCTATCATTTTTTTTTTCTCTTTGTCTGTTTAGTTTTCATAATGTAATCTTTTGTAAGCAATGATATCCTTGATGGTAATCATTTTGATGCCGTGTTTCTTAGCAAAAGCAAAGCAATCATCTCTTCTAGCCATGTCACCATTTTCATCATCCTCTTTGATCAACTCACCAATACAAGCAACAGGTTGAACACCGGCTAATTGACAAAGATCTACGGCAGCTTCTGTATGTCCAAAGCGTTTAAATGTACCTCCAGGGACAGCACGAAGAGGCAAGATATGACCGGGACGCATGAAATCTTCTGGCTTACTGGAAGGATCTGCCAACTTGCGACATGTCAGCGCTCTGTCATGAGCACTAATACCTGTAGTTGTTCCATGGGCATAGTCACAAGAAACAGTGTATGCTGTTCTCATTAGTTCTGTGTTTCTTTCTACCATCAAAGGAAGTTGTAATTCATCAAGACGTTCACTTGTTGTAGGTGCACAAACGTAACCACTATTTTCATATGAATATACTCACGCTTTTTTTTCTTTCATTTTTCTTTCTTTACCTGGAATAACGAATCAAAAATGCCATTTGTTGTGTTGTAATATTTTCAGCTGCAATAATTAAATCACCTTCATTTTCACGGTCTTCATTATCCATTACAATGACAAACTTGTTGGCAGCTTTTATAGTATCAATATCTTATTACTTCACAAAGAAAAACTACAACTTACCAAAGTCTTTTAAGGCATCTTCCACGGAATCGAATTCGTATTTAAAGGCTTGTGTTTCGACCATGACGTATAAATTAGAGAGTAAAGAAAAGAGAAGAAAAGAAAGGGTTAAAAAAGAACATTGATATCTGTCGAGGAGATTGAATTGGGACTGGGAAAATGCATGTGTCAGCAAATGATATTAGTATTACTCATCTTCATAAATTAATCAAAGTTTTGGTTCGGTTAAAATAAGCTGCCATTTTTATTTTGTTTTGTTTATTTTACAAGTGCATTAGCACGCTTCACAAATTTAAGTTTGTAAGGGAGAGGCAACAATGTAAGACCAGCATTTGTGGCACCTTCAAGATCAGGTAAACCTTGATCACTTGGCTCAATGTAGCATCTAGCAAACAATTGAATAAATGCAGCGAAAATTTCTACTTCAGCCTAGAGAGAACATTATTAATCCATTATTGGACTGATTATAAATACAATCAATACTTACCAGATAGATGCCTGGGCAAATACGTCTTTTACAATAACAATAGTAAGTATGAAACAATCTTTTTTTCTTGCTTACCTTCCCCAGCCAAAATTATATTGATCGCGCTCTTCAATACGTCCATTAGCAGATGATTGCATTGTCTTGAGGTTATTCATGAATCGATCAGGCTTGAATACATCAGGGTCGTCGTAACGATCAGGGTTGCTATGCATACTGCCCATATTGGAAATAATGGTAGAACCCTTGGGGATGAAATAACCATCTACTTCAACTAATAGATCCATTTAGTATAGTGTCTATGATATTGTTACCTACTATCTTCAGCAGCAGCATGAGGCAAACCAAATGCAGAAGTGGGTCTATATCTCATACATTCCTTGATAACAGAAACACAGAAGGGCAATTCGAGTCGATCAGCAAAAGAGGGTGTGCGTTCATGCTTTTGAATAAATGCATCAATTTCTTCAACAACACGCTTCTGAGTCTCGGGATGATGACACATCAACACAAAGTTCCATGACAATGTCACAGAGATTGTATCAGTACCAGCAGCAATCAAATCCGCTATAAACATCAATGAGTCTTTTAAGGCAAAACACATTATACTTACACATAAACACAATCTTTTCTTCCATACTCATTGGGAAGCCATTTTCATCCAATGATTTCACTACATTGGGTTCCTCTTTCTTAAGTGCCTCTTCAATTAACTTGATGTAGATAGGATTACGTTCATTATTGATGAAGTTCTTCCATTTGCTAGTCTTGTTAGAAAAGTAGTTGAAGAGTGACAAGATGGGCAAGAAGCTAGGCAAATCTTCTTCAAGACCTGCATACTTCATGGATGTCTCCACCATATGAGCCAATTTGCTAAATTCTGGATCATCTACTGAATCAAAACGGCGGCCAAAACATGCTTGAAAGATTACGTTCATGGTATTTAGTTCCAAAAACTTGAGAGGGTTGATATTGCCTTCTTTCTCGGTTGCTTCTATCAATCGATGCACAAAATCTGCTGATTCTTTCTTGATGTTATCTAGAAAGTTGTCCATTTGTTTAGGAGCCAATACAGATAAGGCTATAACATAAATTGAGTAAAATGCAGGTGCCATATTATCTATTTTTTACCTGCGGCTCTATTTTTTTTGAACGACATGCCTGGCTGTGAGAAGACGATACCATGACCTCCTAAGCCATAATAGTCCATAGCATAAGTAATATGAGGACGATGTGAAGCATCAGCACCGCGACCGACAAATATTTTGTGTGCTAAATGAGGATCGTCCACCATAATCCATCTTTGTTGTCCCATTCGAAGTTGAATGATAGGACCTAGTTCCTTATGCCATTTAGAAACTTGAGCGCCAGGCAATTCACCCAAGGATAACAAATGGCCAACATAAGGATAATGGGAACCGGGCGTAGGAATTTCCTTGATTAATCCATCTGTAACAGACTTTTTATTTTGATGCAGAAGTTGATAAGATGAATAGAGCAATACAGCCGCAATACTAACAGCAGGAAAAATATGTTCCTGCTCAAAGCGGGAAGGAAGTCTAATCGACTTGAGATATTCTGCTGCTTTGTCCATGAAAGTTACAAGAAAGAAGAATAAGAAGAGAGAAGATGTGTTTATATTTTCTAACCGAAATTTGTTCTGAATGCAATTAATGTAGGTTACACGTTGCCCTATCAAACACAGGTTAAGCACAGAATATTGTGATATTTACAAAACCATTTAAAATGCGTCAATAGCCAAAGCTTGGCTTATCTTGTAGATAGGGAGAATATTGAGAGGTAGAAAAACAATGAAATATATCTTGATTGTTTATTTTTCTAAACTTGATAAAATGAACAACGAGTTTTTATCAGCATCGGCAAGTATGATTTAGTAGTAACGCATTGAGAAATAGCTGCGATAAACTTACTTTTCTTTCATCCGATTAAAAGATAGCTATCAAATTGTTTGTATACACGAGTTCTTGCTCTCAAATTAGTGAGAAAATCGTTTTGAATGCGTAGTCAAGTTGGCTCAGGGAAAGTATGAACATTTCTGTGAAACCAAAGGCACCATAAAGAATGGGATGACATTTATCCTGAATTGCTTTTTTTCGAAAATAACGGGTAAACAATGTTTCTTCTTTAGCAATGTAATCCTAAAGACAAAGCATTTGATATAGCACCCAAAGCATTTGATATAGCACCCAAAGCACCCTTGATACAACAATTACGTCTAAATGAGGACTACCCTTCAACTTGCAACATCTATTTTCTTTTTTTTTGTGGTTATAAATATATGTACGTTTATTCTCTTTTACAGTGTGACAAAGACAATATAAAATAAATAAAAGGAATGAAAAAGATATCTATGTGCAAATGATGTTGTTGATAAATATGATTAGTTGGAAACAGGCTTGTGAATCATGGCTTCTCTGCCGGGACCAACACCGATCCATTCAACAGGGACGCCGGTTTCTTTTTCGATAAAGGCAATGTATTTCTTTGCATTTTCAGGAAGTTCTTCAAACTTGGTACACTTGGAAATATCTGTCATCCAACCAGGAAGTTCAACGTATTCGACTTCAACTCTGGAAAGAAGATCAAGGTCAGCAGGGAAAGATGTCAATTTCTTGCCATCCAAATGGTATGCAACAGCAACCTTGATTGTAGGTAATTGATCAAGAATATCAAGCTTGGTCAAGTTATAGCTAGTGTAACCGTTGATCATGGTAGAATAGCGAAGGACAACAAGATCTAACCAACCACAACGACGCTTACGACCAGTAGTAACACCGATTTCAAAACCAACAGTTTGAAGATGTTCACCAATTTCGTTTAATTGTTCAGTGGGGAAGGGACCACCACCGACACGGGTACAGTATGCTTTCACAACACCAACAACACTAGAGATCATGTTGGGAGGAATACCAAGACCAGTACAGACACCACCAATAGCAGTACTTGAGGAAGTAACATAGGGATATGTACCAAAGTCAATATCAAGCATCAAGGCATTGGCACCTTCAACAAGGATACGCTTACCAGCCTTGATTTGTTCGTGAAGATAAGGAATAGTGTCAATAACGTAAGGTTTAACACGTTCAGCAAGTTCCTTGTAACGTGCGAGTTCAGCTTCAACGTCGTATTCAAAGTTACCGTAACGTTTGCGCTTGTTTTCAACCATGTTTCTGAATCGCGCAGAGAATTCTTCAAATTCAAAGAGGTGGTGGACACGGATACCAGAACGAGAAGCCTTGGAAGAGTAGGTAGGACCAATACCCTTACCGGTAGTACCAATGCTACCACGGCCTAATTCAACTTCCTTGAGGCCATCAATCTTTTGGTGGAGATCAAAAACGAGATGGGCACGGTCGGAGAGAAGAAGACGACCTTCACAGTTGAGACCTAAAAAAAACAAATGAATACTTCAAGTTTCTCCCTTTTTTTTGCGTCTATTTACCTTTAGCTTCAAGCTTGGCCTTTTCTTCAAAGAAAGAAGGCAAGTGGACAACGACACCATTACCAACCAAAGCGATACAGTTAGGGTTAATCAAACCTATATACACTATGTAAATACATATAACTTTATAATTATATGCAATACGAACCAGAGGGCAACATATGGAAATCGTACTTGATATCATTGACAACGATAGTATGACCAGCATTATTACCACCCTAAGAAAGGAGATTAGCGCAAAGTGCATAATAAATGTGATTTCACTTACAGCACAACGGGCACAGATTTCTGCTTCACCACAAAGGATATCAGACAACTTGCCTTTTCCTTCATCACCCCATTGAGAACCAAGAACGACAGAAATACGACCCTTTTGCAACATAGACATAGTGATTTAAAGTGAGAGAAACCAACAAGAACAAGAGTTTCAAACCATTTGGCTCTATAAATACTAAAATAGATGAGACTTTGATTTCCTTATTTTGATAGAAAGATTTATAGATGGTCCGACGATGACTCTTACAATCTATGACTTTATTCTCCATGTAAGAAAGTTCGGATTCGTCCTGATTGGTCATTGCTATCCGCAACTTCCCATGCTTCATCTCACTGAGATTTAACCAAAAAAAAAATTTACAAATAATAGTTTTATTCATGATAGATATGCAATTTTTAATGTGCTGAACTAGCAGTTCTAGAGGCTTTTTGTTGTTCTTTACGGAAATAGTCTTTACGACGTTCCTTAGTTTTAACTTCGGTCTTTTCAGCGATTTTAGCCTTCTTCTTTTCATTGGCTTCACGGCGTTCAGAATCCTTGAACTTACGCTTGCGATCCTTTTCGTTGCGGAGTGTATTTAGTTGTTGCATGAGTGTCACAATCTTCTTTTCTTCAGGCTCAAGCACCACAGCACGCTTATTCAAGTAGGATTGCTTCTTACTCTTTGTGGCGTTCTTGGGCTTATTGGCAAATGGTAACTCAGCTTGAAGTGACTTGGGTACCTTCAGGGCATTGAAGCGGCGCTCTTTTCTTTCGATTGGCTAAGAAAAAAAGGGATTAGCAAGAATATTATCTATAAAAAAATTTGTACCTTATAGATGGAATCCACCTTTTGAGGTGCATGCATATTCAATTCTTTTCTGATTTGACCTGTAGTACGCATACCTTGCCAGCTCTGTTTGGAAGACAATAATAAGGATGTGACAGGGTTATAGAATTTACGAGGTTTCACAGGATACCATGCTCTCAAAAAAACGATATCTATTTGATTATTAGACTAAAAAATAAATTTTATCCGGAAATAACATACCACTCATTAATATCTTATCTTCGAAGGTTGCACGGAAATGACCTTCAGGCTTGGGTAAAGCTTTCTTGACTTGACCACGAATACCAGAGACTGTACGAATATTGGCACCTTCAAATTTAGCAACTTCCAGAGATGAAGTAAACATGTCTCTGATAAAAGCGGTATTTCTATAAACTTTGGTGGGATAACCTGTCAACTTGAGTTTCTTGACAATTTCAGCCGATTGACTAATATCTACAACAGCACCTGTGGCGCTGATACGGAAAGTAGACTATATATATATATCATATGAATAAAACGCATAATCTCTGTGTTACTTACATTTCTGCTGTCGGATACATTCTGTACAGCACAGAAACCTGTATTAGGGGTATGCACGGGACCATAGAAAGTAGCCAAACAATGCATATGTTCAGGTGTATATTTAAGCATGCGATTACGTGTACCATCATTAAGGGAATAAATAGGAATACTCTGGAAACGTCTCCAACCAATTGAGAAGATAAGAGGATCGTTTGTCTTGAGAATCTTTGGATGCCAACGATGACGTTTGATTCTGACTTGGACCCAGCCAAATTGATCTTCCGTGGGCAAAAGACCACCGACAAGAATAGGATAAGTAGGATCAAAATTTTCAACAAACTCACAAGGCATGTTCTTTATCAAAAGACGTACATAACTGCCTGGACGATAACCTTCTACCATGGCTCTTGTTTGAGGATCATCGTTTTCAAACTCAAGACGGTTTACTTCAAGTTGTTGTTGAATTTCGGCCTTCTTTTGTTCGTAAAAGTCCATTTTGGGCCCTTCATCATCATCTCCAAACTCTTCAGTAAATTTCTTGCGAAGTTCTTCTTTACGCTTGGCAATCCTTTCACGCTCTACCATCATAGGGTCACGAATCATGCCTTCTTTGTCTTTCTTCTTGGACTTGCCTTCTTCACCCTCACCTTCTTGTTCGGAATCTGCTTCAAGGTCCTCAAAATCACCTTCTACTTCATCTTCTTCAGGTGGGAAAGCACTTTGGCCATTGGCAGCATCAATATCACCTGTAATGAAGCGATTTCTGATTGAATCTAAAGTTTCTTCATCGTCCCATTCTTCTAATTCTTCATAATCAATGGGATCACGACTACTGTCCATCACTTCAGCAGAAGCAGTAGTGTTTTCACGCTTCAATTGGAAGAATTCTTCTTCTTCAGCATCTTCAGCATCCTCCTTTTCTTCAGTATCGTTGTCGTAATTGCCGTTCAAAATATCTTCAGGACTCAAATCAAGATTGTTGTAAATAAGAGACATCAAATTAGTGCGTCTATGGTTGCTGAACATTTCGCTTGCTTTTTCTTGAAGATTGGCCTTCCAGCGAAGTTCACCAGCAAGATCTTGGTCGTCATCATCAGCTGTCTTTCTGCGACCGTCTACCATAACCATATCTTCATCCTCATCGCCTTGACCCAAATCACTGTCACTGTCAGCAAATTCAAAAGAAGGCTCATTTTCTTGGTCTTCCTTATCGTCTTTTTCTCCCTTCTTGGGAATATTTCTAGTATCGAACTTGGACAATGCTTTACCGCGACGAGGCGCATCTTCGTCCATATCTTCGTCATCATCTTCTCCTACATCCATCATATCTTCGTCATCATCATCCTCATCCTCATCTTCTTCCATATCTTCATCTTCAGTACCGAAAACAGCACGTCTACGAGTTCTGCCACTTTCGTCTTGTTCCAAAGTTTCTTTTACATCAGCAGCCTTGACAGGTGCAGAGCCAGAAAAGATACGCAATTCAGATTCTTCCAACTGAGAAGCTAATGTGTCCTGAGCATCTTGAAGGTTCATCACTAACTTTTCACCTGTACCATGAGGAATCACTTGTTCCTCTTCCTCTTCTTCTTCATCTTCACCATTTTCTTTAGGCTCAGAAGGAGCATAAGCTGATTTCTTTGTGAAATGACCAGGTACATTAATGTAGACAGCATCTTTATCATACATAACACCACCCACATCAGACATGGGAGCATAGATCAACTTGTGCTTTTCATCTAAACGCTTACGTTCCTTATCAGGTAAAGGACAAGGATCAGGCAAGACAGACACATCAGCCAAAAAGTGATCGCCTGCACCTGGAATGTGCACACGCATATTTGATTTGAGATTCGTACCACGCAAATAACCATACAGAGTAACTGTGCGGTCACAATGAGGTTTACGATGAAGTAGCTCAGGATCTGTCAAGTCTTCAATACGATCAGCAACTACATAAGGATGGTTATTACGCCAAATAAGAGGTCTGAATTTCATGACTGAGATAAAACGAGACAAGTTTTGGATTTCCATATTGGGATATCTGCCATTGATGATGCCTGACAAGTAAAAGAGTTTAGCACCTTGATAAATTTCAGTCCAAAAACGATTCTTCAATCTCTTCTTTGTTGTCTTGAGTGTCTTGTTGTTACGGAATTTGTCTAAATGTGTCAAAACACCCATTACTTTAGGGAAACCATGGGATTGTAAAATATTCAAAAATTCAAAGGTTTCCTATGCGTACACAGTGTTCATTGGATTGCTTCACTCGTTGTTATTTTACTTACCATTTCAAAGCCAAAACTAGCATCAATCATCAACAGAACAAGGTCAGCCACTTTGGCCACATCAATCATTGAGTTCATATCATTGTTGCATTCCATAAAAGTCAAACGTCTCTTTTTACCACTGACAACAGTAATAGGGCCCTTGATGTCATTCAAGTTGTGTTTTGTGTATCGCTTCACTAAAGAACGAATCAATGTTGATTTGCCCGTCTATTTTTATAAATAAAAAAGACATTCAGTATATATAGCTATAATCTTTAAACTTACGCCTGGAGGTCCAACAACAGCAATAACAACAGGAGGTGACTCAAGAGGTGTACGATCAACAAGAGGAACGTGAAGCTTCTTTTCTCCAATATCTTGATTACGTCTGACAGTTTTCTCGGCTTTACCAGAACTCTGGAAAGTGAAAGCTTTAGGATTACTGGACTTCTTTGCGTTTGAAAACTTGTTTTCCTTTTTACGCTCAACTTTCTTGCCGGCCTTCTTCTTGATGTGAGGCTTTTGTGTTCTTTCTTCCATGGTAATCAAGAAAAAGATCTACAAATTTTTTTTCTTGAAAAAAAAAAGATGTTTAATTTCTGCGAAATAAAAGCAGTCATACTTCTTTAAAAGGAAATGTGTTCCTTGATTTGTCGCAATGCTCATGGATGCACGCTTAATCTCATGCTGGTTACCATGGATAGGGGATTCTATAGATACAGAGCCAATACACTCATATAGTAGCCTTGTACATCTTTTTTTCTGTACAGGACACTGTTCACCATAGAAACTAGATTGCAATTGATTTAGAAGAAAAGTGAACATAAGCCATAACAGCGTGTCATGTGAATTTGCTATGGAAGGTATGTTGTTTGTAACATGATCTTGGCATGCGCTGTCAATGTATACAAAACAACACATAAGAGTCATCATTATGCAAACCATTTGTTAGGTAATGTGACTCTTTTTCATACCAAGCCATTGGATCGACTGCATTCATGAAGGAGTCAATTCTAAAGATACATTTAGACTAACATAGCTTTAGAACATTCACTTTGATTCATACTAATTATTATGCCATTTCTTTTCTTGGCTTAAAAGGTCAAGCGAAGTGTGTCCGTTTACGGTTAAATAAACTTCCTGTTTATTTGGCATGTGAAAATAGAAAACTAAGCATGTAACTTTAATACCCCACACAAATACACACACACACACACACACACTTGCGTACATCTATATACACATCTTTTTTCTTTTTTCTTTTTTCTTTTCTATTTCTCCTTTTTCCCTAGTGTAGTGCATAAATTATGGTAGCCACTAGAAAACAAAGAGTTTTACCATCATGGCTATTAAGACTTGTTGGTATTTCCTCAATAGCTACAGCACTTGTAGGCCTTGCTCTATATTGGTTCAAGAAACATCCTTCACGTCGCCACTTAACAGGAGGTGACACAGCAAATGTCAGTGATGAGGTAAATTCAAGATGATGACTTTGCATTTCGCTCATCGCAACACAATATAGACTGATGACCTTGCTGAAGACGGATGGAGTCAAAAGATCTTGAACAGTCTCAAGTCAACAGTTCGGAAGAATAAGAAACGAATGACCATTTCATTAAAAAATGTAAGAAACCCCCTTTATTTTGACGTGGCTAATATGTCCCTAAAGACTGTCCTTTGGAATCCCTCCCCTGATGTAGATACACCCATTTATGCTTTTCGAGAAAAAAGCATTCAGTTACTCGCTCGACTCTCCTATCTGTACGATATTTATGTCATTGTTCATGTAAATTCAGAAGAAGAGAAAGCGAATATTGGAGCCTTGTTGGCCAATGCTTCTAATGTATTTAAAGAATTGATTGATCCTCGTAAAATCATCTATTGCTCAGAAGAAGAAGGCAAAGTACATATTATTCGACATATTGAACCTTTTGTTCATATTGAAGGAGGCTGGGAAATGGATGATGGTGAAGAAATCATCAAAACACTAAAGCCTTTTGTCAATAAGATTATCTGGCTTATGACAAGGAGAAGAAGAGATTCTTTTAGACCCGAAAACTTAAAACAAGCAGACCGTGCTACTATTGGTCAAAACGTAGAGATAGCAGATTCTTTGATAGACACTTCAGTTGCTCGTCAAGTGAAATAAGTAATATAATACCAAATATTAAAATATGCGAAATAAAGACGTGTTTAATATAGTACGTGCTGCTCTACCTCGCTTGCTATGCTTGACTTCTATCATAGTATGGTGGTGACAATGTATAGTCAAAAATACGTATCGTTAAGAAATTAATGAGTTACATTGTAAAAATCTCGGATTGACATGATGTTGTATTTCAAGCTATAGCACGTCTCAAAGAAGAGCAAAACGATCTCGAATGCAAACCTCTTAGAACTGAAAACCGCATAATACTTGTCATGTATAATGAAAAGGCCATTTGCAAGCCAATTCCACCAACTACGCTGTACGACAAATATGATGTAAAATTCGAATCAAATAATGGTTCATTAAAAAGTGCATTCAGTATTTTGTTCAAACATACAATTAAAGCAAAGAGCAATTATTTAGACTATTTGTCTAATACATTAACCAATGTATTGCTTATCACCTCTGACATCCAAACGTTTTCTTTATTCATCTACAGTTGCCATACATATCAGAAAGCATTTTCTTCCAATTTGGACATAATTGTGAATCTCTCGGTACCATTTGGCCCATAGCAAGCAACTTCATCATATATACTATCTGATACGAAAGTAATGCAAAAAACCACTTGTTTGTGCACCTCTCAATGCAATCAGGACAACAATTACTAATCCATTCAATTCCGAATTTAAGCATCTTATTAAAAAGTCTATCCCTTGTCTCTTTTTCCATGTTCTTTTTCAAGGTAATTTTATATTGTTTAAAAGGCTTATATTCTTTTCTTGATTGTTCTATAGATACGGAAGAATGGTGTCTATTTAGTGCTTTGCTTCTTTGGGGCTGTTTAGATATGAGGTTGCGTTGAAACTTGTGTAATCAAAGGCTAGGTATAACAGCTGATTGATTGCGAGACTGTCTCTCTCTGTCTCTGGTTGTGCTGATTTGGTTGGTGACCAAGGCTTGGTAAGTCTTCATGATGTATATTTCCTTCTTTGAGTCTTCTTGTTTCTGTTTGAGAATCTGATCAACTCTTGTTCAGACAAGAGAACATGAAAAGGCTTGACCATCCTGATCAGATCTGCAATTTTTTTTTTTATTATCTTTGTGTAATAAAAGCTATGTGTGCAATCCACTCGTATAATACCTTTATCTACTCCAAACTATGGTGATGTTATTTTCAATCCTCCGGGATATTACGTTTTGCTTTTATGCAGCTGATACCTAGTATTTTTCTCAACTCGATCGAAACGCGATTGCGGTTTTTAAGTGCTAGTATAGAGAAAAAAGAATGATCTTCAAGCAGAGTGTACGTAAATACGCAAGAAATCAATATTTGAAACATCGAACCCTCCTTTTGCATGACATCCATCATTTATCATATCCAAGACTGTTCTCTTTGGACTCAAAAGTATCACATATTATAGTACAATTTGCTCTTATACACTTTGTGTATCGAACAATGTATGAATAGGTGCTTTTATACTAGCCGAAATTTATTGAAAAGGGCCTCTTTTGTACTGATTACAACGTACAACTAACTTTAAATGCAGATTTGAAGGCAATACTCATACTAACTCACCTTTTTCATCTTAGTAAACTTGTCTTCTTTCTATCAAAAGTACCTAGAGATGGTCTTACCTGATTTCGGTTGGATCAGACCTACAATGGCTTATTCCAAAAATTCCTGATCGAGTTTTGTTTTTTTTCATCTTTACAAACCTCCGTCAAAAAAAAAATTCACCTAGAAGCCAAATCAATAATACCATTCGATTCCTTGGCTTGAAAGAACATGGTTTAAATGAAAAAAAAAACGGGCTGTTTTGATAGTCTGGTTGTTGAGCAATGGTCCATTAAAGAATAGTGCACTTAAGCTGTGTTTTGACCATTTTTACTCTAAATGGCATATAGAACTTGTTAGATACAGACTTATAGAACATACCATATGCTATCTAGAGTGACAAAGAGCATAGAAAAATAGAAAGATATGCATCTTATAATGCAAATGTGGGGTAAATGGACATAGGGCTTACCATGTAACTATGTCGTGGAGATTGAAATGTATAGCAACACCAATTCTTCTTCCCGCTGCAATAAAAATGGAGCTTTTGCTGAGAACTGCATAAAGACGCGGTTATTGGATTTTGGTGTAGTGACAAAATAAAGATCGTTGCTTGCTGAGTCTATTTATGTAAAGGACGTAGTAGCTTTGATGCTAAAATATTGAGCAAATGGACAAGGATGTTTACGAGGTTTTTTGCTCACATTTAATGCAAATCATTAGTTATCAAACATCTACCCACTGTAGCAATTGTACTAAATTAGAACTGTAAATAGATGGTAATATGCTTTACCTTTCTTCGTCAGAAATATGAGCATGCAGAACAAATTCTGTCTATAGAATTTTACTTTGCTCACACAGTGAAGATAAATTCAGTAAATGTTACATTACTTTTGCTGAAGCTAATAAGCAAAATAACGATTACGCATCGAATAAAACTGGCTTGGAAAGAAGGCTAACAAAACAGATATACAAAGCCTGTCTCATCAAGGTCATTACTTTTTACTTTTTTTAAACTATGACAAACAAACTGTAAGTTTTTTTTTTTTTGTTTTATATATAGACTTTATTTAAAAAAAAAGAAAAAAAAAAAAGAAAAAAAAAAAAGAAAAAGAAAAAAACCTATAAAAAAAAGGAAACAAAAAAAAGTGCACTCTTTGCTTCTCATCGCGATACACAAACACTGTTGATTTAAAACCAACGTATGTAAGTGTCTTTGATGATACAACAAGTTGAGAACACCAAAAAAACTGTTAGTAATATAACCCTGGTACCCTAAGGAACCCGGGTGTATGAAATGGTAAAATAAGCTCTTGGTAACAGGGACCACCACATCAAGGCAATATGGAACTCATCAAGTCTTACTTATCTAGGAAATAGGAGAAACAAGTTCTTAAACACTTACTGGGCGAGGCCAGTCGAAGCGCCAGAAAAGGATGATAAAAACAAAGAGAATGAATAGATACCCAAGGGTATGAGAACTAGCTACAACAACAAGAACACCAAGAGCAACACCAGAAACACCGTTGTAGATAGTACTTAGAAAGAAGCACACCAAAACACCAGAGCAAACAAACTTTGAAAAAAAAAAGGAAAAACAAGAGGCGTGTATACCCCCTTCCATTTTATGCGCATATTACAATTTTCAGATTCAGACGAGTGACGAAACATGTACGATATTATCTCCGAATGAAATCTCTGGCAGGTTTAACTTGCTTTTGACTTGCTTTTGACTTAGAGTCATTGCTTAGAATTGCATCTTTATGCAGTTATTTGGTTTTGGTACAATAACAAAAGCTGTAGATTTATGTCTTTTGAGCCTACTGACTTAGATAACACAGACACTTTGCTGCTAAAATATTGAGCAAATAGACAAAAGTGTTTATGAGGTTTTTCGCACATATCTCATCTTTTTCATAGTACAATCGGCAAATAAATACATTCACCAAAAACTAGAGCCTTTAGCGCACATTTTGAGTGCCTAGTAGCGTTAGTATCTTTGTTTTTCGTCTCGTAGCGTCAAAAACAATATCTTTTTTTTTAAATGTGTTTATTGATTGAGCCGCGTACACTAAGAGTAATAGTCAAAGTGAAGAGGCGGGTGCAATTAAAATGAAAGTTAATAAAATAGAAAATACTAAACAAAATAAACTAAAATATATAGAAAGGAAAAAAATTTACATGGTTGAATGGTATTGATCCTCTTCAATGGTCTGACGAACATTGAATCGGATGCTTGCTAATATGGCCGTAGGTACAATGGGGGTCTTGTCAAAGATAAATCTCATATGAGCAAGTCAGATTTGTGAAAGAGTAATTATGAGAATTCTGTATGGTTTGATTCCTTTCCATTGGCAGTACCAGATGTACGAGAAGTCCAGGGACAGAAGAGTCTCTTTGATATTAGAGATGGATGTGGTAGGCCAAAGAAACTCAAAGATGATTTCCTGCTATACCTTCTCTTTAGTTGGACAATGAAAGAGCATATGGCTAATAGAGTCAGTGGTAGTTAAGCACACCGGACAGAAGGGAGAGTCAAACACATGAGGCATAATAAAATGTAAGAATCGACAATGAGGAATACACCCCAAGATATACCGGTATGTCACATTACGTTGAATGGCTGTAAGAGACAGAGACCAAAAGAATTTCCATTTCACTTCTGCAATATTTCTCAAGGCCAAAGGAGGAGCCATAGACGAGAGAACTGACTGACGAAATGTCTTAGCCGATGCTTTGACACTACAAATACCTTGATCATCTTAAAACCGAAATTGGTTGATCAAAGGCGCAAATGAGACCGTCGAGTCTTCAAGTGGAGCAGGGCTACATACAGAGCTAAAAAATGGCTGAAGTTTCAAACTCCCAGATGCAAGACCTTTGAAGACTGTGGAGGGAGTACGCTTCCAATAAAGTAATGAAGGATCACGAGTATCTTTCCAGTGAACAAAGTTGAGCCTAGCATCAACTTGAAAGACATCTGACACCATCATTTTCTTGACACGTAGGAGGACAACGAAGGACGAAAAAGGAGGAACGTAGAGCACAGCTTACAAAGGTAGGACCATAGCGGTAGCAGTATTAAGGCGAGCATTAGCAAATGATCGAGGAAGACAACCAACGGCACGATATAGCATATCAATAGTGTCAGTTCTTTGTTTTTTCAACCCTTGTGTACGAGAAGAAGGAAACAACAATGGAGCCTGATAATATTTACAGTCATTGATATTACGAATATGAAGGCTAAGTAAGTACGAGACCGGATGAGCATCAATAGTATCTTGATCATACGCCAACAAAGGATGCAGCCAGCGAAAACATAAAGCCGAGGCCTGAGCCTGAATATTAATTACTCCAAGTCCACCTTTTTCTTTTGGCAGCGTCCATACTTCCAAGGAATAACAGGAACTATATTCTTACGCAAGAATTGAATGGCCAAAGGTTTCAATTGTTTGAAATCAGCAAGCGTCAACGGAGTAACCCGCAAGATATACCATATTTTAAACAATATCAGTGAATTCAAGACAGTGGCACGGCCAACAACAGACAATGAACGTGTAGAGTGGATTTGTATGGCAGTCTTAACCTTTGTTATCATAGAACCCATAAAATTGACTCTTTGAATACGGCTTTGTGTCAATGGAAAACCCAAATAAATTAAGGGTTCATCATCTTCGACAGAGTGCAAATGCTTGATACCCACTTGAGAGAGTGGAGCTTCCCAATAAGTCCATGTATTTCTGCCAGGCACCGAGAAGGTTTCCATCTTTTCATGGTTGAACTTTGCATTCGAGGCTTCGCAATATCGAGCCATATGCAGTTTTAGCCGAGCAAGATCAGTGGAATTATGTACAAAGACCAGAGCATTGTCAGCGTAACATAGAAGCTTCGTCCGTTCAGTATCCATTATGTAGCCTTGAAATTGACGATCATGGAGAATGGAGAGCAAGAAAGGTTCAAAAGCCAAATTATACAGAATAGGAGAGAGAGGATCACCCTGTTTCAATCCGCGTAATTTAGCAACTTCGGAGGAGAGATGACCGTTGATGTTGATTCGGATAAGATTATCGCTTATTAACTTGTAAATGCATTTAATCAGTGGGGAAGGGAAGCCAAACTTTTTCATCACTTTCTTCAGGTAGTGTAAATTCACTCTGTCGTAAGCCTTTTCTTGATCCAAGAGAAGACCAATATCAGCATTCAAGGTACTAAAATCAGGACCATTATCAAGTTGTTCAGCGATCGACCATTTCCTTTGAGCATCCTCCATTAGCAATTGACAGATCATACCATTTTCAGCGACAAACTGCCCAAGAATAAACCCCAATTGATGACGGCTAATAAGATGAGAAGATACCTCCATGATTCGACGATTGACGATACGTGTAAACAGTTTGTAATCCGTATTTGCTAAGGACAAAAGACGATAGTTCTTCATATCCGCAGGATCACCTTTCTTGTACAGCAGACACATGACTGATTCATTCCATGACTGAGGAAACTTACTCTTCTGCAAAGCGTCATTATAGACAGTCGATATCAGATCATGATATGGAGGGAATTTTATAACCAAATACAGAATCTCATATGGCAGTCCATCTGGTCCTGGACTACTCTTACGAGGGGCATGCTTGCTCTCTTTGAGTATGTTATCAACATCAATAGGCTGCATAGGTTTCTCCTGTTGTTCTGATGAAATCTTCAAGTAACTAGGGATAGATCGAGTCAAAGCCCTAAGAGCTACAGTGTCGGTGGGAGAAGGAGTAAATAGCGAGGTATAAAATTCAGTTGCTATACGAGAAATATCATGTTGCTCTTGACAAAGCTCTTCAGTCACTGGATCTCTCAATTCAATGATGGATTGCTGGTTTTGTCGAGATACTTGTGTCCGCTTCAAAAAGCCTGCAGATTTCTCTCCATGTTCTCTCCAAAACTTGCCAGACTTCAAAATCTCGATCTCTGCTATCGACTGTTGTAAAGACTGGATTAGGTAGTTGATATGATCCAAGCCTTGAAATATCAGTCCTCTATGCTTCTGATGCCGCATTGCTTTGTTCCTCTTAGATTGCAATTTATGCAATTGCTTTTTCCTCCAGTTCAGATCTTCCTTCTGATAGAATAGAAGATCAAGCGTTGTCAAAATCAATATTTTCATAAGTAATAATACCCTTTGGTCGAAAGGTCATTTTGGTCATATTTTACATGTCACCTTTTTTGCCCCAAATCAACTCTAAAGGTACCATGCATGATGGTAAACACTGTTTGTAGGTATTTAGAGCATTTATGCAGGTATGAAAAGGCCTTCTGCTACCTTTATAAGCCTAAGAGAAAGACAAAGATTTGCAGTAAAACTTGCGTTGTTTGCTCTAGAATGGGACTTTTGAACCCATTAACTTACAAATACCTAATAACTTATTTATCTATTCTAAAAACGAGTGGAAAGAGGCAATCGGTTGGCTATAGACCAGTTGTTGTCTATTTAAAAACATTACATGGATGGTTGTATTGAAAAATACAAAGTCTTGGCTTGATGTTAGTAATGACACTTTTATAGAAATACAAGGCTAGATATGAGGAGAAGAGTGTCCATGCGTATGATCACATGCAATGGAGCATCAGAGGCTTTGAATTCAGGCGAATTGGCCCAAAACTGACAGTCTTGGGGCTAGACAAGTTATGTCTTTGTGTGTGTGTGTGTGTGTGTGTGTGTGTGTGTGTGTGTGTGTGTGTGTGTGTCAAAAGAAGTTGGGAAACAATGAATGGTAAACAAAGCCCCTATGATGAATAAGCTCAATGGAGCTTATGTCAACTAGTGGTAGAGAAACTCATTCTACTGAGTTGTAATTGGCTGAAAAAGCAAACGCTTTAGGAAACGCAGTGCCAAATACAGCAATTAAATCAAAACATTCAATAAATCAAGTTGTATCATCATTTGCTCTTCTATTTTATTTTATTTTCATGTATCCAAATTTTCTGTTTCTCTTATCCGTTACGTTATGTTCAGCTCAACAATTGATGAGGCTACCTATCATTGAACATAAATATACAAATGTTTTACAAAAACGACAGAATATACCTGCTATACCTTTATTTAATGCCAATGCAAGAGAATATTTAATTGAGATTGGGATAGGAACACCACCTCAAAAATTCAACCTAACATTAGATACCGGAAGGTAACCATAACAATAGGCATTAATTAGGCCAATTACTTATCTTAGTAGTTCGGATCTATGGATAAACGCATCCAAATGTTCTAAATCTGCTTGTGTTAGTCCCCGCTTTTCAGAGTCAGAATCAAAGACATTGAATGAAACAAAGAGTTCTTTTGAGGTACAATATGGAAGAGGCTCAGTAAAAGGCGTATTAGCTTATGATATCATTACAATCAATGGTAATCTGGCTTGCCCACATCAAGTACTTGGCCTTGCTTCTTCTACCAATGACCTAAGTAACATACGATCCAGTGGCATACTAGGGTTAGCTTTCCCTAGTTTGATGCGAGACCCTACGCAAGATACATTCATTCTTAACCTGCTCAAGAACAAAGTGATTCAAGAACCTGTGTTCTCTATCTACTTGAATAGACAGGCTGACTATGGATATACAGGTGAAATTGTGATTGGCGGCTATGAAACCAGTCGATTTACAGGCGCCTTGAAATTCTTGCCTCTTATAAGCTACCATCCTCAAACAGGAGAACCTCAGGTCGGACGGTCTTATTCTTCACAACAGGGTACTTTCAAGTATTGGACAGTGCCTGGTCAAGCAGTGGCTTGTTATCGCAATGATAACAAGGTCTATGAAACACAATTTCCAGACATTCAGCCAGTTATTTTAGACACAGGCACTACTCTTTCTTACATGTCTGAGGAAACTGTCTTGGCCGTCTTGAGTCTGATTACAGATAATTATACCGCATTAAGTCTTAACGGCGGCAGTGTAGTCTACCAAGTCAACTGTAACGATTTCTTGACTCGAGACCAATGGTTTGATTTTCAATTCTCAACGACAGCCGATACGTTTTCGAGTAACCCAGTAACCATTCGTGTACCACTTAAAGAAATGGCCCTGCCTCAAGATGCAAATGATATGAGTACAGCCAAGACTTGTTTGTTTGGACTAGCACCTATTTCAACTGGGTTCTTAAATTCTGTAGGTTCTGGTTGGATATTAGGTCAAACAGTGCTGAGAAGCGCATACGTGGTGCATGACATGTTGGGTCTTCAAGTAGGCATAGGTTTGGCTGCGAACGGTTATTACTCGCCTACGTTTGAAAGCAAAACAAATGTGTCCAAACCATGGTTTTGTATGATGCTTGGCCTGACGCTCTCGATTTTCTTTTTTTTCGACACTGTGTAACTTGTATGACAATAGACATATGTAATGCCTCATTAAAGAACGTGTCAGACAAATTACTGAAAGGCGGGTAAACACTCTCTGTTCTCTTGGCGATATATGACAGAATGTTTATTTCAACTCAGGTGTCGCCGCTATTAATAGAAATATATAAATTTGTCCCCCCTTTTTTTTATTTCTTTTTCCTTTTTTTTTATTCCATCTTACTTTAGAATGCAAATAAAAACAAATTTATTTATTTTAAGTACTTTATTATACTTACAGGCAGATGCAGCACCTCAAAAACCCAAATTGCTTCGAGTACCGCTACGTAGAGCCACTCAAACACACACTATTTCTAAAAGAGATACCTTTTACACAACCTCATTATACAACGATGCAGGCTCACAATACTTGATTGACCTCGATATCGGCACACCGGCACAGACATTTACTGTCACTCTCGACACTGGAAGGTAAAAAAAAAAAAAATAGCATATTGTGCCAAGAAATTAAATTTTGCTTGCGGTTTATAGTAGTGACCTCTGGGTGCCTGAATCATCATGTCCTGCCAGCGAGTGTCCTAATGCCGTCTTCAATTCATCTCAATCCAGCACATTTAAATCACTCAACAAGGCTTTTTCATTGACTTATGGGATTGGCAGTGTCAATGGCACCTACGTGACAGATACAGTTGCTATATCCGGTGCTACTGTGCAATCCCAACAATTCGGATTAGCTTCAGCAACACAAAACATTCTGACCAACGCAAACACAATCACAACAAGTGTTGCTCAAACAAATACCAATAATACCCTTCATCTCAAGTCGCTTGCTACTTCAACCACGCCCACAGGCAATGGTATCTTGGGACTGGGTTACCCTAAATTGACAGCTGCCTCAAGTAATGGCCAAGGCACATACAATCCTTTTGTATTCAATTTGGTGTCTCAAGGTGTCATTAGTGACCCCGTCTTTTCTATCTACATGAACAATTTAGAAAAGACGGGATGGGTTGGTGAAGTCATTTTTGGTGGTGTTGATACATCTAAATATTCAGGCAATTTAACTTATCTTGATGTTGTTTCTCTCACATCCACACGAAGCAGTAAGAAGAGAGCCATCACATTTGACAATAGCAATTATTATTGGATGGTCGGTGCACAAGGCATTTCAGTCACAAACAGCAGTAATACCAATGATACCAGTAACTCAGTGGATGTCTCATTTAACAGCAACAGTGCTTTTATTCTTGATACAGGCACTACATTGACTTATTTACCTAACAGTATGGCCAAGACCATCATTGAAAATGTTGTTGGTTCTAGTGGCTATACAACAGATACTAGTTCAGGTGCTTATATCATTAGCTGTAGTGCATCCTCTTCTACTAAACAAGTAGTGCTCAAAATGAAAGCCAGTTCTTCTGCTACTGAACCTGTTACCTTGGCTGTTCCTATTTCTGAATTGATCATTCCCTTGGATACAGATAGTGTGTCTACTGCTAGTTATTGTGTGTTTGGTATTGCCCCTACTTCAGGCACTGTAGGCAGTAATCTCTATCTTGTAGGAGACTCTTTCTTGCGCAGTGTTTATATGGTATTTGATATGGTGAATGATCGTATTGGTATTGCTTCTGCAACAGGTGTGGAAGGAAGTGTACAAGGTGTTTCTTCTACAACTACCAACAGTGGCTCCATCATGACTCAGCATTCTGTTATCATAGGATTTATTGCATGTTTACTTGCAACTTTCTTGGCATTTTAATTGTAAATACTGCCCATTTGTAATTATTAAACATCATCCTTTTCCTCGCTTAAATGATTATCCATCATCATCACATGGTTTGCTTTTCATTACCTATCAAAAAGCATAGTAAGCGTCATGGAACACGTCATTTACAAGTTGATATTTATTAAAGATTTGCATTTTGTTCAAAGCTTTAATACAAAAAAGAATGATTCTTTTTTTTCTTTTTTTTTTTGAATTATAGAATTTTTTTAGTTTTTTTTTTCTCTTCTTTTTGTCTTCTCTTGAATGAATAAAATATATGTGTATGTGTGTGTGTTTTTTTTAAAGAAAAAATATGAAAAATATAAGTCTTTGTACAGTTGTGAAATACATAAAAGCATGTAGTATAATAATAATAAAAAGGGAATATGTATATATGTAACTATTAGACACGAAGCAATGGAGATGCAATAGCAGTGGCAGTAGTAGCATTGGACTTATTATCAGTAGGGTATGTGCCTGGTGGATTACTTGTTAAAAGGGCAGCAGCAGCAAGCAAATCAATAGCTTCTTCTCTAACAGAGAGTTTCTTGCTAGGACGCTCTTGGTCATCTTCATCCACTTCTCTCTTTCTTTTCGTGGATCGGCTGCCTTGAGCTTTGATAGGCGTAGTCTCATGGACAGCAAGCCATTCTTCATTATTGAATTCATCTTCTTCTTCTTCTTCCTCATGCTTGTTTGGTTGGGTATTTAAGAAATTATTATTTACATTGAGAAGATCTTCTTCTTCATCTTCTTCAGAATCATCTTCCACTAATTCATCCATGTGGAGAGTATGCGACAAGAGGTTTTGGGTAGCATTGATCTTGCTGCTTTCTTCTTCTAGCCATGACCAGCCACTTGATTCAGTATGGGCAGTATTGGTAGTAGGTGCATCATTATTATTCAAGAACAGATTATGATTATAGTCCAAATCCAATAAGGCAGAGGGACTTTCAGGGTCATTATTCAAAGGTGAAGATGGCTCACTAGCAAAAGAAACTAATGCTTCCAATGTTTCATCTGTTGTAGCAAACCACCAATCTTCATCACTGCATATATCCTTTGATTCCAGTTCTGATAGTTTTTCTTGCTCTTTTCTAACGCTTTCCCAAAGTCTTTTTTTTTATACAATTAATAAGACAAAAAAAAAAAAATAAAGAAATTATTACCTTGAGGACAAAAGTATCTTTCTTAAAGGAATTTCGGTTTTTGAATGGACACTGGGATAGACTTTTTCTTGGCTAGCAGATGCAATGCGCTTCAAGAGTGCTTTATTTGTGAAATCCATCATGAATGAATAATGAAATAAAATAGAAAAAATAGGCTTATTATCTCGTCTTGTTCTTTATTGAATCAAAGTAATGAAAGTAATACGTGTCGCTTGGTTGTACGAAAGGGGCAAAAAAAAAAAATCGAAAAAGAGAAAGAAAGAGAGAAAAGGAAAAAAAAAGAGAGGATTTGTTATAAAAAATAGACAAAAAGACGGACATTAAAACCAACAGTCGTGTGATAACCAATCATTCAATGGACTTTTAAAGAACAGACAATTTCTATTTTCGTCTATTTCATCCAACGGATGGATTTACGATAGCATTGAATGGCCAAACAACTAAAATGAGGGATCTTGTTTAAATACTGTAGTCAATTGAGTCTCTCATTTACTCTTACTCTCTTTGTGTTTGTACACAAACGAAATAAACTCATGCTTACAATGGATGCGTCACACACAAAAAAGGAACTGTAACATTTGTTTATGATTGACAGTCCTAAATTACAACACATTCTGTCTTCTCCCCTTTTTTCTTCTTCAATTGGATGACGTACGATGATCCATGTCGGAACTTGAAATGCATGTCGAAAATGAAACTAACAGGCACAGACAATGTGTTTGTTTGTTTGCTAATATACACCGTATTCGAAACAAAGTTTCTGATGTATATGTAACCAAGAGAGACGTATATAAAGTTACCAGCGATCAGGAATACATTAACCTGGATAGAGAAAAAGTATACAAAAAAGGGAAAAAGTGTATTTTTATTCACACCGTTCATTGGTCGAAAACTTATTTTTAATTCAGGGCGTTTTAAGGCTGCGTCGCAACATAGAGACTCCACTGTTCTGCATGAATTTATTTACAATTTACTTGAACCAACTAAAGCACCACCATCTACAGTAATAAGGGCTCCAACAGTGTATTGACCAGCACGAGAAGCAAGGTATAAACAAGTACCAGCAATGTCTTCAGGTGTACCTACTCTTCCAACAGGAACAGCAGCAACAATCTTATCGCCTCTTTCTTTCAAAGTAGCGGCCATCATCTTGGAAGGAAATGAGCCAGGAGCAATGGCATTCACAAGGATATGTTCTTGACCGAGTCTACCAGCCAAGTGACGACTCAAGTGATGAACGGCAGCTTTAGAGGAAGAATAAGCATAGGTTTCCATACCAGGAGGCTATGTCGAGTCATTAGCGTTAAGACAGATACAGACCACTTACAGATTCACCATTGATAGAACCAATGTTGATCACACGAGAAGGAACATCCTTTGTAGCCTTGGCTCTCAAAAGAGGGAGACAACTATATCCTATTTAGAAACAAAACATACGCATACGAGCGCTTCACTTACGCTTGTGTCAAAGTAAAAATACGAGTAACATTCAAGTTCATGACTTTTTGGAATGCAGCATCGGGATATTGGTCAAGAGGAGCACCCCAGGTAGCACCAGCATTGTTAATAAGCACATCCAAGTCTATGGATTTGCATGTGAGTGCCCTTTTGATATCTAACAAGCGAATGACTTACGGTCTTCGCGTTTGCCTAATTCAGCAACAAGTTTCTTGATGTCTTCAACACTTTGTAAATCAGCAGGCAAAGCAATACATTTACCAGGGCCCAAAGCTGTTAATTTAGCAGCAACCTAAACAAAACAGATAAGTTCCCCGGTGAGACACGAGAAAAAGGGGTTTATCTTACTTCATCACACGCTTTAGCAGAACGACTACTGATATAGACAATGGCACCGCTTTGAACAAATCCCTATACATCAAGTCAATCATGGATTTCACTCTAAAAAAAAAAAGACATACAGTAGCAATCATTTCACCAATACCACGAGAGCCACCTGTCACCAAGACAACCTTATCCCTGACACTAAAGAGTTGTTGAATATCCATGATAAAAAGAAAAGAGTAAAGAAAAATAAAATAAAAAGAGAGTAAGTTTGTGTGGGGAATTTATTAAACTCTGACAGTAAAAATTTTAGTCATCTTTTTTTTTTTTTTTTTTTTTTTTTGAATTATGCAGAATTCTGTTTCTTTTGATCTTTTTCATGACTGTCGACACAACTTGTTTTTTTTTTTGTTTCTGTTTTAGGTGGTTGATAAACATAATTGCCTTCAAAATATATTGCTTCTAAGGTTTCTTTATTCAATGTTGTTTTGACTTGCTACATAAAAGGTTCACCAGTGCCTTTTTTTTTTATCTTATTTTTTATAAGCCTGTGGTTCATTGCGTGTGTATGTGTGTGTGTGTGTGTGTGTGTGTGTGTGTGTGTGTGTATGTAATTTTTTTTCGGTCTCTGAATCTGTCAAAGAACTTAAACACTAGCATAAACACACTTTCTTTTCTCTTCAATGGATTTACCATCAAAGAAACGCCTCAGACGCACAAAGAAACTACAATGTCAATTAGAAAAAAGAATTGACTTTGTTGACTCTGTTTTCTCAAAAGAACTTGTGCTAAAAGTGTTTAGTTTCTTATCTTCAAGTGACTTGGCTCAGTGTGCTGTAGTCAGTCTTCGTTGGTCACAGATGGCCAGTGATGAAATGGTAAGATGATGATGACTTTCTTACTTGTATTGACCTTTTGTTTTCTTGCAGTTATGGAAACCGTTGTTTATGAACCAATTTGAAGCACAAGAGAATATCACTCAAAAAACAACTGCTACGCGATATGGAGGCAGCTGGAAAACCAAATATAGAGTCCATCACAACTGGTTACTAGGTAAACACAAACATAGATAAGCCACTTATCCATTCTATATTTTTTCTCTAGGCAATCATGATATACATGACATTGTCCAGTATCAAGACAACACTTCACCTCATCAATTACAATTGATGCATGACGTGCTGTTTATTTCGCAACAAAGTTCAATTGATGTCTATAGAACAGAGGGACCTGTCTTATTACGACAATTGCAATGCACATCCTGTGTTACATTCCTAAAACTAGTGGAAAGTACCCATACACATCACTTAGTAGCTGGTGATGCGAATGGTGGATTGACATTATGGGAAATCAAAGGATCTTCGTCTATGGATTTGGATATAGTAGAAATAGCCACTTATGCTACAGAACAAAACAAGGTCATCTCTGTTGGCATGAACTACCCGATATTAGTTACCTTTACTCATAATAGAAAACTCTCTGTCTTTCGTCTTCAGAATCTCACTTGTTCCCTTATTCAATGCTTACAGAGTCCAATGGATTGGTCTCCTATGATCATGGATATCCATGCTATAGCAAATCAACGCTGGAAAGTTGTGTTGTGCTTTGGTTCTTCTCATCATGATACCGTGGGGATGCAAGAAATAGTGCTGAATTTGCACCGAGTCATATCCTCAAGGCAAGGCTTTTGTCCCCTTTCTTTTCCATGTCATTCTTTGTCAGACCAAATCACATCCATGGTGTATGACTCACCCTATCTGATTACAGCTCACACAAATAACACAATGAAACAATACATTGTGTCGAACCGAGGGTCACAATTAGACATTCGTTTTCAACAAACACTGTATGGCCATACATGTCGAGTCGATGCACTTGCTATTACCAAGCATAAACTCATCAGTGGTGATCGATCAGGCATTTACATATGGAATCTAGCCACAAAGCAACACATCATGACACTCCGTATGTACCAAGACCAGTCTAGCCTGAACGAATTGCCTGATGCTCATATGGAAACACTTGGTTTTGATGAAGACAAAATAGTGGCTGTTGTACAGAATGACAAAGGTGATGCCTTTGTTCGATTATGGTCATTTAATCAATAAATTTAGATGGCTTTATCTAGTTCTTCTAAAGAAGGAAATTTATGCTCAAACTCGTCTACATCTTCAGTGGACACCGTTCTTTGGTGTGTACGGAACCGGGCAGGTTTAGGTGGTGGTGCAGGCTTGTTTTTCTTGCTTGTGCTTGTACTGACAGTAGGTGTAGGCTTCACATACTGTGTGTTTCTGCTTGCGTTCTTAATGGCCATGAATCGAGCTTCAATACTAGAAGATACATTACGATTGATTTTAGGCATGCTTTCTTCTGTTTCTTCTGTTTCTTGTTGTTGATTTGAACTGACAGGTGAATTAGGTTGTGATTGTAGTATTTTAGTAGCCATTTGAGGTTTTGGTGCTGTATGATGTGTCAAGGGAGCACTCTGTACACGCGAAGGAGGAGAAGAAGAAGAAGAAGGAGGAGATGAGGATGATGTTTCAGGTATAAAACTATTTTGAAAAGTAGAAGATTCATGCACAGGTAATGGTGGTGGTGGTGGTGGTGTTGTTGTTGTTGTTGTTGACTGTTTATTCATATGCGATGGATCAAAGGGATCATAGGATTCTTGTGTACTGTTCCTTTCAGGCTTTGTAGGTCTACCTCGACGCATAGGTGTAATATGAGGTAATTCTTGAGCAGGACTAGATATTTTTTCAAAAATGGCTTGTTGTTGTTGTTGTTGTTGAGCAGGTGTCATGATAGGTTCTGAATAAATATCTCGAATAGGACATTCCATGCCTCTTAAATGACAGACTGCATTCAATACTTGATAAATAGTCGGTCTACGGTGTTGATCTTCTTGTAACATAGACACAATCAATCGACACAACCCTTCTGAGAACATGGGTGTAGAAGGTATAGTGTAGCGTGCATTCAGAATCGCCAATTGACCTTCTTCTTCAAAAGGTGTTGTATAATAACACAGTTTGTAAAGCAAAACACCCATAGCCCAAATATCTGCTTTTTCATTCACTGGTTTCTTTTGGTAGACATCAATCATTTCTGGTGCACGGTATTGAAGGGTTGTATGGCGTTGAATATCGTCTTCTAGTTTCTGTACATCACGTAATGTAGTTGGAATATAGTTTCCTCTTGACAATGAAGCAGAACCAAAATCACATAATTTGTAATGGTCCTGATTCAAAATCAAAATGTTCTCTACTTTCAAGTCTCTGTGTAAGACAGGTGGATTACAGTAATGCATATAAGCCAATGCCTAGATATGGAATCAATCTATGGTTGATATGACCAACAAACTTACCTCTGCTACATCACTAAAGATCTTTAAGATTTCAGGTTCAGTCAGTCGCTGTTGTAATCTTCTGTTCATCAGATCAATGACACCACCACCTACATTGATTTAATATATATATATATAAATATAAAAATATAAAATCAAGGCACGTACCAGGACAGTATTCCATCAAAATAAGCGCTTCAAATCCACCTACAGACAACGGATCAATTCTCGATTCATAATAGCGCACAATATTTTTATGATCCCCAAGTCGTCTCTAGAGCATGATGATCAGTCAATAATGAAATAAGATAATCTTCTTACCATAAACGCAATCTCTTTCTCTACCATCTTGAGTCTTTCTCCATCAGGAACAGCCACTCTTTTCAATACCACATAGCCTGATTTTCCTTCAATACGAGCAATATAGACATGGGCAAAACCACCTAACATGATGAATATAAATAAAGATAACATATACACGCATGTTGAGATTACCTTCTGCAATAAAGTTGTGTACAATCACTTGATATTTCCCTACTTGAAGACGAGTACCAGCTGGCATAGCACCCGGAGGTAAAGGTGGTGAGTTCATGGTGTCGATACCAACAGGTACAGGAGGTAAGGTCTGACCCACGCCTTGTTGTTCGGGTATACGGTTTTGTTGCATCTGAAGATGAGAGGAAAAAAAAAAAAAAAAAAAAAAAGGGAAAACGAAACAAAATTTAGATGTCATGTCGTCACAGCCAAAACAGCGGGATAGGTTCCACCAATCAAAAAGTGCCGATACAATCCAGACAATTTAGCATAGATCATGGATAAAAAGAACAAGTAACAGACTATAGCATAGTGTAAAATGATACATGTACTTGTATATAAGGTAAAATATAAAGATGGGAGACTATATATATATATATATATATATGTTTGTTTCTTTATTTGGATATCCGAATGATTTAAATAGTTGTGTGTGTGTGTGAGTCCTTTTTTTTTTATTTTTTTTTTTCTTTTCAACATTATGATTTCACTTGGTACAGATGACACTATGAACTCCATTACTTCAGATACCATTATAAACTATTCAGAATTCAGTGATCACCCAATACCGCATATAAACCAAGTAAAATGAAGTAAAAAAAAAAAAAAAAAAGAAAGAAAGAGAGGGAGGGAGAGAGGGAGACAGAGGGAAATAATTCATGCTTACATGCATATCATAGGACACAAACTGGGACTGCGGATTAGCGTGTGTAGTCATGACATTACGAGGCTTAGGATTCATAGTGAGTGTGGAAGAGATAACAAGGCAATGTCCTGTCAACAGTGTCTGGACAATTGATTTAGCCTTTTTATTACGAAACTATGTTCAAGATTTCACCTATTACACAAGCTATTTAGGTAGTCGAAAAGAATATCAAGATCAAAAGTTTTATCAAGACAGTTTCAATGAAGACGAGAAAAGAGTCAACAAACTGTTTGCTATTGCCAAAAGCTGTTCAGTGCATGTGGTACGAATGTAAGTTGTCTTTTATTAAATGTATTTATAGATTCATAGGAATTTTGCATAGGATGTTACCCTTGGATGATTTTAAGCGGTTCTTGTTTTGTAAGAAATTTGCTATTATTACACTAGTCAATGCTCGCTTATTAAGGTGTCAATTATGTAAAGTAAGTAAACTAACATAAGCTTGTCTCCTCTTTATTTGGACTGATCTATACGCCATAGCAACACCGTGGATGTCTTGGCAGCCTGTGTAGTCAGCTTGATTTATTGCTGGAACGATGCAAAGGCTATGATTATTTAGGCCATTTTATCGTTTTGATTGGCTATGATCCGACTGAGGATTTGTTTGTCTATCGTGATCCAGCCGCAAATGATGCATTTTGTACGATATCAGCTGACGATCTAGATGAAGCAAGGCAGTCTGAAGGCACAGACCATGACTGGTAAAAACGAATATCACTGCTATAACCTATAACTTATCGTTGATTTAGTATTGTAGTGAAACTAGCATAAATGTACATATAATAAAGCAGTAGTAACACAACGGGACTTGTTGCAGATATTGACTGAGTTTTTCATTGGCTGAAAATAAATATAAAAGATGATAGCAACTTTATTGACGCGTTAAGTTAAAAAAAAAAAAAACAAAACAAAAAAAAACTTTTTCTTCTTCTTAAATGACTGTCCCTATGAATAACCACTACCCTGAAAATGTTGGTATCTTGGCCATGGAAATGTATTTCCCCAAGAGAGTAAGTAGACGAGATAAGCTATTTTATACTGAGTATACAGTGCGTTGTTCAATCTGAAATGGAAACCTTTGATGGTGTCAGTGCTGGTAAATACACCATTGGTCTTGGTCAAGAGAAGATGGCTTTTATTGATGACCGTGAAGATATTCAATCCATCTGTCTGACAGGTAAGTGACTGAGTCGTTGCTCATCTGGCTCATCTTGACTATGGTATAGCTGTCCAAAACTTGATGGAAAAATACAACCTTTCTTACAACGATATTGGTCGTCTTGAAGTGGGTACCGAAACCATCATTGACAAGTCTAAGGCTGTCAAGACTTGTTTGATGACCTTGTTCTCTGAACATGGTAACACTGAAATTGAAGGTATTGATACCACTAATGCCTGTTATGGTGGTTTTGCTGCCTTCTCCAACGCTGTCAACTGGGTTGAATCTTCTTCTTGGGATGGTCGTTTCGCTATTGTTGTTGCTGGCGATCTTGCTCTCTATGCTTCTGGTGCTGCCCGTCCTACCTCAGGTGCTGGTGTAGTAGCCATGCTGATTGGTAAGGATGCCCCTATCGTTGTCGAGCGCGGTCTTCGCTCCACACACATGGAACATGCCTATGACTTTTACAAGCCCGACATGCACTCTGAATACCCTGTGGTGGATGGTAAATTCTCCAACACTTGTTATCTTCGTGCCTTTGATTCTTGTTATCGTCGTTACATGGCTCGTTTGGGCAAGCTTGAAAATAAGGAGAAGCCTAGTATGGAGGATATCGATTATGTCGTCTGTCACTCTCCTTATGCCAAGTTGGTCAACAAATCATTTGCCCGTGCTGTAAGTATACGATTACTGCTGGAAAAAAAAAGGAGTAACTAACTCACTTGATTAGTCTTACAATGACTTTTTACTTGATAAAGACAATCAAAAGTATGCTCCTCTCAAGACCTTTGAAGAACTCTCCTATGCTGATTCTCTTGAAAGCAAGGATTTAGAAAAGGTTTTGATGGGTTTAACCAAGGCTGGTTATGCTCAAAAGGTGGGTCCTGCTGCTTATGTCCCCAAGCAGATTGGTAACATGTACACTGCTGCTGTCTGGGCTGGTTTAGCTTCCCTTGTATCTGAAGTTGATTCTGAGACACTTCAAGATAAGCGTATTATGTTGTACTCTTATGGTTCTGGTTTGGCTGCTTCCATGATCTCTTTCCGCGTCCGTGGTACCACAGAGAACATCAAGTCCAACTTAAACCTCCGTCAACGTCTTGCTGACCGTACTCATTCCAAGCCTGAAGAATTTGCTGAAGCCATGAAGATGCGTGAACAAACTCATAATGCTTGTAACTTTAATCCCTCTGGTAGCCTTGAACACATTGCTTCTGGTGCTTATTATGTTGAAAAGATTGATGATAAATGGAGACGCTTCTATAAGCGTAAGGATTGATAATGACACTTACACCTCTTTGTTTACTTTATAATACGATACTCTTTTTTTTTTATACAATTAATCTATTTATTTTTGTTTGTTTTCTCTAAAAATAATAAAAAAAAAAAAGTTTAACGACGGTCTGTTGAACCCATGCCACGCTTGCCACTGAATAAATGTTTGGGCATCTTTGTTTGAATTTGTCTATCTGATTCACCACGTTTACCGTGTTTAGATTGTTGCTTTTGAACGTTCTTCTTTTGTTTATCAGCTTCTAATTTCTGCTTGACATTACGGAAACCAAGGTTACTCATTTCTTCAGTCAAGGTTTCTTCACGATCATCCACTTGAACTTCTCTGACAGCCTGGTCAGGAATGGCTTCATGACGAGTACGCTTACGACCAGCAGCAGCATTCTTTGTACGTTCAGTAGCATCTGTACTATCAATGCCCATGCTTGTCAAATGTTGATCCATCTCACTCACAGTAGCATATTTAGCAGCTGTAGTCTTGGGTAATGCAGGTCTTGTTCTACCACGAGCAGCACGGTGTGCTTGTACAATCAATTTCTTGCGGTCACGAATAGCGTCAGCAGCAGTACGAAGGGCTTCTTCTTCATCATCCAAGATATCTTCGTCTGATTGATAAAAGCCTTCAGCTTCCAAACGCTCTTCTTCTCTTTCCAAAGCTTCCAACTTCTCTTCAATTTCAGGATCAATAAAGTCAGCCACATTGTGACCATTCAGGAACTCAGGAATGGTATCGTATTTCCAGTCATCGTCAGCCAACATGTATTTCTTCTTGACGTCCACATTGTAGACACCAGCACCTCCATTCTCTTGTTCCAAATCCTTTTCAAGTCTACGACGGTTGGGATCATTGGGATCATATTTCACTCGGGTTTGTACTTCGGTAGGGATATTGGGCAAACGAGCAATGTTGTCTCTTTGTTGAGGTTGAGCCAAGTGAATCTTGTTGATGACATCGTTGATCTTGTTGCCCTTCATCTTCATTTCAACACGGGCAGCTAATAATCGATCACAAGCACTGTTACGGACGTTCATGACACCTTCTTCATTATAACAAGACATGGTCAAGACAGTTGCGTTTTCTTCATTAGCAATGTCTTCAATCCATTGGCGTTGTTCGGGAGATAAGTCTTCAGGCTTGACTTGATCAATCTTGTTGATGACCAACACAATAGGCTTGTTGGCAAACAAAGGCTTGATGTTATGGAACAACTTGACTTGGTCTTCTACGCTGTAACCACATTGTTCAGAAAGATCCATAAAGTACATGATACAGGATCTCAAGTGAGCCATGGCTGTAATTGACTGCATTTCAATCGTATTGCGTTCTTCCAAAGGGTGGTCAAGAATACCAGGTGTATCAATAACTTGCCAGCGCATATATTTATAGTCCATATGACCCACAAACAATGATTTGGTGGTAAAGGCATAAGGTTGCACATCGACATCAGCACGGGTGATCTTGTTAATAAAGGATGATTTGCCGACATTAGGGTAACCACAGATCAACAGTGTACGAGTGTTAGGATCAATGGAAGGCAAACGAGACAAGTGTTGACGGACTTGTTCGAGATAGGCTAAACTGTCCTTTTGACGTTTCATGACAGTAGCCATACGACCTAAAGCAGCCTTCTTGAGTTGTTTACAACGATAGAGTGAGTCACCGAATTTCAGGAGACGAACATAGTCCTTGGCAACTTGATCAATCAAGTGACGGGCAGTATTGACTTGACCTAAAGCAAGCTTGTAGTGGTCTTTATCGTACAAGACATTCATCAAATCAGCATAAAAGGGGTGAATGTCCTATATAAATGTCAGCCTATGAGGCCTTCTTCTTTCTCATTGTGATTACCTCCATCTTGGGGAATTCATCCAAAATATTCTTGAACTTTTCATCAAAACTTTCTTGTGTAAATTTGACTTTACGCATATAGAATTGTCTGATACGACCAATATTGTAGTTTTTGTGAATGACAGTAGGTGTCTTTCTCTGTGTCTTTGATAAGATAATATCAATAAAGTCTGAGGACGTTGGCACAGGTTCGATTTTCTTGAAGTTATATAAGGAGGTCATGTTTGAAGTGAGTGAATCAAAAAGAGAATCGAGATCTATATATTTTTTTTCTCGATTTTCCTTTTGGGAGAAAAAAAGAAAAGCAGTCAATGAAAGCCTTCCAATGTTGCTGCTGGTATATTTTTCAGTAAAATTGGGAGTGTTGATGATTTAATAAATTTCTGCAGGAAAAAAAAAAAAAAAGGTACGCACTCTAGAGTCTGTGATGATATTAAACTGTTTGTCATTGTGTCAAAATACCAGTTGGTCCAAGCACTTTTTAATGGTCCTATATTATCTTAACAATGTCATTATTATGACCTAAAAGACATGCAACATAAACTTGAATGAAACTAGAGTTTACTGTTGGCATGCAGACTCTTTTCAATAAACACTCCTTTTGTTCTCCTAAACAAAGAGAGATTGCATCATTTGACCCTCCCTGAAAGTCTATTTATTTGTTTATAAATATCCAATTCTCTACATCTTTTTTTCTTCTCTCTCTCTTATGACCATGTTTACAATCAATAGCGATTTAATCAATCATGCAGAGTCTATGCCTAAACCCATTTTAGTCAATAGTCCAACCCTTGTTTCTTCTATGATTGAGCCCAAGAAACTGTCAGATAATACCAAGATTACGCTACAATTAGAGAGTACAGATCAGTCACACCATCAAGCAAACATGGACGATTTTGAAATCAAACAGCCAATTGGTAACGCAGTAGGATGCTATGATATACTTATGCATCTAGGCTATGGATCATCAGCTATTGTTTATAGCGCAACCTATATTCCATGTAACAAGCGAGTTGCTATCAAAATCATTGACTTGGACATGTTTGAAAGAAACCAAATTGATGAATTAAGGGTATGTTGTATCTCAAACATTCTTTATCGCTATAATCAAAATCTATAGAGAGAAACAGCATTGATGGCACTCTCCAAACACCCTCATATACTGCAAGTATATGGCTCATTTGTACATGGATCGAAGCTTCATATCGTCACTCCTTATATGGCCGTAGGCAAGTCATCAGAAATATTGTATTATTTATTCATTTATTTATTTATACAGGCTCATGTCTTGATGTCATGAAGTTGAGCTTTCCGGACGGTCTAGATGAAATTAGTATTGCTACTATTTTAAAACAAGCCTTAGAGGGGCTCACATATTTGCATAAAAATGGCCACATTCATCGTGACGTGAAGGCAGGAAATTTGCTCATGGATCAAGATGGATCCGTCTTGTTGGCTGATTTTGGTGTCTCGAGTTCATTGATGGAAACAGGAGAAAAGGGGGTGCGAAAGACATTTGTTGGCACTGTAAGTAACATGGTTGAATCGAGGGAATCTTTACTTAAGTTGTGTAGCCTTGTTGGATGGCACCCGAAGTGATGGAACAGGCTGATTATGATTATAAAGCAGATATTTGGAGTTTTGGTATCACTGCTATTGAGCTAGCAACGGGTCATGCACCCTTTGCTAAGCTCTCTCCTCTCAAGGTAAGGAAAAGATTTGTATGTACCTCTCTATACCAACTTTATTCCAATAGGTCTTGATGATGACGCTTAATAATGACCCACCCACATTGAATCGTGAAACAGCCACGAACAAATTCTCCAAAGTGTTTAAAGAAATGATTGATTCCTGCATGCATAAAGACCCTTTAAAACGGTAATGACACATTTCTTTTGAACATGACACCCATGATTTATACAGGCCCACGTCCGAAAAACTATTACAACACCCATTCTTTAAACAAGCCAAAAAGCCAGACTGGTTAGCAAAAAACTTGATTGCTGAAATACCTTCGATTGAAAACAGACCGACAAAAAAAGTGCCTCAGAAACCTACCTCGACTGCGAATACAGACGAATGGGATTTCAATGATGATCAAGGCCAACAGTCTAATACAAATGCGCCAAAGCGACATATTTCTTTTGGTCATGTTGTTGTTCGAAAGCCTTCAAAACATCATGTATCTTCTGTGTCTTGGTCCTATTCTCCTTCTTCTGATGCAGGTAGTGTCATTGTTTATTTGTATAGATGTTAATCATGTATGTATGTATTTATGTATAGCGTCAAGAAAAGGTAGAGCCCTTAGTGATGACTTTATATTAGAACCCTCACAAATAGCAAATAGTAGACATCGTCACCAAGGCTCTGTTCCTTTAGCATTTCCATCCGATGTAAGCCCATATCGTCCAAGAGACATCCTAACATATACATTAGGATAAGCGCAGTCAAATGATCAAAGGAAGAGCAAGACACGGTAGTCTTCATGAAAAAACACCTTCAGTCAGCTTTGCTGAAGAAACAACCAAAGCAACCAGTGATAAACTATTATATCGCACTACAAGCCATGATGGAAACATGAGTAAAGCATAACAGAGTTATGATGAAAGTCTAACTACGTCCTATATATATATAGATAGAAAATCACAACAGCATTCGCCTCCCCCTTTTCCTTTACACCTGCAAGTCAATTCTTTGACGCGTAATAACTCCTCACTAAAAAGAGAAAAGACCACGCATTCAAAGAAAAGTCTTTCTGAAGACTTGATTATAGAATCAAGAAAAGTAGGAAGATTCGAACTTACAAGTACAGACCATAAGCAATATGATACAATTTCGAGTTCTTCCTCAACATGTAAGACGGCCATTTATAATCAAATAGACGAACTCTTAAAGCAAAACGATATGCAGAGACAACTGTTGAGTGAATTATCTAGTTCATTTGAACCAAAACCAAAACCAAAACCAAATGAACAGCTTGCTTCTACTATCGTAAGCACCTCCCTGTTGTATATCTTTATTTATATTCTCTATTAGGAAGCACTTGAACAACAGTTGCAATCTTATCAACGTGAGAACTTATTACTCCAAAGGGAGAATGAAACCATGCGAAGACAATTGGAATTGCTTAAAAATAAATAAATTTTTTTCTTTTCATTTTCTTTTGCGATTGAAAAACCAAGTCCCAAGGAAAAAAATTTTTCAAGGGAAAGGGTTACCAAAAAATTAGGGTAAACTTCCTTAGTGTCTCGCATCCACGGAAATCTTTAGTAAAAGGCGAAAGATTTATCCGATCTGAGCACAAGACAGAAGTACAAAGATTTAAAAAATTTCAAGTTTTGGTCCTCTTTATATACTTTTTTCTTGGATCTCAAAATGGATCGGATGATGAAAAAAGGCAGTCTCGAAAAGCAGGAACGGTTGCTTAGTTTTATTTAGTGGGAAATTTTCTTGAGGAAACATGGTTGAACAAACTAGTGGCAAGCTAACTTTGTTTATTCTATAAATAGAAATCTTGAACCCCATTGTTGCAATAAATAAAACAGTCGACTGTAGAGATGACAGATGGGATTATCACAGGTCGCTACATCGTGTTGGTCCCAGTCTTGTTCTTCCCATATTAACTGGTATCGCGCTTCAAATTTGGATCGTGTTATCACATCCTTTTGAGTCTCAAACGACCTTAACAAGTCATTGATGAGCCATAATACGTCTATGTGTATATGTCCAACAGATCTATCATGGCGCCTGATAGAGTGAAGAAATAAATGAACAAGGCCTAGTTTTAGATGCCAATCTCCAATTCCCTCACAGAGATAGCTGACTTCCATCGGAAAGCGCCTTGTTTTTCTTGCAGGAAATGCACAGCATAATAATGATTCAAGTGACAGCTGTTTGTCATGAATTATGCATGTTCTTACTTTATGTAAATAATCTATTACTGAAGTGACAGGATACCATTTCAACGCTTGTATTGTTTGCATTTCCCATTTTCTATACATGATAGAGGGCGAAAAAAAAGGAAGGAAAAAAGGGGGAGGAGGACTTGATTAATTGAAGAGAGGCTTAATAAGATCATTTATGCATCACTTCCATCCCATGTATTTTGCTTGTCAATTCTGGTTCACTTGTGACGGTTGTGCAAAACCGAAAAATAAAACGAGAATCTTTTTTCTTTTTCTTTCTCTTCCTTTTATCTTATATTAAAAAAAATGTGGGTTGCTTGTCAAAGATATAAACAACCGCTTAAGCGATTTGTTCATTTGCGAAATATTGCAATAAAACAAACAAAATCAATCGCTGTAAACAAAAGTGTCTTTTTTCATTCTTCTGCTCAAACATTGGATACAAAGGAAGGCAAGTAAATCTATCAGAAACGGTATGCTTATGTGACTCCTAGATCCTCAAACGGTCTATAGTGTAAGACCTACTGGTTTCTGGGTCGATAAGATTTTACATCATGAATCAAAGAAACCAATCACTTCTCCATCCAAACCTCGTCAATTGGTTGACCGAACAGTAAGATTTCCTATTGCGTGAATGATGCCTGATGTCTCTTGTATTAGATGAAGGATAGTTATATGGAAGAATATCTTCCCTTCAAGTCTTCTCCCGAGCTTTTAGAAGAATATGTTTTCTCTGATGGTAGAATTCGTACTGGGAAATTATTAGAAGGCAAGGTGAATAGACACAATAATGTACACAGATTGTCTTATTTAGGATGTGATTGATAACACTTTATTTCTAGATTTGGATGCGCTTGCAGGTGCCATAGCCTATAAGCATATTGACAACGGAGACCCTGATGCTTCTCCAGTCACGATTGTTACAGCAAGCGTTGATCGCCTGGATTTGTTTTTACCCGAAGCAGGTGTTCAGAACTATAAATTAAGCGGTCATGTCACTTATGTTGGTAGTAGTTCTATGGAAAGTAAGTTGGGTACCGGGAAAATGGACATCGTCTCTAACGTAGAGTGGATTAGTCTTTATCAAAGCAGAGACTGTACCAGAAAATGAAGTTGGCAATGCTGGTAATGGAAGGAACATTGAGAACCCGGAGAATCTCGGTATCTTGAGCAAGAACACAGTGTTGGCTACAAGATTTACCATGGTCGCTATCGACTCTGTAACACAAAAGCCTGTCAAGATTAACTCTCTTAAATTGACTTCTCCTGCTGAAGAACGACTTTTTGAAATGGCTGAGGCCAACAAAAAAAGAAAGAAGCGTGCTGCAGAAATTGCACTTACTCGTCAACCTCCTACACCTGAAGAACGTTTGGATATTCACGATATCTTTCTTCAATACTCTCAATACACCCATGGTGAACACGGGGATGATTTTTTGACCGCCCGTTGTACAGACGAAATGCAACCTTTGCCTGACAACATGGTATGGATGCGTGATACAAAGATTGAAAGCAACTTTTTGATGCAACCTCAAGACCGTAACATTCACAACAATATCTTTGGTGGTTATTTGATGCGTCGTGCTTATGAATTAGCTTATGCCAACACTGCTCTTTTCATGAAGACTTCCTCACCTACTTTGTTGTCTATGGATGAAGTCACTTTCAGAAAGCCTGTGCATGTCGGCACCCTGCTCAACTTGAGATCTGGTATTGTTTTATCCGAAGGCTATCCTCACCGCACAGTACAAGTACGTGTGATTGCGGAAGTTGTGAGTATTGAAAAGGGCACACGTGAAACAACAAATGTGTTTCATTTCACATTGGCTACTGGTAGTGAAAAAGTCAAGCTTCGTCGTATTCTTCCTAGAACCTATGCTGAAACAATGCTTTGGATTGATGCTAAACGTAGGCGTTTCCAAGGCATTCATGCCAGACACGCCATGTTAGAAGCCGGTGTGATGCAAAACTAAACTTTTTTTTATTCAATAAACAATCAATCAAAAAGAGGTACACCAAACCCAAAGATCATGGGGTCATTGAATCTTTGGTTTGACTTGAGTGCATCTAAAGTCTTGTTGTCTTGTTCATCAAACTTAATGTCCAAGATATCAAAGTTGCTCTTCATTCTGTCTTCATTTGAACTCTTAGGAATCACGGCAATTTCACGATCCAAAGCCCAACGAAGAAGTACTTGACCTGTAGTGACATTGTGTTTATTGGCAATCGATTTGACATGGTCATGCTCAAGCAAGGATGAATAATCTTTGCCAAATTCACTCAAGTTGACATAGGAAGTAGGACCAAAAGAAGAATAAGCAGTGACTTGAATGCCTTGATCCTTGACCCATTTAATAAGACGCTCTTGGGGTAAGTAAGGATGAATTTCAATCTAATGATTTGTTAGCACATATACAACCATGTCAAGTGTTTACCTGTAACACAGCAGGTTTGATTTTGGCATAAGTCAACATATCCATGATGGTTTGACAGTTAAAGTTGGCAATACCAATATTACGTGTTAAATTGGCTTCAACAAGCTTTTCTAATTCAGTCCAGCATTCGTGTAGAGGAGAGGGTTCGAAAGTCAATGTATTTGCACCGGGAACATACCATTCAGGAGGATAGTTGATAGAAGGGTCCACATATTGCAAGGGAATAGGGACTTGTTTACATTAGTACATGATAGCACGTAGAGAAATATCACTTACAATGGATCAAATAGAGATCGAAGTAGTCGAGTCCCCAATCCTTAAGTTGTCTGTCAAAAGCAGCACGCACATGTTGCTTGTTATGGAATGTGTTCCATAATTTAGTGACAACTAAACATCGTTAACCTCGATGTACACACGAACCCAATGACACTTACTGAATAGCTCCTCACGCTTTACCAAGCCTTCCTTGATAGCCTTATTTACACCACGTCCCACTTCTACTTCATTACCGTAATCACAAGCACCATCAAAAAGTCTATAACCCACTTTAATGGCTTGATAAATAGTGTCTTCGGCATCTTTCTTGTCAATCTTCCAGCAGCCAAAACCACGGAGAGGCATCTTATCACCTGAGTGTAAAGTAACGTAATCGACAGACATCTTGCGTAATGAAAATATAAAAAAGAGAAGTGGGAAAATGAAAGTAAATCAAAGTCCTTATAGTTGACTAAATTGGGAATCCGATTACCAGGTTTATTACACAGACATCTTGTGTATTCAATAAAGTGTAGGAATGATGCGATTTTCAATATGATATTGCATCAATATTTGTGCGATTGACTATATTTAGTGCCTGGTTTCTATTATTCTAGTCTATAAGCTCTTCTTCTTCTTTTTGAATCGCATTCTCTCAATTTCTTTAGCTCTTTTTGTCTTTCCTCTTTCTTCATTTTCCCGCGTTCAAGGAATCTTTCTCTGCTGCGGTTAAAACAATGTTCAAAGAAACAACATATTTATTATATAAACATGTAATCTTATGTACCATATTACTTTCTTAATAACATAAAAAAAAAAAAGACGCGCACTATCGTTGTTGTTATTTACAAAGAGCTTTTGTTGCCTTTTTTTATTTTATTTTTTGCTTATCATTTTTCAAAACACGGGTCATGAAACCCTGAATTATTATTACAAATCAAACTGAAAGATACACAGTCATATTTTATTGGTAGAACCTAAAAGTCTTTCCATAATTTCCAATCGTCAAGAGTTTGTTTGAAACCTAGCAAGTATGCGGTAAGAGACATATACTACACACTACTTGTTAGTTCTGGACAACCCACGTTTTTTAATTTATGATTTTGTATCAGACTCTCTGATAAAAAGACGGTAAAGGTAAGAAAAGCCTCTCTCTACGATAGATTGAGCAACAATTAAACTAATATGCTGGGATTTATCCAACCATAAGTTTAGTGCCTGTATGGGATTCCACAGTTCGTCTTCAGAGAAGAACCAGTGATAATGCTAAAGTGCTGCAAGACCAGTATCCACACAGAGTAGTGCTTTGTCCTGATAACGAGCACTACCTTTAGAAGGCAAAGATATCAGGGCTTTTCACAAAGACATAGGCGAAAAGAATGCTTCACTCATATTTGGATGAATGAGATAAGTTTCCCAGTAACTTCATCTAAAGCTGCAATCAACAAACATATAATACTGCGTCTCGGCTTCAGAACTACAGACAGGACAGAGGGAAGAGGGAAGAGGGAAGAGGGGAGAGGGGAGAGGGGAGAGGGGAGAGGGGAGAGGGGAGAGGGGAGAGGGGAGAGGGGAGAGGGGAGAGGGGAGAGGGGAGAGGGGAGAGGGGAGAGGGGAGAGGGGAGAGGGGAGAGGGGAGAGGGGGAGAGGGGGAGAGGGGAGAGAGAAAATGATTTGAGTCCCAGCGGTTCAGTTGATTAACATTTCTTGAGACGCCATGAAGCAGTCGTTACCAAGGTGTAATTGCTTTTTGAGATAGTCGAAGGAACCAAAAAACGCCAACGAGGTATCGAAAGAAGAAGGGGGACAGACACAGCAAAAGGATCAGAATTGTCCTTTGGTCTTGACTGGCTTTGCCAGTATCGCCTAATATGGCCAGGCTTTGCTTAAACCAGCCCAACCGTTGCCTTGAGCCCAGAGTCAGAGATCCACTGGTCAGTGGCGGGCATTCAAGAAGGGAGTCCAGGATAGCATTGTTCCACTGATTCATGTAGTGGTAGCAGTCAAACTACTTTGTCCGCGATAAACGGACACAGAATGCAAGCGAACTGATTGGTGGGGGACGAATGAAGAATCACATCAAAGAGCCTTGTCAGCACAGAACGTTCATCAGCGACAGGAAGCTTCCCTTCCCCTGAAGGCTTTCAAGCTGTCTCCCCAAGTTCGGGGAGATGTCATCTAAAGTAATAGTAATACTAGATTATTTTCATAAGTGGATGGGGGTAGGGGGCTGGGAAGACAAAAAGACACACTTGAATCTTTGGAGGATCATAAGAGGAAGTATCAAGCTTATTCTTGCATTGTTTAGTATGCTAGAAATTGATTTCAGATTAAAAAAAGCTAGTTGTTCAATACATTATTATCATATATGGAGTTTTAAAAGTTTATGTTTTTCAGAAAGGAGGAGACAGTTTTAAGAAGCCCGAAGCGATTAAAGACTTGTAGATAAATTCGTAAATGTCAGAAACTTCTCATGAACGTAATGAGCATATAAAAGAATGTCAAAAATATTAACTTCAGAATATTTAACAGATTCAAACATCGACATCATTTATGCCGACATGCCAAGTATGCCATTTGTGTACCTGAAAGGATATTTTTCAAAAATAATAAAAACCACTTTTTAAAATAAAATAAGAAAATTTTCTGCAATGACAAGAAATAAAAAAAGTAGTTTTTCTGCTTAAAATTTTTAAAAAAAAGTAGGAATTCTTTGATTTTCCTGTTGTAAATTAAAAAAAAAGTCGATTTTTCAATTTTTCTGTTTTAAATAAATGAACGAGTCTACCGGATGATGATTTCACTGTTTTGGTTTAGAGAAGAGGTTATTGTCTGGTAGATTCGTTTTTTAATTCAAAACTGGAAAATCGAAAAATAAGCTTTTTTTTTTTTTTAATTTTAAGCAGAAAAACTACAAATTTTCTACTTTTTTTTAAAAATTTTAAGCAGAAAAACTACTTTTTTTATTTCTTGTCATTGCAGAAAATGTTTTTGATTTATTTTAGAGTATAGTTTTAAAATATTTTTTTTTGAGTACACAAATGGCATATTTGTAATTTCGGCATAACTGTCAATATTTTTATTAATTTTGAAAATGCTTTTTTTTTGTAAGTCTATTGCACTGATCACGAAGGCCTGAGATCTAAGAGCCTTTGCATAGTTTCCCCATCAATCTAGCTATCTTTCTCGTAGGGTTAGCACTACAGCATAAGTGATGGAGGAAAGATGCAACCGCTGACGCTGTGGTGTATGATTGCCATGGCTGCTAAAGGCACTACGGTTTCTATGCTTATTATGGCTGTCATAATCACTTTGCTGCATCAGGGAATCTGGTCAGAAATTGATGAGAAAATGTGTTCAAGACAAAGCTCAGATTGCTGGAGTTGTCATTTGGGATGTAAAGGCGCTGTTGATGTCTGACAGCCGCTTTCCAAATAGGATCTTTAGCTGCCGCTTGCTTGATTAGAGTATGCTAAAATTTATTCAAAGAAAGGGTGTAGCTGACTTGTGAGCCTAATTTCAAATAAAAAAATAGAAATTAACATCTTGAAGAAAAGTATCATGCGCTGGCTGAATAAGTTTAGATGATGAACCATACCTTTCTTATTCTATTTTTCTGGCCCGAGCATAAATTTTGGTGTTCAGAGACACTTCCTAAAGATTGCGATAACCCTACGAGAAAGATAGCTAGATTGATGGGGAAACTATGCAAAGGCTCTTAGATCTCAGGCCTTCGTGATCAGTGCAATAGACTTACAAAAAAAAAGCATTTTCAAAATTAATAAAAATATTGACAGTTATGCCGAAATTACAAATATGCCATTTGTGTACTCAAAAAAAAATATTTTAAAACTATACTCTAAAATAAATCAAAAACATTTTCTGCAATGACAAGAAATAAAAAAAGTAGTTTTTCTGCTTAAAATTAAAAAAAAAAAAAAGCTTATTTTTCGATTTTCCAGTTTTGAATTAAAAAACGAATCTACCAGACAATAACCTCTTCTCTAAACCAAAACAGTGAAATCATCATCCGGTAGACTCGTTCATTTATTTAAAACAGAAAAATTGAAAAATCGACTTTTTTTTTAATTTACAACAGGAAAATCAAAGAATTCCTACTTTTTTTTAAAAATTTTAAGCAGAAAAACTACTTTTTTTATTTCTTGTCATTGCAGAAAATTTTCTTATTTTATTTTAAAAAGTGGTTTTTATTATTTTTGAAAAATATCCTTTCAGGTACACAAATGGCATACTTGGCATGTCGGCATAAATGATGTCGATGTTTGAATCTGTTAAATATTCTGAAGTTAATATTTTTGACATTCTTTTATATGCTCATTACGTTCATGAGAAGTTTCTGACATTTACGAATTTATCTACAAGTCTTTAATCGCTTCGGGCTTCTTAAAACTGTCTCCTCCTTTCTGAAAAACATAAACTTTTAAAACTCCATATATGATAATAATGTATTGAACAACTAGCTTTTTTTAATCTGAAATCAATTTCTAGCATACTAAACAATGCAAGAATAAGCTTGATACTTCCTCTTATGATCCTCCAAAGATTCAAGTGTGTCTTTTTGTCTTCCCAGCCCCCTACCCCCATCCACTTATGAAAATAATCTAGTATTACTATTACTTTAGATGACATCTCCCCGAACTTGGGGAGACAGCTTGAAAGCCTTCAGGGGAAGGGAAGCTTCCTGTCGCTGATGAACGTTCTGTGCTGACAAGGCTCTTTGATGTGATTCTTCATTCGTCCCCCACCAATCAGTTCGCTTGCATTCTGTGTCCGTTTATCGCGGACAAAGTAGTTTGACTGCTACCACTACATGAATCAGTGGAACAATGCTATCCTGGACTCCCTTCTTGAATGCCCGCCACTGACCAGTGGATCTCTGACTCTGGGCTCAAGGCAACGGTTGGGCTGGTTTAAGCAAAGCCTGGCCATATTAGGCGATACTGGCAAAGCCAGTCAAGACCAAAGGACAATTCTGATCCTTTTGCTGTGTCTGTCCCCCTTCTTCTTTCGATACCTCGTTGGCGTTTTTTGGTTCCTTCGACTATCTCAAAAAGCAATTACACCTTGGTAACGACTGCTTCATGGCGTCTCAAGAAATGTTAATCAACTGAACCGCTGGGACTCAAATCATTTTCTCTCTCCCCTCTCCCCCTCTCCCCTCTCCCCTCTCCCCTCTCCCCTCTCCCCTCTCCCCTCTCCCCTCTTCCCTCTTCCCTCTTCCCTCTTCCCTCTGTCCTGTCTGTAGTTCTGAAGCCGAGACGCAGTATTATATGTTTGTTGATTGCAGCTTTAGATGAAGTTACTGGGAAACTTATCTCATTCATCCAAATATGAGTGAAGCATTCTTTTCGCCTATGTCTTTGTGAAAAGCCCTGATATCTTTGCCTTCTAAAGGTAGTGCTCGTTATCAGGACAAAGCACTACTCTGTGTGGATACTGGTCTTGCAGCACTTTAGCATTATCACTGGTTCTTCTCTGAAGACGAACTGTGGAATCCCATACAGGCACTAAACTTATGGTTGGATAAATCCCAGCATATTAGTTTAATTGTTGCTCGATCTACTGCATCTGGCGTGATTAAGTAAAGATGTTCATTTTCTTTCACATCTGAGTGAAGGTATGACCAAAATATTGCTTCTACGAATGCATAATTATTCCACATTCGATGAGAGATTTTTGCCTCTAATATAAAAATTCTTTTGTCAGTATCTCTGTGGCGATAATTCGAATAAAGTTATGCTAAACCTTATTCAGCGCAACAAGGTATATCAAGCAAGGAAGAACTTAAATAAAACCTAAAGACACGCAAAGATTTTATGTTTTGACTTGCCAGATAACATCAAGATCTTTACGTCTCATAAGGTCGAGAAGTCTATGACTAACAGTACAAATTACAGGCTAAACTTCCTACCGATTATTGAAATGATGGTTATAATCTTGAGACTTCACTCTTTCATGGATCAAAGTAGCCGCTCTACTTCCGACTACTTTTGTCGAAAACAACCAGTTACAATATGTATCATCTATGCTTCCAGTGCCAGACATATTAGGTCAGCACACAGATTTTCCAATATTATTTGAACAGTGTTGTGTCATTAATACGAACAGATACAATATGATTGCATTATTTGTATATTGTTTTATTATAATCCTGTTAACAGCAAGAAGTTTTAAAGGTTGACCTAGTTTTTATTGGGCTTAAATAATCTATTTGCACAAATCTTGTTATTTACCTTCATATTTTAGAAAAGGAATCCATGAAATTTATTAATCGCACACGATGACCAAACGGGCGTAATCAAATCGGTGTTTATTCATTACCCATCACTATGTATACCTGCCAATTCGTTTGCAGATTCGATCTCTTCATCTCTGTCTGGAGTAATTTTGCAAAGTGAAAGTGATTTCCTAGTATCGCCTCATTTTTCTCTTCAAATCATACATGGAATTTCAATATTAAGATGAAAGAGATACAATCATGTCTTTACTAATATACAATTTGGGAATATATAACAATTTCTCTAACAATACAAAACGCTTAAGATCTAGCTGCTTGCAATTTTTCCTTGAACAAGTTTTCAGCACCATTCCAGACAGGGTTGTTAGAACGCTCATTCAATGCCAACATGGTAGGCAAGAGATCTTGTGAGAACATATCAGAGCTTTCTCTAGGTAAGAGAGTAGGCAAGTGGTCAATAGAACAGACTTCAAGAGGATAGGGGTTGGTGGTCTCAACAGGGACAGTAGGCTTGTCAAAAGTGGTGTTGATAGAGTAGACAGGAATGGGGTTGTTGGGGTTAGTAGTGTCACAAGAGACATCACAAATAACAGAAAGTTTGCGATCACCATCAATTAATTCTTGAGTAATGAAAGGAGGAATCTTTTGGTTAAGATATATACAGTTGACAAAGATATCAGCTTGAATAATCTCAGGGAAAGGACCACCCTTCTTGGTTTCATTGATATCCCACTTGATGATGTTCTCTTCAGGAATACCAACCTTACGAGCAAAGTCACAAGCACCAGTACCGCAACGACCCAAAGCACCCATTACCATAACCTTGGGATATTCATTGTTGTTCAAGGCGACTAAAAACGTCGACATGTTAGTTGCCTTAAATTAATGACTCATTTACTTACCAGCTTTAGCAAGACGGTCCTTAGTGTAACAAATCAAAGCATCTTCGTTGGGATAAGGAGTCAAGGCACCATACTTTTCCTTGTTGCCAAACTTTTGGTGACACCAAACATCAACACCAACAGCAGAGCCAGCAAACCCAGCCATATAGCCAAAAGCGGCAACGCGGCGACCTATACTTATCGTTACTATTTTCTCACGTATTTTTGTCGCATCCAACTTACCATTAGCATCGTTCAAGAATTCAAGGTCAAGAATAGTACCTTTACCAGCATCGAAACGGTGCAACAATTCTTTCCAGCCACCTTGGTTCTTGAAGCAGTGAGCGAAGAAGATATGAGTGTGTTGCAAAGGGGAATCATCGTTTTCAGGAAGTTCCTTCAAACCAACAATGTAAGCATCAGCAGGAGCATCGGTTTTCCAGCTCAACTTTTCAACAAGAGGACATCCAACCCTATTATCCAATTTAGTATGTATATAATATGTATATACAAGTAACTTACTTGGCATATTCTTCATCATCAAAGATTCTTTGTTCAGAACGCTCAACAGTGATTCTGAAACCAGCATCTAATAAAGTCTTTGCGGTAGCAGGAGTCAATGCGGCTCTGTGTTCCATGGGCTTAGTTTCAGCACGAAGCCAGAGGTGAGGTCCGTTGTTAGAAGCAGTAGTAGAAGACATGTCAATAGTATGTTTTTTGAAATAAAGATCAAGAAAGGATACAAAAAACAACTGGTGTTTATATACTCTTTTTGTTTTTGAAACAAGATGGATAAGGGAAGATGTGACTTTATTATGCTAGTATAAAAAGAGCAGATCCATTATGTCAAATTCAATCTCAACTTAATTTACTTTTTAGGAAAAGTTTGTTGATGGAAGGAACTTGAGCATTTTAGAGAGCTTTTAGTGATTTTTGCATAGAAAAGAAAATAAACTTACATTAAACTGAATAGTGTCTTTTTGATTCATGGGTGCTTCGACTTCAAACTAAAATAATGTTAAGTCTTCATGAGTTTATAAGAATTTAACTTACGTATAATCTAAGAGCTCCGGAATCAAACATTTCAATTGAAACCTCATAAGAAATATCCAACGCTTTCTTGCACTGCACAAGGTGTGAATAAAGATAACTAAAGATGAAAACAAAGTCACTCCGTTTAGAAAAAAGATTATCAGCATTGATGTGTTACACAAACCTAAATGATAACTCTTTTGTGCAAGTAAAGCTAATAAATGGTTCGGAATCTTCAGGATAATCTGATTCAGTTAAAAGATCAGATCCTTCTGCTATGACTTGAAATGCTGTATTATGTGGCGATATAGTGAGTGTGATCTTGTTGTATCTAGAATCTAAATCATTCATCAATTCACTAAACCAATCAGACTATGATGGTAAGTTTAGGAGTGATTTGTTATGAGCTTACTTTGATAATCATTCTCTGTGGCACTTCTTCCGTAGAATCCCCAATCTGTAATTCTGGACTCTCTTCATCCGGCTCATATGGAATTAATTCACAATGAATTGTTTGCGGTAAATTTGCTTTGTTACTGATGTGCCGTCTATTCAAATAAATATTGTATGCAATATTGTTCTCTCCTACCTTAATGATAGATAAGAGCCTGTGCCATCATAGCTTATTTCACAGTAATCATCATTTGCTCGCACAGCAAACTCATTATCTGAGCTTTGTGGCACAGTCACTTGAAGACAGTTGATAAAGGAGTCAATAGGTAAAGCAAAAAGTGATACATCAGCTTCTTTCAGCCTAAACTCGTGAAACAAATGAAGCTTTAAATAAGCCATGGCTTTGACAGAACGCGAGTCTTCAACGGATAACATCATGCCTTGTTCGTGAATAAAACATACTACAGTCTATAGTATTTTTATTACTATTAGAATACATTCAGAAAAGAGGCTCAATATAATTACATTTTTGATATTAATTGCTCTCATCAACCTCACTACATGTCTAGCGTTTTTTATGACACCATAAAATTGTACTGTATCGTCTATTGTATAATCCATAAAGCAAACAATTCATAGTAATTTGCATGCAGAATAAGAGTTCTTGAAAGGGACTGTTTCTCTGTGACTCTTCTTTCTCATCAACGGCTGTTTTGCTTTATAGGTTTTTTTTTTTGTTTTTTTTTTTCTTTAACTCTAGATCCTGTCATATGTCTGATCTTATTGTCGAACAACAAAAGCCTCAAGAAAATCAAACAAAGGCTCCTTCTTCTAAATTAAAATGTCTTGTTATTGATACTAATGCCATTATTAATGGTATGTCTCTCCGAAACATGGCCGAAGAATTTTTCACTTGTCCTGAAGTATTGTATGAACTTCGCAGTGCTCATTCGAGAGAATTCTTGTCTCGTTTACCTTTTGAGCTCCAAGTTATGAATCCTACCGAAGAAGCCATCAAATTTGGTAAATTTTATATTTTAACCTGCAAATTACTTATGTATTTTAGTATCTGAATTCTCCAAAAAGACAGGCGATTTCGGTGTTCTCTCTCAACCAGATTTAAGAGTACTTGCTCTTACTTATACACTTGAAAAGAAAGAAAATGGCGATGCTAATATCCGTAAGGAGCCTTTGACAGTAAGTAGTGATTCAGTAAAAAAAAAATCGAAATAAACCATGCACATTTAGACAAGACCCTCCGGATCACTTCCTAGCGCACCTCCACCAGCACCTTACAAGAAGTCTGTTGTAGAGAAGCAAGTGGATGAAGATGGATGGGAAATTGCAACACATTCAAAGAAAGCACCCGCCAAAAAGCAGACACCCAAAAGAACAACTAAGCAAGGACTCAAAAAAGAAGAGCCTGTCAAACAAGAATCCGAAAAGGTAGAGGAAGAACCAGTTGTTAAAGACAGTCAAGAGCAAATCGAAAGAGTTTCCGAATCCATTGAAAAGTTGGATATTCAACCTGAACAACAACAAGAAGAAGATGAATCATCAGATGAAGAAGGAGGAGAATGGATTACACCTGACAATGTAGATGAATACAAGGCTGCTGAAATTGGTGTTACTGCTGATGAACTTCGTAATAAGGCAGCTATGGCTGTTGGCTGTATGACTGCTGATTTTGCTATGCAAAACGTCTTGTTACAAATGAACTTGAACTTGGTATCTGCTGGTGGTTATCGTGTTAAAAAGATTAGAAATTCAGTGATGAGATGTCATGCTTGTTTCACGTAAGTTCCTTGAGTATATTTCTTTTTCATATATTTATGATGAAAATAGTGTCACAAATGATTTAGAAAAGAAATTCTGTCCCAAGTGTGGTAATGCTACTCTTCAGCGTGTCACCTGCAGTACAAACAGCAAAGGTGAAATCTCATACCATTTAAAGAAGAACTTCCAATACAGACTGCGTGGTACTATTTATGATATTCCTCCTCCTAAGGGCGGCCGTAAAGTCAATAATATTGTGTTGAGAGAAGATCAACGAGAATATATCAAAGCTACTCAAAGAAAGCAAAAGAAGGCTGTTGTTGACATGTTTGATCCCGACTTCATTCCTTTGTATGGCAAGACAGACACAAGAGAAATCACAAATAACATGTTTGGTACTGACGTTATTGGCTTTGGTCGCAAGAATCCAAACGCCTCTAAAAAGCGAGTCGGCAAAAAGAAGAAATCACTCAACTTCTAAGCCCTTTTCCTTTTTTTTGTAAATACAGTACTTCTACCGTCATTTGAAAACGCTAGTCAGAATTTAGAGAAAAAAGCACCATTTGTAATAAAGGTTTAACAAAATATTTATACATGTACTTTGCTATTAAACGAGATTTTATAAAGATACTTCGCAGTAGCTGCTTCATTCGTCTTGTATAACTTACCAACTCATTTCATTACCCTAGAAACATTGTTTTTATCATGTGGCATTATCGAAGTATATATTTCATACTGCACACATATAGGAAACATTCTAGGAAAAATGTATATACTTGATAGGACCCGTCATGTTTTTGAAGCCACTTATTTTCTGTTAAAAGAGGCTGTAAAACGCCACAACCTCTTCCTAAATACCAGCAGTGTCAAAGTTTAAAGCAAGCGCTATTGTTTCTTCATCCTGCATTATGCAGTCTAGAGGGTTTTTATCCTAAGTATTGAGATAAATAAAATAAACTGATATATGGCTCGTATAAAATGTCCCTATGTCAATTCATGGCAAGACAAAAGACAAGCAAAGCTTAACACTTATGACCTGTTTTCTTTTGGAAGCATTGAACGTTACTCAAGACCTGTAAGCGGAGCTAGAAGAGAGAGAGAGAGCAAAAGAGAAGCAACGGAGTTATTGATTTTGCATTTTCTTCTTCGTGTTTATCTTCCTTTTGTTTAAGGAACAATAGTACGATATATTCTTCTCTTGTAAGGGGATGTTAGATAATGATAACAGCCTTTCTATATCACAAAAACTATTAAAGAAGATCTCAACTCGCGATATTAATACAGACTCTAACAACATGGATTCATCTCCTGAGATTGCTAAAAGTAAGCGAGTATGATGTGACTTTAACTTACAAGTTTCCTTTCTTGTTAGACCAAATTTTAACTGAACAAGGTATAGATATCTCTTTCAGAAGAAACTAGAAATATTAATGCATTCAGCATATAGTCTATCAAAACGACTCGAGATTTCGAAAATATGTTCAACTCGTCGAGAAAAACTTGCAGTCATTTGATGCAGTAAACGAATGGGCTGATATCATCTCTTTTCTCGGCCGACTACTCAAAGTAAGGTCTTGTGGTAGTCAAATACATTATTGTTCATAGAGATTTCTTTCTAGTCTTTCCAAGCATATCCTCAATTTCCAATTATACCGCGTAAACAGCTCGTTGCCAAGAGATTAGCGCAATGTTTAAATCCAGGTTTTCCCGCCGGCGTTCATCAAAAAACTCTCGAAGTTTATGCGTTTATTCTTAAAACAATTGGTGTATGTGTGTCTATCATGTATTAGGAGAATGCTCATTTATTTCTTTATCCAGTCAAATCAATTGTCTGCAGATTTAGCATTGTGGTCAACAGGTCTATTTCCTTTTGTTCAGTACGCTGCTACACATGTCAAGGTAAAGCAGGATGTGTTTTGCGATATGTCATACTCAAAAGAACAATACAATAGCCTCAACTACTGAATATATTTGAGACTTATTTCTTTCCTTTACATGCCAAACTTCGTCCAGCCATGAGAGGATTTATTATTGCACTATTACCAGCGTTGGAAGAAGAAGGGAGCGAGTTTTTCGATAAAGTAATGGATCTACCTTACAGTACAATTTCAACTAAATAAGACTACATAGGTTGTTTTATTGATTGAAAAACTATCAGAAACAGTGGAATTGCCTTTCTTTTATTCGTGTGTGTGGCTAGTGATGATAAGTAACCCAAGTCTCAGACCTCCTGCTTTGAATTATCTTTTACGAAAACTACCCAAGATTACAGACAAAGAAGGTATATGTACAGATTATATTGAAGCGTTTCACCCTATTGACGATATGGAAGCTGTGGCATTAGTGTTGGGAGGAAAAGAAAATGTGAGTTTGATGGTAAGAGCCTTTGCTGCCACCTTAAACGATCACCAATTACTTGTACAACGTGGAATACTCGAATTACTTGTTCAGAACTTTATACTCAAAAACTACATGATTCCTCATGAAGATTTAGTGATTTTGATGCGAGCAGCGCTAGGTATTGTACTTCGAAAAGACATGTCCCTGAACCGTCGATTGTATGCATGGTTGTTGGGAAATGACACCAAGACCCAAATGGCGTATTTTAGTCAATATGCTGAAAAGGCAGCGACACATGCTATCCGTAGTATGCTTCAACAACAGCAGCAGAGACAACAAGATGTGGAACACCAACAACGACCCTACAAAATCTTGATCTCGCTTATGGACAAATGGGAATTGGGTCAACCTATTGTCAACAATGTCTTTCTTGATTCGCTTGCAAGCCTAAAGCAACAACAAAAGCAGCAACAAATAGAGCTTCTCAAGACAGCTAATATGTGGATGGATATGGTTGAACCGTACTTGATTTGTCTCAAATTATTCGAAGTGATTGACACATCATTTCCAGTAACAACTCGAAAATCGACCGGACAGTTGGAAAACTTAAAGTTAATGGAGTTTACATTGGATTCATTTCAACTGGCAGACGATGAAATCAGACAAATCCACTTGCCTTTGATTCTCGCTGTCCTCACGCGTAAATTGAAAGACGCACACCACGACCCTACATTTGTTGAGAGTCTGCCACTTGTCAACCAAGTCATTGTGCTAATCCTTCGAGTACTTGAAAAACTACCAACATCTGTGTTTTCAGAACGACCTATTACTCAGCAAGATCGAAAACGATTTCAGCCAGAAATGAATGTCTTGGATTTTGCTCGCGAATTCTACAACTACCCTGTATCAGCTCATCATGTAGAAAACGAAAACATAGAAGAAAATGAAGAGAATGAAGAGACAGGGGATTTGTCCAACAACACGCAACTGCCTCAGCCTCTCACCATGCAATTTCAGCCTCGTTCTGGCTATGATTCATTAAGTGGCCAAGTACTTGTAAAAGAAGTGGCAGAAAACCTTTCCAGCTTCTTGATTGATTTTGTCAATAACTATATTGTATCACAGAACCTACAGAGTGGAATCGATGTGGGTGCAGAAGGAAAGCGTTTGAAAGATATTGAACATGAGTTGGAGCGTGTCTTTTTAGGTGTCTGTACTGCTATGACAAGTATTGCTAAACATGCTAGCAACCCATTCGAACTGGATCGTAAGGATGCGTTGACCAACATCCTGTTGAAATGCTGTCAAGAAACAAATATTTTTGGTATAGTAGATGCTGGTCTATCTACCTTGACCTTTTTGATCAAGAGTCAACAGTTTGTTCAACTTTCAGCATTAAAACAAATATCAGAAGTGAAAGCTATCATGGATCGTTTGTGGGGATTCTTGACGCCTTCTATGGAGCTATTACATATGCACACTGTAGAGCTACTTTGGTTACTGGCTGATGCTTCACAGCCTCATCAAATTGAAACAATTGTGTCCAACTACCTTATACAGCCAGAAAACGATCAAGAACGACTTTTGAATTTTGAGAAGTTCGGTGTTGTCTGGGAGATGTCTGAAAACATACCTGAAGCAAGCACTGTATTCTCAAGACCTATCTTTCTCATCCTAGACCTGTTGAGAGAAGGCACGTCTCCTCTAGACAGAAGAGCGGGTGAATCATGGATTCGAATTCATTTAAAGAGCTATGTACGCTTACTGAAGCCCTTTATGATGACCTTACTTGACAAGCATATATTGCGTAGACCAGCTAAATTAGACGTTGATTGGAAGAATCAAATACTCAAAAAGAAAGTAAACAGGACTACGGAAGTATCTTACTTCTTATACATGCGCCCGTTCGATACAGATATTGTAGATTACATGTTAACGACGTTGATTACATTAATTACGTTTGGTGGCACAAAAGTACTCAAGACGTGTAAAAGTCACATTGTAGACAATGAAGGACCAATTGGTATAGCAGCACAACAAGTACTAGAATATGATGCAACTAAACCACTTTCCTTTTTGGAGCTTTTGGTCTTGATCTCTCTTAAGTAAGACATACCAATCAAAAAGGCATATGTGTACTGATTTTTTTGGTCTAGATTCTTAGAGACAGAACCTAATGTAAATCTCAAGACGCTTTCAAAACCTGTTAGCAGTATACAGCTTCACGCGGCTGATTTACTTTATTTGATTATTTCCAAACTTGATTATGTGAACATGAGCCTTGTTCAACAGATCCAAACCAGTGTGTTACACAAATTGCTCTTCTGTCTAGCCAGCAACAATCTAGATTTACAACAAAAACTGCTTCATTTATTACATGCTTCACTTGCTATCACTTGTGCAAGCACACAGCAAGGCAAAAAAGAAGCCACCAGTCCAAATCACCAACGAAAGGCATCGACAGACAGCATTCAATCCACCACTTCTTCTACCACCGCTACAAACTATAATGAAGCCATCTTGCTAATGCAAAACCAGTCTGAGCTGTTTGTCAAATGCGTCACTGACGCTCTTGTCCTACCTGCCAATCGGTCTATGCTCCAGATTTGGGTTGATTTTATATTGGCTACATTACCTTACATTAAGTATGGTTTTCGGTGCATGTTGGTGCCTATCCTTATGTGTATATGCCACCAAATTAGCTTGCGTTGCAATACCATTGAAATCATGGTTCATGAAAAACCTGATCTAGCCTCATGCGTGTCTGCTGAAAAAGAACTCGTTATTCTACTGATAGGTTTAGAAAAAATCTTGATGTTTTGCTTGACTGAACGTGTGATAAACGATGATTGGCTTAAGGCCACAGGTGATTTACCAATGCCTTATATACCTGATAACTCTGTTTTGATTGGGCTTGCTCAAGTGATGCATGATGCTGAACATTATCCACCTAGTAACTACAAGCCGAGGGATGTAGTCATCTATCACTTGCCTATTGTGTTAGAAGTCTTGGTCAATGTCTGGCATGTGTTTAGAAGACCTACCTGGAGCGAAGCAGTAATCCAAACCATGGGAGAAGCCAAAATGCATGCAATGCTGCATAGCTTTTCCTATGCTGCTGACCAAGCCAAAGGACGTCTTGAAGTAATTTTCGAAAAGCTCTTCAAGTACTCTATTTCAGATTTTGTAGAGGGCTTAATTGAGATTTTCTATATAGAGAATCCAACTGCATTAGAAATAGATCAAACTGCACGCGAAGAAGTCCTCCAATCTACAACTGCATTGGACGTCTTGGCATGCACACCTACCAGCTCACCTCAGCATATTATTTCCACCTTACTAGACAGCATTCGCCAAAGAACACCAGGAAGCTATCAACAACGGCGTCGCAAAATACTTCGACAAGGAAAACTGTGGGTGATAAACAATTATGCACTGTTTCTTATTTTTTTTTTCTATAGTTCGGACACGTCTATACTAAGATTTGCCGAAATCTATTGTAGTCATATTCAAAATCCAGAATCTATTGTCTTGTTATGGCCCATGATCCATTCCTTCTCAAAAGACTACTTGTCGCAAGCCAGTACATTCAAACTGTTCTTGCCTGGTTTGATGCGATTCTTGACAGTAGCTCTTGAAGAATTAACAAAATCAAATGGCTATGAACATGAAAGACGCATACGTAAGGATGCACAAGAACTTTATCAACGCTGTGTTGACTATTGTATTTTGATTGCTGGAAAATCTTTTGATCAAAGCTTATGGATCCGGGGCAGATCTACTATTTATGATGATCCAACAGGTGTAGATGATTCTTCTTCTATTCATACTGTCGAGTCAAATGATACTTCATTTAACAATAGTATGGCCAGCAACAATAATAGCAGCACAGTATCATCTATGGATACAATCACACGTAATGTTTCTATCAGCAACGTATCTGATATGGAAAAAAAAACAAGCTGGAAACAAAGAGAAGATGTATTAATCAACCAAGTCAATCAATATCTTGCACATCAAGTAATTCCTCGTCTTCGTCTGCTTGTAGGCGATAACGATAGAATCAATTCACTTTTAAACAATCTTGTTTATTATGTGATTGGACCACTCTTAAAATCTAAAGCTAAGAATCCATTGATTCTGGATCAATTATGCGAAATGGCACGTATGCCATTCACCTACAAGACTTGGCGTAAAGAAGTCTGGGACGTGTTTATCGATAATCGCTTCTTTTATATGAACAACACAACAGCTAAAAAGTGGAACACGATCATCCACACAGCATTCTCAATTGAAAAAGAACGCATGACTGAGCTTATGGCACGTATCACTACCTCTCCTTCTACAACTTTTTTCTCCAACAAAGATCAAGAAACACTGAATCGATCTTTGAATTTACGAAGACTGTCCTTTGTGTTGTTTTCAGGCACTAGTGATCAATACGTGCCTCAGTTACCTATTATTCAAGAAAAGATCGTCGAATTACTTAAACTTGACCACAGTGAAATGGTTCATATGGAGATTTATTTATGCTTGCGTATTATTTTGATGCGCTTTTCACAAAAGCATTTAATGAATTTCTGGCCAGTGTTAATTACTGAATTAGTAAGCAAAAAGACTACTATACTTATTCTTATTCTCTTTATGTTAGATGCGCTTGTTTAATTCGTTTGTATATAATGACCTACAAGATCGCCCTGAAGAAGCACAGATTGCATTAGCTGGATGCAAATTCTTGGATCTTTTGTGTGCGCTTGAACTGGATGCTTTTCAAATTTACCAATGGATCTTCATTCGCGATACAGTCGAGACAATTATCGCACAGTCAGAAGGGCCTATACCCATCATGGAATCATTGAATGAAAAGATGTCGACTGAATCTAATGTAAGTTTATGCATATCCATCTTTATTTGTAACCTCTATTGTAGGATGCCTTTGATTTTTCGTTCTCAGAGACAAGTATGCAGCCTTCTTTAGGATCACTTAAGCGTCCGATGTTGACAATGCACAGTATTGCCTCTATACGTCAATTGTCATTCTTTATTGAGCATGTCGGTCTTTACGTCTACCAATCGTCATTCACTTTATCCAAGCCCGATCTCCCTTTTATAGAAAGTTTATTGCTCAGCGACCTTCTAGAAAAGGATGTTTTACCAGAGTGAAACAACCATGACATCACATTAAAAAAAAGTGGAATAATGCCGTATTTTCATTTCTTTTCTTTCATTTCTTTCACGCTCTCTCTTTTTTGTTTTGTTTTCTCGACAATAAAATTAAATGTCAGCTGTAGTAGGAGTAGCTTGGACAGTATATGGTATTATGACCATTGTAAGTAATAAAGGGAAAAGGGGGGGAAGCATAAAAAATAGGGGGATTCGGAACTGGCATAAATAAATAAAAATATGATAGGCTCTAGGTCTATTTAGTATAGCCTTTACAAAATATTATCAAAGCAAACGTGATTCGCAAAGATCAGCCACCTTAGTAACCATGATATCCCTAACGCTGATCCTAGCAACGGTTGCCTTGTTACCGATTGACATATTTCTAGTTTCCTCAACGGTGGATTCAGATACGGGACTTAAAAAGAAATGGGCAGATAGTGACACAATCTACTGGATGACGTTTACTGTTCAAACCATGTATTATGTTCTTTATGGATCTGTCTTAGCCATGATATTCTTTTTGATTCCTTATACGTACTTCTATCACGAAGACGACGAGGGTAATAACAGACGCAAGACAAATGCAACTAAATACACCATTTTCTTCTTGATTGTCCTCGGATTTTTGTTCTTTTTTGGATTGTTTTTGAAGCCTAATGCTTTACCTCCGCATATCGATCTAGAATGGTTTCGCTATTTGTTGACTGAAAGCCGTAAGTAATATGTGCATAGCAATACATATTTATTTATTTTTCCTTCTTTAGACGGTGCGAAAGCAATTTGGTTTGTTGTCGGATGTTTGTTTATGCCCGGTTTGGCAGTATTCATTGTCTACACAGCAAGTATAAAGAAATGAAACAAACAAATAACTCATGTTGCTTTAGGCTCCTGGTCTATCGCTTATTCCTTTCTATTTGATTAAAGGCAAGAGAAAAATTGATGCTGAGGATGAAGATGTTCATCGTCGGTTGCACTCGATCCGAGAACAACAAAGACAAATTGAACACAAATATGCTGGATCAAATGAAGCATTGAGCGCACATGATTATCGTACATTAGAAAACTTAAACGATGAAGAAAGGTATGATGACCGTAGCGCAATAAACAGAGAACCAACATTACTATAGAATACTCATGCGTCGTCTAAATGGTATTGAAGAAGACAAAATGGACTTTTTACAACGAGTGCTTAAGTGCTTCAGACCCTTCCAAGTAAGTTGATATGAACAAGGTTTCTTTAGTGTAACGCATACTGTTTTTAAGGTTTTCATCGGTTTGATCTTGATTGTGTTTATATTATTAATATCTTTTTCGATGTTAATGACAACGTATGTAATCAAATTAGCTGAACAATCATTGATAAATACAAATCTAGTATCGACAAAATCTTTTTCTCAGTTTGTGGTCGTAGATGCGGCTTCATCATTAGTCAAACAATCTTATTTAACCCAATCAATTTCATTTTTGTTCATCTACAAAAAGTAAGTAAACAAAAAAAAACAAAGTTTATTATTGACTTTTTGAAAGTTATTCCCACTTGATTATATTATCATGATATGTATTGTTGTCTATTTCTTTTTAGCAACAATGACAGGAATGATCCAAATGGGTGTCAGATTCTTATGGGTGACACTGTATCGCATTAAAAAACGGTCTACCAAGCCACAAGCATTATTGTTTTCAAGTCTCGTATTGACATTTGGCTTGTTTGCTGTAAACTATTCAATGACCTCTGTTGTAGCACCAGGCTATGCACATTTTGGAAGTCAAGTCTATGTAAGCCTTATTTCTAAAAGAACAATTAACTTACTAAATGTAGTGTAACCACACGGAAGGTGGACGAAGAGATTGTAGTTATGAGATAGATCAAATTGTTCCCTGTGATATTTATGCTCCTATTGGTAAGTCATAGTTTATGCAAAACATCGTATCAATTTTCATTGTAGAAATCTGTACACCGACTGTTTCTTCTACATTGATCGACCGCATCACACTAAACACACCATTGTTTGGTTTGATTCTCTATTATTCTCAATGGGCCTTTTTAATTTCATTTATGTTTGGTTTTATTATTGCACTTTTCAAGTCACCTTACTATTATTCCGAGCATGTCTTTGAAGAAGAGATTGTAGAAGATGAAGAAGAGGAAGAACAGGCTGGTTTGTTAGATGGACATCATCAACAGATTTAAAAGGAATAAAATTGCACGTTCTTATGTACCAACTCCTTTTTTTTTTTTATTGCTATTCTTGCAAAGTACCTGTTTTTGTTTATTGTGATGGCTTTTACCAATCTCTTTTTATGCTTTGTTACATAAAAGGAAAACAGAGTGGACTCGTGCTCTTTTTTGGATATTTTGTTGTGTATGGAGCACACGAGGGTGGCCTGTGAGTAATTATAGGTAACGATGAATCTCGTCATTAACTTATAAGGAAATATATCTTTTTGAATATATCTTTTTCTTACTAGAGAGTGTCAAGTGTAGATCTCTTTGTTGTTGTTATGTGTTTTCATTATAGTCATTCGGAACCCTGTCCGAATTGATTAAGGGGAGAAAGGTTTAAAAATAATTATATAAATGAAATTTAAGCATGAAAAAGAAAGGAAATAAAGGGGACAAGTAAGGTTGTTTATGCGCAACCTATACTAAAATTAGCAAATTCGTTTGATATAAAAGCATTTGATTTTCTTTTATTTTTTTTTTCTTTATCCCTTTTCTTTCTTTATTTATTTATTCAAAGCTACTTCTTTCTTTCGTTAACAATGTATCAAACTTTGCTTCAAGATAGCTACAATTACACACAAATGCGTAGAATGAGCTACGAAGACTACTTTTTTAGCGACGCATCATTCTCTTCACAAGAAAACTCACCTTTAAATGCTAATTTGGATTATATGGTTTCCACTTATCCTGGTCATGTTACAGCCTTTGATCAGCAAGAAAAGCAGATGGCTTATCCTATCATGTATCCAAGCACGACTGGTTTGAGCTGGGCTCCTCAAGTGCAATCACACTTGTATCAAAACTACATGATGTTTGATCCTTTACAGTCACCTGTTGTCTCTTCACAAAGAATGACTCCTTCCTTGTCAAGCACTTCAAGCTCATCTTCACTTGATCAATACCAACACTTGGTGGCACAAGAACCAGAAAAAAAGAAAAAGTCAAAAAGGGCACGTGCTAAGCGTAGTGAAGCACCCTGTGCTACTCATCACCAACAAGATACAAAGCAGTTTCCTTGTGATTATGAAGATTGCGGCAAGGTGTTTAGACGTTCAGAACATTTAAAGCGTCATATCAAGTCTATTCATACCCGAGAGAAGCGTAAGTACCTTACATAATGTACATTCTTTATACTCATAGATAAACTTTAGCTTATGAATGCCCTTATGACAAGTGTGGCAAGCGTTTCTCAAGAACTGATAATTTGAGTCAGCATATTCGCATCCATCGTCCCAAGAAAACAAACCAACAAGCTCTTTCAAGAAAAAAGAACTAATTGTTTTATATATATATATATATATACACACACACATCCATAATGTTGATCATTTTTTTATAACTATTATTATACATACACACAAGCATAGTTTTATACTGCTTATATATATATATATATATATTTATATTTATGTTTATATATATATATATATAAATACATACACACACGCAACCACTTACATATGTGCATATATTTATATATGTATATATATATATACACACACTAGTCAATTTGTAAATTATCAAAAAGAACCCAATTTGCATGCAAATTCTTGAATAAAATTCCCATAGGACTACAAGTTGCACAACTTATGAAGTTTTTATTTGTTTTTATCTATTTTTTCACACCATGATTTTAGTGTAAATAATGGCTGAGACCAAAAAGAAGAAAAAAAAATGACAAGACTCGTTTGAAGGCTCGTGCACCGCGAATAATCTGCTGTGGAACCTAAATAGCTTTCTATTGGACTTTCTATAGTCTAGAATATAATGATAAAGTGAACAAGGTGACGTCTCTCAACAAACACATACTTTCTTACAAAAATAGAGAAAGCACGGTTGGTGGAAGCATAATTTCAATCCCGAAAATTAACTCTGTATTCTCTTTCTCTGGTTTGAAGTTGACAAGTCGTGTAACTGCTCGAGATACACTTTTACAGTAATACCGGCTACATTTTCAATCAAAAAAAAAAATCTGTGCACGAAATAGGTACCGGAAAAGCCGTTTACATCATTTGCGCGCTGGAACTTGACATTTTATATCTAGTGTACGTGTGTTCCCCTTTTTGCTTTTAAATAAACAAAAAAAAAGTTTAAAATGCAACAAAAAAAAAACTCTCTCTCTTTTTTTCCCCTTCTTTTTCTTCTTTTCATAACAAACTTACTTTCTTTTTCTTTTCTTTTGAATGAGTTCAATTCAATATCAACAACAACAAACACCTTTCAATCATAACCAGCCGTATGATGTCATGAATCCTACGGCATATCAACAGCAACATTTGATGACAATGCAACAAGCTCAGTTTGAACGTATTCGTCAAGTTCAACAACAAGCTGCCTTGCAACAGCAAAGAGCTTTATTTCATCAACAAAGTAAGCTACCTCCTTTCTTTTCTCTTTCTTTATATGTTGATTTGTCTCGAGTTTGATTGGTGCTAACTTTTTTTTTCTTTAAAAGTGATGTACTATCAACAACAGCAACAGTGCTCGCCTAATCAATTAGAGTTTAATGGCGTTGTAGGTGATTCGTTTGATCTTATGACAGCTGCAGACCAAGTTTATTCTTCCGACATGTCTTCTCCAACAAGGTAATCAAGAAATCTAACTAAGACAAGACATTTACTTTTCATATTAGTGCTCATTTGAACAAAGAAATCATGGCCGTTTCGAACTCAAAGGCTCAAAGGAGAGCCGAGCATAATGCCATTGAACGTGCTAGACGAGAATGCCTTAACACCAAGTTTCAACAATTAGCCCACTCTTTACCTAACTTGCAAAACGATCGTCGTCCTTCCAAGGGCACTATCATTGAACGTACTTTGGAATACGGTAAATTACCTAAATCATTTCATGACCTGATTTACTCATATATTGATTAGTCAAACAAACAGTTCAAAAAGAAGAACGGTTCAAGAGCGAAATTGATCAACTTCGCCAAGCTAATGAGGAGTTAATTTCTCAAATGACAAGTGAACAAGACGACGAATACTTGGAAAGCATCGAAGAATACGAAGAATCAACCCCTGGATGTGATGACAACTTTAGTAGCCGATCTTCTGTCACTTCCGTCTCTTCTAATCAGCTCTATCTTTCTGATCAACACTGTGATACTCAAGGTAATTGTCTTTTTGGGATGATTTTGTTACTAAATACCTTTTCTTCTTTTTCTTCTTAGATTATTTTATGAACAAAGGTAATTTGTTTTTGTCATACCATCTATATCAAACTCATACAGTTATATAGCTCTTTAAACGACCAACACAACCATCACATTCCTTTCTGAAAAAAAAAGATATCTCATCTTACACTCTTTTTTTTTATGTAATCACACACACACACACACACACACAATCTTATGTAAATAGCGTTAGCCTTACTATATGTCTATATGTATGTACACTATACCCGACCTACTTTCTTTATTTATTTGCTCCCTTCATTTTTTTTTTCTTAACTATGATTTCATGATAAATCTCAATCCAAGTTAATGAAGTTATGCTTTATTTTACTATGAAAACGAGCAAGTTATAAGTGTTGTACAATGTACATGAGGAAATGGCATGTAGTTGTGTTTTGGTCATACAAATTCGGGATTTCCGTCATGTAGCACATTCGCTAGACAGTTATTTACTTTTATACAATCTGAATAGCATGTATTTTTAGACATGTCAACTCTAATCTAAAGAGTATATTGTTGCATGCAGAAAAGGGATTTTCTTCTCCTACCGTTTAGAACAGACAGGTCCAATGGTAATAACGATTTATAAACTCGTGGCAAATACAGTATCCGGTTGTTTTGTAATGCGTAGCACTCTTTTTTCTGGAAATTGTTAAGGTCTGGGATACATTACTGTATGCGATTCATGGCCCCCACCTCTTTCCTTTTCCTTGCAACATTTCAAAACGATAAAAATTTAACGTATCCTTATCATATAAACAAAGTATATACACAATTGAGCATTTGTTTTCAAGATATTGACAGAGAGCAAATCCTGTTCTGTCTTTCTAAAGTCACGATTCAATATCAAAAAAGTTATACAAAGGATTTAGTCAATATCTTTAGCAGAATTAGTTAGGTTTTGACAAATAAGACATGATAACTTGCAGAGAAGATGTCAAATAACAATAATATGTATGCCCTTATCAACTAGGCAGTTTTTTTTTTTCTTTACTTAAATGGTTGTGAAACATGAGGTGCTTGCAGAAACCGGTTCTCTTTTGTGTTCGTGAATCAAAAGACCTACTTCGCTGTCGGATTTACCTCCGTATCTAGATGTTTCTGGTTAAACAGAATAACGATAAAAAAAAAAGAGAAAGATAAACAATTTATCTTTTTGAAATAGCTATCAGGAATCGTGCTAAAAATTATTTCCTTGTCAACGTCAATGCTTAAAAGTTGAACTGATCATCTATTTAAAAGACAAACACGTACCAAAATGCAGGAGAAGTGAAAAGTACAATACGGGAGAGCTTCACTAAGTTTGAACATTACATAGTTCGTAATACCTTTCAAAAACAAATAGAAAAGAGGGAGATACGCTTCGAGATATCTTTCAAGTAATCACTGTCAAGTTAATAAGTTGTATTCAAACATTTGTATCATAAAGCTTAATATGATACAGTGTAACTTATGTATTACATATCATTTGAGATGTATCTGATGCAGGGAAGTAAATATAAAAAAAAACAACAAAACAAGGCAATTATCCTAAAAAGACAAGACAAAATTTACTTGCTGCAACTATAACACGATACTCTTTTTTATATACAACAATTTCACTATAGTAGTGAAGAGGTGTTCAATCATGATTCTATTGTAGCAAGGCATGCTATACAAATGTCTGTGCTTTATATATATTTGTTTGAGACACCAAAGCGGCTGATTCGGAATTATATTAAGGGAATAGTGTTCCGAACCGAATAAACAAACCCGTCTTTATTCATCTTCGTCTTCAAAAAAAGAATCTAAACTGTCTAATTCACTCATCATATAATGCTCATTTACTAATTCGCGTGCCTTAGACATGGTATCGATCGTGGTATGAGGTGGTGTACTGACACTAGAAGACCCGGAAGAAAAAACCTCGTCTGGGTCTTCAAACAAAGTACTAGAGGATGGTATCACAAGTCCTGTTGTTGGCCGTGGTTGATTAGAGGTTGTAGTAGGTGCTGATTGACTTGCTCTCATAAACGAAAGAATAGAAGAGCGTTTATTGCTTCCACTACTGTTCGATCGAACACTACTGTAACTATGTCTCTTTGTTTCGTCCAACGAACTTGGTTTTTGCAAAGGTATAATAATAGCTGGTCGATTTGAGTTTTCTTCTTGTGCTTTGCTTGTTTCTTGTGTAAAGACAATATCAAAATTTTCAATGAGATCTTGTAAAAGACGCTGTGCGTGGTGTTCGTGAGTGCTGACTTTAGATTGGATTTGAGGTCGCATAAGGATGTAGCTAAAGGATTTGGCCAGAGAGACAGAAAGATGCTCTGTTTTGTATTGCTGAACAAGCTTATAAAAATGATGAAAGAGAGTTTTCGTTGTATGATAATTGGGCGTCGGCAATGTTGTCAATAGTTTACTAATCGATGCTAATCGACTATCCTTGTCTTGCTCTAAAAGAATGAATAAGATTTAAGCCTATACTTTTTAACGACTTACGATTTGAATAAAGTAGTTTACAAGGCTCATAGAGCTCAAATGTAAACAAGCATTCTGGTAACTCCAATAGATAAAGTCGAATTAAAGAAGCAAGCACTAAAGGATCCAACTCTTCTAGTACCTGAAGATCAATTATTTTGCTGGTATTCAATTCTTCTCTAGCAGCGTGAGTCTTATCTAACGGCAAGTGCATTGTCCATAATATAGCCTTTTCTATAAAATTCAAAGTATGAATACAGGTCTATGTATTACTTCTATTTACCCTGCTCATAGATCCTCGAAAAACCTTACAAAAAGTCAATTTAATAACGCAAATAAATGATCTTCTTACCTGATTCGACAACCATTAGACCTTGAGAAATGAGTTGTGGCACCAATGAATTTTGTACTCTTGTGATCTCCTCTAATGGTACACCAAACAGTTGGTCTAATGTGATAAATGAGTATCTCATTTTTATTGTCGTATGTTACCTGAGGCTGTGCCATGAAAATAATTTTCGTACAAAATGGGCTTCGGGCAGAAATGACCTGTTCTATATTGTTCAACGATGAATTGAACATCCTTGTCAGGTTTCAAAGTCTCTTGATATAACATCAAATTGTCAAACAATTCTTTGCACCGAGGAATAGCATTGGATAAGGAAGCAGCCATACTGATAAACGCTAATTTCATACTATTGAGCTAATCTATATACTATAGACTTGCTTACCATGCTTAATAGTCTGAATTCTTTCTAACTCAAGGCTTTCCATTTCTTCATAATGAACAAACAAGATTTGTTCTGTCTGTATGCGCAATTTCTCGACCTTCATCACAGCCTTCCGATAGTCTTTATCAGCTTCAAACATATCTGTCACCAAATCATCTTTTTGTGCATAGTTTGCATTACTATTATTGTTGCTCCATCGACTCCAAAAACCTTTTGTATTCTCTGTAGGTGTATCTGATAGTTTGTGATAGAGTGTGTTTTCTTCGTTCTTTTTTATGAAACCCAATCTGACAAGATCCCCTAATATTCTTTTACTCTCCTCCCTTCCAATTGCTAGTTGCTGCTGCCTTACAAGTGCTTGCAGAATATCTTGTTCTGTGAAGAAAGGATCAACAAGCTGTTCAAGTGCCTGCCAGACATGATCACGTGTGCTGAATTCGAAAACACCCTCTAGTTGAATGACAGACGATTTGTCTCGATCCAATAGTCTAAAATCAGGTTGAAAGGCAAGCAATGATTTGCACCGGCCTGTATAGGTAATTTTAGCTTGTTCAAGTTGTTTGCAGACCAATTGAAACTGCTGGATTTGATTCTCGACGATCTGTTTAGACTGAGTAATGATACGGTCATAACGCTGAGAAAATTGAAGAAGAGGATCAAGGGCAGTGATATGTAAGTCTTGTGCACGATGCAAATGTTCTTGTGAAGATTCAGTGCTTTCTGCGCACACAACTTGAAAACATTGTTTTAGGCTTGCACCAATATCTTGATCAAATGGTGTGTTTTTACTCAGGGGAACAACAAGAGAAGTTAAGGTGGCAGCATGTGCTTTTTCTGCTGCAATACGCTGTTTAATATAGTTAACAATCACCTTGTTTTCAGCTTGCGACTGTTTAAGCTTCTTATGGAGAACATTGAAACCAACTGTAAAGTTAGGTATTGAATCAACAGAAGCTGTAGGTGACCAAAAAGACTCTTGAAAAGGACGGTGAGGGGCCATAGTGTTCAAAAGAAAGAAAGAAAAAGGGTGTCTAAATTAATAAATGCTCATTTTTACTTTATAAAAGAAACGATCGCGTGGTAAATTAAACGTTTTATTTCAACTGAGTTTTATTTTTTATTTCTTTTTTGCATATGTACATAGAAAGGATATACACACATTTTAACTTGTTTTTCTTTTCTTTCTTTTTTTTTCTAAGAAAAAGGCATATGTAAAAAAGCTTAAGTGGGAATAATAGAGAAAAAAAATTTAAAAAGAGAGAGAGAGGTAGGGTAGCTATTTTTCTTCTTTTTTTTTTTTTAACAGAGTCATGTTTGCATAGGTGGTTTGGTAAAGCGTGGACTTCTTCGTTTTGAGCCATAGGCACTTCGAGTAGATTTGACTGTATCAGGAAGCATTTTATCTCTGGCTTCTATCTCATCGTCCACTTCATCCTCTTCATCATCATCCATATCGATGTCTTTATCTTGTAAATAAGCTTTTTGTTGTGTTTGAGGATTATTCGAATGTGGTGAAAGGGGAGGCGGGCCAGAAGGATGGGAAGGATTATGATGAATGAATTCTACCGGCAGTATGCCTCTCATAATCTGGTTTGAACGGTAATTCCACTGCGGTGTTGATTTATCGCTTGAGTTATATTGGTTTTGTGAAGCATAACCTGAATCAGAAGAGGAAGGAGGCAGGTGTTTGTTATGATGTGAATAATGATGGTGAGGATGATGAGGATGTGGTTGTGTTGGCCTTGAAGGTAAGCTGTTGACATTGTCTATGTCGTAACTATATGAAGGATGTTGCTGTGGTTGACGTGGCTCAGCCAAAGGATGCTGTGGCGAATTATCATCACTTTGGGAATTTGCCTGATGTTGTCTTCGGATAACAGTGTCTTTGTCACCATAAGCATCAGCGGATCCACTACCAGAGCTACCATTGCCGTTCGAGTTGCCGTTAGAACTAGAGTCTGCAATGCTTCCACTTCCAGGAGATGCAGGCTTGGCTCTCTTTCTTGCTCTTCCAATCATTCGGTTCGCAGCATCTTGCTTTGCTTTAAAGTCAGCCAGGTATTCCTGATAACGATGATACTGGGGTGTTTGTCGATATTGCTCCAGAGAAGCTAAATATTCATCTTTGGCTCTCATAGCCATACGTTCATAGGCTTGCTTGTCTATGTGGGTAAGGTTCTTCCATCGATCACCAACAATTTTTGCAAGCTCAGCAAAAGATAGATTTTGATCTTTTAGTTCGGCACGGGCATCATTGGAAAACATGATGTAAGCGGAGGGGGGTTTGATAGGAGCATTTCGATCCGGCTTAGGGTGTCGTCTATACTTGCGTTTCGTAGCAGTATGCGCAGAACCATTCGTATCAATAGAATCATCATCGTCATTAGAAGAAATGCTGTTCGTTCGATCATTGGGTGAATTGGCATCGTTATTATTATTATTATCGTCCTTGTTTGTACTACTAGAGCTGTTCGAGAGTACATTGTTATTATTGTCTAGTGGACTTGATTTGTTGAGAATGCCACCACTACTATCAGTCGTGTTGCTCACGCCAGAGCCGCTACTACCATTGCCATTTTCATTGCTTCTGCCAAGTCTTGGACTAGGTTGGAAACGGGTTCGTAACATCAAGCTTGAGCCAGAGCTATTTCCACTTGTACTGCTGCCAATACCACTATTCATACTTTGTGGACTTGTGAGACCAGTAGTAAGTGTATCATACCCAGAGAAATTGTTACTTGAGTTTGGAATACTATTCACGTAGCCATTTATATTGGCATTAGTGTTTGAGACAAATCTGTTGCTTGGTCTTCTTGTGTCTTCCATTTTAAGAGGTGTATTTGGCAACATGTCAGGTGCATATTCTATAACAAATAGTTTGTTAGCATAAATTTCTAATTCTCTGTATAACACTTACTTGCTCCCATCCTATTTGTAGCAATAGGTTGATTTGGTGGAATACCTTTCATTGTGGCAATTTCCCGTTGAATCAACTATATATAAAGTTAGTTATTCCCTTCTAGTTCGTTTGTCAGGTACCAATATTTACTCTTCTGTGACCGCGTTTCACGTTCATGAAAATCATATCTTCTTCAGTTATTTCTAGAAGCTTGAAACAGAATAAATTAGAACAATGAAATTGCTATTAAAAAATAAACTTACAGAGGTAACAGAGTCAAATCCTTCTTGAAGAAAGATGTCTAAATACTGCGGTAAATGGCAGTTATCCAGGAAATTACTAACACTCTGTTCATTGTTATCTAGATAGTACTGTCGCTGTGATTGATTTGATTGAACTTGTTGTTGCTGTAAAGTTTGCATGATTTTAACCTTCTTTTTTCCTCTTTTTCTCTTTCTTGTTGGATATAGTAATTTTAATTTTCAATGATGGAATGATTTTGTATTATGTTGGGGAAAGAAAAAATTTTTTTTCTTCCTTTGTATAGTCAAGTGAGCCGGAAGGAAATTATAGTGATATGTACAGTAAATCTCTTCTTTGCTATGCTATATTCCCTTGTTGTTTAAAAAGGTCAAAAGTTGTAAAAGACTAATAAAAAAAATAGCAGAAAAAAAAAAGCAGAAAAAAGCTATGGAAAAAAAAGAAAATTAGGGACTTTTTCTTTAATGGTTATTACACTTTACTATTTTATATATGCCATTCTAATAAGGACTTCTATAAAAGGTAATTTTAGAAGTTCTTTTTTTTTCTTTTTGATTTTTTGATCATCAGGAAAGCTAATGTAATCTCTCGATCCCGATATAAAAAAAAAAAAATTTCTTAAACATTATTCCATTTAGCGTATTAGCTTAAAGTGTGAGTCAATGATTTTTATATTTATGGAGACAGGAAAGCGGATTTGGCGATGATTTCATTGAGTACTGTTCTTAATTTGGGATCCTACGACGTTCTTTAAATTCAGATTCTTTCAAAATCGCGATATAAGCTTATATCGCTCGATGGGCGTATGCTGGTTGTGTTCTTTTTATCTAAGCTCGAACGACTAAAGACTTTCCTTATTATAGATCTCATCCTTTTTATAAAAAAGGATAATTCCTATTATTCAAGTTTTATAATGCTTTTACTCTTTTGTATGATATCGACGATCAGTGGCAAACACGATGATGATAAAAAAATAAAGAACGAAATAAGTGTCTAATGATAATAGGTATAGAGCAAATGCTTTCTAAGCCTACGGGAATCAAAGACGCAATGGCTTTTAGGGAAATATCCGTTTTGGTCACTGTGGTAATAGCGACATAGTTGCGCATCTTGATGTCAAACTATCAAGTTTATTTCTTCACCCTTCTACCATTTTGTTCCACTTGCTTCTTGACTGTTTTTCTAGATTTCATTAGAATGTTCTGTTTTCGGAGACCGAAAATAGAACAGTGAAGAATAAAAACCAGTAAACTTAAAATGGTAAAATAGTAACAAGTTTTTCTTCCGCTTATTTTTACCTTACATGCCAATTAGGCCTGTTTAATTGTGTCATATTGCTGTAAACGAGAAAGAGAGACGTTTTTTCTAAATTAATAAGATTGGGTGTTTCGAAGAAGAAAAAAAAAGCAAAGTTTTTTTATGCATTATTTTTATTCTATACACGATATATTCTAGTCGATTTTATTTTTTCTTTTGGTTCTTCTTCTTGCCTTTTCGAGAGCTTGATTCACCGTTAATATATTGCAAGACTTGATCAATGGGAAGTTCACCACGAGGAATTTCAGGGGGACTTGCCTTCTTGCTTGCAGGTGCAGGAATAGGCTTGGTATTAGCCTTGGCTTGTTCTTCACGAGTACGTTGAGCTATAATGACAGCGTTTGTAGTCAATTCCTTTAACCAGAGATCACTATCTTTTGTACGAGGATCTTCAGGACCAAGCTATTCAAATTAAGTTTTTCATTTAGTATATTCAATGTAAACAAGCATCATCTATCCTTACCTTCTTTTCAAAGACGTCATAAGCGATTCTTTCAGCAGCCAAAGCCTTAGGAAAGTGACCTTCAAGTGTATAGGCCTTTGCAAGAACATGATAGCCTGTAGCTGTGAGAACGTGATCTTTTCCTAAAATTTCTTCTTGAGTAGTACATGCTCTTTCAAAGAACTTGGTACTTGTAGGGTAATCACGGAGTGATTGAAGCATAACACCAGCATTGTTCTAGAAAAAAATATGTTAAATTTATGCAGAAACTAGCTGCCTTGACTTACATCAGCTGTAGCTGAATCGGGATGACCAGGACCAACCAAAAGATCCCAATAATACAAAGCATGACGGATGTAACGAAGGGCAAGCTTAGTGCGACCAGCAGCATGTTCGAATAAACCAAGGTTCAACTAGAATACATAAGTATATCATTATTTATGCAATCATTCTCACTTACGTAATGATGGATAGTCTCTGGATGATCAACACCACATGTTCTTTCAGCAGCAATAACAGCCTTGCGTTGAAGATCAAGAGCAGCTTCACGCTCTTCACTGTGATGATAAATCATGGCCAAAGTGGCATAACACTTGCTGGTTTCAGGATGCAAGAAACCATAAGTTTGTTCGTGCAAAGCCAATGATTCAAGCAAGAGTTCAAGACCCAATTGCTTATGGCCTTGAGCAATACTCATCTTACCAGCTTCAAATGTCTCTTCAGCAAAGACGCTTCGGGAAGAAGCTTGCTTGACTGTGGGCATCAAGTTCAAGATATCTTCAGGTATAAAGGTGGTTGTGCGACGAGTAGGTTTCTTGGGAACATCGTTTTGCTTCTTGGACTTCTTACCACGGCTGCTGTGAGATTGTTCTTGCTTCTTGCGGTCAATGGCAGCTTGAATAGCGGCATCTTCAGCAGCAAAAGCAACACGTTCTTCTTCACTGTAAGGCTCAACGCGGTAGTCTCTAGCGTTGACTTGAACACCAACACGGATACAGATTTCACGAAGAGCAGGAATAAAGTTAAGCTGCTCAATAGCATCGTCTTCAAGCTTGTAGCGGAAGCGAAGCAAGACTTGTTGAGCAACAAGAATCTTCAAGGCAGCAGGCGTAAGCTGAGCCCATTCAAAATCGTTTCTGTTGGTACCTTCAGGTACGATAGGAGAGGGCTTGGGGTTGAAGCTAGAAGCAAGCAAGCAGTTGAAGAAATGAGAGATACAAAGACTGACTTCTTCAGAAGAGCAGTTGGCAAGGTATTTGCGAAGGAGACGCTTAGAAGCACGAATGATCATTTCTTGAATAGCAAGCTTGCGGACATGTTCAATGCGCTTATCCTTGCTGAGGGAAATGAGCTCAGCAAGCTTACCAAGATAACGCATGTTGATACCACGACGATGCATAGCTCTAGTAAGGGCATCACCATCAAGAGGTGAAATAGCATACGAGGCAAAGTCAAGAACAAGGCTAGGAATGACCTCATTGGATAAAAATTTAGAGGCTTCACGGATAGTTTCTTCTTCTTGCTTAGTTTGCTCAGTTTGAGGAAGCTTAGCAGTAGTAAAAACATCAGGATTGAAGGTAAGCTTGAATTCATTGACATCAATCTTAATATCATCCTCTTCTTCTTGGGCCTTTTCCATTTCTCCGACATTGGTTTCTTCGAGCTTGGCTTCTTCAGCCTTGGCTTCTTGTTCAGCTTTAGCTTCTTCGACAGCAGCAGGTTTAGCATCGTTTCTCTCTTTCTTAATTTCTTCAGTTTTGACCTTGACCCATTGTCTGAACTTGTGTTCCCAGAACAAGCTCATTAATTCAGGCCTTAACAATGTCATTTTGTGAGGATAAGCAGGCTTGCCATCCTTTTCTACACATTCGCTTTCTTGGAACTCAATATCGACTGGGTTCAATCTATAGAGATCCAACATGTAGCGACGACCATCAGCACCAAGCAAGCCCTTGGTCTCTTGAGAAGCGAAAAGCTTAAATTCAGTGTTTTCTTGATCAATCACAGCATGTTCAGCCAAGTGAAGAGACTTAGCAACATCTTTACCGATGGATTCGTGGAACTTTTCATCAGCAGAAATCTTGACGCCATTATCAACAGAACCATAGATGATAGTGTTTTCATCTTGACGACGGAAAATGCCAGGAACAATGCTTTGTGCAACAATACGAGCACCCTTATAATCAACAATGACACTGGCTAAAGTGTACAATCCATCGGAATCAATGCTGTTTAAGATCTTGACACCTTCCAGATCTTTACCGGTAGCTACATGAGCAGCTTCGTTGGCACCGAGCTCTTCAAAAATACCACGACCATCGTTACCCTTACTGAAAAAGATGTTGTTGTAAACATACATGTGTGACTCTTCTTCTTCAAGAGGGTTTAAAGGAACAACGGAGCCATTGACAACAGCCATGGCGCCACGGACAGCTGCTTCAGTGAATTCAGCTTGAACTTTAGTGATCAAACGCTCACGCAAAACACGCTCCTGAAGTACAGACTTGGGCAATTCACGATGAGATTGAAGTTCGTCGTTCCAATCACGCAAAGACTCAACTGCATCAGAGCCAGCAACCAAGAAAGGTTCACAGGGTCTGGAAGGGTCATAAAGATGTTGAGGAGTATCAACAGCCCAAGGATGATTGGGATAGTAAGTGTTGACAGGAAGAACTTCAAGCATGTGATGGCGAGTAATAAAGTCTTGCAATTCGCTAAACTTGGCAGCAAACAAAGGAGAAGTCTTTTGCAAAAGAGTGATGAGCGAGTGAGCAGAAGCACGTTTGGAATAGTTAAGTGAAGGATCAAATTTAGTGTTGGAGGAGTTGTTGATAAAGAAGCCCTTAGTAGAAGCAGTAATGTGGACAGTCTCACCTTCCAAAGTGGTGACAGCCAAATACAACAGATCACCCTTGAGCTTTTGTCCATGAGGCACGGGGTTCCATCCGGAAAGTGTCAAACTCTTAATACATTCAGGTGCAACACGTTGAAAGTTGCTTGGTGTCAACTTGGAGAGCTTAGAGCGCTCTTCAATATTAACGTTAGTGAAGACGTGCTCTGGCACAGGCTCATCAGAGAACAAATCGTCCATCTTTTTATCAGCTTCAGTATTGACCTCTTCATCTATAGAGATTTAATGTTAGTCTATTCTAAGTAGATTGTGTTATTTCTTACCAATTACACCTGTAACAGCTGTCAAGAAAGAGATAGCAGGATCAATCCCCACTGTGGAAGGACTAGGCTTGTAAGGACCAGCCAACAAATCGCGAAGACGAGTAATGTGGAGTCTAACATCACGTTCATTGTAATTGTCTATAGATGTGTTATTTATCCATAAATGCACTTGTCTATTGTTTTTTTTTCCTAACCTTCAATCAACTCAAGTTCACTTTCAGGTGTAATGCCTTCTACTTCACCCAATTCCATAAAGTCATTGATTCTCTTTCCCTTGTAAGCTAAATAGAAGCAAGAATGAGCACAAGTATCAGGGGATTCCATAATGGATTGCTTTATGTCTTGAATAGCTTCGCGAGGACTTGTCTACAAAAAAAAATATGAGTTTTCTCTTTCCCCTTTTCTAAATTTTGCTTACAATAATCTTGATTTCGCCTGCAGTACCGGGCAACTTGACAGTTAACTCGTATGCCTCCTCAACAACTATATCATGCTACTAAGTATTTGCTCTTCCCTTCTCTTTCCTTTCCTCTCTCTCCTTCTTACCTTCTTCAGGAGCTTGGTTCTCGACATGGAGTTGTTGCTCTTTCTCTTGGTTGTCGCTCATTGCTAGGCAAAATAGTCAATATATTGTCTCAAAAAAAAACCTCCGTCAAACCTATAGTTCTCTATCTCTTGTGGTTGAACAAAGAAAGAGTACAAGAAGGAAAAGAAAAAATAATGTGTCAAGTTTTTTTTTCTTTGTCACAGAAATCACTAAACGACTAGGGGCCGAACTTTTTCCCCAATGTGATCTGGGTTTTAAAGAAAAAAGCTAATATGGCAGTTTACACTTTTTATTGATTCAAATCATACATGTAAGTAACATGTTCTGGTTCATTTAAATAGTATGCTTGAAGCCTTCTGATCTTTTTGCATTTTAGCTCAAGAGTAAGTATCAGTTGGTTTATTATTCCCTTCTCATACTCTTGCGCTGTGGCTTGGTGGCTGTCTCCCTTAACGCATTTAACGTATTTTTCTCCATGGATAGTAGACAACTTCACGTATATATAAGTATACCAAGAGAATGACAGTGAATGACCGAAATCAAAAGTATCAAAAGAAGTATAGGACATATCTATGAAGAGATGCGAACACTCAAAGTTTTCAAAGCTGTGCGTATTTGTTTCATTCAGTGTTAGATACTTCAGATTAGTGAGGTGATAAGATAGTTCTAGCAGTGCAGAGGGAGAATATTGGCAGTAATTTAGAAACAATATCTCTATTGGCGAGCTAACTCTAGCCTCACCATTTGATTCAACAAGGCGATATTGATATAGTGTTAGTTCCTTTAGTTTTATACAATCTGCAAGGATGTCTCGGGAGCCAATAACTGCTTCATGTAGACTGTCAGAACCAATTATGCTTGCACTTTCATTACACACAAATGGTGAGTACTGGTCCCTGCTTGATATCTTTAATGAGTCGATAAAAGCGCCAAGTGGCATAATGGTGGGCCTTACAAGAGGCAAATTCATTCCAGTGTCTACATACAATTGTACTTTTGATTTTGAAGGGTCTTCCTGACTGGAATAAGCCAGTTCAAGTTTTGTTCCGGACGAATATTCGATCCTTAAAAGCATTTTTATATGGCTGCTGGAGAGTTTTGCTAGTAAGATGGATACAAATTCTATTATATGTCCTACATGGGTAAAGAATATATTGAATTTCTTCAACCTTTTTAAATAGTCTGACAAATATAATTGAAAAACCATCCAAATAATTCTGCTGTAGGCCGCATTTCAAGGATAAGTATTGTAAATTGGGAAACTTATTGATGATATAAGCGAGGAATTCTTCTGAACCAAAACAAACAGTGGCGGTCAGATCCTTTATCTTGTTATTCGGCTCAAAGCTGTGCAAATATAAAGGTGATGTAACCAGATTTTGATTTATATTTAGAATCAGCTTTTTCAATGAAGACATTTTATCAATAACTCCATTGAGTTCATCAACTGAGAACTTGTCGACTGATATATAAATTAGCTCTTCTAGCTTTTGATAGTATTTAAGGCTTGTGATAAGAATGTGATATTCTTTTTCATATTTATCCAAATTGCGTAAAAAATCACATACCATTAAGCTTTTCAATGAGATTCGAGCGCTTGCTGTTATTCGATAATATGAATCGAGTTCTTGGTGACCATTAGGAAAAGGAATATAAGTCAAATGCTTCAAGTTTCCTCTGTTTTTTGACAAGCACTCCAGAATTCGAGAAAAGCTTGTCGGAATCGTATCTCTTGAAGGTTGGAAGTGCGTTTTATAATAGATTCAAAACAGTGGAAAGGTAAAATTCCTGGGGTATAGTCAATAATTAAGCGTTTCAAGTGCTTTTCTAATGAAGGGAAAGTGTTGGTTACAGTTCTTGCTAACAAATAGGTTTGCTCTTGATCATTTAGCTCGATATCCGAGTATATTGCTTTTTATGTCACCTCAGAGCACTGATGACAGACAAGTTGACATTGTAGCAAGTCTTTAGTGTTTAGATAACTGTAGATTTCTGATATAAGTTCCAAAGGTAACCTAAGCAAATGTGACATTATCAAGAACAAAAGAGAATGAGCAATCAAACTAAGAATGTGAATTTATCAATCTTTCTCGTTGTACCACCTACTTTGAAAATAGCTACTCTTCCTATTTTGGAAGTATGGTTACTTCAATATGGATATTTATTTTATTTACACTCAAGTAGTTGCACAGCTGGATGTATCATCTAGAAGTGTTATGTGCTAAAAGATCGAATCAAACAGACCAGCTTGTCTTAAGCTATAAAAACCATCGAGTATTTAGTTCAACAAATAGCAGACATAAAGTTGATCTTTAGGGAACAAAATAAAATAAATGATAGAATCGCACACAAGATTCATAGATAAACAGTCTTTGATAGTTACATAGCACTTTTGAGCCGTTTTTTTACCCGAAAACCAACATGAAAGAAATGGCCAAATACTCATCCTCGCATTTTGCTCAAATCCCGGTATTTGTCGTTTCTTTGGCCTCCACAAGACAAGAAATAGAGCTATTGAAGTGCTTGGATAGCCAAAGCAAGTGAGAAGAACCAAAGCTTTTTTTTTTTTTTTTTGCGGTTGCTTTTGTTCGTCAACTATACTATAGAAAAATGCGCTAGATGAAAAAAGGTTTGATTTTAAGATTTTGGCATCATTGAAATTCACAAAGTTAAAGCATTCTTTGATCGTATCATGCTTCATTCTTTGCTTTGTCTTTATAAAATCAATAGAAACAGCTGTTGAGACTTGTTTACCGTCAGCATGATTGACTATGTATTGATATAAAAAGGATCAGCTTCGAACAAGGCAGAGTATAAACAAAGGTGTTTCTGACGAGTTTAAAATTCAAAGAGCTTATAAATCTCATTCAAAAGGCAATAAGTGAAACGGTCGACAAGCAATGTAAATGAGTGGTATGATCAACTTTGAGTATAACCAAAAAAGCTTTCTGGATATTATTTTTAGAAGAGTAAGTTATAAATAAATATCTTGGATCAGAGTATATCTGAAAGGCGTATTGCTTTCATTATTTAGAGGTGCATAAAAATACCACTCAAGCATTGTTTTTTGAAGAATGCATTGAGCTATATCCAAGTGTATATATCCATATACTTTCATCTGAATCTAGGAGTACATGGAATCTTTTGAAAAAAGAGAGACGAAAGACAATACAACATGCATTTGGCATTCCCTCAAAAAATAATATAAAAAATACGCTAACATTTTTTTTTTCAAAAAATCATCCCGAGTCATCAAAATGCTGCTTGTTTAAGCGATTTATGTGTAGCATTATATCCAAAATATCCCAGTAAATAGCAAATAAAGATCTCGTCTTGGTATTCCCATTATTTGATTCACTCAACACAAGATGCTTTAGGAATGAATTCCGTGCATTTTTGCATGTTCAACACGAGTGCGTTGATATTGGTTTGTGTGCAAAAGAAATTCTTGTCAAGGTAATTATGCATCAAAATTACAGGATACGCACTGGTGAGTACAATCTATTGTGCTTCCTCAGCGTTTTCGTATTCGTGTACAACGCAAGGAAAGGAGAAAAGGAGGGAATGAGTAAGATACTCAGTCACGTATGTATACACACATGCATAGTATAACATAACTTTCAAAACAAATGATAGGTACGTGTCAAAACACGCTGAGGCATGTACACGCACACGCACACAGAACAAATAGAGTGATAAAAAAGGTTAAGATTACTTTTAGTAACCTCATTTTGATTTTCTTATGCAAATAATCAGAACCAATTAAAACATGCTGTGTGACGTGAAATGCAGTTTGCCTATTCTCATTGAGTTTTTTTTCCCTTTTTTCATTTCTTTTTTTTTTTTTTGTTATTTGACAAAATTAACTTTGATTTGTAAGTCAATTGAAATACGATTGGCATGGAACAAACAACTTCTCAAGACGCTGACTTGGGTAAACCTGTCAAGTCATTTTTTACAACAGAAACCCGTTCCAACCCCGCGTTCGTTACTGTCAGCCATATCACTACTTCGGCAGAAATCACTAATCCAACAGTCAATAAATTGCGTAGTGTACCTATACCACCTTTACTGCTAAAAAAACCAGAAAGTCACTCTTCGCTTTCCCCGCTTGAAGACAGCACTCAAAAAATGCCAGTAACGCCTATTGAAATAAATAAGACATTCAACAAGAAAAGTAACAAATCTTTTTTTGTCTCAAATAATGTAGACGAGGAGTGTACATCCTATACAGAAAGCGAATCAGCTCAACTTTCTCCTCGGTATAACAGCCCTCCTGCAGCAGGAAGTGGAGGCAAATATATGATAAAATCAAAGAGAGCCAGCTGGATCATAGATACTAGTAATGGCTGTGATTACACGAGTGCGCCTTCCACTCCTGTCAGTCTCCCTGAAAGTATCAGATTTGCTCGAAGCAGAAAAAACTCGATAGCAACAATAGACTTTAACAGAAAATTGATGCTTGTCGACGAAAAAAATACAATATCTTCACCATCCTTTTCTTCGCCTTCATCAAGTAGCAAATCTGGATTCATATCTCTATTACGAGATAAGAGGTCACCTAAAAGTCCATGTGAAGACATCTTTCGACATCAAAGAGACTCTTCTATCTCTTCTGTACTATCTGATAACACTAGCATTATTTTTTACCCCGACGAAGATCATCTTTTGTCTAGAGATGGCTCTATCTCGTCAAATGGTCAAGGTAGGGCAACAAACGAAAAAAAAAAAAAAAAAAAAAAAAAAACTTTTAGCACAGATTACTCACACTAGAAACAGGAACCGATCAGTTAAGACTGACTCATAGACTATCTGAAGATACTTGTACTTTTTCAACCAATAGTAAGAGCCCTTCTCATGTTGAAGTTACTAGTCTTCCTGAATATCAACAATCACTTCAATCATTTTTGAAGAAACAAATGTCTAGTTCTCATTTTTCTTCATTGTTTTTACCTTCAGAACTAGAAGATGATAAAGACATAACAGAAATTGAGCTTAGTGATACAACTGAAAAGCAAATACACCCTACTGTTCTAGGCGATACCGACTATCAGTCACCTGTTTACCCAGCAATGTTTCTCAGGACCAACAACTCAACTCATGCAGATCCTGAATTATACTATAACGAGGCCATGTCTGTTCCAGATGTAGAAGAATATTTTACATTACCACCTCAAGCTTATGAAGGTAGTACTAATATAGTGTTATGCAATTAAACTTATTGGTTTCGCTGTGTGATAGGCTCCAAAAGTGTTCCCATCAGACGTCGTACACTCAAGCAAGACTCACCTAAACAAGATCCATATACCAACAAAATACAGATATCCCGCTCTGCCAAAATCAAAAAATGGTGCGCCCAACACAGACAAACCGAATGGACAAATTGGATGGACGATATATCCCCAAATCCACTTCTTCCGCAGGCAAGAGAATGGTGGTCATTGGTCCAAGAAGAACTTAATAAATCAAATCAGAAGCACCACGATGCTATGCATATAAACTTGCAGCAATCCCAATACAAATTTCCCATTGAATCGAATGCAAGTGATATTGATAGCCATTGTTTTTTGAATGGAAATCACCACTGCTTAGATGGTATCGATTGTGAGGTAGCATCAAGTGCTATAGAAGGCGTGGGATATCGATTCAATCATTGTGAAAAAAGTCCCTTTGCTCATTTTGGTGAAGGCTATGAATCCTTTGTCTCACCGTACACTCGCAAAAACAGTAACAACAATGACTATCCTAGACGCACAATCAAAGCAAGATTACTATCTGCAAAATCAGCATGTAATTTGGAATTAAGAAGAATCATTGATGGACTGAATGAATACGTTGAAAAGGGCTTACTTTACCTGGAAGCTGTAGATTCTGATATCGAGACAAAAAATAAATGTCAACAGAAGCCTATCGTAGATGGTGTTACATCCTTTGAGGCACCTGATTGCTATCAGCAAGATTCAAAAGATTTTGCTACAATGATATCAGAGGATGCATATCTACCCACGCCTTTTATTTTGACTCTGCAAGACCTAATTTGTTTGGCTCAAAGTGTTTTGGATACTGAGCTTTACGTATTTTTGGAAAACACGGGAGCTTGTGCAAGTACTGTTTCTAGTATACAATCCATTGGCACTCAATGGGTACAACACAAGGAGTGGCCTTGCAAAGAATGGTACGTTCAGCTATTACTATGTGTAGCTGCTTTCAATCGAGTGATAGAATGGTGGCAAGCTGAGCACAGTTTTTGGACCGCCTCATCCACTTCGATTGCATCTACGCCAACAATGACACCAGCACTCAATCCAACTGGATCTAATAAAACTGGTAATCAGTCTACAGGAGAAATAGCAAGTGACATAGGGAATATGCACACAAGGACAAATAGTGCTGTACTCAGCTTACTCCAAAGCAGGCCTGAAACCGAAGCAAGTCAGTTGCAAGAAAATGCAGAGATAGGTCAAAGCTGTACTATCGTTATGGAGTTGTCTCTTGCTAATACAGCTATAGAATATTTAAGCCCTATTTGGTATCATGTGATTGGGTAAGTAGAAAATTGAAAGATGCATTCAAAGTAGCTTATATAGTCTTTAGTACTTTACCTCAATCTGCCATTGGCTTAGATATTTCACAATTATTATCAGATGAAGACAAAAACGTTTTCAAAATCGCAACAAAAGAAATGTTGGCAGATGATTCAAGAACGGTTGAAGTTGTTTTCACTGTATGTCCAGACAAATCTAAAGGCACAATTCAAATGGAAGCTAAAGGAATGCTCATGTACAATCGAGTGACAGGAGAACCTAGTCATACAATGTGGGTTATGAAGCCCTTTGAACCAAAAAATTTAGTTCATGACGATACATTGCAAAACATTAAAACGTCCTCAATGAGAAGATCTATTTCTCATGGAGACGCACCCACCGGTTCTGATATCACTTCAGTCCCTCATCTTCTAGGGCTTCCTCCAGTTCTTTGCAACATTTGTGAGCGCCGGGTTATGGCTGTATTTTTTGAACAGCACTCAGAACTATGTGCTGAAATACATCGTGCTGAAATGGATGTAGTTACATGCAATGACAGTTTAGCAGAAATTAAACATTATGTTCAACGACTCTGTGACCTAACCAAATCAGAAGTAGAACAACTTGAACAAAATCCAGACTCTGCATTGGACGACAAAAAAGATCAACCAAGCTTTTCAAAAGAAAATGATCCCATTTTCGGTGATAAACTGCCACTGGAGCAAGTCATGTCTAGCCCTCTAGAAAGGAAAACATCAGAATTAGAGAAATATAATTCATTGCGCGATATTATGGAGGTTGCCTTGTCTATAGTTACTCCAAGTACGATAGAAGATATTGCATTGGAAAGTAATCAATCAAAAATTATTCAAATTCAATATTATCGTCCACCACAAACAGATGATCCAGACACAGAATCGTTAATTCGTGACATTGAAATAATAATCAAATCTAAAGTAGACGCTATAAATCGAGTTCAAAACTGTATCGACTATAATCAAAGAATACGACAGATTTTTAAAACGAATATAATCAAGGACAGTAATTGGAGTGAATTTGTATTTCCAGAAAACAAAAGTCAAAATTCAAAAGATGATCAAAGTCAGTTAGCCGAGGAAGAGAATAATAAAGAGCAACCTCAAGAGGTGACAAAAGAGACAATAGAGTTACCTAAAGAAGAAAACGAGGATAAAGGGATCTTAAGTAGAAAGAAGAGCATTTTCAGAAAGATTAAAGACTGGAAAGTAAAAGGGAAAAAAAGCAGTAGCAGACATTTCAAGAGAATCTCAAAGCAACTAAACAAGGCTTGCTTCATGACCAACACTCCTCAGCTTACCTCCACGATGCATAACCCAATAGACACAGTCAATAGTAATCAACAAAAAATCTATGAAATGGAAACAATTGAGACGCCAATAGCCTCTCCTTGTTTACAGCCTTTATCTATCGATACTGAGCCTTCAAGAAAAAAGAGTACGTTAGGACAGCCTCCAAAAACTCCTACATTGCTTGGAAAATCATCTGTTTCTCGATCTCCTGTTTCTTCGGCTCGTTCGGTAGCTCCTAGCATCAAGGATTTTGATATAATTAAACCAATTAGTAAAGGGGCTTTCGGATCTGTTTTCCTCGCAAAGAAAAGAGTAACGGGAGATTACTATGCTATCAAATTTCTCAAAAAATCTGACATGATTGCCAAGAATCAAGTGACAAATGTCAAAGCAGAACGCATGATTTTAATGACTCAAACAGACAGTCCATTTGTTACCAAACTATACTATACATTTCAATCAAAAGACTATCTGTATTTGGTAATGGAATACTTGAACGGTGGTGATTGTTTATCCTTAATCAAAGTGCTTGGAAGTTTACCTTGCGATTGGGCTCGCAATTACCTTGCAGAAGTAACGTTAGGACTGAGTTATCTTCACGAAAAGAAAATCATCCATCGGTAAGGCTAATCGTTAATTCCAAGCATATAGACTAAATTTTAATAGTGACCTCAAACCAGATAACTTACTGATTGACCAAAATGGGCATCTCAAGTTAACTGATTTTGGTCTTTCTCGTATTGGCTTTTTGGATAGACGAGTGCGTGACGAATTGAGCCGAGAACCGTCTACTATGCCACCAACATCGCCTGCACCTTCTCGGTCAGCGACACCGCCAAATTTCCCTGCAGCTGCCAATATACCTCTAGTAAACAATGATAAGTTATACAAACATTCTTATTTCAGTGTTTTATTTGATCGAGGAGAGAATAGGCGTGATTCTCATGCAAGCACATTGTCGAACGAAGAATCCTTACCTTTATCTAATTCACTTAGTTGTAATAACAGCCTATTTACAATCAATCAAGATTCATTTGATAATAGTGTTAGCAACAGTCCAGCTTCAAAACCACCAAGATCGCACCGACAGCGAGTTACTTCAGGCATACTATCTCCTGGAATACTAACGCCTGTTTCTTTCCCTTCAAACACACAAGAGGACAAAGACCACTCAAACTATGCAATAGGAACACCCGATTACCTTGCACCTGAGAGTATTCTTGGAACAGGCCAAGATTCAATGGTTGACTGGTGGGCTTTAGGCGTAATTTGCTACGAATTCCTGTATGGTTATCCTCCTTTTCATGCAGAAACACCAGATAAAGTGTTTGAAAACATTCTCTCGCGCAACATCAACTGGCATAAAGATGATATTGACCTGTCTGAAGACGCATATGATTTTATGGGTCGATTGTTAACACTTGATCCAGAAAAAAGGCTAGGTAGAAATGGTCCTGAAGAAGTGAAACAGCATCCTTTTTTCAAGGACATCAAATGGGATCAAATACTTCATGAATCACCCTCATTTATTCCTAAACCAATGGACCAAGAAGACACAGACTATTTCGACTCACGGGGTGCCACAATGCTAGAAGAACAGCAGCAAGACAATTTACAAAACTTGGTCTTGGAAGAAGTCAGACGAGCAAAGGCAATTATCAATGAACAGAATCCAGATAACATCTCATTGTTAGAGAACCAAGAGTCATGTCAGTCGTTAGACGATGCCAATTTTGGAGCATTTGTTTACAAAAACCTTCCTGTACTTGAAAAGGCTAATGAAGAAGCTATTCGAAGAATACGTCATGAAAGTCTTTCTTCATCTTCGTCTTCAAATGCGTCTATTGATAGGCTTCGTAGCTGGTCTCTTAAGAAGAGAAATTCTATAGCAGATCCAAATTCTTTACGCAATGAAAGTGGCAATAACAGTTTCAGTATATCACCATCGTCAACTCTAGCCCCTTTGTTACTATCAAATACGTTACAATTCACAAATAGTAGTTCATTACCCTGCACACCACCTCTCACATTATCGCCATCATCTTCAACTCGGGCATCAAACGCCTTGTCCTACCGTCGATCCGTTGATATGGCCCATTCACCTTTAAGTCGTACAGAGAGATTAAAGAGATCAGAAAGCAGAGTTCCTCAACGATCTAGATCAGTCTCTTCTCCGGGAAATCGAGTCTTTCACCCTTCAATAGCAATATCTTCTACTTCTGAATCCACGTCTCCATCTACTCCAACTTTTACTGTTGAGAGTCGAGCGGTTAGCAGCAATCTTTTTACAGACAGTCAGTACGCTGAAAGTGTCCCGCCTATGGTGCCTCAAGCGCCACATCCTTTAGATTGTGAGACAACCCCTAAAGTTCTCAGCTGTCTGATTGCAGACGACAATCCTATTAGCTGCAAAATCTTGGAAACCGTGCTACATTTACTACACTGTCGTTGTGTGGTAGTAAGGAATGGAGCGCAAGCTATCCGCTGTGCTATGGGTGATAAAGTGCAATTCGATTTGATTTTCATGGATATCAGAATGCCTATTGGTAAGCTAAGCGGAGAGCAAATTAAATGAAAACTAATCTTATTCATAGTGGACGGAGAAGCTGCTGCTCGTATGATAAAATCTACAAATAATATCAATAAGAATACACCTATTATTGCGGTCACTGCTTATGAGAAAACGCTTCAACAGGCGAGTATATTTGATGACACTATCTCTAAACCAGTGAAGAAGGAGACCATAATGCAATGCATTCAAAGGTTTTCAAATGAATCGCGGAAGAATAATCAATTAGCATATCATAACCTGGCTTTCTCTCTTAACAGAAAAATAACAAAAACTCAACCAATTTCATTTTATTAAAAAATAAACAAGATCCAATATTCTATCCCGTTGCCAATACATATATAAATGGTATTTTTTTATCTCTTTGTCATTTTCTCCTCTCTTTTTCTCTTTTTCATAAAAACAATGCAAAGCGAACTAGATCTTGTTCTAAAAGAAAAATATGCAATAACTGAAATTGACGAAAGAATTGACTTACATGTTTATCCTTCTTGCCATTCGGTGTCGCAACCTTCAAGTTGTAGTCTGAATATTATCAAATTCTGTCTCATAGTAAGAATAATTATCAACAAATTTTATAGCCATCGTATGCATCAAGAATGCTATCAAGAATGGATGTTCAAAGAGTGCATTGCTATAGATGAAGTCCTATAAGCAAATAAACAAGCTAAACTTTGAAAATCTATGAGGAAGTCTTAATAGAAACAGTTTTTATTGAGTGCCATAAATCAGGCTACTAATCTTTTTTTTTCGTGGTAATAATCAGGCTATCTTTTTTTTTTTTGAACTTAAGTCATGTGTATTCAGTTGAAGTTTGCTTCAGAGGCGATCTACGCTTTGATAGACACAATCGGAAATTGTAAATTCTAACTGCTTTGGCCAATCAGAAGCCTAGTACTTTAGTACTGACTTCAGAATGTCCAAGAAAATATCACTTTCTTTTTGATGGCTAGTACAGACAAAAAAGTTAAACCTAGAGTTTCTATCGAAGTAAGCTGTAAAAAATAAATAGAAATAACGCGCTTTTTTCTCTCTAAACGTCTCTTGCTTACGATTAGTACTGTCCCAAATGTCGTTGGATGCTCCGTGCTGGTATGTCTGAAGTTTAGATCGCAGTTTTGGATATTTTTCCTAACCAATAATTTTAGCTTGGATGGGTCAAGAGCTTTTGACAACATTTGAGAATGATATCGGAGAGCTTGCATTGATTCCTGGCGATGTTGGTATATATAATGTCAAAGTCAATGAGAGTAAAGTGAACTTGGATTTTATTCTGTATTCCCTAACCATATTGATAGCTGTTGTTTGGGACCGCAAAATAACAAAAAGATTTCCTGAGATGAAAGAGCTGGTATGTTGGCTACTACTAGAGTGATTTTATTCATAATTTATATAGAAACAATTGGTTCGAGATATCATTGCACCTGAAAGATCTTTAGGCCATTCTGATCGTAAAAAGGAAGAAACTGTCGTCAATACTGAAGAAAAAGAAGAATGCAAAACTTGTCCTAAAGAATAAAATCAGACCATTACATCCTAAATTTTTGTTATGCGGTTACACTCAAATCAATAAGGAAATTCTTTTCAATAAAGCATAGTCGCACAATGTTTAACTGTTGAGGCAAGCTCTTATTGGACAGTTGTTGTACGCGAATGCTTATTTTTTTTTTTCACTTACCCGCTCTGTCCCTTTTTCTTTCTTTCTTCTTTTTAAAATATAGATACTATGGTAAACAAGGCTATTGTCAAGAACGTGTTGTCAGGCGACACTGTCATTCTACGAGGTAAACCTAGACCCAACGGTCCTCCCGCTGAACGCCTCTTGGCCCTGTCACACGTCCAAGCTCCTAGACTCGGTAACACTACTCGCTCTGATGAGGCAAGTGCACACATATGCAAAACATGATGAGCTTGTATTAACGTCACGTAGCCTTTTGGTTTCGGTGCTCGTGAATTCCTGAGAAAATTAGTGGTTGGCAAAGAGGTTTCTTTTGTATCAGAGTACACTATTCCTACCACACAACGCGAATACGGTAGCATTTACCTTGCCAACGGCGATAATGTTGCTGAATTAGGTGTGAAAGCAGGTTGGCTAAAGTTACGAGAAGGCAAGACGACTCGCCAAGATCAAGAAGAACAGCTCGAAAAGCTCGAGCAATTACAACAAGAAGCTCAAGATGCTAAAGTTGGTATTTGGAGTGAAACAGAAAAGGTATGTATAGATATTCTGGATTGCAAAAGAAATTTATGGGCTGCTATCATTATTAGGGCATTCGTGAAATTTCATTCAATTTTGATGGTGATGGCCGTACCTTTTTGAACAAGTACAAGGGAAAGCCATTAGATGGTATGGAAAAAGCCTAATTGAAAGGTACATGATCTAATGATTTGTATTCTATTAGCTGTTATTGAGCAAGTCCGTGATGGTTCTACTTTCCGTGTTCTTTTGATTTTGCCTGATGGAACACAACAATTTGTCACTTTATTTTTGTCAGGCATCAAAGCACCCGCCTGTAAGCGCGATAATGATGAAACCTCTACTTCTGAACCTTTCGGAGAAGAATGCAAGTTTTTTGTCGAATCCCGTCTTTTACAACGTGGTGTCAAGGTGATTTTAGAAGGTCTTGCTCAGTCAGGTGGACAGAATTTCGTTGGTTCTATTCAGCATCCTGCAGGTAACATTGCCGAACTTTTATTGGCTCAAGGCCTTGCCAAATGTGTTGATTGGTCAATCACTCTGACTACAAGTGGCCCTACACCTTTAAGAAATGCTGAAAAGTCAGCTAAGGAAAAAAGGCTTCGTCTTTGGCGCGATTTTGTTTCCAAGAAGGTAGACTCATCTTTCAACGATTTTGACGCTACTGTTGTTCGTATTCTTACTGGTGATACTCTTCTTGTAAAGACTAAGAACGGTGGTGTTGAAAAGAAGATCCAATTGGCTAGTGTCAAGCAAGCTCCTCGTGGTGCTGGCTCTTCTGCTCCTAACTCCAAGTCTAGAGACGCCAAAGAAGTTGGCTATCAATTTGAAGCAAGAGAATTCTTGAGAAAGAAATTGATTGGCAAGCAAGTCCATGTCACTATTGACTATCATAAACCTGCCCAAGATGGTTTCGAAGCCAAGGATTGTGCTACTGTCACTGTTGGAAGTCAAAACGTAGCTGAACAATTGATTGTTCGTGGTTTAGCCACTGTGATTCGTCATCGTAAGGACGACGACGATCGTTCTCGCTGTTACGACCAATTGTTGGTCGCCGAAAAGAAGGCCCAAGAAGAGCAAAAGGGCGTCCACAGCCCCAAAGATCCTCCTGTTGTCCGTATTGTTGATGCATCCGAAAACGCTGCTAAATCTCGTCAATTTTTAACTTTCTTGAAGCGTTCTGGAAAAATTCCTGCTGTTGTTGAATTCGTTGCTAACGGTTCTCGTTTGTTTGTCTGGGTTCCCAAAGAAAACTGCCGCTTGTCCTTCGTTTTGTCTGGTGTTCGTGCTCCTCGTGTAGGTCGTACTCCTCAAGACAAATCGGAGCCTTTTGGTCAAGAAGCTTTAGAGTTTGTTTCTCAAAAATGCCTTCAACATGACGTTGAAATCGAAGTTGAAAATGTTGACAAGGTTGGCAGCTTCGTTGGTAGTTTGTTTGTCAATGGAGAAAATTTGGCTGTCGCATTATTGGCTAAGGGTTTAGCTAATATTCATGAATATTCTGCTGATGAATCTCATTATGTCAACCAACTCTATGGTGCTGAACGTGAAGCTAAAAGTGAGAAGAAAGGTATTTGGGCAGACTACACAGAAGAGACTACTCAAAATGAGCAACAAGATGCTGCTGCTGGCCCTAACCGCGAATACATTGACGTTGTTGTGTCTGATATTATCAGTGGCTCTCACTTCTATGTACAAAAAATCACTGATGAAATTCCCAAGTTGGAGAGATTAATGACTGAACTTGGTCAATACCAAAACAGTCGCCCTGCTGATCCTGCTTTCAAGCCTCGCGTAGGTGAAAACGTCAGTGCTAAATTTACTGAAGACAATTGCTGGTATAGAGGCAGAGTACGTCGTGTTTCTCACGAAGGCATTGAAGTGTTGTATATTGATTATGGTAACTCTGAAACCTTACCACTCTCCCGCGTCCGCACTTTGCCTGAAAACTTTAAGCAACTTAAGGCACAAGCTCATGAAGCTACTTTGTCTTTTGTTAAATCACCTGAGCGCGATCAGGATTATGGTATTGAAGCTGTTGAACGCTTCAGAGACTTGACTGCCAATAAGCAACTGGTTGCTAATGTAGATGCAAGAGAAGGTAATGTCCTTTGCTTGACTCTTTATGATTTCCGCAAATCTACTAGTGCTGAAGCTAGTATTAATTTGGATATGGTGCAAGATGGTCAAGCTGTCGTAACACCTAAAGTGCGCTATGCTCGTGGTAACGAATCTATTATCAAGACACTTGAGGAGGCTCAACAAGAAGCTATCAGACGCAGACTTGGTATGTTTGAATACGGTGATATCACTGGCAATGACGATGTCACAAGCACATATTATTAGAAAGATTATCCATTGTAATATATATATCCTTCAGAATAAATAGTAAAAGTATTTTGTCTTTATTATTGAAAAGCCAAATTGAACTTTTCTGCCATTGCTTTTGTGCTTGCACTAGCAAAACCAGTGCCTTCAGGACTCATATCTACAATATCTTTTGACTTTGTCTTGGTCTCACAAACGTAACATTTCTTTGATTTTGCTACAAACATATCCACACAAGTATTGCAAATGACATGACCACAGTTACGCATGACTAGAATACAAAAGAGCAGCTTAGTAAAAAAAAAAAAAAAAAAAAAAAAAAAAAAAAAAAAAAAAAAAAAAAAAAAAAAAAACTTGCATTGACAAGTTTACCTGATAGTTTGATGGAATTTGTTAATGTCTTGAGACAAGCAGGGCATACATTGTTATCCTTATTCTTGTCTTCTTTCTGAAACTTGACATCAATCAATGACTTGAGAGTCAAAGAATGTGTTTCTTCAGATGCGGTACACAAAACTTGTGTTTTGACAGGTGCGATAGAAGTAGAATCAGCGCTTGGGGTAACAGAAGGCTATTAAAAGTAAGCCAATGGTAAACATACACAGACACAACATACCACCCAAAAAGACCCAAGTCTAGGTTTAGAAGCTTCTTCTTTGTCTTTCTGTAATTGTAATGAAGCCTTCTCCAATTCTTTTTCTGCTATTGATTTAGCTTCTTCTTCTGAAAACTTACGCTTTTTGTTATTGGGTTCATCTTTTAGTCCATCGCGAATAGTTGGACGACGATCACCCAAGACACTATTCTGTGTCTTGTCAAATGTGTCTAAAAGAACGCGTTTTGCTTCAAGATCTTGTAATTGCTTCTGATTATCTAATTCTTGAGCCTTTTGTTCAAACAGCTTTTGCTCCTGTTTAATGGCTTGCTTTTGTTGCAAAATAGATTCATACATGCATTCACGACAAGCTAGATGCCCTTTACTACAAGCAACAGGATCTCGAGTAGTCTGAAGACAAAGGAAGCAGGCATTGTAGTTTCGATAAGAATCTCGACCTAAACGTTGCTTTTAATTCATACATGTTAGTCGTTTGAGATTGACATTAAAATAAACATACTCTTTTTGTTCCATAGTCAAGAGTGTGTGCTTCATGATACGTAAACACGCTGGAAGCAGTATTGTTTTTTGAGTGGCGAGGCATAGCTGTACAGAAAGAAAGAAAGAAAGTGAAAAAAAGTCCAGTCTTATGCGTTGAACACTCGGGGTTGCAACAGTAGTGATTAAGCCACCCCTTTAGAGCTTAGCTTTACATTCTTATTTTGCTTTCTGGTCTTGTTCTTTTCGATGCTTATATAGATAAATAACTTTAAAGAGTTAACATGATTGACAGTAAAGCAGAGTGATTTAAACTTTGGCATGTAGACTGTTTAAAAATAGGTTTGAAGGTACTTAATGACAGCCATGACAAAGCTCGTTGTTGATATTAGATTTTTCTCTACTTACTTTAAGAGCCTTTTACCAGATTATGGTGTAATAAAAACTCAAGCCATAACATTCAACCATTGAGAGAGTCTACAGGCATCATTAAAGTCTTAGCTTCATATTGTCCTAGATCATGAGCATTAGACTGTTACCTAAGCATCACAATTAGCAGAAAAAATACCATAGTCTCATAGTTTGTATCTTTTCTTTTAGAGTAGATGGACAGCTAATGTCTGATGCCTTCCAGAAGCATAAAGGTCTTGTCTATGTTTGAAAATTAAGAATGCCATTTATGGTTATTAGAACGTTTGGCGCATATTCTGTTATCTAAAATAATTTTCCTTTCAGAAAACATACAGCTATTTGGTACGGTACAGAAAACAAATGGTTTTTTCTATGAGCTTGGATTATGCCTGGGCCGGTATCTTACAACTATTCTAAATAAGTCAAAATGCCACATGAAAATGACATAACCGAGAACTTAATTATGATGCGTAGCACAAAAAACATAAGTGGCTGATTAGGTAAATTTTTTATTACTAATAACAAATCTAGACAGAGGAATCAATCCATGAAGTAGAGCCAAAGACCTTGGCAGCACTGTATTGAGAGACTTGAGAGGCAGTCAATCGCTTAGCAAAAGAAGCGCGCGAAGAAGACCAAGCACTGGCACCATTGTTGCTATATTCGGCAAAAGTGACACCAGAAGTGTTAGGACTGGAAGTGCTCCACTTAGACCAACCAGCAGGGTTAATGTGGCTACCAATGGTAGAGTACATGAAGACAACACGGGCATATCGACTCCAAGGACGACCAAGGTAACAGGTGCCAGTGGCCTTGGAGACGGAAGTAAAGGCAATGGATGAACTATAAGTAGAAGCAAGAGGACCAGAAGGAACAGTAGCCTTGATGACACAGCTGTTGAAGTAGAAACCACCAGCGCTACTAGCAGAATCACGGTTGTGAGCAGTGATGTAACCTCTAGTGTTGGAAGCAATAGTACAGCCTTGGAAGTAACCAGTACCGTAACCCCAGATGAAGTCAACAGAGCCTTCAATATAACAGCTTTTGAAGTAACCGCTACCACCTCTGTTTATCAAGACAGTGTCTTGGTAACCATAGAACTTGACATTGTAGAACCCAGCTTGAGCACCCTCAAGGTTAAGAGCCAAGTTAGCAATGTTGGTAGATTGCTTATAGATGTTGGCAACGGTAATATTGTAGAGTCTAACATTGTTACCCTTGATAGTCAAAACAGCAGAGTCAGTATCAGAACCAGCCTTGGATTGAGTGTTGTGACCAGCGTTGTATCGAATTAAGACAGTGCCACTACCAGAGTTCTTCAAAATAACGTTAGAGCGAGTGATAGAGACTTTTCAGTGTAAGTGCCAGGTGCAATGTTGATAGTGTAGGTGGTGGAGCCGCTAGGAAGAGCCTTCAAGGCAGCAGAGATGGTCTTGTAAGTACAAGAGGAACATACGCTGACTGAGTTGGCGGCAGAGACCAACGAGATGGCCAAAGTGAAAAGTAAAAGGAGAGGACCCAAAGACAATTGCATCTTTGTTTGACAGATAAAGAAGAAGAAGATCGACAAAAGAGGCAGATTTATATAGCCAATGTCTCCAGATGGAGATTGAAAAGCGAAAACTTGTGCCAGATTCAATTTATGCAAGATGGAAATTAGAATAAATTAATGGTACCTTGTATCAACAAAGTTACTCAAGCCTAGATGACATTACTGCGTTGCCTTTCTTGTACAACAATACCTTGGTATCTTTCTCTTAGGCTAAGTAATTCAATTCTACGACACATTATCCTTAATTAGAGCATGTGTTTGTACTTCGTCTTATCAATTATCTATAGAAATCAATGATGTTGCTGCCTAGAAAAAATTCTGCAATGAATGCAAAAATATAAACACAATTGGCACCTAATCAAGACTTCAAACTGCACAATATTGAGCTTGCTTTTTGCAATATCATTTCAGCCATTGAGCTATTTAATGCTTCAGAATTTCTTTGGATATAAAAATTCCCTGTTTCTGTTGAATACTTTATTTGTCCTACTTTATTTCTAGTTCACTAGTTTAGGAACCTAAACATTGCAAATTTTGGTAGGCAGTAGTTGCACGTAACACAAATCCATAAAACCTCGGAAAGAGAATCAAACATCTTGCTTTGAGACATAATTATGCATGATCAAGTAAAACCTGTACTCTCTTGATAGTATATCTAGATTCAAAATAAAACGTTTTTCTTATTTTCTACATGCTGTAGCAGTGCCGTTGCATTTGACATCTTTCATGGACGATATTGTTCCGCTCATATAATACAATAATTATCGTTAATTGGATTTTCGAGATCTAGAGTAATCATGCCACGTTCTGCTAAAATGTAAATGTTTGTTTGTTGCACAAGTTCTGTTTTTTTTTCTACCTTCTGTACTCAAAAAAAAAGTTTGCCGTTTTAGTTTATGGTTTGTCAGAAAACAAGGAATGCATATACTAGCTTTGTATTTCTTTAAAATTACGAGCAACCTTTAGAGATGCTGCGTAAAAAGAAGCTATAAGTTACAAGATAATTATTTTCACAAAAGAAACGACAATCTATTTCGTCATCCAGGTAAAGGATCCTAAACAAGATAACGTACTCAGATTCAGGCCGTAAAGTTGTTTCTGGATGTTGTAGTTGAGTTTGGAGCCTGAATACAAGTAATAGCATGTTCTCTTAAAGAAACATTGCTCTATTTAGGCAAAATTAAGCAACACTAGTACTAATAGTTGTGTCCCTTAAGCTTTCTCTTGTTCTTTATTTTGTTAAAAATAAAACTCGCGCAGCGTACTACAGTATTTCTACTTCAAATTTTAGACGATGTTAAATTATTTTTTGGACGAAGCAAAAAAAAGAAATTAGACAAGACAAATTTAGTTTTTAGACGAATAGAAATTTATGTTTAGACTTTTTACCTGTAATGATCTTCATCCTTTCCGAAGAAAAGAAAGCCGTGTTTGCTACGGCGATACTTCAGCAGAGATTTGAATAAGAATAACTTTAATGCTCTCATAAAAGGCTCTTACCAAATTTATAATATTTTTTAAGCATTGGTTTTCTCTCGCTTAAATGGTTCTGGTCTTCCTTCTCCCATCCAAACGGCCTTCGATATTTTCATCATATTTGTGGCAACATTTACATCTCTCTGCCAAACTTTGTTACAATTTTGGCAAGCAAGAACGGAATTGCCTTTGAAATGCGTTGTTTTCACCACTCCCAAGTTGCTATAAAAACACGAGCTGCACGTTTTAGATGTTTTAAATTCGTCAATCGTTAAAACGATCAACGCACCAGCAGCTTCGCGTTTCTTCAGTGTCTGAAACAGTTTCCCTACCACCCCACATCGAAGATTTTTCAACTTGACCATGTCTTTACCAAAGACACCATCGCCAAAAACGACCAAAGGGCACTTTTCTTTTTCTTCGCGAAAAGGAAGGGGTTTCCACTTTAACCTATTAAAATAAAAAACTTAGAAACTTCTATTAAAGAAAGGCTGATTACTTACTTCTTTGCGGTTGTATCAAGTTTTGATTTTAGCCCTTCATTTTCTTTGCCACCATCTATCTTGGGCTTTTTCTTCTTCTTTTTTCCTCGCTTGACATTCTTCTTTCCTTTTTTCTTCCTCTGAAATTTGTTGTACTTGGCAGTACCGTGAGTTAACATATTAACCATCATTTCTGGTGCCCGTTGCCTGCCTTGATACAGCTGGAAATGACACTTTGCGGTTTCCTTGCCGTAAAATGTCAGTAGCCTGTTAAGATGTGCTAATATGTATGTAGCATAATTTTCATATGAGTCTGGTTCTGTTGTTTTTGACGTGGGAATTTGGGACTCGAGTGTAAGGATACCAGAGCGTTGTTTCTTTGACTCAAGTTTTTTGCTATACACAGTACTACCTGTCAAATGGTAGTATTCCTTGGCGGACGACTTCCGAATTTGCTTAGCTGACTCTACGCCTACAACAGCTGTAAATAATGATTTACGTCCTGGATCAAGGAAAACCGGTTGATACTGATTGATGACCTCTTCGTAGTTGAAGTCTTCAAGAGCTAATTCAACACCAGTGTCATCCTTCTTTTTTTCCCTTCGATAGAACAGAAGGTCAACAGAAAAACCGTCGGATTTGAATGTGTTTCCAAACAATATCTTGTTATTTCCGTTGGGTATGAGATCATCCATCCTAGATATATTATAATTATCAGCAAGGAAAGAATATATTGTGGACGGTATTATACCATACTTTAAACGTAATTTTTTAAAATTAAAAACACGATGAAACATGTTGAGTTGATCTTTATAGCCCCTTGGCAGGGTCTCTTTGATAAATGGTGCTAATGCATTAGCGTTTATGCTTACGAATCTCCAATGTAAACCCGGCGTTGGTGACAATGAAAACAGTCTTGGTAGAGGTAATCGTCTGACATCATAGACTTTGTGGCTCTTGTGTTCTATCTCGTATTCCGATATAATGTTAAACAGACAAGGAATAAATGTGTTAGGCGCTTGAGACAGAGTTGTAAGAGCCACCCGGGTCGTTATTGACTCCTTTAGTGGCAGGAAGGTTTTATCAACCATGGTTTTCTTTTCTTCAGTAAATTCAAGACCTCGAGGCCACACGGGATTTCCTTGGCACACATACTGGTAAACGTAAGGGACAATTTTTATAACATCTGAACGTTCCATTGACTATATATAGTATTATTTACGTACTCTTTTATAATAGTATTGTACTTACTATGAATATATTTTGTGTTTTATAGAATATATACTTGTATATTCTTGATTCAAATGTTTCTACTATGTGATTGTTGTATACTGTTTGTAGCTGTTGGGACGCTTCTGAAATGCACTGACTGACCCCACTGGCAATTTTTTCTTGATAAATAATAGTAGGATGACTTTGCTTGAAATTATTCCAATAATCAAGTAATCCGTGCTGTAAATAGTTGCCATTTGTAACTCTTTGGTTTCTAACAAGTTGTATTATTGAATACCAGAAATTCTGTTCGTATATCGCATGAGGAATAGGACTATTTGCTTTTGCCAAGCTGATAATATAAAAATTCACGAAAAGCTGTGATCTGACAACAATGTTTCGCAGATGTTCACAAGCTGAGACAATTCTTGGTTTGAGGATGGCTTGATACTCTCTTTTTACGCATTGTTCAAAAGGAAGCTTTCGCGTATATGCCTTATAATTAGGGCCTAAATGCATCAGAAAAGTTTCTTTTTTTGAACGTATATGATTGGGGCAATCAGGTGAACGAGATGTTTTATGTCCTTTTTGACCACAATTTCCACATGTATATGTACTTGTGCTGCTATCAACAGTCCTGGGCCTTTTTGCATTTTTCTTGTCCTGCTTTACTTGATCGGTCTGTTTTCTTTTTTTTAGAGGCACCAACTTATCAGAACAGAAAAATTAGAAAAAATAAACACGAAAAAAGTATCAAGGAGTTTACCGTCATTTGCAGTGACTTGAATGTATAATTTGCACTTATAATGTTGTCTATTATAACGACCAGGCTCTTTGCAGTCTGTGCATATTCTGTCTTTTTGTAGGTCTTTAGCTAACTGAAGGGTATTGCATGAATTTAATTCTTACCATGATTGACGCTTGAAGCGCTTTGGTTTCGTCGTTTTTTAGAGACATCAGCTTTTTTGCCTTCAATAATAAATTTAAACATGTTGATATATAAGAAAAAAAGGAGGAAAGAAATCTCTTGTACAATTTTATTTTATTTTTTAAAATGGAGAAGGAAATGAGATTACAAGCAGAGTCCGAGCAAGACATTCCCTTTCAGTATATTAGACACAAAACGATAAATTGTGGAGACAATTTGAGGGACACCAGAGAATAGTACCGATTGAAGTGTGCAGCCTAAAATAATCAATGCATCAACTGAACAAACTCAACCAACCAAAGGAACTTTTACTACTGTCACATTCGTACCTGTATCCCATTTTCCTATGTCTATCCCACAAATATGATGAAAATATCGAAGGCCGTTTGGATGGGAGAAGGAAGACCAGAACCATTTAAGCGAGAGAAAACCAATGCTTAAAAAATATTATAAATTTGGTAAGAGCCTTTTATGAGAGCATTAAAGTTATTCTTATTCAAATCTCTGCTGAAGTATCGCCGTAGCAAACACGGCTTTCTTTTCTTCGGAAAGGATGAAGATCATTACAGGTAAAAAGTCTAAACATAAATTTCTATTCGTCTAAAAACTAAATTTGTCTTGTCTAATTTCTTTTTTTTACTTCGTCCAAAAAAGGTAAGCTAAACATCTGAAAAATAATTTAACATCGTCTAAAATTTGAAGTAGAAATACTGTATTATTTTTAACCAAAATTCTAAAAACGAATATCTTGCTTCGTCACATACACTATTTCCCGAAACTATTGGCACACTTTTCTTGTGATATAACACACTTTTAATTTTAAGTTCAGCACAAATAAAAAAATATTTTGGCACAGGTTATTTGGCACAAAATGTGCCAAACTTAAAGAGGTTCTTTCTTGAGACAAGTTTCAAATTTTGAAGCTGAATACCTGCAAAAGCCTTTCAGATAGCTAAAGCGAATATCGTTACAAGCATCCAATATTCTACTGGTGAGCGTCTCATTGTCTAAAAGATGCTCTCTTTTCAACTTGCTCTTGACAATTGACCAAAATTGTTCAATTGGATTGAGTTCAGGAGAGTAAGGTGGAAGATAAACACAACCATAGCCACAACTCTCAATATACTTTTGGATATCATCCGCTGTATGAATTGGAGCATTGTCCATTATAATATAATCACCTTTGAATTCTTCGTGCTTATCCAAAATGTCAAGAGTACAGGCAATAAAATTAAAATAATGGCCAGTAACCGTACCAGCTGTCTTTTTGGCCTTCGAATTGTTTGCTTTTCTTTTCTTTGAAGACGCTACTGGTCTTCTCAATTGAATGTAAACAACGTCAAAAGGTGAAATAGCACCCAGAATCGTTGTTGTTTTAGCTCTTGTTGTTGGTTGAACAACTTCCGCACGAGTCCCTTTCTTTGACCAGGCCATCGTTTTTTTCAAGTTGATGTGAAATGCTGACTCGTCAACGAAAACACAATTACTTTCGAAGTCCAGATCAGTTTCAATCCATCTCTGGACCCATTCGTAACGCTTGAGAATGCTTGAGGGTGAGTTCCTTTCTTTTGAATGAAAATAAGCTTTCTTAAATGACAAAGCGCACTTCTCAGTCATAAATTTATGGATTGAAGTCTTAGAGACTTTCAAATCTTTAAATTCATTTATCAGACTCTCCATAGCCTGATCTACGGTTGCTGAAGGGAAATCCATAAACTATTTCTCTAAGAATCGCTGGTGCTCTTTGTTGAAATTGCTTGGCCAACCTGTCTTAGCTTTGATTTTCTCTTTTCCATCACTCTGCTCCTTCTGATTTTTCTCAAACCAGTTGTAAGCAGTACGTCGAGCGATACTAAGCTGCGTGGCTGCTTTACCAGGTGTCAAGCCTTTTTCATAGACTAAGTAGAAGAACTGCTCCTTGGTATCACTACTGTCCTTAACATACGATCCTTTGCCAGAAGTTTCTGTTGCCTGGATTTTCTTTTTTTGTTCCTCTCGCTTTACTGCTTCGCGCTCAGGGGGAGCTTTAGATCTAAGTATTGATCGAAGTTGGTGACGTTGTCCAAAGGATATTGTTTTTCATCAACTTTTATTTCAATAGGCTCGTTTCCAAACTCATCAACAACATCGCCTCTTCCATTTTCATAGTATACTTGAATATTCATTTCAACATTTTAGAAAAATGTGCCAAAACTTGAAGTAGAGACGTGCCAAAATATTTTTTTCTCTTTCAAGTAAAAACATCAAAACTTCTGGTATACCCCGGGACAGAACGGATTAGAAAAGTCATATCAATCTCTTCAATTGGACACTACAACTGCATTTCTTTTTTAATCTAAATTATGTGTATGTGCTGCTGTAAATAGGGTATGTACTATATTCTCCTTTTCTTTTCTAATATCAAATGTCCCAGTGTCTCTTTTGTCCTACGATTGCAAATGATGTATTTGTAAGTCTAGATTTTTTTGAGGTTGAATCGTATTCTACTCTTACCATCAGTAAAAGGCTTCATTTTGTTCTGGTTCGACTAGAGAAACGACACTTTTTCAAAGTTTTATCTATTATGTCTGTTTTAATTACACTGCCTTGTTTTTGATTATAAATTTGAATCATAATCTTTCAGGTTTAAGAACAATATGTCTTCACAAAATATATGTTTTTATCTATGGTTAAATAAATCATAAAGGCGATGATAGAAAAGATAAATATGATAGACTTAACATATGATAAATTATCAATTGCAAGAAATACTTAAAGAGGAAACAAGAGAAACTCTTCTTTCTTTTTTCGTTAATATAGTCAACATGCTACCATGTGCAGATGTACCCCCAGAAGTATTTGACATCATCGTCAGATATTTGGATATTAAAGATATACTACAATGTCGTTTCACTTGTCAGAAATGGGCAAAAGTTACAGGAAAGATTCTTTTCACTGAAGTCGAACTAAGAAACGACAGGAAGATAGCTCATTACGCTAATATGCTTGCAAACTCAACATTTGCACCAGGCAAATATCTGAAAAAAATGAGTATAATCTATTCCAAAAGCAAAAGCTTTGAATACTGGAGTGATAAAGATTTATTCAACAAGATAGCTAAACATTGTCCTTTGATTGAAGAGTTATATGTCTCAAATACCTGTGTTCCCTTTTGGTTCTGGTTAATGCAAGAAATTTATGAAGGTGGCCTACAAAACTTGAAGAAGCTTCCACTTCCTTCAAGCAATGAAGAGATGGAATACTACTATCGTACTGCTATTTCTATGCGTCACACACTCAAAGAAATTACATTAAGTGGTTTATACACATCATTGCAATTCCCAGAAGCGATATTTAAGAAATGTAATTTCATAAATCGCATCGACGAGTTTAAAAAACTGGAAAAAGTAAGAGTCGTGGAATATGGTGAAAACTACTCGCATGGTTTAGGAAAGGATATACTTCTCTTTTTGCGGAGAATGAAGACCTTATCTATAGCTATATATCATATATATCAGGATAATAACTTAATCGAGAATGATACTAGGTCCCTGCTTGCTTCTTGTACAAGTAACAACGTTCAATGTCTTGATATACAAATGCTCATTCAATCCGGAAGAGACTTGGTTTTTATCACAAAACAGTTTCCCAACTTGAAGCAGCTAAACATCAACAGAAACTGTGATGCTGAGATGCGTAAGCTACTTTTAGGCTGGAACCAACATGAAATTGTGCTACCAGTCGAATTCAAAGACTACTTAGCCAGATTAGAACAGTTCAATCTCAAACATATTAACATTAAAGGTTTGGAAGATTTTATACGCCTTTTGGTTCACACAAAAACAGTTGGAGAGCTACGAATCAACATGTGTGTTTGGCTTAAGGGAGTTGAGATACATTATAGCACCATTGATATTGAATACGACAAAAGCAGTTACAAAAAAAAGCATTTCAAACTGACAGTCAACAAATTTTTTAATGTACAACGTCTCTTACAGATACTGTCTGACTATGATGATTTGTTGGATGAAGTGACAATTGACAATCAATCACATGACGCTAGCAGCATGATTGAGACAGTTGATAATGTAGGAGATATGATATTCAGAAGCAATTTGGATTATGTTTTGGAAGCATGTGCTAAACTAAGAATATTGCGAGTGGCTAATACCAAAATCACATCCTTTGGCTCTGGAGCTTTGAATGATTCGATTACTGACTTGATATTTTCGACATGCCACTATGATCCAGACATTCTGTTGCAATTATCAGCTATGGTTCCGAACTTGAAAAACTTGACTATCAACTCATGCATACCTCACCCTGATCCATCTGGCGAATACAATGCTGAAATTTACATGCCAAATACTTCTTTTGATACAGTTGATATTAGATCAAAGAACTCTCCCAAAATATATGTATTACAAATATTTTTGGAAATAGTTACGGAGACAGGAAGAAAACTCCATACAGTTAAACCATCGCAAGACCTTGGTGAAGAAATCCCACTTTGGAACTTAACACGAACAATACATATTACTATAAATTGCAAGAAAGTCAAAAGAATATTTTTCGAAGTAAGAAATTTTCGAGGTCACTTTGATCCATAATAGCTTGTATTCGTCGTCACCCATTTGAGCTTGCATAAAGCAAATAACGCTTCGGAACTAAAGAAACTATTTTCCTTATGAATGTTAAATAAAAAAGTACTTGCATTAATGGTAGATGAACTGCGTATACACTTTATTAGAAAATGAACAAAAAATAAATTCTAGAAATTAAGCAGAGCATGAGATACATAAGATATGCATATTGTTACTTATATTAGGTTATAAGAAAGAGCACGGGATAGAAGGGAGATAAAAGAGAAATAAATTAGTAACATATATTAACCAGTATATATAAAATACTTACACGGATACGAAGAAGTAGTTGAATACCTTCCCAGAGCCATGCATCACGATAGACCAGCGATAGCTGGCCAGGACAATTTTCCAAACAAAAAACGAGAAAAACCTCAAGAGATATTTGTTGTTGGTGTTGTTGTTTCTGGATATGAGAAGGAACGCATCGACTTTAAGCAGGAGATACTCAACTTGAGACCACAGAGCCAAGAGGGCAAACAGACGGGATAGGAACAGAGAGGACAGACAAGCAACATGAGGACCCGTTTCCAAACAGTGATAGGCATGTCTCTATGGACCTCCAGTGGCTATTCAAAAATTAAGTTGTTAGACTATCTATTGGCCATGGAGGAGCCACAAAAGTGTCTGCCTCTCAACTGGATGGACGTAGTCTTCAAGGGCAGAACTAACTTTCCTTACAATCCTTTTTTGAGTAACTTCGACAAGTATGACAGTACCACAGGCGGGTTGGTATCCCGCTGCGGGTGCCTTCCAATCCATTTTTTTTTTGAGTTTCTTGTGTTTGAGCATACCTAAGAGAACATGTTTGTGCAAAAATATAGTAAGTTTTGAAAAAGTCAAAAAATTGTCAACTTGCCCTTATGATGCCCTTTATAAAATCTTCGTTTCTCATTATTTTGCGATTTGTGATCGATAGAGGCATTTTTCTCATGATATGCCTCAGTAAGAATTGCTCCTCTAAGTCTATAAAACACATACAAAGTGCTATATTTGCAAAAGTACTGTGAAAAGTGTACACTATAGCTCAGAAACAGAAAACGCGTTTTTGAACGATTACTCAATATTTCAGTAACAGATATATAGCGATTCATACATCATTCAATGCGCAATGTCTATATCTACACCTTTGTTAGTATACGTTTTGATAAATCTTCATTTTCGGGTAGTTGCAATCCATCATTTCTCTTCAATTTCATTTTTTTTAAAGGTTTTTATTTTTTTGCTCCACGTAGATTATGACTAAAGTCTTTCAAGAGGTGGTCGCAATTTTAAGAGGTACAAAGGGAGAATACATAGGATAATTAATTATAAATATTTGTGCAAGTGTTTCTCGTCAATTAGAGAATTGAGAGAAGCACGAGTGGATGAAAGAAATAGAATTGGATTAAACGGAATTTCATTGAAGACAGTATTCCAATGGGCTTTCCAAATTTGACCCATGCCTTGGAATACTATTTCTTGAGCAGCTAACTCACTATTCTGAGTATAACGAATAGAATAGAAGTTCATATATCGGATTGCTTGGATGATATCATCAGCAGTAGTGGTTGGCCATAAAAATCCAAATATAAGCTCTTTCCAAAAATGTGTTTTTGGAGGGCATAAAAAGAGCATATGGTTGTCGTTTTCAGTATAAAGACCACAAATTTGGCATAAAGGAGTTGGAAATCGGTCAGGCAAGAAACGATTCATACATATCTTTGTAGGCAGCTTATAGTTTATATATCGATACACCGCACTTCGCACAACGGCAGTAAGGGACAATGTCCAAAATGAGCCCCAAAAAGTAGAGGAAATGGTTGACAGGGTGGAAGGGTCAGGGTAAGACTCCAAACAAGTCATTCGATATATCTTAGAGCTGATCCCATCACTCGGTTTCTTGGTAGATAGAACAGCAAAGCAGTTCAGAAAAGAGGCAAAGCTAAATCCTGCATTTATGTCTGAAGAGATGGCATTGGAGGGAGAAGATATCGCTAAATGACGTTGGAAAAAGGGAGCGACACCTATATTCCTTCTTGCTAAACCACGAACTAACCTCTGTTGAATTGTTTGCAACTCTTCGGGATATTTTGAGGGAGCTTCCAAAGAATAATCTTGGAAAAATGATCGTACACCATGAAGTCATTAACTTGAATTTGACGCATAACAGGAGGCAAAAAAGGTCGTTGAACATTCGCATAATGTATAACCAGAGATTGATAGTACCATACAAACTGCTGGATTGAACTCCATAGTATCAAAATTTCTAGGAAGTCTATCTATAGACGCATAGAGCAGTTGAATCGTACTGACTTTGTTAGTGGCGCCATTGGATCGATTTATAAATTTCCTTGTAGATGGGAAGAGCAAAGGAGCTTGTACATGCGAGGCCCCTGTGACATTATGCAGATGAAGTTGAATAATTTACAATTTCATTTTTTTTATTCTAATTTTTGACAAGAAAACATTGATTCAAACTCAGACACTTTTTTTTTTTTTTTTTTTTTTTTTTTTTTTTTTTTTTTTTTTTTTTTAGGAAAGCATTATGTCTATGCCAATAAATGTATGGTATCATGCTTTGCATCATAAAATACCCCATCTCAATACCCTTCATTCTCTCCTCCCCAATTCAATTCCAAAAGCCCAATGCCCCATTTGCCTCCTTGAGAACGAAACAGAGCACCACCACCTCCTCTCCTGCCCTCGTAAACTCGAAGTCTGGTCGCGAGTATGGTGTCTCTTCTTTGATCGCGATTTCACTCCTCACAATTTAATCCCGCTTAAACAGTCCATATATCATTTACACTTCGCCCCCCTCCTTCCCTCTAGCACCGCCCCCTCCGCCGCAGTCGTTATTGGATGTACCCTCTGGGGTATTTGGCGAATGGTTTTTGACAATAGTCCCTTCTTAGTCGCTCCCATTTTCCAGTCCATTCTCTCTCTCTCTTATACACTCTGCTACGTCTAAATCTTTCGTTAAGAAGGGCATCCCACACTGTCTTCTTCCTCTGCTGTTCATATAGAGTCTCACTCTTTCACCTTCCTCGCCTCTTTCTCTTTTTTTTCTTATCTCACTGCTTGACAGTTTCAAAAAAAAAACAAAACAAAACCTAAAAACATTTCAAAATATAAAAACCCAAAAACAGTTGTAGAATCATGTAATTTCCGCTTAATAAACTTGAGCGCATTGTTCCCTAAAAAAAATATGCCAATATCTACGCCAGGCTTAAAGTATATTAGCTTTTCTTCACTCCATTCTACATTATTTCTTCTTGATGCTAATAAATAATTGTTTCTAATATCTGCAAAGTAATACGTGATTAATTAGATATAACTTTATTAATATAGGCATAATAACAAATCTAAACAGAGGAATCAATCCATGAAGTAGAGCCAAAGACCTTGGCAGCACTATATTGGGCAGCTTCAGAAGCAGTCAATTGCTTAGCAAAAGAAGCGCGCGAAGAAGACCAAGCACTGGCACCATTGTTGCTATATTCGGCAAAAGTGACACCAGAAGTGTTAGGACTGGAAGTGCTCCACTTAGACCAACCAGCAGGGTTAATGTGGCTACCAATGGTAGAGTACATAAAGACAACACGGGCATATCGACTCCAAGGACGACCAAGGTAACAGGTGCCAGTGGCCTTGGAGACGGAAGTAAAGGCAATGGATGAACTATAAGTAGAAGCAAGAGGACCAGAAGGAACAGTAGCCTTGATGACACAGCTGTTGAAGTAGAAACCACCAGCGCTACTAGCAGAATTACGGTTGTGAGCAGTGATGTAACCTCTAGTGTTGGAAGCAATAGTACAGCCTTGGAAGTAACCAGTACCGTAACCCCAGATGAAGTCAACAGAGCCTTCAATATAACAGCTTTTGAAGTAACCGCTACCACCACTATTTATCAAGACAGTGTCTTGGTAACCATAGAACTTGACATTGTAGAACCCAGCTTGAGCACCCTCAAGGTTAAGAGCCAAGTTAGCAATGTTGGTAGTTTGCTTATAAGTATTAGCAAAAGTTATATTGTAGACTTTAACATTGCTACCCTTGATAGTCAAAACAGCAGAGTCAGTATCAGAACCAGTCTTGGATTGTGTATCATGACCAGCGTTGTATTGAATCAAAACAGTGCCACTACCAGAGTTCTTCAAAATAACGTTAGAGCGAGTGATAGAGATTTGTTCAGTGTAAGTGCCAGGTGCAATGTTGATAGTGTAGGTGGTGGAGCCGCTAGGAAGAGCCTTCAAGGCAGCAGAGATGGTCTTGTAAGTACAAGAGGAACATACGCTGACTGAGTTGGCGGCAGAGACCAACGAGATGGCCAAAGTGAAAAGTAAAAGGAGAGGACCCAAAGACAATTGCATCTTTGTTTGACAGATAAAGAAGAAGAAGATCGACAAAAGAGGCAGATTTATATAGCCAATGTCTCGAGATAGATGATGAAGCCGAAAATTTGTGTGACATTCAATTTATGCAAGCCGGAAGGTAAATTATTCAAGCATAAAAGGCGTCTTAACTGTTACCTCTTCTATGTAATAATGTTATTGCTTACTTTTACTTTTCGTCTTTTTGATTTTATCAAATACTCACGATTTGGATTATTCTGATTTGATAGAATGATCTACGCAGCTTTGTTTATTGTAATTGATATACAAAAAAACAATGGTGTAACTGTTGAACAAACCGTGCAATCAATTCCAAAAAAGGATTTGTAATTGAACACTTATTTAAGCTCTAATCTATACGAAATTTTTTGTTGCGAGTAACTAGATGGAAGTGCCAAGATATTTAATTCTATAAATTGTTAGACTTGTATTTTGCCTTTTCGAAAACATTATTCCTCTAGATTGTTGGACTTAGAACAATGTTGCTGTATGCAGTGAAATGAAACCAATACATGCATTACCACACTTTGATTTAGCGACATAATGTTCACACATAATTTGCTATAGAGAGAAATAAAAACTGTGCTAGGCTTTCCGCTTATTTTTTTTCTCATTAAAGCTTTTAATTGACAACTAGTTGGAGTAACGCATTTAGCTAGTTCAAAAGAAGAAATAATTGATTGACATTGCCGTAAAAGGCTCAAAAAGAAAGGGCAATAAACCATTCATATGGCTTTCTCTACAAATAAAAAAATAAAGTTTCACAGTATCACAAGTTACATTTACATGACACATACACACAAGAGAAAAGTTAGAGTGGTGACAAAAGGTTTCGAAACTTTGAGCGCCGACAATTGTTAATATCAGATCGTTAAATAACATGGTGTTGTCCGTCGACAAGCCTCCAGCAGTAGAACTTCTTGATTTATATCATTGTCCTTTCTTTGTTCGACTTGAATAGAGGACATCATATCAGCTGGTCATATTCAGGTAGTTCTATTTTTGTCCATAGCATGTTAACAATAGATTTCAAAACAATTTTGCTTGGCCTGTAACCAAAAATTTAATCCCAAATATATGATGTCCCTCTAAAGACTTTGGACAAATTTGACAACATATTTGTGTTCATTTCATAGACAATTTATTCATGGAATATAGTAGAAGATTCTTAGCGTATGTTGTGCTTAGATTTACCCTCTTAGCATTTTTTATAGATCGCCTAGCATAAATAAACAGTGACTTCTTATACAACGCAGTTGTGTAACTTGACACTGCCGATCTTTTTTCTAGAATTTGCTTTCGGAAACAAGAAAAATTGCCTTTACATAGATTAACATATGACCTGCTTCCCCTGAGTGTCGAAAGGAAAGCATATTCTGTATTTCTGGCCAGATGTTTACTTTTAATGGCGATAAAATGAATTTCTTTGCTTTTAAAGCTCACTTTTCTCGCTAAGAAAAAGGTATCAGGTTTATACACGGTAGGTAGAAGTTGTCGACATTTTTACTTTCTTTTTCAAAAAAGTATGCGTACGCCATTATATCCAGAAGTGGAAACCTTGATTAAACTAAAGAAACAAAGCAAGTAAAATGAACAACATGGAGTAGCAGAAAACCAAATAAGACAACCGACAATAAAGCGAAGTAAAGTGTTTTGCTGATAAAAGAACTGCCAAGAAAGATCACATTCTTTACAAGGCATCAAGCGTAAAGATATGTTTGAAGAGAAGAAACTCAAAAAGGACGCAAAAATTGCGCGTAGTTCTCTACCATCTACGCAAGATGTGATATGTAAATCATGTGGCGAGAGAGTACATGCTTCCGCAAGAAGTAAACAATGCCAGAACTACAATTTCAATTTATCAGAATTAATTCAGCAAAGTCTGGGCTCTTCAAATGAAAGATATTCAGTGTCAATTCCCTTGAGGTCATTCATACGAACGCCTGATGATAATGCTTTTAATGTGATTCTAGAAAAAATACAAGGCCTATCTCTGTTCCTGAGGGAAGTTATCTTCAAAGCCCAATTATTTGTGAATTATTATATTTTGAAACACCCACAAGGCTTGAGCAATGAATTTTTTCAGCAAAACTTTTGGTATTCTGTGTGTCGTCTAATCAATGGAAATATGGAGATTGGCGAATTTGTTCAAAAATATTCTTATCATATCCCTCATTTGCACGAAACATGGGATGAGTTGAATGATTCTGACGATATAGACTTGCTGGTAAAAACTCAAGGCATAAAAAACTATGGTCAAGTTTCATCGACTGCCTGTGAAACAATCGCAACATGTTACAACAATTATTATATTGAAAACTTTGAAAATACAATATCCAACTATTTCATATATAAGCTGCGCACTTCTTTTGACGTAAGTCATGTAGGATCAAGCCCAGGCCTAGCTTTTTTTGCCAGCGGAACTAATAATACTCATTAATAGAACTTAAAGATGCCAGAAGTGAAGTACATTGTGTACAATCACGTAATGGAAACATTATTTTCCTCTTGTCCGACAACTATTACCGCTGAAAACATAGTAAGCTCGTTAAATAAGCGAATGAAAGTAAGGGCTTGTCTGTTCCTGAAATCTTTAATGTCACAAATAAGAAACATATTATCTGCTACTCCCTTAACCAGGGATGTATTGAACAAAGCTCCCTTTGATATATTGCCGGCTTTGAGGTATATACTTGAGAACTACGAGTCAACAATTGCCAAAAATCAGCAATCACAAATAGAAGTAGCCCAGCAAGAGCAACAATCCGTAGAAGCAGTAGTATCATTAATCCAGCAAAGGAGAAGACCAAAGAAGAAGAAGACAAAACAGCGTAATTTATCAACAGAGAACAACAACAGCAAGAACGAATTGCAACCACCAAAATTTCAATCACCAAGGCTATTAAGTTTATTTCCTAATCCTGGTTTTGAATGGCGTTTTATAAAAGTAGATGGCCAAAATATAGCTGGTATTTTTGGAAGAAGTAGTCCAAAAAAACCTGAAGAGACGGTGTTTAACTTTGCTCAAAGATGCTTCTATGATAATTTTGATCTTAAAAAACTTAAAATTAACAGGCGAGTTGAAATCATTTTCAAAATAATTGATACAGGCAGTTCACTCACAATGATCTTACATATACAGCTTTGAATATTTACAAGAATTACCACAAGGAAAAGAAAAAACGTTTTTAAACACTATCTACACGGATGGATATACATGTAGGGTCTCATTCTGCAGGAAGGTTCACTCCATATCACCCAATGATAAAGTATCCCTAAAGATAGATGATTTCACTAGTGAAGAGGTTGATCGTTACTTTCGTCCTTGTACTGTCAATCCAAATAGGTCTGATGTCTTTGTATCCTATCATGGCAAAAACGATTTGAGGCGTTTGTCGACTGCCGATTATTACAACATGAATGGCACTGTCAACCGACAAAAGCTAGAGCAAGATAGAAAGAAAAGGTCGGATATAGAGCAGATTGAAACCCACTTTCCCTCACCCAAAACTGCAAAACTTCAACATTATACAGAATACGTTATGTATGCTCTTCAACATTTTCGAGCGTTAACAAATTTTTACGGCTTTAACGCTGCTAAAATCAAATGGTGCAACTACAAAGGCTCTCAACAAGCAATTGAAAATACAGTCAACATTCTCATGAATGGTGCAAAAAAATATAACAAAAGGAAAAGAAAGAAAACCAAAAAGAATAAGCGGAAGAGACGCGGTCATCATGATAATTATCCACCAAATACAGGGGGGATGAGGTCAAGGTATAGCACATATTCCTTATATTCTTCTCCTTAAAGCAATATTCTTAATAATTTGAATGAAGAGCACATAAGGAAAAGTTTGAAGAAGGTGATCAAAGTAAAATGCCATTGATTGTTTTTGGAAATGGTTTGAAAAACAAGTCGCATGTCAAGTTTAAATGTTTACGTTATGGCGTCATTGAAAAGTTGTACAGACAATGAAAAACGCGGAGAGTTGTTACTTCTGGATATAGACGAGTATAAGGCTTCCAAGGTATATAATGTTTACTTGATCATAATTTGAATATTGACACTTCTGTATTATAAAGACTTGCAACTCGTGCCTTGAAAATAAATTGGAGCATATTACTCAAGGAAGTGGCATCAAAAAACGGAAGATTCATCAAGTATTAGTTTGCAAAAACTGCAATATTTTTTGGAATCGAGACGTTATAGCTTCGAAGAATATGCTCACAATAGCTCAATCTATTTGGAACGGCCAAGGACGCCCTACCATGTTCACCCGACAAAGCGCCACCTCGAATGTGGTGCCTGAGCTTTAAGTAGCGAAGGCTTAAGGATTCTACAGGCAAGAGGTCTTCTCAAAAATAAATCTTTCCATTTTCTAACTCTTATCAATAGGTGAATAAATCAATTTTGATTTGTATAAAACATACTAACATTGTCGTCCCATTTTCATATCCTTGTCCCATCTTCGCTTCCGTGTTCCATTTTCACATCTCTGTCCCAATTTAATTTAGAAATGACCAATTTTTTTTTATTGGCCCAACCTAGTTTCGTCGACTGTATAACAGTAGAAGCTTTTTGTATATTTAGATTCTATTGCCAATCGTGAAACATGAATAGTATCATCCTCTTCAGTTTGAATTTTCGAATCAAAGTATCCCTTTATAAAAAAATGTAAACTGCCCAAAAATTAAATACTTTCAAATTCTTGACACCCTGAAGAAAGCTAACATTGTTTTGTTTTGTTTTGAAAAGCGTTGAATAGGATTGCCGTCGCACAAAACACGTTGAATGGTACTGTTACCTGGTTTTAATTTACCTTCCGGCTTGCATAAATTGAATGTCACACAAATTTTCGGCTTCATCATCTATCTCGAGACATTGGCTATATAAATCTGCCTCTTTTGTCGATCTTCTTCTTCTTTATCTGTCAAACAAAGATGCAATTGTCTTTGGGTCCTCTCCTTTTACTTTTCACTTTGGCCATCTCGTTGGTCTCTGCCGCCAACTCAGTCAGCGTATGTTCCTCTTGTACTTACAAGACCATCTCTGCTGCCTTGAAGGCTCTTCCTAGCGGCTCCACCACCTACACTATCAACATTGCACCTGGCACTTACACTGAACAAATCTCTATCACTCGCTCTAACGTTATTTTGAAGAACTCTGGTAGTGGCACTGTTTTGATTCAATACAACGCTGGTCATGATACACAATCCAAGACTGGTTCTGATACTGACTCTGCTGTTTTGACTATCAAGGGTAGCAATGTTAAAGTCTACAATATAACTTTTGCTAATACTTATAAGAAAACCGATGCTGCTGGTCTTGCTCTTAACCTTGAGGGTGCTCAAGCTGGGTTCTACAACGCCAAGTTCTATGGCTTTCAAGATACCCTTTTGATTAACAGACGCGGTAGCGGCTATTTTAAAAAATGCTACATCGAAGGTTCTGTTGACTTCATCTGGGGTTACGGTATTGGCTACTTCCAAGGTTGTATTATTGCCTCTAACTCTAGAGGGTTTGTTACCGCTCACAACCGCGATTCTTCTAGCAGCGTTGGTGGCTTCTATTTTAACAAATGCATTGTTAAAGCCACTGTTCCTTCTGGTCCTCTTGCCTCCAATTATAGTTCCACTGTTGCATTTACTTCAATATCACAGGCTACTCATACTTGTTACTTGGGTCGTCCTTGGAACCAATATGCTCGTGTTGTTTTTATGTATTCTACTATCAATAGCCACATCTACCCTGCTGGTTGGTCTCAATGGAGCAATGCCACACCCAATACCTCCAGTGTCACTTTTGCCGAATATAGCAACAATGGTGCCAGTGCTTGGTCTTCTTCGCGCGCTTCTTTTGCTAAGCAATTGACTGCTTCTGAAGCTGCCCAATATAGTGCTGCCAAGGTCTTTGGCTCTACTTCATGGATTGACTCTTCTGTCTGAACCTTTTAACAACGATAACAATAAACCAATACTTGATTGGTTATATTTTTTCATTTACTTTGGCTATGCTGAAATTCGTAGCAAACCATTCAACACAGCATGAAGTAATATATAAGTCATTAACCACTAAAGACTTGACCCTCTTCTTTTTTAGCTATCTTCATAATCAGAATTTCTTTAACAACTTTGATACATATATCAGATAAACCATAGGATACTATAGAACTTTGTGTAATACTGTTAATTCAAGCGAGCCAATATTTTATGAATAAAAAAAATATGGTTTATAAGATCTCTGAGCTTAGGAAAATAAAATTTAGTATGCTAAGCCAATTCTTAACTTGACACTGATGACAAATAAACAAGGTTTAAGGAGTAATTGAATAAATCATTTTGCATTTGTTTCTTTTGTTTTGAAAAAACTACTTTGGATGTTTTAAATATGAGCATTTTTATATCTTTGTAGATTAAAAGATACCTTTTCTCTCTAAATTTTATTCTTAAATCTAAATTGATTTCTGAATTATCCAAGCATCTCTTTCGAGGCTGCATGAACGCTTTGCAAGAGAAACTTCTTTTCCTATGTTCGTACATACACGCAGAAAAAACAAAGAAAGTAAGGAGAACTTGACTATTATATGTCTCTTTGCATGAAGTTTAAATAAAGACAATAATTCGAAATCCGTCCCTCAAAATTAGTTAGTCGCTTTGCTTGATTATGTATATGCATCTCTTTTAATGAAATTATTTTAATTTTACTTATTCCTAAGTACATGTTAACTGATATACTTTGTATTGAATACACAAGTCCAACTTGAAACGGTTGGCAAGGTTTATCGTGTATCCATCGACTAAATTAACCAATTCGTGCACACAAATATAAACTTAAGTTAGATTATATCATTAGAAAATAAAGTTCGTTTTCTAACTACATTGCGTCCTCTTTTGTTTTCTTTTATTCCTTTTTGTAGATAGAGATAACTTGTATAAGAGTAAAGTCATGATTCTGTGAAATGCCTCGAAAAAATTCTTGTTCCTGGAGTTGCGTCTATTTTTTTCAGCTGATTTTTTTTCCTTTACCGCCTTCTATTAAAGTTTATGAGCTAAAACAGGATATGTACACAGATATGTAGAAAAAAGCGCAAAAGTTTTTAGTTCTCTTCAAGTTTTCCTACTATTATAATTATACGAGAAGATTTTAAATCTGGCATAGAATTGGTTTTAAATGTGTTTACCATCATCCCAAAAGAAATTTACCTCCTAAAAAGGAATTCTGTTATTTTTAAAAATCAGCCAGTTTAAGATTCAGACAAGATACTGCTGAATAGACAAATCAAGTCCTTTTTTTTTTCTCTTTCGTTCTCTGAAAAAGAAAGGACGAATACCAGTCAAGATAGAGTTGTTTCAGTTTAGCTTCTTTATTGAGCTCGTTTATTTGTTCCATCCCTAAAAAAGGTTTTTCTCACAGAAGCTACATTTGATTGTAACATGAAAAAAAACTATGATACTTTTTATTAGTTTTAAAATGAAATAGCGATCAAATTTCTTGTGCCTATAATTTTCCTCAAAGCATGTCTTCTTTCTTAAGGTCTTACCGTCTTTAAGGGAGTCTGTTTTTGTTGTTCCGATTCTTGTCAACCATCAAAAAGTGATGTTGACGTTTTTTGTATGGAGTTCAGGTACAATTTCTTATCAGACACCAATAAGAACGCATGATTTCAAAAGTCGGTTCTTAATTATTGATGGTCTTTTTAGTACATACCATTGTCTGCTTTCACAAACACAGGCATGCATGTAAAAGCATAGGGCAAAAAAAAAGGCTTTATGTGCGGCTTTTATTTTCTTCAGGAATTTGTTAAATACAGTATTTCATTGACATTGTATTCAAGTAATCTTGACAAGGTGTAATTAAGACAAGTTCTTACCGGACTTTCATCACCTTCAAACTAACTGAATTGCAAGTAAAATCAATGTAAACATTGACTTATTTTCTCGTATGATGGCAATCCAAGGTATCACAGAAAATATGTTTTTAAACTACCGTTTTGTAAAAAAAAAAAAAAAAAAAAAAAAAAAAAAAAAAGGTCATGCTTTAGTTTTTTTTTTTCTTACTGGGTTATTATCATTTTTACATTTTCTCCCTTTCCCCTTTTTTCTTACCTTTATTTATTTATTTTCCTTTTCCAAACATACCTTTTTGTTATAAAAAGAGTAAGTTTTTCCTTTTATTTCTTTCTTCTTTTCTTCTCTTTACTGCGTAATAAACTATTGTACGTTGTATTCTATCAAAAATTTTCTTTTTTTCTGACTCCTTCATCTTATATAGTAAATGCTGACTGCTGTGCAACAAAATTTGCCGCCAACAACAGGACTTGTGCCTGAATCAAATAACAACATTGGAGTTTTAACTAGAAAGAAAGCTATCGAAAATTTCCGCTCACTACATGAAGAAGCCAATATCGATCATGACTATGCCAGCCATCTACTCCCCAACAGTTTTGAAATAGCTAATCGTGCATTCTATGCCACTATTCGCAAATTCACCAAACAAAACTGTCCTGACCCGTCTGTCAAGAGGAGGTCTTCTTATTCATTCATAGAAAACTTGTTTCTTCATAAGATTTACAGTAAATCACAGCAAACATTGTTGGGCATTGTGCCTGTAAAGCCATCTGTCATTTTGTCAGGTGATGACTTTATGTTTACGCCTCCTTTTATTCAACCGCCACCGCAGCCATTTGAAGACCTTGAGGATGAAGACTACTATTTTGATGAAGAAGAAGTAGAGGCTACAGAATGTTGGAATACCAATGGATACCTCTATAATCTCAGTCCATGTCCTGAATCTAAACAGGCTGGTGACAATGACTCGCTGTTCTATCGTATTCAAGAAGAAGATGAAGATCTAGAAAATAACAAGCTAAGAATACAATCCAATGCATTCTTAAAGACACCGTCTTTGTTTGACACGTCTCCTTACCTTTACCAAGAAGATACACAAGAATACATGTATGCATTTGTCGAGAATTCACATTTGCAGCAAGAACCTGCTTACCCAGAGAATTTTGATACACAACAAGACGATGATACTTTGTCAGATTCGGATGGCTTGATTACACCCGAAGGTGAAGAACCAGAGCTGTCTTCTACTGCTACTACTGCTGCCTCTTCCTATGATGATGATAATGATGATAATGATGATGATAATGATAATGACGATGATGATAATGACAGTTATCATGAAGAAATGTCAGTTTCCTATCACAGCACAACAAACAGCGTCATGATTCCAATTACCACCAACAAGACAAATGAAGACGATGTTGCACAAATCACTCAAGTTAGCCCCGTGACGCGATCCAGCACCTTTTTGAGCCAAAGGTCATCTTTAGACGATGATTCCTCGGTCATTTCATACCAGTCATTGGCAGACATTATAAATAGTCAACAACAACACCAGCAACAGAAACCATCACTTTCATACATTTCATCTAAAATCTATCACTATGGTTCCACCAAAAAGCAAGAAATTAGTACTAAAATGAAATCCTTTGTAAATAATATATCTTATCACGCAAACAATGATGACGACGAAGAAATGGGACTGCAATCTCAGCAAGAGTGTGATGCGACGATATCATTTTGGACTCGCCTAATTATTTTTGTTATGTCTATTTGGCAGCTTTTTGTTCATGGCGTCAAACAATGTATGCCAACCACTTCAACCTTAGATGAAAGAGAAACTCTTTTGTAATTTTATACTCTTTTATCGCCTTGTACATTAATTCTATATACATATACTTTTATACATACGGCCCCCCTTTTCTCTTGAATAAAAAAACAGTTTATTGAATAATTTACAAATGAATGACTTCTTTCCAAAGAGGATCTGTCAAGTAATGAATGTTTTCAACACCGATGCCTTTGTTGACCAATTTACTAATAGCAAATGTCAGTTAAATTCTCTCTCGTTTTTTTTAATGTACGTACATGTCCTTTGTGCTCATTTTAAGCAAACCAATAGCAAGAGCATTTTCCTTGCCTTCAGCCATAATGGCAACTACTGTACCTGCTGGTAAATCCTCATCCATACGCGCACCTTTGGAGGTCAAGCCTGGACACATAATATTGGCTCCTGATAAAACAAATTTAATAGCACCGCGATCTACTTGTAATTGAGGAAGCATATCGGGATCTATAATATAATGTTTAGTTGTGCCATATCAAATCAATCAACATACATTTATGCAACAAAGCGAGAGAAGGAATAAAAGGTCCATCAAAATGTTGGAAAAAGAGAATTTCACCATTGATAGAGAGGAAAGAAATATGATCGTGACTAGATATCATATCAGTCTATGTTGTTTTCATGACATGTTTACCCTTTAATTTGAACAATAGGTGTCTTTTTGGGCATCAAGTCTTCTAAAACTGACTCAATCTTGGGATATTGCTCATTGAGTTTTGAGCGAATATTACGTTGGACTGAAGACTTGAGTTGTGACTGACCAGCAATATTTTCAGAGAAATTGAACCTATCTGCCTTGTCAATAACACGCGTTGTTTTTCAAGATAGGCTTTACTTTTTAAACATGGCTCTCTATTTGTAAAAGGTAAAGAGAAAAAAAAATGTCGATTTTGATGCAAAGTTCAATTTTTTCCAAAAGAAAGACAGTCCCGAATGACTCTTGTTGACATGATAAATGATTCAAAATGAGTACACAAAGAAGCTTTATTTCGTTTATTTTTAAGATTATTTTCCCTTTTTCTTAAATTATGGAAACCGTAATTTACTGTACCTTCCCCCTCCCCCTTTGAATTTGCCACAAACAAAAAACCTATGCATTTTGTTCTAATGCAACAAAAAAATCACAAAGGAGAAAGGCCGCTTTTGAAAGTTCATCTAGCATGAAGTGGCAAAAAAAAGAACCATAAAATTGCGATTGTTTATGATGAGTGATTGTTTACCACCCCTATTCTTGTTGTTGGCGTTGTTATTATTTTATTTGGTTGATTGTTGAATAATTTGCCATTCCTTTCCTTTCTTTTCTCTTCCTTTCTCTGTATGCTTGAATTCAAAGATATCATTGTCATTTACTTGCTGGGTGGAATTACGTTTATACCTATTCTGCTGACAGTAATCTATCTCTTTTCCAAGAAGGCATCAAAGAATAAAAAGGAAAAAGACCAAGTTGGCCTAAACCCATACATTCAACAAGAAAAGTCAGGATGGATACGCTTAACTCAGCAATACAAGCCCAAAGGAGACTCAAATGTAGCTGTATTGATGTCTGGTATTCAATCCTATGTCCAAGGCTCTAAACGTCAAAAAGAACATGTTTATGCAGAACTAAAATGTGGAGCACTTTTTATTTACGAATCCGATCATTTGCCTCAAGAAGAATGCAAAGTTATCATACCTGTACATAACTATGTTGTGAGTCTTTATCCTGAAAAAACTCACCAAGAACATGAAATTTATGGAAAGTCAGTCGCTATTAGACTCAAACCTAAATCAGATACTGTAAGAGACATCCCTCTAGATCATCACCATGATGATATTCCTCCTTATTTCACAACAAATAATGAACTTTACATTACGTGTGCTCGACCTATTGACAAAGAAGACTGGTACTTTGGGTTGTTAGCAGCATCCAATATGATGGAGTCACCAAATGCAGTCCATGTCGAAATGATGGATATGACCCACTTTAACCCTGCCGCTATGCAAGCTTTAATTAGTACTGTGCAACAAGACGCCGAATACCGCGAAGTGCAATGGTTAAATGCAATTTTAGGAAGATTATTTCTGGGCCTTTACAAGACAGAAGATATGCGTCGACATTTTCAAGACAAAATCACAAAAAAGTGCAAAAAGTGAAGCGACCTAGCTTCCTGGGTGAGATCACAGTGCAACATGTAGACATTGGTGAATCGATCCCTTATGTGACGCAACCCAAACTACTTTCATTGACGCCTGAAGGCGATCTTTTGGCCGAAGGGACCATTACATATGCAGGTGGCCTCCGTGTTGTAATACAAACTGATTTTACTTGGACATATTCTTCTTTAATGAAACCCATTCGTGTGCCTCTGGTGCTTTCTGTTATGCTTAAACAGATGTCTGGTAAACTCTTGATGAAAATTAAACCTCCTCCAAGCAATCGGTATTGGGTTGGGTTTTATGAAATGCCTATCATGGATTGGGAAATTACGCCTATTGTGTCTGATAAACAAATTCGGTTATCCATGGTATCTAATGCTATCCAGTCCAAGATTCGTGAATTCATGATGGAAAATATTGTATTGCCTAATATGGACGATTTTCCCTTTTGTCCCTCACAAGGGAAAGGCGGCATCTTTGGCGAGCGGGTGCCAAAACCTAGTTCCCCTAAACTATCACCTTGTTCTGTCTTGCCTTCTGGTATTGAGTTAGACATGCTTGGTAACAAGCTGCCCCCTAAAGTGGTTATCACTCCTCATGCTCAAAAGAATGAGCTACTATTGCCTAAGCTAAGGGCTGGGTCTACTGGTACATTGGAAGTATCTTTGTCTGCACAAACACCGACTTCTCGATTACGTGGTTATTCTAATCCAGCAAGCCTTAATCGCCCAATGGATAGTGATTCAGATGATTCTCCTCTAGATACTGTCATTGCTAAAGAAATAAGACGGGCTTCTACTTCTTCTGTACTTACAACATCTGCAAGCCATCATCTATCTTTGCCTGAAGTGAAATATCGTAAACGGCGACAATCTTTTGAAGAAAGAGACAAGCTTGCGCCTGTCAGTCGATTTAAAGAAGACATGTCAACCGCAGTACCTGAACCACTATTACATCATCCCGAAGCCGACAGCTCCGATTCACACTCGACCATGACAACAGCGTCATCCATCAAGTCCAAATCCAGCCATAACAACCTACTAGCCAAATTTAATAATGTCAGCAAACTCTCTCACAAACCTAAAAAGAACGCATTGTATAATATGGCAGGTAGTTTGTTTAATAAAAAGAAAGTGTCCAAAGAAGTGAGAGAAGAGCGAAATAGAGAGCTGCAAGAATCACACAACAGGAAGATGACACAGTTATTTACAAGTGAACAGAAGCCATCTTCTTTTCCTCCACCCCCTCTGCCACCTCGACGAAGTGAAAACAGGCATTCGGAGATAGAATCGTTATGCTCATTTTCATCTTCCTCTGGTGAAAACCTCATTTTGTGTGATAGTCCTTCTTCTTCTTCTTCTTCAGAAAAAGAATTATCAGAAAATGATGGGCCCTTTATGCCAGTCAAATCAACACAGGATATTATGGTTGTTCATGATGATACGCCTTTGTTACCTCGTTATCGTAATAGCATTCATCAATACCATGAAGACCAACATGGTCTTTCTTTATAAACAAAATAAAAATATACCTTTATTATATACAATTATCCAATTTGCTGCAATGGAGATTTTCGAAGATGAGACAAGGGAAAAGGGGCTGGCCATGTGACTGCATCAACCGGCATGTATTTCTTAGAATACCATTGTTGATTTGCGATTTCATAATGCAATTGTTTTTCAATTTTCTGACTGTCAAATGCAAAAGGCTTTGAAGTTATATGGTTATGCTGTTCTTGCTCGAAATCAACGAGAGATTTGGAAATCATCTCCTCCAAATCAATTGGATGGATACTGTGTCTAATGTTGTCAAGTTCTTTTTGGTGTTGAGATTGTAGTTGATGAATGTGGAGTCGATGTGTTTGTTGAATATGTAACAAATGGGATGTATGTTGTTTCTTTGTTTGGGAAATCATTGTTTGTTGGTCTCGAATAGACTTATCTTTTTCTTTTAGTTTTGCTTTGTGTTCTTTGATTTGCTTATCAAACTTTATTTGCCTTGACTATTAACAGCATAAATAAAGAGCTATGTGTCTCTTTGTTCAACTTGCCTCTAGTTCTATTTTAAGTACTTGAATTTGTTGGCTATAAGGTTCAAAAGGCTCAGTCTTCTCTTTTACTTTCAATGAATTTATAACTTGTATCTTCAATTCCTAATCTAGAATGAGTAGGCTAATAAAAAAAATAAATGTGTTTTACCTCAATCTGTAAAGTCATGATTTTCATTTTATCTTGCATTTTTGACTTTTTCGATAATTCAAGTTGAATATTTTCTTGTTTATTAGCAAAACTGGTGGTAACGAGTCTTTTCAGCTTTTTGATCTCCTCTTCCTGTGTTTTTATTACAAGTCTGTCTTGTATGTTCTAACAGGTTAAGCACAGTATAAGTCAATAACAAGTACCTTATTCCTCAGTTGCTCAATATTTTCTTTTAGTAGGATAGTAGGACCAATAGCTGGTTTTTTTGTGTGGTGCATAATAGAAAAAGAAAAAGAATGATCATTGTTTGTTGGGAGTCTCTTATTATAGTTTTTATCTTCTTGTGCCCTACGTGAACAGGTGGAAGAAAATAAAGTGGATTTTCTTCTTTTTTGCTTGTTATTGTTTTCATTTTCTAATTTGGAAAGTGTCACGGCCTCATTGGTTGCAGTCTTACGCCTTGTAATAGGTATCGGTAGCTTTGATTTTGTCTTTGAATATGTTTGCTGCATAATAAGGGTAAAAGAAAAGAAAATAAAGAACAATATAACAGAAAGGTTCCATTTAGTTTTTTTTAAGTTTTTTAATAATTACCTAAATTGAACAATGCTTAGACAAACAAACATATCTCTTTCTTTATTGACTCAGCATTTTCATAGCTCCCAAATGTCCAAGAGCAGCAGCACGTCTATACCAAACATTCGCATCCTCTAATGAAATATTGCCAATTCCAATCCCTCTTTCTACATACATGCCTACAAGGAAATATGCCTTTGCAATTGTCCATCTATCCGCATTTTGGTTTGATGCTGCTTTTCGTGCCCAAAGATAAGCTTCTCTGTCTGATTGTGGAAGAATATCTGTAGATCCAGTCAAGTACCAACTAGATAATGCCAGTGCTGCATCGGCATTGCCTTGTTCAGCAGCACGAGTATACCAATAGATCGACAATGCATCGTCTATCTCGACTAGCTCGTTCCCCATCTCATAAAGTTCTCCTAATTTAACTTGACTTGGCAAATAGTTTTCTTGTGCAGAATCGTGAAGCAGTTCAAGCGCATAACTCATATCAGGCACAAAATGCGTATTCGCAAACTCTTTAGAGACATGTAAAGTGGCGAGTGTAAAGAGTGCATGTGGGTATTTGTTGGAAGCTGCTCGTTGAAGCCAAGTCAGACCTTCTCGTATTTGAATTGTTTGGTTACAAAAACCACGTAAACAGATCACAGCTAATTTATACATGCTTGCCACATGAGAATGACTGGCTGCCTTTCTATAGAAAGTGACGGCCCGATGATAGTCTTTGCGTGTACCAATCCCTATTTCGTAACACACGCCTGCTCGATAGGTTGATTCTACGTGATTTTGCTTAGACGCATGGATGTAGAGTGAAAACGCTCTTTCTCGATTCAGTGGTAGTCCTAGTCCACCAACGCCATAACAATTGGCAAGCAAGAATTGAGCATCACCATCTGTGCCATGACCGATTCCACCTCCACCTAAAGCAAGTCGTTTTAAAATCTTTTGTGCTTCCAGTACAAGTACTTCGTCCAATATGAGGTCATTATTCTTCTTTTTTCTGCGCAACTCTTGTTGTCTATATCTTGTGTTGACAGGTGGTGTACCAGGAATAGGAGACGATGTAATAAACGAGGAAGCTTCAGTACGACAGGCTGTGTCCATTAATGTGCGACAGAGATCTAGTTGTTTGTGTCGATCTCGACTATCCCGAGCTCGTTTTAAAAGTCGATACACTTCGTCAATGGAAGTAGGCGCTGGCCATGGTTCTTGATCTTCATCATCGTCATCGTTGTCTTCTCCTTCTTCTGTTGTTACACTAGAAAGAATTGATAAAGGTTCATCTATAGAAAATCGAAATGCAAAAGAAGGTGGCTCATTTGATTTGGTTTGATTCATTGGTGTTGATATATTTGTCAGGCTGGATTGATTTAAATTGTTTTGTCGGTAAACACCAGAGAATTCATCAAAATACCATTGCTGACTAGGACTCTTATTGCGCTCCCGATATTCTGTATTGACAATATCGTTATCAAACAAGTTTATATCATCTATGAATGTCATTCGTATAAAATGGAGAAAAAAGATTTGAAAAGAGAGTGGTTGATTTATTGCAATTCTGTATTTGTATATTTGTACGCTTTGGTTCACTTCTAAACTTTTGCATAATATCATGGGGAATTTGATTCAAGTGGCGATGACGGAAATGACCGGAAATCAAACACGAGTAATCATTTAGACGGGAGAGAAATTACAGTTGTGCGAATACCTCTCGGTCAGCACATTTAGCCAATTACACAGGCATGTGATTCGCTTTTTCCGGTGCACTTCCTAATTTACCCCGCATTTGCTTTTATGTAAATGCTCTTTGATTGGCTTTAAAAGGGTGTGAATGAATGAATGATTTAGAAAGCCCATATGAAAATTAATATTTTTAGTGATATAAATTAACTTTTTTTCTTTTCTTTTTCTGTTGCTCTCTTTCTTCTCTTTATATATTATTTAACATGAGTAAAAACGGCGACGGTAAACAAAAGACTCCTCTCCTTACACACCTTGTTGCTGGTGGTGCAGCTGGTTTCATGGAAGCATGTACTTGCCATCCTTTGGATACAATTAAAGTCAGAATGCAATTAGCAAAGAACGCTGCCAGAAATGCTAGTGTAAGTCAGAAAGATCCCTTGATAATTCTTTCTTATCTATAGAGATTAGGGCAAACCACTTGGTTTTCTTGGTGTAGGTGCAAAGATCATTCGAAATGAATCATTCTGGGCTTTATATAAAGGCCTTGGTGCTGTTGTCTCTGGTATTGTTCCCAAGATGGCTATTCGTTTCAGTTCTTTTGAATTGTATAAGTCATGGATGGCTGATCAAGATGGAAAAGTAAGCACCACTGCTGTCTTTTTCGGTAAGTTGGCCTCTGTTTAAGTTTATGTGTCATCTCACACATACCATTTAGCTGGTCTTGCTGCCGGTACTACTGAAGCTGTTATGGTAGTATCTCCTATGGATCTTATTAAAATTCGTCTTCAGGTAAGAGAAAACAAGAGAAGAAGTCCATGTTGCTCATGATAAACATTATATAGGCTCAACGTCACTCTATGGCTGATCCTATGGATATTCCCAAGTATCGTAACGCTCCTCATGCTGCTTACACAATTGTTCGTGAAGAAGGTGTTCGAGCTTTATACAAGGGCGTTACATTGACTGCTTTGAGACAAGGTAGATACAATACCAATATGTTATGTTCATCCTTATTGATTCATTTTATTAGCCACCAATCAAGCTGCTAACTTTACTGCTTACCAAGAATTCAAGAGAGTTGCCAAAAACTACCAAAACCTTGAAGAACTTCCTTCTTACCAACACTTAATTCTTGGTGGTGTTTCTGGTGCTATGGGTAAGCTTATATATTTCACATGGTGTAATTTGTTCTCACGATGATGGTTAGGTCCTCTTTCCAATGCTCCTATTGATACCATCAAGACTCGTATCCAAAAGTCTACTGCCAGTGGATCTGGTTGGGAACGCTTCAAGATTGTTACTACTGAGATCATGAGTAAAGAAGGACCTAAGGCTTTCTATAAGGGTTTGACACCTAGATTGTTACGAGTTGCTCCCGGTCAAGCTGTTACATTCATGGTCTATGAAAAAGTGAAATCATGGCTTGATCTCTTTCAAGAAAAAGTAAAAGAGGGTGAAGTTACTGCTATTGTTTCTACTGCAAAGAAATAAGCCTACTTCATTCATGTATATTGTTAAATCATGCAACGTCTTTTTTTTTATCATAGACAGTTTTTCTATATCCACATTAAATTCAAGTTACACGAAATTCGACTTGTCATCCCCACATTTTTTTTTATTTTAGCCGTGCACAACTTTATAGACGGCTTTTTTTTTCACTCGGAGGAATCTAAAAGGAATTAAGGGAAATTGTTAAGTGTATGACAAGTAGATTTTTCTATTATTTTTATGGACAGAATTCTCCATGATAGATCATCTTGAGGACATTTTGTTCTCATTAACACTTGGTACAAAGAGTCCAAAAAATTATCGAATCACTTGATTTTGTTCTATTCCCTTCTACTATAAGAGCTGTGAATTTACTGTACTATATGATTGTAATACATCTTAAAATCCATGATAAAATCATAGTTGACTGATTTCCTTAAGCCCAAGGGTATACATACTTAAATTGAAGTGGCGCCTAAACCAGTGCGCATCAATCTTGTCAAAATCCTTCGTGAGAAAATACAAAAATCAAAATTGCTAAAGAACGAGCTTTTTTCGACTTGGCGTTTTACAAAAAATTGTACTTCTTTTGTTTGCGCATCAAATAGTAGTATTTACATGCCATCTCTACGGACAAAATATAGACGTACAAGGCAAAAATCAAATTACTGTTTTATGGATATAACAAGCATATTTTGCACTAAAACTTTCGGAAGAAAGCTTTACAAGTAAATGGCATTATTTACTGAACATGTTGAATATTAAAGCATGCACCTATCTCTACTTTTCAGCTCACAAATATTAGAATCGGTGTTTTAAATATCTCGCAAAGGTGAACCCTTTTGGAAAATCCATGAAAATTGGTCATTTTACCTTATTCCTTTTTTTCGTCCAAAACGCTACCAAACATACCATAATTATTAGTAAGCATGACCAAACTATATTTTGTCTATTTAAAGTCGCAGGATGCAATATGTATTTCTCTATGATGCATTAATTAAGAGTGACATGTTTCATAAATAATGAACACAATATTGCATAGCCTTTTAGAGGTCATACTACAATTTGTCTAAAAGATGCATTGAATTAATTTAAACTGTCAAATTATGCAATATATGCTCAAGAAATTACTAAATTGATCTCATATGTAATCAATCTTCCCTCCCCCCTTTTTTTTATCTCTCTCTCTTCACTATAATAAGCCCTCGAATAGATTAACTACAGTGCACTTTTAATTTCTGCTTGAGTTCCTACCAAGGAGTTTAGCAGTCTCAATTGTGACTGAATTCTAGTATTTTTATGTACAAAAAAAAAAAACGAAAAAAAAAACTGAAGCTTATTTTACTATATTATGCCAAAGCGAGGTGTGAATACTGGAGGAAACAAGAAAAAGAAGCAAAAGATTTATCATTGTGCAAAGGCAAGATATGAGTCAAAAAGCTTCTGTATGCTTATGCGATCGCAATAGGACACTCAAGGAGGAGGAAGCAAGAGTAATTTTAATGTTACTCCTGATATGGCAGGCGTTATTGTCATGTGCAGTCGCGGAAAAGAAGGTCGTGCAGTAAAAGAAGCACTTGATATCTTATCTCGAGTAAATAGGATGATACATAAGGTCCGATACTAATCTATTTTCGAAAGTATGGCGATGAACTTTATCCTGTAGAACAAGAGGATAAAAAAGACGACGACGAGGAAGAGGAGGAGGAATTGGATCTAGAGGCTTCTATCGCTAAGGAAGTAGCCGCACTGAAGAAGCCTAAAGGAAAGAAGCGATATGCTAATATCACTACGGGAACTGATTGCGGTACATGTTTAGATGTACATTCATAAGTTGCTGATGATATTATTTCTAGTGGCGTTTATTCGAGTCAGCCCTCCTATCGAACCAGTCAAACTGGTACATCATATGTTGACTGATTTAAATGAAAAGCAAATCAAGACAACACGATATATTTCAAGATACCTACCTGTAGAACAAACATGCCAAGCCAATATTGCTGATATTGAAAAGGCTGCTAAATCCGTTTTTAAACCTCATTTCAGTCAAGAAGACCAAGATGGCAAATTGATCTCTAAAAAGGTAACACTTATTCGTACTTGTTATCATGACGACTTATCATGTCTAGTTTGCTATTGCCTGCCGAGTGCGCAACTGTTCAAAATTGGAGCGTATGGATGTTATTAATGCATTGGCTGCTACTGTTGGCCCGGGTCATAAAGTGGATTTGAAGGATCCTGAATTGACAATCATTGCTGAAATTTGTCAGGTAAAAAAAAAAATGAAAATTCAATACAAAATCTAAGCCCGGTTTAGAATATATGCATGTTGTCTGTAGTGCAAGACTTTAACAAGCTAAAAAAGTACAACATTGAAAGCCTTCTGGGCATTAACAATGAAAAGGCTGAAGAATAAATCCGTTGTTACACAGTTGAATAAAAACGAACAGTTTGTGTGACCGGTTGATGGCAAATCAAAAAAAGTTTTATTTTTGTATCTTTTTCTTCTCTTCTTTCTTTTTTATCTTATAAACAATCATGGATGCCTCAACTTCAGCAAGCGATGGAAGAAACTCTGTTCCGTCTGCAACGTCTGCCATCAATGATTCCGCTACCGCTACCACCACTACTGCTGCTGCTACAACTACAGATCAAAGCAGTACGTCTGACGTTCCTACTACCACTACCACTATTACCAGTGACACACCTACATCAGCCATAGATTCAACAACAACAACTCCTAATACTACTACTGAACCAGCTACATCAAATGTGAGTTGAACTTTTTTTTTCTTCTTCTTGGCTGACCTGTCAATATAGAATGATTCCTCAACAACGACTACGACTACTCCTTCATCTTCTGGTATGCCTTCTTCAAGCACAACGAGTGAATTATCGTCTACTCGATTGATTCTTACTTCTTCTACAATAGATAGAACATCGTCTTCCTCTATGCCAGCTAGTACAACGACCTCTACAGAAATAATGACCTCATCACCTGTTCCTATTGTCTCTGTGTCATCTTCGGGCTCAGTCCATCGTACTTTTACATCCACCTCTTATTCCAGTTATCGAACTACAGTGCCAACTGTCGTCTCAAATGCACAATTAGGTTCATCCTCAAGTAATACTGGTGCCATTGCTGGTGGTGTTGTAGGAGGTGTTGCAGGACTCGCTTTAATAGGTAAGGCTTTGATATGATTATATCAAACTAATCTTTATTTAGCTGGTGTTGCTTTTATTTTAATGAAACGTCGTCGTAGTAAAAGAAACAATGGCTATGGCGATGATAATAACGTGATAGATTCAGGAGGAAAGCATGCTGTGAGTCCTCAATTCAATCACTATTACGAAACACCTACTATGCTATCCGAGAACAATAGCCAACCTGCACTTTCTGCTACTAACGTGACTGCTGCACCATCACAAGGCACAAAACCTAGGCCATTTGTTCAAGCTTATGATCCTGCAGGAAACTATTCAGAAGGAGGCCAATACTACTATAACGATTATAATAGCAATGCGGGCTATGATCCTTATTACTCAGCTTCTCAACAGAGCACAGTAATACCTCATAGCGGAAGAAATGTACCTGATGAAATTGATACTAATACACCTGCTCGACGGTTATCTAGGCATGTTCCTGATGAAGTCTAACTTTTTTAATAATAATTTTGTAAAATGTAATTTTTTTAATCAGTTTAATAAATCATCCGATAGACTTATGTAAAAGAAAAGCTTTGAATTCAAAATTGAGGAAGAACCAACTCATTGCCTTGAATTCAGACAATAGTATTCTTTTTTGGCCTTTTTTCTATTTTCTTTTTTTAAACTTTATATTCTTTTTTATTTGTTTTTGATTGAAAGAGAATATTTTGAAACTTATTTATGCGTATAGTTTTGTTTTTCTTTACATTTCCTGATACTTTTTTTTATGCAAAGAACGCCAGAATTGTTGTGTTCGCCTACTTGCATGCAGAATTCAAAATCTTCTCATTCAACTCTATCCATTCACAGTTTTATACCTGTCAAAGACTCTTTTTTTGAGCTTCTTTTAGGCTTATTTTGATAGTTTTAGCTACATTTTTATTTAGCATGATATCAAAACTTGTCAAAAGTTTAATCAATGACATGCATTATAGTACTGCTTTTTTGAAATGAATCTTATGGTTTATGCAAGCTTCTCTCGGTTGATATAATCGTACCTGGATCCGGTAACACGATCGGTAAAACCCAAACTGTATTATGCTTGACTATTGTAAGTCCATAAGCATATTCGGGCTCTTCATAGGTCCGAAACATACAAACAAAAGTATTTTTTCTATGCGTGGTCTAACAAACAAACAGTTTTCTATTGATTGTTGAGAAACACACTAGTTTTCAGTTCCTTTTTCGTAGACAATACCATAGAGCTGTGGCGTGATTATTTGCCATGCCTGCTTAAAACATTTGGCATGTCTTTCTGTTTAGAAGTCTGACCAGGCATATTCCAAATACAGCAACCATAATAACGACAATGATCTTTTTATATCTGTTTTTCCATTTCGGAATATAGCCTGCTTGGAACGTTCATATTTTTAAAGGAAAGAGCAAACAAATCTTAGGCCCCGTGTGATTTCCTATTCAAGGATATATATCTAAAAAAAATATTCTCATTCAGTGTGTTGCATATTGAGTATCGTTACATTTACCCTCCTTCCCTCTCTCTCTTTTATTGTATTTACGTAATGATGTTAATATCGATCACCTTTTGCAGATTTATGAAACCTTTTGCATGGATTTATTTAGGGGAAAATACGCATCAACTCAGGACTTTTTTAAGCAAAAAAAAAAAAAAAAAAGGCCCCTTCTTTAGAAATCAAAGTTATTTTGGATAAGAAAATGCTTTATTAATAGAAAAAAAAAGGAATATGTATACAGAATGAAAGGAAAGGGATATAATACAAAAATTTACAATTTTTTTTTCTGTTATTCTGTTTCGTTGGTCTTTTACTTGGCAGCTTGAATAGTGAATTTGTTAGAAGCATTACCGGAATCACCCATGAGGACAATAATGTAAGAAGTTCTGGTGGAAAGGTCAGAAGGTAAAGTGATTTGTTGAGCACCAGAATTTAAGGGAAAGTTAGTAGCCAAAGTCCACTTGAGGTGTTCATTATAAGGGTCATTATTTTCAAGGTAACCCAACATAATTCTACCATTTTGAGTATCAGGGATAGGGACATTAGAAGAACCATCGAAATAAGTAGTTTCCCACTTGACAGTAAAAGTGCCACCAGCTCTCCATTTAGTGCCAGTAGTAGGTGAAGTGATCTTGGGGTTGATAACAATGGCGTTGACAAAAGTCAAGACAAAGAAGAAGAAGAAGATAATAGACTTGTTGAACATGTTAGAAAGAGTAAAGAATAAAATAAAAAGAATTGAATTTTTTGGACTGTTTATATACGCAACTCGAAGATATGCATAAATTTTAATTATTTTTAGCCTCATATGAAACGCACAAACATTTACTACTCTTTATGGAATGATGTAAGGCTTCTTATGTGGCTTTCCTTCAGTTGATTTTACAATTTTGCCACTGTTTATTTCCGAATAGAAAATAAAAAAATAAAAAGCCTCCTCATTTTCTATTGTTAATATTTCAGCCCATATGAGGCTTTATTGTCTTTTTGGTTCAGGAGACATTCTTTTATGATGTTGTATTTGATAGTGTAAGCGTGTGATTTCTCCCTTTTTTTTTTTTTAATTTTAATTTTTCCTGCTGCATAAAAAATTATGGACTTGGATAAAGATACTTTTCATGTTGTTATTCGACTTCCATATAAGCGCCCACCAGGATTTGTTGAGCCACCTTCTGTATGTATATATACAAAAAAAAAAAAAAAAAAAAAAAAGAAACAGCGCCTCGTTAGGTTGCTAACCTTTTTTATTAGATTGTATGGACAAATGAGATGGAGCATAAACTATGGCAATACATGAGCCAAAAGAATACAGATTGTAATATAAGAAACTAGAAAAAAAGTTCTAACTGACATGATGTAGGGAATGAGATTGCAGAACAACTAGGTGTGCCTACTTCTTATATTGTTCGACATGCAGCCTTTATCTATGAGACACAGTTGCGTGGGATTCATCAACAACTGAGATTAAACACTACAGCAAATAGCATAAGCAGAAATAGTCCTACACCAAGACCATCTCGGCCAGGTAAGACACATTTGTTATAGAGCATGGATTAAATCGTATCAGTATCAACAAGGTATTCAAATCAACAAGAAGAGAGATCACCTATGATAGACTCCAATGTCTCATTTCGTACTATACCAGAAAGATCAAAGGAAACATTGAAAAGCAGTGGATCCACGGCTACAGCAAGAAATTTCATGAGTCAAGAGCAAGAAGAACCAGTGGCAGAGGAAGAAGAAAAGCAAGATGAAGAAGTGTTCAGTAGTCATTTTGAAAGAATGAAATTACAAGTAGAAGAACCTGCTTTTTTACCACATAAACATCACCCAACAGACCTAAGCAACAGTCGACAACAGTTGTCTATCTCAATTCAAAATCTAAAGAAACTAGATTCTTCGTTCAGTAACAGCAGTGCACCACCATCACCTGCTACAGCGCAGCCCTCCACTGCTTCTGGATCCAATCATGAGAGTGTCATTCATTCTATTGGTTCATCCTTTAGCGATTTATCAGGTGAGAATATTGAATGGGCATAACAGCATCGAACTGACAATTGTTGACTAGACTCTTCAGTCACACAGTCTGCTTTAGAAGAAGCCTTTTTATCCAAATTCAATCAAGGTGGATCCAAAATGTAAGTGAATGAGGCTTACACACATCAAGAAGCTTACTCTTTTTCATAGGTCATTACTCAACTTTTCACGTAAATATTACAAGGAATAAATGAATTGATTTATGTTTATTTTACACATTGCTTATTTCTTAGCCTTCTTTTCCTTCTTGGGGGTTCATAAGAAGTGGCAAGAAGCTTGACAATTTCTTCATCCTTGACTTGCTTGTCAGTTTGAACTTCCAAGTACTTGGGGTGAGTCAACAAAGTGTTACCGTTCTTGGTGACCATGATGGTAGCCAAGTATTGAGCAACAACAGCATCATCACGTTCATACATGACGTCGTAAGGCAAGACAGTTTGGTGCTTGGCAGCTTCAACAATACCCATACGGGCCTTGCGTTCATCTTCAAGATCACGCAAACTGAAGGGGAAAGCACCAGCCTTGGTTTGGATTTCAGACAAGACAGCACGAGAAGCAGCCATCTTGAGTTGGTAACGAAGGCCAGTCTTCTTGTAGATAGTGGTACGGGTCTTGAGAGGACGCACCTTACCTTCACCAGAAGAGACCAAGATATCAATGGCATAGACTTCGTTTTCAGCAAATTCAACACGCTTGAAGTCACGGAGATGAGCTTCAGTAGGGTTGAGGATGATTTGCTTTTCACCATCAGTCTTGTCCTTGAGTTGGTTGTGAGAGAGCATACCTTCAACAGGTTTGACGTTGTAGGATTCAGCAATCTTGTCGACAGTCTTGGTGATGTCCATGTTCTTGTTACCAGGACGGATCATACGGATGGTGGCTTCCAAAGCAGTTTCAGCAGCCTTGATGACATCGGCCTTGGTACCAGTGATGGGACCATTGGCACCAACGACAACAGTGGTGGCAACGGTAGAACAGAAACCATCGAATTGAGCGCCCAATTGACTATAACACACACACACACACATACACACACACATCAATATTTCTTCTTCCCCTCTTTTGATTTAATAACTTACATCTTGGCAACATCACCTTCCTTCAAAACAGTGGCGGCTTCAGGGTCAGAGGGAATAGGAGAGAAGTGAGCAACACAGTTGTTGACGGAAATAGTGGTAGGGAAACCAACACCTATATTAGAAAAGGACTCAACTCAGCCACAAAAATTCCATTCATTTGAGATCGCTATTTCTCACTTACCCTTAGAGATCTTCTTCTTGTTGTAAATAGCCTTAGTAGCTTCGTTGATGAGCTTGTCACCTTCAACACAGATATCGATGACCTTGGCATCAACAACACAAAGCTTAATGACCTTTTCGAGGACAGCTAAATAAAAATGGCTTAATACGCGTTATTTGACAACTCTAAGGTACTTACCATCGGCGATCTTACCGGCGTCCTTGTACTTGGTTTGAACGTCACTGTTGGAGACGTCAAGGACGGGTTCAGCAGCAGGCTTCTTGGTGTCAACGGGTTTAGTATCAGCCATCGTTTAGAATAAAAATGAAAAAAGGAGAGGGCAAATGTACGACACGCAAAAAAATAATAAAAAAAAGAGAATTGCAAGTCACTTTTTTTTTTTTTTTGGTTCCCTCTGGTAGTATGATTTCATGCATATTTTCTTATGACTGGAATCGTATGTATGTACAGTTTATTGTGGAGAAAATATTATATTCTAAGCAGAGCAGAGCATGATATTTACATTAAATTATAAGCAGAGCAGAAAATAGAAGCGTAATAGATATGAACCAGTCTATGTGAAATATTGAAATGGATACGAGTACTTCCCTCCGTCTAGAGCCAAGCATCTCGGTAGACTAGGAAACATTGGTGTGTTTGTGTCAATAGGCTTAATACTACTGGCATGGTTGTGTGAATCCATTCATCAAAGCTCAAGTTTAATCAACTCTTGTTTTGAAGAATAACAGAGAATGTAACAATCATTAAGGAATGGGCTGCTTGCTTGTTTTTGTTTGCGCTATACTATCTTCTCATTATATTCATACCACTACATGTTTGATCGACAATATGACCGACCCATACTAGACTGTGATTGATGCAAATAGTGGCTACATCAAATATCAGTCCTTTCTTTTCTTCTTTTTTTTTGTTAAATGAGCAACCTAAGCTTTTATTCTACATGGTTTATACTGTTAATCTATTCTACTTTAGGGGGACTCGTTCAAGGATGAAAAGCATACAATTCTTTTTGATTTCGTGTGGCTGTATAGTTGAGTTGATCTTATTTCTTCACTTTGCTATCCAAAAAATCCTTTGCTTCGTTGATCTTTAAAGCTAAAAAGGGTGATCCTCCACGGTCAGGGTGATTAAGTAACATAATACGTCTGTGTGCTTCTTTTACTTTTTGCTTAGTAGCTTGCGATTCTCTGATTCAAATAAGTACACATATTTATCTCTTTCTACTCTTACCTAAGACCGAGGATCAAAACAGCCTCTCTCTTGTTCATCTTGGCATCGAATCCGCCTTTATAAAACTTGGACATTCTTGGTTTCTTTGGTAACTTTTGATATTCTTGAAATGCTCTAATGCCGAGACGACCAGCAGTTGCTGCGCCGGCAACAACAAAACCCATAACAACAGCAGAAGACTAGAAAAGACATACATGAATACATGGCACAAAGAAAAAAAAGCTGTACTCACCATCTTTAACGAATGAGAAAAAAGATAACTGTCTTGAGCTTCATGCCCCCAGGTGGATATTTATATCTTTTTAAAATACTCAATTTTGATTGGATCGAATTTTCTACACGAATCATTTTGATGGCGACTCTTTTTTTTTTTGATGAATCAAAAAGCCCCTTTCGCTTTACCCTTCATAAAATACTATCGCCCTTTTTATATACATATATCTAAGTCTTGTCTCTATTTCAGATGATTCGCTTGGTCTAACAGTATTCTGCCATGAACATACAATGTATATATTTCTCTTTATTTTAGACACTTTAGTTGTCAGTTTCCATTGGTTCTGCAGCAGTATTAGCAGCAGGTTCCTCTGTAGTTGTGTTAGCAGCACCAGATCCTGATGGTCTTGTTCTGCCTGTTTCTTCACCCAACAAGTTCAAATACGTTTGTAATGCTTCACCTTCAACAATTTCAAATGGATGGTTTTCTCCTACAATACCAAGAGATGTGTTATGAATATTAAGGTCTTTGTCTTGTTGTAATGTATCGCGAAGAGCTTGAAGACCATGACGAACGAGTTCTTCCAATGAAGCTATACATATATGTGTGTGTGTTTAATTATCCACTCTTCTCTTGTTTTCTTACCATCTGCAAATTCTTCGTGGTATCTTTCAAGATATGTCTTGGCAGATTGAGATCGAGCACCAATTGACATGGCATAGTATTCAAAACTAGTACCAGCAGGTGAACATTCAAAAAGATGAGGACCCGTTTCCTGTAGACATAGTTAGTTGGTTTTTTTTTTTTTTGTATAGTGACATGAAGTGCTTACATCATGACCAATGACCAAAAGACCAACACCATAAGGTCTACGACCATATTGTTGAGTGTTGACTTGTGCCTCTATATCAATGTCAATACATATTCAGACCTACTGTTGAGCTTACTGTCAGCAATAGCATTCACAATTCTTTGAGTAGGCAATGGTCTATCATACAACATTTTTGACTTCATGGCTTCTGCACGCATAAAGTTACTAACCAGATCATGAATGAGTACAAGGTTGTTTGCATGTGTTATTTTACCTCAAAACACGAGCATCAGAAGTCAAACCAGCAATACCAATACCCATATGTTCATCAATCTTGATCAACTTTTTCTGGTAAGAAGCAAGTTCACCAGAAGAACGCTAATATAGATGACATCAGCATGGATTATGGATTGTTTCGTTACCTTCAAGGCAAGTAAGATAGCAAAATTCTTGCTTCTTAGACCAATAGCAGCAGAACCTTGCTTTACTGCTTCAACAGCATATTCAACTTGGTGAATACGGCCCTGAGGGACCAAGTTGAGACATCGTTATCGTATTGGTTTCTAAACTAAACAGAAAAAGATATTAGTGCCTGTCAGTCAGACATATCAAGTTGTACCATATTCTCTCTTCCTGTAGTTTATATTAAAAAAAAAAAGATGGTTATCCTGCAAAAAGAAATATTCGCGTCCTATTACGAATTATTCTGTTAGTGAACGCGCGGCGCACCTTACTACAAAAAAAAATCAATGACGTTAGCTTCTGTGATTTAATTTTAAACTCAACAGCATATCGAATATCGAAACTCCAATTACTAAGCAATCATGCACCTATCAGAATACTGTCAAAAAAGCTTTTCACTCTATTTACTGTCTATATCTCAGTAACAGAACGTCAAGCCAATTCATTACTTCCGAGCACATTCATACCGTTACACCTTCCTACCCTAATGTCTTTTGTTAAGAAAAGCTTTGTGACTAAAAAAGATCTTAGAAAACGGATACAAAAGGAGCCTTTAAAGCACTCCGAATGGAACAAGAAAAACTGTAGCCTCTCAGACAACCTTTTTCCTGATCAAACTCCTTTGTTGAGGCACTGCACCTATTTCAAAAACCATGTCATTATGCGATCATGCAAAAGATTGTTGCTGACTCAATTGATATTCAGGATACTTCTTTAGTGATATCTATTATTGTTTGCTTGCAAGTCTTTCAAGCTTGACCATTATAGTATTAAAAAGTGATAAATTAGATTTAGAGTAATCTTTGATTAAACAATAGATTAAATATGATAATAATCTAAATTAATTCAGTAAAGAGTATATGCTATACAGAAATAATGATCTGTCATCACGACAGTCTTTAATGTTTCATTTCTCATCACCTGATCTTACAGTACGGAGTCAAACCCTAATGACATTTAGCAGCTATGTTTTTTTTTTTTTCATCAGTGTTGTCATTTTTTTAACCTTTTCACTTGATTTTCTATAACAAAGAGTAAAGAGACACATCTACGTTGAATAAAATTAACTTTGAAAGTATAGAAAGCATGGCTCAAAGAAGAAAAAGCAAAAATGCTTCGTTATGGAAGACAAACAAACACCGGTACCTATACGTTTGAATAAGCGAAAGTTCAATAAGGAATCATCACAATTAGGCTTTGCAAAGAGAAACAAGCGACAGCATAACAAAGATCCTGCCTATCTTATGTCCTTGGACAAGTCAATGCATAATCATATCCCTACTAAGATTTTGAACAAGATGAAGACAGCAAAAATAACTTGACACTGACCTTCTGAAAGTCAAAAATGACTTTACAAGTAGGACGAATCTTCCTAATGGAATCATGACAAACCCTGTATCTTTTGCTGGTCTGGAAACTAATGTGATGAGGAACTTCATGGAAATCAATGACAGCAGGTTAATAATTGACTTATGAAAGGATTATGTTAATGATCATTTTGACTCCATTGCCAAAATCCTCAGGGAAAGAAACCTTTCCTTTGCAAAAAAAAAAAAAAAAAAAAAAAAACTCCTCAATCAGGCCCAAGTAAAACATGAAGTTAGCAGCCTAAAGGAAGATTTAACGCCCTACTCAAGTCTGATTCTATGAATAGTTGATTGTAGAAATAAATTCGATTAATCTTGAATTGAAGAGTGGTCATATAGACGAGCTAGTAACGAAACTGAAGAATTCAAAACTCAAGCATCTGTCCTTCTGAAAGAAGAGGAGAATAGCCAATTGCGATGCAATTAAGGAATAATTAGGTAAGATTTCTTTATTAGGATCTCATCCCATCTCCAATTTTGTGACTCGATTTTTTCTGTTGAGTTATTCTATTGAACATTACATAATATGTTGAATTGTATTCAGCGCATAAAATGACTCCAACTGTTCATACATGTGATTTTAGTCTCTTTATCGATTACAGAAGCTAGCGTCATTGTTTTCTTCAAAAAAAGAAAAGCAGATAATGAACCCTTATTGTATCGAAAACTTTTTTCTATTCTATTACCAATAACCTTCGTTATTTCATTGTATTGCATCATTGGTTGTCAATTCCACCAAGAAAAGAATATGAACCTGAAATTTTTTCTTTTCCTTTTTATTACTCTCGTATGACAGAAGTACCTGCTTTTCAAAAAGTTATCACACGCTCTTATGAAGACGTTCAAGTTAGTCCTGAAGGCATTGATACAGCTCAGTTCTTAGAAGCAACAAAGAGCATGATTGATATGTTTGGCAAGTATGCACCAAACGCATGTTCTGTATTGAACAATGAAACTTGATAGACTTGTTTGGAAGTTCTGCTTTCAGTGTAGTTCAGAATGATATGAGAAATAATGTTATCAAGATTGAATCAAAGTTTCAAGAAAATCCTACTGAATACAACACACTAGAGAATTTAATGGCCAAAGAGGCTTACTTGAAACGACGTGTAGCAACCGAAGCAGTCTTATGGCTCAAGAGGTACGTAATCTTATATTCGCACTCATACTAAATTTGTCGAAAGAGGACTCGAATTCACTGCAAAATCACTTTTACATAGTCTTGATCACCCAGAAGATGAACTCACTGTATCCTTCTCTTTAGCATATGATAGTGTTCTTCGACCTTACCATAGTTTTATTGTTCGACCTATTTTTAATGTAAACATACTGCTGTGCGAAATAGATAGATTAACCGTCATTGCTAGCTTGCCATGAATGCTTGTCCTTGGAGAAGAGACTTTTATGAACGAATTGGTGTTCAAACACCTGAATCTACTTTAATGATGCGAAACTGGTTACTTTCTTTAATTAAATTACTCGATATACTCAATAAGGATTTTGAAAAACATCCTGAATATTCGAACCATTAAATAGTGTAGTTTATTAATAAGAATAAAAAAAAAAAGAGAAAGACTGGTATGATGCATAAGATGAAAAAAAAAAAGAGATGTGTACATTATTGTTCTAAACTGGTCAAAACTTGTTGTTTACGCTTATGGTATTCATTGAAACGAAGCACAGCATAATCCATATAATTGAAATCTATATCAGAAATCTTGGCTTGGATCATAGCCCATAATCCCCAGTAGAAATGAGAAGCAAGAGAAAAGCCATTTACTTCCTTAAATAGTTGTTCCTTGTCTTGTTCCGAAGGTCGAACTATGAAACATTAATTTTCTTGTTACAATGTGTTGTGCTTCTTACCTCCTTTGTTGAATTCAGTCAAGTACCAGTCGTACCATTTCATTTGAAACTCTTTTGTTGGGTATCTCCAGTATTCACACTCAAAACCAGCAAACTCGTTAAAGTGGTTACCGATATCAAATCCTCTAAAAGCATAACAGCCGTACTCATAATCAATGAAATTCGCTTCTTGCTTTTCTTCATCATAAATAATGTTGCCATACAACAAATCATTATGAGAAAACACAATGGGTGAATTGACTTGATTAAGCTTTTGAATCAACATTTCCAACTATATCATACTTTAGTTCTTCTAATTTACGAGCCATGTCCTTACCTCAGATCTGATCTCTTTGATATTAAACTGTGCTTCAAATGTAGACTGTATCTGGGGATTTTCATACTTTTCAGGCACTATGATGTATCAATAAATCTAGCCTTGTTTATCACTCATACTTGCCTTGTTCTAACCATTTAAACATGGTGGACCATAATGTTTGTTTCTTAGTATTGGACTTAAAGTCTTGAGGTAAGTTCACTTGATGCCAGCGAGCTAATTTCTTGGCAATCCATTCTGCAGTTCTTTCTTGTCCTAATTCTTCCACTGTAGATACTTTGCCTTTAATGAATCCATAGACTAAGCCATTTTTGAATCTGGCGTAGAGCGGAGGACACATGCCTTGAGCAGATAAAGTAATGATATTCTATTATCAATATTGGTTACACCAGCTATCTATCTCTTTTTATTATTGACTTACAACTACTTCTTGTTTGCGATCAATAATCAATTCCGATCCTTTACCATAAGCACGTACAAGTAAAGAGAAATCAGTGGGTTCATAAGTCACTCTGACCACTTTATATATATATATATATATTGTTAACAAGCCATGATATTCAAAAAAAAATAGACTTACATTGATTCGTGATACCATCTTTACACTGTACGAATTTGATGTCTTGATATTTCCAGTTGGGAAATACTTTTTGAACTACTTTAAAGGCACCTTCGAAAAGAGCAGAACTAGATACTTCAATATCAAAATAAGGTGTAGATTTAATTAAAGATTCTTCCACTAAGTCTTCGTGAGTGGACCGAATAGAAGTATTGGGTGGCATATGAAAATCAAAAAAAAATTATAAAAAAAAGAGAGAGGGGAAAAATTGGCTTTTTTTTTCTTAAAAAAAAGAGAACATAGCCAAATCAGGATCCAATCAGAATAACTCGGGTTCACGCCCAGTCACATGTGAGCGCACACTCGTAGATTGAAGTCATGCTCTTCAAACTGTTACACAGCTCATGATACTCGGACTTGAGAAACCAAGAGACACTTGGAATACCCCCTTTTCTATAAAGAAACATTGCTCATGTACAGCACAATTTTTGCGAAACACAGCCTTGATAAGCGGGGTGTTAATGTGTCTTGAGTCTTTTTGAATCAAAGACCTGTCAATTAGATCGAAGAAAAACAAGTAAGGCAATCGCTTGTCGTGACGATTGTCTGCTATTATATATTAGCCTCTTATTTGCTATCTGTTTATTGTATTCAATAGCTTCGAGAAGAATACAAATATGTGGTCTATGCTGATGTTGTTCTATTTATTTATGTTGACAACTTTTTTTTATGCATTGTACTGATAGATCTATGGTCTTGGTATTACTTATGCAGCCCAAAATAACGATGTTTGTACCTTTCTAAGTTTTTACTCTCTATCTCTCGGAATTCTTTCATATCAAATCTTAGATAAGAATGGGTGTCTTTGTTAACAGAGTTTAAAGGGATGAGAGTTCCCTCATTATATGGCATAGTGCTCAGCAATAAGAGAAATCCCATCTGATATCCTTAAAGAATTGGACGGCTAAATGAGACATCGAGAAAAATAAAATTTTGAAACTATTGGTATGTACGAGTGAGTATCCCTTATACACTAGACCGAAACAAAAATTAGCACAGTTTTTTGTCATTCGAAGGTGTCCTAATCCAAGAGCCCTTTAAGTAACAATATAAATATTGTTTATGTATCTCATACTCTGCTTAATTTTTAGCATTTAATTCTTGCTTAATAAAGTGTACATAACTTTCAATCTTTGATCAGTCCGTATGGCACTAACTATCGATTCAAAACCCAGTAACCATTGAATGACTGCTGTTTTTTTGGTGGGTAATTCTTAATATGCAGGTAGCATAAACGCAATGAAACAAAGCTTTTTTTTCTCTCTTTTTTTTGTTTTCCTTTATATGTTAACTACCAAAGGACGTTTGTGTACTATTCGACTCTATAGTACGATAAGACAAAAAACACCTTTCGAAGTACTATCATTGAGTCAGTCTGCCAGTACAGCAGAAATAAAATCAAAATACAAGGAACTAGCTAAAACACTGCACCCTGATAAGAAATCAACTGGAGACCTGGCTAAATTTCAAGAACTCGTACAAGCCTATGAATTGCTTGTCGATCCAAACAAAAGATCATATTACATCAAGTCGGGATACGGATGGGGACATTCACAGGGTACAAATGTTCCACCACCCGGCCACAGACCACCCTCTTACACCAATGCACACTGGGCAGAGGGGCCCCCTTCTTCTCATCATGAACCTCGGTACACAAACAATGCAACATTTATGTCGATTTTAGCTGGCATTGTCTTGACGATTGCTACAGCCAATATTTTTTATTTCCAAGCTTCACATGCTTCCCTTTTGAGCGCAGCTGATCGACACCACTTTAAAAGCAGCAACGATCTAAGAAGAGCAAGAGAAGAAGCTCGGTTGTTTGGAAATGATAGAGGTGTTAAAAGAGTCATTGAGAGTCGAATGAAACTGTTTCGAGAAAACGAAGAATAAACATGTTTTTTATTGTTTTTGCTTTTCTTTAATTTTTTCTATTTCTGAAATGTATCTTCTTGAAAACACTTCAATATAATAGTTTGCACCATTCCATACACTCACAGCAGACATGGCTACTAAAAATATGGTGTGCAACCAGAAATAACGATACAAAAAGTAGGTAGGCAAAGAAGTCACCACATTGTATACAAGTTGTAGTAGCATGAACATTTCCAATTTCCACTTGGGACCAAAAATAAAGGCTGCTTTCTGAATAAACCCCTTTCTGCCATGTGAGTCATCTAATAACCATGAGTACGAAGTCAGTCTGAGTCCAGACTCAACCTTGTCCTTTCTTCTGACCATGATGAATAAATAATAAAGAGATTGCCAGATAATGTAAGCAACTGTCGAATACACCATTACATCATATAGACTAGGCATAGAAGGTGTACTGAGTGCTGGGTATCGAGTAGCACGATAAGCAATCACAAATGGTTGATTATCACAATACATATCGCGCTGTAATTCAGGCATCCAGCGTATACAGTACATAACCAAAGGAGGGAATATGTGAATGAAGACAGATGTGACCTTATCCAATGAGTGAAAGACAAGTGAATTTCTCCATGTGATGATAGCCCATGCCACAGGCCCATTAGTAAGGAAATAAGAAGCATAAAACAAACCGAGCGAATTAGGATACAACCACAAGAACAGCATGGTCATGGCATTCACAAAATAGCACAGATCAAAAATAAAGTAGTGCCATCTTTTAGAGCGATAAATAACAGTTCGCAATACCAACAAGATGATCAATTCGACACTGTAATAAGAGGGTATCAGACTCGGATAACGTAGTGCCAATGCGGGTGCAACACAGGCATTTCCGACCCCCACCACAAACGATATCTTGTCTCGCAACTGGACTGTCTTTGCATCACGATTCATACGCTTATCAATCTTGTGGTATTGTTGTACTAGGCGTTCTTGAATACGTGATCTTTGATCCTCGAGTTTCTTTGTCTGCGTCTTGATTGAGTCGCGTGTCTTGTTTGTCCACTGGCTAGATTTGCTGATAAACTCACGCTGTTTTTCTTCAATTTGGTTGGTGATTTGGTCGAGAGCCACAGAGAGCATTTCAATCATGTCAAAGTCATTTTCTGATATAAAATCAGAAGTAGACCAGTCTTCATTGTCTAGCGAAAGCAGGTCTTGGTCGTGGGGTGCAGAAGGATTCGTTATATTTGAATTTAATTGTTCTTGAACAATTTTTTGTTTCATGGTCGAGATTGTAAAGAAGAAAAAGAAAAAACAAAACGAAAAAAAAGGGCGCTTTACGTAGGATTGTATTATCAGCCGACAGTATTCATGCTCCTCTTGTTTCTGAATAAGGTTTGGCAGAGCTTATTGTAGCCCAATCAAAGTGGCTTTTTAATTCATATGAAAACTGATACATTGCCTTTATTAATACATGTTTACTTGCAAAGGCTTTTTGCCTTTCTTTTTCTCGCTCTTGCTTCGAGATTTATGATTGACATGTTATTATTTTGTCATTCATAAAGAGTGATGTCATGATAGAGTAAGCCTAAAGAGTTTTAGTAGCCTTTAAACGGATCGACAAACAAGTCCAACAGAAATATCACGTGATAAAGAAGACTCAATGCAAAGCCTTGACTTTATTCACTAAAAGAACAAACAAAAAATACATGTGTAGACACAACAACAAACAAGTGTATTCTTGTTCGGAGACTTTTTTTTTATCTCTTGCATTATAAACAGAAGCCTTCCTTTTCTCTCTTCTTATTTCATTACATTATGGATCTCTATCAAGATTATACTGAATGGCAAGAGCCTGACGTACCAATAAACAAAAAAGGTAATTTGCAACTGTCATTGTTTTTATAATGAATTGAATCTGATAGATACAAATAAATTTCAAGAAGAAAAGCCTTTTTTACAAGAATGGCCTTATCAAGATGATGCTGCATCACCACCACAACAAGGCCAAAATAAACCTTTGCGACAACAAGATCAAAGAGCACCTATAGACCAGCCATGGAGACAAGACCAAGCACAATATGATCTCAATCCATTACCACTAAATCCATTTGAGGAAGAAGATATAAGAACATCACCACCTATGGGTGAAAGAACATTGGCGCCAACAGCACCAAAATCAATGCCCACAGAATTAGGACAAACAGCAATGACAGCAGCAGCAGCAGTTACCACTGATATAGCCATCACTGCTTCAAATGGACTTGTTACTACTACCGGTCAAATGATTGATGCTACCACTGCTATTGCCAGTGAAGCAGAGCAGCCTAAAGTAGATATAGGAGGCGGCTTACCAGCACTACCAGCTCGTCCATCTAAACTTGAACGTCAGCAATCAGCCTTACCATCCAAAGTGCCTAAAAAAGTAGTCAAACCACGACTTGATATCCCATCAGGCAGTGATTTGGGAATCGTAGGCAAATTAGGTGCTTTCCAAGTAGCACATTCAAAAAACCCAACTTCTTTTGCCTCAAGGCAATCCAACTTCGTCTTTTGGACATACACACTCACACTTTTTATTACATTATATTTAGCCATAAAAGCAAAACGATATTAGCGAGTTAAACACAAACATAGTTTATTCAAAATAAATATATTAAATGCTTTCTTTTTGTTATTGTTGTTGTTGTTGTTGTTGTTGTTGTACAAGATCAATGCATATTTCTCATTAATGCTCTTCTTCTTAATGCACCTCTTTTTCTCTTGAAAGGACTAGGCTCTCTAATAGCAAAATCAAAGCTACGAACTTCATTGTCTTCTTCATCATCGTCATCAATGCCACCATCAGCATCCTGCTCATAAAGACGAACATAATAGGTACCAGGAGGAACATCAACAACCCAATTAAAGCTAAAATCATCTTTGTCACTAGCACGAACAATGACAGCACCAGTGTAGGATCCAATTTGTTTAATTTCAGTATTATCAGCGGCATTATAAAGCTTGGCAATGATGGTCTCATCATCGTCATTGCTGATATCATTGGTTGTAAAAGTGATGGAGTCACTGGTGGTATATTCTGCATTGACGCCAGGAGAAGAAAAGTAATGAATACCGTCTTCTGCAAGAACAAGGGATAAAACAGCAAATAAAGTAGCAAAAATCAGGGCAAGCTAAGAGATGTCTAAAGTAAGTACTTTGGTTGATTATTGCTTGTCTCTTACCTTCATATTTAAAGGAATGTGAGGAGTGGAATAAAGAAAGAAAGAAAGAAAGATGATGGAAGTCAAGAAAGAGCGTTTTCAAGTCCATTTATATGTTTTGGATAGCTCGCAACTTCATCTTTTCTCCTTTTTTTAGACTTCTTTATCATGAATTGGATTACCATTTTCTCGTTTAATTGTTATCTCGAGGAGGTTTCCAAGTGTTTAATATTAAATTACCCCTATTGAGTAGGAAGAAAAAGAGGGGCTTTTTTTTAGACCTATACAACGATCCCCTTTAGTGTTTTTGATTTGCAAATATCTCCTTGATATAATTTCTTTCTTGTCAAGAAAAAGTGACTTTGAAAACCATCAACAATATCAGAAAAGAAAAGCTCAATACCTATTGTATTATTAAAGATAATTTATATAAATATATATATTTACAAAACAATAAAAAAAGGACAAGTTTAATCGAATATACACAGTTTATGTTTGTTGAGCAGTGGGATCTCTTAAGCTCAGAACACTCCGAACATCAGCAGTAAAACGAAGAGCATCTAATAAAGGTAGCAAGTCTAGTAAGCAATCATCTTTTGGGTTTGAAATCCAGGTAGGTATTGGGATTGCGTTTTCTACCATACTTTGTCAGTGTTTTATACGCAGTAACAATGCTTAAATACCTTGACATAATTCATATGCCGCAGGACTATTGTCAATTAAACATACTTTAGCCAGATCAGATTCAGCTATTGAAATATCCTTGAGATAGTTACCGTCTTGAAATATACAAGACTAGGATGTATAAGCATCTTTCTTGTTCTATTTTATACTTGCCTGTCTGAAATAGCGCTGACTGATCAGAGTCTGATCCTCGTCCAGCCAATCAATCACAGGGTCCGCATATTCTGACATTGATGCAGTAAATATGACTACTTTGTACCATTTGCTTATCTGCCCAAGATGAGTATAAAGATGTACATTATTGAATTGCTTACAGTAGAGAGAAAGAAATCAACATGCGGTCTTTTATACACTTGGTACAATATACTTTGTTTATCACTCGTCACCTCTATCGTCTTTTTCTTGATGGACGTACTGATATGGACAGTGTCTGTCGTTCCAAGCCTGACAGAATGAACAAGCGTTTCGTCCAGATCTAATACGAGTGTTTTGCCTTTGTAGTACTGTAGTCCTTTTTGAAGTGTAGTGTTCTTCTTTGTGGCTATTGACTTGTTTAATAAGAAAAGAGACTGAAGGTATTTTAGAAGAAAGGAAAAGAATTGGTATATTTGTTGAAAAAGTAGCGGGCTAGTATTGTTGTTGTTGGAGTTGTTCGAGTTATTGATACTACCAGTTACGGTAGCTTTAGGCATTATGTAAAGGTAAAGAGAAGAAAAGGGAAAAAGAACGAATACCAATTTACGAATTATTAACTGATTTTTGACTGTCTTTTTTTCTCTCTTTCGTCTTGCCTGTTATTTTCCCTCTGAAAAAGTTGCTAAGAGAGGATTCTTTGTATGTGTATTTGTTTGTTTATAAAGACAATAGCAATCCCTTTAAAACCACAAGGGTGTTTTTTCTTTTTGCTTGATTTTTCTACATAATCCTCGTTTTCTAGATTAGGTTACAAAATGACGAAGGACTTGCTTGACAAAATGACACAAACCAACCTGACTTCATTTTTTTAATGCTATTAAAAAACAAACCATCATGAACATCCCATGTGCTTTACTTTCATTTCTCTCGAGTATCAAACGCAAAATGAGAACACAAGAGGCTGAAAAAATATATTTACATTGTAAAATTGCAACCTTTTGTTGCTCTCATGTTGGCAAAAAAAAAAAAAAACTCAACAGAAATGAATAGATTATTGTAGGAATGTCATTTTCTCTTTCTCGGATTTGTCCAAGTCGAAAAGCAGCCAAGAAAACTCTTTTTATCTTTCTTGGTTGGTATTGCTTTGGCTTTAGAAAACTTGTGTACCAGACTCAAACACAAACCACAAGTATATAGTTTTAAATTAGCTTCAGTTGCAAAGCCTCTTTTTATCGCTTTATGCAAAAAAAAAAAAAAAAAAAAAAAAACTTGTGTGATAATCAAATATTTCGGAAAAAGAAAACTAACCATGCGTCATTTGATAAATGCAATAACATTTCTTTTTAATTCAATACAACCTTGTGTTTTATTTAAACTGTTAGACAAGACTTGAAACAAACTTGTGTATGTGTTGTCAAAAGACCAAGAACCAAAGTCCAAAAGCCTTCACCAGACACTTTAACACATGATACCATTTAGACATTTGATTTAAAGTTTGAGGTTTACCGTATTCAAGTCACAAAGTTTACAATGACATATCGGAATCGTTGAATGATATAATTATCAAGTAAGCAATCATTTTCAATCGACAACTGGTACCAGTCCATAAAGTATGTCTTTATGAAGCTTATAGACAATCCCTGTATCACAAATGAACAAGCTCATTGCGTTTTGTTAAAACGAACGATTAAACAAAAAAGTCTTTTGATCAACACTACGCTTTTTTTTATGACTAAAAAAGGAAATAATAGTAATGGTTAAAGTTTCGAGCAAATAAATAGTGTACACAAATACTCATTTCCCCTTTCTCTCTTTTTTCCTCCTTCTATTCATGTCTCCCTTTACACATCTTTTTGTCTCCAAAAGTCGTAAAGTAAACTTTGAATTATCACTGATTATAAGAGACTTGATGAATGTACCTCTTGTCAGCGGATATTATTATGTCAACTGGAAATTGAAAAACGCCTCATATACAACAGGAACAACAGCAAGGTAAATTCGAATTTACTCGGTGATTTCTTGAGCTAACAGTCGACAGAGTGCATATTCAAGATCACCAAGTGACATGGAATCACCCTATCAATACAATGATTCAACTTATTATCAATAAACAGCAAGTACTCGGCAGTTGTGAGCTCAAACTCGAAGTCTTTCAAAAAGGCGGCAAAGAGATCGGTTCACTAAGCATCAATTTATCAGAATACGCTGGATTGGGAGTAATGACAGAGCGTTATTTACTCGAAAACTGTAAATTTAATTCGACAATCAAGGTACATATTGGCTTTGTGGTAGATTCCATTTATTAAATTGCCCTTGTATCACAACATGCAAACCAATATTAGCTATCATTACGAATGAATACTAAACCCGATGCCATGTCTCAATTTCAAACGTAAGGAATACAGCCCATATGCTCACATACTCATTTCAGCATAGGCCTCCACTCTCGAGAAAGCAAATCTTTAAAGATATTCCTACACTGGTACATGAAAGAAAAGAATCAAGCAAGAAATCCCAGACACATACAACAAAATTAGCTCCACCTGCACCTTTAAATCTTCGAAAATCTCAATCCGTCATGTCATTAGTAAGTAAATAAGACATAGCAGGATTTTTTCTTATTAATTCTGGCTTTATTTAGCCAAGGTACTGTAAAATACAAAGTTCTTTAGAAGAACCTTCACCCATTGATGTAGTGGAAAATCTCTTTGCTGTCAAAGCATCATAGTTGTATTTGATTGGCCATGTAATAAAAGTCACAGTTCAAACTAATTTTTTTATGAGCTGCGTCGTTGCTGTCGTAGCATCGAATCTTTTTTTTTTTCTTTTCTTTTTCTTTTCAAACCATACACGAGAACAACCCATTTTTCTTTCTCTTTGTTTCTTGTAAATAATCCATAAGCAGCCAATTTGTATTAGGTACATAAAGAAAGACACGTTACAACAAAAAAATTCATTACTTTTAGGTTATAAGAGACATCATAAAAAGAAATTCTCAACATGGCTAGTGATGGTTCAGAAATGCCTATTCCAGTAGGTGGAGTACCTTCTGCTTATTCTGATCAATATGATCAATATGCATACGAATCAAATCCTCAAACCGAAAAAAGCCACGAAGATAAATTAAAAGAAAAAGCCAGAAAATGGCAACAATTACAAAACAAACGTTATGGCGAAAAGAGAAAGTTTGGTATGAATCGATGATGTTTAAAAAGAAACAAATAACCAACATACAATAATAGGTTTTATTGAACACGAAAAGGCTGAAATGCCTCCTGAACATCTTCGTAAAATCATCAAGGATCACGGTGATATGACAGCAAAGAAATTCAGACACGACAAGCGTATTTATCTTGGTGCACTTAAATACGTTCCTCATGCCGTTCTTAAATTGTTGGAAAACATGCCCATGCCTTGGGAACAAGTTAGAGAAGTTAATGTCTTGTATCACATTACAGGTGCCATTACTTTTGTAAATGAAATCCCCTGGGTTATTGAGCCAGTCTATATTGCTCAATGGGGTTCTATGTGGATCATGATGCGTAGAGAAAAACGTGATAGAAGACACTTTAAGCGTATGCGTTTCCCTCCTTTCGATGACGAAGAACCTCCTCTTGATTATGGTGATAATATTATGGATGTTGAACCTTTGGAAGCTATTCAAATGGAATTAGACGAAGACGAAGATAATGCTATTTTCGACTGGTTTTATGATAATAAGCCCTTAGTTGATACCAAATTTGTCAATGGTCCTACTTATCGTCAGTGGCGACTTGATTTGCCCATCATGTCTACCTTGTATCGTATCGCCAATCAACTCCTGTCTGACCTTACTGACAAAAACTACTTTTATCTTTTTGATCTCAATTCTTTCTTTACTGCAAAGGCTTTGAGTATGGCCATTCCCGGTGGCCCTAAATTTGAACCTTTGTACCGTGATATGGATACTGCTGACGACGATTGGAACGAATTTAACGACATTAACAAAATCATTATCCGTCAACCCGTTCGTACTGAATACAAGATTGCTTTCCCCTTCTTGTATAATTCTCTTCCTCGCAGTGTGAAGGTTGCCTGGTATCATTACCCTGCCGTCGTGTATGTCAAGACTGAAGATCCTGATCTTCCTGCTTATTATTTTGATCCCATCATCAACCCCATTTCTTCTCGCACTGTTGACTCTGCAGGAACAAAGCATGAAGATGAAATCTTTGGTGATGCTGAGGAAGACACCGAATTTACACTCCCTACTCATGTTGTCCCCTTCTTGGAAGAGACAGAACTTTATACTGAAAATACATCTAATGCCATTGCACTCTATTGGGCTCCTCATCCATTTGATAAGCGATCTGGTCGTACTCGTCGTGCTCAAGATGTACCTCTTGTCAAGAGTTGGTATTTGGAACATTGTCCTCCTGGCCAACCTGTCAAGGTTCGTGTGTCTTACCAGAAATTGCTTAAATGCTATGTCTTGAATGCTCTTCATCACCGCCCTCCCAAGGCCCTTAACAAAAAATACCTTTTCCGTAGTCTGAAGGCTACTAAATTCTTCCAAACAACACAAATTGACTGGGTCGAAGCAGGTCTTCAAGTCTGTCGACAAGGTTATAACATGCTCAACTTACTTATTCACAGAAAGAACCTTAATTATCTTCACCTTGATTACAACTTTAACTTGAAGCCTGTCAAGACATTGACAACTAAAGAAAGAAAGAAGTCTCGTTTTGGTAATGCCTTCCACTTGTGTAGAGAAATCTTGCGTCTCACAAAACTCATTGTCGATGCTCATGTTCAATACCGTCTTGGTAACGTTGATGCTTTCCAATTGGCTGATGGTCTTCAATATATCTTTGCTCACGTTGGTCAATTGACTGGTATGTATCGTTACAAGTACCGTTTGATGAGACAGATCCGTATGTGTAAGGATTTGAAGCACTTGATCTATTACCGTTTCAACACCGGCCCTGTTGGCAAAGGTCCTGGTGTGGGTATTTGGGCTCCTGGTTGGAGAGTCTGGCTTTTCTTTATGCGTGGTATTGTGCCTTTACTTGAACGTTGGTTAGGTAATTTGCTCGCTCGTCAATTCGAAGGTAGACACAGTAAGGGTATTGCCAAGACTGTCACAAAGCAACGTGTCGATTCTCATTATGATTTGGAATTAAGAGCTGCTGTTCTTCACGATATCATGGATGCTATGCCTGAAGGTATTAAGGGCAACAAGTCTCGTACAATTCTTCAGCATCTTTCTGAAGCCTGGAGAGCTTGGAAGGCTAACATTCCTTGGAAGGTGCCTGGTATGCCTGTTCCTATTGAAAACATGATTTTGCGTTATATCAAGGCTAAGGCTGATTGGTGGACAAGTGTTGCTCACTATAACCGTGAACGTATCAGAAGAGGTGCTACTGTCGACAAGACTATCTGTCGTAAGAACTTGGGTCGTTTGACCCGTCTCTGGCTTAAGGCAGAACAGGAGCGTCAACACAACTATCTCAAGGATGGTCCTTATATTACTGCTGAAGAAGCTGTTGCTATCTACACCTCCACTGTTCACTGGCTTGAAAGCAGAAAGTTCTCACCTATTCCCTTCCCTCCTCTTTCTTACAAGCACGATACAAAGCTTCTTATTCTTGCACTTGAACGTCTTCGTGAAGCTTATTCAGTCCAAGGTCGTTTGAATCAAAGTCAAAGAGAAGAATTGGGTCTTATTGAACAAGCCTATGATAATCCTCATGAAGCACTTTCTCGTATCAAGCGTCTCTTATTGACTCAGCGTGCATTCAAGGAAGTTGGTATTGAATTCATGGATCTCTACTCTCACTTAATTCCTGTCTATGACATTGAACCTCTTGAAAAAATCACTGATGCTTATCTTGATCAATACCTTTGGTACGAAGCCGACAAGCGTCATCTTTTCCCTGCATGGATTAAGCCCTCTGACTCTGAACCCCCACCATTGTTGGTCTACAAGTGGTGTCAAGGTATCAACAACTTGACAGATGTCTGGGATACCACAGAAGGTCAATGTAATGTTATGATGGAGACTTCTTTCAGTCGTGTCTATGAAAAGATTGATTTGACTCTCTTGGGTCGTCTCTTGCGTCTTATTCTCGATCACAACTTGGCTGATTATGCTACTGCCAAGAACAACGTTGTATTGAGCTACAAGGATATGAACCATGTCAATGCTTTTGGTCTGATCCGTGGTCTTCAATTTGCCTCGTTCATCTTCCAATACTATGGTCTTGTTTTGGATCTTTTGGTTTTGGGTCTTCATCGTGCCAGTGAAATGGCTGGTCCTCCTCAATTGCCCAACGATTTCTTGCAATACCGTGATGTGGATACCGAGACGCGTCATCCCATTCGCTTGTATTCTCGTTACATTGACAAGATTCATATCTTCTTCCGTTTCTCTGCAGATGATGCCCGTGATCTCATTCAACGTTACTTGACGGAACATCCCGATCCCAACTTTGAAAACATTGTTGGCTACAATAACAAGAAATGCTGGCCCCGAGATTGTCGTATGCGTCTCATGAAGCATGATGTCAACTTAGGTCGTGCTGTCTTTTGGGATATCAAGAACCGTCTTCCTCGTTCTTTGACCACCATTGAATGGGATACTAGTTTTGTCAGTGTCTATTCCAAGGACAATCCAAACTTGCTTTTCAGTATGTGTGGTTTCGAGGTCCGTATCTTGCCCAAGATCAGAAGTATGAACGAGGAATTCACTCTCAAGGATGGTGTTTGGAACTTGGTAAATGAACAAACCAAAGAAAGAACTGCCCAAGCCTACTTGCGTGTTGACCAAGAATCTATGGACCGCTTCCACAATCGTATTCGTCAAATCTTGATGGCCTCAGGTTCTACTACCTTCAGTAAGATTGCCAACAAGTGGAATACTGCTTTGATCGGTTTGATGACATACTACCGTGAAGCTGTTGTTCATACCCGTGAATTGCTTGATTTGCTTGTCAAGTGTGAAAACAAGATCCAGACTCGTGTCAAGATTGGTCTTAACTCCAAAATGCCTTCTCGTTTCCCTCCTGTTGTGTTCATGACACCCAAAGAACTTGGTGGTCTCGGTATGCTTTCTATGGGTCATATCCTTATCCCTCAATCTGATTTGCGTTGGTCCAAGCAAACCGAAACAGGCATCACTCACTTCCGTTCAGGTATGAGTCATGATGAGGACGCGCTTATTCCCAACTTGTATCGTTACATTCAATCTTGGGAATCTGAATTTGTTGATTCTCAGCGTGTTTGGGCTGAATATGCCTTGAAGCGTCAAGAAGCTAATGCTCAAAACAGAAGATTGACCTTGGAAGACTTGGAAGACTCTTGGGATCGTGGTATTCCTCGTATTAACACCCTATTCCAAAAGGACAGACACACTCTGGCTTATGACAAGGGCTGGCGTGTACGTACTGATTTCAAGCAATACCAAGTCTTAAAGAACAACCCATTCTACTGGACTAGTCAAAGACATGATGGTAAACTCTGGAATTTGAACAACTACCGTACCGATATGATTCAAGCACTTGGTGGTGTTGAAGCTATTCTTGAGCACACCTTGTTTAAGGCAACTGCTTTTACCTCTTGGGAAGGTCTGTTCTGGGAACGTTCATGTTTCTCAGCTGATACAAAGCTGTTGATGCACAATCTTAGCGTCAAGACTGTTGCAGAACTGAAGGTTGGTGATGTCTTGATGGGCGATGATTCCACTCCAAGAAACGTCTTGAAGGTCTCCGAAGGTTTCTCTCCTTTGTACAGAATTAAGTCAGGCAACACTGAAGATTTGATCGTTACAAGCAACCACATTCTTTGCTTCCGATACAAGAAGACTGTACGAATTGGTTGGAGTGAACAAAAGCAATCCTACATTGTCCGTTGGTTGAATAAGGAAGGTGAAGAAAGACAACGTAGCTTCTTCAACAAGTACTCTCAAGAAGAAGCTATCAAATTCTATGAATCTTTGCTTGCTGATACTTCTCTTCCCAAGAAGGGCGACATTGTAGAAATGACTGTTAAGCAATACAACGGTATGCTTTCATCAGCCAAATCTTGGATTCATATGTACAAGGAACCATTGGAACTCGAAGCAAAGGAAGTCTCAAGCGATCCCTATTTCATGGGTCTTTGGTTGGGCAATGACAATGAAGAGCCTGTTGCTGATTTCTTGCACAAACATGCTGAAGCATTGTCTTTGCGTGTGTCCATGACTGAAGGTACCCTTTCCTACAGTGTTGTAAACAAGAAGGATTCCGATGTCTCTCTTGTTGAGGCTTCTGATATGACTGCTCCTATGTTGTCTCCTTCTTTGTCTGTTGCTTCAACTTTGTCTGATTTTGCCACTCCTCCATCATCTCCCTTGTTGGATAGCTTTAGCTTAGACGCTACTGAGAGAAGTAACGATGGCTCTGTCTCTTTGGATGAACACTTGACGCCTTTGGCTCTTTCTAATGAATCTGAAAAGGAAAATGATGCTCTCGTCTTATCTGAAGCAGCTTCATTTGAAGAAGTTATTGATATTGAAGATTGGAATGATATCGACTATTTTGAAGACGTCCTTGATGGTTCTGTGTATAGCCAAAATGTATATACTGAAGTTGTGTATGAAGACCAAGATAAAGAAAAGACACGCTTTACTCAACAGTTGCTTATGGATAAGAATTTCTGCGAGAGCCTTGGCTCAGATAAATCTGCCAACGACAAGGTTCACAGATTAAAGATTGCTCTTGGAAAGCTGTCTGCTACTCCCACCGACCGCAAGCAAATTCCTAATGACTACAAGTATAATACTAGAGAAGTACGTTTGTTGGTCCTTGCTGGTCTCTTAGACACTGACGGACGCTATGATGTTGAAAACAGTAGCTACACTTTCACTCAAGCTGAAAAGTCACACAAAGACTTATTTGAGGATACTGTCTGGCTTGCTAGAAGTCTTGGTTTTACAGTTCACACTCAAAGAGACAAACAAACCAGTACTCTTCCTACCGGTAAGCCAGTCATTGAATGGTGTTTGACTGCTGCTATCTTTGGCGACTTGGAAGAAATTCCTTGTTTGCTTCTTCGTAAACAAGCTCCACAAAGAAAGATTTCACAAAATTACCGTGTGTCTGAAATCACATCAGTAGAGTTAGAAGCAGTTCAGAAATACTATGGCCCCATTGTCGATGGTAATCAACGTTTCTTCAGACATGATTATTTGGTTGTACACAATTCTGGTTTTGAAGCCAGTATGCAAGCCAAGAAGCTTACCAATGCCCAAAGATCAGGTTTGAACCAAATTCCTAACCGTCGTTTCACATTGTGGTTCTCAAACACGATCAATCGTGCTAATGTGTATGTGGGTTTCCAAGTCCAACTTGATTTGACCGGTATTTTCATGCACGGTAAGATTCCTACCCTCAAGATTTCTCTTATCCAAATTTTCCGTGCTCACTTGTGGCAAAAGATCCACGAAGCATTAACCATGGATTTTGCTCAAGTGTTTGATCGTGAATTGGAAGCGCTTCAAATCGAAACTGTTCAGAAAGAAACGATTCACCCTAGAAAGTCTTATAAGATGAATTCCTCTGCTTCTGATATCTTGTTGTTTGCTGCCTACAAATGGCCTGTGTCTCGTCCTTCACTCTTGAACGATCCCAAGGATGTGATGGATGGTCCTACTACCACCAAGTACTGGCTTGATATCCAATTGAGATGGGGTGACTTTGACTCGCACGATATCGAAAGATACACTCGTGCCAAGTTCTTGGATTACACGACAGATAACATGAGTATCTATCCTTCACCTACTGGTCTTATGGTCGGTATTGATTTGGCTTACAACTTGTACTCTGCTTATGGTAACTGGATCCCTGGTATGAAGCCTCTTGTTCAACAAGCTATGTCCAAAATCATGAAGGCCAATCCTGCTCTTTACGTACTTCGTGAACGTATCAGAAAGGCACTTCAATTGTACTCTTCTGAACCTACCGAACCTTACTTGTCTTCTACCAACTACGGTGAGTTGTTCAGTAACCAGATTATCTGGTTTGTCGATGATACGAATGTGTACCGTGTCACTATTCACAAGACGTTTGAAGGTAACTTGACTACCAAGCCTATTAACGGTGCTATCTTTATCTTCAACCCTCGTACGGGTCAATTGTTCTTGAAGATTATTCACACCTCTGTCTGGGCTGGTCAGAAGCGTTTGGGTCAATTGGCCAAGTGGAAGACTGCTGAAGAAGTAGCTGCTTTGATTCGTTCATTACCTGTGGAAGAACAACCCAAGCAGATTATTGTCACAAGAAAGGGTATGTTGGATCCTTTGGAAGTCCATTTACTTGATTTCCCCAACATTGTGATCAAGGGTTCTGAACTTCAATTGCCTTTCCAAGCCTGTCTTAAGGTTGAAAAGTTTGGTGATTTGATTCTTAAGGCTACTGAACCTCAAATGGTTTTGTTCAACTTGTACGATGACTGGCTCAAGAGCTTCTCTTCATACACTGCTTTCTCTCGTTTGGTGCTCATTTTGCGTGCTTTGCATGTCAACACTGAAAAGACAAAGTTGATCTTGCGTCCTGACAGAAGCACGATCACTGAACCTCATCATATCTGGCCTACACTGTCTGATGAAGAATGGGCAAAGGTTGAAGTTCAATTGAAGGACTTGATCTTGGCTGACTATGGTAAAAAGAACAATGTCAACGTTGCTTCCCTTACCCAATCCGAAATCAGAGATATTATTTTGGGTATGGAAATCCAAGCTCCCTCTTTACAACGTCAACAGATCGCAGAAATTGAAAAGCAAACCAAGGAACAATCTCAATTGACAGCTGTCACTACCAAGACACGTAACATTCACGGTGATGAAATGATTGTGACCACCACCAGTAATTATGAACAAGCAACTTTCTCTAGCAAGACTGAATGGCGTATTCGTGCCATCTCTGCTACCAACTTGCATTTGAGAACAAACCATATTTATGTTAACTCCGACGAGATCAAGGAAAACACGTACACTTATGTTATGCCCAAGAACGTCTTGAAGCGATTCATCACCATTTCCGATCTTCGTACTCAAATTGCTGGTTTCATGTATGGTGTCAGTCCTCCTGATGCTCCCAATGTCAAGGAAATTCGTTGTATTGTCATGCCTCCTCAATGGGGTACGCATCAAACTGTTCACTTGCCCAACACACTTCCTGAACATGAGTATTTGCAAGACATGGAACCTTTGGGTTGGATCCACACTCAGCCTCAAGAATTGATGAACATGTCTGCTCAAGATGTCACGACACATGCCAAGATATTGGCTGCCAACAGAAACTGGGATGGTGAAAAGACCATCACTCTCACTTGTTCTTTTACGCCTGGTTCTTGTTCATTGACTGCCTACAAATTGTCTCCTGCTGGTTTCGAATGGGGTAAGAACAATGTGGATCCTGGAAGTCAACCTCAAGGCTACTTGCCCACTCATGGTGAAAAGGTTCAAATCTTGTTGTCTGACCGATTCCTTGGTCACTTTATGGTACCTTCTGAAACTTGGAACTATAACTGTAAGTTTATTTTATTTTATTTTGTAATAGATTGACTCATTTTCTTCATGATTAGTTATGGGTGCTCAATTCAGTGCTAGCATGAACTATAGACTTGTATTGGATGTTCCTAAGGAATTCTACCATGAATCTCATCGTGCTGCCCACTTTATGAACTTTAGTAGTGAAACAGAAGTTGCAGCTGAAGCTGATATTGAAGATTCTTTTGCTTAAGAATAAAAAGTATATTATGTATCCATAAAAAAAAAACATTTGTTTAATGAGTATTTACAAAAAGAAAAATGATCCGCTTTCTACAGATGATACTATTTATGTCTTGTCAGGTCTAGCAACAACAGTTTCAAGCTTATCACCAAGCTTCACAAATGTATGACGCAGCACACGAGTATCCACAGAAAGCTTCTTGCTCAATTCTTGAACAATAAGAGGATTGGCATCAAAATGCATGGCCCAATATCTATCTATCTCAGTCAGCAATCTACACATCCAAATTTGTCAACTTGCCTTCCATCAGTGAAATATTCTTGGTGTCGCTTGATTCTATGGGGAATCTTCATGTCACCCCAGTTGTCAAAACCACGAACAACACCACCACGGTTAATGACTTGCTTTGCTGAAGACTTTAAAAGATCTTTCAAATTACTCTAATAATTTTTTTTTTGTAATTTAGTTGTGTGTATCCATCAATTCGAAATCATACCTCGACAATGTTGTGACGAGCTATGCAAACAAGTTCGTAGAAAGGCATTTTGTAAAGAAAGAAAGAAAAAAAAGGAACCTCTTTTGCCCCCGGGAAACCTTTTTTTTCCAAACGAAAAAATAGTCACGACATTTGAAATGCTGATTTCGGAGTGAAAATGCCAATAGCAGTTGACATTGCAATTCATCATAAACAGGAATCAATGATAGTTTAAATACGATGGACCTGTTCTTCTTCTTTCTATTTCTTTCGCTTTATTTTATCATGTATACTATACCATTTTTCTTCTTTTATCTCTTTACATATGCTGCATGTTCCCCTGTCTTATCAAGATTCTTTAATAGTATAGGTTGCACAAGATCAATCCACCAAGACCTTGATCCTATGCAAGCCTTTAATCCCAATTTAAACAACAGCATGATGTTTGGTAGGTTTATTGACTGTATTCTGTCTTTCTCACAAGTTGCGCATCTAAGGTTACATTTACAGCATGAAGAGCTCAGGTGTTGACATTGACTCTGATATTGAGATTAAAAATATAGCAACCGAATGGCTTCCGCTCAATGCAATGGCTTTATTGACTAGTATCTCATTTGACGAACCAACCGCAAGACTGGTGGTAAGTGGACGTATCAGTGCTCTCAATCGAGATAAATTGGCCATGGCAGCACGCGATATGACCTCAGTCAATCTTCATTTTGGCACATTTGCTTTTGACAAATCCAAGCATTCATGGTACAGTAGCTTTAAACATGGCAACAAGGGTATATCAGGCACTCTACAGAAACTGCAACTCATTCAACAATTTGGACGAGGCAGTCATCACCAAGAATTTCTGATGGAAATCACTCCATCACAAAAGGGAGAATATTTCAAGTATAGAGCAAGTGATCAAGGCCACCAAGATATTCGTTGGGATGGTAAATACAAGAATAAGTGTAGTATGGGACTCGTTTTTAATAACAGAGGCAAAGACTATCTGGACGAGCTTGTTGAAAGTACTATCTTGTTGTAAATAAACAAAATATTTTTGTGTTGTCTATTTCCATTTCAAGGTTTTATTGATATATGCTCTTTTTTTTTTTTTTTTTTTTACAACTATGCATACATATTTGTTATGAAAGTCAGAGCGTAGGTGCACTCGGCATAAAAAGGGTTGATAAATGCCTATGCAAACGATATCGCGAAGCGGCACTTAAATATAAAATGATTCAAGATGTGAACAATCAAATAAAGAAAAGGGGAACGATTGAGAAGCACTCAATACAGTTGCACAAATTAATTATAAGAGACTTCAACATGGGTCTCAAATAAACAAGGACCTAATTTGAATATGACAACATTCTCTTATTTAATTAACCATACCATTGTCAGCAATGTTTACCAGAGAACAGGCGAGAGAAAGGAAGGGGGGAGGGAGGCTAATTTTCTCATAATGACCAGTAAATAGGACAATCTCCGTTGTTGTTTCCTGCGCCTCCTTCTCCTTCAAACAACTGAGTTTCAATTATCATTTTGAATCTCTTTCTTTACTTTTTTTCTTCTTCTCTACACTATCAATAACAACAACAAAAAAAAAGCATTTATCTACACTATTTATATGTTCATTTAATTCCTAATCAATATCATGAATTCACAGACTAGAAAAAGAAACAGAAGTAAGAGCTGGGAAAAAGAATTTTACAAGAATGGCTATCCTTCAGAAGTGATTGTGATCTCTGATTCACCAACACCTACTCCTCCTCCTTCATTACCCAACACTTCATCTTCCTCATCAAGTAGTAATGAATATGGCTATACAACAAAGAAACAGGCATACTCATTCCAACAACTCGATCTCAAAAGACAGAAATATACCAACCATGATAATTTGATAAATCAAAGTAAGTAATACTTGTATAATATGTTATTGAACTAGGGGAATCATAGATATCATGGCCTTTCATTTATTTCCAAACCAAATGTATTTACCTCCATTACCGCCATTACCTCAACATAATAATAATACAAAACCTATTGCCAAAAACACATCAAAATTACTCTCTATAACTAATACTTCTTTATTACCAGCACCTGCACCAATAGCAGAGGTAATTGTCGCTTGTTTTTCGTTTTGTTTTTTTATATTAATCATACCCTGACAGCTACCTTGTGATGATCAGGACGGCCATTATATTGTTAGACCGAATGAGTCACTCACCAAACAATGTAAGTTTACTGTGTTTGTTGACGAAGTTTGGACTTAATGTGATAGATAAAATCATGAGGCTCTTGGGTCAGGGCACGTTTGGCAAAGTAGTGGAATGCTTTGACCGAGTACGCAGAACATTTTGTGCCATCAAGATCATTCGTGCTATTCCCAAATATAGAGATGCAAGTAAAATTGAAATTCGAGTCTTAAATACCTTGAAACAACATGACCCTTTGAACCTCAAGTAAGATATATATAGAGAGAGACTATATAACTCATTCTAATAGCAAATGCATTCATTTGATTGAATGGTTTGATCACCGAAATCATATCTGTATGGTGTTTGAACTTTTAGGGCAATCTGTGTTTGATTACCTCAAATCGAATCAATTCAAACCATTCCCTCAAAGCCAAATTCAACAACTCGCTAAACAATTGTTGACCAGTGTAGCGTTTATTCATGATCTCAAACTAGTACATACGGACCTAAAACCCGAGAATATCCTGCTGGTGAATTCAGAGCTCGACAAGACAGATATTCGTCTGATTGATTTCGGTTCTGCTACATTTGAAAAAGACTATCACTCAGCCGTGGTCTCTACGCGTCACTATCGTGCGCCTGAAATCATATTAGGCATAGGCTGGTCCTATCCATGTGACTTGTGGTCGATTGGCTGTATTTTGGTCGAGTTTTTTACGGGTGATGCGCTGTTTCAGACGCATGATAATCTAGAGCATTTGGCTATGATGTTCTGTGTATTAGGACACTTGCCAAAGCATTTGGTCTTAGCTGCTAGTAAAGAAGCCCAAAAGTTCTTTGACAAGAATACAAAGAAATTGCGATATTCTATCAACAAGATCACACGTCAAAGTAAACGGTATCCTAGTGGATTAAAACCACTTGATGTAAGTCAAAAGATTTCTCAGCGTATGTGTAACTTACCTCTTTATAGGAAATTATTCCTGCTACAAATCTTCATAATACTTACTTGTTAGATCTTTTAAAGAAGTTACTGGTCTATGAACCAAGTGAGCGTATTTCTGCCCGTGAAGCACTTCGACACCCCTTTTTTCAAGTTACTTTTTGATATAAAAATCCATGGCTATTTATTGGTGCAGATGTTTCAAACAGCCCTTAAATTCCGCCTTTTCATCACACAAACACACACACACATATATATATATATATATAAATTCCTATAAATATAGAATGTTTTTTTTTTACTTGTTATTGTGTGAGAGTGAGCTACGAGTGAGTGTGTGAGTGTGTGAGTGTGTGTGCGTGTGTTTGACTGTATATACTTGTCAAGTGTGTCTTTTATCATGAACGCACTTATTGCACTTCTTCACTTTTGCGAAGTCCATGGCCCCTGTGTTGTTTATTGTACACAAGCTATTCATAACACCACTAAATCATTGGAAGATATACATATACCCCCCCTCAAGACACAGCCTATACCTATTGCGCGACCTGTTCATCACCAACCTCAAGCATCGTCTATTACTTCTTGTTCTACTACACCTTCTTCCCTAAGAAAAAACTCCCTTTCTTCACTTACAACGACCTCAAATACAACCTCTAGTTGTGCTGCCTGTACAGCACAACTCCCACTTGTCAATACAGGTCAAGGCATCACAGAAGCTAAACGATTGGTCACATTGGATCAAGATGACCCTTCCATTCAATATATTGGTACTACCAAGTCACCTCAGCAGCCTCATCTCTATAAAGCAGTGCGTATGGCGTGTGTCCGTAGTTTGACGGCTGAGTTTTGTCAGGGTCGAGATGGTCCTGTCTTGTTTGGTGATGACGAAAATGGATATGTCATGAGCTACATGTTTAAATTGAGAGACTCACAAGCAAGAGGAGAAGCCAGGTTTTATTCATTGATCATGCTCATGACAGATAGAGTGTATTTGATCTCTTGTTGGCCATTTCTTGTCAGGTACAGTCTCCTGTTTGTCTATATATACAGCATCTAACATGATCCTTTCTAGTGCTTTTCGTTCAATGGCGTTGAATCTTCAAGAACGAGCGAATATGGTCTTTCAAAGAGAAAAAGAAGGCATGCGACATTCTGTTGCTAATAGTAATCGACGAACACCTATGTCATCTCAAGGTAAAAAAAAAAAAAAAAGACAGTGGTTGAATTTTATCTTATATATTGTGTAGATCAATTTTATCGAAGAAGGAGTCATACTGCACTTAGGTCATTAGTGGATTTGCTTGGGATTAAAGTAAGTTCCATACAAAGTAAGACTGCTTGATTCACCCTTCCCTCCTTTCCATGCAGGACATTTATGCTCAAATCCAAGCACAATTTAGCTATACGCTCAAGTTATCTTCAAGAAAAAGAATGGAGAAATTGACACAGGGTAGAAGAGAAAGTCCACTTTATGCAAAATTAGTAAGTCATTGTCTTTTGTATTCTATACTCACCTTTGATATTAGAAAGCAGAATATCAACAGAAAAAGCAAAATGCAACAACCTGATACAACGTCACAAATCTAATAGGCTTCTTTTTCACACACACGCACACGCATATATCATAGAATTCCCTTTTTTTCTTTCTTATTAAAATGCTAGTATTCACTATCTTACTTTATTGTGTTGGCTTGTTAGCTGCTGTTAATGCAATAGAACAGTCTGTAGAAGCTGCTGCTCATTTAACAAGAAGAATAGTAGCAGACTCAGGTATCATTGCAAATATGTGTCTGCATGCCTTTAACTGTGGTCTATATAGGCAGAGGACATATCTTGACATTGATGGACTCTTCAGTGTCTAATGAGTTGAGTGGGTTTCCATTTGGTATTATGGAATACTATAGTGTTGAATGCACAAAGGAGACAGGCAATTTATTGTTGTTCATGTCAGATCTACAGGTCTGCGCCTATATAGACAAAATTGTTTCGATAACTTATCGGTCTGTTTGTAGTTGAGTGCTCGAAATATGCACCAAAACCCTGATCAAATGGCATTCACAATCACTGCTTTAAAAGACTATAATGTCTATTATGGAAACCGTTCAACGCCTGTTCAACAACCTCGCTTTACATTATTTGGACATACTACTCGTATACCTGAATCTAAAGTAAGTAAGGCAGATAAGCACACTAAATTAAATGTCTGTCTATATAGTCTAAATTGGCTATGAATTGCTTTTTTCAAACACATCCGGAAGCAAGACTATGGTAAGTTATGCGTAGTAAATACTCGTCTACTCAATCATTTATGCAAGGAATTCTTTTCATGATTTTCGGTTTTATGAGTTCCATGTAGAGAAGATTTACTATATAGGTGGGTTTGGTGGTTTAAACTATATTGGCTGGATTCCTGTGGACCTATACAGAACAGCCTCATTGTCTCTTTTAAGACAATCTTGAAAAACACCGCTAAAACAAAACTCCCCCAAAAAGAAGCTTGCTTTTTTCGTGACTGAAATTCCCCTTGTTTTCCCGACTTTTTTTCGATTAAAAAACTCTTAAATTCTTTTTTTTTTGCTGGCCTTTTCTTTTCTTTTCTTCTTTTGTTTCCTAAACATGTTTAGACTTGCTGCTACCAAGACTCCTTTAGCAAACGTAATAAGCACTTGAATCATTTGATGTAAGCTTACATTTTATTAGATTGCTGCACGCAACGCTGCTGTGAAGACTGCCCGTCCTTTTGCCAACAGTTTCTATCGTTTCTACAGCACTGGTATGAAATATCACTATGCTTTAAAGTCTTTGATACTCATTGTTCTTTAGAAACTGAATACGATGTTGTTGTTATCGGTGGTGGTCCTGGTGGTTATCCCGCTGCTATTAAAGCTGCTCAACAAGGTCTTAAGGTAAGTGATGGTGGGAAAAAATTAGTTGGGATCTGACATGGACCCCATTAGACTGCCTGTATTGAAAAGCGTGGTTCCTTGGGTGGTACCTGTTTAAACGTTGGTTGTATTCCTTCCAAGGCCATGTTGAACAACTCTCACATCTATCATCAAACTCAACACGATCTCAAGAGCCGTGGTATTGAAGTCTCTGATGTCAAGCTTAACTTGGATAGCATGCACAAGGCTCGTCTTAAGGCTGTTGGTGGTTTGACCAAGGGCGTTGAATTCCTCTTCAAGAAGTACGGTGTTGACTATGTCAAAGGTACTGGTTCATTCAAGACAGCCAATGAAATTGCTGTTGCCGGTTTAGATGGTAAGGAATCTACCCTTAAGGCTAAGAATGTCATCATTGCCACTGGTTCCGAAGTCACTCCTATTCCCGGTATTGAAATCGATGAAAAGAAGATTGTTTCCTCTACTGGTGCTTTGGAATTAGAAAAAGTCCCTAAGAAGATGGTTGTCATTGGTGCTGGTGTCATTGGCCTTGAATTGGGTTCCGTTTGGTCTCGTCTCGGTGCTGAAGTCACTGTGGTTGAATACTTGGATGCCATTGGTGCTGGTATGGACCCTGAATTGGCCAAGAGCTTCCACAAGACATTGACAAAGCAAGGTCTCAAGTTCAAGATGAGCACCAAGGTCAATGGTGCTAAGGTAGAAGGTGATATTGTCAAGGTGGATGTTGAAGCTGCTAAGGGTGGCAAGGCTGAAACTGTAAGTAATTTTAGATGTTTGGCAACTTGTGAATTAACATATATTGATTATTAGCTTGAAGCTGATGCTGTCCTCGTCTCCATCGGTCGTCGTCCCTACACTGCTGGTCTCGGCTTAGAAAACGTTGGTGTTGAACTCGATAACCGTGGTCGTGTTGTCATTGATTCTGAATTCAAGACAAGCGTCCCTAACATTCGTTGTATTGGTGATGTTACTTTTGGCCCCATGTTGGCCCACAAGGCTGAAGATGAAGGTTTTGCCGTGTCTGAAATGATCGCTACTGGTCACGGTCACGTCAACTACGATGCTATTCCTTCTGTCATTTACACACACCCTGAAGTTGCTTGGGTAGGTAAGAACGAAACTCAATTGAAAGAAGAAGGTGTCAAGTACAAGACTGGTAGCTACCCCTTCGTTGCCAACTCCCGTGCTCGTACCAACGATGACACTGATGGTCTTGTCAAGGTCATTACTGATGCTGACACAGACCGTATCTTGGGTGTTCATATCATTGGTCCCAATGCCGGTGAAATGATTGCTGAAGGTGTCTTGGCTATGGAATACAATGCTTCTGCTGAAGATGTTGGTCGTACATGTCACGCTCACCCTACTCTGTCTGAAGCTTTCCGTGAAGCTTGTCTTATTGCTTCCTTTGGCAATGCCATTAACTTTTAATCGTCCCTTCCCTTTTTTTTATTTTGTGTACAATAAACATGATTAACATTCTAAAAAGTCTGCTGTCATTAAAGTCTCTAAAACGACTTCAGGATCCACTTTGAATTCGGGTATTTCTGTTGTGGAGCCTTCGTATTGCCATCTGTAGTAAAGATATCTGCATACAATCTCAAGAATGGCACCTCTGTTTACGACATTAGTAAAAGAGTATATTTATATTGACTTACTTTATATCGCGAAATGTGATTTCATTATCAAGCGATTCTCTAAATTGAACTATGGCTCATGAGTATCTTTGTATCGACTTTTTTCTTTTATTTTTTCTTACCAGGACCACACAACATATTCTTAATAGTACCAGAACGAATAGCAGCTTCACGGTGAATTACAAACTCAAAACCATCACTACTAATTAACTTGACATACTCGGATTCTGCTTTAGACATTCTGTATAAAGTTAAAAAAAAAGCGTAGTTTTTTTTTTTTATTTGCAATCCCTTCGGTATTCAAATGTGTCCTGTCTGAACCGTATCTGTGATTGATTCTCAGACTTTCATGCAAACGAAATTCAACATCACATACTGAAGCGTTGCTAGGCAACTAAAGACATGTTACAACTTGTTAACTCTTGCTCAAGTGAAATAATCTCTCCCTGCCTTTATTATTTACACGCATTGCCAGTTTATTTATTTTTTTCAACTTCTTTACTCTCGTCAACAAGTATTACGTTTTCGCCTTTACAGTATTGTTGCCTCTCACTTAGTTGATTACCTAGTTGGCGCTACTCTTCTATCAAAATAGCTCTGCTTTTATTGATTTTACATCAATTTGATAGAGAAAACTACATACTTGTTGTCAGTTAAAAAAGAAGAAAAGACTTGTTTCTTTTTTGCACTTGTATTTCAACAACACTTGAAGACAATCCCAAACATAGTGCACTGGTATGATGATCTCTTCTTATGCTCGCTTCAGGCCTTACCTGACTCTTGTGTGATCTTGCCCCTTGTGTTGGTATTGTATAAATCCAAGAGAGAATATAGGAATGTCTTCTATGTTGCATATGAGCAATCCTTGTGTTTATTGACACCCACTTTTGTTTCCTTGTGGGTGGACAAAGGGAAAGTAAAGATAGACATAGATGCTTGTATGGTTCTGTTTGTCCGTCTGGTCTTTGACTGGAATTTCTATCTATTCATGGCATCTTTCTTCTTTAGGAGAAAACAGCTATCGGACAGAGTGACGGCAGATGTAAGTCATAGCTCGCTTTTGCTACTGTTATAGTTCTGGCCTTACTTATTTGTGAGGTGTATGCGTCAATGCGGTAGTGAGAGATGTAGCTTATAGTCCATTCAACTCTTCATCAGCATAAACCCTTCGGATATCTAGGAAAGCGTTCTTTTACATAGACTAGGTTTAAGCCTGGTGGCAGTAGTGCTATTTGTTTGAGTAGTGTCTATTCTCGGTAAACTCTCTCTTTATAAGGGAGGCAGCTATCAGACAGAGAATGTGCACTATTTGCAGTACTCATCTATTCATGTATTTGAGTAGACTGTCTCTTATAAGAAGAAAGGCCTGTTCTTATAGAGCGAGTGCTATGTTGCTTTCTAGTGAATTAGTCTATTCAAGACTAGCTGCTTTGGAATCGGAGAATGTGATCACTCTTCAGTCTAGTAACTTCACAAGTATCAATCCTTGAATATTGAAAAAAAAAAAAAAAAAGACTTGAAAGACTATGAATGTTTATTTAGATTGACTATTCAACTAAATAAAGAAGTCTTTTTTGCGTAAAGAGACATTATAGTGAACATATAGAATTTCGATTTATGCTCTGATATAAGCTAAACATGAAAATGATTTTCAAGAGACTGTGTTAAAGTTTCCCTTTTCCCTTTTCTGAAATCTTTTAGATTAAACTTTTATGATCTTCAAAACTCGTTAGGTTGCATGTTTGACTGAGTTCATATGTCTAATGAGCATGACCTTAGAAACTCGCGATTATGTATCTAAAAGCAGATTGTCAGACTTGCTTTTAAATTCGGTTCATCAGGCTCACTAGATCCACCAGATTCACCAGATAAACAAATGCTTCAACAGCGAAAAAAGACAACAATTCATGCAAATTTTCATCTTTTTTTTAGATGAAGGTAGAGTAAAGCCTTTTTATGCACTTGTAAATACTCAAATACCTACAATCTATATTTACTAACATTTATGGTACCTTTGGAGTCGATTTGGACCAAAAAAAAGCGATTTGGAAAAAATGTTCATTTTGACCTCGGATCCAAAGAGTATTAGTTGTGAAATATTGAGCTTGGCAACTCCTTGAGCTTCTTTTTGACGCTACAAGACAAAAAATGAAGCTACCGAAAAGCTTAAATACCCAAAATGTGCGTCAGACGCTATAATTTTTGATGGATGTGTTTGCTTGCCAATTGTGCTATGAAATTAATGAGATATGAACGAAAACCCTTGAGGATATTTTTACCTATTTGCTCAATATTTCGACTGTAATCAGTAGAAAATAGGCCCATTTTAGTAGATGTTGACTAGTAAATGGTCTATCAATTTTGCACCATTCTATCTGCAATATAGCATCGAGCAAATTTGCTAGATACGTCTTTTTTATGTATATATCGGTTTTTGCACTTCTAGTTACAAAGGTGATGCTTATCAGAAAAAAGTGGGGTTTTGATGATCAAACCTACCTCTTTCAAGACATCAATTGTTTATCATGTTCGGAGCTCTTCCTCTTGACTTCAAAAGTGCCAAGTACTATGACATGATTTGCTCGCCTACATCTTGCATAACATGTGGTGTATAGTTGGGAAATTATTCAATGCCAAACATCTACTAAAATGGGCCTATTTTCTACTGATTACAGTGCACAATGAACTTTGATTGCAGTTTTGAAGCAAAGGCTCAAATTGACTCGCTTTTTTGATTTTAGTAGATTCGCTTTCTTTTCATCAGAGGTATCTAGAGACGGTCTTGTCTGATTTCGGTTGGATCAGACCTACATCAGGTCATTCCAAAAATTCCTGATCGAGTTTTTTTTTTTTTTTTTTTTTTTTTTTTCATCTTCACAGACATCCGTGGATCCCCCATAAGTCAAAAACATAAATTTCACAAAACTGTCAAACCAATGGTACCATTCGATTCCTGAGCTTGAAAGAACATGTTTTAAATGAAAAAACGGACTGCTTTGATAGTCTGGTTGTCGAGTAATGATGCATTAAAGAATAGTGCATTTAAGCAGTGCTTTAAGTGTGTTTGCTCTCGACGACATATAAAACCTGTTAGTAATCGATCTATAAGAGATAATATATGCTACTTGGAGAGCCAAAGAACATACAAATATAGAAATATAGGTAGTCTATTATGTAAAGGTAAGGCAAATGAACATAGGATATACAGAACAGCTTGGAGCGGGGTTTAAAACGAAATTATCTCTCATTCTTCATCCTGCATCCAAAAATCGAGCTTTTTTGTGTGGTGATCAGGAGACTGTGTACCATTTCTTCTTTCGCTGCCCCCAAAAATTTCCGTTCTGGGATGCCTTGATCAGAGAATTTCTATGGCCAGGCACCTCTCTGAATCTAGTCTCTGATGCACTTGCATCTTTCAATTTTTCTCGGATTCGGTCTCAAACCAACTGTCCTCTTTCAGTAGCCATGGTAACCTTGATCGGTCTCTCTGAAATCTGGAAGGCCCATTGGACCCATACCATGCAGAACCAACCACTCCATTATCTCTCTGTTCTCCATAGCACTCGCTATCAAATTATGCGTATAGCTGCTGAAAATGACCTTTCATCTTGAGAGGTCTTTTCTCGCAGTAGCTGCTCTTTTTTTTTCTTGATTTCTTTGTTTTTTGAAATTGTAGTACCCTTTTTGTTTCTTTTAATCCTCTTATAATAAATAATTGTCGAGCACCTCTTTTAGTGGGTCCCTCTCGAGACCACTAATACGTGCGGCAAAAATCATTAAAAAAAATCGAGCTTTTGCTGAGAACTGCATGAATACGCAGTTATTTTACTTTGGTGCAGTAACAAAAGCCGTATATATTTGCTTTCTGAGTCTATTGACTTACAAAAGACAGCAAATTTGCTGTCGAAATATTGAGCAAATAGGTAAAAATATCCTCAAGGGTTTTCGTTCATATCTCATTAATTTCATAGCACAATTGGCAAGCAAACACATCCATCAAAAATTATAGCGTCTGACGCACATTTTGGGTATTTAAGCTTTTCGGTAGCTTCATTTTTTGTCTTGTAGCGTCAAAAAGAAGCTCAAGGAGTTGCCAAGCTCAATATTTCACAACTAATACTCTTTGGATCCGAGGTCAAAATGAACATTTTTTCCAAATCGCTTTTTTTTGGTCCAAATCGACTCCAAAGGTACCATAAATGTTAGTAAATATAGATTGTAGGTATTTGAGTATTTACAAGTGCATAAAAAGGCTTTACTCTACCTTCATCTAAAAAAAAGATGAAAATTTGCATCAATACTGAAAATAGCGCAATTTCATTGTAAGAATGAGTTCTTTGCTAAAGGTTAAAGTTGTCATACTGATATATGTCAATAATTCTTTCAGCTAAATAGTTGGAAGTGATAAGAGAGCATTGAATATCTTTAAACCATTTGTTACCTATTCAGAAGCATCTTTTGATGGTTTTGTTCAAAAATACAGTACGACACATTTTGCATGATCTGTGAAACCAGTTATCAAACTAAGATACGAGAAAAAGTCATAAATTGAGCAAGCTCTCTTAAACTTTTAACTTTATAACTTTAGTTAACAAGATAGACTAATATCAATAGCATAATTTGGGGATGCAAAATAATCAACTATCCACTCGTCCCATAACTATAGTCAATTATTTACATCATATGTTTGTTTCTTTAACACACGTTAAACGACTTTTCTTTTTGTACTCATATTTAGTTGAATAGTTTAAAAAATCGTTCCATTTGTCCAAATGTATGTTACACCTGGAACGGCTTAAACTTTTTTGCAAGGTTTTTACCAGTGCTGCATATTTATGAATGAATCTCTAGGCTCCTTATCGTTTAGCCGTTCATGTGCTTTTATTGCGTACATCTGTAGAAAAAATGGTAACTTTTCTATTTTATTCTTTTTATACTGATGACGAGGGCACTTCTTCTCTCTATACTTGATTCGTTGCTGCCTATTTTGCTTTTTTTTCTATCAAGCACTATGCTATTGAAAATCCGGGGAAATAAGAAAGAAGCTAATCAATTGGAACCAACCAGAGTTTTGCCTTTGAGTTTTCATTAATTACCCCACGTTTAACTGGCTTTAAAATGTCGATATGGCGATTGTAGACACTTGAAGTTGTAATACAGGAATCTTTTACATGTTGCTTTTGTACGCTAAAGCAAATGTCATTCCTTTGATAACATAAAAACTGATTTCAGGCTTTGAAGGAATATACATTTATATACGTATGTATAGATCATTATGTAGTTATACAAAATTGCTGGATATTCAAGTTAAACAGGTGCTTTTTAATCAATTGGTCAAAACCCTTGATCAATAAAATTGACGCCTCACTGGATTTCTTTATATTTTATCCGAACTTGAGGCCCCGCGTTGCGTTTCCTGAGTTTTTGACTATATAAAAAGACCGAAGTAGATGAATTTTATTCAATTCTTTTTTCTTGTTTTTCAAACTAGAATAAATCACTATGGCTACTGTCAGTACTGCTTTGAAATCCAGAGTTCGCCGCCCTCAACTCTTGAAGAAGGTCATGAAGGCCGAAGAAACCCTCCAATACTTTAGAGGTGGACAGTAAGTAGCTTATATACGTGCATGCACATAAGATCTAAGCATCTCTTTAGATACCTCGGTTGGTCTGGTTTTACTGGTGTTGGTTACCCCAAGATGGTTCCTCTTGCTTTGGCTGACCATGTTGAAAAGAACAACCTCCAAGGTAAAATGAAGTTCAACCTTTTTGTTGGTGCTTCTGCTGGTGCTGAATGTGAAGATAAGTGGGCTCAACTTGACATGATTGACCGTCGCTATCCTCACCAAGTTGGTAAGAACATCAAGAAGGGTATCAATGAAGGCCGTATTCGTTTTGCCGATAAGCATCTTTCCATGTTCCCTCAAGATCTTGTCTACGGTAAGCTTTTTTTTTTTTTTTTGCCCCAACAATTTCTAAACTCTTAAATTAATTTTTTAAATAGGTTACTACACTAAAGATAAGCCCGATCACAAAAAGCTCGACATTGTTGTTGTTGAAGCTACTGCCATTACCGAAGATGGTTGGATTGTTCCCGGTGCCTCCGTTGGTGCCACCCCTGAATTGATCCAAATGGCTGACAAGATCATCATTGAAGTCAACACTCGTATTCCCTCTTTTGAAGGTCTTCACGATATTAGCATGTGTGACCTCCCTCCTAACCGTAAGCCCTATCTGATTATGAACACCGAGGACAGAATCGGAACAGTAAGTGTATCACATTCAACATCCGTATGCTAATCATTAAATCTTTGATTAGACTGCTATTCCTATTGACACTGACAAGATCCTTGCCATTGTTGAAAGTGATCGTCCTGATATGACTGGTGGTAACACACCTGCTGATGACAAGTCTGAAGCCATTGCCAACCATCTTATTGAATTTTTTGAACACGAAGTCAAGCACGGTCGTCTCCCTGCTAACTTGTTGCCTCTTCAATCTGGTATTGGTAACATTGCTAATGCTGTTATTGGTGGTTTAGCCAAGTCACGCTTCCAAAATGTCACAGTGTAAGTAGCAAAAAATTTTAATCGGACAAGAGCGGGAAAATTAGGGTAAATCTGGAATATATTGATTAATTTGATTATCTAGGTTCACTGAAGTTTTGCAAGACACTTTCCTTGAATTCTTCGATTCCGAAAAGCTCAAGTTTGCCAGCGCTACCTCAATCCGTTTCTCCCCTGAAGGTTTTGATCGTTTCTACAACAACTGGGAAAAGTACAAGGACAGACTCTTGTTGCGTTCTCAACAAGTTTCCAACTCTCCTGAAGTCATCCGTCGTCTCGGCTGTATCGCCATGAACACTCCTGTTGAATTTGACATGTACGGCCATGCCAATTCTACTCTTGTATGTGGTTCAGGTATGTTGAACGGTTTGGGTGGTTCTGGCGATTTCTTGCGTAACAGTAAGATCAGTATCATGCACTCTCCTTCTAGTCGTCCTTCCAAGAAGGATGCCAACGGTGTCTCTTGTGTTGTTCCTATGGTTTCTCACGTTGATCAAACTGAACACGATCTTGATATCTTTGTCACTGAACAAGGTTTGGCCGATCTCCGTGGCTTGAGTCCTCGTGAACGTGCCCAAGTTATCATTGACAAGTGTGCTCACCCCGAATACAAGCCTCAACTTCAAGATTACTTTGACATGGCTACCAAGAAGTGTCTTGCTGCTGGCAGAGGTCATGAACCTCAAATGCTTGACAAGGTCTTCAAGATGCACACTAACTTGTTGGAAAACGGTACCATGAAGCTTGACTCATGGTAAACAAACATAACTATAGATTATGTTCAGTGGAAAGTTTATTTATTAGATTCCATTGTTCACTTGTATCATTCATTCTATGCTTGATCTATTCTTGTATTATATAATAATAAAAAATGACCTTTATTTTTTTTTTAGATATATTCTGTGTTTGTAATCAAAAAATCCCTTTCTTCCCGTAGAATTCATTCCGACAGTTTTAAAGAAGCTACCTTGGTATGCAATTGATTTTTCTCTTGAAATTTGATAAATGAAGAGGACACCAACAAACAAACAAACATGCTGTAAAATACTTGTATGACATGAAAAAAAGACATCAGGCTTTATCAGATAAAAAGACAGCCTGTGCGTGACTTGAAATTGTGTCTCTTCTCTCTTATTTTTTTTATTGACCTTTTTCTTTGTCTCTTTCTCTTTCTTTTGTCTGAATCCCTAAGCTCTTCCTTCTTGATTCCAACCTTGAAATGACAGACGCTTTTTATGCCAATGCTTTTTTGGTAATATTGACATTTTTAAAAGACAATTTCTAATAAAAAGAATCCGTATTTAAATAGACTAAACAGCCTAAAGAAGGCATTTCTGTTGTTCAGGCTAGACTAAAAGATGCTATAACGCTTGATACAGAGTTTGCAGACTACGTCAAAGAAAGGTATACAATCGTATAATTACTATAAGCACTCATTAAATTCCCTTCAAGAGCTCAAATAGAAGAAGCTTACGCAAAAAGCCTGTCAAAGGCATCCAAAAAGCTATACACAACAGACCCGGGTATTTTGGGGTAAATACCCTTTCTTTTTTAGTGTACCATCCTTGACACGCGTATATAGACATTTCGGTCCCGTATGGGAGCAACTTTTAAATGAATTGAATCAAGTTGCTAGTTTTCATTCAGAATTAGCACATCGTATTATTCAAGAAATCGAAAAGCCAATGAGAACGATGCCTTTCGAAGAATATGACCGACTTCAACAGGTAAACAAACACTACTTTGAATGATATTAATGGCTACATCAGATGGAACCTATGATTCAGTCCTTAAATAAGTCAAAAAGAAATTCCATCTTCAAGAAAAAGCCCACTGAAAATGGAAATTGGCAAACAAATGGTGTTGAATATTTAAATTTACATCAAAAGATTGACGAATGTCGCCTAACACGGCTAAAATCTATGGTGGAAGCATTTGAAGTCCTTCAGTCTGACCAATTAAAGAAACGCATTGAGGTAATAGATTAGAAAGCACGAGGTTGTTAATCTTAATTAGATGGCAAATATAACCTTGTTATCGGCACAAAAATTTGACGTCAATCATGATATACAAGACTTTTGTACAGAAAGGGCAAGAGATTTACAGACAGTACCCCACAGACCGAGATCTTCTACTGTCAATTCGCATGATTCTTTTCGTTCCACAAACAAATGTAAGCTAAATTGTGCGCACAGACAAAATCTAATGTCTTCAAGTCAAATCTGTATTTGCCAAGAGAAAGAAGAGTCACGAACAATTTAATGATATGGAGTAAGAGAATAGAGAAAAACAAAAGTTATGCTTAACGTCAATAACAGCAACCATCTCCCTAGAGCTTCACAACATCAAATGTCAAATTGTTCTAGTGTAACAGAAGAACCAGTGCCTGATCCAGTCATCAATATTTCACCCGTAGCTTCAAATGTAAACACGAAATACAAATAATAAAATGCACTCATTGTCTTTCTAGGTAGTGGATTCTGAAGGTTATTCTATACCACCTTCAAGAGACAAATTTGCGGCTACTTTTGGATCAGATATCTCTTCTCGTAATTCGCCATCAGATATAGACTCAGATTTACAAAGGTTTGTATGGAACAACATGATTCATAGAGTCTAATTTCTTTATGATTCAAGTTGGAATCAACGACTACAAGTCAACATTAGAGACAATGTTTTGCATGAAGAGACTGACCAAGCAAATGCATCACTTAACAAAATGGCTAATATGCTTCGAGAGGTATCATTATCTCATTTTGGCCATATATATCTGATTCTTTTTTTTTTTTTTTTTTTTTTTTTGTATAGCGAACACCAACAGTAACAAGGCGACCAAGAGGAAGAAGAGAAAGTAATATTCCTCGATCTCAGACACATTCTGTATTGATTTCTGCAGAATTAGCACCCAATGTACCAGATCGTGCTAATTCTATGATACTAGTTAGCGAAACAAATCCATTTATCACCTCATCTTCTATGGCTCTATCTAATTTTAACACAGTGTCCACTCCATCTTTGCATCATTCTCCTACTATTACAACAAGAAACTCAGAAACATCATTACAGCTTGCACCTATTCCTGAAACACAACAACCATTGTCTGTATCTATAGTAGAAAAGACAAGGGTAACAGGCTCAAACATGTATATTGCTGGACAAGTGTTGATTACTTGTCACAGCAATACAGGCAGCATACCTATTCAACTGAACGGTCTAGACCATATACAAAATCTTAGGCCTCGCTCTCCTTATGTCATTGTTCAAGCTGACGGCTATGTGATAAACACGAGTCATTTTGAACCAGGCAAGCCAGTTGCTTGTTTTATGTTTGATGTAAACACAGACACTTCTCAACTTCCTTTACAACTTGTTGCTTTTTGGAAATGTGTTGACGGCATTTCTTATCTGATTGTCAAACATAGCAAGAACATCGACATTGATCCTTCTAAAATAAAAGGCAGTGTCAGTGTTGCAATGGAAGATCAAGTTAATAATGTTCAAAGCACACCTCAAGGCGTTTGGGATACAGTAAAGAACCGACTCACTTGGCAAATATCTGATTTAATGCAACAATACCAACCAGATAGTCCTCAACAACGTTTGCTTGCTAAATTCTATATCGAAGGAAAAGGCTCATCCCAGCCTATTTATTTCAACTATTGTCTTGAAGACAATACACTGCCAAATATCTCTATTCAAAGTGATGCAGTAGAAATCAAACAAAGCATAGTTCAGTCAAACCAAGTGGTCTATATGTAACTTTTTTTTAAAAATTCTAAATGATCTTCTTTTTATTATTGTTTATACATAAAATACACTACATGAATCAATGCCATGAAAGGAAAGAAAAAAGAGAAAGAATGGGGGGAATATATGTAAATCTATAAAATATCTAATGGAAAAAGTAAGGTGATTTCTTGACTTCGTTGATGTCAAACTCGCCCTTGGCTGGTAAAGGCAAAAAGGTAAGTGGCTCCCAACTATACTTGTATTTGTTCAAAGCAGACTTCTTCTTCTTGGCTGGAGGTTCATCGTCATCTAAGTCTTCTACTTCATCCAAATCCTCATCACCGTCACCTTCAGCTTCGGATGCGCTTCCCAAACCAAAGATAGCCTTTAATGCGTCCTTCTTTTCATTTTCCTTTTTTTGCTTTTCAAGTTCCATATCTTTTTCCATAGCTAATGGGTCACCAAATAAGCTGGATCCAATATCTTCTTCCAAGGATTCTTCGCCATCTTCTACCAACTTCTTCTTTTCACCTTCTTCAGATAAAAGCGCACTACATGGTACACGATAATCTTTATAACGCTCCTTGAATTCAGCAATAAGATTTTCCATAATGGGCTGAGAATGAAGTTCAATGAATTGATCGCGAATAACTTCGTTCATAGCATCTACATCACAGGCATGTGTCCAATAACTGTCGTGGACAGAAGCAAAAGTCATACCCTTCTTATGACAAGCTACAGCAGACATCAACATATGTGTTGCATCTAAAGAGTGAATAAAGTTGGGAGGAAAAGCTGTACTTTGCTTCATGGCATTAACAGGTCGAGAAGCATCAGGGTCTTCAATGAAGATAGTTTGCAACAAAGTAGCAATTTGCTTCTTGCCTGAACGACGATAAGGTTGAACAATAGGCAAACCAAGCGGTGTAGTCCAAATCACAGAACTCATTTGATTTGCAGAAGGATTACGAGCTGAGAATGTCTTGCTATTCTTCTTTTTACGCTTGTCTTTCTTTTGTGTGGCTGGATCCACAGGATCAGCACCAGCAACAATGCCGGTCTCTTGAAGTGTTTCCAAAGGCACACTTCGTGCAATACGTCTAGCAGAATCCGTAAGCCAGTCTTGAATTTGACGAGCACCTGTAAACATTTCACCTAAAGAAGAAAAGACGGCCTTAGCCAAGTAACCAGCTAAAATGTAGACCTTGTCACGAGGAATATTAGGGTTTTCTTTCAAACGGTTTTCAATTTGTGCACGGGCACCAATAAATGTCACACCATACACATTGGTCATGACAGTTTGCTTGACGACCTTTCGACTGATGTTGCCTTGCAAAAGTTGAGCTAAAGGATCACCTTCTGCTGCAGCTTTGTCGATGACACTATTGACCATGTCAGCAACACCGGTATAGACATCAGCAGGACGATCACCAGCAGCCAAGTTGACGGCACGAGCACCAGCTAAATCACCACCAAGGGCAGCATAATGTTGAAGACCATTACAGGTACCATCTTGATGGACAGGGAGTTGAGACTTAAATTCTTCAGGTTTTCCACTACGGAAAGCAGCAGCAACCTCATAACAAGCAGCAAGACATTGCCATGGATTTTCTGCCTTCAACCACCATCGGTTACCCTAGCCAACACAGATTAATTTGCGTATTTGAGAATGAAGATATACTTACAGTCAAGGGTTTGTCAACAGAGTCCAAAATGTTTTCAATGTTGTCCATCGTGTAGGTTTCTCTTTCAGAGAAGGAGTGCTTATCATAACCGTACAAGTTGGCCAAGTGAATCTTAAGCCATCTCCAGCCACGAGTACCCAAGGGCTTTGCATCATCAAAATGCAATAAACCACGACATAAATCGTTACCTAAATGATTTAACGTGGGAGGCATGGGATAAGCACGACCACGGAAATCCATATTATGAGGGAAATACATAGGAAGATTCAAAAACTAACAAAATCAATATTCATCGCTATAAATTTCCCATTTTTACTTACGGCACGAGCAGTTTCTACTTTGTAGTTGACATCACATCTCAAACTGTGGTAGTTTCTTTCATTTGTTTGCTGTTGCTTTACTTCAGAGACCCACATAAACTTGGCTTTAGGATCTGTGTCGTAATTTGCGGGCTTGGGTGGCAATGGAGCGGGCTCGTTGATAGCAGGTGGAATATCAGCAAGTGCTTCGCCTGAATTCCAGACTTCTAAAATCACCTTAAAAACATCCTTGTTGACTCTCCAACGAGTAGACCCTAATACGTCTAAACCGGCCAATACGTCTGTAAGGTGGTCTTGTTCAGAAGCTTTAGAGAGATAAACTAATTGTTCAGCAGAATCCTTGATTCTCATACACACAGATTTGGTGGATAAGTAACCACCTGAGTTGTAGGAAAGCCATGGTCGAGGATGAACAAGCATTGGTAAGAGACGAGGGTGAAGGGTATCACGTACAGGTTCACGAGAGAGCATTTGTGTCAACTGTTCAGAAAACTTGATAATACCCACTCTTTTACCATGTACATATTGGTAAGTGTGGAAGAAGGCTGGAATGTTTTCAATACTAACAGCAAGTAAGTAAGCTATAATATATAGATGCCACTTACATTTTCTTTCCAGTCTCAGGGTTTTTACTAGGTACAGGAATCTTTGCAGCTTCCAACAATAAACTAGTCAATACACTGCCGACTTTAGCACGAATGGTGCTGGGCCAAACTGGATTCCATTCATTTACCAATGCGCCACCGCCTTTCTCCATCATGTCTCTTTGTGCTCTTTTGACAGTTAAATTGAATAACCGACTGTTGGAGAACAATGCTTGTGTATCTGTGCCCTTGTCTAAAAGAGAAGATTTGGTGGAACGTCGCTTGATTTGGACAGCATTATATTCCATTTCAACAGCTTTACCCACATCAATCACAGCACGAGCAGTCTTCATGCCATCACCGATACCAGATGAGTTGTGAAGACGTAAGAGTTCCAAAATAGTCACAATGGACAGTGTCTTGGGAGGCAATAGTTTTAAAAAGGGACCATAAGCACGACGATCACTTTCTCGTGCAGTAGCAGCATCACAACGCATAATTTCTTCTTGAATCAAAGGCACCATATTTTGATGCCAAGTCCACATGATACGTTTTAAGGGTGACAAGTTCATAGCATTCAACGTATCACCACGCTCAATACTTTGTTCTTTGGTATGCAGTAATCGTTGCAAAGCCATTTCATAGCCTTGTTGCTCCAGCCCTAATTGGAGCTCGTAAGGATCTGTTTTGACACTAGCATGAGGATCGCGCAAAGCAGCCAATTGCTCTTGCAAAAAGTGAACACCAATTGATTTTGTGGGCTTTGCTTCAGGCACCACTTCGATTTGTTTAAGTTTCTCTTCCGTTTTTGGTATTTCTTTGACAGCAGGTTTACCGAGAATTTGATCGGTTGCACTCTCAAGCTCTTTTAAAAGCTTTTCAATATTTAAATCTAAAGTTCCTTTTGAGACAGAAATCATCTACAAAAGACCGTCAGCCTCTTTTTTTTTAAGTGCGTAATTATCATTCTATACCTCTCTAAACATTTCGACGTCATTTTTCGACAAATATTCTGAGCGCAACATTTGTTCTATATTAATTCCTTCTGTTTCGGCCAAGTCTCTCAATAGAGCTTTTGCAGTGTGGTAGCTTTTTACTCTAAACATAAAAAAATTAGCATGAATTTTCAAATTCCTCTCGATTTACTTACTTGAGAAATCCCTTCACAATGATAGCAAATGTGTTTGCGTCTGCATGAACACCATATTCCTTCATATTATCAAACCAAGATAGACAATACTTTGTCATTGGCCCTTCTGGAGCCTCCACAAATCCATTCAAGAAATAATTATAAACATTGATATCTGCAAACAACTTCATTTCTTCGGGTTTTGCCCTGTAAAGCTCACTCATAATACGTTGAGCACGATCCATTGAGCCAGATGCAATACAAGCCTTTAAAATTGCAAATTGTTCAGCAACAGCAGAAGGCAATATTCGAGTGGTTTCGGTGAAGCTTTGCATACCAGGATTGGGAAATATAATATGTTGGCGGCGAAGAGGAGTTTCTTGTTCTGTTGCTGCGGGGGGCGTAGCAGCTGCTGTGCTGTTGTATCGAGATATAATGCATTTTGATATAGTGTATGTCTGATATCGTTGAAGAGGAACCAGCCTTCCTTTTGTAACTGCTTGTCGAACTAAGGATAGTGACATACCGAAATAGACACCTTGTTTGTATTTTTATGTGTGTACGAGAAAAACGTCCGAGATCAAAAGCAGTAAGAGAGAACGACAAAAACTACTTGGATAAAAAAAAAGGAAATACTTTGTAACAAAGTTCGATATGATAGTAAGGAAAGAAAAAAAAGCTGTCAAGGGTAGAGTAGCAAGGTTTTTTTTCTCTCCCTTTTCAGCAAAAAAAAAAAAGTGACTATGTTTTTTAAAACGTCGACCGGGAAATGAATCATGGTTTCTCCTTTAAAGGTCAAGTAACTTTTGAATCAATGCATATAAACATAAAATAAAGGCCAATTTTCATATGGTTTATCTACATGAGCGCTGATAGCATTATACATATTGAGGAGAAAGAGACCACAGAAGCAGCGCAAAGAGGTGAAAGAATTATCGAGAAATACCTTTTCTTCTTTGGCTTTATTTTCCCAATAGCATGGTTTGCAGGAAGTAGTTCTTGGGGAACAAAGACACCTTCGGCCTTTTTATGGAAGAAAAGGTGTCGAATTGCAGCCACTTTAAGCTTGACTATACTTATTGTTCTTTCAGCTATTATTATGGTCGTGAATCCGGGATTGGTTGGACTGAAAACAGAATATTACGCAACAGGCGCACAAACTTCTTCAGCATCTAACAGTGCTATTCGACCAGGCGTGCCTTTGATTGGAGGAAATGGTTTTGGTGATGCAGTAGCAGGTACCTCGGTTGATAATTATGATTGACGGTAAAATAGTTTTACCAAAACTTTATTTTCTTTTGATTTTTTTTTTTTCAATAAATATACCTTTTCAGCTTGATCAATAAGTCTCCATCACTAAAACATGCATAACATACCAGAATATAGTAAACAAGAACCTAATGGCTCTAAAAGAACAAGAATAACAAGAGCATGTATGGAGGGGTGGGGTTTAACTGATAAGACTAATGTGTATACAATGGTTAGGTGATACTTGTAGACGCAAGAAAATAAAGTAATAAAACAAAATCATTGTATAATTATACTTATAGAGACTAGATGTGATGTAGACACAAATCAACCATGTACAACATGTAAACAATACAATTGGGAATGTACATTTAACGATGTAAGCCAAACTGTCGTTATTTAAGAAATTAATTTGTCTCTAGACATCTAAGAAACGAGGTCCTCCTAAGGGGTAGATCTAAGCATTGCATGAATTCAATTTAAATTTTTACTTTATAGGTACATTGAAAGTCTTGAATCAAGATTAGAGAGAATGGAGCGGCTCTTGAGAAATATAGGCTCTGATAATTCAGAAACAATGGTTAAGAAAGACGATACAACAGTAGCAGAAGGGGGAAAGAAAGAAGAAGCGCCTAAAGAAATTAGCAGCACAAAGGGAAAAGTGATTCGATATCATGGTAGCTCATCAGGTTATTATCTGGTGGGCAACATCTTGTCTTCAGATAATGATACCAATAGAAGAGAAGTGTATAACCTACCTCCACTGGCTAATGATGAAGCCAGTTACCTTATTAGAAGAATGAATGCAGACGATAATGACTTAATGGTAGTGAGAGATGCAACGGCCGATGATGAGGCATTTGATGACCAAGAAGCCATAGACGATATCATTCCGCGATCTGTTTTGGAAGCCCTTGTACACACTTATTTCAGAGATGCACATACAATATTGCCTGTAGTAGAAAAGAATGAGTACATGGATGCTTTTGAAGGAAGAATAACACCCCTCCTGCACCATTGCTTACTTATGCTATGTGCGCTTACTCTTGCTTCCTCTTGAAACAAAGCGATCCTGCTTTCAGACAGGCTGGTGTTGAACGTGATGATATTTTTCAGGCACTTCTTGAACGAACGAGTACACTTGTTCGCAAAGAATACTTAAAACCTCGTGTTGTTACTATCCAAGCACTTACTTTATTATGTGCCCATCCTACTTACTCAACAAGTTCCTATAGAAATTGGTTATTGGCAGGCATGGCTGTCAGAATGGCTCAAGACTTGGGCTTACATCGATCAGTGACTACTGTCAAAATCTCAAAAGAATTGAGCGAGAAAAGAAAACAATTGTTCTACTCTACTTATGTTACAGACAGATGGTGCTCTGCTGTCATGGGAAGGCCACTTGCTATTGCTGAATCTGACTGTGATGTAGATCTTCCTTTGGTACAAGGACCCAACGGAAATGAGGACTTGACCATGTTTGTCAGTTTTATTAAGCTATCTGGCATTTTGGGTGAAGTATTGCGTCGAATCTACTCTCCTAAAGCCAAAGCAAATGGATATAGAACAAAGACTATGGAACAGACAGTATGGAGCTTACAAAAAATGCTGAATGAATGGTTTGATCATGTACCAGGCGATTGTAAAATGACAGAAAAAGATTTGCAGAATATTCATCTCCTTTCCCCAGAATCAAAAAAGATTATTCAAGGAGGTCCTTTAACTATATGTTACCATGCTGTCGTCTTGCTTTTACATCGCCCTTTTATTGTATTAGATAACGAAGGAACTCATGATGAGATTGTGTTGAAGGCTATTGAGACGTGTACATACGCTGCAAAGCTTAGTATTGACATTGCAAGAGCCATTCCTTACATGTCTATTGCAAAATTTGGATGGAACTTCTCAGGTAAATAGGCTGTTATCAAATTCTGATTATACTCATGCCATTTAGCTTATTCTGTATTACAAGCTGCTTTGATTCATGTCTATAATTGCACAAGTACAAACCCTGATACTGCTAAAGAAGCAAAACGCTATGTGACTATCTGCATAAACGAATGTTTTGGTCCTCTTGGTAAGGACATACCAGCAGGTCCTCCCATGATTCCTTTTCTTCAAACACTCTCTAATCTTATACAAAATGAAGACAGAAGAACCAATGAATCAAACATCAATACAACAACAACAACAACAACAACAACAACAACAACAACGGCAACAAATAATGCTACTAATGCTGCTGCTACTCTCTGTCAACCATTTGCACAATTAGAACCATCTTATCAACAACCAATGATGGTTTCTCCTATGAGTGTTCAACAAATCATAAGTAATCCAACATCCTCTTATGCAAACAATACAACACAACCTACTGAGAATAGCTCATCATGGTTATTCAATGGTAATATGCCTACGCTTCCACAAACAACATGGCAACAACTCTTTTCAACTGCAGGCGCACCTTTTACCGAGAATCCAAATGGGGCATTTGATGTACAAGGTAAGAAGAAGATACATATTAAAATGTTTTGCTGTATCTCATTTGATAAATAGGTTGGGATAACTTTTTCATGGAGAATCAAACAAACAACATGTTTATGCCATAACTTATCGAGTTGAATTGCTGCTCAGATTCGAGTGTGTTCTATTATCGTGTTCTTTATTGAATATGCACTAAAAAAAATTCAATCCAAAAAGACCATTTGTTTTTCTACCTAGTATGAGTATACAAAACATGATATTACTCGCACTTACGGGAATAAAAGTGAATGAATTTAATGGTGGCTCTTCTTGTTAAGGAAAAAGTGTTCATAAGTACAGTAGGCAGCAAAAGCAACAGTAGCAATACCAAGACCAGGGAACATGGTCTTGAAGTTGGAGGATTTGGAGAAGATAGGGTGCTTGCGCCATGCTTCACGCTTGGCCCAAGGATCATGGTAAACAGGTGTCTTGACTTGTGCTTGAACGTGAGACTTCATTATAGAGTGGGGAGTAGGGGAAAGAGGGCTCTAAGGAAGAGAGAAAAACTGGAAAGAATAGAATCCCCGAGCCCTTGTAAAAGTTCCACGTCACCTTTTGGCGAAAAGTAAGAAAAGAAAGGTAACACAAGGTACCAAAAGAAGAATTTGTCTGTCAGGCTAAAATCTGCAGATTCACTGCATGAAGAAATTTTTACTCGACATTTCTTTAAGCACGGACACTTTATAGAGTAATGACAGGAAGTCTAAACAAAACACGACATTATAGCAAAACTAATTGATTCGTTAAGTTATGCATTAAACTGTATTTATATTCACTTATTTTTGTACTTCAAAAAAGATGTTTGGATGGTAAAAAAAAAAGGTACCCTACTTACTAGAATCATTTCATTCCTGTACTTCAACTTAATCATATTAAGCGAATAGTTGCCTAAAGGTACATAAGAAAAATGAAGTCTCTAAGACGATACAGTAGTAATATATTCATATGTTCATATAAATGTGGCGAATGATATCATAAAAGGAATGTACTTAAGTAGGAGTCAAGGCCCTTATTTAAAAATTTATTTTTGGCTCTTGAGTTGCTTCACGTTTGGCGCTTTTAGTGAGATTTGCAATACTAGAAGAGTATTCGTATTAAGACAGAGTATAACGGAAAGATTCAGTGAATATTCAGAAAATTATCGAGATGCCAAAAGCTTTTTGATCGATTTGTATTCTCCAAATACTTGGTATGTCTTATACGGAATCACTCTTTTATAGATATTTTTTCATAGGTTACCTAAAGGAAAAAAGGTTTTTTTCTAGGGAAGTGCATCTAATGACAATTTTAAGATTGTCGAATACAGAATAGAGCTTACTCTTTTTCACTAACTTAAGTGTGTTTGTTACATTTGTTTGAAGAATTTTTATGTCTATAAGGCATAAAATCAATTGAACTACCAAATAGATTGATATTTTTTAGAAGAAACCAATTAGATTACCTTTGTCGTATTTACATTGTTTCTGTTCGATTTTGATTAATTATTTAATCTTTAGTAAAACTTTAGAATAACAAAACTTTCAATGCTATCCTTGCAATTTCCTTATTTCTTAGGATTATCAATATTACCTAAACCTATCAACCATGATTTTCTGCTTGGTAAGTATCTTTAATAAATTTTAGAGGCTAGACTCTTAATGTAAAACCTTGGTCTTGCGCTCAGTAAAATAGAAAGCACTTTATGCTATTAGGCCATGTATTGCAAGAGTAGTGTATGTTTAATCATTGCCTTTTGCTCATTTTGGGTCATTTACAGAGAATCTGTCTCTTTTGATTTCATTGGATTATTTTTGATAAAGTTTTTTATAAACTTCTTCAATTAAGCATTATCTATTCTTCGAATCTTATGGATATGATAGTATGTATTATTAGATGAGAAAAGTGTGTCCCGAAAACAAACTCCAAGATCGACTATGTCTTGTCCTTTACCCAAATAAGTCAAAGCTTTTTAATAGAATGCTTTCTCTTTTTAACTTGCTATTGTTATATGTTTAGAACATAATTCACGTATTCATACATATGCGCATCACAATTGAAGGATTTGTTGCCATTAAAGTTGCATGATGTATAAAAATAGATTACAACGGAGCAATAAAGCTATTGTTTCTCTTCAGAAAAGAGAATGTCTGTCATTGTTGATTACATTAACTTTCATTCAAAGATGTAAATTCCATTCATGCACAACGGTAAATGCTTAAAAAAAGAAACAAGTTACAACTTCAGATCAAATTCTCATTAATTAATGCAAGTTATTTTTAAAAAGAGAATCAGAAGGTATATTTTCTTGTTGGAAAAAAAAATAAACGTTTTTACTGTACATTTAAGAGCCTTGTGCAATGTGAAGCGGTGTTATCTACTTCAACGCTGCATTTATACCCTAAATTTGGTCAATAGTTGTTCGGTTTTAATTTACCATATTAGTCAGTATTAATAGAATTCAATTGTAGGACAACATGTTTATATTCCTCAATTTTGCATATTGAAGCATTTTGATGTCGATCGTTTAAAAAGAAAAAAAAAAGATTGTATTTAATCAATTAATGCCTGACACAAGGAAAAAACCTTAATTGTACTTAAAATACTGAATGAGACTGAGAAAATCTTGCAAAATCAATAAGATCAAAGAGTATAAATATCAAAGAGTTTTTCGACAATTAACATCATTGTCAAACTTTTTCCTCAATTAATTCCATTCCGATCTTTTCATTCAAATGAGACTCTCTATCGCTTCTGCCTTGCTCTTGGTTGCTGCTTGCTCTTCTGCTGTTTCCGCTTCTCCTATTTCTAGAGATACTGCTCTTGATGTCACAAGCATTGAGCAACCTCTTAATCTTACTGCTGTCTTGGATAAGCGTACCTTTGTCTGCCCTTGTCAAGCAAACAATGATTTTATTGGTACCGTCATGGACTCTATTCGTGGTCATCTTGATGCTGAAGTCTTTGCCCCTGTTTCCGTTACTGTAAATAAATTTCTCATAGTCACATTGGTTCTTACTTATTTCTTCTCTCTTTCTAGTTTGCTCAAAGTGCTGCAGCTACTTTCAATATCAACTCTTTCCTTGGTGGTGTCTTAAACCTCGGCATGTCTAGTGTCAGGTCCATTGAATCTTATGCTGTCGCCAGCTTGAGATCCTCTTTCAGTGCTAGTCTGGAAGCTCAAATCAACGCTAGAATCTATGCTCAAATTGAAGCTAGTCTTCGTAGCAAATGTGGTAAGAAGACCTTGTCTGACGCTCAACTCCTTGCTATCTTGGTTCAAATTCACGGTGAAGCCAAGACTTTGATCCATGCTCAACTTCCCAAGATCGGTGCTGGTTTGCACGGTAGTGCTAATAGCTGTGTTGGCTCTGCTATTGGTGGCATTAGAAAGAAAATTCCTTTTGGCATCAGAACTAAGATTGATAGTGGTGCTTACTATGGTGGTAGAGCTATTGGACACGGTCATGCCGGTGCTGGTATCGGTGGCCACGCTGGTGTTGGCGGCTATGAAGGTGTCGATACTAACGTCGGTTTTGGTGTTGGTGCTGGCTTCGGTGCTGCTTTTGGTGTTAACTTTAATGCTGGTGCTACTATTGGTACTTCTGTTAATGCTGGTCTTCAAGGTTGTAACAGCTTGAGCCAAGATTCATTTGCTAAGGCCGTCTTCTCCTCCTTGTAAAATATCTAATTCATCATCATTGTCGCTAGTTACTCTTTACTTTTTACGTAATTTAAACCATTTACATCTTATTTACTCTTTACTTCTTCCTTATCTAAATAAATTTATATCATGATCATCTCATAATGTCTTTTTGTAATCGCAATAAATTTAGTTTCAATAGTGAAGTATGAAAAAGGGAATGCAACTTCAACATGTGAAACTGTTTCCGTCATAAGCCGATGAGTACAAACGACTTAGAGGTGCCTGCTAACCTTAATTTTCAGCTGTCAATTTTTTTTTGAGAAAGTCACTTTTAAAATGTAGTACATGTACCACTTTCTAAAAAGCATCCATCCCTGATCCAACTTGATTTGGGTTTGTCCGATATTGGTACACCTTGAACAAAAGTGCGTATTTGCGTATTTAATAAAAGAAGATATCTAGGGAGCTTACTCACCAAGAAAAGTATTATATAATAAAGCATAGTATCATAGCAAGCATTTCTCTTTTTTTTTTATGGCATGTATTGTTGTACTTATTGATAGTACGACTTTCTGTTGAGTAAGAAAAAAAAAGACGCGTTGAATCGGATTTTGCTTTGTAAGAATAGTCTTTAACTTTAAAAACTAGCTCTTCTGTGCACGAAATAGAGTCTTGAATCAATAAAATGGCATTCTTCGAATTTGCACCGTTGCCGATTTATAAATGACTTTCAGTCATACAAAGGATTTTCTCTTTATCTAGATTTGCATACATTTCTTCCCTTTCTGATAATCTTGAAAGCGTAAAAATGCATACCCGTGCTAACTTACCCAAAGAAGTATATCGAGATTGGACAAAGAAAAAAAAAGGTCTAGTCCAACTTTTGCCACGCAGTCAAATGTAAATGCATGAATTTATTGTCGTAGACAAAAACAGATTCTTTGAAAAGTATTTTCATTGTTTAGCAGTATGAAATCAGATGCTCGCAAGTCTGATTTGTTTGATACTTTGTCTTTTTTGCTTGGAAATGCCTTATAAAACAAAACAAAAAAAAAGATAAGCAATTGCCTGCTAGTTCCTAATGACAAGTAGAGTGCTGTTGCATTTCAAAATACCAGGAGCAGTCACTTCACATATATATTTTTTTTTCTCTGACTCTTTTTTCGCTTCACAGTGTTTATTATGTCAACCATACAGAAAATAGCAACAGTTGTTGGTAGTTCTGGGATCGGCAAGTCCAAGCTTGCAGTTGAATTATGTAAAGCGTTAAAAGGACAAGTCATTAACGCTGACGCTTTACAGGTAAAACAAAAAGAAAATGCATGCAAACAAGACACCTATTTTCTCATAAGAAACTAGGTCTATAAAGGACTCGATATTATCACTAATAAAATGCCTATTCAAGAGAGAGAAGGCATAAAGCATCATTTAATGGACTTTTTGGAGCCTGAAGAGGAATACCGCGTCACAAGCTTTTTAAAAGACGCTTCACAAACAATTGAAAGCATTTCAAATGAAAAACAATTGCCTGTTGTTGTGGGTGGTACGAATTATTATATACAAGCATTACTATGGAACAATACTACCATCAGCAAGGATCAACAAAAACGTAGCCCATCACCTGAATTGACAGTAGAAGAAGACGAGAATCAGTTTCCCGAGTTTGATGCACTAGAGACACAAGAGTTGTATGAGCGACTCAAAAAAGTAGACCCGATTATGGCTAATAAATGGCATCCTTCAGATAGACGCAAAATCTTAAGAAGTCTAAGGGTAATTTATTTTAATAAACTTATCGCTGATCCATTTTGGCTAGATATTTCATCAAACGGGTAAACCACAAAGTGAGATTATAAAATCACAAAAAGAGCATTTTGAGACACATGGCTTGGTGCCGAGATACAAGACGCTAGTGTTCTGGATCTATTCAGACCCCAAGCAACTGAACCCACGTCTCGATGCGCGAGTGGATCAAATGATTGAAACTGGATTATTCGAAGAGATTAAAGATTTGAGAAATCGCGTAGTACAAGGAAGTGTCAAGATGCCTGGTGCAGAATTAGAGAAATACCAAAGAGGACTATGGCAGGCAATTGGCTACAAAGAGTTTGAACCTTACTTTGAAGCATTAGAACAAGGAAAAGATGAATCTGAACTATATACTATCAAGCATGAATGTACAGAGCGTGTGAAATCAGCAACTCGAAAATATGCCAAATCGCAAATCAAATGGATCCGCAACAAGTTAGTACCGACTGCCTTGAATGCCAAAAACAATAACGTTATTATTTATTGTTTGGATGCAGGAGGTAAGGTATAAACACAGATTACGCAAAACTAATATCTTGTCAGATCTAGAGCACTGGGATCAAAACGTAAGAGATAAAGCGATACAAGTAGCCAAAGCATTTCAACAAGACGAGCCTTTGCCAGATCCCAAAAGCCTGAGTGAAACTGCATCTGTCATGCTAACACCAACAAAAGAAGTTAAAGAGTAAGTGATCTCCATACTTCTTTTTACGTATTAATTGTTTCAGTACACAAACCAAAATTCTTACTTGGAACAAGCATGTTTGCGAAACATGTAGGGACAATAAAGGCGAACCTTTAGTTTTGAATGGCGATAAAGAATGGGAGCAACATAAAAAAAGCAGATTTCACCGTAAATATCTAAAGCATTTGAAAATGGAGGCCTTACGAAAAGCCCACTTTGAATCTCAACAAGATCGAATTTAAATGTCGTAATTGTTGATTTAAAAAAAAAGGTAAATTAAAACAAAATGTTTCCGGCTATTCAATTTGTCGAATTGGCTTACCTAAAATAATAAAATCCAGAAAAAAACAATGACGTAACAAAAAAAAGAGATATATAACGAATAAACCTTTGGTTTTACAGTTAAATCAAAGAGAATTAGTCCATGTTTGTTTAATTAAAGATGTAAGAAGAAATATATACAAATATAATCAGAAAAGAAATAAATAGAATATTATAGAACAATTTTAAATGACCCAGTTTTTACTTTTTCTCTCTCAAATTAGGAAATGTGATGGGCCTTGACATCGAAGACAAGCACACTTTTGTCCGATCAAATAGACTAATCCAAGTCACACAAGTGTCCCTTTTCGTAATAATAGGATCCCCTTGCTTTCTTTTTATCAAGAATAAACTAGTATTTTATTTTCTCTCCCTTTTTTCTTTCTTGTCTTCTTGTCTTTCTTGTTTTTTTTCTTTACATTTTAAAGAAATAGCGATTTTTCTTAATTTGATAGAAAAAAACTTGGATTGGTTTACAGTATTTCTTTTTTAGTCAACATCAAAGAAAACACGAGAAATTGTCGGAAACAAAACCTGCATTTGTGTGCCTCTTTTTTTTTTCTTTGCATATTTCTCAAACAATCACCATTTTAAACGGTAAATTTTAGTTTACTTCTTTTTTGTTCTAAACATTCACTCTTAACTGAATATCAAAATTAATTTATGACAACCCCTTTTATCTCCACTCTTTTGTTAACGTGTTTCTCTTTTCCTCTTCTTTTGTTAGTTTTTCAATAAAAATGGCATCAACATCTAGATCAGCAAATAGAGCAAGTACGAACAGAAAAAGACCACCTAATGAATCACCAATGCAGAACGAAGGCATTGAAAAACGACCATCAAAACGAAAACGAAATCAGCTCCCCTTGTGCTCAGTCTATCCAAGCTCACCTTTGTCAGCAGGCATAAATGCGCCTCACAAAATGACGTCTCAACGTAGTGTACCAGCCTTTCTTCATAAACTATACAAGTAAGTTTTTTTTTTTTTTTTTACTTGTATTTTGGGTTATATGCACACATACACACACACGCGTATATATATATATATATATATAATGAGCAAAATAAAAAAGGAAAAAAAAGCAAATTAGAAAAAAAAAATGTATAGAACATCAAAGAAGAAACGATTGGTACAAAAAAAAAAGGAAAGAAAAAAAAGAAAAAAAAGAAGTAAAAAGAAAAAAGGGTGAAAATGGAAAACGTGTGTGTATAAGGCAGTGACCCTCCTTTATGCCATTTGTCTGACCATAATAAAGACATGTCCAATTCGTTTGGTTTCCGTTTATTCATCGTTTTCTCCATCTCTTTGAATTTTGTAGCATGGTCGGTGATCCAAATACCAATCAATTGGTTCGATGGTCTAAAGATGGCAATTCATTTTTGGGTAACTACAGTATTCTAAGATTCTTTGAAATTCTTATTTATTCTATGTATACTTATTTCTTTTTAGTTGAAGGGCATGAAGAATTTGCGAGACTGGTTTTGCCGAGATTTTACAAGCACAATACGTTTGCATCTTTTGTCAGACAGCTAAACATGTATGATTTCCACAAGGTACCTCATCTTCAGCAAGGTGTGTTAGTCAATGACAGCAGTGCTCAAAATGAAGTATGGGAATTTAGTCATCCCCATTTTCAAAGAAATAGATCCGACCTTTTGGTTTTGGTGACAAGAAAACGGAATCGAGATAGAGATAAGACCGACGCAGATCAATTTGATTTAGGCTCACTTGTCAAGGAGATTTCGGCTATTAGGAAACATCAAGCCAACGTTACAGCTGATTTACGCAACCTCCATCAAGATAACGAACTTATTTGGCAAGAGACATTATCTGCAAGAGAAAAACACCAAAAGCATCAACGAGTTATATCTAAAATACTGCAGTTTTTATCAGCTGTCTTTTCAAATGATCAACACAAACTGCGTGAATTAAACCATCAGAGGGAAGCATTGGAGAACCAAGGGAATTTAGACCAAACTATTCAATGCCAAGAAAATAAAAAGCCGCACAAATTCGTCTCTAGCAACCATAATTATCATAGCAACCACCACCATCGTCACTATCATAATCGCAGTAACGTCGATAGTGGTGTTAGCAGCAATAGCGATACTGGAGTAACAAATGGCAGCGATAGTGGTCTAGCAAGCAGTAGTGATAATAGTGGAAATAACAGTAGTGAAGATGACACTAAAGCACCATTACTACAACCACCACCACTTCCGCCCAATCCAAAACAACGTATGTATCTTTACGTCTTTAACAAATCAAATTAATATAATAGATCAAGTACATGCAAAAATGCCTGAATATACTAGTGCCAAATCACGCAAGTCTACGAAAAAAAATATGTAGATTTAACATTTGCTAATATAACATTTATAGTCAAATCTGACAAATTTGCTCCATCTGTCGCAGCTCGATCTGCTCAAGCAATTACAAGTGACATTGATGAATTGCAAGAAAATGTTGAATTGTTAGCTGCCCAGCTTGGTATTGATCCTTCTCAATTCTCTGAGAAATTCACAGACGTCAAAAAGTTTTCAGATGATCATGGCAATCTTATTTCATCTGCTTCTCGCGATGACAAGCTTAGACTGTTTGAAATGGCTAATGAAGATAATGGCAATCGATCTACTTCAAAACATGCAGACAATGAACATCTTCTACAGCACATGCCTTCAGAACCTTATCTGCCGAGTGAGTTCTTAATGCAATCAGACTATGACCTTGTACCTGCTACCCATTTTTTTCAACACTTGCTCAAGAGACCAACTCCAACAATGACTGTTGATAATAATGCAGTACCTGAGAAACCTGATATTCCAGACACCAATGAATATAGCATTAATCATACTAACAACAACATATATTTATCACCTTCACACCATCATCATCAACCACAGCATCAGCATCATCATCAGGCACCATTGCATCCAAGCAATCCACTGCCTATTCACCAAACTCATCTTTCGACAGGTACTCTCCCTCCCAATTTTCAATCTTCTTCTGATGTCGCCAATCATCTCTTTGCCCCTTCTTATCGTCAAAGAAACATGTTTACCAACGATGTCTTGAATCCTGATTATTACCGTCCTATCAGAGATAGGCCTGTTGCCAATCCATATTATGAGCCAACCATGACACCACCATCAGCGCCTCCACCATCACAACCTCCTTCTAGTTTTGTGCATCAAGACGACTCTTTTCCTTCTTCAGGATTTAATCCTATTATGTATACGCCCAATCCGCACGCATCATCATCACATTCTGTTCTTTTGAACAATGAAGGCAATACGAAAATAGAAGACATGGATAAAAAGGACGACAGGCCCATCATTTATTAAATGTGTATGATTATTTATGCCCACACAGGGGAGGAGAGGAAAAAATCCAAAAAAAATTATGCTCTTTCTTCAATTATGTTATTTAGAAAATAAAATCAGAAACCATCTAATTTTCTTAGTTTGGTTTCGAACAATTTTAAACTTGTTTTATATTACAGAACAGGACTCTTTTTTATAATGTTTACAGCAATTGTGAAATAACCTTCGTATTGATTTTATAACAAAAAGAGCAATTTATAAGACTATAGCCATATATATATATATAGTAAGACAGTTTTTGTATATTACTCAACTGAGAGACAGGGTCAATTGTGTCACAAATGGTTGCATGTGAACGTTTTTTTTTTTAAAAAAAAAAAGGCCTTAAAAAATTGCTTATCAAAGTGGCCATCTATCAAGTCAGATAAAAACTCCATTTTCACATTCATTGACAATGCAATCAAATGCGTAGTACAAGCAGTTGAATAAACTTTTTTTTTTTTGATATCACAGTGGCACATGATTGATCCATTTGCCCAATCAATTAGCTCAATTCCATGATGACACATTGAATCCGAGTAAGGTACTTTTATGTGTTCACAATATACCCTCTTCTCCCTTTCTCCTTCCCTTGCAGCCTATAATTTTATGCTTTTTGTAAATTACAAATTGGCATTTCTTCTTCTTTGTTGCATATATAGAGGATAAGAGAATATCTGTTTTCTTATTATATGAAAAGTAAAAAAAAAAAAAAAAGCTGTATGCTTGTACGTGTGTATTTATGACTACGGAGAGAAATAAAATGTCCTTATTTTACATTTCAGAGATTTCCGACCTTATCCGACAAACAATCAAGCATAGAAAAAGCTTTCTAAAAATTAAAGATAAGCTATATACGGTTTACAACAAATGATTTTCGATTGATAGAAGATTGGATACCTATAAATGATTGGCCAACCTCATCTTGTGTGTTAACTTTAGATGGAAACTGCCTTTAGATTACCCCATATATGCTTTGACAACTCTGATTATAGAGAAACAAATAGAGTATAAGAGATTCGATTATGATTCTCATTGCTTATTTAACTAGGCGGAGAAATAAAAAAAAAAGTATGAATGTGATTATTTAGTTTGGGAAATTGCTTTCTGACTGGAGAGGGTTTTATTCCATCCGTTATCTTATCATTCTATTTTTCTACCGGGTGCTTGCTGTGTTTTATTGATTAAAAGATCTTGTGTACTTTTCTTGTGTTTATTATAGTGATTTTGCTATAGTTCGCTATTTTCCCTCTGTATACTACCATCCTATCATACATTGTCTGCTTATTTAAACTGGAAATCCTTTGCTTGTCTGATATAAGCTAGAAAATACTTGAACATGTGACCTATAAAATCCAATCTGGGCTAAAGTTACACTGTACGTAATCATTGGTTCTACGTGCACAAAGATAAGAAGATTGATATGAAACCTATAATTCATTCTACATGCTAAAGTATATAAACAGCATGATTTGTCATTTTTTGAATATTTTTCCCTTTTTTTTTGTTCTGCTTGTTCAATCTATATACTTTAATTATCCTCCCCCCCCACTCTAAGTAATTCAAGCTATATAGATCTCGATCAATTCTTTTAAGATCAATCAGCAGAATATAAATACATATATAAATACATATAATAGAAAGATTTAAATACCCTTACGCACAAGCACACTCAAACACGATTGTAAATAATAATAATATAATGTCTGTTCAAAATACTTCATGGGCTGATGCTATTCCTCCTGCCCAAGGCTTATATAACCCTGAATTTGAAAAGGATGCCTGTGGTGTTGGTTTCATGGTCCACGTCAAGGGTGTTCGTTCTCATAAGATTTTATCTGACGCCAGCAGCATTCTTTGCAATATGACTCATCGTGGTGCCAGTGGTGCTGATATTCGTGATGGTGATGGCGCAGGCGTCATGACAGGTATTCCTCACCAATTCTTTGTCAATGAAACTTCCCGTGAATTGGGTATCACTTTGCCTGAAGAGGGTCATTATGCTGTTGGTAACTTGTTTATGAAGGGCGATGCTGAATCTGTTGCCGAGAGCAAGAAAGTCTTTGAACAATTGGCTGAATCTCTTCACTTAAAGGTTCTTGGTTGGCGTTCTGTTCCTCGTGATTCTACTATCATTGGTCCTGCTGCTCGATCCAAGGAACCTGCTATTGAACAACCTTTTGTTGTCTTAGCTGATCAAACTAAGGCATTTGATGAACCTTACTTTGAACGTCAACTCTACGTTTTGCGTAAACATGCTACTCATACACTCACCATGAAGAAGTGGTTCTATGTCTGTTCTCTTTCCAACAAGAACATTGTCTACAAGGGCCAACTTACTCCCAAGCAAGTCTATTCTTACTTCCATGATTTGAACAATGTTCAATACACCACTCACTTTGCTCTTGTTCATTCTCGTTTCTCCACTAACACCTTCCCCTCCTGGGATCGTGCTCAACCTATGCGTTGGTGTGCTCACAATGGTAAGTTAAATTTATTTGGGTTTGGGTGATTGCTAACATTCACATGTCAAAAAAGGTGAAATTAATACTGTACGTGGTAATAAGAACTGGATGCGTTCTCGTGAAGGTGTAATGGCATCTGACAAGTTTGGTGATGAACTTGAATTGCTTTACCCTATTATTGAAGAAGGTGGTTCTGACTCTGCTGCCTTTGATAACGTACTTGAATTGTTGGTAATTAACGGTGTCTTAACTTTACCTGAAGCTATCATGATGATGATTCCTGAAGCTTGGCAAAACAACAACCTCATGAGCCCTGAAATGAAGGCCTTTTACAAGTGGGCTGCTTCCTTGATGGAACCCTGGGATGGCCCTGCTCTCTTCACCTTCTCTGATGGTCGTTACTGTGGTGCCTCTCTTGATCGTAATGGTCTTCGTCCTTGTCGTTACTATTTGACAAATGACGATATCATGATCTGTGCTTCTGAAGTTGGTACTGTCTTCATTGATCCTGAAACTGTAGTTGAAAAGGGTCGTCTTAAACCTGGTCGTATGCTCTTGGTTGATACTGTTGAAGGTAAAATCGTTGACGATAAGCAACTCAAGCTCCAGACTGCTTCCAAGCGTGATTTTAGTAAGTGGATCAAAGATCAAAGTATTGTGTTGAAGGATGTTGTCGAAAGATCCAACGCTGTTAAGCCTTATGTTCCTGCTTTGGATGCTACAACTGTTCAAGCTGATCCTCGTTTGAAGGCCTTTGGCTACACTCTTGAACAATTGAACTTGATCATGCTTCCTTTGGCTTCAACTGGTAAGGAACCTTTGGGCTCCATGGGTAACGATACTGCTCTTGCTTGTCTTGCTGAGCAACCTCGTCTTATCTATGAATACTTCCGTGAACTGTTCGCTCAAGTCACCAACCCTCCTATTGATCCCATTCGTGAAGAGATTGTAATGTCTCTTGAATGTTATGTTGGCCCTGAAGGTAACATTCTTGAAGTGGATGAAACTCAATGTCATCAATTGGCTCTTCCTTCTCCCATCTTGTCCATGGAAGAACTTGATGCCATCAGAGGTATGGATCAATTCTATCCTGATTGGAAGGTTGCTACCATTGATATCACTTTCCCTAAGGTAAATGGTGTTCAAGGCTACGTTGACACTCTTGAACGTGTCTGTAACGAAGTTTCCCAAGCCATCAAAGATCACTACAAGGTTGTTGTTCTTTCTGACCGTGCAGTCAATGCTGATCGTGTTGCCATCTCTTCTCTTATTGCTGCTGGTGGTGTTCACCACTACTTGGTACGTAACAAGCAACGTAGTCGTATTGCTCTGATGGTTGAAACTGCTGAAGCCAGAGAAGTTCATCACTTCTGTGTTTTGCTCGGTTATGGTGTAGATGCTGTCTGTCCTTACTTGTCATTGGAAACCATGTTGAAGCTTCACCGTGAACGTGCTGTCCATGAAGGCTTGACTCCTGAAAAATTGATCTATAACTTCAAGAAGGGTATTGATAATGGTATTCACAAGGTCATGTCCAAGATGGGTATCTCTACTTTGGCTTCTTACAAGGGTGCTCAAATCTTTGAAGCTCTTGGTATCGATGATTCTGTTATCTCCCGCTGTTTCTCTGGTACTGCTTCTCGTATCAAGGGTGTCACTTTTGATATCTTTGCTTTAGATGCCTTGACTCTTCATGAAACTGGTTACCCTAGCCGTAACATTGTTCAACCTGTCGCTCTTCCTGAATCTGGTGAATATCACTGGCGTGATGGTGGTGCTCCTCACATTGCTGAACCCACTGGTATTGCTAACCTTCAAGATGCTGTTCGTCAAAAGAACCAATCCTCTTATGATGCTTATTCTCGCAACGCTTATGAAGCCATCAAGAAATGTACCCTTCGTGGTATGCTTGAATTTGACTTTGAGAACTCCAAGCCTATTCCTATTGAACAAGTCGAATCTTGGGACAAAATCGTCAAACGTTTCGTCACTGGTGCCATGTCTTATGGTTCCATTTCTATGGAAGCTCACTCTTCTTTGGCCATTGCCATGAACAAATTGGGCGGTAAATCCAATACTGGTGAAGGTGGTGAAAAGCCTGAGCGTTCTATTCCTCTTGAAAACGGTGACTCCATGCGTTCTTCTATCAAGCAAGTTGCTTCTGGTCGTTTCGGTGTTACTAGTTTCTACCTTTCTGACTCTGAAGAATTGCAAATCAAGATGGCTCAAGGTGCCAAACCTGGTGAAGGTGGTGAATTAGCTGGTAGCAAGGTTTCTGAAGAAATTGCCAGTACTCGTAAGACAACTCCTGGTATTGGTTTGATTTCTCCCCCTCCTCACCACGATATCTACTCTATTGAAGATTTGAAGCAGTTGATTTATGATCTCAAGTGTGCCAACCCTCGTTCTCGTGTCTCTGTTAAGCTCGTATCTGAAGTGGGTGTTGGTATTGTTGCTGCTGGTGTAGCTAAGGCTAAGGCTGACCATATCTTGATTTCTGGTCATGATGGTGGTACTGGTGCTTCTCGTTGGACTGGTATCAAATACGCCGGTCTTCCTTGGGAACTTGGTCTTGCCGAAACTCATCAAACTTTGGTCTTGAACGATCTGCGTGGTCGTGTTATTGTCCAAACTGATGGTCAAATCAAAACAGGTCGTGATATTGCCATTGCTTGTTTGCTTGGTGCTGAAGAATGGGGTTTCGCCACTACTCCTCTTATTGCTCTTGGCTGTACCATGATGAGAAAGTGCCACTTGGTAAGTACATATATCAAAATTTCAAATTAATACTCATATTTCTGTTATAGAACACTTGTCCTGTCGGTATTGCTACTCAAGATCCTGAATTGCGTAAGAAATTTGAAGGTTCTCCTGAACATGTTGTCAACTTCTTCTTCTATCTTGCTGAAGAAATGCGTAGCATCATGGCCAAACTTGGTTTCCGCACTATCAATGAAATGGTTGGTCACGCTGAAAAGCTTAAGGTCAATGATGGTCTCCGTACTTACAAGACTGCCAACTTGGACTTGTCACCCATCTTGACTCCTGCCAGCACTCTTCGTCCTGGTGTTTCCAACGTCTGTATCACTAAGCAAAAGCACAACCTCCACGTTCGTCTTGATAACTACCTCATTGATGAATCTGAGGCTGCTCTTACCAACAAGGAGAAGGTCTACATTGAGACCGATGTGATCAACACTGATCGTGCTCTTGGTACCACTCTCTCATACCATGTCTCTAAGCGTCATGGTGAAGCTGGTCTTCCTGCTGATACTATCCATGTCAAGTTGAAGGGTTCTGCCGGTCAATCTTTGGGTGCTTTCTTGGCTCCTGGTATCTTCTTTGAATTAGAAGGTGACTCTAATGATTATGTTGGTAAGGGTCTTTCCGGTGGTCAAATTGCCATCTATCCCCCAAGAACTCTAGCTTCAAGTCTGAAGAAAACGTCATTGTTGGTAACGTTTGTTTGTATGGTGCCACCAGTGGCAAGGCCTTCTTCCGTGGTATTGCTGCCGAACGTTTCTGTGTTCGTAACTCTGGTGCTATTGCTGTCTGTGAAGGTGTTGGTGACCATGGTTGTGAATACATGACAGGTGGTCGTGCTGTCATTCTCGGTAGCACAGGTCGTAACTTTGCTGCTGGTATGTCTGGTGGTATTGCCTATGTCTTGGATCTTCAAGGTGACTTTAAGCAAAATGTCAACATGGAAATGGTTGAATTGGACACTGTCAATGACACTGAACGTATTGCTGAATTGCGCGATTTGATTGAAGACCATCGTCATTACACCGGTTCTGAAATTGCTGATCGTGTTCTCAAAAACTTCAATGAATACTTGCCCAAGTTCGTCATGGTTATGCCTACTGAATTCCGTGCTCTTTTAGAAAAGCAACGTGCTGAAAAGTTGGCTGCTGTCACTCCCAAGAAGGAAACCTGTGAAAAGGCTCACAAGAAATCTGAACCTCAAGTCGAAGACCTTGAAGACTCTGTCTTGAGTGAAGAAGCTATCTTGGCTCGTCGTGCCAAGTTGGACAAGGTCCGTGGTTTTAAGAAGTACAAGCGCAAGACTGATCCTTACCGTGATGCCAAGAAACGTGGTTCTGATTGGAATGAAGTCAATGTTCGCCTTACTCGTCCTGAGCTTCACGAACAAGCTGCTCGCTGTATGGATTGTGGTGTGCCCTTCTGTCAATCTGACACTGGTTGTCCTATTGGTAACATAATCCCCAAGTGGAATGAACTTATCTACAAGGATAACTGGAAAGAAGCTCTTGATCGTCTTATGATGACCAACAACTTCCCTGAATTCACTGGTCGTGTATGCCCTGCTGTAAGTGATTTATCTATGCATGAATTGTATTTTAACTCTATATATATATAGCCTTGTGAAAATGCTTGTGTTCTTGGTATTAATGAACCTCCTGTTGCTATCAAGAGTATTGAATGTGCCATTATCGACCGTGGTTTTGACGAAGGTTGGATTGCTCCTAACCCTCCTGCTCAACGTACTGGTAAGAAGATTGCTGTCATTGGTTCTGGTCCTGCTGGTTTAGCTGCTGCTGATCAATTGAACAAGGCTGGCCATCTTGTCACTGTCTACGACCGTAATGATCGTATTGGTGGTCTTTTGATGTATGGTATTCCCAACATGAAGCTTGATAAGAAGATCGTTCAACGTCGTATTGATCTCTTGGCTGCTGAAGGTATTACTTTTGTCACCAATGCTCATGTTGGTGTTGATGTCGATGTCAATACTTTGCATGAACAGAATGATGCCATCATTGTTGCTACTGGTGCTACTTGGCCCCGTGACCTTAAGATTCCTGGTCGTGAAGCCGATGGTATTCACTTTGCTATGGAATTCCTTCAAGCCAATACTAAGAGCTTGCTTGATTCTGAACTCAAAGATGGTCAATACCTCTCTGCTAAGGGTAAGAAGGTAGTTGTCATTGGTGGTGGTGATACTGGTAACGATTGTATTGGTACTTCTATTCGCCATGGTTGTGAATCTGTTGTCAACTTTGAATTGTTGCCTCAACCTCCTGCCACTCGTGCTTCTGACAACCCATGGCCTCAATTCCAACGTATCTTCCGTGTTGACTATGGTCATTCTGAAGTCAAGGCTCACTTTGGCAAAGATCCTCGTGAGTACTGTGTCCTTTCCAAGGAATTCATTGTTGAAAATGGTCAAGTCAAGGGTATCAAAACTGTTCGTGTTGAATGGACAAAGGATGCTGCTGGTCGATGGGCTATGGCCGAAGTTCCTGGCTCTGAAGAAACTTTTGAAGCCGACCTTGTTCTTCTTTCAATGGGTTTCCTTGGTCCTGAAGAAGCTGTCATTAAACAATTGAACATTAAGCAAGACGGTCGTTCCAATATTGAAACACCCAAGGGCAAGTATGCTACTTCTGTTCCTGGTGTCTATGCTGCTGGTGATTGTCGTCGTGGTCAATCTTTGATTGTTTGGGGTATTAACGAAGGTCGTATGTGTGCTCGTGAGGTTGATTATCAATTGATGGGTAGTACTTACTTGCCTGTTACTGGTGGTATTCAACAACGTATCCTTCCTAATCCTGCTGCTTAACTTGTATAGAAACAAAACACACTAAAATGTGCACATATTTATATATCACTGTATTCTTTATATTCCTTTTTTTTCACTTTTGTCATGTATGGGGGTACATGGTAACAGTGAATATACATACTTTTCACAATAAAAACGATTTAGATTTTTAAAAACAACTATTTTGGTTTCGTTTAGTTAAATTGACATTACATTTAAGCACACACAAAATGGCCAATAATGGAACTTGAAAATGAAAGTTGATACATACTCGTTCCTTATCTGTGATAGGGCGGAGGGCTCTTTTGTACATCCAATACTTATATAAAGTTTGAGTGTGCCTTTTAAACGATATCAATAAAAACTATCTACTTAGAACTTTTTGACTCTTCGTTATCGTTAAGTATGACCTCCTCGGCACCACTTTGGAGACAAATTGTTGATCGAGGCAAACAACTTACGTTTGTTGAAGTCAATAAGAAAAATGCCTCTGTCCAGCCAGTCAAATATTCGGCTAAACCAATATTCGAAAGTGATGAATTTGCCTCGAATATTATCAACCGTAAAGCCTCTACAATTGTAAAGCAGGCTTTGATTGATAGTTTGGTCCTTTTCTCCTTTCCCGTCAACTTGTGTCCCCTTTTTTTGGATGTTTATAATGCTATTACTCAACTACAGAAAACCACATCCAAAATCGTGTTTTTACTAAACACTACGTGAAGACGCAGTTATTTTGCTTAAATGTGATAACAAAAGTTTTAGAGCTTTGCTTTTTGAGTCTATTGATGTAGAAAACACACTAATTTTACTGCTAAAATGTTGAGAAAATAGACAAAAGTGTCTATAAGGTTTCTCGCTCATATCTCATTGTTTTTATTGTAAAATTAGCAAAGAAACATTTTGATCAAAACTAAAGCGTCCAACGTTTATTCTGAGTATTTAAGCTCGCTGATAGCTTCATTTTTCGTTTCATAGCATTAAAAAGAAGATCAGAAGTTGTCAGAATTAAGATTTTCATGAATAGTATCCTTTGGTCGAATGGCATATTTTGGCCATTTTTCACAAGTCGCTTTTTTTGGTCCAAATCGATTTCATAGGTACCATGAAAGTTAACAAACACTATTTGTAGGTAATTGGAGTATCTATGCGTGTATAAACTGACTTTAATAATACCTTCATTTGTCTGAAAAAAAAAAGCAAAGATTTGTCTGGTGTCTCTGTTACATGAATAAGGAACTAACTACCAAATTGTCTATCTATATACAAACACCTTATGAAGAAGGCGCTCGATCCTTCTCTATCAAAGGAAGGAAATAATTACTTATAAAAAACGTCAAAGCGTTTAAAAAAATGTTCTGTCATTTCAAACATTTTACTAATTCTATTTATTTATCCATCTACAGTTTCAAAACTATCAGACAGCTTACTTTGTTTCTTTTTGTTCTTCCTTTAGTTTATTCTTCATCTTATAAATATATAAAAAAAGCATACGCAAAGTATATCTACAAAGTTTCATCTATTAATTTAGATATAAGCTTAAATCTCTCGGTACCATTTGGCCCATAGCAAGCAACTTCATCATATATACTATCTGATACGAAAGTAATGCAAAAAACCACTTGTTTGTGCACCTCTCAATGCAATCAGGACAACAATTACTAATCCACTCAATTCCGAATTTAAGCATCTTATTAAAAAGTCTATCCCTTGTCTCTTTTTCCATGTTCTTTTTCAAGGTAAGTTTATATTGTTTAAAAGGATTATATTCTTATCTTGGTTGTTCTATAGATACGGAAGAATGGTGTCTATTTAGTGCTTTGCTTCTTTGGGGCTGTTTAGATATGAGGTTGCGTTGAAACTTGTGTAATCAAAGGCTAGGTATAACAGCTGATTGATTGCAAGACTGTCTCTCTCTCTCTCTGGTTGTGCTGATTTGGTTGGTGACCAAGGCTTGATCTACACAGTCTGGTTTCTTAGGTGCTTATAGAGTCCTCCGTCAAGATACACTACTGGTTCAAGGCTACCTTCATGATTGTGCTTTGCTTGGCTTGTGAATCTCACGATGATAAGGTTTTCTCTACTGCATTTGGCTTCATAAGCGTCTACAAGGTGATCTATCAAGCCATACTGCTGGTTCTTCAAGACCTTCTTTCCTAGTTCTGACTCTTTCTGGGAGTGGTTTCAGGTTTCTGTTTGAGAACCTGATCAACTGTTGCGCTGATAAGAAGAGGTGCCATTCTTTACTCTAGGTTTGTGTTGTGTCCTTCTCATTTAATGTAAGCTTCCTTTGTTGCTTTTACGTTCTATCTGCTACAGCAGTTTGTTTTATTCGGATTTTACTAGCCCTAGGATTTCACGATAAGGCTTTTTTTGTCTATGCAGATAGTAGGTTGCTGATTAGCCATGAGTTTGCGCCTTCTCTTTTCATCTATGATGATGACCAGTACTACTGTAGTTTCTTGATATCTACTAAGCTCACTACTTTTTATTCTTGCATCTTTGACTGATAAAAGTGATAATAATGTCTTTACTATGAACTTTTAGGAGATGTCTTTGATCAAGTCCTGTGTTTATGCATTGTCGAATGATATTTAGCTTAGGAGTAAAAGCAATGTGCGAGATCCACTTGTATAACATTTCGATTCACTCAATTCTATTGCTTATTTGATATCTTTCATCTTCAGTAGGAATTGATCAGAGTACCATTTGTTAGTCTTTTTTCCTTTTCTTCTTCTCTCTGCCAACATGATGATAAGAAAAGAGAGATCTTTTCAGATTCAGGGCAAACCCGAAAGAGAAGCAGTTGAAAGTCCGAGACGAAACGAGAGGTGACGAAAGAAAGAATTTTTTCTTCTCCGGGATCGTAACCTTGGGAAAGCCCCCAGCAAACAGTCCAGTTTTTTTTTTTTGTAACTGTTTTTTTTTCTTTCTTTCTCCTCCCTCTCTCTCTTTTTCTTCATATATTCATAATGGTTAACAGTGCTGTTGCAAATGTATGTACCTTATCACGTGCGACATGTCATTAATTTAAAATAGGTTGGACGTTGGTCTGCTTTAGCCTTCGGTCTCTTTTACGGTTACACCCACAACATCTCTTTGCAAAAGCAAGCTGAACAAAAAAAGGCCGAAAACGAATATCACCGTAAGGAACTTTTGATTGAACAAGCCAGACTTGCATATGCCAAGAAGCAAGCTGGTCAAGTTGAAACTCCTGCAACAGCTGTTACATGTAAGCTTTTTTTTTTTTTTTGATAGAACCATCTAAACTGTAACTAACTTTCAAACAATAGTCGATATTGAAAGCCCTGACTTTGATTTAGAAAAGTACATTGAACATATTGAAAAGGAAAGCAACTAAAAAGGCATTTTAAATAAATATGACATATCACCCAAGATCAACACAATACATCAACTGGAATAAAAAAAAAAAAAAAAAAAACTAAACATATCAGCATGTATGTTGAAGGACAATGAATTCTATAATCAAAAGCAAGAGAACGTGTATAAACAACAAAGGTTTTCATTGTGCTAAATTAGGTGGACGTGTTTAGGAAGAGTAAAGGGGGGTTTTTTTTCTATGATTATTTATCTCTCTCTCTTTTGCTTTTTTTTATTTTTATTTTTTCTATACATGATGGCATTTCAAGAAGATGATTGGGAAGTGGATATAAATTTGGGTTCAGATCATAATGTATTTCAGCGAAAAGGCATTTTTAACTATGAGCCAGATAAAGAACTCGCATTAGCTTGTGAAAGATATCAATACCCAACTCCATATTTTGATGAAGATGATGATATTGACTCAAGTGTAGCTAGCAGTAGTATAATTTCAAGTCGATATTCTGAATTATCACTCCATAATCTAGACGATTTTATGTATGATGAATCTCCTGTAGAGACAATCATACCAAACAATCAAAATCTACCTGGTATGATTAAAAGACTTGGCTGTAAAAAACAAGCACAAGACAATGATGATTGGAATGATGATATTGAAATACCCACTCGTGTCTCATTTGTGTCTCCCAAGAAAATATATGATCAAATCAATTTTGATGACGATGATGATGATGATATTGGACCTTCAGTAAGTCAAAGAGGAAGTCAAGTTCAACCTAGTTTTACATACCAAGAAGAACAAGAAGAACAAGATGAGATGTCAGGCTTAGATTTCCCTGAAAACTTGTCTGGTTTATCTAGAAAACTAGACGAAAAGAAAAGATTGAATCCTGAAAGACCTTGTTTTATTCCTAAAGCCAATGTTGAAAAACCTAAATTCTTTGCTAAAATACAACGAGAAAATGATGATGATGATTTTTGTGATGGTCTTGATATCAAAGACAAAGTATTCAAGACCAGTGCTTATCCATCCAAATTGCCTACATTGCAATCACGCTCAACACCGCCCGGTTCGACACCGAAAGGGAAAGTGGCGACAGGTAATTTTGTAAGCCGCTTGGCAAGACCTACAACCTTCAACAAATCGTCTACGGATACAACTAAGAAACCTCTTTTGCAACAGAGACAAATGCCTACGATTCGACGTAATTACCTGGCAAACACACACGCAACCATGCATAGGGAAGCAGAAACGACAGCCAAACGCACACCTCAATTCTACAAGCAACAGAAACCTACTGCAACAAGGCAAACTCAACCATTGGGCATGCATCCATCCGTATCAAGAAATTCAGAGACAACAACCTTCGAAAGAAAAAGCGCAAATAACTATACCTTGATCACAAAACCCAAGACAAAAGTAGCTACTGGTTATTGTTCACAACTGGACAATTTAGATAATCTGAACGATTTGCGTTCATCCATACCAGCCAGAAAAATAGGGTTTCGATATACCAGACCTGATACAAAGGCTGAACCTGAACGTCCTTGGCGAAGACATACACAGGTAAAATATACATCCATGTTGATCTGTCTTTTGATGAAATTCCTTCTAGTCGAGTAAAGTCAAATTGATTCAACCCAATGAACAAAACTTAAAGAAAGGTAACTATTTAAAGAGTGGCCTTGTTGTTAAAATCAATAGAATACAACGATATGAAATATGATGATAGAACCCATAGCTGGAAAGGAAATGAATCAAGCCTGATTGAATTTCAAGAAAAAAGGCGTCCAAGACTGATGTTGATGACAAACAAACAACAAAAGCCTAGTAAATATGCTGCTGCTGTAGGCAATCATATGATATTTCATGCTGAATCACAAAAATGGGTCTCTGCTTTTGGCATATCAGAAGAGTGCAATGAGTTGGATCAAATTGAAGACCTGAATGAAGAAATGCGTCAAATACCTCAGCGTACAACACAGTGTGCCAATAACATGCTTGAATTCAAACTGTCTGTGGAAACCAAACGACAAATGATGTATGAACAAGAACAACACGAAGCTTGGATTAAACATTGGCCATTGAAATCAGAAGAAGCTCAAATAACAACATGCTCAGGACAGCTTGTTGGTGCCTCAAAGTATTGTTTATTTCGACCATTTGAATAAAATGTGCATTTCTTAACATCTTAAAAAGGAAATCGTTTACAATCTCTCCTTATTCATACACATTTACGGAACTTTTTTTTTTTTTTTTTTTTTTTTTTTTTTTTTTTTGATATTTAAGTGATTCTCCTTCTTTTTCTACTTTTTTCTTTTTTTTTTATAACTAAAAAAAAAAATGATGACAGCCGATAATTCAGCTATTTTTACAGAAACCAATGATTTAATTGCTCAAATGGCTGAACTTGAGGTAAAAGATGATTACTTGTCTATCAATTAAACGTTCATCAGGGTGGACTACACGCCTTGTTAGAAAAAGTCAAGGGGGATTCACAAATGACCAAAGTAAAGTATACCTGATGTTGTTATGTTCTAGTTGACAAGGAGACAATAGGATATTTCGACATTTCTAAAAAAGAGAGCATTTTTAGAAGAAAGTTATGGTAGGGATATGGTCAAAGTGGCCCAGGCAACAGCTGAAGCATTTGATAAGGCACATCCAAAATCAGGGTAATAGAATGACGCGATTTAATGTGTATTGATCTGATCACAGAACATTTGGTGATGTCTGGATATCGATGCTCAAGGTACATGAGAACATTGGAAACCAGCGCATCAAATTCGCTGCTTCTATCTCAGATTCAGCAGAAGATTTGTTATCATTAGGCAGAAATATTGAAAAAGACAGAAAGAAGGTAAATTGAATACATCAAGTTTATCAGTATTGATGCGATATGTAGATTAAAGATGCTGGTATGCATTACGAAAAATTAGTGGCTGATGCAGATTTGCAGTTGGAAAAAGTATGGAGAAAACACACACACACACACAAACTGATTGTTTGTAGAGTAAGCAAAAGTTTGAAAACACAAATGAAGAATGGGGAAGGGCTGTGTCACAAAGAAATCAAGAACCTACACAAGCAACAAAAAAAAACCTGTTTAGATCCAGTAGGACACCTGCTCAAGTAAGTTGTGTTTTTACTCTATGGTCTATATCTTACCTGGTTAGCTTGATCGAACAGAAATTGATTGCAGAAACAAAATGGATGCTGCTGATGCTCAATACAAGGCTCAACAAAAAAAGACGATTCAAACACATGCAGAATATTACGAGACACATTTACCAAAAATACTTCGGGTAATGTTGTTGTGCGCTATCAACCAAGTCCATACTCAAGTAGATGTATTAGGACTTGAAAGCAGTGGATGATGAATGTAGTGTGGCTCTTCGATATCAATTAGCTAGTTATGCGTACACATTTGAACAAGCATTAACAGAAGATGGGTTAGCATTAGATAATGATCAAGGTAAACAGACCAATGGAATAAGGGGAGGGGGATTTCTTTTTATTCACACATATACATGCATAGGCAACGGACTAAGAGGATTAATTACCAAGATTGACAGAGAAGCAGATTGGACAGAATTCGTACGATTATGTGCAGAACGAAGCGCAAAGATTCAAAAGGCAGATAGTGTCCAACACGATCATATGGTAAATAAGAAACAACTGGTTAGAATCTCAACTAACTTCTTCAAGGCCATGATGAATGGAAATTTTAGCAATAACCAAGTATTTGGTGTTCCACTTGAGCAACAGGCAGAGATGTCAGAAGATATGGTCCCTGATATTCTAAAGCAATGCGCTACTGTGGTTGAACAATACGCATTAAGTTCTGTAGGTATCTATCGTTTGTCTGGCACAAGCAGCAAGATACAAAAGCTCAAGTACAAATTTGAAAGTGGGGATCCCAATCCTATCTCAGAAGAAGACTTGTCAGATATCAATAATGTGACAGGCGTATTAAAGCTTTGGTTCAGAGAACTGCCTGACCCATTATTCCCCTCTGCAACCTATCATCAATTTTTGGAAGCTGCGAGTAAGTGAAAGACATGTCTGTAGCGTATGTATATACATATATATATATCTCATGGTACTATAGAGTTATCTGATGATCGTAGCCGAGTCATTGGTCTGCATACAATTATCAATGAATTATCAGATGCACATTATGCTACACTCAAATATCTCATGTGTCATCTTTATAAGTAAGTTCTCTTTCGTATGTCTATTGTTGACTAAAGAATGTGTAATAGAGTTCAATCGTATCAACGATTTAACAAGATGGGTGCTGCCAATTTGGCTACTATTTTTGGCTTAACTTTAATGAGTAATGAATTAGGCTCTCAGATACAGATGTCTAGTCATGATAATCAAAGATTTGCAGAGTCACAGTTACAAGCTAAAGTTGTTCAGACGATTCTAGAAAACTACACGGAAATTTTTGAAGAGGAATAAAGAAATAAGTGTGCATTCCTAAAGACTGATAGCTAGAAAAAAAAAGAGCATGGTATTAAACTTAAAGTATGGTTGTGAAAAGAACCAAAGGAATACTGCAGTGCGCTCTTTTCATATAAAAAAAAAAGGAAAGCTCTTGAATGTTCTGAATAAGGCCAAGTTAATTTGGACAATAAGTGTAAAATGCTCTTTTTTGTTTTTTTATTATTCATATGACATTTTTGATGTCAAAAAGGGCCGAGGTCTTTCATGCAGTATCCCTTAACGAGAGCTCCACATTCCATCAATACTTTTTTTGACATATTAAGCTGAATAATGCAGCTATATCAACTTATACAGCCACACAGAAAAAATATCGGATGTGTTTTCATGATTTTTGAGAATAAGTCGCCTAAAGTAGAATAGATGAACACTGTAAACCGTGTAAAATAAAAGCTTAGGCTGTTTATTTAACAAAAATGATATTTGATGTAGCCACTATTTGCATCAATCACAGCTTAGTATTGGTTGGTCATATCTGTTACTAATTCATCTGCCTTTTATTCTTTGCTCTTTCTTATAACCTAATATAAATATTATTAATGTACCTCATGCTTTGCTTAATTTCTAGAATTTAACTTTTGCTTTTTAATGAAGTGTAGATATTCCCAACATGACTATACATAATTTTTGCCTTTAAGCCTTTATTGTCTTATCAAAACTGTGCTTGAAAATGAAAAAATGTATAATAGTGGAGGATTTAACAGAAAAGAGCACACTTAAAAGTAGTAGTTTTATTTATTTATTATGCTCATATCTAAATAGATGACATACAGCATAGTCTTCATGATAGCAGTATTTTAAAACACCATTTCCTTTTTGTAAAAATAATGAATCAGCACTCCAATGTAGCATTTTTAACGGAGTTTGAACCATGCTTACAAGTATGGATTAACGCGCACACAAGGGTAGTCCTGCCTCTCGTTTATTATTTTCTTAATCAAGAATGGATCCTTACGAGTACACACAAACAGTCGATCATGAAGTTCATGAAGTAGACGAAGACGAATTGCAAAAGCTTGAGAAGGATTTAGCACCCACCTCTACTGATTTCTATGGCGTCTTAAATATTTCTAGAAAAGTATTAAACCATTATTATGTTAATTCAGTATTGACCATGCCACCTTTTAGGCAACTGAAGAAGAAATCAAAGATTCCTATAAAAAACTGTGTCGTTTCTTTCATCCTGATAAGGTAAGAACGTTTGGTTGATTGACCATATTAACATGGCGTAGCATACAGACGAAACAAAGAAAAAGATGGCAGAGTCGAGATTTCAAGTGATTCAAAAAGCCTATGAAGGTAAGACAACGCCATGCATCACAAAAGTATTTATATCAATATACAGTATTAAGTGATCCTCAAAAGAGAGTGATCTATGATACTTATGGTGAAGAAGGACTCAATGCAACTTGGGATCTTGGACCTCGTTACAAGACACCTGAAGAAGTAAGAAACAGAATACTCAAGTACTTTGTATTGACCATTGTCTAGTTGAGAGAAGAGTATGAAAACAAGGCTCGTCAAAAGCGAGAACAAGATTTAGAAAACTTGGTTCGATCCAGAAGTGAATTCCAATTGACTTTAGATGCTACTCAAGTCTTTGATCCTTATGAACCACCTGTCTTTGTTGGATTTGGACAAGCAGTACCTCAACCTAAAAAGAGAGGCCCATTGTATGCACTCACAAAACTCCAATCACAGCAATTGTTTATGCGACATTCATTTGAGGTATACTTTCTTAAACATCAATAACCTTATTTATCCTTATAGACACAAATTGGTCCTCAAACACATGCCATAGTAGGTGGGACCATGGTTTCGCGTGCTGGTATGGGTGGTGGCAACATCTTGGGTACTGTTCGTCATACTGTCTCTCCAAAATTATGGGGTGAAGTAAGTAATTTGTACAATCAAAATAAGCGCATTAAATCTCTATAGTTGACTGCCACTCTATTGAAACCAAGAATGTTGACACTTAAGACGTATTATTCAGTCTCTTCAGATAGGTAAGCCATAAAATCCAAGATGGCTGTATTCATATGTCCTAGTTTTGTCAATTCAACTGCTCAATTGAATTCAATCTATGATCCTCCTGTGCTTACTGTCACAGCAGGTCGTCGATTGTTTGCAGCTACAACAGGCTATATTACTTATCGTACAGGTGAATGGTCCGTTCTCGGATGGGGAGGTGATGCTTCTCATAAAATGGATAAATCTTCTGTATCACTTGGTATGGCTGGTATGAACAAAAAAGCTAATTATAGTGGTGAAATTCAAGTAAGAAATACTGATGTGTTGACAATGGACTGACTTTTATAGACGGGTATCATGTCATCTCATCTTGCTGGTGAATATGCTTACAAGTTACCTAATCAAGCCCGTCTTCGTTTATCATGTACCTTGTCATCTCAAGGTGGTATTATGGCCAGTATTGGCAGTGATCATAAATTATCTCAACATACAAGAGCTGGCATGTCTATGGAATGTGGATTACCTTCAGGTGTCATTATTAAATTCAGGTAAGTAAGAAACAAAGGGGGAAGCAAAAAGGGGATTGATTAAGGGACTTGTTTTAATCTGTTTGTTTAGGGTCTCACGTCTTGGACAAAAGGCTGTGTTACCCATCATCCTCTCAGCCGATTTTGATCTTAAATTAGCGTTCTTCGGGGCCATAATTCCAGCTTCCGTTGCTTTGGCCCTTGATCAATTAGTATTGAAACCCCGCAGAAGACGATTAATTCAACAGTAAGTTTTGAATTTCTGTAGATTCCAAATGATTAATTCTGTGCAGAAAAATCAATGAATTAAGAGAAGAACATGCTGAATATCTCGCGAATCGCAAGCAAGAAGCATTAGATGCACAGGCATTGATGGTTGACATTGCCGAAAGAAAGAAAAAGCAAGAAGAAGAAAAACAGGATGGTAAACAACTTTCTTGTTTATTTGTTATTTTATGCTGACCTGTTGATAGGCCTGGTTATTGTTAAGGCGTTGTATGGTCATTCTCAAAACTTGGATAATAATGAAGAAGGAGTGATCGACGTAACCATAGTGATTCAGACGCTTGTTCATGAGTCGAGACTGACTATCCCAGGCGGACACTCAAAGGTAACAGAATTTGATAAGTATATTACTAAAAAAAATATATAGTCAAACATTCTCGGTTTCTATGATCCTTGCTTGGGTGAGAAGAAGAAACTCCTTGTACAGTATAGATTTAGACATAGACTTCACCAAGTAACTGTTGAAGACACAGCTGCTTTAATTTGTCCTGCTCAAGGTAAGTAGAATAATTTTATTGTAGATTGATTAATTGGTTTGGTTAGCACATCTTGTTTGAATTTTGTCCTAATTTGTAAAGAATATAAAAATAAATACTGTTACACCAACATCATAATAAAACAATCTGGTGGCAAGAGTGCGGCAACCAGGGGGTGACCACTCGCACAAAATTTTTTTTTTATTATTTTTTTAAGCCAATAAATGTACGTATTAGGACGATATTTCACCTTTTGGATGAAAATAGTAACAAAATTCTTCATAATAAAACTCCTCTTCAGTTTTATCTAATTTATTTTTTTTCTTTCTTTTTCTTCTTTTATGTTGAGCCTTTTTCTCTCTTTTTCTTTTTTCTATATATAATTATTTTCTGTACATAATTTTTTTTTTTCATAATAAACTATTAGAATTTATTTATATTCATCATAAATAAATGTCAAATCCAAACAGTCGACAACAAGGTTACCGACCTGATCCACGGTTGTCACAGCAACAACAATATGCCATGAGACCTCAATCACAGCAACCTAGAAGTGGTGGTCAACAGCGCATACAATCTTATGGTATGGATCAATTCTCTCGTCCTCGTCCTCCACCTCATAACCAACAACCAAGCAGTCGATCTCGTCCACAGCAGCCACATCAACAGCAGCCACACTACCAATCTTCTAGACAATCCCGTAACATGTATGCCAATACTGCAGGTAGTACAGGTAGTGGAAGCAGTGGAGGTAGACAGATGCGCTCTCATGGTGCTGGACAGCCTATGATGCCTCAACAGCAACAACAGGGCCCTTATCGTCGTGTCAGTATGAACCGCTCTCGATCCCTTTCTCGTCCTGAACGACAAAGACCCAAACAAGGCATGTTCCGATCTCCTTCTCAGCAACAACGTATGATGATGCAGCAACCAGGTCGTTACAATGGTCCACCCAATGCTGGTATGCGAGCTCGCCCTAATCCTATGCCTAATCGATTACAACATCAATTACAACAACAACAAAGAATGTATCAACAACAAGAAGCTGCCATGGTGATGCAGCAAGAACAAACAAAGCAACCCGAAAAACCTGAAGAAAAAGTCAAGGTTCTTACCAGTTGGTGGGCTTGGATGGCTTACTTAATGACATGTTGTATTCCAAACTGGTTTATTCGTATCTGTTTACGGAAAAAAGAACCAATGGTACAACAGGCTTGGAGAGAAAAAGTAAGTCAAGACAAAAAAATCTAAAAATAATATTTATTTTATTTTTTGGTGATATAGCTGTCTTTAGTATACATTATTTGCATTCTTTGTGGTGCACTTGCATTTATTACTTATGGTCTTAACAAGACATTATGTCCTACAGCTGAAGGCAACTCACCATTCTCACAAGTCTCTAATGGTGTTCGAGTCCCAGTCTATTACAACGATGTCCGAGTGTTTGGCTCAATTTATAAAATGGATGATATGAAAAACTTTTTTGCTACTAAGGGCTTGAACCTCACTAACGATTACGAAAACACAGATATCAGTAGTATTTTTAGTGGCGACACAAACAATTACTGTGGCGGATTTGCCAGCACACAAACTACTTGTTACTTAGTTGATCCTTACGGTGGTGGTATGGCAGCACCCAACAATACTTGTTTATCTCTTGCTGAATTACAAAGTTATGCTAAACCTACCGGTGTTCTTGGCTTTGATTGGGCAGATTTAAATAAAAATCTGGTTTACGGCCGTGGTCTAACTCTAGTTGGTGATTCAGGTAACCTATACTCATTTTTTTTATATCATGTACTAAACACCATTGTCATAGTTTTGAATTTGACAACTTATGTTACTGGCACCAGCACGCCTTATGGCTCAGATGTCGACCAAGCCATTCGCAGTAACCTCGCAAGTGATTTATCTTTTGCTTTATTGTACACCAAGAATGGTTCAGCAGCACGTAAATGCTTGCAAGCTCGTTACAAAGTCGGTATTATGGAAACAGAGACAGGTGGATGTATTGCTGATAAAATCATCATGACACTCATGTTGGTCGTTATTATTGCCATGATTGTCGTTCGTTACTCTATGGCCTTATTGTTTCAATGGTTTATTTCTCGTCGTTTGACTAAGCCCGGCGGCAGATCGAATTGGTTGGCTTGGCGTTCAATCAAGGGTGGTAACGATGATCCCGCAAACCATATTCCAGGTCCTTACAATAACTATGGGCCTATGCATGTTCAGAATAGTTCATCTACTTCTTTGGGATCCGGTTCTTCTCGTGGTACGCCTGCCTTTAGTGAACAAAGTTCCGCTGTGGGACTCGGCGGTGCTCAATCCGATATTGTAACTACCGAATTGTACACTGTGTTGTTGGTAACTTGTTACTCCGAAGGTGAGGAGGGTCTTCGAATCACCATGGACAGTTTGGCTGAAACCACTTATTCTAAAAAGCACAAGGTAAAAAAAAAGAGTGAGTGTTGTATTCTATGATATTTATTATCTATTAGATTTTCTTTGTTATTGCTGATGGTATGATTACAGGTGCTGGTGAAACCCAATCTACTCCGGATATTGTTGTCAGTATGATGGATCTTGATCCTACCATGACCAATCCTAAGCCCGCTTCTTATCTTGCTATTGCTGATGGTGAAAAACAATTGAACATGGCTAAAGTGGTAAAGTTTGTTTTGTTTAAAGTTGAGATGTATATTAAATGTATAAATAGTATGCTGGTCATTATAAGGGTGTGCCTTGTATTACCATTGTCAAATCAGGTACAGAAGAAGAAGCAGATGCTCCAAAGGCTGGTAATCGTGGTAAACGTGATTCCCAGGTAAAAGAAAAAAACGGTTTGTTTATTTGAGGCTCATTGTTTGTTGTAGTTGATTTTGATGAGTTTCTTCCAAAGAGTTTTGTTTAACGACCGTTTATCGGAGCTCGATTATGAAATCTTTTGGAAAATGACTTGGTTAATGAAAGGCGTCACACCTGATAAATTTGAGTTGGTTCTAATGGTAGGATATAATCATCAGCCGAGGTTCATTGCTGACTTCTATTAGGTGGATGCTGATACTAAAGTTTTGCCCGACGCACTTACGTACATGGTAGCCGCCATGGCTAACGACATCACTATTATGGGTTTATGTGGTGAAACAAGAATTGCCAACAAGAGAACATCATGTAAGTTATATATTTATTTATTTAAACAATGCACTGATTACATTTTAGGGGTTACTGCTATTCAAGTATTTGAATACTATATTTCACATCATTATGCAAAGGCATTCGAATCTTTGTTTGGTATCGTAACATGTTTACCCGGTTGTTTCAGCATGTACCGTATCAAATCTCCCAAAAATGGTGCCTGGGTACCCATTTTAGCCAATCCCGATATCATTCTCGAATATAATCAAAATGTTGTCACTACATTGCATGAAAAGAACTTGTTGCTTTTAGGTGAAGATCGTTTCTTGTCTACCTTGATGTTGCGTACCTTCCCTCGTCGTCAAATGATGTTTGTGCCCCAAGCTCGTTGTAAGACTGTTGTGCCTGATGAATTCAAAGTGTTGCTTTCTCAACGTCGTCGTTGGATTAACTCTACTGTTCATAACTTGATGGAATTGGTGCTTGTCTCTGATTTGTGTGGTATTGCTTGTCTGTCTATGCAATTCTCTGTCTTTGTTGATCTGATTGGTACACTTGTGTTGCCTGCTGCTATTATCATGACCTTGTATTTGATTATTAGTTCTGCTGTCACAAGTGAACCTCAATGGCAATCACTCGCTTTATTGATTGCCGTCTTGTTCCTTCCTGCTGTATTGATTGGTATTACCACATTTAAACTCATTTATATTTTATGGATGTTGGGTAAGTTTGTTTATTGTTATGTACGTCTATTGACATGTCATTGCTAGTCTATATTGTTGCTTTGCCTATCTGGAATCTTGTCTTACCTGTTTACTCTTTCTGGCACTTTGATGATTTCTCATGGGGTGCCACTCGTGTTGTTGCAGGCGCAGAGAAAGATAAAGGCCATGGTGATGCTGAAGGTAAATTTGATCCTACCCGTCTTGTCATGAAGAAATGGGAAGACTGGGAAACCGAAAGAACAGGCCAAAAGTTCAGCAAGAAAATGACACTCAAAACACCTCTTGATTCTCCTACTGCCTTTGACGGCAAGAACACAGTGACTCCTGCCACTGCTCCTTTTGGTACAATATTTAATGATAGAAAAATGTTTAGTGCTTCGCCTGCACCTACCATCTCTTCCACTACTCCATAATTTCTATTTATAATATGTATATCCCCCCTTTTTTATAAAAAAATAAAGTGTATAAATACAAGTTTATTAGCATTCATAATCAAAAGCAAGTACATCTTCAAATGTTTCTTTGTATTGAGATAAAAAGTCCTGGTGGGGTTTGGAGTTTGCATAAATAGGAAGATCCTATTTAATGAGGAAAAAAAAGTTAATCTATGCACATACTTATCTATACTCTCACCTCCTTTTTATCTAATTCAATGACCCAACCCCATTCATATCCTTTTCCTCTATCTGTGAAATTCTTTCCTGCAGTGACACTGGTAATTTCAGGGATAGTTTCTTTTAAAGCCAAAATAGCTTGAGCTGTTGCTTCTTTAGCTTGTTCAGTTACTTCAGGCTTAAACTTGACAATGACTAACTAATAAATAAACATGCCTTTATTATTATTGTTATTTACCAATATGAACAATCTTGGTCATTTGTAAAGATAAAGAAAAAAAAAAAAAAAAAGAAGAAAAGGGGAATATTCGCGTCAAAAGTGGACAAAGTCACAATACTGTTATGCATCTCTTAATTTACGTACCACTTGAAGATAATCTGAAATATAGTCTGATTTACGAACAAGTTCAAAAGTTTTGATAGCATTTCGATACCAATCTTTTTCAGACACTTGTCCTTTTTTACCTGCTCTTCGAGGAGCAGCAAAGACTTGATCTCTCAGGGCAGATATGAGTGTATCAAACGACTCGACTTGAGTCTTTTCTGACCAATCAGGTAAGAAGAATGCATTTGCATGATGCTGGCTGCTTTTGAATAGAGGCAACACATCACTTAAACCAACGAGACCTAATGCTCTGATGAGCCTTACGGCCTTTTAGGGTGTTTTTTCTTACCTTGTGTCTTGAGTTGAGATCCTTCAAAACATTCAGTCAAAATACGATCGACATGGCTGTATTTTTTAAATGTAAATTCTTGTTTTTGGCACTTGTTGCATACAAACACCATATCAGGATAATAATGCATGTCTTGTTGACCTGTCAGTAAAGGAAAATCAGGTAAATTAAACTTGAGCATGACAGCGCGTTGTAAAAGACGCAAAAGGTCCATGTCCAATTCAGGTCCATCAGATACCACAAGCACGATATTACAGACAGACATCATAAAGATGATATTATACAGGTTTTCCATCTCTAGCCACAAGTCTGGGTGAAGGCCACCCAAGGATCCAGATCGAAGTACTTTGTCCAAGACTGTCCAACTCAAGACAGGCTCTGTGTCGAGTAAGATGGCTCGTTCAGGTGTAACATACATATCTATTCCGTCTGTCTTATGGCCTTGGTAAAGAAACTGATCATTTTCTTGTGCAGGAAATATCTAGTGAGTCCATCAGTCATGAGATGTCTGATGAAACGCATTACCTGTGTTGTATTGGGTGCAAAATGAGAAAGAATGGTGGATTTACCTACACCCTGTTTACCAAGAATACCAATCACGAAATGACCTGGATAGTCTGTCAACATCTGCATAAAAGAATCAACCCATGAACAATGCACACTCTAAACATTACCTTCAGAATAGCATCTGTATTGAACTTGTTGGGTCGACGCATGAAGGGAATAGAAGCAGACGATGGTTCCGTATCCATAAATGTTGATGCCTTTTTAATCTCGGGCTCATTACTTGTTGTATGATGAGTAGTCGTAGATTCAGATCGCTCCCGTCTATCTAGAATGATGGGCGCTTGAAGAAATGATGGTCGATGTGCTGAATCATTCTAATAACATGGATCCACGATTAAAGATCCATGACCTGAGAAGAATTTTTTTCTTTTTTTTTTACCTTGCGTCTGTCCCTTCTTTTATCATGGTCTTTGGTTCGTTTATCAGACATAAAGACACGTACCACTATAAAAAGCAACCCAACAAATAGATGCGCTTCTTCACTTCTGCTTCTTTTATGGATTTGACACTCCGAAAAAGCTGCACCAGCGCGTTACTGTTTCCGTCCACTTTTTTCTTGTAGTCATCATGTCACAAACAAAGGATATCAGCTTAAAAAGTATCTATGGCGCATTAAGACACCCTCAAGCTCAAAAATCAGCTCAGACTCGACAGTTACTTACCACAGCCTCCACACAAACGATCGATCAAGTCCTTCGAAAGATCCTCGGTTATGCAAAACGAGAACAGACAGACTGGCCAACCAACCGTCTGGCTCACATGGTCGCATTTGTATTCAGCATGGGATTTAAGCATGCGGTCATCAGCCTTGCATCATTTAAAGCCTGTCTGCGTTGGTTAGTCGACTTATTGCATTCAAGTCAAGATAAAGCCACGCTGCGTTATGGTCTGAAATGCATCTGCATTGTGTTTGAAGCCATTCAGACAACCACAGGGGCTAACCTATTAGCTGATTTTGTGGATCGAAAAGGAATACAGATACTATTGATATTGGCTCAACATGAAGAACAGTCAATTCAATTCTATAGTTTGCGTGCACTTAATGCTCAAGCAACGTATTTCAGCAAGCCATTGAATGAATCCTTGGATGGGTACACTGTATGCACTCAATTACTGTCAGACATGCCCACCGCACTGAATACATTATGGATTGTACCACCACCTAGCGACATTGCTCAGCGCGAGGCCGAATTGAAGCAATCCATGCTGACATGTCAATTACTCCGGTCCATGCTGAAACATCCAAATACAGAATACCAAGTTGGATTTGCAGAGTCCAATGGGTTTCGGTCCTTAGCTCGCGTCTGGTGTTGTCTCTGTCATTATGAATACACGCTAGCCACACACCAAGAACCACCTCAGCATGCAACGTCACAACAAAAACTCGTCTATGTACTGACATGTGTGATTCAACACTGTACATCCATCTCCAAAAAAGCAGCAGGGTGTGTTTCTGAAGAACATGTACGGGCTAAATGGCAGCCCCTCTTGTCTGTCTATATGCAACGATGGATTTACGATACGTGTTGTACTATGAATACGCCCATGTACACACTTGAATCCTTAGCAGTCGATAAGACTATCATGAACAAAATGATTCAGATCTCTTTAGATATCGTGCCTGTACTGCAACACCATATGTATTGGCTTGATTACGTGGATCAAGCCGTGTGTGATTTAACCAATTTTATGCTAGCCTATATCTCTCAGCCTATTTTACCAGAACATGTCACTACCATGGGCAAACCCAACACTGTCTTGCACAACAATCTCTGTATTGATGTAGATGAACGAGGTTATCAGTTTCATGCTGATATGCTTCAGCAGCACCAAAGTGTGTTTGTCTTGATACTCGAATCATTTATTCAACATGTACAACTGGCTTCTCTGTCTTTGGTCCAATTGGTCTGTGGACGTGCTGCTTGGTGTCTCAAGTCTTTGGCGACTGTGCTATCCAATGCAGATCAACTAGATACATCGCCTTTACGATCTCGCATCTTGAAACTGATTGTGTTCTTTTTACATTATGATGATGCGATCGACACATTAGCCACATCCACAACAAGCATCACCCCCTTTATTTGGGGAACCACCATTGAGATGGCCAAACAAGGGCTTATGACAACCTGTATTGATACATCTGAATCCTCGAGTGTGATCTACAAGGCCAAACGTGCATTTGTGTCTCTGGAAAAGATATCCCATCATCACCGTGCTTGTGAACGTCTTGTGGATTGTGATGTGCTTCAGTTAGTCGATCTGGATCTGATTCCTTCAGGGCAAGTCATCGATCAATATCCTTCCTTATTATCCATGTATGCTGTCTATTGTCGATTCCTTGCTGTTTTGTCGCGACGCACAGCCTTTGTGAGGACCAAACTCCGTGATCAATACCATCTGTTTCCGATCACCTTAAAACTACTGCACGAAGCTGTTGCATTAAGAGAACATCATCGTGTGAATGATGTCTTTAAGGCTTGGAATCAATTGATCTCAAGCTGTCTAATGTTGATCAGTGCATTTCAATACGATGAACTATCGATGCAACAATGGCTTTGTTGGAAACAAGAATCGTCTGTCCTCACTCCTCTTTTGGCCATCTTGTTTCCTTGGAAGGAAGCTGTTGACTGGGCAGCCATGCATCGCTATGTGGCATCGGATTTGGATGTGATGCTCAAAGCAGCACAACTGTTGGATCAACTGTCGTGTCATTCGCTTTGTGGAAGACAGTTTGTGAATGACACAGCTGCATTGCCCAACCTGTCTCGACTGATGATCTGTTTGACTACCACTGATCCATCAATGCAATGGATCATCACACAAGCATCTCAAGAGACACCTCAATTCCAATGTGCTGATTACTTAAAAAAGAGCATGATGCGTATGCTCATGTCGCATGAAAATATGCAGTTCAATATCCTCCGTGATGCATTTACCAACGCCTTTCAGCCTATGCTCTATCATCCCAACGCAGGCACTTCACAAGCCTACTGGCGACATTTGATGTGTGATGCATTGTACAAGCACAGATTCAGTGATTTCAATCGACTGTATCGGTTCACGCAAGACGGAGACAATGCGATCAAGTTGCATGACTTTACAGCAGTAGCAGTTGCCTATACAGCCATGGGTGCACCTACACAAGAGGCATGGAATGATGTCTTGGGCTTCAACCATCTAGATCAAGAATGCATAGCTGCTTCAAAGCATGTGTTTGGTGCGTTGTGTCAAATGTTGGTATATGAATTAGAGTATGAAGAAGAAGATGACGATGATCATGGCCAGGATACGTTGTTGAGTCAGATCACACCGTTGCGTCGGCATGCAGCAGCACAAGTGATGGAGGCCATGTCACTTGAATTTGAAGTGATCTGGCAAGCGCGGCCTGTACCAACACAAGATCCAGATACCCCTCTTCCTTCCCTAGAGCCTGTAGAAACAGTGACATTCGTGACGGATGACAACAGACATCTTCAGGCTCATCGTCAACTGTTACGTACTTGCTCGCCTATCTTTGAAGCCTTGTTAAGTGGTGATTATGCAGAATCCGCTTCAGACAGCCTTATACCATTACACGATGTGAGTTTTCATAGCCTAGAACTGTTGATGAAAGCCATGCATGGATCTCCTATTGATGGTCTCTCTTGGCAAGACATGGTGGAATTACTCAAGATGTCAGATCGGTTTGGTGCAACAGTTGTCAAACATGCCTGTGAGCATTGGGTGTTGCAAAAAATAAAGCAACTTGGCAAAGACAAGGCAGAACGTAAGGTCTGTTTAGAAGGCATGGTAGGCCTGTATCGACAGTGCCGAGACCCTATTGAAAAAGATGCTGGTATTGCATCAGACACATGGCCCTTTGCTGTGGTGCTACGTGAATGCCTCAAGACGATTTTGATGTACATGTCAGAATCCAGTCAAACAATAGCATTTTTAGAGATGGTGAAAGAAAAGAATATAGAAGAATTAGATGCTTTCTGTGATGGTCTAGCGAGTCTATTGAAAAAATAATAAAAATAATAGAAAATCAGGCAAGCGAGATATGTTCTGTTCTGTTTCCCATTTTGATGTAAATTTTTGAAATAAAAAAGGTTTGATGGGTAATGTGCTGAATGGCACTGGAAGGTATGGACAAGGATTCAACCTGCTGTTGATTTAAGGACCAAGCAATACTGGTATGAAATCGAGGAGGATGATAAAAGACAGGTTTATGGTATTGTAGCATGATTTTATCTACACATTTCATACATTGTTGAAGCTACAAAAAAAAATAAAATGAAGAGTGGAAATAAATGACTGTATGGTAGACATATGCCTTTACCTCATTGTATCCAGTGCCTATTTCCAATGTTAAAAAGGATCTTGTCTTTTCATCATTTGTGAGTGGAGCCAATTGAGCAAAAGCAATGGAGAATGAAGAGATATGTGCGAGTGCTTCTTTGATCTCTTGTGCAAATTGATCCAATTGATATTTTCTTAAATAAACAGGTCGACTTAGACTAATGTGTTGTTCTTCTATACATTCTACATCTTTTAAATAACCAGACAAAGCATTTAATTCATCAGACAAGTCCACTAAGATGATGAGGTTCAATCCACGGCATGTATCATTCTTTATGTTTACCTTTACAATACACATATGTTGCCCAGCTATCATAGGTATGAGCAACTGTACGCACTCTATTGTTGTGTTTATCTGAGGGAACAGGAGGTTGCTGAACATCAAAAAAGCAAGGAAGTTTAGGTAATTTGACACTAGAGCATAACATGAATATTGAGTAGTTTTATTCTCTCATGATTACGTTTGGTTCAATATCTCTGTAGAAGCCTTTCTTTTAAGTTGAGGTTCATCATTGTCATCATTATCATCAGAAGAACTATAGTCTACAATCGAGGTCATGAAGAAACAAGAAAAAAAAATCATATTGACTGTCTTTTTCAATTTTCCTTTCCCTTCCCCCTCCCACCTCATGAGCTCACAAACGAATGGTGAAAACCAATACCATAAAGAACCAGAAGAAGGTATTTTATACTGTGAATGCTGTTTTTTTCTCTTAAAAAAAAAAAAAGATATTGTAGAGGATTTTGCAAGGCAATTAGATACTCGTAAGGAATACTAAAGAAGAAATTGACGTTCTAATTCAAACTAGTTGTTCATATTCAAGAAGACAGTGATAATGATAGTATCTTTCATGAATATCAACCTATTCCACAAGATGAAGCATATCAACCCTTAACATCAGACAATGAAGAAGAACAAGAAGAACAAGGACCACTGATGATAAAATTAGACGATTCGAATAAATTAAATTCAGGTAAATATAAACAATCCATAAAGAATACTCAAATTCAATAGAAACATCTGATTTGATTAAATCAATTATGAGCCATATTCAACTATCCAATGAAGCCATACCAGGTAAAATAAATAAAAAATAAAAATAAAAAAACTCACTTTTTTTTTTTTTTTGATAGACTGGGCTAAAAAAATACCAGAAGAAGCGTGGCTACCTCGCGTAAAAAAGGAATAATAATGAAAAAAAAAAAAAAAAAAATAGGTGACTGTCCAGCTATTGTTTCTAGTTCATTGATTGGTTGAGAATGACATGCAAAATTATGTGTGGTGCCTCTATATACTTTCCACACACATACACACACACACACACGCAGCAACTTTGTAAGGAAATTTTTTTCTCCTAATAAAACAGCACACATTGTACTCTCTCTCTCTTTTTTTTCTCTTTTCTCTTTACTAAACAAGAAAAAAAAAGTAAGTAGGATAGCATGATTGTATTTGGTCTAATGAAGATCATTAGTTATCTAAATGCCTAAGGAGACTACCAAGACCACCAAGCGCGCTGCTGCTGCTGCTGCTGCTAAGCCTGAAGAAAAGAAGCGTCGTTCCAAGAAGGACCCTTCTGCCCCTAAGCGTGGCTTATCTGCATACATGTTCTTCTCTCAAGATAAGAGAGCTTCTGTTAAGGAAGAAAACCCTGAAGCCTCATTTGGTAAGATATACAGAAAAAAAAGGTACAATAGGAAATCATTTACATATTACAATAGGCCAAATTGGTAAGATTCTTGGTGAAAAGTGGCAAGCCATGTCTGAAGAAGAAAAGAAGGTAAAGATAGGTTTGATGGTATGCATTTTTATTGATCTATTTGTTTTTATAGCCTTATGTTGAAAAGGCTGAAGCTGACAAGAAGCGTTATGAGAGTGAAAAGGCTTCTGCTGTAAGTAGAGAGAATTTATAACCCAAAAAAAAAAAAACCAAGAAACTAACTCTTGTTCTATAGAAGTAAAAATAACTAAACTCATTACCTAATCATCACTTGTATCTCTCCTTTTTTTTCTTTATGTTATCTCTTTTTTATTATTAAAAAAACTCACCTTTTTTTTCGCGTTACATTTTTTTAATGTCTAATAAAAAAAAAACTGGTTCAAAAAAAATAATAAAAAAAACGACGCGTATTTTTTTTTTTTTTTTTTTTAGGCAGGCTATTTTTTTTTATTTTTCATTTTTTAGGCCAACATGACATTGAATAAAAGATCAGATTTTTGGAAATCATTATGAACAACATTGACAAGCCAATAACTTTGTCTAATTTCTTCTAATACTTTTTGACTTGAACTACCAGGAGGATATTGTTCTTCCCATTCTTTCCATAGACCAAAGGCCTCATCCTATCATTGATGAATAAACTTTTTTTTTATTATTGTATTTTACCTTCCATGCTTCAAAACTGGCTTTTTCAATAATTGTGGGCTGAATAATTTCTTTACCAGGGAAAACACCCCAAGTCACTGCATTCTGTGCTTCTGCATCAGATACATTGGTAGAGAAATCGCCCTACATAAATAAGTAACTCTTTTGTGTATATATCAAATTACCTTGAGATTTGTAGCATAAAAAGTAATAGAACTGTCTTTGTAAAGACGCGCTAATAATTCCTTGATATGTTGATCAGAAACAAAGAATTCTAAAAAAGCCTTTTGATAGACATAACCGCCTTTAGGTCCCCAACCATAGATTTTATCTTCACTAGGAACACCATTGACAGCAGGCTGTGAACTCACAGTCCAATAACCTCGTTGGTTAATATCGGTCAATCGTTGACGAATAGCCTCACTTTCTGTATGAAGTCTTTCTTCACACCAAGGTAAAGAATCTAGTTCACCACGAATGTATTTCACAAAAAGTTCTGTAATATCATTTTCATGATTGGGTTGACCCCATTTTGAACTAGCATCTGAAGTCTATGCTTCTTTTTTAGATCTCAACATATAAAGATAGTATATTACTTACAGGTAAGATTTGACCAGCACCATATGTATTTTCACCATATGCTATATAATCAAAATATCAATCAAACGAATGGCTTCCAATGTTCACTCTACCTGGAGAACGGGAATCACCATAACGACCATTAGGGAATTCATCCCATAATTCAGCACGGGCAGGATCATGTACAGGTGCCCAAGGAGGTATCTTGTTTGTCTGCAGAGACTAATAGCAAGTTCAGTATTTTTTTTTTTAATTCATGGCATACTTGTTGTTTATGCAACTGTAGTTCTTCCAAGATTAAACGAGTTGATCTTTCCAAATTCAAGGTTGAAATATGGAAATTACAAATACCAGCTTCTGTATGCAACTTCTTGATCATGTCCACAGCCAATTGGACACCGTATTCCTTTACTTTTTGATCATCTCCCTTAATAGCATCTAAATCTTGCATCACTTTCTCTGGTACCTTCACATTACACAAATGAATCATACGACGAAAACTTTGATAGGTAGGAATAGGCATAATACCAGGCACAATAGGCACATGAATACCCTTTTCTTTACACTTGTGAATCCAGTCCACACATACTTGAGGGTCATAAAACAACTGAGTCACAATAAAATCAGCACCTGCCTCTACTTTCTCTTTCAAGTAAAGTAAGTCTTGATCAGGATCAGCACAGTCAATATGGCCTTCTGGATAACCAGCTACACCGAGACAGAAATGATCACCATAATGAGCCCGAATGTACTTTACGAGATCAATCGCATGTTTGAATTCGTTGTCTACAGGTGTCCAATACTCATGACCTCGAGGAGGATCACCACGTAAGGCTAAAATGTTACGAATACCTGCTGCCTTGGCTTGTTCAAGGGCTTTGTCGAGTTTGTCTCGTTCCATATTGGTACATGTCAAGTGCATCAGTGTGTCTAAACCATACAAGTTTTGGGCTGTGGAACATAACTCAAGTGTACGGTCAGAAGTAGAGCCACCTGCTCCCCAAGTACATGAAATAAACTCGGGTTCGAGTTGAGCCATACGACCAAGACGATCGATCAGGTTAGCAAACCCCTATTCTCTGAACTCAGTTTATTGTTCAACAAGTTCTTTATGCATACCAAGTCTGTTTTAGGAGGGAAATACTCAAAAGAATAAGCAATTGTTTGATTCTTTTGTGCTTCTTGTATTTTGTCTATAATTCTCATGATGGTCTATTAAGAAAGAGGGGGGAGAAAAACAGAGAGAGAAAGAGATGAATTTAATAGGTTCAAGCATAAGAGATGTGACTTTTGATGGAAAGAAGGAAAAGAGATGCTGCTTAAAGCCAATCAACGCCTTTATCCATCGCGTTTATGAGTCTATTCTTTTTGCATAAAAAAAAGAGAAAAAAAGAAGAGAAAGATGATGAATGCATACGCGTTTCCATGTAAAATGCCTTTATTGTTTTGATTGAATTCTTTATACAGTGTTTCTAAGAACTAAAGAAGAGACGTGTTAGTCATATGAATAGAACAAATTCAAACTTACCAAGAACGACAGTATCACCACGAAGGAACATTTTGCTGACAAAACGATCTTTGTTGACAGGCTTAGCCTTTGATCCCTTTCCACTACGAGGTGTTTCTGTCCACATCTATCATGAATGGATTAAGTATATTTATGAATGACTATTTCTTTTCTTTTTTTTTTTTTTTACCTCTTTGACATTTTCAAGCACCATGTTACAATGACGATCAAAAGCTTTAACACGAGCCAATAATTTATGATTGTTACGACAACTGATCAAGATTTGGTTGTTGTTTTTAACTGATTGTTGCAAGACAGAAAGTGGACCCGTGTTGAATTCGAGTTCTTCTTGTTGACGAAGTTCTTCCTCTGTCATTTCAGATCGAGGCTTAGCAGCAAGAGAGCTATTAAATATATTAGTAACCCTCCCCTTAACATGATGTTCTTTCTACCTCATGGTGTAATAATAAAATGAAAAAAAAAAATAATGTCGTAATCAAAAATTTTGCACACAGTAAAGTATTATGTGTGTATGTGCCTGCTTTTTTTATTTACCGCGTTCGATGTAGTTGATTGGTCATTCTATCAAATCAAATACATGCTTATCCAGTGTAGACATATAAAAGTTGTTGTTGAATTCAAGCAGTGTATTTGCTTTTTTTTTTTTTTATGTTTGTTTTCTTTTTCTGTAGTGTGTAACAGGCTGATTTGTTGTTGACATTGGTCCAATGTTAGTCAATTGTTTCCGTATTCCCGTAAGAGATGAAAAGGTGGATGAATAAAGTTATATTTGAAACAGTCATGATAAACCATAACGTCTAAGGAGGTAGTTTTCAGGAGAATGTCTTTATATATATATATATATTTTTATTCTCTTCTTTTTCTTCTTCTTTTCATCCTTTTCTTATTCATGACATTTATCAAATTACCTGAGCGTATTCTCTTGTATAATAGGAAAACAAAAGATGAAAGAAAACAATGGCAAGAAAAAGTCAGAAGGGATGATGAATTACTACTGGCAAAGCTTGGTTATAAACAAAGTCTAAATCGACAATTATCTACATTCTCTAATTTTGCTATTTCATTTGGTTGTTGTTCTGTTCTCAGTGGACTTTTGCCTGTAATCTAGAAAACATACATTATACATACATATATATATATATCACTGATCCACTATGTTAGATGTGGGGTACTACTTTATTGACAGGCGGCACTTCAGCTTCTATTTGGGGATATTTAGTGGTTGCTTTGTTGACCATGACCATTGGGTCTAGTTTAGCAGAAAGTAAGTAAGAAAAAAAAAAGCAAGCAATGATGATTAAGAGAGATTGAGTCTGTAGCTCCTACCCAACCATGGGTGGTTTATATTACTGGACAGCACAACTATCTGAATCAGAGTGGGTTCCTTTTATGTGTTGGATTGTAGGCTATTTTAACTGGTAAAGTAAGAAGATGAATAGCATTGTATTGCTCACTCCTCCCCTCTTCCCTTTTTTTTTTCTAGGCTTAGTTTATCAGGTAAGCTGATAAACAGCATGGACTGAACTCATACTGAATATTATTATTGTTTTAGTGGCTATTTGTGCAGGTGATTTAGGCATGGCAGAGTTCTTAACATCGGCTATCTCTGTTGCCCATCCTGACTTTGTGACTACACCCGCCATTGATTATGGTGTCTTTATTGCCATTCTTTTTATTCATGGCTTAATGAACACCTTGCCTGTCAAATACACAGGCATGATCAATAATTTATCTGTTTGGTGGCATTTGATGGGTATTTTGTTCATTGTGCTTGTCGGTCTCTTATTGACACCTAATAAACCCTCGGCTTCATTTGCGCTAGGTCAAGTCTATAATGGGTCTGGATTTAGCAGTCAAGGTTATGCTTGGCTCATTGGTCTATTGCAAGCACAGTTTACATTGAATGGGTACGATTCAGCTGCCCATGTGAGTGAAGAAACCATGTCTGCTCAACGTGGTTCGCCTATGGGCATTGTGATGGCCATTGGTACGTCAGCCATAGCAGGCACTGTCTTGATGATGGCCTGTGCTTTTATGATTCAAGATTTTGATCGACAAATTGTTCATTCGGCGAATTCGATGGCTATCACTCAAGTCTTCCTGGACGGTGTAGGCATGGGTTGGACCCTTTGGTTTTTAGTGATCATTCTTGTAGCCATGTATTTTGCGTAAGTCGTTAGGTAGCATCATATGCAGTACTAACAAAACAGGGGTGCTTCTGTGATTGTGGGTTCGTCGCGTCAGACATATGCCTTTGCTCGTGATGGTGCCATGCCATTGTCAGCGTGGCTGACTCGCTTGACGGATGCCAAAGTACCTGCGAATGCAGTGTGGTTTAATATCATTTTCTCTGCTATCTTGGGCATCCCTTATTTGTTTAGCGATGTTGCTTTTGAGACGATTGTGTCGATCAATACCATTGCAGCCAATATTTCTTATTTAATACCTATCTGGCTACGTATTACCATGGCCAGAAAACGGTTTACAAAAGGACCTTTTCATATGGGATGGTTTTCTATTCCATGTGGTATCATTGCTTGTCTTTGGATTGTATTGACGTCTGCTTTGTTTGTATTGCCTACTGTAAGATTGATGATAGATGATGTTGATTACTCATGTTGATTAGCAATGGCCAGTGACGGCCAATAACATGAATTTTGCTGTAGTTCCATTTGTAGGTGTGATTGGATTGGCTTCTTTAGTCTATGCCTTTTCAGGGCGTAAATGGTTTACAGGTCCTGTGCGCTATGTGGAGACCATGATTCAAGATGAACAAGTGATACAAGAACCTCAAAGAGCTGTTCTAATGGCTGATCATGAAAAACACATAGTCTATTGAATAAAACAAATACACACACATAAAAAAAAAAAGAGAAAAAAATCCTGTCTACAAAAGAGTTCTTTAATCATAATGCTGTAAAATGGTTGTGTGTGTGTATATATATATATGAAAAAAAAAAAAATAATGATAATAATAACAAAAAGTAAAAAGAGACAGTTGGGCGATATACAATATAGTGTTCCCTTCCTTTTCTTTCTTTCTTTCTTTCTAAGCACGTCCACGATCTCTTGAACGTTCCAAAGCTATTGTTTCCCTTGTTGTTAATAACATTTCAACTTCATTCAATTAACTTACGATTGTAATGCAAAAGCTTTTCAATCAAATCAACATGAGTCAAGACCATACGTCTACAACAATAGCGCTTAAGACCAAGAGCATCTAATGCTTCACTAAATAAATTTATAAGCTTCAGTACATCAGTACAGGCTCTCTTACCCTTCTGTATATTCAGCTTGTAATAAAGACAAGTAGTTGTCCCATTTGTTACCAATGACTTTACCACAAGAGAAACAACGAACAGGAATAATCATCGTGATATATAGGTTTAAAGTAAAAAAAAAAAAAATAAAGTGAAAAAAAAAGAAAACCCTGGATTGAATTACGCGTCACAAAGTGATTTCCTAATTTAGAAAAGAGGACTTGATTTCATTCACCTTAAGTGGCTTATGCTTTTATTGTATAGATATTTAATGCACCTGCATGATGGATAGAAGTACCTGCAGCAGCAAACTCAATACGATCATGCATCCATGCCTGTAGACTATTGAGTTTGCCCATTGAGTGATCCAATTGAAACACTTGTTTATCTAAAGATGTGATATTCCATAGAGTCACTCGACCATTGGTTGAGCCTGAAAGCAGTTGCTCATGAGTCAGAAATGACAAGCAATTGACCATGGTGTTATGGCCATCTTCAAGGCGTTTTTCTATCTGTGTCTTTTGTTTCTTGCTAGGAGGTGAAATCAATTGAATACTGGTGTCTCCTAAACCAGCAGCAATCCATGTACCATCAGGCGAGATAGCCATGGTGTGTACAAAAGGTGGATTGAACATTTGTTTGGCTGAAGCTTCTTTTTGACTCATGTCGTATATGTGAGTGGGTAATCCTCGAGAGAAATCCCAATTGTATACTTTACTGTCCATACCACCAGACCATACTATACACAAAGGGAGTGAATGTCATGATCCATAGCTTATTGTTTTACCTTCCCATGGTTTCTTTGGACGAAATTTGACAGTCATGCAAATCTAATTGCCAATAAGAAAACGTCCATTCAAATGACTTACATTGCTGTGTTTCTTGCTTGTCTTTTTATGTATCTTGTGTGTATTCAGATCAACTAGAGGTGCTGTGTTAGTCATCCTATTTTTATGCTGAAGGTCCTTAACTGATTTGAACACTGCCTTCATCATCAGCAGTAGCCAAAAATTGATTGTTTTCATGCACATCAATCTATACTCATGGTTTTGAAATAAGCCCAAACAACAAAGTCACTTACTTGATTGATTTCATCTTGACTGAATTCATAAGTGTGTATAGGCTCAGTTAATAGCATGCCTTGGTTTCTCAAGTCAAACGTATATACTTTTGTGCCTGAAGAAAGATACATATATGGCATGCTTGATTTTGTAGCAAATTTAATACTTGTCACCTATAGAACAGATCAGTGGTCACTCATTGCTCAACGACTTATTTACTGGCTCATGGAACCCTGAAAGCCCTTTGATCACTTTGTTTGATTGGAGATCCCATAGTCTACACGTCTTATCCTCTATTGTTGACATAAGCAACATTACATAGATACATGACACTTACCTGATCCAGAAGCAAGTACATGATTTCCCAAGATAGTATTCTTTGCATACTCAGCAGTAATAACAGGTGCTTTATGTCCTTGTAGTTGAGATAAAGGCTGTATATTATCCATGATGCTCAACAAAAGTGAGAGAGACAGAGAGAAGTGAATTACCAAAAATGGATGTCGAAAAAAGTGACTGTGAATCAATAAAAAAAAAGCTTTTTTTTGTCTTGATCTGGTTTCTTTTGTTGTGAATACATACAATGGAACATCGTCATAGAGCCGGTAGTTCTCACCAATCCAACAAGCCTTTTAAGAGTCGTCATGCCACCAAGGGTCAATTAAGAGAAGCTTCCAAAGGTAAAATCAACCGAACTTCTGTCAAACAAGCCAATGGTCTCAAAACCGTCTCCAAGATCGATCGTCGCCATGCTGCCAAGATCTTGCAACAAAAGAAACGTGAGGATGTCACTCGTATCAGCCGTATCTTTGAAGGACGTCAAGGTGCACCCAAGATTGTGCCTGTTTTACCCTTGTGCCCTGACAGCGATGTGGCTAGTGCTATTGCTTCTCTCTACCGCTCCTTGGGTCTTCAAGTCCCCTCCAATGCAGACACAGAAGCCACTGTGTTACCTGTCGAACGTTTCAAACAAAAAGTGCAATTGGTGCCTTTGAAGCGTAACTTTATTGATGTGATTGATGCTTTTAAAGTCGCTGATTTTGGTATTTTGTTGATGTCTTCTGATGTGGAAGTGGATTCGTTTGGTATCAATACTTTATTGGCCATTTTGAACCAAGGCATTGTGAATGTGGTCCCTGTTGTGCAACATATGGACAAAGTACCTGCCAAACTTCGTACCAGCACCAAGAAATCATTGACTGCTTTTGTCCAACAGTTCTTTCCTGAACAAGAGCACTTGTATAGTTTAGATACAGATAACGATAGTCTCTCTGCTCTTCGTTATATCACAGGTCAACGCCCCAAACCTATGTCTTGGCGCGACAACCATCCTTATCTGTTGGCAGACAATGTCGAATACGACCCCATCACACCTGAACGCGGTACACTTAAAGTGACTGGCTATGCCCGTGGTAATCCCTTCAATGCAAATCGACTAGTTCACCTTCAAAACTTTGGTGATTTCCAGATCCAACAAATCACCAGTGCTGATCTGACTCATCAGAATGAAATGCAACAGGACGCACAAGTGATTGATACCCCCAACCCTGAAGAACAAGATGATTTAGTGGCTGAAAATGAACCTGATTTTATGGACAATGAACAGACTTGGCCTACAGAAGAAGAATTGGCTGAAGCAGATGCTCGTGTGCGTCGTATGCGTCAATTAGACAATGAAGAATCGACAAAGCGAGTACCTAAAGGCACTTCATCTTATCAAGCTGCTTGGATTGTTGATGAAGAAGATGCTGAGTACAGTGAAGAAGAAGAAGAGGAGGATCAAATGATGGATGAGGAAGATGATGACGTGGTTGAGCCTGCTGCCAGTGCTTTCCCTGACGATGATGATGAATACGAAGATATAGAATTAGAAGACAAAGAAGAAAAAGACGAATTCGATGCAGAAGAAGAAGCAAGACAATACGAAGCCTATCTTAAGCAAAGGCAAGAAGAGTATCAAAACTATGATGAATTTCCTGATGAAATTGATACACCTATGCACATCACTGCCAGAGAGAGATTTGCTCGTTACCGTGGTCTCAAGTCATTCAGAACATCTCCCTGGGATCCTTATGAAAACTTGCCTATTGACTATGCCAGAATCTTCCAATTTGGAAACTTTGCTCGTACCAAGGCTAGAGTGGTCAGTCAAGCTATTGTAGGTAATGTCAAGCCTGGTAAACGTATCACTCTCTGGATCCGCAATGTCCCTCAAGAAGCCTTTGATGCTTATGACAAGACAAGACCTTTTGTTGTATTTGGCTTGCTGCAATATGAGCACAAGATGTCTTTGATCAACTTACAAGTACAGCGTGATAATGCCTATGAAGAAGCTGTGAAATCCAAGGATCCTATGATTTTGCATATGGGCTTTAGAAGATACCGCACAAAGCCTATTTATTCACAAAACACAAATAAGGGAACAAACCATGTCCATAAGTTTGAGCGATTCATGAAAATGGGTCGTTCTTATGTGGCTACTGTCTATGGTCCTGTTGTGTTTGGCAAGATGCCTGTCATGTTCTATAAAGAGACAGATAATGTAAATGGTAAGAAGGGATGGGGGAAAGTTGAATGACATTGCTAACCCATATAATGTCCATTAGAACCCATTTTAGTATCTTCAGGTACATTTATGAATACAGATGTGAAGCGTATTATTGCCAAGCGTATCATTCTCAGTGGTCATCCTTTTAAATGTCACAAACGATCTGCTGTGATTCGATTCATGTTCTTTAATGTGGAAGATATCTACTGGTTTAAGCCTGTTCAATTGACTACTAAATACGGTCGTGTGGGCCACATTATAGAATCACTGGGTACACACGGTTATATGAAGTGTATGTTTGATGGTCCCCTTACACAACAAGATACAGTCATGATGTGTCTTTATAAGCGTGTGTTTCCTAAATGGAATACTGAATTATATACAGGTGGTTTAGACAAATCTGTTGCATCCTCTTCTTCTGATAGCAAAGTCACTGCTATGGAAGAATAATCATTATTTTATCATAAAATTCTAAATCAATTTTTTTTTATTATCAATAAATATTACACAAATTATTTAGGAGGGCTAAAAAGAATAAGTGAAATGATACTTTATGTACAAAGACTTACTTGTAGACAATCTTTCTGGACTTGATAGGAGCCCACTTGAATCTCTTAAGGTAGATAGACAAGGCAGTCAAACCAACCAAGATGACAGTAGCCTTCATACCCATCTTCTTACGTTCATCATGTTCAGGTTCAGCAGACCAAGCAAGGAAAGTACAGACATCCTTAGCCATCTGAGAAGTAGTGGCAGGTGTACCATCTTCGTATTCAACAAGACCATCGTAAAGGACACGGGCCATGGCAATAGCACCACCAGGGAAGTAAGGGTTGTAGTTTAAGCCTTCACGGACTTCAACACCTCCTGGGGGATCAACATAACCTGTCAAAAGAGCAAAGACATAGTCCTAGTCCATCATCATCAGTTTCTTTTTCTCTCTCTCTTTCTTCAAAAACTTACTTCACCACCGTGACGAGCCTTGGTGATCAAAGAGAGATCTGGTGGCAAAGCACCAGCATTACCAGCACGAGCAGCTTCTTCATTAGCATAAGGCTTGGGCATATAATCAGCAGGCTAGATATCAAAAGATGAGTCGGAGTCTGAATGAATGGTGCTTACTTGCCTTGCCAGGTCTCATAAACATATCACCATTGTCATCAGGACCATCTTGATATTCGAATTCTTCAGCCATAGCCTTAACTTCATCTTCAGTGTGAGAGACACCAATCAAGTTTCTCCAAGCAATACGGTCAAGAGAGTGACAGGCAGAACACACTTCTCTGTACACTTGATAACCACGACGAATGCTATTGAATGAATGAGTTATCTTTGTCTATCAATGTTGAATATTTACGAGGCATGATCAAACGTATCGAGAGGACCACTGTGAGGCCATGGGTAAGAAGGAGGGTGAAGACCTTCATCAGCCATGTTGGCAGAAGCATCAACATACATGTATGTTAAAGCAGTAGCACCAACAATACCAGCAGTGACACCAGCAACTTGCTTGTTGGAATGCTATGATTCAATCATGAGTATTCAATTTACTGAACTTTTTTTTTATATTTACAGTAGTAGCCTTGATAGAAGCAAAACGAGTCTAGAAAGAAATATATAAGTATCCCAATGTCAAACATGATGTTTTACTTGTTGACCAAATTGCTTGACAGAACGTCTAGCAGCTTGAGAAGCGATTCTAGAGAACATTAGACAACGAAAGAAAAGAGAGAGGGGAGGTTCGATTAATGTTCAAAATACACAAGTAATGAAAGAGAAAGATTTTTTTTCTTTGGTCAATTTTCGGGGTTCATATATGGCTTGCCCTTTGAGTTACTTCAGGCCCAGGGGGCTCGTCTATATTTTTTTTTCTCTATCAAGGAACATAATAAGTCCGGGAAATAATATCCGTAGATGCGGGCCGGATTCTGTTTGGGGTCGCATAAAGCTGTGCATGATTGTTTGTCTCTCGATCAAACAATACGTTGATCTAAAGATAGGACAAGTTTTAGATCAAAGAAAAAAAATAGCAGTTTCGAAAGAAATTATATAGCGTGGTCATACAGAGTAAGAAAAGAATCTTTGGTTCAATACAAAAGAGAGACAGAAAAAGCTTACAGTTGCAAACAACATACTAAGGGAATGCACAGTCTTTCTGATTTTTTTTTTAGGTTTAACAAATGTGTGATCTATGGATTTGAAAGCTACGCAAAAGCCATTTGTGACAATGAAAGCAATGATTTTTTGAAACACAAGAGGTAGATTGTCTTTGATCAAGCTATACATTGACTATTTTCTTTATTTCAGACATGTTGACTCAGCTACAGTATAAAAGAAAAAGACGGTAGTCACAGATTCTTTTACAGCAATCATCAAGAACCGCGAACAACTGATCTTATGAAGGTGGTCTTTCATACAGGAAATATTTTTGTCTTCCTTTGATCCAGAGTGGGTCTTTCAAATATGAATAAATTATATACCACTGTTAAAATTAACAATGTCATTTATCTGAGCCAAGAAATAAAGATAAACGAATTTCTTTAACAGTAGAAATAGACTCCCTCTTGGTATTTTGGGATAGACCACTTTAGAGAAAATCAGGCACATAGTTACACGAATGGTATAATTTTTCACAGAAAGCATGTTTATTTGATAAAGAAGAAATGTTGGTATAATTATCATTGTATGCAATAAATAAAAAATGAGGCCGGCCCAGCCGAGACATTGGATAGATATAGATTTAAAGACCACCACAGCTACGACCAACATCAACAAGACCAAGTCCATTGTTGAGCTTTCTCCATCTTAAGTGGTCAGCTTGGTTGACACCAGAAGCCTTCATAAAATTGGCATGAGCTTGAGTAGGTTGAGAAGTAGAACGGACATAGGTAGCATAGCCAGCAAATGAGGTAACAGGGACAAGAACAATAGAGGCAGTACGAGAAGCAGCAATCATTTTAATAGTAGTGTTTGTTTATTTGAATAAAGATCTGAATTGACATGCAACCTCTCTTATATATATATATTTTTTGACTTACAGGTACCTGTATACCCAGTTCGATATGACGTATATTTGGCCAATGGGGCCTACTCAGTCATATGTCGGAGTATGGCCCCTCTTTTTCGTCTCAAGCGGCGATTGCTTATCTGTTCCCTAATCAAGACAAGTGCTGAAATTTTGACAAGCACTAAAAAAAAAAAGAGCCCTTCCGATAATGTTTAATCAATTTGGCTGGCGTGATTAAATTAAGGTTTTGCAGCAGACTGGTAGTTGACATTAATTATCGTTATTAATTTAGATTTCATTATCGTGGCATGATTTTATATTGTGATAACGAATGTATTACTTTATATATATGTGTGTGGAGAAATTACAATGTTTCTATTTAACATATCTATCTATTTAACTATGCATTGATCATAACTTTCTTTTTCTTTACAATACATTTCCAATATCATTTACTATTGGAATTACGTCTTCAAGTGCATTTATCATAAAGACTTTTTCCCAGTTTGATCATGAATGTTTGAAGTATTCGGGTACCTTTAAGTGATCCATGACGAAATTTAAAAAAAAAAGACTACATACACCCTTTGTCGAAATGATGGTGCAAGCAGAAATTTTATTGTCCACTTTCAGCTTAGCTTCAATAACTGTCGTGGCGATATGTTTTTTCAATCGATAAGCATTAGGGGCAAGGGCTTTTCTTTTTTAGTAAGCACTGTATTTCAAAACAAGGTCTCTATCATGAGTACTTTTTGATGGTTACATATAAACAAGCCTTCTTGCATAAAGTTCCTTTTTGACTTACGTTTTTCTTTATGCAACAAACAATATTCAATATAATCAACTTATTTGACATTTCTTTGCTCAATATCAATTTACACAGGACAGAAGGAATGTTACAGTATTATGGTTTTTTTTTAGAATTATATTTTATTATTGGGAAGCCTTCAAAAAATTTAAGAACTAACCTCTTTTTAGTTTAAAATTTTTTTGGTATCCGCTGTTATTTTCTCTTTGTATGCGCATATTCGTGAAAAGTGCTGCTTAACATTAAAGCAAGTTAATAAATACATAATAGAATGAGATGCACCTAGAACGTTCAATCTTCGTTACGAAATCATCAACAAATGGATAGAGACCGGTGTTGGTTCTCAGAAAAACTGTGTATTTATTGATAAAGCTGGTTTTCATTCTCAACTGATGAGGGGGCGTGCACGGCCAAAGGTTAGCACTCCAGCAAACTTAAAAGTGCACACACAAAAAAGCTGCTAATTTGAGTATGATCGGGTGTATATGTGCTAGGAGAATTATAAGCTTTACCAAAGTTATACCTTTGAAAATAGGGGATGCTGAATGGATAGAGAAGGAGTTTTATTCTGAGGTGTCAGTTAAGAAAAGAAAGCATGGCACTCAAGAGCTCAAAAAACAAAAAAAAATTAAAGGGCACTACTGTGTATCATGTTGTTGAATGAATAGAATCTGTTATGGATGTACTTGATAAACATGAGATGAAAGAGATTTTCATTACAGATCTGTTGTTGACACCATTGTAAAATGGGAATACAAACCACTATTCATGCTATCTTACTCTCCCTTTTCAAATCCCATCAAAGAGTGCTGGTCAAAGAAAAAAGTGCATTAGAAAAAACCCTTTGAACAAAGGTAGTGAGATGACACTTCATATCACTAAAGCATGCAACACGGTGACTACAAAGGATTGTTTGCAGTGGGCAAAGCATGCTGAATCTTATTGGGAGAGATGTATTCAGAAAAGGGGTTAAAATGACTAATGCTATGGTCTTGGCCACTTCATATATAAAATGTCTTCTAAGATTTATGAATTTTTCTTTGAATTACAACTTGACATGCTATAGATTTCTACTACTGCTTTTCTTTTTCCTTCTGTGCTGATAAAAACGAATATTACTTCTTTTATTTACCTCTGTTTTTGTCCTCTTTGCAATCATAGTTTTGTATTTTTGCCCTATTCCTCGAATTAGACGAGCCTACTACCTGTAGACGTATTGTCAAATGACCGCTTGATGGCATCCCACCAACAATAACTATTGACACTTATATGTCGGTTGTAATCTTGATTTAGTTCATTATCACAACGCTCGTGTCAAATATAAATCTTCTCGATGAACTGGTGTTCTCCTGCCAACAATAAAAGACCAACATGTAATATATATTCCTTAGTTATAATGTATGTTTATTTTGTTTTGGAAAAATAAAAAAGAAATGGCACGAATAAACGACATAAATGATTATGAGTTCAACGGATTGCAAGTTTATTATTTCATTCACCAGATCAAGTTCCTTTCTACACTTCAATACAATGAATTCCTCGTCTTTCGTCTCTTTTCTTTTTGTACGGTAATGCTTTTTCCCTTTGTTCGGTATTAACTACCAAATATCCTTTGCGTTCTGTATAAAAATATAAAATGAAAGGAGAGATATTCATATCATTATTACTGTTGTTGTTGTTTTTGGATATGGGAAGGAGCGCATCGACTTGAAGCAGGAGCTACTCAACTTGAAACCACAGAGCTAAGAAGAAAAACAGATAGGGCAGAAACTAGAGGACAGACAAGCAACATAAAAACCTATTTTGAAACAGTAATAGGCATCTATCTATGGACCTCCGGTGGCTATTCAAACATTAAATTGGTAAACTGTTTAATGACCATGAATGAACCATAAAAGCATCTGCTTCTCAAATGGATGGACATAGTCTTCAAGGGAAGGAACGGACCATTTCCAGGTTGGCGTAGTAGCAAAACGGGAAACATTTGCTTGTCATGAAAATATCAAATGGATAAAAAAAAATCAAGGATCTCAAAATTGAAAAACAATGCTTGAGCACTTTTGTTGTTCGATAAATTCAGTTTGATGTAACGCTCGCAATCAAGTCTGCACCAAGTCAAGTCTAAAAACAAAGTACTTGATACAAACTTGATTTGAACAGCCTCCATGGTCCTAGACTTGAATAAATCAAGTTGATTGTCAAGCCTATCAGAATGATAAGTTTAAAATGATACGCACGGAACAAATGCTATAAAAATAATTAAATAAAGGAGACGTTTCACCTTGAAAGGACTAGTCAAACAAGTAAGGAGTTGCTTGCTTGTTTTCCTTTGCGCTACGCTATCTTTTCAACTGTATGGGATGCATAATCACTAAAAATGAGATAGTTTTCAACTCATTACATTCATACTACTACGTTCTTGACCAATGGTATGACCGATCAATACTGAGCTGTGTTTGATGCAAATAGTGGCTACATCAAGCATTAGTCCTTTCTCCCTTTTTTTTTCGTTAAATAAACAGCCTAAGCTTCTATTCTAAAGGGCTTATAGTCTTTATCTATTATAATTTAAAGAGCCTACTTAAGGATGGAAAGCATGCTTAAATTTCAAATTTCTCAATTTCGTATTGACTAATTCTAGCTTGAGAAAAATGGAGGATAGGTACTCCAAGAACACACAAAGTTAATCTAGATTAACATTTTGCAAGAGATGATAGAGCATCCCAAGACTTGGTAGACTGACCGTGCTTGAGAGAAACATATTCAGGATTAATAACATTAACCTACCCGTGGTAAATCTTTTGATCATCTCTTTCTTCTTTTTTTTTTCAACGAAACAAGGATGCTCTGGGTGTTTGAAACAATAGATGTAGGTCTGAGAGGTCTCATATCTGTTAGTAATACAAACATTGCCTCTCTTTCCACGCATTTTTTCGAGTCATTTCTCACTATGTCTACAATGGCCCTTGATTCTTGATCCTAAAATTATGTCTGTCATCAACGAACTGAGCTACTTTGTGCCAATTTAGTAGGTTATGAGACTCCAAGTTGCGCCATTTTTTGTTAGATATCAGAACAATAGATTCGTGATTCATATTTGAGAGTGATTGTAACATAGTCTATGCAATAATTAAATTTCAGAAAAACAATAGACAAAGAAGAGCAATACAAGTGCATTCATCTTTTAAAAATACACGTTGATGTACTGTATTTTACCATTTATTTGTGTAATAAAATTGATTCTAGAAGGATATAAAATCAAAGATATGTTTTTTATTTGTAAGTGTATATAGTGACTCTGTAGTCAGTCAATTCATAAATGACGAATGATATGTCAAAAAAAAACACCTTATTGTGCAGTAGCCTTAAAATGTCTGAGTTTGAATTAATATTCGCATATCAAACATTAAAATGGACTAAAACTACCCAAAAACGAAGGCCAATCAAAAAAGTGTATTAACAAAGTTGAAAGATATATGTTTGTTCGTAAAATATTATGCTATCCCCCAAAAACATGTTTCTTGTTTTTGAGCTATAGTGTGCACTTTTTATAGTGCTTTCGTAAATATAACGCTTTAAGTGCGTTCTATAAATCTAGAGAAGGAATTCGTACGAAGACATGTTGTATCTACAATGTCTATATCCATCACTAAGCGTAAAATAGTGAAAATTGAAGATTTCGTAAAGGGTATCATAAGGGCAAAATGACTTTCTTTTATGTATGCTCAAACTTGAGAAGCCCAAAAGATGGGAATTAGAAGACAGAAATGATGGTTTATCTTGATAAACACCCGCACCCGTAGCGGGATATCAATCCACCAGTGTTACTGTTATGCTTATTAATTGTTTGTCGGATTTACTCAAAAACTAATTGTAAAAGCTAGTTTATAAGTTACAATCCTATAATAGACTTGGTCCTCGTAAAAAGCGCACATTGAGCATCAAAAGCATATTAAGTATATTGATTTTGCTTATACCAAATGGAATCGAGAGCTATTGGGTTGTCGCAAAGTATGTATGTTTTTAATCTGTTAGATAGACTTTCTTTTCTCAATTCAACTGCAAAGCACTCTCCACAATTTACTATAGGTCTAACTGTAAACATTTCGAGATTCCATGTCAAATGACACGCAAAATTTAGTTCCACAATGAAAGGAGAACCCGCAAATGCAGGCATAAACTGAGTTCTAACTACCTTTTTTCCTGTATTTTTTCACATTACATGCATTATGGGTAAACTACCTCTCGATATACAACAAATTATTTGTCGATACGCTGTCCTCAGGGATAAACAGGGAGCCTACAACTCTCAGTTTGTCGTGAATGCTTTGATAGTAAGCAAGGCATGGGCTTATTTTGTATGTCGCATTATTTACAGGTAAAAGAATGACTTTGCATCATTTTTTTTGGGTACTAAAGATAGATAGGCATTACCGTATCAGAAACTATTTAGCATTTGTCGGTTTTGTCAAGACAATCACCTCCAACAACACATTCTTGCCTTATGGTCATTTTGTTCGGTCGATTGATTTTACACCTGTAAACAAATACGGGATTGATATGCGTGTTCACAGACTGTTTCGATGCTGTCCTTATATTGTCCAGATGACATTGGGACATCCTACCACGCTCAAATCAGAAACCATTCGAGAAATCACTCGATACAATACTCGCCTTCATACGTTAAGCATGGGTGGCATCGAGTCCTTTCCCTTTATGCTTGAATGTGACTTTTCTGGCATGAAGCAGTTGGAACACGTGACACTCAAGACAACACCTCTCTTGTCATCGTCCTTTATGACACTGCCTATCCAGTCATTGCGCTCCATTCGATTGATACAGATGGATGCCATTCAACCCCACGAATTGTTAGCCTTTTGTCAGACACATACACATGTTCAGGCCATTTCGATCATCAACTGTAAAGCGCTCTTGTTGCCTGCATTAGGCAGTGTGCTTGCTCAGTTAGCCATGCATCTAAAGACTATTGAACTTGAAGGATATCAAATCACAGACGAACTCTTGTTTGACTTATTTACAAAAGTGCCCAAAGGAACACGACTCGAGCGACTTTTATTAGCCAATACCCAAATTACCTCTGCTTTTGTCCATAGTCTGCCTAAACAACCTCTTCAAGTACGCCAATTGGAATTGGTAAACAACCGATATGTATAATAACAAATTTAGATATGAGCCATCATTTGTATACTATGAAAAAATAAAAGTAACAAATAACCACAACAAGCTATACAAAAATTGTTTTTTTTTTCTTCTTTTACATATATATTTTTTTTCTTTCTAATTTTCCGGAAACAATGTTGCTTAAAGTGTCATTCATTAGTTCACTGCTATGCTCTTTTGTGTGTGCCAACATGGCTCCCAATTATCCAGAACCAGGCACTGTTTGGAAGACAGGCAAACAATATACAATTACCTGGTGTAAAGAATACGCTTTCTATTGATGTATTCACTCATGTCATTTTCCTGTAGTTGATGATAAACAATCACCACATATGAAAAAGTCATGGAAAAATTTCAAGATTGGTAATACATATTAAAACATCAGTAGCTTGTATTGATAGATGGATTTTAGATTTCATGACGGGTGATAATGACAATCAAAAGTTTCTACAGAATGTCGCTACGGTATACATGATTCAATTCGAACAGCATAACTTACATTCGATAGAATTTGGATGCTTCTAAAACCAATTCACTCAACTGGACTGCACCTGAAGTTGAACCTCATGCACCGGTTTACTTTTTGATGTTTACCAATGGTATGTAACAAAAGCTATTTTCGGGTAATTAACCCTTTTTTTTTTTTTTTTATCTTAGAAAAAGGTGAGAATGCTTGGACAACTCGCTTTGGTATCACTGGACCCGAAGGCAAATTAGACAAACCAGAACATTCAACTCAGCCTGACGGTGCTTCTATTCCTTGGGGTGTTGGTAAATTAGTAGGCGGAAGTATCAATCAACTCACTGTCAAACCGACGGGAACTTATTCTATGAACCCTGCAATGGCCTCTGCAGCTGAAAAGAATGCCAAGGTTGTTATTGCTGTTTCTGAAGGTCAAATCAGTGCTTCTGTGATTCATTTACCTTCTCTTTTTATTGTCTCTGTTGTTACGTTCTGGATGTCGTTATTATTATTTTAAATTTTATTATATAAATGTTTACATTTCCATAGCAGTATCAACTGCCATTGTATCATGATGTTCATTAAACATGTATTGGTCTTGATAGTCCTTCAAGTATTGCACTGATCTCTTTTCGTCTAAAAAGAGAGCATAGACTCGCTTGATATCTTGTACATCAACAGCAGGTGCCTTTCTCTTCCTTGCAACCAAATTAGCAGCTGTGATCAAATGAATAGCATAACGAAGTGATGTCTCAGTACCAATACGTGTCAAGACATCTTTAGCATCGTCTGTCATTTCAACATCTTCTTCTTGACATCTAATCTTTAAGATTTCCTTCACTTCCTTTTCTTCATAAGGGTTTGTTGAGATAATAAGCATACGGTCTAGTAAATCAACAGGAATACCGTGAGGTGATTTATACTTTGTGCCTCGAATATGCGTGATACCGCGATTTGAGGCCATGATCACAACAGGTGCCATGTCATCTTCCAAGGCTCTGTTCAAGAAACTAAAGCATTCAATATCAAGCATATGTACTTCATCAATAAAGAGCACACCAGGCACAATCTCGGCCTTTCCTTCTTCTCTCCATTCTGCTACTTTGGTATTGATCTGGTCTCTTACTTCAGATTTGATTTCACCTGTATCACCAGAGAAAAGGGCCAAAAAGCCTTGAGTTCGACTGTTGATCACATCAATTTCGTGTAAGGAGACTGTATGAACTACTTCTTTTCTTTTTTGTAATTCGCCTTCTGGACATTGAACAAATTTAGTCTATCTCAAATGAGTTACTCTATACGCAGACCAAGACGACTTACATCAGAACCCATTGCATCATAATCCCTTGCTCTAGCATAAGAACGACCTAATTTTGAAATACGGCCAGAAGCCTTGTCGATAGCAATCACATCACCAGCCATGACTTTTTCCTTGTTGAGTGAATCAATCATTTTGTTACCGAGATCGTAAATTGTTTCCATGTCGGTGGTCTTCAATGTCAATTTACCGGTTTTTGAGCCCTAATGTGACAGATGAGACAATGAACACTCAGGGTTTATAGAAACTTACACCAGTGATGGATCGATCAATTTGAATTTCAACCACTTCACCTTCAATCAATTCAGATTCTTCCTTGATACGGACACCAATGGACCGACGGAAGGCTTGTGTCAATGCTTCTGTCTTACTCATTTCAAGTGAGAAGATTTCAGAAGCAGCCAACATGGTAAAAGGCACGTCTGTACCAAGAGCTAATAGCAGTGAGATAGAGTGATTTTCTATTTTTGAGCTTACCTTGTGCCATACCCATGGCAATAGCCGTTTTACCTGTAGAAGGAGGACCCGCGATCAAGACAGCGCGACCTGCTATTTTTCCAGCTTGAATCATTCTCAAAATAACACCAGCTGCTTTACGAGCCTTTAATTGACCCACCATGCCTTGAGAAGTAGTACGGGGTTCAAGTGTATCATCAAGACCCAAACCACGAATATGAGAGTGGGCACCTAAATGGATTTGAGTTTTTGTGCTTTAGACTATTGATATTTACCAACACGCTCCATTTTTAAGAGATCTTTAGTTTCTGTTGAAGTTGTTGCAATAGGTAAAGACTATATATAATAAGTGATCGAGTTTCATACCATGGTCATTACTTACCATATTGAATAAACAAAAAAAAAGAAAGAAAGAAATATAAAAAGACGTGTCTTTTTTAGAAAAAAGAAAAAAAAATAGTTTCATAGTCACATTTTTACGTCACTTGTCAATTAGAAAATTATGCATAAATGAAGTTTATTGTCTATTGTTTAAAAGAGGTTGGGTTTCACCTTGGTGGTGTTCAGGGGAAGTAGATAATACAGAGGCATCATGCACAGCACCATAAACAGGCTTCAAATAAGGTTCTACTACCTTCTTGTTGACAGAACTGGCTGAGTTTTCACGAACAGGTTTACGCTTATGGGCTGTTAATAAACGCGTCAAACGACTGTTTCTTCTACTGTTGTTCACTTGGCGACGTACAACACGAATCTTGTTGTGTACATCCACATAAACGTCTGTTTCATCAATGATTTCTTCACCGATCAATTCTTCAATTACATCTTCCAATGTAATCACACCTAAAGCACCAGTATTGGATCCAGGTTCGTTTGAAATTAAGGCCATATGACTCTTGCCTTCTTGGAAAAAGTTAAGAATATCGAGGCAGCTTGTGTCTGGTCCAGTTTCGGGCAAAGTACTGATCTGAAGATTTTTGACAGGCGAAGCATCTTCAGGGTCATAAGTAATCAAACGTTTGGTAAGCAACATGCCGACAAAGTTCATCTTGTCTCCAGGGGCATGGACTGGAATGCGAGAATAACCAGCAATCAGGATTTTATCGACCAATTCTTCGTTCAAGATGTCGTCTGTAGAAAGTGTGAATACGTCGGCAATGGGTGTCATGATTTGAGAAACAGGCTTGGATCTCAAGTCAAGAACAGCACCAATAATAGTGACTTCATCTTCAGTCAATGCATCAACATCAGCAGGATTTACAGACTGGTGAAGAGAAACAAGCGTTTTAAGACCTGCCTTTTTGTAAATAGTACCATGAGATTCACCAAGAACATAATCCAAAAGCTTAGCTGTAGGATAAGCAATAGGATACATGATATACATGAGTGTAAGCACCATACTATTGTCATTAGTAACACAACCTAAAAGACAGGGACTTACGGTGATGTTTTGGCACCAATAGCTAAGCCATAACGTACACAAATAGCTAGAAAAAAATCAGTTTCATGTATGACAAACACTGGGTTACGTACATTGTGGAATTACTCTAAGGTTGATTATTTAGTAAACAAATATGCAGAAAGGTAGAACTTACTCTCCAAAAATGACAATCAAAGCAGTAGAAATTACAACAGCTTTCCAACCACCACCAAGCACACCATCAAGAATAATAGGTAATGTCTCATTCACAATCACATTAGACAAGAGCAAAGTAACCAGAACCCAGTGTTTACCGCGATGAAGTAAACGAAGGACTTGTTGAGCATACTTCTTTTCAGACTCGGTACCAGAGTGAGTAAGTACATGAAGGTTCGTTTCATCCAAACCCATTAAACCTAAAGTAAGACCTAATACAGAAAAATAAGTCAAGATTTTAAAGCGTCAACACACTTACCAGCAAAGACACCGCCTAAAAGAACAAGACCAAAGATGACAATAAGTTTCTCATAAAACTCGGGTGAACCATAGTCAATTTTAGGTTCTTCTGCATCAACCTCTGGTGTGGTATAGGCACTTAATGGATGGCCATAAATGCTAGTAAATAAAGAAGCTGTAGCTATCACAAGAGTTCGTATATTAGATATACTATGAGTACGTTGCATTCAAAAATAATAGAGAAAAAAAAAGAAAAAAAAAAAGAAATAATCGTCATAAATTACAACAGAAATGAAACTCCGGCCCGAAGCCTTTTTTTTTTTTGACAAAATCTATCAGTATTCTTCCGTTTTATATCCCTGTTGATTGGTTAATAGTTTTAATGGACCCTATTGATTGGGGGTATATTATCTAATCATTCCCCCCTTTTACTTTATATAGTTTTACAAGACAGGTCTTTTTTTTTTTTTTTATTTATATATTTATTTCCGAGTGATGATTACAATGAGATATACAAGATTAGTTGGGAGTAAATTGAACATATAAATGAACTTCACCATGGCTAGTCAAGCCCAACTTGGCGGGTAACTTAACCCAGGTATCAGTAGGAGTACCATTAAAGACTTCTTCAAGCTCAAGCTTGCCTTCACCAATATCATCACTTCCAACAAGGTCCTTATCAATGACATTCAAATAAAGCTTGTGATGGCGACCTTCTTCCAAATTGAATGTGAAGGTTTCGTTCCAGACAGGGTTATTGGAATTGTCTACAACAGAAGTCCTTTGCTTGTAGTCCTTATCAAGGTATAATTCACTAATATAAACATGAGATTTTATTGTGTCTAACTTCTTTACTTACACAAAGGCATCATTTTGGCCAACCAAATCTTCATCGTGAAGATCACGGGCTTCGACTAAAAAAGAAGAATAAGCATACATAAAAAAAAAGAAAACTAAATACTTACTAACTGTAACTTGGAGAATACCAGCAGGATATTTGTCAAACATTTGAATAGAATAAAGAGAATCAAAATGAGTTCTGCTTGTTCTTTTTATAATGGATGCCACAGATGCAATTTCTGTTTGTTTACGTCATGATAGATATATTATGCAACATATATATTCTTTTGTTCTTGTATAACTCTGATTCCATCATGACTTTTTTTTTTAAACGGTTAATAGGGCCTTATTTCCTATGAACACAATCACAACGCATAATAGCACCAATCAAATTGCTTTACCAACCAACTGCTAAGCAAAGATACATGTCCTGAAAAGAACTGGACATTCAACTTTTGGATATTGTTTTCCCCTTTTTTTGTTTATTTATTTGTGCTAAGCTTCCGCTTCTTCTTTTAAGTGTATCGTTTTGTACTAAAAATATTTTTCTTAATTACCCGGTTATGGCTTGCAGATATGAGTGAATGAAAGGAAGAAATAATAAGGCAAGTGTAACCTTTTCCATTTTGAGCCAAAAGCCCGTTTGTTTATAATTCAGCCAATAGTACCATTTGTTTATTATTGTGTGCATGTTTCTCCAATGGTATATGTACATTGTCTTTATTTACAGTTGAAAAGGACTCAGTTTCTCATTAATTGAACTATGCTGAGGTGTGGATACAAGCGAATGATCAGCACTATGGCTGTTTGTGAACGATAACATAGGCTCGGTAGGAGAAGAAGGAAGCATATCTACATGCATCGCAGCAAGATCATCACTGCATATACTAGTGGTATCTTGCTGAGATGATAATGGTGACATCATACTCGTCTGTTCATCATGAGCATCTTTTCGGAAACACTCTTCTGAGCAATAGATAGAGTCCTATACACGCTATTAGAGCAATGTATGATCATACTATTGGCCTCATACCAAGTTTGGACTCACTGCACAATCGCAAAAGGTACACCAATTTGTATCGCACATAATAGAGAGAGAGAGAGCTAAAGAAAAAAAGAAAAAAAAAGCGAGAAATAACAAATCTGCCCACTTGCATTTTTGGATTGAGCCTCCGCTTAACTATACATTGAATAACTTCAAACCTACAGTCCTTTAACTGAACTGTAAGGTGCTATTTTCGCTTTTAAGTGTACAAATGCTTAATAATAATAATACAAAATCAATTCTTTTTGTTATTCTGTAAATCATTAATAGCAAGATGATGCTAAAAAAAGGAAAAGAAGAAGCTTTCTCAAAATCATCATTAACAAGAGAGCAATTAAAAGGTTTAGTCATCCATTGGTTATCGACATTTCTGGCTTAAGCTCAATAAATTTGCTTTATAACCATACTATTGAGCGAACTATCAATATCTTTGATACTGTCATACTAGTCTTGACTTGCGCCTCTTAATTCAAAATAGCTCTAATGATCTGTTTATTTTAATTCGTTGAAAAGACATGGATTGGACCGAGAATTCAAGAATGCTTTTGTGACTAAATAGAACCAATAGTTGCCTTACGCCTCTCATTTCATGAGTGAATTTCAAGTCATCATAATAGCTACCATATCTTGCTTTCGAAACTATACCTTCGCTGTCCATGGTGAACAAGTGACACTCAATTCAGCCAATGGTTTCCAAGTCAAAAAGATAGTCCCTAGTGGTTTTGAATTGCAAAATCACATCACCATCTCTGTTTCTCCTTTTACTCGCGACTTTCTTGATTCTGATTTTGCCAAGGACATCCCAAAACCTCTTCAAAGAGAGCACTAAATTTTCACAATCTGCATTTTATGGTGTACGAGGTCTACAAGCCAGAACAAGAAAGAAATATTCTATCCAAATGCGCCTACTAGAAGCGGTTACTGATTCAGTAAGCCAATTGATTCAGCCAAAGAACACCCTACATATGGCCTGTTATGACTCTGCATTGACAAACTACAGGGCGAATTTGGTATCGATGCGGGATGAGAATAAAATGATCAATATTCTGCTGAACAAGCTGGTGTCGGTATTACTATGTGTGCACTTGGTTCCTAAAAGAAAAAGAAAAAGAAAGCATACTTCAAGTTTATGCATGAATCTCAAAAAGGCAAGAAGAAAGAAGAAACCAATGAAGCAAGCAGGTCCTTTCATTGACAACGGTTCTTTAATCATTTCATCAAATAGAAGAAGAATGATCATTTGAAATGAGAAATACCGCTTAAGCAAGTACAGAAGAAAAAGAGACAATTTGAATGCTGCTGATGTTAAAGCCAAATGGGCCAAGCGTGTGAATAATAGTGAACGTCCTATCCAAACATATGAAAATGTTATTATTAAAAAGGTACATACATCTCTATTAGAAACAAATTAGTTACTCATCTATATCATTTGTATTTTATTCAATAGAAGGGCGAAACTGTTGCAAAGAAAAGAAAGCAAAGTGTAGAAGCTCAAATGCTCGAAGGTTTTAAGCGTCCTTGTACAAATGTTCCCTATGAAGCTGAACCTACCATGTCATCTGAAGCTGGACCAAGTAGGCAGCAAATCACAATGATGGAAGTCGAAGAAGAAGGCAAAGGCAAAGCACCTATGCGAACTCAAACTATTCCTAAGCCTGTTGTTTTCCGCACGCCAGCAACTGAAGCTGAAATGTTATTCCTCCGGCTGGGCGCGACGCACCTTTAGCAGAAATTAAGTACTTATTTCGTGTTAGAGTGATTGCTAAAATCTGAACAAGTTTAAAGTTTCTGCAATACGCTGCTTAAATCAACAATGTTTATTTCTTGGGATATTCTAAAATTAGGCAGAAACGAAGTTCTTCATACTTTGAAGCCATTGAGTGTATTCTCTTTGTTCCTTGTATTCAATATAATCAGGCAAGAAATTAGCCAAGGCAGAGTTAATACCACGTTCTTCAAGGTAACGCTCAAAGAGACTTTGAAGACCTTCATCCAATTCAGCAAATTGAGGACCAATGTAGAGACCACGGCGTTGCCAGTCAGCTTCAGCAGATTGTTCATTGGCTAATTTGCCATCCTTGTAGTACATAACACTTTCAACTGCAATTTCACCGTCTTGAGCAACTGTATCGATGGTAACAGCACCTTGTCCTTCCTTTTAATCAGTGATCAGTACATGTCATCTCTATCATCTCATTTACCTTTTCGATAGTGACAGAAGCGCGAACAGGGAAAGAGACAACTTCTTCTTCATTTTCAACCATATCATCTTCAGGAAGGAATTCATCAGAGGTAGCATTATTGATGTCTGAAATAGAAAACAAGACACGGATCCTACAAGATATATGTCAATCTTTTTTTTTTCTTGGTATGGCTACTATCCTACTTTACTTTTCGTTACCAAACGTACGAACAAGACTGACTTCATCAACACCAGCCTTGTCTTCAATCTAAAGAAGTTAAGATCCATACGGATAACAAACAACTTACCTTGAAAGCATTGGTTTGCAAAAAGTCCTTGACAAACTCGGGTTGGCCTTCTTCTTCATTGGACTTTTCGTATTGAAGTTCTTCATCCAACTTGTGAATAAGGTCAGTGTCAACTATACAAGCGCGTCAGTTTTTTTTTTCTTTTCTTTTCTTTTTATTGTGTTCATACCAGCACTGTTGCTCATACGAGGAAGAGCAGCAGAAAAAGAGCGTGTGGCGTTGAACACAAAAGGGCGAGGAGAAGGAGCTACAAGGCTCTTAACAAGTTTGGGACGAGCAATAGCACGAAGAGAAGAACGCAAAAGACGAGAAGCCATCATCAATGATAAAGAAAAAGAAAGTGAAAATGACAGGGATAGGATGAAGAAATTTATTTCAACAATGCGAACTTTCTCCGCTTTAAAATAGAGCAGCCACAAAAATCATGCAAAAAAAAAAAAAAGAAAAAAAAAATAAATGTTCTCTGCCGGCAGAGAAAAAAAGTGCTCAAGTCTTGACTTGTTTTAAGCGATACATCAGTGGAATATCACCACTTGTTTTTAGTATGTGGTGCTTAATTGCAGCAAGTGTCATAGTAGGTGTCAATAGAGTCTCACCACAGAGCAATTCAATAGAAGATTCATCTTGTATCTCAAGTTTCTCAGCAACATATTGAATCAGTTTCCTTACTCTTAAGACGCGATTAGCCAATAATCGATTGTTAGGTCTATTTCAATTTAGATAAGTACAAATAAGGATGATTCGTCTTACCCTCCAGGTAATTCCTCCAAGGAAGAATCTGTTGCAGGTCGTAATACAAATGTCAATTTGACTGTTTCTTTAGGTGGTGTCTTATTCTAATAGTGTCAATGGATATCATCTCAAGATCTTTACTTACATAGAGAAGATAGGACAATAACCAAGATGGAGCAACATCAATAATGGTGTCTACATCTCGGCCTAATGAGCCCACAGTACCACGATACAAATCCATGCCAGTTGAAGCTTCTGCGCTTTCTTCTGCAATGATGATCATAGTAGAAGAAGGTATATCTAAGGGAGGAAAATCGTCTAAATGAGGTGGTGAATAAGACTCAGTTTTAGTCTCTTCTTCAATCTCTTTTAATTTAGCGGGCTCATCACCATCGCCATCTTGTTGTTGTTCTTCTTCTTGAGTCGTTTGAGGTGATGCATGGATAGAGAGTGTAGATGTGGTAGGGGCTAGTGTCTCAGTTGTAGGCAGTTTATCTTCGTTGGTAGGTATGCGTGTTAATTTAGCCTTGACAGACAAGTTTTTAAGCTTGTTCATGAAATTACTACTAGTAGGGGAAGTAGGGGAAGTGGGCAAGGCAGCAGGTGGTGGAATCTGGACAGAAGATTCCCTTCGAGCCACAGTAGGTGGATGATGCATACCAGAAAAGTAATCAGGCTGAACACTAGAAGAAGGTGGAGCAGTAAAGGGTCCATTCAAGGTAGCTGTTTGTGGAGAAGATGGCACATAAGGTGATTGATCTGTATGGGTAGTGACTGCAGTCAAAGGCAATTTAGGACCTTCTGCTTCGTTCGTCAATGGTGGTATGGGAGTCGCAGCAGGTGTGGCAGGTGCTTGCTCAGGCATACCTTCATGGGCTTGGCCTGATTTACTTTTCACTGATTCTGGCTTTTCGGGTTGATCCAATTCAAATCGAATCTCACCCTGTTCTATTTCTTTTGCAACAAACTGATGAAACAAGTTGGCCAAGACCCATTTTCCTATATTCAGGCGTTGATCTTCTCGTACTTGATAGTCTTTTGGCAATTCTACTTCATCTGCATACATTTCACAGTCAAAACAATTAAATTCATGCAGCTGAACAGTGATAGCACCAATTTTGGTGTCCACAGAGCACCAAGCAGGAAAACTCTCGATACTATTGACATGACAGGCTACATCTTCAATGTCTTGTTTACCAAAGTTCTTGATTTGAACACATTTCGTGAGATCCCATAGAGTGACTTCGCCATTCGTGTCTTTGGTCAGAATATGGCGTCTGTTGTGCAAGATCAAGTGAGAGATAATACCAGGCTTGCCAGGTATCACATCGTCTGGTTCTGATCGTAAAGGAACAAGCGAACTTTGATTGTCTAAATCGTCGTCTTGATAGCTGATAGGGATAGAAAGCACTGAGCCAGCGTACATGGTAATTTGGTCACTAGGGACATAAGAGTCTGGTATGTGTGAAGTGTAAGGAGATTTAGCCATGGGCAACTTGATTAATGCTGAAGAAGGAATTTCGGGGTTAAGCTTCGATCGAGGCAATAGTTGGCGTGTTTCTGCAGGCGGAACAGATAGCCATCGATGAATGCTTGAGCTAGAAGTGGCTGTCCATACATAAGTATCGTCAAGTGCTGCAATCTATTCCATGTAAGGCGTTCTGTTTGTTGTGATATGAACTTACTTTAAGCACACCACTATCTTCTCTAAATAAGCCAATGCATTCACTTTCTCCATCGAGTGATGCTTGTCCCATCATATGTGTCTTATTGACAAGACCATCTCTTGATCCTGAGTAAAATACTTTGAGTTCAGGGTGATTCGAATACAAGGACCAGACAGAGTCAGGATGTGTTTCATAAGTAGTCAAGCATCGTTGTGCTTTGACAGACCAAAGCTTGATAGTAGAATCAGATGAACCTGAAAGAATCTATAAACAGTGAGTGAATTGCAACCATACGCCATGTTTAGATTACATATTGTCCATCATCACTAATTAACAAGGCACGAATGTTGTCTGTATGGCCTGTCAGTTTACTGATGCGTTTGCCTGATCTAGGGTCCCATAATCGAACTACTTTTTCAGGGGAACCTGAGGCCATTAAAGTACCGGATGGATTGACAGCCAATGCATAAATAGAGCATTTACTGGAATTGTTGTGCATTGTATCTAATCGTAGTCAGCATAGCTACACACCAGACAGACACTTACTTGTGTTTTCACTTGTGTTATCCGTATAATGATGAACAGGGCCTGCATCAATAGTAAGGGATGCTTCTGATTTCTCAATATCCCAAATATTGATGCGTCTATCTAAACCACCACTGGCAACCCAACCAGGTTGAGAAGCATAAGTAAGGCATTTTGCATAATCCATATGGTGTCCAATGGTATGTGCTGCTTTCATATCGCTTGAAGGCTTCCACAATTTAATGGTTCTATCATTCGAAGCTGACACTACTATAGGATAGATGAATACAGTGACTTGATTGGACATGATTTACCACAAGTGTTTCCTTGACACAAGACAATATCATTCACCCAGTCTGTATGCATTTGTGAAAATGCTTTGCATGTCGCCTTGGGTGTTGTCTATCATAAACTGTGAGCAATGAAGCAAATAGAAAACCAGATTCATACTTCAGTAGGATCATCGAGTGTGCAGTACTCTTGTTCTCTTTTGAACTTCAAATGCAAATCCCAACTGGCTACTACACCATCTCTGCCAGCTGAATACAACACGCCTCCTTCCCGTGTAGTGTCAATAGCTAATGAGTTGACACCAAGGCAATGAGCCCGTTCTTCATTGCACAAGTTGACGACGTAAGAAACCTTGTGGCGAGTTGCTTTCATACGTTTTTGAAAAGAAACAAATATTCAATATATATGTGTGTGTGTGTGTGTGCAATGTTGCGTGTTGCAAACGGTCATTGAATCTGGGTTTGTTACTTGAAATAAATGGATGCCCTTTTCGGTTACACCTTTAGGCTTTTGTGCAAGTATATAAAAATCGCACGAATAGCTTCCTATTGCTTAGGGATATATAGTTACCAATTAAACTTGTAGGATTTTTTTAAATTAGTTTATTCATTGTACAGTGCTTCCAGCGTCAATTGGTTACCTTACCGAAAAAATTGGTCACCTTTCTGAGAACCAATTGGTCGCTTTTCTAGAAAAACAATTGGTCACTTTTTTGAACTTCAATCGTTTGTCGTTCCTAATACAATCTCAGTTGGCTCCACTCCGTCTGCAAATGTGATAGATGCTCTCAGAGCCACGCTTTATTTTCCTTTTAAGTATAATAATTATATATATATGTATATTTTTTTTTTCTCTTTTTCTTCCTTATATCTTTCTTGCCTAAGCATAATTCAATTTTTTTTTTGGGTTGGGAGGAGGTATATATATATATATATATATATAGCTAATAATAATGAGATAAAGATAACATATAATTGATTTAGAAGAATCGACGATACCAAGGGGGGGGCATCTATCACATTTTTCGACTTCGTTCTGCCATCATAAGGAATAATCCAGTTTTATCTGTCCTTCTTCAAATCACTACCGACAGGAAAAATTGCATTTAAAAAAGGGCTTAAAGCTCTTTTGATAAAAATTGATTCATCCTTAGAATCAATTGATTCAGAATCACTGTAACTGTTTAGTCTAATAGAAATATTGTTGGTACCGAACGCAATTCAAAAGAGACATTCACTTACAAATCATACAGAATTTTTGCTGCCATATTTTTATTCGAGCTCACTAAACGGTTTAGAGCAGCTACTACTGCGCTTTCTTTTTTATGTGAGCTCAATTGAACCAATGTTAGACTGAAAATAAAAATAATGCCGTATAGAATAAAAAGTGATTAGTTTCAAATTTATAATAAACGAGGCTGATGTTCTTACATTGGTTTGTTCTGGATAGTTTCAAAAGGCGTGATGTTGGATTTCAAAAAGAAATCAAGAATAAGGCTCTACAGAAGATCAAATAAGTTTTACAGCTTTAAACCTAATTGGGTTATTTAGTTTACCTTCCTGTTTTCCCTCCACAAAACAGCTATCTCATTGTCAAAACGATCTAAATCGCTTCGAATAGAATCAAACAGATGCTGATAACTGGCAAACGACTTCTCGTTCATTTTTCTTTTAATACAATCAAAGAAATCCCAGTTCTCAGGAATAGTTTCAGAAAAATAAGACATAACGAAGAGTAAGAATGCTCAGCAGCAAGGTTCAACATATGCTGGACTTGACTACGAGAGCCGAAAATCGCAACATCAACCGCAAAAAGAAGACAATTCAGAGGAATTGCATCAGACATACCAGGAGGACACACCAAAGTAGTATTGTTAAATGGGTGTGAGTTCACAAAAATTGATTTCCCAACACAGTAACAAAAATCCATGTGACAGCATCAAATTGCTACGTCACCTGTATTTTATCAACCAATATTTCCCAGCTTCACTGTATCCTTGTCCTGTTTCAAAATAAGTGTCCCAAATTTTCTTGGCTGTCCCGTTTTTGAAGTACTGACCCATTTTCAAAAGAGTGTCCCAATTTTTTCTTTCTGGCCCAACCTATTTTCTTCAGCTGTATAGACTGTCTGTAAAATGTTTAAGGGGTGACCAATTGGAGCTCAAAAAAGTGACCAATTGGTTCTCAGAAAGGTGACCAATTTTTTCGGTAAGGTAACCAATTGACGCTGGAAGCACTGTACAGACACTAGGCAGTATAATGTATTCAGACTGACTTACTATCTATCTACAGTGTATTAAATTTGTATTGAGTATACCTTGCTAAATAATCATTCTTTCTTTTTTTTTCTCTCTCTCTTTCTTCCAATATGGAGTCCTACTTTCAAGTGTTCCGTAGTCATATGCAGGAAAAAAAAGTCTATTTGTGACAGTGTTTTCATTCGCGTTGATTGGTTCATTGTTTTAAAAATTTATTCATTTTTTTTACTTTTTGACATATTTCCTCCCCCCTTTTTTTTCTTCCTTACAATTCATACTATGACTGAGTGGCCCGTTAACAAGGTGCGTTCCACCTTTATCAAGTTCTTTGAAGACAATCAACACACTTTTGTCCCTTCCTCTTCTACTATTCCTCATGATGATCCTACTCTTTTGTTTGCCAACGCCGGTATGAACCAGGTATGCGAGTTTGTGTTTATCAGAAATGATGACTCATGTTTGCTTTATATAGTACAAACCTCTTTTCTTGGGTACAGTTGACCCCAACTCTTCTTTGGCCAGTCTTAAGCGTGCCTGTAACTCTCAAAAGTGTATTCGTGCTGGTAAAGTAATCCATTTGATCTATCTGAGATATTGATGATGATTTAGGTGGTAAGCACAATGATTTAGATGATGTCGGTAAAGATACCTACCATCACACTTTCTTTGAAATGTTGGGTAATTGGTCCTTTGGTGACTATTTCAAGAAGGAAGCTACTCAATTTGGTTGGGAATTCTTGACCAAGGTCATCAATCTCCCCAAGGATCGTCTTTATGTGACTTACTTTGGTGGTGATGAAAAGCAAGGTCTTCCTGCTGATCTTGAAGCCAAGCAAATGTGGTTAGATCTTGGTGTTGAAGAAAAGCGCTTGCTTCCTGGTAACGTCAAGGACAACTTCTGGGGTAAGATTGATCATTAGAAATAATACAGGATGAACTTACTTGGTATAGAAATGGGTGAAACCGGTCCCTGTGGTCCTTGTTCTGAAATTCACTATGATCGTATTGGTGGACGTGATGCTGCTCACTTGGTCAACATGGATGATCCTAATGTCCTTGAAATTTGGAACATTGTGTTTATCCAATTCAACAGAGAACAAGACGGTTCTCTTCGTACTTTGCCTAATCAACACATCGATACTGGTCTTGGTCTTGAACGTCTTGTCTCTATTCTTCAAAACAAATACTCCAACTACGATACCGATTGTTTCACACCCATTTTTGACAAGATCAAGGAATTGACCGGTGCTAGAGAATACACAGGTTTGTTGGGTGAAGAAGATAAGGATGGTATCGATACAGCCTACCGTGTTGTTGGTGATCACATTAGAACCTTGACATTTGCTATTTCTGATGGTGGTGTTCCTAGTAATGAAGGTCGTGGTTATGTCTTGAGACGTATCCTTAGACGTGGTGCTCGTTACGTCCGCAAGTACTTTAATGTTCCTATTGGATCCTTCTTCTCTTCTCTTGTGGATACCTTAGTCGAACAAATGAAGGAAGGTTACCCTGAATTGGCTAAGAAGGCTGATGATGTCAAGGCCATCTTGGACGAGGAAGAAGTTGCTTTCTCCAAGACATTGGATCGCGGTGAAAAGCTTTTCGAAGCTTACATGAAGAAGGCCAAGGAATCTGGTTCTACTGTCTTGTCTGGTGATGACGTCTGGCGTCTCTATGACACGTATGGTTTCCCTGTTGATTTGACTCGTATCATGGCTGAAGAAAACGGTTTAGAAGTCAACGAAGCTCAATTTGAAGCTGCTCAAGAGGCTGCCAAGAACAAGTCTCGTAAGGTCAAGGGCGGTGACAATGGCCAAGGTGTGGTTGCCCTTGATGTCCATGATCTTGGTGCTTTAGACAATAATGATGCTGTCCCCAAAACAGATGACAAGTACAAGTACTTGCCTGGTAATGTCCAAGGTCAAATCAAGGCTATTTTCTTTGAACACAAGTTCCTTGACTCTACTGCTGATATTCCTGAAGATCGTCACTTTGGTATCTTGACTGACAAGACTAACTTTTACGCTGAATCAGGTGGACAAGAATTCGATACTGGTTCCATCATTACTTTGGACGGTAGTACTGAATTTGCTGTTCACGACTGTCAAGTCTATGGTGGTTATGTCTTGCATGTAGGTCATCTCAAGTACGGTCAATTGTCTCTTGATGACCAAGTTGAGCTTTCTTATGATGATGTCCGTCGTTTCCCTTTGAGAAACAACCACACAGCCACTCACATCCTCAACTTTGCTCTTCGTGAAGTCTTGGGTGATGACATTGACCAAAAGGGTTCTCTTGTCTCTCCTGAAAAGCTCCGTTTCGATTTCTCTTTCAAGACACCTGTCAATGCTAAGCAATTAGAACAAGTGGAAAAGATCTGTAACGATTTTGTTGCCAAGAACATGAAGGTTTACTCCAAGGAAGTGCCTTTAGCTGTTGCCAAGGCTGTCCATGGTCTCAGAGCCGTCTTTGGCGAAACTTATCCTGATCCCGTCCGTGTTGTCTCTATCGGTTTCGATGTTGACGAAATCACTCAAGATGTCTCTAACCCCAAGTGGAAGACAACCAGTGTTGAATTCTGTGGTGGTACTCACGTTGCCAAGACCAGCGATATCAAGTACTTTGCTGTTGTTGAAGAAACAGGTATTGCTAAGGGTATTCGTCGTATTGTTGCCGTCACAGGTGATGAAGCCACTGCTGCTCACCGTGAAGCACAAACCTTTGTTGGCAAGTTGGACCGTCTTGAGAAATTGAACGGATCTGAATTAGAAGCTGCCCTCAAGGTTGTTTCAAAGGAACTTGATGCTGCTGTCATTTCTTCTGTTGCCAAGGCTGCTTTCCGTGACCGTTTTGCTCAAATCAAAAAGACATTTGACAATGCTGAAAAGGCTCGTAAAGCTGAACAAATCAAGGAAGCCAGTGAAGCCGTCAAGAAGTACTTTGAAGAAAATCCCGAAGCCTCTTACTTTATTGCTGAATTGCCTGTGGGTAACAATACCAAAGCTTTGGGTGGTGCCATCAACTATGCCAAGACTAACTTGAAGGATAAGGCTGTGTATGTCTTTAGCAGTGATAAAGAATCTGGTCGTGTTGCTCACAACTGTATTGTCGGCAAGAACTTTATTGAAAAGGGCTTGAAGGCTTCTGAATGGGCTACTGTTGTCTGTGAGAAGATTGGTGGTAAGAAGGGTGGTAAAGATGATGCTGCTCAAGGTTCTGGTGATAAGATTGATGGATTACCTGATGCTTTGAAGGCTGCTGAAGAATTTGCCAAGCTTAAGATCAGTGCTTAAACACTTTCTTATGTACATTATTCATTTTATCTAATAAACATTTTGATTCCTTGTATTTATTACACAAAACGAGGCCAAATGGCAATGTGTTGACCCACCAGCATGATAAATATTGAATACATTAAACTATAGCGGTAAAAAGATTTGGACCTGCACAGGCTTCGGTAATTATTTTTTTTTTCTGTTAAATCTTTAGCTATGATTTTGTTTTGCTTTACTTTGATAAACACTTACGCTTGCAGCGGACTGATACAGGTAATATGATGTATTCAAAAAGGAAATTGAAGATTGATTTGCGAAAGATCACATCATAAGCTCAAGACACTTGTCCGGTTGTTTAACAGTCCGAGTCTTAAACAACTTTACATAAGCCCAATATTTGTTTTTCACATGAAATTGTCTTTATAAATAATATTTTCTCTCTTTTTTTTTTTTTTTTTTTTATCTTTTAGCTATTTTTTTTTATGTATATACAGCATGAACTTTTATGAAAAAAGACATAGAGAAAACAACCAGCTCTTTCAACAACATGAAAGAGCTATTGACAGCATACAAAATGCAATCAAAAGAGAAATACCTCACTTGATTCATGAATTTCAACTAGACATTGAAGAAGCTGATAATCTAAACGAATATGTGAACGATAAATGTAAATAAACAAACAAGAGACAACCACTCATTAAACTTGTGTTTAGTAACCCTATTTCGTTTTTTAAGAAAAAACAACTATTCGTTACCTACAACATTGTCTCTCTTACTAGATACCATCCGATGGAGAATAACGCAAGACATTGATCGAATTCGTACTTGTCAACTTGTTGACTTTCTTTCTCAACCCCTTGTCTATTTTCACAAACAGGACAGAATATGTAGGCCTGTGCTGGTTGTTCAATTAGCGCATTTACCCCAGCCTTCTGAATGTGATTCTGCTGAATTTTTCACACCACTCGTTATTTTCATACTCGAGACAGCACGATTACTTATATGGGATTTAACACAAGAAAGAATAAGAAACCAAGTAGAAGATCCAATTGTTTTAGATATGGTCGTTTTAATTGATTTTAAGAATGCCTCTTCTTTACCCACTGTAAGGATAAAAAGAGAACAGACACCTTATTCTAATAAGATAGGATATCAATCTATTTAAATCGTTTGTGACATTACTCAGAAGATATCCAGGCTTGACAGGCACCGTCAATTTAATTAATTTTGGGTGGATGTATCAAGGTCTTTGGCAAATGTGTAAGCTGGTATTATCCAAAGAAGCTAAAGCCAAGGTCAACTTTCCAAAACCACATGAACTCAAACAATTGATTAAAGACCAAGATTTGATAAAAGGTAAAGCACAAACAATGTGTACAATTACTCATAGAATGATAGCATTGGGTGGACAAGATGATTTTGAATGGAGTCTCAGCCAAGACAAGTATTATACCAAATACAGACCACCACTTGTTTTGAGTAGACGCAGTTCGAGTTCATCTATTTATTATGATTCACTTGCCATGACACAGGTAACAAGACCTCCTTCCTCTTTCAGTCTGTATGCTACACCATCCAATTCACTTACGCCTGTTGCAAGTCATACAAACCTGACGAGTCTTGCAAGAGCCTATTCAAGTATATCCTTATCCTCAAAATTGGGGAATGGCATGCCTCCACGCTTAAGAACAACCATTAGACAACTGAGCGACTTCCTTCATCATGTACCTTCCTCTTCTAATACAAACCATGAAAGCGTATCTTGGCTTTTATCTCAGAAACTGGATAGGGTTCAACAAGAACAAGAACAATTTTCTCCTCCTGTACCCAACAACCCTCAAAACTGGTTTATGAGATTGATAGCACGTTTTGAACATACTCTTCGGCAAGTGACACTCAGAATACTCGGAAAGATGGTCAAATACCAACGCACTGTGTACTGGGTTGTTGCCTGTGTTTTACTTCGAAATGGAGTACAAGAATTAGTGCAGCATCTTTCTTTATTGATCTTGGAAGTGTTGTTTGCTGGTCAAAAGACGTCTTCTCTTGGCATAAACACACTTCTTCAGATAGGTAGTAGCCAAATGACGCTTTAGTTATAATAAAAATGACGTTTAAAAGAGTTTATGACGTTATGCAAAATAATTCTGCTTTATTCAATCTAAAAGGGAGGAACGTTATAAATAAAAAAGGAAAGAAAAAAAAAAAAAAAAGAGAGAGAGAGAGAGAGAGAGAGAGAGAGAGAGAGAGAGGGAGAGAGAGAGGGAATATAGATCATAAGAATACACATAAGCAAATATTGGGCTATGCTGCTGCTGTTGATTTGGTCCAGCCATCATAGAATCCACTATCCACTTCTCTTGAAGGTTCAGAAAGAGATTCATCTTCTGTAACAACAAGGTCTTCATCTTCAAAAGGATTCTCATAAGCTGGTACGGCAGGTCTGTTCTTCTCCACTAAACGCTTTAATCTGTGTCTTAATGCTCTATCTTCTTCCAACTCAATATGAGGCTCAAAAGCATCTAATAAGCCTGCTCGCATTGTATGGAACACATACATGGCATCTTTTTCTGAATGACCCAATTTGGATTCACTTTCTAGGCATTGCGCAATCACTTGTCTAGCCTGTTCTACCAGGTGATTATTATTGGTGTTATTCTTCTCGTCATCCGTTATTAAAACAGCGCCTGCTACGTTGCCACCGTTTCTTTTTTCTTCTGCAAAAGCATCTTCTAATAAAGTCTTTCGCTTACGACGTCGTCGATGTTCGAGTGCGTATCTTACTGCAAAATGAGCTTCCATACCACCTCGACGTTCCAATTCTTTTCCATCTCCTTTCAAGGCCAAATCTGCTTCTAATCGCTTCAACAAATCTTCTCGCATTTGGGAGTCAGCAGGTAAGACAAACAATATGTAATTTAGTGTATATAATCGATGCGTCACTAGACGCCAAAAACTATCGACTGTTGGTGCATCAAATGACGCTGACGTAGCATTCAAGGGTGTAGAATAAGACGGACTTGGCATAATCGACGGTGATAATTCACACAATGCGCCGTGACTTGAACTAGGTCGAATAGGGTTAATTATGCCATCTAGTGTTTGTTTTAGGCGGGCTGCCATAAAAAGAGCTCGGCTTTGACAGCGTTTATCATTAAAGAAAAAAGAGCCAAAAACATCATCAAATTGAGTATTTTCTACTTTTTTTGATATCATTTTGAGTGTATCTGTAAAGCTGACATTGTTGTTCATCACTGTAGGTGATAAGTTAGGCTCAGGAACATAAACAGAGTGAGAATATTGTTGTGGTTGTTGTGGTTGTTTTGATACTTCCGTCTTTTTCTTAAATGGAAGCTTGATAGATTTTACACGAGCAAAAGTAGGCATATTGTTTTTTTTTAAAGGTAAAGGAAAAAAAAAAAACAAAAACAAAAAGGAAAGAAAGAATTAAAAAAACTTTTTTTTTCTTCTTCTTTTTGTAAATTGGAAAAACATGCCAAATCAAAAGGCACGTTCTTTTGTGTAACTTGTACTCCTTTTGTAACTTTTTATTATTTTCCGTATTTGCAAGTTCCAGAACAACAATCAAAACATAGATCTGCAGTTAATAAATGCTTGTGTGCGTCAATTGCTTGTTGTTGTTGTCTGCATGACTTATTGAAACGGAATTTTGTAAGCGATTCGAACAAAAGATGACAGTAATAGTTTTAACCTCCTTTTTTTCATTTCAGCATACTTGAATTAATTCATTATTGAAAGATCTCCTTCAAATAATAGAGTCGCTTTTTTTTTAAGCAGTCATAAATCATATTCATCTTGACCCTGAAACAACTTCTTTTTTTGGCAAGATAAAATAGCTGAAATCGATTCTTCTTAGATACGGAGCAATGTATACTCCCCTCTTTGCATGAATGAAATAGATAAAAAAAAGAGTCACGCACTTTTTCAAAGATGATTTTATGAATGACAACATACACATATCTAATTATCTTGAAGGACAAGAGTAGGAGTGGATTCAGATGTATACTTGCCAATCCATTCAAGAACTATAAAGAAAATGAATATAGGCTTCTAATTCACGACATTACCTTCTTTGTGCCATCTTAAAGAGTTGGCAGGCTTCAATACCCAATGGCTTTCATCTGGGAAATACAAAAGACGAGAAGGAATGCCTTGTCTTTGAAGAGCAGTAAATGTTGATAAAGACTCATCAAATGTTAATCTAAAGTCATTTCCACCATGAATCACTAACATGGGTGTCTTCCAGTTTTGCACATAATTTGATGGTGACCACTTTTCGAATCCTTCTCTGTTCTCGGGTTGAATAGGAGATCCACCAAACTATATCTCTTATCAGTATATCTTTTCTTACTTGTTTCGTCCTACCTCTCTTTCATCAAAGTAGATTTCATCTAAAAGACAAAACATTAATCACCCTGTTTATGTTGATATGTAACATTACCTGTAGTGTAATAGACGTGAGTAGTAGAGAAGACACCATCATGGTTGACAAGAACTTTGAACTTATCGCTGTGACCATTGATCCAGTTTGTCATATAACCACCATAGGATCCACCCAAACCTGCAACACGTTCAGCATCAAGATAAGAATACTTTTCCAAAACATGATCAAGGCCTTTTTCAAGGTCTTCAAAAGGATAAGACCCCCAATTACGAGTAATAGAGTCAGTGAAAGCTTGACCATAACCAGTGGAGCCGTGAGGATTGAGGGCTACCACAGCATAGCCAGCACCAGCAAAGATTTGAGGGTTCCAACGTGTAGACCTAATATGAATTAGTTAGGTCAATGCAAATCATGCACCTGATGTAATACAAACCAATTATCATTCCAAGCACCTTGAGGACCACCATGAATCAAGAAAGCAACAGGATATTTCTTGCCTTCTTCAAAATCAGCAGGCTTGAGATACCAACCATGAACTTGATCATTCAAGGCACCGGTAAATCTTAATTCTTCGGGTTCAGAGAATTCGATTGTCTTGAGCTTTTCAGCAAGTCCTGATTCAACTGCAAGAGGCTTGATTTCTTTAGTCGAGACATCCAATACATGAGGAGCAACAGGATGCTTCATTGAACTAAGACCATAAAAGATATTACCGGAAGGAAGAACAGTAAGACCGGTGGCATAGTGTTCTTCTGTCAATGTCTTTACAGATCCAGTATCAATATTGACTGCAAAAATCTTGTTACGACCTTGTTGTTCAGCTGTAACATACAGCGTCTTTCCATCAGCTGAAGAAGTAACTTCATGAGGACTACTGTCCCATGAATCAGCAATCACCTTTCTTTCGCCAGATTTAGGGTTGAAGACAACAATACGGTTTCTGTCAGATTCGTATTGAGGAACCATCATTTGAAAGTAAACCAAAAGACCTGAAGAAATAAAATGAGGTGCAGAAGAAGCAGCAGGAATGTCCTTGTTGATAGCAACAGGAGCTCCTTTTCCGTTTGTAGCAACAGTGTAAATATGAGCAGATGTTTGCCAGGCGTTATCTCTTGTGTTGATCTTGGCCAAGAAAGCGATTTGAGAGGCGTCAGGAGAAATATCAAAGTCACTGGCATCGCCCATAGGGAAACCAGGAGATTCCAAGCCAGTCTTTCTCAACAAGTTGATGGGTTCACTAGCGATCTTGTATTTTCTGTCAATGATAGAGACATCGACAACAAAAATATTGTTCTTCTTTTCCTTTACATAATCATCCCAATGTCTAGTCAAAAATCAGCACATGTCCATAAAATCTGTTTTTTTTTCTTTTACCTAACCATAAGCTCATCATAAACCAAGGCAGTATCTTTCTTGGTTTCCTTGATTTCCTTGTCCTTCTTTAATGTACCTTCCAAAGTACCATCATCATTGTAGACAGAAGCAGAAAATGCTAAAAGCTTATGCTGAGCATTATATTTTAAGTTACCAAAGGAAATAGGGAAATCCGTAAGACGATAAGGACTCTCTTGCTTATTCTCCAAATCAATGACATACAATTGATCCACGTCTTCTTTCAGTTCATTGTCGTGGTGAAAATAAGCGATATGTTGATCATCCAAGAAAAAAGGTTCGCTATCCGAAGTATCAAAAGATGGTTTTGTCAATTCCTCCACTGAGTTGTTATCGATATTTAAGAGGTAAAGGTTACGAACTGTCTAAATATGTACGCGTTTGAATCAACAAATACTAATAAATTAACCGAGAAAATACCTTTGCTTCAGTTATATTGTAAGCAGACTGTGCATAAACTGCAAGAGCACCACTAGGTGAAGTGACAGGAACACCGGGACGAGGTAACTGAATAAGATCAGCAGGTGTAAACTTTTCGGCCATAATAACAGTCATACTGAATAAAGAAGCTCCAAAAAGGAGGAGCTTGTTTTTAAATAGCATTTTGTGAATGAGAGAAAAAAAAAAAGAATGAACAAATGAGAACTGGCTTTATATTAGAGAGGAGATTTGCAGCCAAAAAAGCATTCTGTGCACAAAAAAGGAGATTTACCTGTGAAAAAGGAAAGTGTTGCTTCCATCTGCTCGGAATTATTTAGACAATATACACCAACAGTAAAAGTATTGTGTCACAAGAAATAGAATGCTTAGTAAGTATGATGTATGACATTATCACAAATTGAAGCTATTTAATGCATGGATAAAGCGTTCTCGCCGACAAGCACATGCAATACAATTAGCATTGTATTTGAGAGATTTCTTTCAATGAATAATAACTAATGATATCAAGATCATATCAAAGATACATTATTTGTCTAATTCATCATCAAGAAATGATCAACTTCAAGTTGTGCCATAATTCGAAAAAATTTCTACACAAGTGTAACAGCATACAAAATGCTGCGCGTACTAATTGCCCGCATGAATATGTTTCAATTGAATGATCCCTTACAGAGACCCGCATACTTAACATAGTATAAAAGTCTAATTTGGTACAAAAAAAAACGATCAACATCGTTTTGTACACTTTTCGCCATAATAAACGCCCAAAACCCCATCTTGTCGGATATTTAATTACAACATTGTCGAAATTTTTGCAAACATCTCAAAATCAAGCTTTTTTCCAAAAGCGAATGATAGCGGTGTTTTTTTATCGGTAGTGCTTAACAAAAGTTAAAGTTATTTTCTTTGCGGATTTAATAATGTAAAAAAATGTGATATTCTAGATATTAGGTTCTTGAAAAAAATGGAGGTTTTATTTTGGAGGTTTTTTAAGCCTGACTCACCGCTTTTTATAGTACATTTGCTGAGTAAAAACCAATATATGAAGCCGGCATTTTTTGCGCTTCTATTGAGTACTTAAACACCTCAAGAGCCCTATGTCTTGTTTCGCAAAGTTAAAAAGAAAAAAATTGGTCGGAGACTGAGCGAGATTCATGAGTAGATTGTCTTTACAAAAGCCCATTTTTCATAGTTATTTTTTTGGTCAAAAACAACTTCAAAAGTGCCCTATATCTTACTGCAAACTACTCTTAAATGTTCATAGAATATAAAAGTGATAAAACGAGTCTAATTGAGCCTCGATCTCTCGCCAAAAGAGCACTTTAATCCTCCATTTTTGCCTAATACGATTATCATTTAAAGCAAATCTGAAGATTTTCCACACATAAATGTAATTAAATCTTCATATCTTACTGAAGTTTAAGCATTGATCATGTGTAGAACAGCATGATAGAGCAAAAAATCTTAATGAATGCATTTATTGTTTTTAGAAAAAAAAGAATTGTATAGTATTATCATTTTTAAGGTTTAACAGTATGTACACATGGTTTTCGATGCTGTTCTTGATTGCTTTGTTCTTGCAATAGCTCTTTGTCAGCAATTGAAATGGCATCACTTAGAAAAGCGTCAACTAGATTTGCTAGTGTTAATCTATCATCAATTTCTTTTGATTGCTGACTGCTTGCCCAAGATTCTTGTCGATATTGCTCGCTTGGCATAGTTTTTAGAGAATCAGTATCATTTACTGAAGTAAATGTGGTATAGATTGAAGAGCAACCTTTGTTTTGCCGATAAGAGGATGATGATTGATTTGGTAACAAGGTGGAAGAAAACCGAAAATGTTGAAACCCATCTGTTGAAAATGACAAGAAAGAACTGATCGAATTTGAAATCACTATCTCTACCTTTTCATCATCAAAATGCTCTTCTTTAGGCTCTCTTTTCTTCCACCCTAGTCGATATAAAATGTAGGGGCTGCTGAGATGGATGCAACTGCTCTCCATTGAGTCCCGGTTATTAAAATCCAAGGGGGACATGGCGGCGCTTTGCAATGTGCCTGAGTTTTTTTTATGTGAAGAATAAAACCATCCAGGCAGACTTGAACGTTTGGTAACAATGATGGATCTTACACTTTGTCTGAGTCGTTTTCTCATGTTTGTGGTCTTTTGCGGTGCTGTAGTACTGAACAGTTGTTTGTCTAAAGGCTCAGAAGAGCTTTTGTCGTTACAATCAGTGGCTTTCTTGCGTTTTGGTTCTGTATAATGAAACAGGTCTGATAACCGATTTAGAATTTTGAGGGGCCCTATTGATCTCATGAAAAATGTATTCAAGAACACAAAAAAAAAAGAGAAAAAAGAGAAGAAGTCTTTACGAAAAGAGTGTTTATATCTGCAAACAGCAGGTTGTGCGCATATTAAAAATAAAAAAATAAAAAATAAAAAAGAACCTATGTATTACATGCTTTGGCATTTCTTACTCGATATAGTTTCATTTTTTAAAATAAAACAACCTTAAACTGTCTCCTTTTCTCGAGTTTTATGTGATAGACTTGCTTTGAGTGTCCTAAAGTCCTCAGCATGCATTAAAAGATCGTTGATAGTATTGGCTATAGTATCAAAATATACGAACTTTTCTTCAATGGAAAAAAATCACGCATTGTATTTGTATGTATAAAGAAGTCTATCTGATTGGCATACCATGCATTTGATTTATGGACTTTATATGATAAAAAACTCTAAAAAAAAAGGAGAAGCTTCCAGAGAGCTTGTACGAATATTCTTGTATATATGAGACGAATAATTTCTATGTATATGTATAAGCCTAAAGTATGAAATCAGAGATCAAACACGCAAGTGTGAATACATTTAAACTAAAAAAGGAATTACTGCAAGTCTTTTTTTTTTTTTTTTTTTTTTTTTTTTTTTTTTGATTTACAGTTGAGGAGAATCTATGCACTTGCCACCAAGGCGTTTTTTTTAAAGCTTACAGTAAGATATCTCTTGATGTATGATTGCATCACACTAAGCTTACTAACAGATATAATTCAAGAAAGCAACTACAGCTTATTCATGTAATGACATAATCTTATGTCACCTGTGTACATTAACTCTGTGTTTATCTTTTAATAGGTTTGAGAAACGCCCTATTTTCAGCTGCTTGCTTTTCCTATGCATGCTGAATCATGGCCACCATTGTCGCGTTTATCTAAGAGGGGAATATGTACTTCAAGGTCAATACAACTAGGATATCTCGTCTTTTTTACATATTTTTTCTGCCACAAAATGTTTGCACAAATCCATTAATTTTGATGACCGAGTTCCAGAAATCACAATGCAACCAATTCGCAGTAATTTCGTGACTATTTAAAATAGCATACCTTGTTATTTTTCTTTCTTTTTTACACTATCATGTTCTATCGTATTGCTCAAAAAGCAAGCTTTTTAGCTTCACGCCAAGTTGGCTTTCAAGCCGCTCGACGTATTCAACCTCATATTCCAAATGGTAGTTTTCATACCACTGCTAAACAGCTCTTTGCTTCTTCACACGACTGGCAACAAGCACCCAAGCACCCTCTTATCGATAAGATACAGCAACACCCTCATATTATGCAGCAACTGGTTGATTTCACTCAAATTTTGCAATCAAAAGGTGTTGATGTCTATGGAAAGCAACCCAGTTTTATGCAGGTAAGAAAAAAAATTAAAAATTATACACACATACACGCATCACTGATATGATCATAGCTTATGAAAGTCATGAATGATGTTGAAGTGAAAGAAAAGGTAGCTCAATTAGCAAAAGATATGCAAGCAGCAGGCATTCAATTAGACATGAATACGATCCAAGAATTGCAATCGAGTTTTATGTCTCCTCCTTCTAATCAAGAACAAGAACAAGAGCAGGAAGAAGAACAACAAAGAGGTAGAAAGAGAGGAGTTTTGAGCTCCGTTAAAGGCTTGTTCAAGAAATAGTTTTAATAAAAAAAGGGGGAGATATTACATGGATTCTTTTTCTTGACGTTCTAGTTCAGAAATAGGTGGAGGTGCTTGACCAAAAATTGACATTAGATTTTTTGGACGTGGTTGTTGATTGTTTTGGTAAAGAGCAGATACTAATTGCTCTGGACTTTGGTATGCTTGTTGTTGCTGTTGCTGTTGCTGTTGTTGAGGACGAGTGCCTGTGTATTCATCCAACAAATCTTCATAGCTTTGTTGTTGACGAGGAGGCATTGGGTAATTGTCTAATGCTGTATTGAAGTCATCCACAGGCATTCTTCTGAGAGGTGGTCCATGCGTTTGCTTGTTAGGTGTTCCTCTTGCATTTTTCTTTTTCCTATCATAGCATTGTCAACCTCAATCATGATCAATTATGACTTACATCTTTTTTGCTTGATTCCTTTGTCGCTTGTATTCTAATTCTTTTTCATCGTCCGAGAATTCCATTTCTTCTTCTTCTACTTCTTCGTCATACATATTACTAGCATCACTTCCTTTAATCTTTTTCAGTGCTTCGACTTCAACAATCTGTGTCTTTTGATAGCTGGGCACAAAAAAGACGGGGGCGCCCACAACAGTCAATGCCATATCAATTTCTTGAGCAGTATTGAACCGTATAGAATAATAAGGTCGAGCAACAGGACCAAATGTCTCAAATACTTCACCCAATACTTGTCTGTTCTCAAAGACCAATAAAGAGCCTTGATCTAAAGTACTGAATTCAGATCCAGGGCGACAATGAACAACCACCACATTATCAATGACATGATAGACGTTGCCTGCCAAAACCAAGGGTGTGTCTGGTGTAATTTCAAACTGAGGCTTTTCAATAGTGAAGTCAGTGATTTCATGTGCAGTCTTGACAATGCCATCTGCAAGTAATCCATCGTCTTCAAAATCATCCAAATCCATCTTCGATCGCTTGGTACCTCTATTATCAGTCATTTTCTCTTCTTCCTCTTCTTCCTCTTCTTCCTCTTCTGAATCACTTTCATCTGAAGAAAGGTCAAGGTCGCTACTTTCATAGCCTTCTTTTGTCTTTTTACCAGCAATTGCGTTATCAATGGAATCCTCTACATCCATCTATTATTTTATATGAATATACATGTATAATCATGTTTATAGCTGACCTGTTCAGGTTTAATGTCATGTTCAATTTCAACTTTAGGTTCATTTTCGACTTGTACATTTGTGCTCGCAGTATTGGTTTCTATCTTTGTTTCTTCTGTTTTGACAATAGACTAAAGAACAATAAGATCTCGGTCAAATAGATATATACGTACCTCAGTCTTTTGTGTAGCGGTTTCGTGTTGAGGACCGCGAGCCAAAATATCTTGTTGAGCAAATTCACTTACAAACTGAAGATCGTTAGGAAAAGCACTCATAGCAAGAAGAACAAGAAGAAAGAGAAAGTAAAATAGGATTTTTTTTGCAAGAAAAATAGTCACTTTGCTTGCATAAATATACCTGTGCCATTCATACCGAGAAAAGAGTACAGCCAATCAGATCCAAGTCATACAAACTCATCTTGGCATAGCGAGGTAACAAGCCACTCATCATAGAAATTGCATTATTCTTTACATATCATATGAAAGGTCTTTAGAAGCACAATGACCATGGTTCAAAAAGTCTAAGTGATGTAGACACTTGTTCCTCTCTCTGTCTCTCTCTATACATATACGAGATAATTTAGATGAGACTTGGTATACTATATGAGAAAGGACATTTACTCATATTCTCTCCCTTCTATGCTATTGATCCATGACATTATAAGCAGCTCCTACGTCAGTTGTATCACATTTCAAAATGTGCATGATGCTTCGGACTTTTGTTTTTCCGCTTGTTTATGACGGAGATGATTCTAATTTTTTTTTTTTTTTTTTCGTTATCGAATTTCTTGAAGGATTTTGTCGTTTTTCTTCTTCTTTATACACACTGTTATTACTATTATGAGTTGGAAGGTAATTCTTTCTCAATAATAATAAAAAAAGTAACACGTATGAATATTGATAGGGGTTTCAAAAAGCGGTAAGCCGTTTACCACATCAAATTATGTCCAAGAAGAGCGAAGGTAAAAAAAAAAAAAAAAAGCTTATGAAACACCACAATTGACATAGAATATAGCTACAAGAGACGCAGAATATTTACAACTAGAAAAACAATTCAACGATTTCTCTAAACTGGTCGATGTCTTGGCCAAGGATGCCAGACTCTTTCGTGATAGTATTTCAAGTAAGTGTAATCAATATGTGTGTACCATCATGGACTAAGTGATGTTCTAAGCCATGTTATCCAATCAGGCAGCTATGGCCCAGTTTTTAGCCACCATCTATGACAACAGTTTGGGCACTGAATTACCTGAAGGTGTAGTACAAAAGCGGTTTCAACAAACACCAGCAGCGAGTGCACAAGCTGTCAATGACGCAGAGGCTGCTATGGCGTATTGTCGAGATGAAGTCTTGCCAGAATTGGATGTGGTAGATCGTGACATTGTACGACCCCTGTTGGAGCTTTCAGAAATCGTCAAGACAATCAACAAAACCATGGTGAAACGCAACCATAAACTTATTGATTATGACAGACATCGTTTGTCGATACAGAAATTAAACAACAAGACTGAACGAAGTTTTAGTGAAGAAAAACAGATTTTCAAGGTAAACAATAAAAACATTTTTTTTTTATATAACTGACACACGTTCTAAAAAGATTCAAGCACAATTGGATACAGCTACACAAGATTACAATTATTTGAATGATATGCTCAAGACAGAGTTGCCAAGATTCTTTGAGATGAAGACTGCCTTTTTTCAGCCTGTGTTTGAGCATTTGTTTAACATGCAAGCTCGTATTTATGGTATTATCTATGCACGTTGTTATGAACTGCTCAATCAAAACCTCGAAACATTCCAAACACACACCATGGGCATTGAAGAAGGTTTTAATTGGAGAAAACAACAAAGAGATGCAAGGGCAGAATATGAGAATTTGGATCTATTAAAGTCGGGTGGCAAGGCATGGTTGGCTGTCTCTGGCGGTGCTAATAACAGTAAACTCACATTACAAGAACGTCGTGCTATTAAAGCAGCAGAAGCACAAAATGATGGCCACTCTCCATCACCTGCTACTTATGGTAGTAGTAGTGGTGGTAATATTGACCCTTATTATCACCAATCGCCTAGTTCACCACCACCACCAGCTTATGGTAATGCGGGTGTGACATTAGACTCAACGCCCATGAGTTATGGTAAACAGTCATGGCAACAACCACCTGTTGCTGTCAACAATAATAACCGGCCGCAGAAATTCGTCATTGCTCTTTATGACTATGTAGCTCAAGCGGAAGGGGATCTTAGTTTCAGAAAGGATGACAAGATTGAAATTATCGAAAGAACAGCAGATACAAACGATTGGTGGACTGGTAGATTAAATGGTGTTACCGGTGTCTTTCCAGGCAACTATGTTGCAGAATTATAAACCCTTTTTGAATAAAACTCTATACGCATTTAAATCACCTGTATATCAGCTGTTAATAAACAACAATTTGATTGGTTTCATTTCTCCTCCTTTAATTTTTTTTTTTATATCGCGCACTAATCCTTTTAAACCCGAATTTAGTAGAAAACAAAACAGCTTGTATATAGAAATAAACATGAAAACTTTAATTTCGTACCTGATTTTTTTTTTTTGACAGATCCTTTTTTTTTATATGAAATAAACAGTATAGAGATTTAATCAATAAAAATTCATTGGTTTTACATATTTTTTTTTCTTAATACAGTAAAAAAAAAAAGAGGGGGTGACAAGTCAAAAAAAGAGTATAAAAAGAAGAGGGAAAAAGAGACAAAAAGGGGGGAATTGCTTTTTCTTTTTTTTGGGAAAAAAAAAGAAGGGTGATAGAAAGAGAGAGAGAAAAAAAGAGAAAGAGAAAAAGGGCTTGAGAGAGAGAGAGAAGGGGTATAGGAAGCTTTTTTTTGTGATTTTTTTGAATTTTTTTTTACCTATTTTTTTGTTTTTTTTGTTGTTTGCATAATTTCTTCATAAGTAAATTTTTTTAGCTTAAGAATTAACAAGGAGGCAAGACGTGGTTTACAAATCTAGCGAGTTCAACTGAAGTAGAACATTTCAAGAGTCGACTTTGAACATGAGCATCAATTTCCTGTTATACAATTTTTTTTTTTTTTAGTTTCTGCAGTTTTCAATCTCCATTTGTGTTACTTACGGAAAGAACATCCTTTGCTGATGGTCTAGTATTTGGAACTTCATCCAATAACCAAGCAACCAAACCACGCATGTACATGGTAGGGTAACTGTAAGTAAAGGTTGGACTTGGTTCAGACAAGACAGTAGAGAACAATTCCATTTCATCCTTGATGAGATAGTGAGGAGGAACACGGTCCATCATTTCAATGATGGTGATACCAAGTGACCACATGTCAATCTTTTCGTTATAAGATTGTTCCCGAATAACTTCGGGTGCCATCCATTTACTTGTACCCAGTCGGTCACGATTACGTTTGGTGGTACGAGTAGCCAAACCAAAGTCAGCTTATGTTAAAATGGTTATTATTATTAAAAAAAAAAATTGATAAATCTGAATACACTTACCTAATTTCACTTCGCCGTTCCAGCCAAGCAATAAGTTTTCACATTTAATATCTCTGTGAATAAAGCCTTTGCCATGAAGGTAGTGTAATGCCTTAAGGGCCTCACAGGCAATATGAATAGTGTGTTCTTCAGGAATACCACGCTGACACAAGACAGCAAAGACAGAGCAACGCATCAAGTCCATGGCCATCCAGACATCGTCACGCCATAAAGTCACTTCACGAAGTCGAATCAGATTGTTGTGGCCAGAAGACATGATACGGAGTTCGCGAACGATAGCTGCTTTATACTCTCGATCGGGGTCTAATCGGCATCTTTTAATAGCTAAATGCAGATTCTTTTTATACTTGTGAGTGGCACGAACAACTGAACCATTGACACTAAAGAAAAAGCGTTAGTTTTAAATCAACCAAATGCTTCTCTGTTTTTTTTTTACCCTGTGCCCACTTCTTTGAATCCAGCGTATTTATTGCGTGGATCAAGTGTTGAAACACTAATCTTTTTTTGATGTGATAAGGCTTTACGTATTCTACGTTCAAATTCATTTTCAGATCGCACCAAAGGAGGCAACTGTGGAATTTCTGTACTAGGACCTACAGGACACCAGCGCTTCTTTTCTTCAAATTTGTTGCTAGAGGGGTATTCACGCAAATTCAATGTTTTTTTGTTATCATAGGGTTCTGGCTTTAAGAAACAATCTTTGCCAAATACGTTTGGAATCTCACAGTGACCTGGAGGACGCCAGATTTCCTATGAAGAAGGTTTGAAACCATGTTTTTTATTTCTCAAATTGCTTACTTTTGTGTTTGCAACAGAGGTACTTGTGTTGGTTGAGCTATAAAAAGAAGGTTGTCTGATACAACCAGTGGATCTTCTTTTTAAAGTCATATCGACCACTAAACTAGTCTTTTCCGTAGTCAAAGATCTTGATTTACGGAGTTGTCTTTGAGGACTCTGTAGCTGTTGTTTTGGAAATGAACCTCTTTTCTCAAACATGTTTGTACGCTATAAATATAAATTAATAATTTATGTATGTGTGAATAATTTTTCTTGTATACATTTTTCTCTTGATCCTTTGCAGCTGCAAGGATATGTTTGCCAAACTTTTGTTGCTGTTGATAAGCAACATTTGATGGTGGTGTTGTTGTTGTTGTTGTTGTTGTTGTTGTTGTATTGTAAATAGTGTTATTGGATAAATGAAGCATTTTTTTTTTTTTAGTTATATTCTATTTAAAAAATAAAGAAAGAGAGGGATATATATAATGATAGATAAAATAATAGAATGTTATCGGATAATCATCCAACGAAAAAGAAAAAAGAAAAAGAAAGTGAAAAAAAAAAGTTTTCCCCTTCTCTCTCTCCCCCTCCCCTTTTATTTATATACTGCACACACTCCGTTTATTTTATACTCCACTCATATAAAAAGGGGCGTCACAGGCATGTGATGGCTTATCCTTTTCACTCTTTAACTACTACTACTACTACTACATCTATCATTTTATATATAGGGACAATGAACAAGCACGTGGAATGAAACGTGCTTATTGTTGCTTTTTGTGTAATATTGTTTATTAAATGTCATTTAAATCTCTCTTGATACTTCTGGGTGAATGGCCATGTTGAGTTGTGTGACCAAATCCAACATGGTGTCCTTTCTCTTCAGGCTGCTTATTTTGATGTTGCTTCATGGGCGTATGCTTTGTTTGGCCTTGGTTATCGCGAAGAGATTCCATCGTGTCTTGGTCAAATGGGACATCCACAGTACCATGTCCAGTAGATCCTATAGAGAACATTAGACTCATGGTTATATTATATGACTTCAATTTACGTGTTGTGTTCATGAGAAAGAAAGAAATGTGTTTTTATTAGATTAGTTTGATTTTGTTCTCTTTTAAATAATGCTGTACGTCAGAATAACGTAATATGTAAATATCTCCCATCTCAAACAGAACGCTGTCACTCTGACCAATCTCAACATGTCCAATGTTTGACAGAACTCGACAGAATACAGGTGCATCCAAATTGGGTTCAACTACCATACTCATGTCTTGTATAACTTCATCTTGCTTTTGTTGTGTCCTGGGCAATTGGTGCAAGAAAGTATGGTGATAATGACTTTCAATCAACTCTTGGTATCGTCTGGCATAAATAATTTCTTGATGAGATAGAATATCACGCAAATTCGGTTGTCTTAATAAATGCAATGTAAATTTCTCAATCTAACATGATGAGTTTTGGTTGTTCTAATCACTTGGCTACCTTAAACAGACGACATCGAAGATAACTCTTGACAACATATTTGATACGCTCAATCTCTGTTTGATAGACCATACTTTCAAACTTATTTTCAACATGGTTTTCCATATCCTCCATGACTTTTTCAATCTAGACAATGAGTTAAAAAAAAAAAAGTTGAATGATCTCTTCTTACTTGCCTGTCTTTCAATCGTCTCTATCAAGAATTCAACCAGTGTACGTTCATAGGGCAAGACTTCAGGCGCGTTGCGTTCATTCAACCAGGCTGTTGTTAATTCTTCTGCTGCTTCTCCTGTGGATTTCTCCAAGATGCCTGCATCTTCAAACAACATGCCTGATTGAGAATCCAGAAAACTCGGTTCATCACTTTGATAAGTGGGTATAGATGAAAATATAACTTCGCTTTGTGTATTTTGTGTGCTCATAAAAAGAAAAGAAAAGGAAAAATAATGTTCTTGACGCGTCGTAACGCGAAAAATGAGACGTGTTTTATTATTATTATTATTGATCTTCAAACGGGTTTTGTGGTTCTTTAGGTCGAGAAGGAACCGTTTTATTACGACGAATAGAAGAACTTCTTCGAATCGAAGTCTTTCGTTTCAGATCAGGTACACTTAATTGTCGTTTGACTTCCACGGAGCCTCTGCTTTCTTCTTCGTCCATACTACTGGCTCCTTCATGATCTGATGTCTCTATGGAAGGCAAAGATAGAGTGGATTGATACTGAGAAGGAGGCATGGATCGATGTCGAATAGAAGAATGTAATGTGATTTGTTCTTGAGAGACTTGTTTTTCTGTTTCTTCTGCTGTTTTTCCTGCTTCTTCTTCTTGAACATTGACGAGGATACTGGGGGCATTGAAGGTGTGTCTACGTTGATTTAGATGGTCGATACTAGGATTTGTGTTTGAATGATGCACTCCAAATGCATCTAAAGAAACAGGGCGTGTCTCTGATTCTTCTTCCTCTGCAAGTGTCTTTTCTTCATGTAAAGAAACCATGCTTGCATTAGGTGTAAATGAAGAATACATCTCAAAATATTCTGAAGTCACACCACGTCCTTGTTGAGGTATAGGTGATAAGGATGGTTGTTCCTCTTCAACCGGTGGCGGTGATTGACTCACTAATAAAGGTATATCTTCAACCATGGCTTCTGATGGGTAAGCATCAAAGGCCAAAGAATGGTTTGACTCTGGTCGTTCAGGCTTGTCATGCACAGGTAGCTCAAATACAGTGGGCTGAATAGGTGCTTTTGTCTGTATCTCTTGGTGTTGTAGCTTATGTTCAAAAGAGACTTGTTCTACAATATCTTGTTTTGAAGGCACAGATGCTACTTGTTCTTCATCTTCTTCATCAGAACTCAGGTCTTCCATGATTTCTTGTTCTGTCATTGTTTCAAACTGAACAGGACCCTGTGCTTCATACAGTGTCATTCGATGGTGTGCATGATGGAACCCTTTATGTTCATCTAAATCCATGGCATGGTGGGCCTTTTCGATTGTCTCATGAATGCGTATAGACAATGCATGGGGCTCCTTGTCTTCAGCCATAGGACGATGATGATACACTTTTTGTAACAAATGCTTCACATCATCATGCACTGTAGGTGTAGTCAACTTGCCGTGATAAGCAGGATCTCTGAACTGGTGTTTCAGGTCTTGCTTTTTCTCTTTGTAGTGGTCCTGGTCTCCCATAAACGACTCGTCTAGACTTGCATGGCTGGCAACAGTGCCACGTACATACGTACCCAAGGTATGCATGCGGCGATAATACAGATACTGATAGGCCCATGTCAACACAGGTAACGGGATCAACCCATACGCTTGCGCAGACCCACCCTTCAATGCCAACACAACGATCATCGTGACCTGAAAAAAGATGCAAGAGGTCATGACGGTCTGGAACAACACGGGCCACATCTTACCACCACTCTCTATCTTGGTGACATAGATATACATCAACATGTACTTATAGACCACGCTAGCTACGGTAAAATACACCAACGCAAACGGTAAGATCAAGGGCGACATGACAGAATAGACCAACGCGATCGTGAAGAAGAACAAGAGGATATTGTAGCTTTGAGGAAAATCAAATTCAGGCGGTTTAGCCATCTCACGCAACTTGCGAGGACTCGGTCGTGTGAAGAACTTGCGGATCGTGATGGTCAGTAAAGGCACCAACATGGCTAAATTGATGGTCAAACCGAGCGATTTAAGACACACAAAATTGATCCAAAAAGTAGAGACTTCGGCAATGTTTTTGGCAATCTGCATAATGTAACTTGTGATGCTTTCGTCTGAAGGCAACGAACCGGATTCGATTAAAGCCTTGATTTGGCCATAAATACCGACAAACATGGAAGTCAATGTGAACACCAGTAAGTTATTGATGATGAAAAACACGTAGAGTTTCGTAAGCACTTTGCGATCCAGTGTGGTTTGTGTCCAATAGCCCTGCTGTTGTGATAAGAAGCGGAAAAAGAGAGGCAAGAGATAAAAGAAGAGCGCCATCACAATAGGTGAGAAATAAGATTGTATCAGGCCCATAATCACTTGGTGTTGATCAATAAATGTAGCTGAATTGGGGATCAAACGGATCAGGTTAATGACATTGGAAGTAGCAGACAATGCAGACATAGGGATCATCCAAGCAAACACAAACACCCAATAAATAATATGGCCTATCCATCGTTTAGCACATTGTGTCTTTTTGTCTAGGGGTAAATTAGACCAGATCAAATCGTCAGGCGTAGGCGAAAGACGGATCCTGAGGTGTTTAGCCAAAGAGCGTTGTGTGGAATGAGCCCATTCAATACGCTCAAAAGATATCCAACCATAATGCGAAGTTTTTGTCTTTTCACTGTGTCGTATTTCTTTGATGTGTTTGTCTATATCTGCAACTTGCTTTGTATAATAATCAATAGCATCCACTTTTTGTCCGCCAAAGCATAAGAAGCCACCCACACGCACTAAGGGTCTTTTCTTGTTGTCTGTGTCTTTACCATCTAACACACGTAAATAAACAACGTATAAACAAATATGTGTTACCACTGAGATAAGAAGCCAATGTGCCTTCCAATTGTTCCACAGCTACTTTATGTTTCTCAAACAGATCTGTCAATGTTGAACTATGATGCCCAATCATTGTATCTTGAATAGGATGTGGAACAGCCTTTGTTGATTCAATCCACTCTTTTAATTTCTGGTCTGCTCGCATAGGCTCGGGAATGCGACTGACCATCAGTGATTTCATGGACGTCTCATTCTCTGGTAAGCGTAAATAATACTGTCGCATCTCAATGTAATCGCAAGAGGCACGGTACATGAAATACCCAATTAAGCCTGAAAACACATAGGTAGCTACAAACGGAGACCAGTACCAATTTGTGTCTGGATCATCGCGTAACTTGCCATTGATTAAATTGATGCCTGAAATAGATAGCATCTCAATACTACCAGACGCAGGTGGCCATTCCCTACAAAAGAAAAAAATAAATAAATAAATACATTGTGTATGTGTGCTTCATTACCCTGTGTTTTTAGTGGCTACAATATTGATGGGAATCAAGGCACAAACACCCAGAATGGTCATCAACAAGAGTAATTTTCTTAAGAGTCGAACAAAACGTATATAAAGTAAAGCATCACAACCAATTTGTTGAAGCAATGTGTCGTCTGATACTCGTATGACGGGATTTAGCCAAGATAACCATCCAGTGGATTGAATGGTTGGTGGCTGGTGTCTACAATAAAAAAAAAAAAAGTTAATATAGATACGATGTCATGACGGTCTATGCTTTACTGTTTGGATGAGAATTTTGCTTTGGGCGCATAAACAAGTGTATTTCGCTATCGATTCTATTAGTGTCGTATAAATAAAATAGAATTTCTTACAGGTCTTAATAAACTAAAGCCAATCATGACTATAATGGCTGTACCAACATTGATCCCAAGCTGGATACCCATCGATTGAATTGTGAATGAAGCATCTTGCTTCCTTTGCTCTTCAAAAGATACATAGACGCTCATAATGAGAACAGAGAAAGAAAGAAAGCGAAAATTGCTAATTGCAAAGTGGCGTACTTTTTCTAATTGTATTTTTAGTTTTAAATTTTCTACTTTTGGTTGTGTAACAGGCATAAAAAGGTAAAGTTTTATCTATGTTTTTTTTATTTTCATGCAAAACAACACATACACACACAAAAAGCAGTGATTGAAGCAAATGGGATACAACAAAAAAAAGATAGGTTTTTGATCATATAGAACAATCTAAACCATTAAGCAATGTTTATGCCTTTCTCTTTTATTTATATTTAAGCCACGACATCCCAGCGGGGATATGACATACATTCTGTACGAATAACGTGGCTCAGATATATGCTCCAATGATAATTTACACACTTTTATGTAAGCCTCTAGAGGCTTTTTTTTTTTACAAAATTTATATATATATTATTTAAGATAAAAGAAATATATTCTATACACACATATAATCATAAAGTTTGAGAGAAGGGAAGTGAATAGGATGAACAAATGAAAAAGGAAAAGAGTAAGAGAGAGAAGAAAAGGGAAAAGGGGGGGGATATTATAACAGTTTTTTGTTACTTCTAAATATACAATCTATATAATATTATTGAATGGTGCATTGACAGTACACAGGCCCTGAACTTTCACGATGTTCCCATTCACTAACATGATCAAAGTCAGGACTTTCTTTTGTAGGATACACATTGTTGGGATGAGATAGACTTGTCATGGCTACAGCAGGCATCTTTGGTAAATTATAATCAGGTTTGCTTCCAATAGCATCCACAGCCTGTGTATGATAGTCACTGTTATCTTCTGATGCTGAAGTTGCTGTACTATCACTATGAGAATCTGTGTCTTCTTTTTGATAGCTACTGCCGACAACTGTGGTGGTGGTTGACTGTGTATTTTCATTATGTCGTCGATCATGAACAAGTGTATGATGATTGGATTCAATGTGTTCTTGTTTTCTATCTTGCCATATGGACAAGTTTTGTTCAATATATTTTACTGGAAATGAGAGTTCTAAAAGAGAGAGAGAGAGATGAACAACAAAAGCAACCACTCTTATTCATACCTTGCATGTAATCACTGACACTCTCAAATAAGCCTAAAGCTACAAATCGAATAAAACCAATCTGTGAATCTTCCAAGACGATTTGAGAGCGATCGTTCATGGGCAAGACATCCATACCAAGCTCGCGTTCAAGATCACCTTGAGAAGCAAATTCTTCTACCAAGATTTGTGCCCATTCATATGTCCTTGGAAATGGACGAGCCTTTAGCATAGTGAGTGCATCATCCTTACATGTACAATAAACATACCACATTACTGATATCAGCACATTTAATCAGACCACTGCAGAACAACAATCTTTCTTCAAGACACCGAGCTGCGTCCCAATCACTTGGATCACTATCTACCAATCGTTCTTTTTGTTCCTTGATTCTCGTTACATAATCGCTGTGTAACGCCATATCTGTTGCTAAAATAGTGGTGATCACTAATTTTCGAAATTCTAATTTGGGTTGTCAATACAGCTCGGTGGTTGGTTCAGATTACCTGTATATTCAACAGAATCTTGTCCCCCTAGCACTTGGTCAAACTTGTGTTTCTTTAGTAATTGAAACAAAGTCATGGCATGAAAACTCTCAAGCACTGAGTTGTCATTGTATAACAAAGCAAGAGGAGCACTGGTATTGATCTACAGAAGAATGAACAATGAATACATGTACTATGTTACTTACAAGAAATGCGTTATTCACACCAGGATGAGCTGTATCATGACCAATAGCAGCAATAAAAAGAGCAAAAATGTCTCTTGGTCTTAGGATATGGAATGATTTTGTACGAGATAGATTAGGTGTGCCATCAGCAAGTGGGACCAAGCCCATTTGACACAGAAAGTAATATATACATTGCAGAACATCGACTGCATGAGCAAAATTATGATACGGGTTTTCATTATGATAAATGCTTGATAGATCAGTAATAAAGTCATATAATTGATCTAGGTTTCTGTCAGTCTATAATGTTAACATCATATGTCACTTTACCTGTTGTAAACAGCGTCACTTCAGACAATGAAAAGACTTGGGAAATAATAATAACAGAACAATGAATAAGATCTTCGTGTGACACATTCAATGGAGAAAAGTCCCAAACAGACACTTTCTTTTCTAGTCTTTGTTTATGCTCACTATATATATATCATAAGTATATAAAAAGGCAATATCTAGATTTACCTTGATAATTCTTTACGAGTACGAATAGGATTGTTAAAGGGAAGATAGGTATCTATCACGGCTTTGGTAAAACTAGTTGAATAAGTGTAAGTATTTTTGCTAGAAGTATTTGCTTTTACTTTTGATCTTTTGTATAAAGTGCCTTTATTCGATCTTGAACTCTATCCGGTAAATAAGCCGATGTATCTTTTGTAGAAGAGGGTGGAATAGATGTAATAGGCGTCATGATAGAAGTTACTGTACTGCTAATGGTAGTTGACGATAAGAGATGATCTTGATATAGTGGAGATAATCGACGATGTAATGTCTAATTAATGTTTAGAAAAGTATATATATATATGTGTGTGTATGTGTGTGTCTATTACCAAAAATAGTGTTTTAATCACATCAGGTCTAAGTGGTCGTAGTAAATAATCGGCTGCTCCTGCTTGTATACAGTCTAGCATAAACTGTGTGTCTTGGTTTGTTGAACATACTATAAAAAACGTATGAATACAATAAAAAAAAAGAGGGACAGTATTTACCAATCACAGGTACTGTCTCTGGCATCATATCGACTGTTTGACTAATCATCTCGATCTGATTATGTGGCATCAGTGCTTCATCTAATTCGATGAGTAGAATAGTTGAAGAAGAAGGTAGTAATTTGACATAGTTGAGACAAGCATCTATATTTGATTCTTTATGAACTATAAAAAGAAAGAAAGAGAGAGAGAAACATAGGTCAACATACTGTATTGTTTCCCTCTTTTTGTTTATTACCGTGTCCAAAAGTTGACTCTAATAATTGTAATGTAGAGTCATTTTCGTTATCTTGTAATAAAAAGGGATTCGTTTGGTTGAACAGAATAATAGTACATGTTTGTGGGTCCATTTGATAAAGTATATATATATGTGTGTGTGTGTGTATGTGTATGTGTGCAAAGTCGGATTTTTTTTTTTTCAGAAAACGAAAAAAAAAAGAGGTGAGCTTTCTTTTTTTTTTTAGTATGCTGTAACTATGGAGTCGACAGTAGTTGCTATAGTAAAAAAATATATAAAAAAAAAGGGGGGGAGAACGAAGAAGGGGAAAAGGTGTTACTGAGAAAATTAAAAAAAAAAAGAGAGAAAGAGAGAAAAAGAAAAAATATAAGATATAAACGCAGTAATAATGACAGTAAAAGGGGGTTTCAATTTTTTTTTATTGTTTCACATAACATCTAGACCCCTTATGATTTTTTTACAAACTCCTTTATTATAATAATGGGCGTCTCAATTTGCCTTGTTTATTATTCTGATTTGACCAAGAATCATGATGGATTTGATTTTTATCAATTTTTACTTGCTGCAATGCATGTAAAACACTCTTGAGGTTATCTTCATTGGCTACGACTTGTTGTTGCCAACTTATCTTTTTGTTAGGCAAAAGACCAAATGCTTCGGGTGAAGATTCAAGCACAGTTTCTGTTTGAGTTCCTATCGATACGACAGTAGGTGGATCATTGAGATTTATTTTCTCAAGGAGTGTCTGTAGTTCTTGCTCTAGTTCATCAATGCGTTTATTCTTGTGTTCTAAATTTGCCCGTATTTTATGATTCTGTTGATTAATCAGTTTTATTAATTTTGTGTTGTTACATATACTCCTTGCCTGATGCTTGAGTTCATAAATATCGGTATTTTGTGCTATTAAATTCTCCAAGTGATAAAGCCTAAGCTTAAGATCAAAATTTTCCTTTTTTAAGTCTGCTATCATCTAAAGACGATGAATACCCTGTATTTGATTTTATGGATTACTTTTTCTACTTCTTTCATAGGTGCTATTTTGGTAGGCGGTGGTTGAACAGGTTTTTGTACATGTGTTGATTTGGGTGTAGGAAGACCTGGTGGCTTTCCTAAATGCGCTGTATGAAATCTCTTTTTATGCTGGTGTAATGAAGTTGTCGAGACTGAGGAAGGTATTGAATGCGCTTGTTTTTCGGAAATAAGACATGAATAACTCTTTGACAGATTATGTTTCGTCATGAAGATAAGAAAGAAAAAGAAAGAAAGAAAAACGAAAGGAATTTACTGTTGGATTAAGCTTTTTTTTTTTTTGTCAACAACAAACAGCATTGTAATAATGTCCGATATATATATATATATATTTAACAAAAAGACAGAGAAATATCCGTTGTACATTTATTAAATTATATTTAGTGTGTATCACCCCCTATTACAATTTAGAAGGATTCTTCCATTGTGCTTTTCTCTTTTGAGCAAATGCCTTTAAACCTTCAGAGAGATTATCACCTTCTCTCCATGCCTTAGCTTCAGGGGAAGCCATCCATTCATCAGTAGCATCTGTCATAGAAGGACGCTCAAGAGCCAATAAAAGACCTTGTTTGGTCAAAAGAACAGCATCAGGCGAATTAGCAGTCATGAGTTTAGCCCAGACAAGAGCGGCTTCAACCACGTCTGTGTCATTTGGTACGATTTGATTCACAAGGCCGTGTTGTTTAGCTTCATTGGCATTAATAAATCGACCTGTCAAGACAAGTTCTGAAGCCACTTGGTAAGAAACAGATCGAGCAAGACGAGCAAGACCACCTGCAGCAATGACGACACCTTGCTTGACTTCAGGCAAGCCAAATTGAGATTTTTCAGTGGCAATCACCATATTACAGGCACATACCATTTCCATACCACCACCCAGGGCAAAGCCATTGACAGCAGCAATCACAGGCTTACGGCTCATACGACGATTACTGAGACCACCAAAGCCAGTCGGGGGCATGGCTGAACCACCGACGCTAGACTTGTCATTCTCGCGTGCTTCATGAGCACTGACAAGATCCATGCCTGTACAAAATGCTTTGTTACCTGCACCTGTGATCTGTTTCTTTCAGTCACTAGTTTATTTGATATATAGACACTTACAATAATACACCAAATAGAGTCTTCTTGTTCAGCCCAGTTGAATACATGATGCAATTCCCAATTAGCAGCTGCATTCAGTGCATTGTATTGTTTTTGTCGATTGATAGTAATCAACAACACATGAGGTTCAGGAAAAGAAAGCAAAGTATATTCTGTTTTAGGAAGTTGAATAGACATAGAAAGAAGTAAAGAAAAAGAAACACACACATACACACACGTACGTAGAAGATAGTTTTAATATACTCTTAGTCATGACATTTTCTCATACACATTTAGTAGAATTTTTTTTAATGTTCCGCTTCATTTTATGCAATCAATTAGCCATCACTATTTTCTCGTCTTTTTTAGCATTGACTGCAAGTGGTGATGGCTGATGAAGATGAGGTTTGCTAGTCATTTTTTTGTTTTCAGGACTATTGGGTGGTGAAATACGTACAGGTATGGACTGAGGTTGTAAATATTGAAGACGAGGGGATGCATCCACCTTCATCGACACTCTACCACGCGAACGATCTTCATATAATGTCATGATATTTCCATGATCACCTACTCTATAAGATACACTAAATGGATCAATCCATAATACAAAGTCACGGGGAAGATTTGAATGAATTAAACTAGTAGCACATTGTGCTTTATTACAAGCTATATGAACATAAGTATTTTATGCAATCGACTGTATATACCTTTGACGATAATAGGATCCAATTCGCCGTTGAAATTCGAAATGGCTCTGTAGCCGTTACCACGATAAGGTTGCTGTGAATCCCAATGGTCTGTAAATCTCTGTTTCAAGAGTTCCACTAATTTCTCTTTAAAGACTTGAATCGTATCTTCATCTACTTTTGACTGTAATAGTCTGCCTAGGAATTCAACTGCTTGTGCTATTTCGATATGCATAGTTGATGATGATTTAAGGAGAAAAATAAAAGAGAGAGAGAGAGAAAAAGAAAAAATAAAGAGTCATTTTACTTGGTTTTCGGACTTTTCAAAAAAAAATTCAGACGCTCTCAAACAGAGTCATTTTAAATTCAGACAAATGGAATATAACCATAATTGAACTTATAGTCCATTGAAGCATACACTAGTGTATTAAAGAGTTATATCGATGACATATAGTGATTATGATTATTCTGATGAAGTGTATTGGAAAGAGTACAGATGAGCGTCGTTGTTTCTTGCGGCCATCACATCGCGATTCTAAACAATATTACAAGTGCTTTCCTTGCACTGCAATACTAAAGGTACTCTTCGTTTCTGATCCCTTGCAATTACATTCTCAACACTTCACACCTTACAAGAATTGCAGACTTGGCTAATAAGGAACTTGTCCACCATACAAACTAAGATGCCATTATCTGCGAAACAATTCAGTAAAACCTTCAAGATGGATTTGATTGGTTCAAATTTTTTAGTTTGTTTATAGATTTAACAAGCCTTGAATCTCTGCATGTTTTTTTTCCAAGAGCTCTTCTTTTTCATCTTTTTTCTGGACATGACTTGCTTGTTGATCTTAAATGAGTATTTTGTTTATAAGATGGGCATGACTTTGGTTTGTTGGGTATTGTTTGCAGTCTGAGCTTTTTTAAGGCACGCTGTTTATCTATCTGTCTTTGTACTTTCTTAGATGTAACAGAAGGGGTGCTGGAGTATGTGATTATAGACTACAAGAAGCTGCAATATGAAGATTTTTAAAACATTAGTTAAATACATACTGTACATATTGCAATGGTCTCGATAATTTCAACCCCCGTTAATATCTAAATATTGCAATCCATTTCTTCTGCTTTTGGCTCATCATAACGCTCTATATCTAAAGCAAGACTGTAGTTACTAAAACCCATATCAAATTCCAAATTTAAGCTAAAAACAATGAGTGCACAGTAAAATGAAAAATAAAAGCGTCTCAAAAAGAGCTTCAAAAATGACTTCGTCTGAATTTAACTCTACCTTTGATTCATTTAACTGATATTTTAAATCAAAATCCTATAGTGACTGTCCAAAGATTGTATTCTATTTTTTTTTCTTTTCTTTTTTTTTTTTTAGATCTGATCTTTCTTTGGGTTTACGATCATGAAGTTCACCCCTATTATAGACAGGCACGCAGCATTGCACGACGCTTCGAAGAAAGTCCATGTTACTTTTGACGATGAACCTACCGAGACAACAGTACCATTAAAGAAAAGATCGCATCCTGCTCACGATAATGATCGAGAAAAGAAAAAGAGCAAGTCTTCCGAGAAGACGAAAAAAAATAAAAAAGAAAAAGCGATTCAGGACAAGGAAGTAAAGACAACCGAGAAAGCACCCGAAAAGATAGAACCAACAAAGCCTCTCTCTGCTGTACCTATCAATACACCTACCTCAAATGAACCACCTAAAGTACGTGGTCCCAAATTCACACCTAAAAAAGTCAAAGGAAAAAAGCAACCTCCTAAGAAACTTACGGAAGAAGAAATTCTGGCCAAAGTAGCAGCCAAACGTAAGAAGAATGCATTGAAAAGACAAGCCAAAGTCAAAGTCAACGGTGAACTGGTCTCTCGACCCGCTTTTCATATCATTCCTACTTCACTCACACAAGTGATACCTACCAAACAACTAGGCGAATTTGTGTTGTATGCCTTGTCTGAAACAACCAATTTAGCATGGTGTAGTATTATTCATAAGGCAAAAGTAGAACGACTTGTGATGGTATTTGCTCAGGGCTTAAATTGCACTGATTTTGGTATCTCTAATCCTTCTTCTCCTGCTCCTTTTGTGGACCTTGATCAGTTGGATAGTACACAATGGGTTGGTAAAGCATCTATGCCTTTCTTAACCAAACAAAGCAAATACATGATTGTCAATCAAATTTCTGGACATAATGGTCGATTCAATTCACCTGTTGCTGATATTCTCCAATGCAACATGTCCAACACTAAAAAAGAGAAACTTGCGAACGAACAGTCTGTGAAGGGCAACAAGTTTAAAGACAATATGCGTGAATACTATGTCTTGTCGCTTGAAGAAATGAAAAAGGCAGATTATCCTATACCTCCCTTTTTAGACTCAAGTGTTTGTTTGCCTGAAGGATGGAAAGAAACACACGCCTCTACAGAACCATTGGCTCCTGGTCAACCTAAACGCATTATTGCTGTTGATTGTGAAATGGTCTTGACTGTCAGAGGCTCTGCTTTAGCTCGTATTACACTTATTGATGAAGGTAACAGCCTTTTTAATTGATCTTGATACTTATATAGTTTAGACGGTAGTGTCTTGTTGGATGACATGGTCAAGCCTGATCAACCTATTATTGATTACTTGACTAAATACTCTGGTATTACACCTGCTGCCATGAGCACAGCGACATGTTCTCTTCGCCGTGCACAAAAGCATGTTCGTAAATTTGTGAATCACAATGTCATTCTTGTAGGTCACGGTTTAGAAAACGATTTAAAGGCACTACAACTCGCCCATCCTTACTGTGTTGATACCTCTCTTATCTATGATCACCATAAGGGTCCTCCTTACAAACCCTCACTTCGATTCTTGGCCCGCAACTATCTTAAGCGCCGTATTCAGGACCGTAATGAAACGCGTGTGGGTCACGATTCTGCTGAAGATGCCCGTGCCACATTGGATTTATTCAAGCTCAAGTTGGCGAATAAGATCAGTTTTGGTAAATACAAAAAGACAGAATTGATTATGGATCGGTTATTGGCCAATCGACCTAGTAGAACAAGTGCTATTCTCGAAGCAAGTCAAAGTGAACAGCGTTCTTTTGGTGCTACTCATGGTGGTGACTATTATCGTGTGGACACAAATGAAGCACTGGTTGAATTGACCTTGGAAAAGATCAAGGAAAAGAACTTTTTGTTTACGCGTTATCAATCTATGCATCAAAAGGATCAAGATGCTGTGCCTGGTATTGTTCCCAGTGCAGCTGCTAGCACTCAATCCAAGCGTGCTCTTCAACTTCAACAGATGGATGATTACATCCGTCGTATCTATCATGGACTGGAACAGAACTCATTTTTGGTTGTTTCTGGTGGTGTTTGTGATGTACCTGAATACAAAACGTAAGTAAACCATACCCTAACTTTCCTAACCGTCTTTAGTTTGTATGGCAAATACCAAAAGCATTTAGAAAGTCAAAATGACAAGATACCAAAAAGCAAAGATTGGACAGAACAAGATCAAAAGCTATTATGTAAATATGCTTCTGAAGCTAGAATGAGTTCTTCTTTCTTTATGTTTAAATAATAGTTCAAAAGCCAATCCCTTTGGTTCCATTGTTGATGCCGATAGTTTATAAACACTCTTTTTTATCATTATTTTTGTTTCTTTTTTTTTTTTTTCTTTATGATTCGGTTTTGGTCTCGAATTACACATAACTTTAAACATGAAAACAAAGAGTTTTCGTCCAGTCTTTTTGATGAATACAGTACATTGCCAGTGTTCTTTAGAGGCACTTGTTCTGCTTATACAGTTAATACAGAAAGACTCCAGAGAGCCTCTAGACGGTCTATGGATCTCTTTATTCAAACATGGTATTCAGAAATGGAAAAAGTTTATCTTCAGAGTCAAAAAGCAGTGGTTGCCTTGGAACTTCAATTACAAGCATTGTCACACGGTTTATGCATGATTGTAACTTACAAAAAAGAAAAGAGAGACCTTTTATTAATATTCTTTTCTAGTCTTCTCCAGTCAAGAACCCTGATAAAAATCAAATGGCTCAAGCCCATCAGTTCATTACAGCTTGTTTAAAAGAATGGGATAACCACTTTACTCGCTCAGTTAACATTATTACACAAATCAATGATGTACATCATTTACAGTTTTCAAAAGCATCTATACAACACAAGGTCAATCTAAAAGAACGAAATAAAGCATTATATTCATGTCAGCAGAGCCATCAATACCGAATTAAACAAGCCATCCCTATAGGCTACCTTAAACTGGATGAATGCATGCATCAGTTCTTTTGCCTGGAACAAGATTTACTTCTCTACCATCATTATGTATCAAGTCAATTCAGTTTGTTATGGGATCTGGGAGGTTACATGAATTCAGCCATGGAATCAAGATGGAACCATATGCAATCCTTGTCCTTGATGCATTATCAGCGACTTCAACATCAACTCAAGAAGACTTTGGAAACCAACGCCCCAGTAGCTCATGATTATACGTGCGCTGTTTGTCTTGATCTTTTTCAAGAACCTACTGTCTTGAGTCCTTGTAGACATACCTTTTGTCGGTCATGCATTCAGCGCTGCTTTTGTGCTCCATGTCATCAACACACGCAACGGAAACGAACTCGGTTAGCTGATAAACTAGGCATCCGTGTACGGCCTGCTATTTATTGTGAATGTTATAGCGTGAATGAGGCTACACGTCCATTCTGTCGCCGAGGTACATGTCCTCTATGTCGACAGCTGTTTACAGCAGATCAATGTAGTCTGGATATCAAACTTGAAAGGTTTATGGGACTCTATTTTCCAGAGCGAGAGGAAAAAGAACATGATATGCAAGACAATAGAGGACGAGTTTATGACAAGATCCAGAGATGGTCTTGTCGACTTGCACAAGCTCATGAAACATGTACAGAAGATGTACTACAGAATGGGATGCTGTTACTTGCAAGGCGTTCATGGATTTTTTAATGTTACATCAGCGTTTTTTTTTCTATTGTTTTTATATTAAAGAAGAAGAAAAAAAGAAACATAAAATAGAGATAAAGGAAAGTGAGTGGTATAGGGAAAGTATGGATGAAAGTGGGGGTTATAATATAAGATAGTGTATATGTATATATATATATATAAGAACTACAATAAAGATAAAAGATTGGAGAAGGGAGAGTATACTATATGAAATAAATAAGGATAGATGAGGGACATGAGAAAGAAAAAGAGAAAGGTTTCTGTACACAATTACTCTTCTTCTTCCTCTTCTTCTTCTATGATGGCTTTTGTGCCAAAGGAAGCACCTCTTTGTTCTTGCATGCCATAAGCACTTAGACGGGATCTGGGCGTAAATTCAAATCGAGACGATCGAAGTCTACTCCCATTCATTTGTTGAGGAGGATGAGGAGAGGTCTATTGAATGCTATTTTAATCGATGTGTGTTACATGAATACTAACTTACCAAAGGCTTATTGTCTATGATTATATTCGATTCTTCCTCTTCACTGCTACTGTCTGAAGAGAAATCAGATAATGGCTCACTTTTTTCTTTTGTGAATTTTTCTGGAGAAGGAGAAAGAGGAGGAGCATTGGATTGAACAGGTGGTTTTTGTTGTCTATGACTATTGTACAGCAGGGAATATCGTTTTTGGCACATATCAACTTCTTGAGGTTCCGAAGATTCTGTTGTTAATATAGAGAATGTATCTGTCGCAAGGCGAGTTGCTGATGTTAATGCTGTAGGAGGGACATGAACACCTAATGAAGAAGGTGCCTTCATACGATAACTGCATGTAGTACCTGTATTTTGGTTTGTGTGTTGAGGAACAGTAGAAGTGGTTCCATTGTATGTCAGTTGGTCTAATTCACATACAGGAGGATCAGATAATTGTAACACACGTCGGCGGTATTTTTGTGATCCTGTTCTGTAAATGGGTGGTGACATTACATTTGTCTCTAATGAGTCAGTTGTAGTATGATCAACCATGGGCGTATCAAAGTTACGATAGCTAGAAGGTGAAGCAATAGGTGATGATATGGTTGAGCAATTTGATAGAGAACGACCTCTTTGTTGTTGTTGTTGTTGTTGTTGTTGTTGTTGTTGCTTAGATCCAAACCATGATTTTACAGAGGTGAACCAACCTGATTGCTTTTCAGGCTGATGAGAACCAAATCCTATGGTTTGGATTTTATGTTGAACATTGACAGCTGGTTTAGGGTAAGGCTGAATGTACTCCGGTAATTGGATCGGTTCATTCTCATCCAAAGTCTGTGTACCTTGGTCTACTGCCTTTTTTGCATCTAAATCCAGTGATGAAGTCGATTCCATCAAAGGCTGACGAGCCTGAACAGCAAAAGCAAAAGCATCTGATACATTCGATATAGGCTTCTGGTGTTGTTGAGACATGTTTTCCAACAATAAATGCCAGAGCGTACTTGACGTGTCACATTCACCTGTCTGCATCTTGATCAAAGCGTCTCGGTCAAATCCAGCTGCAGTTAAGGCGGCAAAGAGACGCTGTTCAATGGGCGTCATATTGAGTGTTTCATGATGAAGTGATTGTTGATAAAATGACGAAGGCAATGAAGATCGAAACGATGATTGCAACAAAGGAGAGGCAGGTTGATTCGTGGCGTTATTCGATCGACGGTTTAAAGTGGGTGCTGAGAAACGTGGTGATTTGTGTTGTTGCTTTGAGATGCCTAAACTAGATCGTACTTGAGGTGAAAACTTGAGGTCGGGTGACAATTGGAAATCAGTGGATGTCATGCCGTCGTCGAATGCAATTGTGTTTTCATGCTGAGAAAAAATAGAGTCAGCATCGGATGCAGATTGGTGAGTGGTGGTTGAAGAAGAGGGTGTCAGACATGCTTCCTCTTCATCGTCTTCATCATCGCTTGCGTTATCTAACCGAACTACCCAAGGATGTGTTTCAATAGCATCAAAAGTAATACGGTCGCAAGGATTGAATTGAAGCATGTTGGTCACTAAACTGCTCAGATCTGAAGAGAAGTAAAAAGGCATTTCATAATCGACTTGAACAATCTTTCTTTGTGTCATTACTTCAGAATCATCATCAAAAGGATATTCACCAGCAATCAAAGTGTACAGAATAACACCAAGAGACCAAATGTCGGTTTCTATTTAGAGTGAGTATAGTCTACACATAAGCTTTTTTTTTTACCTGGCCCTGTGTATTTCTTTCTTAAAATAACCTCTTTAAAAAAAAAGACGAGTTAGAGAAATTAGAAAGGAAGCCAATCAACTTTACCTGGAGCAGAGTAACTAAGACTACCACAAAATGTTTCAAGATATTGATTCTTTTGAGTAAACCGAGCAAAACCAAAATCACAGATTTTGACATTATCTTCAGCATCTAACAAAATGTTTTCCAACTTTAAATCTCTGTTAAAGTAAAAAAAAAAAGAGGGAGTCAATGACCCTATTTTCAAGGAGAAAGCTATTTACCTATGAACAATGCCACGCGTATGACAATAACTGAGCGCATCTGTCAGCTGACGAAACCATTTGTGAACTCGTATTTCCATACATCGTCCAGATTCAGTCAATGCATCTAAAAGGTCACCATTAGGACAGTACTCAGAAATAATATGAATAGCAGATTCAGTGGTGATCATTTCATAAAGCATGATAATGTTGGGATGCTTAAGCTGGCGATGATGGTGTATTTCTCGGGCCATTAAAGGTGCATGTTGTTTGTTGATTTTTTTGATGGCAACTACTTTGCCTGTGAGTTTATGAGTTCCTTTTTTGACTTTGCCAAAGCTGCCCTAGTATAGGTTTAGTTACAAACCAATTTCTTATTTGTTCTTTACCTCGCCAATAGTTTCCCCTATTGTATAACATCCAACCGACGTCATTTCATGGGAGGACAACTCCTTGAGTAATTCATTATAATCTACTGCAAGCTATTTCAAAATAAGAAATTAGTTTTGCACATAAAAAATTATTCATTTACTTTAGCTTGTTGGTTGTGTGCTACCGAATTTCTTGGTGAGCTGATCATTTATAATTTGTGAAAAGGAAAGTGTCTGTGAAGGAGGGTTGATAGTGATAATAATGGTAAAGCTTGTATTAGCTTTAGTGGCTACAAAAAAATGCTTTATGTTTTTTTAATGCTTGTCTTTGAATTGGATTGATGTGATATATAAATGTTGTTCGTGGTGTAGAGAAAAAATTTTTTTTCGAGATATATAAATGCAAGTTTAGTTTCGAATCATGAAGGAGAGTAATGGTGAGATCTAACTTGTGAGATTTATATATAAAGTTGTATATATATAAAAAGAGATGAGAGGAAGAGAAAAGTAAGAACACAACAATAAATTAATTTAGATTTATAAGTTATATATTTTAAAAAAGGGGGACACTATTCAAAAAAGCAAAAAAAAAAAAAAAAAAAAAAAAAAAAAAAAAAAGGCTCTAGTAGGAGTGATCGCTAAAAAAAAACCAATGTAAATGAATACAAAAGGTTGTACTACATTTAATCTATTAAGGAAAATACTCACATTTCATTTCGGTTTCTTGTACTCTATTTTTACTGCTATTCTTAAATGAACAAAAAGAAACGGAGAATGAATACCGCATTATGTTTTAAAGAGCAAGTATTGACAATGACCAAAAGGGTTACTATTAAGAGTTAGTATATATTTTTATGTCAAACGCCATATTCTACTTCTCCCTATCAGCGTGTCATATACAATTCAGACAAGAAAAACTATACTTCTTTGTCAAGACTTGACAAAAGAAAGAAAATTTTTATAACGAAAATGTTAAGGCATTAAAGTGCTTTGATAAATAATCACCGCCTAATATTACTGCATCAAAGTTGATATTTCTCGGTTAAAAAGCAGACCAGCACTTTTTTTCTTCTGTTTCGACTGACATGCAACACAAAGTGATAGGAACTTTTTTTTTATCGTGATTGCCACAATGTTGGTTCGAAAAAAAAAATGATGGTACAAACACCATAAAAGCAAACTTTTCTTCTTCTCTGTACAATCGTTTTCAATATAAGAATTTCACGGACTTTAGAATAGAATTTAGAGGCTACAAAAAAAAGCACCTAAATGTTTAAACGCCCTGCTTTTATCAAGCTTTTTGACTTCGCTATTGCCAGTGATGAAATGGTGCATGACTATCCCGCTCAACAGATGTTGTTATCTATGCCATTCACCGCAAGCAAGCCCCTGAAATTGCGCAGCGCATCTATACCATTCTCTTTAGTGGCCACAAGAGTTTTTCTCTAATCATATTCTTAAATAAACTTCGAATGCATTGAACGTCAAAGACATTCAGAACTTATTCCTCAAGAGCGATAATGCTAAAAAGTGTTTATTTTTCATGAGTAAAGCTGTCGCTCTTCGTCTGAAGTACGATTCTTTAATTACCAACTATCAGTACTATTCACAAACTAACAATGAGACAAATAAGAAGTAAACACAAGTCCGGGAAATACGACATTAGTGGATAGGCGCACATCAGACCAATACTTGACTCTTCCTTTAAAGCGTATAAAGTCAAAAATCCATTTGACACTAATTAGATCAACATGTACAAGCAAGTTAGATTATTAGAGAAGATGAATGATCAAAAGCTAAAACTGAACAACGACGACATCTCCCTTTGTATCTATCTTATGTTGCAAGTCCTGTTTATGATTAAAAACTAACCTCGCTTATTTCACTCACAGATTGACAGTTCCGAATGGGACTTTATTATCAAATCCTGGGAAAGTTTTATTCTATGGCTCACGCCTACGACTTAAATGGTAACATGCTAATTTAAACAGTTAATGTACTATTTGTTTTAGGAGTGGTGCCCACTTGACTATGCAGGACACCATCTCTCTTACTTCTTTTAAAGTTGATTTAAAGATCCTAAATAGCAAATTAAAACAACGATATAACGCGAAAAATGATATAGTAATAATAACGAAGGCGTCAAAAGTTTTCAGATACTGAAACGCTTCAGGAACAAATTGTTGACACTATTCATCAAGTTTTCATGCATCATCTTGAAAACACAGTTCAATACTTAAAGAATCAATTCAAAAATTGTTTAAACCAAGTGCCTATTTAAATAAAGCTATAAGATACGTGCCTTCATATTGAGAGCGGACCAACTGTAAACAGCAGTCGAAAAAATCATTCATTCTAGACAAGAAATAAACTTTGATATTTATTTCGGGCACTTGTTAAATAAAGGAAAAAAAGATAGCGTTGTATCACCATATGATGCATTTTGATTTATACGCCAGCATCGAGTCTTACATCAATGCCTCGCAATGCAATAAAAAAGGCATGAAATAGTTTATTTTCTCTTTTTTCTTTTTTTCTTTTCTATTTTATTCTAAACATGTCTTACGGTGAAGCTAACTCGTATCAAGGTGGTGAAGCTGCCTCTTATCAAGGTAAATAAACAAAACGTAAGAAACAACACGTCTAACATAAATGTTTAGGTGGTGATGTTCAACAAGCTTATGGTGCCTACCAAAAGCCTGATATCTCTCAAGCTGCTAGACTTGCCAAACAACACGCTCGTCAAGATGACGATGATGACGATGATGATGATAGTAAGTAGCCTAGCTGTATGTATTTCGCCCGTTGACATATTTCGCAGAGGAAGGTCTCTTTTCTTCTATCCTCTCCAACATCGTTGACCGTGATGACGATGATAACGCTCCCCATAAGCAACAAGTAGATGAGCGTGAAGCCGAAAATGCTGCCCAAGCCCACAACCGTGTCTACAACGAAAACAACGGACAGCCCACTGGTGATGTTTCATCTCGGGATATGGGTTCTGCAGCTGCCATGCAGGCCTTTAAGATGTTCTCTGGTGGCGGAGGCAACAGTGGTGGATCAAACGAGTTGATTGGTTTGGCTATGGGTGAAGCTATGAAACTTTTCAAAGCTCAAGGTGGCAGTGCTGGTGGTGCTAACCAAAGTGAAATGCTTCAATCTGCTGCTATGATGGCCATGAAGTTGTTCATGACACAACAATCTGGAAAACAATCTGGTGGTGGTGCAGGTGGCAGCCTTGGTCAAGTGATGAATATCTTGGGTAGTTTGAGCGGTGGACAACAACAACAGCAGCAGCAACATAGCAGTGGAGTGGCTGGTTTGTTAGGCAAATTTTTGTAAAACCTTAGTGTAACAAATCAAATTGTAAAATAAATATAAAAAGAACTCAGATCTAATTTTAATTATGTAAAGTAACGAAAAACATATCCGTTGAGGATAACAAAGCACTTTGGTTGAAGTATGAGCTTTTTTTAATCTGAACGCTATCGTTATTGGTTCAATTTAATTTATTTGGGAGGAAACACATTGTTCACTCTATTTTATTACTTCAAACAAATCATTGATTTAATCGTTAAGACTCTCTTTATGTATTAAACGCCAATTGCTATAGATGCAATCAACAGACACACTTCTATTCGAAAATTGTAATAGTAATAATTCTGGGTGAGTTTTATCCAGGAATGTATCTTATCCTGTCTTTTGCTTCCCTCCTTTTTTAGGCGCTCTACCTTATCCTCTCTTCGTTGAAGATTCAAAAAAAATTATAAGAAATCAAGTGGTTTGCATTTTTATGGAGAACACAGTAGTTGCAAACAGACTTGTAGCTTTGATAGCATCAACAAGTCAGTAATCATGGCTCGATAACCAAGAGACAGTTCTCGTTCTGTGCCAGAACTTTTTTGAGCAGCATGTCTTAAAAATAGCAGACAATTTGAGGGAAGTTTGGAATTATATGCCATAACAAGGCTCATAGCATTACTATTCAGAAAATGGGCATTGGCTTCATGTTGGAGAACATAACATTAGAGACCTTGGAGTAATTACACAGGTGAGTCTCTAATCGATTCAAATTATCCTGGTCATAAACAAACAAGTATGTGTCGCCTGCTTAAGCTAGATATCTGGCCTGTCGACAGCTCAACAAAATATAGCCTTGACATAGCGTACCTTGATGAATAGAACAAAGAAATGGCTTCAGAGCAAGACTAAGCGTTCTTGGTGAAGGGGATTGCCCTGCCCTAGACGTCTTTTTTGATCCATTAATTTTGTAGAGAAAATCCATAGACTTTGATGTGGGCTGCATCAGCAAATAACTAGTTGCTAATGCAATTGATCAAAGCAAGAGGTAGTAGCGCCTGAATCAAGTATTTGGCAAGAGAGCGTCTCTTAATTTAATAGAAGCTCAATTTTCAGATAGTTACATATGTCAATGCGGTAGTGAGAGATGTAGCTTATAGTCCATTCGACTCTTCATCAGCATAAACCCTTCGGATACCTAATTGATGATTGTAGAGAAACGTTCTTTTACATAGACTAGGTTTAAGTCTGGTGGTAGTAGTGCTATTTGTTTGAGTATTGTCTATTCTTGGTAAACTCTCTCTCTTTATGGGGGGAGGGACAGCTATCAGACAGAGAATGTGTACTATCTGTAGTGCTCATCTATTCATGCATTTGGGTAGATTGTCTCCTGTAAGAACAAAGGCCTGTTCTTATAGAGCGAGTGCTATTTGCTTTCTAGTGAATTGGTCTATTCAAGACTAGCTGCTTTGGAATTGAAGAGTGTAGCCACTCTTCAGTCTAAGGCTTAAGGTTAGCTCTTTTATAGATGGGCTATCAATTTGGCGACGTATTTCGATATGGAATCCTGATAGTGACAATTGACTGAGGCAAACCATAGGATGGGAATCAACAATTATATCATGTTGGTTATCCGTCTTGAAGGCAGCTTACTAATGAAGCTTTTTGTCTTTGAGATTTCCGGAGCTCTTGGACCAAGCGAGGTAAACTTTCTTTGGGACTTTTGTCAAGGAGTCATGCCAGATTTGACAAGTGATAATTGACCTGGATTAGTTCTTCCACAAGGATGGGCAATGATGTTTAATGATATAGTTGAGTGCCTGACACTTTGCATATATATATTGTGAGCTCGTTCTAGCTCTCCGTTACAAATACTTGTAAGTATATGGCTAAAGTGCGAGTTTTTTTCTATAATAAATCGGATAAACCATAAACAGCTCATTAGTGATTATTAAAGCATATTTAGTCTTTAGCACGTTACACAACCACCTTCCAGAATTCCTGATTTACACACGCTCAGGCTTGTTCCTTGTTCACATGAGAACAGAAAACTAAGTTTTTTCTTTCTTTTCTCTTTATTATTTTTAACCTATGAGAAATGACTGACAAAGGTATAGAAACTTTTATGTTAAGTTCAATTTTATTTAAAATATGATTTACAGACAGACTTGTACACAAGCTACCAGTGGCATTAAGTGCTTTAGTTGGTTCGATTGTGTTTCAAGCCATTTTTAGAAAAAGAGGAGGATTTATGTATAGACAAGCAGTAGCCGTCATTTGTATTATGGCTTCAGCTTTTTATGGTGTGCTTGCTTCTTTAACACTGCCTCTCTTTGGTAAGGCACACTTAATTAATTGGTCTGTGGCCAGAGTCGAGTATTACTTGTGCAAAACATTTTTGGGCATCACAGCTACTGTAGAAGGCAAGGAAAACTTACCAAGCGAAGATGAACAGGTTGTTTATGTCTGCAATCATCAGTCCATGATGGATATTATGTATATGGCGCGTGTCTTCCCCAAACGTACGTCAGTAGTAGCCAAGAAAGTCATCAAATATTACCCATTTTTGGGATGGTTCAGTAAGTATACTATAAAAGATAACAAATGTAGTTGAATATGTAACTACAGTGATGCTGAGTAAGGCCGTCTTCTTGGATCGTGGAAATCGTGAAAGTGCAATCAAAGAAGCGAAGAATGCTGCAAAGGATATTCACAAGAAAAAAACCAGTGTTTGGATCTTTCCTGAAGGTACAAGAGGCAACAGTGCTGAAATTGATTTGCTGCCTTTTAAAAAGGGTGCATTCTATATGGCAGCACAAGCAAAAGTACCCATTGTGCCTATCGTCATTGCAAATTACAAAGATATTTACCATACAAAATCAAAAAGATTTGGTCATGGTGACATTAAGATTAAAAGTGAGTATTTCGATTGTTTATGAAGACACATATTTAGACTATTTTTTTAGTCTTGCCTCGAGTGTCAACTGAAAGCATATTAGAAGATTCAGACGATATCAACAAGCTAGTGAATCAAGTTAGAAATCAAATGTTGAATGTGCTTAAAGAAATCAGTGTAGAAAAAAATGAATGAATTTAGAAAACGAGCGCTTGATTATTAAGTGACACACGTCCCTTTTTCTCAGTTTGTTTGTGAAGCAAAAGAGATTAACAAATAAACAATGCTTAATAAGATATACGAAACTTTTGATTTAAAACGAAAACATTCACCAAATAGTATACATTTTTGACCTTTGGTTTTACTGCATTTATACTTTGTATCTCAAATGTAAACAAATACTTAATCACAAGGAGAAAGCATATTTGTTTGCTTTGATCAGTGAACAACAAATCCTGAATCAGCTCTCTAAAGAAGCCATTCTGATTTTATAGTCGGGGTTTTTGGTTTGAATCATGACAAATCCTTTTAATAGCAAGCGTTGTCTAGGCTGCCAGGGCCTAGTTAATCAAAGTGACACAAGACGGTATATTTTTCTTGAAAGTTCCCCTTGCTGAAAAATAATGATAAGCAATAAGACTTATTTCTTACCTATGAAACTTTTTTTGGTACTGTTTTGTTGCACTTGTTGTGACCAATTGTTTGTATAAGCCAAGTCATAATTTTGCGCACTTTCATGGTCAGCATCGATTCGGCAATTTGAACAACAAGAAACTGTTTAGTCTATTCGTTTAGATTATCAAGCCATAGATGTACGCTTTTAGTTTGATAACCATAGCTTACATGCATAGCGAATAAACTAACAAAGGGACTTGACTTGCAGAATGATATCCCCGATCCAAAATGGAAAATTCAGGGTAGGACCCTTTCTTTTTTTTATTTGTAGTCTTTCTTTGGACCCTTGAGTTTTTCCAGTCTTTAAATTACGTATCACGTAATAGCGTGAGTTGAAATGGAGAGGGAAAAGAACGGAGTTTTCTGCCTTACATAATGAGAATCACCAATAAAATTAAATCGTTCATTGCTGTTTGGACCCTTGGCTTACTTAAGGTGTGCCTTTTGTTTCCTGTGAAAAAGCGTTCAAGGTCCGCTCCGGTCACACTAGTTGTTTTGGTTTAAATAAGTTGGGTCCCATTTCCCTTTCTCTCTTTCTTTTTTCCTTTTTTTCAGTTTTATTCAACACAAGATGCCATCCACCAATATTCAGCCATCTGATAAGATCTATAAGATTATTAACGCAAGACTTTTATTGAACCATGAAATTGTACAAGACTCATATCTCTGGTACCAAAATGGCAAGATTATACACCCTCAAAACCTTTTCTTTTCTGCACGTCGTGATGCAGATGAAATCATTGATGCTAAGGGTCTTTTAGTAGCACCTGGTTTTATTGATACACAAATCAACGGTGCTTATGGTATTGATTTCGCTGACTGTGAAGAGCCTGTCGAAGTCTTGAAGAAAAACATTGATAAGGTCGCAAAGGGTCTTTTAAAATATGGTTGTACGGCATTCTGTCCTACCGTTGTCAGCTCTCCGCCTGAAGTTTATGAAAAGGTATGTACCAAAAGATAAAAATGATATCCCTCTAATATTTCTATAAAGGTACTTCCTTTGTTGAATCGTCGAAAGGGTAGTGCTCTTGGTGGTGCTGAAATTCTTGGTGCTCATCTTGAAGGACCTTTTATTTCTGAATTAAAAAAGGGTGCTCATGACAAGAATGTATTTAAAACTGCAAAGAATGGTATCAAAGATGTTGATGAAGCTTATGGGTCTGAGCTCAAGAAGGGAAGTGAAGCCGTTAGTATTGTTACAATGGCACCAGAAATTGAAGGTATCTGTGACTCTATTCCTGAGTTGGTTTCACGCGGCATTACTGTGGCTATGGGGCATTCTGCTTGTGGTATTGCAGATGCTGAAAAGGCAGTGACGAAAGGTGCTAGTAGCATTACACATTTGTTTAATGCCATGCAAGCTGTAAGTTTAAATTACTATTATCTTTTTTTGATTTATATTCTTTTTTTTTTCTGTCTAGTTTCATCATCGTGACCCTGGGCTCATTGGTATCCTTGGTGCTGCTGATTTACCTATCCCTGAAAAAGCCAAACGTCACCCTGAGCCTTCAAGCACTTCCCCTGATCGTTCTAAACCTGATCCTCGTCCATTCTATGGTCTTATTTGTGACGGTGTTCATGTTCATCCTAATTCAATTCGTATTGCTTATTATTCCCATCCCTCAGGCGCTGTTTTGGTCACCGATACCCTATCTGCCATGGGTCTCCCTAAAGGCGACTATGTTCTTGGTGGTAACGAAGTTGAAGTGGATGAAAAGGGTGGTGCCTATGTGAAGGGAACAAAAACATTGGCAGGCAGTACCATCACCATTGATGAATGTATTCGTAACTTTCAAAAGTTTACTAATTGTCCTCTGGTTGAGGCTATTGAAGCAGCTACTTTGCACCCAGCTCGTCTGTTAGGTATTGACAAACAGAAAGGTACACTTAATGTTGGTGCTGATGCTGATTTTGTTTTTCTGGATGATTCTACTGGAGAAATCCAAGTGAAGCGTGTGTTTGTTGCTGGTGAAGAAGTCCAACTTTAAGTTCTTTTGTATAAATATATCTATCTAATGTTTGAAGGATTTTATTTTATTTTAAAAGGTATACATGTCTTTCTTTTCTTTTGTGCGTTTTACTTGTGTCTCTAGTTGATCCAATTGTTTCTTTAAATTTTCGTACTGATGAGTTGCATCTTTAAGTCTTGTTCGAAATTGATTCTCCATGGGTGATCCTTTATTCCTACGATAAGCTTCTCCAGCATGAATATAGTTTGTTTGTGCTTGTTCTACATTGGCTCGAAGTTTAGCAATTGTTTGATTTGTTTGTCGAGTGTCTTTCAAGTTGATAGGTTTTACAGAGGATTCAGGCGCAGGTTTCTTTTGCTGGTCTAACAAAGTGTTCATAAATCCAAACATGTCTATGGGTTGATCTCGTTGCTTTTTCTTGGCCTCCTTTTTTGTCTGTTTGGGTTTATTCTGTAGACCTAGTCCAGGACGACTATTGTCTATTCCATGAAACTTTGGTTTTCCCATTGTGTATGGTTGAACTTGAACTGGATTGACTCGACCACTTCCATCTACACCTAGTCCTTTCCCCTAAATAAAACAACCATGAGCATGTATATTTAGTGCAGACAAGATTACTTGAACATATCCCATTTTCGCCATCATTTTTGCAGCAAAGCCAGTAGAATGCGCTTGCCAACCTCCAAACTCATCATTGGGCTTCTCTCTTTCTTCTTGATCTGATTCACTCCATTCTTCACTTGAGTCGCTGCTTTGATCATCCAACACACTCTTTACAGGCATAATGTGCTCCATATCAACCTGAATGCGTTTTTTGTCTTTCAGTCGAACACGCCAGCGAGGGCCATAGAGTTGATCAATAATGTTTCCCATTTTCCAGATATCTTGATTCTTTTCTTTACACAAGACACGCTTGCCATACTGTAATTGCTCTGTCAATGTGTCTGGATCTTCAGTTCCAAGTGCTTCAAATGGCACAACAAGTTCAGTAGACAATGAGTAGCCATGCGATTGTTCATAAGGACATGATGTTGTATTGCTTTTGCATGTCTGTTGAGCACCAAAATAGTCATGGCAAGGCACTGTGTCGGTTGTTATCGGCGTAAGTATCATGACTTGAATCACTGTGTTATCTTCTTGGTAGTCTAGAACAATAGCAGGCAGTAAGAGGACATATTTCTCAAAGGAAAATGTGATAGCACACTTGTCTCCTACTGGAAAAGATTGTTTGTTGGTGGTTGTTAAAGCATGCTGGTATTCTGTAATAAGTGCATAAAGTTCTTCAGGTAGATCCTCTTGATCGAGCAAACCAAGTATTTCTTGATCTGTTAAAGAAGCCAAGTCAAATTCTTGACTCATAATAAACACAAAAAAGAAAAAAAGAGAGAGAGAGGGGAGGATATGCATTTTTTAATAGTCTAAATACTGCTGTATCTGGGCATATTTTTTGGTCTAAAGAAACAACTACAACAATAATATACAGTTGCATATAATAAACCAGCCATAGCACCCAATGTCATCCAAGTTGCTGGTCCAATATGACTATAATTAGAAGTATCATTACTGAAAGCAGTGTTGGCAATACGAGCACCCATCACAATCATAATACAAAAGGCAACCAGCATAAACACAAAGGCGAAAAAAGTGATCATGGCTACTGAAGTATATTTGAAGCGATGGCTATGTGTCATAACTGAAAAAACAAAGGCAAGCAAGGTTAAACCAAACCCAATCCAGTAAATAATAAAATTTGCAAGAAAGACAGGAGGATATCCATCAAAGGTATCGGATGTAAATTTATCGAGTCCAGTGGCATTGGCTAAAGTACATTTAGCTTTCATTTCCGCACTTACTTAACTTACTCCAGACAAAAGCAGGCTGAGGATAATCACAAGAAAGAACTTGGTTAGCTGTACCATTACAGGCATTCCTTTTTTTGTTTTCTTTAGAAAATAATTCATGCTATTCTTGTATTTACCATAAACCTAAGTCTATAAAGTCGGTTGTACTATTTTGAATTAAACGAACAATATATAAATCATTTAGAAATGGTTTATTGTAAGTATTGCTCAATAATGTAAACAATTCAAGGATAATAGCAAAGAAGATAAAGATACTCGCAAAGCTTTCCAAGAACCTGAAAATGCCCATCGTATCTGTCAACAAGAAGGAAAAGAAGAGAGAAGAGAATTATTTTTAGACTGTTCAAGTTTATCTTAACCCGAAAAAGTATTTTCTTGCATCATAAAGTCCGCATATCATAATAAAGAACACTCATTTTTTTTTTTTGCTTGACGAAATCGTTAGGCAGTGGCCCCAATTTATTGTATTTCTTCAACTGAAAGTTTCATCATTAAAAAAAGTACAAGGAAGTAGGCTGTAGTAGTAGTAAGTTGAACATAACTTAGATGTTCAACTTGGTGTGACGCCAGTTACGTCTCTTGGCGTTCCAGCTATGAACGTACATAAATATCACAAATACACTTTATCTTATATCTTACCGGATCTTGGTGTCAGTCTTGAGACGGAACCAGTGAGGCAAGGGACGGTTTTGCTTCTTGGCCTTGCCAAGCTTGACCTTGGTAATGAAAGACTTTTGGGAAGGCTATTACATAAAAACAGATTAGAAAAATCATGACTATATAAACTTTGTTGCATGATGATCCATCCATCGGTTATTGTATCGGATATCATCCATCTATGCACAATTGCGATGCGTTGATGTACTTACCATTTCGACAAGCTATATATGCGAGAGTAGGAAGGACTTGAACATGGTCAGCTTTTTTGCTTGTCCATATAGACCCCCATTCTCCTCCTTCCCTCTCTTTGAGGTGCCGGTAGACGCGAAAGTCCGGGCTGGAATAATCTCCGGTCAATATTTAAAATTCAAGCTATTTTGACATGACACAGTCATTCGGCTTTGGTGTAGTGACAAAAGTTGTAGACATTTGCCTCTTGAGTCTGCTGGTATAGATATCACAGCAGCTTTTCTGGTAAAATATCGAGTAAATAGGCAAAGATATCTATGAGGTTTTTTGCTCCTATCTCATCATTTTTATAGTACAATCAACAAAAAGCACATTCACCAAAAACTAGAGCCTCTTGCGTACGTTTGAGTATTTAAGCTTGTCGATAGCTCTATTTTTTGTCTTGTAGCATCAAAAAGAAGCTCGAAGGGCTGTCAGCTTGATGATTTTCATGAACAGTACCCTTTGGACCGTAGGCATATTTTAACCATTTTGGACATATCCCTTTTTTTTTTTGTCCAAATCGGCTCCAAAGGTGCCATGGGTGTTACTGAACACTGCTTGTAGATATTTAGAGCATTTATGTGTGTACAAGCCCCTTTGTGTAGCAATATAATTCTGTTTATTCGTCTATTCTTTTAATGGATTATTGGTTGAAACAAAGCACCAAAAAGATTCATATACGTCTTAGTAATGAAAAAGTACGATGTCATTTGCCTAAACTGATTCATTTCTGAATTTGACACTTTTAGCACCCTAATAACTGCATAAACTAATGAGGAGATTGGATGATTGAAAAAGTTTATTTATGTGCATAGACTAATTTGAACCGAGTAGATATTTCACGCGTATTGAATTCTTTAAATGCCTCTTCAAGGTTGGCTTCGTATTCTTCATTGGTGACTGAAGTCAACTCATTGATCATGACTTTAACAGCTGGAAGTGCCAAATGCTGAACACCTAAATACATGTTGCCTAATTCACCACCCCAGGGACCAATAGGCACATCGTAATTGATATCCTCTATATCACGAAACTCGGCATCCAAGAAAAAAGTAGAGATTTTCTCAGCAATAAAAGAATCCATGTTTCTTGCAACAAGTGCTTGGTTGACTAAAATGAGTTTAATAACAGTGTTTGTTGAATGCATAAACAGACTTACTCCACCCATCCATATTTTTGAGAGCAGGGCCACCATTTCTGTATTCATTGATCAATTCCATCACTTCAATGTATCCGCCGGGCTTCAAAATACGCTTCATTTCTTGCACTGAACGAATGTACTGCTCAACGGGGAATCCCATCAATAAAAACCGTTGAAAGACAAAGTTAAATGAATTGTCTTCAAAATAGTCCAGTCCAGTACCAGCATTTAGTATTTGAAACTTGACATTAGGAGGCATGTCCTCAGTCAAGAACACATTGGCCATATCAACACCAATAAATTCAGAGTTGGGATATAAACGAGCCATATCCTATTCTATGTCAAAAAATGTGTAAACTCAAAAGTACTTACCAATGTCCACATGCCAGGACCACAACCAATATCAAGCACACGAATACCCTTTTGAAGTTGCTCATGCATAGGCGACTTGTAGAGTCCTCCGAGAACGTTTTTGAACATGAGATGGTTCAAGTGCAACCGTTCGACTTCTTTTTGATCATTTGGCAAGATATAGGCTACATCTTGATCTTTTACCAGACAACGACCTTTTTTCCATTCAAATGAGATATCGCAATGAGTTTTAGTAATGTTTGTAGAAACCATAATGTTAAGAATACTAATAAAAAAAACTTGCATAATTGCATACATATATATTTGTTTGATCTACTCCTATTTTTTATGCTGTATTGTCATTGGCTTATTCTCTGAATACAAAATCCAGCTTCTCCTTTGAATTCAGCCAACAATACCTAACCAATGAGATTGATTGTGACATCATCATATTTGCTAAGAGGAGGGGCAAAGAAAAAAAAAAGAGCTCACGAAATAGTTCGATAACTTCCTTACACTTTTAATGATTGCTCAAGTTCTTGCACGCTCCACTCGACTTGCTCGTCCCACCAATATGCTTCGTCGTGGTGGCCATGGCCCCGCTTCCTACAATGAACCTGGAGGATACCTTTTCAATGAAAAGGTAATTTAGATAAAAGATTCGATCTTGGACTCAATGAATTCGATAGGTCCGAGTTAAGGAAGATTGGGAAAACATTTACTATGCCGGTATGGGTGGCGGTTTTCTCATTATGGCTGTTGCTTTATATTACAAGCCTGATACTAGGTAAGAATATAATGGTTGTGTATTTATACTTATATTTCTATAGTGTTGTCACTTGGGCCAAGAAGGAAGCTGAAAAGTCATTAAAGGAAAAGGGTGTCAGCCTTGAATACACCAAGACTGCATAGATATTCATTATTTAATCGACACCTATATACACTCATGCACATCACAGACGCATTTCAACCAGTTTTTGAATAAAATTGCTTTACGAACCAATGTTTGAAGAACAACCTTTCATGTTTAATGACACGCATATTCAGAAAAAAACAATCATTGCTTCATTTAAACTATGTTTATTGATAATTTGTGTTATAAAAAAAAGAGGAAACTAGTACTTTAGCCAAATACTTTCAAGTATTTGTTACCAGGAACTAGGGCGAGGACCTAAACTAGTTTCAATTGAGTTCCCAAAAAAAAAAAAAGTGCCAGGCACTCAACTATATCATTAAACATCATTGCCCATCCTTGTGGAAGAACTAATCCAGGTCAATTATCACTTGTCAAATCTGGCATGATTTTTTGACAAAAGTCCCAAAGAAAGTTTACCTCGCTTGGTCCAAGAGCTCCGGAAATCTCAAAGACAAAAAGCTTCATTAGTAAGCTGCCTTCAAGACGGATAACCAACATGATATAATTGTTGATTCCCATCCTATGGTTTGCCTCAGTCAATTGTCACTATCAGGATTCCATATCGAAATACGTCGCCAAATTGATAGCCCATCTATAAAAGAGCTAACCTTAAGCCTTAGACTGAAGAGTGGCTACACTCTTCAATTCCAAAGCAGCTAGTCTTGAATAGACCAATTCACTAGAAAGCAAATAGCACTCGCTCTATAAGAACAGGCCTTTGTTCTTACAGGAGACAATCTACCCAAATGCATGAATAGATGAGCACTACAGATAGTACACATTCTCTGTCTGATAGCTGTCCCTCCCCCCATAAAGAGAGAGAGTTTACCAAGAATAGACAATACTCAAACAAATAGCACTACTACCACCAGACTTAAACCTAGTCTATGTAAAAGAACGTTTCTCTACAATCATCAATTAGGTATCCGAAGGGTTTATGCTGATGAAGAGTCGAATGGACTATAAGCTACATCTCTCACTACCGCATTGACGCATACACCTCACAAAGAAGTAAGGCCAGAACTATCACAGTAGCAAAAGCGAGCTATGGCTTACATCTGCCGTCACTCTGTCCGATAGTTGTTTTCTCCTAAAGAAGAAAGATGCCATGAATAGACAGAAATTCCAGTCAAAGACCAGACGGACAAACAGAACCATACAAGCATCTATGTCTACCTTTACTTTCCCTTTGTCCACCCACAAGGAAACAAAAGTGAGTGTCAATAAACACAGAGATTGCTCATATGCAATATAGAAGACATTCTTATATTCTCTCTTGGATTCATACAACACCAAAACAAGAGGCAGGATCACACAAGAGTCAGACAAGGCCTGAAGCGAACATAAGAAGAGGTCATCATACCAGTGCACTATGTGATCGTCTTCAAGTGTTGTTGTAATACAACAAGTGCAAAAAAAAAAGGACAAGCCCTTTCTTTTTTTTTTAACTGGCAACAAGTATGTAGTTTTCTCTATCAAATTGACGTAAAACCAATAAAGGCAGAGCTATCTTGATAGAAGAGTAGCATCAACTAGGTGATCAACCAAGTGAGAGGCAACAATACCATAAAGGCGAAAACATAATACTTGCTGATGGGAATAAAGAAGTTGAAAAATAGAAAAGCAACGCGTATACATAATAAAGACAGGGAAGATTTTTTTCAAATACAGTCACTACTATGGTTGCGTCATCTAAACAAGAGTCAATAAACTGTAGCATGTCTTTAGTTGCCTAGCAACGCTTCAGTATGTGATTTTAAGCTTATTTAGATGTCTGTTAAAGAGCGACGCAAAGGCCAATCATCAATTTTTTATTGAAACTCAGTACATGTTATCACGATTCGAGAAAAGAACTTCATAAAACCATTATCTTAATTAGAAAAGCATAATGATTGCTTTATTAATCAGCTAAGAAGCACATACAGTTTTTTTCTTTCGATATCTTTTGCTCTTTGAATTCAGCACTAATAGATTGATATCAAATGCCACCTTCCCTTTTTCTTTTGAAAACCTGATTGAAACTGGTTTAGATCTTTATCCCAATCCTTGTCTATAAACACTTGATAAAAGATTCTATTTATTCCAGAAATATCAATATATTTGCAAAGCATTTAGGAACTAATTCATGTAATATATATTCTTCATCTGTTGCTCCAGTTAATGAATTAACAACAAGAAATAATCAAGCTCTTGTTTTTTTGTAGAGAATATCCTAATTTATGCATGCTAAGAATTGATCTCATGCTAAGATGGCCTTTGTGTCCTAGTCTGTGCAACCTAATTATTTATTGAATGTTAAAGTTAAAATATAACCCTTTTTTGACTAATCGCATTTATAACAAACTTGAGAACAAATAAGAGAAAAAGGGAAATCAATCATTGTATAGTTACAACCAGGGCGCTGCTTATTAAAGTTTTTGATATGCTACTATTTTTCCTACTAAAATCTAAGGCTAAAAGTACTATCTAATACATGGATATTTCTCATATAAACACTATACAGCGGCTCCACCTCCAAAGTTCGTTTTCCAGAGTAATGAATTCGCTTTTGTCGCCGATTAAAATTCGTTTTTTCTTATTTCAAAATTCGCTTTTTTATTGGTCAAAGTTCGTTTTTGTAAAGCTCCAAAGTTCGTTTTTACTTTACTCAAAATTCGCTTTTTTTAATTTTATAAATTTCATTTTATTATACAATAACCTTTTCAAATGAGTTTTTATTACGAAGATGGACAAGGAAGCATTGCTGATGAGCAAGGAAATGAGACAATGGACTATGAGGAAGAGACTGATCCTTATAACGTTACTTCCTTGTTGACTGCCTCACAATATCGAATTCATCAGGGGCGCTTTCCCGCTAAAGTTACAGAAGAACTTGATGTCCAAATGGAAGAAGTTTCTGAGGAATTATCCAAAGATGTAGCAACCGGTAGAAAATATAATGTATATTCTGACCAACAGAAAGCAGTTTTCTACTATTTTAATAGAGTGAAGCTCTGGAATGCTGCTGCTTCAGGTCGAAAGGCTCAAGTTGAAATTCGTACTGCTCAAAAATGGGCAAAGCGTCTTAAAGAAGACCCAGAATGGAACATCTACGAAAAACAGACGAATATGTCAAACAGAAAACCACCGCAACTCCAAAACGAACATAAACAGCACTTGGTTCAATTTTTCGACAAGTTTCCTCAAGCTACCAGGCGAGATGCAGTAGATAGTTTAACAGAAGAGTTCCAGAATTTCAATTTAAAAGAAACTTCTGTAGGAAACTTCATTCTTTATGAGTGTAATTTAACCTTTAAAAGAGCTACTTTGCACCCTGTGGCTAGAAATAGCGCTGAGAACCTTGATAAACGTTATCATTGGGCTAAAAAATGGGTAGAGAACACGGATATGAATTATCTTAAAAATTGTGTTTTCGTTGATGAAGCTGGTTTTAATATCAACATGAGAAGCCCTAATGCTCGTTCAGTCAAGGGTACACCAGCAATAATAGAAACACCAACTACTCGTGCCATTACGCATACTATTTTAGGGGCTATCACAGCTCATGATGTTATTTCAATTCAAATCAGAGAACCACTTAAGCCAAAAAGAGTTAAAGTGGATGGAAGTCAAAAAAGAAAGAAGCCTGTGGCAAAACCTTTACGAAAAGGTACTGTTACAGGACACTATGCAAGATTCATATCAAAGACACTCGATGAGATGGATAAATTTCCTGAAATGAAAAACTTCTACATCGTCATGGACAACGCACCAATTCATACCTCAGATAGCATTAAAAATTTAATCGAGGCCAGAGGTTATAGAGCTATATATCTTCCTCCATATTCCCCAGAGCTTAATCCTATTGAAAACTTTTGGTCTATTGTCAAAAATTCAATCAAGCGAAGTGCTTTTAAAGAAACAGAAGATTTGAAGACTAGAATTGCCGAAGCTAGTGAATGTGTCAGTAGAAAGACCCTTCATAACATTGCTTATCATTCTGTTAATAACTTTGAAAAATGTTTCAACAAAGAGCCACTTTAATAAACGCTATTGCTTTAATAATATTTTAAAAACGAATTTTATTAAAATTTAGAACGAACTATGAGGGTGTAAAAGCAAATTTTGAGCGAATTTTGAAATAAAAACTTTGGAGGTATCTTTCTTATTTCTGTTTACATATCCATTTTATTCCTTTTTTTCCTTTTCCGTTATTACCTGCTCACTTCTACGTGAACGTGTAGCCACTAATTTAATAAAATTAAAACAACATATAATAATAAAAAAGTAACTTTACTTTCTCAAATCATACTCAAATACCGGACAGAGTCGAACAACCGGGTTAGGCATCTGTAGGTACCCCCAAGGTGTACAAGAGGTGCAAATAAGTTTTCTACGTCATCTAAAATAATTTAAACGCAGGAGGTGTACAAATAGCAAATCCCCAGTCGTCTGTATCATTTATTATACGTTTACATTTTTTAACCTCATTTTCTTTAAGCGTGTTTTACTCAATTATGGAACTTAACTTTAAAAGGTCGGCAAGTAATTCTATTTTTTTGTTCATAACGTACTAATCATTTTCTGAACAGAAACCGCATTGATAACTAGCTTTGTTTTATACATTTTGCTCCGTATCCTTTGCCCGTTCTTCTCCCCATTATGATGAGCACAATAATGTTTTTTTTATTTTTTTTTTATTTCTTAACATTTTAGTTCTCATCATTTTCCGGACAGAAACCGCATTGATAACCAGCTTTGCTTCACGCATTTTGCTCCGTATCTTTTGCCCGTTCTTCTCCCCATTATGATGAGCACAATGATGTTTTTTTTATTTTTTTTATTTCTTAACATTTTAGTTCTCATCATTTTCCGGACAGAAACCGCATTGATAACCAGCTTTGCTTCACGCATTTTGCTCCGTATCTTTTGCCCGTTCTTCTCCCCATTATGATGAGCACAATGATGTTTTTTTTATTTTTTTTATTTCTTAACATTTTAGTTCTCATCATTTTCCGGACAGAAACCGCATTGATAACCAGCTTTGCTTCACGCATTTTGCTCCGTATCTTTTGCCCGTTCTTCTCCCCATTATGATGAGCACAATAATGTTTTTTTTATTTTTTTTTTATTTCTTAACATTTTAGTTCTCATCATTTTCCGGACAGAAACCGCATTGATAACCAGCTTTGCTTCACGCATTTTGCTCCGTATCTTTTGCCCGTTCTTCTCCCCATTATGATGAGCACAATGATGTTTTTTTTATTTTTTTTATTTCTTAACATTTTAGTTCTCATCATTTTCCGGACAGAAACCGCATTGATAACCAGCTTTGCTTCACGCATTTTGCTCCGTATCTTTTGCCCGTTCTTCTCCCCATTATGATGAGCACAATGATGTTTTTTTTATTTTTTTTATTTCTTAACATTTTAGTTCTCATCATTTTCCGGACAGAAACCGCATTGATAACCAGCTTTGCTTCACGCATTTTGCTCCGTATCTTTTGCCCGTTCTTCTCCCCATTATGATGAGCACAATAATGTTTTTTTTATTTTTTTTTATTTCTTAACATTTTAGTTCTCATCATTTTCCGGACAGAAACCGCATTGATAACCAGCTTTGCTTCACGCATTTTGCTCCGTATCTTTTGCCCGTTCTTCTCCCCATTATGATGAGCACAATGATGTTTTTTTTATTTTTTTTATTTCTTAACATTTTAGTTCTCATCATTTTCCGGACAGAAACCGCATTGATAACCAGCTTTGCTTCACGCATTTTGCTCCGTATCTTTTGCCCGTTCTTCTCCCCATTATGATGAGCACAATAATGTTTTTTTTATTTTTTTTTTATTTCTTAACATTTTAGTTCTCATCATTTTCCGGACAGAAACCGCATTGATAACCAGCTTTGCTTCACGCATTTTGCTCCGTATCTTTTGCCCGTTCTTCTCCCCATTATGATGAGCACAATGATGTTTTTTTTATTTTTTTTATTTCTTAACATTTTAGTTCTCATCATTTTCCGGACAGAAACCGCATTGATAACCAGCTTTGCTTCACGCATTTTGCTCCGTATCTTTTGCCCGTTCTTCTCCCCATTATGATGAGCACAATGATGTTTTTTTTATTTTTTTTATTTCTTAACATTTTAGTTCTCATCATTTTCCGGACAGAAACCGCATTGATAACCAGCTTTGCTTCACGCATTTTGCTCCGTATCTTTTGCCCGTTCTTCTCCCCATTATGATGAGCACAATAATGAAGAGTTTATGTTATTACGCAATTTGTCCTGTAACAAGTCATTTGTCTCACCGCCATGGAAGGTAGCAATACTTTAATTTTCCAGGATATTATGTGGCATACAAAAATGGAAATCACAGCGATTTGTATCAAGCTCTGTTCTTCCCAACCAAGACTCAATCTATACGCTAACTTTTGAATGTCAAATTCTGAAAATGCTTGTTTTTTCTACTGAAAAAGCAAAGTGTAAAGTGTAATACCCGCTTTGAAAAATAACATTAAAAGTGTCGAGGACTTAGAATTATTTGAATGTTTTTATTTTTCAATTTACTGTAATAAATGCTCTTATTCTCTTATTTTTTAATGATTTATCCGTGTTACGCTTGTTTGGCAGTGAAAAGGTGAGCGATGTTAAGTAACCAGAGTAATTGGTGACAATTCATGTACGAACGTAATATAATAAGGAAACTTTACTGGAGTAATTGTTCTTGAAAATGAAAATATTTTTTTTTCAACATTTTGAAGAATAAACAACAAATGGTTTTCTGTCGTATTTTTATAATGTGTGAAATATCGAGTAAGCAAATCAATAACATAATTTAATTTTTTTATTAACGCTGAACAGATTCAGTTGTCATATTTTACAATGGAGCTGTACGACACGGTTGGAATCAGAAGGTTTTTATCTACAAGGATAAACTCCTCAGATGTGATTTCTGTCGACAAAGACATACTCATCGATTCCTAAGCGACTATTTAGTATCACTAAAATATATATTGTATACTATTATCTTACTTTTAACTGTATTAAATCCATCAATGTCTTTTCTGCATTTTTATATGTGTTGAAGGAGGTGGGCAACAATCCAACAGAGACACGCTCATATGGATAATATCCGTCACTAAATGAAACAACAAATGTTTCATAGCACAGACCTAAATGATAATAAAGAATATTAGTATATTTCCTAAATAAAACTCTGGAGAACAAATCTAGCTTTTTTTACCGTAAACAAGCACACCAAAAGTTGTAGCTTCTATTGGTAATGATGCAGCCTTCAATCTTACGTGCAGCTGTCTCTTACATGTCTCTAATACCCTCGCACGAGCAACATCAACACATGATTTTGACGTCCCAACGGGCTTAATCTCTCCGTTACCCACTTCCCAAAGGTCAGAACAAAAAACAAGGTCTGGCCGCGTAGAAATTGAATCGGGCATTTTTTGTTTGTTAATCCAGGTGGAAAAGTCCCTAGATATATAAATGATACCGTTAATATACATCTATGTAAACCTAACCGTATTAATTTGTGTTCAACTTACCATGAAACCGTTACATCATTATGTGGTGACCACAAAGAACAAAGTAACTCACTTACAGACTTAACTATTAAATCAATTTCACTTGATGGGCATTTAGTAGGCTTGGAATGATTCAGATATATCCCAACCAGAATATGGTGTAGAGCTACTTCATTAACGGTGTTGAGTGGGATGCCCTGTACATTAATCACGGTTCTGTTCTCCATTGCTTGCTCCATAGCTCTTACACATTGAATAATGTTCTTTGGTAACTTTTTAAGGGGCACTATATACTGACGATTGGCTGGATTGTTTGGATGTGATGTTTCAAATAAAGCAGATAGAAAAAGTCTTTTGTCAATATCTGATGGTTTTAAAAGCTTTTCAAAGGCAAGATTGTGAGTATTATCATATATCGACTTTACATTTGAATTGCTAGTAACCATTTCTTTCTTTCCTTCGGAGATAATATTTAATTCACTGAGTGTCATCGACCAAACGTAACCTACAATACACCAAGCAGACGATACATTGGTCATTGTTTCCGACTCCTTTTCTTTATAAGAACTATCGACGTCGTTGTCACTGTAAATGATCTGTAAAAAAGGGGTACTTTGGGCTGAAACATCATTAGACTGTACACTAGATTTGGCTGTGGTATCTACACTAGAACTGTCTATGGGTTGTACATTAGACCCGAAATGTTTTGGTTGTATAGTATCAGATTCCGTTGCTTCTTGGACATAGTGAGCTGTCTCTTTTCCTTTTTTTTTCTAAATCGAGGCATGAATTAATTATTATAAATAATTACTATTTTTAATTGTATACCTTATTAGTACTGCCCTCGGCTTGTGGCCCAGCCACTGATTTTGCAATAGAATCGTTTTCTTTTTCATAACCTTCTAAAAGTGCAAAGATTCTTTTGCCTTTAAGGGATTGTATCATATTTTCTTTTGCTTTTTTTACTCCTTCAGCTAGTAAGTCAATCCAGTTTACTTCTACGGAATCTACGATAAGTGCATCGTCTTTGACTTCTGAAGTAAATCGTCGTATCCACATCCTTTTAATTCCTTCCACTGAAGTTCGTTTGTGTGTGATGATGTCACTGATAACAAGTCCTTCATTCATACTTATGAATGCAGATAGTTGAGGGGTAATTGACATTCGGCGCGTGTATAGTATGTATCTGGCTATAGCTATATATATGTATATATATATTTGTTGTTAGTTCAGCGAAAATTCTATTTTCTTTTAATCTGACCAACCTTCTTTATAATCTTTAGTCATAATATCTGTATAAATTGAAAGAATTTTTTGTTTGGGATAAATAGGCAAAAGAGAAGTAACTCCAGAGTACTGAATTCGCTGAATTCGCTTTTGTCGCCGATTAAAATTCGTTATTTTTTTTTATTTCAAAATTCGCTCAAAATTTGCTTTTACACCCTCATAGTTCGTTCTAAATTTTAATAAAATTCGTTTTTAAAATATTATTAAAGCAATAGCGTTTATTAAAGTGGCTCTTTGTTGAAACATTTTTCAAAGTTATTAACAGAATGATAAGCAATGTTATGAAGGGTCTTTCTACTGACACATTCACTAGCTTCGGCAATTCTAGTCTTCAAATCTTCTGTTTCTTTAAAAGCACTTCGCTTGATTGAATTTTTGACAATAGACCAAAAGTTTTCAATAGGATTAAGCTCTGGGGAATATGGAGGAAGATATATAGCTCTATAACCTCTGGCCTCGATTAAATTTTTAATGCTATCTGAGGTATGAATTGGTGCGTTGTCCATGACGATGTAGAAGTTTTTCATTTCAGGAAATTTATCCATCTCATCGAGTGTCTTTGATATGAATCTTGCATAGTGTCCTGTAACAGTACCTTTTCGTAAAGGTTTTGCCACAGGCTTCTTTCTTTTTTGACTTCCATCCACTTTAACTCTTTTTGGCTTAAGTGGTTCTCTGATTTGAATTGAAATAACATCATGAGCTGTGATAGCCCCTAAAATAGTATGCGTAATGGCACGAGTAGTTGGTGTTTCTATTATTGCTGGTGTACCCTTGACTGAACGAGCATTAGGGCTTCTCATGTTGATATTAAAACCAGCTTCATCAACGAAAACACAATTTTTAAGATAATTCATATCCGTGTTCTCTACCCATTTTTTAGCCCAATGATAACGTTTATCAAGGTTCTCAGCGCTATTTCTAGCCACAGGGTGCAAAGTAGCTCTTTTAAAGGTTAAATTACACTCATAAAGAATGAAGTTTCCTACAGAAGTTTCTTTTAAATTGAAATTCTGGAACTCTTCTGTTAAACTATCTACTGCATCTCGCCTGGTAGCTTGAGGAAACTTGTCGAAAAATTGAACCAAGTGCTGTTTATGTTCGTTTTGGAGTTGCGGTGGTTTTCTGTTTGACATATTCGTCTGTTTTTCGTAGATGTTCCATTCTGGGTCTTCTTTAAGACGCTTTGCCCATTTTTGAGCAGTACGAATTTCAACTTGAGCCTTTCGACCTGAAGCAGCAGCATTCCAGAGCTTCACTCTATTAAAATAGTAGAAAACTGCTTTCTGTTGGTCAGAATATACATTATATTTTCTACCGGTTGCTACATCTTTGGATAATTCCTCAGAAACTTCTTCCATTTGGACATCAAGTTCTTCTGTAACTTTAGCGGGAAAGCGCCCCTGATGAATTCGATATTGTGAGGCAGTCAACAAGGAAGTAACGTTATAAGGATCAGTCTCTTCCTCATAGTCCATTGTCTCATTTCCTTGCTCATCAGCAATGCTTCCTTGTCCATCTTCGTAATAAAAACTCATTTGAAAAGGTTATTGTATAATAAAATGAAATTTATAAAATTAAAAAAAGCGAATTTTGAGTAAAGTAAAAACGAACTTTGGAGCTTTACAAAAACGAACTTTGACCAATAAAAAAGCGAATTTTGAAATAAGAAAAAACGAATTTTAATCGGCGACAAAAGCGAATTCATTACTCTGGAAAACGAACTTTGGAGGTGGAGCCGCTGTAATTTAGATTCCTGTTCTGGAAAAGAAAATCCGGTTTAGGTTAATATTTTTTTTTTTTTTTTTTTTTTTTTTTTTTTTTTTGCATAATACATCTTTTTAAAAGAAAAGACGCAACATCGCTCTCATTATCTCAAATTTAAAGGACAAGCACTAACTTGGTCTATTTCACCAAAAAAGGTACCTTGTCTAGAAGCTAATCAAAATCATGGTTTTCTCGTTTCCCGTCTCAACATTCGTTTAAAATAGGCAGCACATTCGGCCCTTGGATACAAAAAAAATCCCTATGACTGCAGGAAGTCGTGACTTGAATACAGTGCATTTACGCATTAGTCAATTTATAATCAAGGACAGAATCCCGTACGTTTTCTCCGCCAGTACAAAATGGATGCTTTTGGTTTAGATGAACCCAAATTGAATAACGACGTTATCTACTAATGGTATAATGCAATGTCGAATTAGTTTTGTCACGTGGAGTAATAAACAAGCAGTAAATAAGGATTTACAAATCGCTAATCAAGGGACTAATTTCTATATTTTCAAAAAGTCGAACAGTTTTATAACCCTTTAGGCTCAAACTGAAATGGTTTGAGGAACAGCCCTGCTTATTCTTGATCAATGGCAAGACAAGTATACGGATGCTATGGAAAATTTCAGCTTTGTTAAATCGATAATTGATTCCCGGATTTGAATTAGCTTTTAAAAGCCAGTTTAATAAGATAAGAGATTAAGTCAGTTCCTTTTTTTTATTCTTTTTCCTTCTCTCTCTCGCTTTTGTATTTCGTGAATAAAAGAGCATGGGCGCCATTTGCTGCAAACAAGAAGAGGTTGATTTTGAACGAGAAGGTATCTATGCAATTTGATATCTACAATGTTTCTTAAACAAATAAAAAAAAAACCAAGTCGAATTACAGCACTTTTATCTACTTCGAGTCATTGGCAAAGGTGCATTTGGCAAAGTCCGTATTGTTCAACACAAAGGTGATTTGATTCAGTATGCTCTAAAATATATCAGCAAATCAAAATGTATTGAGTTGAATGCCACCAGCAATATCTTGACAGAGAGAAGAATTCTCGAGAAGATCAACTACCCTCTTGTGGTCAATTTAAGATATGCTTTTCATGATGATGAAAACTTGTTTATGGTGCTTGATTTGATGCTTGGAGGCGACCTTCGATTTCATCTTGAAAGAATGGGCTCATTCAATGAACTCCAAACTCAATTTTATGTCGCAGATTTGATTTTGTCAATTCATCATATTCACAAACTTATGATTATTCATCGGTAAAAAGTAACTCGCACTCCTTAATCATCCATATTAGACTGACCATTTTCAAATAGCGATATCAAACCCGATAATGTCTTATTGGATGCCAACGGACATGCTCATTTAAGTGATTTCAACATTGCTACCCAATTAACAAAGAAAAAGTCATATAAGAATAATAGAGCAGGTAGTCTAGTGTATATGGCACCCGAAATTCTTGAAGAAAAGCGATACACGACAGACGTAGACTGGTGGAGCTTGGGTGTCACTATGTTTGAATTACTTTTCGGAAAAGTAAAGTATTAATTTGTGTATCCTTCTTTCTCTAATAAGATGCGCTCTTTGTAGAGGCCTTTTAATGGAAGAACAAATGAAGAGTTAAGAAACTCGATTATCCATGATCCGCTCGTGATCCCGACCGATATCCCGGTTTCCCCAGAATGTATTGAAATTCTTGAAGGGGTAAGAAAAAATATGTGTGTGTGTATATGTGTGTATTTATTCAACTCTATTAGTTACTTTCCAAATCGCCAAGAGACCGTTTGGGCCATGGAGTACAGGGATTTAAAAAATTAAAGACACATGCATGGTTCAAGGGTTTAAACTGGGATGAATTAGAGAACAAGACTGCAGTACCACCCTTTATACCCAACGTAAGGGATTTTGTCTATTTACTGTACTTAATTTTATTTTAGCATGACAAATCAAACTTTGACGCTGTACATGAACTGGAGGAACTATTGTTCGAAGATGCTCCCTTAAAGCCACACAAAAAAAGTACATCAAGAGTGAAGAGTGATACAATGAAAGATTTGATTGAGATGGACGACAATTTCTTGCCTTACGATTACACAAAGCATGTGAAGACTGTAGAACAACAAGAGGATAAAGATATTTCTCCCACTGAAGATATCATTTTGCCTTCTGTCTCTACATCTCTATCTACTGCTGGTAGCTTGCTGAGACGTGTAGGTGAAAAGATTGACCAATCAAAATATAAATCGCAAGGTTATTATGAATTATCAGCAAATGATACCAGTCATATCACTTCTAATACTATTACTACTGCTGCTATCACTACTACTACTACTACTACTAATACTAATACTAATAACAACAACAACAACAACAATAGCATCATTTCTATTGCTCAAAAAACAGGCTCAGAAGCAAGCAATAAAAGCAAATAATTTGATGACAGGCTCAATTTTTTATTTTTATTTTTATTTTATTTGTGTGTATGAGTAGTTTAAAGCAACTTTTAAAGACAAAGTCTCAAGTGACTTTGGCTTTATTGAAACCTGATATTTGTGCAAACCCTTCTTTACCACCTAAAATAAAAGAAGCTATTCGACTTCAGAATCTCGAGATTGTACAAGAACGACAAGTGTTATGGACAGAAGAAGACGCGGGTCAGTTTTATGCAGAACATAGAGGGAAATTCTTTTATCATCGATTATGTGGCTATATGACCAGTGGTCCTTTTACTGCTATGATTTTAGCTTCTCCTAATGCAATTCAAGACTGGAGAGCCTTGATTGGACCCACACATCCTGTGAGGTATAGAGAATTCAATGCAATATATATATTCACTTGTGTATTTTAGGGCTAGAGTGAATCAACCAAATACATTAAGAGCACATTATGGATTAACAGACACAAGAAACTCATTTCATGGCTCAGGTATATATAGCCAAGTGAAGTCTATGTATGTATGTGTGTTTTTAATTGTTATCTATATTAGATTCTGATGCTTCAGCTAAAAAAGAAATCCAGTTCTTTTTTCCAGAGACTATTTAGTTTTTATCAATCTAAAGTACAAAGTTAGATATAAACACACACTCTCTCTCTCTTTTTCTATCCTCTTACTGGTAAGAATAGCTTGAATTCTGCTGGTAATTCATCTTCATTATATGTTCTATCTGTAAAATAAATGCGTCTTATTCTACAGTTTGCATGGACTGTAACACGATTTGTTTCTGTGTAGTTTGTACCGTATCCCTTCTTGACATAGTCGCCCAAATTGAACACGATCTGATTCCAACCTGGATCAAGTCGCATTGGCATAGTAAGCATATAGGGTTTAACGCGTGTAGATATTTGATAGTTGGAAGCACGTAATCGACGTTTTTCATTCTTATCATCCATCACTTCCACTTCAAATGAAAAGTATCGATTCAGATTTTTGACAATCAAGACAAGGTAAGGTAATTTGATACCCAAGTTACGAGAAAGTGGAGGGCAAGTGATGTATGTGTTGGACAAGTTGGGAGACGCTAATTCAAGTACTGTAGAACTGATCAATTCATCAGCAACACGCTTAATGTGACACTCATTCTCATTCTCGGGTACATGACAAGACCATAACTGCAAAGGTTCAGTACTATGCTGAAGTTAATAAACACGATCAAGTACATTTTTCTTTACCCTAAGCTATAAAAGATAGACAGAAAGCCAGACTGTTTATAGAATGAGCCTAGGTTGTGTGTTGCGAGAGATGACTTACTTGAAAAGTGTTTTTAAACATACAACAGAAAAGAGAAGGCTACACAAAAACAAAAAGAATTTATCGCTCTCCTTCTTTTCTCTCTCCCCTCCCTCCCTCATCATACCTCCCCATGAGAGGCCCAATTGTCCTTGGTGGTTCATCTCATCCAAAGCTCACTCATGAAATATGTGATCGTTTGGGTATTGAACCTGGAAAATCACGTTTGTCCAAGTTTAGCAATAATGAAACGAGTGTAGAACTGTATGAGTCTGTACGTGAACAAGACGTATACATTGTTCAATCAGGCTGTGGGCATGTCAACGATAACTTTTTTGAACTATGCATCATGATACAAGCCTGCAAGACAGCTTCAGCACGTAAAGTCACTGCTGTTATTCCTTTTTTCCCTTATTCTAGGCAGCCTGATGCACCCTTCAAGCGATCAGGTGCTCCTTTGATTCGTCCTCCTCCTATGACACCCAAAACAATACCTACAACACCAGCTAATGAACTTGTTGATAACCCTTTTGTAAACACGATGGACGTAGGACAGCAAATCATGTTGGGTGTTCAACGTCATGCGACTCAACAACAACAAAGACAAGCAGGAGATGGATACAAACAATGGGTCGCTCGATCTGGTACCTTGATTGCTGACTTGTTGACTTGTGCAGGTGCTGACCATATCATTACTATGGATTTGCATGATCCTCAGGTAAGTGACAGCAACAAGGTAGGCACCAGACTGATAGAGTGCAGTTTCAAGGCTTTTTTGATTGCCCAGTCGATAACTTATCTTCTCTGCCATCAATGGGTAAATACATCTATCGACATATCCCTCATTATTCAGAAGCTGTGATTGTTTCTCCTGATGCGGGTGGTGCCAAGCGTGCTACTTCCATTGCAGAAAAACTCCATATGGATTTTGCTTTGATCCATAAAGAGCGTCGTCGACCTGATAAACCTCAAAACCATGATTTAATGCTTGTGGGTGATGTACGTGACAAAGTCTGTATCTTGATTGATGATATTGCAGACACATCATTTACGATTACCAAAGCAGCCAAGTTATTGCATGAACATGGGGCTACTAAAATCTATGCGCTTATCACACATGCTATTCTATCTGGAGATGCTGTGGATCGTATTCAAAAAAGCTATCTTGATCATGTGATTGTGAGTGATTCAGTGCCTCAAGAACAACATTTGGCCAAGTGCAACAAATTCAAGATATTGCCTGTAGCTTCTCTTTTAGCTGAAGCTATTCGACGTATACATTTTGGTGAGAGTGTCAGTACTTTATTTGATCCTCAATATGAATTGTCATAATAAATATACACACATCAGTCTATATGCATTTCTGTTTGACTTTTAGTCGTTGTAGTCTCTTCTGTTGTAATCGTTTCTGTCACTGCTATTTCTTCCATAACAGTTGTTCCTGTTGCTGTAGTCTCTTCCATGGCAGTTATTTCTGTTACAGTGCTATTTTCATATGAATACCATTTATATTGACCAGGTATCCGCCAAGTCTTTAATGTGTTATCAACTATTATTTCTTCTTCATTATCGCTTTCATCACTATCCAAAATAGGCAATCTAAATTTGCGTTGACCTGAACAAGTGGCAAGAACAGGATAGATAGGATTAAACGAGACTCCCGAGATAATATCTATACAACACAATCAATACCATTTTCTTATTTTGGCTATACTTGCCTTGATGTGCCTGTGTAGAATAAACAGTACGTTTCTTTGTCTCAATGTCTTCTAATTCACCTGTTGTAATATCATATACTAACAAGTTTCCATACATGTCTCCTGTCACCAAGAATCTCCCAGAAGGATCTATGTCAAATTGCATGCGTTGGTTTGTCTTGCCTGGTCTTGGTAATTCATACAAGATATTGGCTGAATCACGAATATCCCAGCATAAAACAGAATGACTATGTCGAGAAGCAGAGAACAAGTACATGCTATCATGAGAGAACTTGACTTGAGTCACACCTGCATCCATGCCTGTTAGTTTTAAACATATTTTGTCATTATGTGTATCGTAAATGCCAATAGAAGCACTGTAAGATCCAGCAGCATAATAGCACCCATCCAATGCAAAATCAAGGCAACTAATGATTCCTTTTTGGCCATGACGCGATTTACGCTTTGGTATAGTCGGTCGTTTTTCTGAATCACCTGTGTATGCATCAAATATTTCAATCATATTCTCATAACCTGTATAGATCCTATGTGTGTCATTTAGTCCTTGTTTAGACTTGCTTTTGAGTTTACTTTGAACCGTCTTGATTGAAACAGAGAACATTGGGACCTATGAATCGTTCACAGTGATCAATAGCCCGATAAGATGCACGTACACTGCCTGTACTAGCATCCCAAAGCTGAACAGGATGGTCACGAACAGAAGTAATAAAACAACAAGTAGAGGGGTCTATGCAATCCTCAATATACATTTACAAGACAGTCTATCACTTTACCTTGAGCATTCATAGAAGGAAACCATGCAAAATCATAAATTGTTTCTCCTTCTCGAATAGCCATACTAGGCTTCATTGTCATGGTCTTGCTGCTTTCTTGGTATACATTATCTGGTCTTGGATGAATTAATGGTTGTGTGTCTCTGTGCAATTGTTTTCTTACAGTTGAAATACACGAAGCATATTATCAGCAGAATTAGACAACAGAAAAGAACCATCAGGAGACCTAAAATAGACTTGTAAATATGAATCAATAAGGCTAATGGACTTGCCATTTAACATTTCTGAAATAGTTGTTGTCCTTGGAAGACTGTTCAAGAGAAATGCCTTGCAACTCATGAGCATCTTTGTTTAAACAATTCTGGATCGTGTCATTATATTCATCAAAAGTAGAACCAATCAAAGTACAAGGTTGAGTGAAATCAGGATGAAAGACACTATAGCTTGTTGATTGAGTTGCATCTACTTCTGTCATTGGATCTAGAATGTATTAAAAAAAATTTTCAGGCTGAGTTGCTTTTCGTGTTGACAGTTGTCTCTGCATAAATTGCTCAGTTTTACTTTATTGACCTAAATAGCATCAAGTCCTTGCTTGAGTTTAATCGATTGGTTCTCACAAGAAAGGATATTGGTCTGTCTAAAGTATTTTTCGATTCATATTTGTCTTAGGAAACACAAAAGATAGCATAAGCTAATTATATGTAAACACAAACCGAAAAAAAACATATTCGTTTTGTCCCAAAGTAATAATCCTTTATGATTGGGGGACACTTTGTATTCTACCCCACATAGAGCGAATCTGAATAACACCAATCAAACGATTGTTCCGCTTCAAAGTCACACTTGTGTCCTTTTTAAGGCACATCAAGGAAAAGTTTTTTTTTCTTCTCTTTACTTGCACTATGAGTAACTTTATCAACAGTTTGTTGTATGGGTTCACCAACATCCTTTCTGTTGGACCTGAACCACCCAGAGAAGGAGAAGAAAGTGGTTGTACTGGTTCAGACGGACAAGGTTGTTGTAAAGACCAACCTAAGCAAGAAACCAGCGGTTGTTGTCAAACAAAACAAGTAGAAGAAGGTTGTTGTGGAGGCAAAGGAGACGCATGTGCATGTGAATCTACCAATGGACCTGTTGTTATTGACAACTTAAAAATCCTTTTTTCTACCCTCACCGGCACAGCAAAGACATTGGCTACCGAAATGCAGAAAAAGATTGAAGAAAACGATCATGTGACTGTTGAAAAGTTAGAAGTGATGGACATTACTGAATATGACAATGACCAGCTCTTGCAGGAAACAGCTGTTTGTGTCTTCATCTTGTCCACCTACAATGTGGAAGGACCGTTGGATTGGTAAGACAAGTTTAGACTGGCATAAAGTTATTAATGAGCATGGATAGGTTTACCAATTGGCTTCATGATCTTCGTTATGATTTCCGTGTAGATCGTGATGCACTCAAAAAGCTTCGTTATACTGTATGTGGTTTGGGCGATTCAGCTTATGGTGAAGAATTCAATATTGCTGCTGCCAACATTGATAAATGGCTTGGAAGATTGGGTGCTACTCGTATTTATCCCCTAGGTGAATGTGACAAAAACTCAGATCAAAAGGCACAATTTGATGTCTGGTCTAATGGATTTGTATCTGAATTACAAGATAAGCACAGTTTGGAATTCTCGCCTACCAACATTGCTTTCCAATCTGATGACGAAGAAGAAGAAGAAGAACAAGAAGAAGCTCAAATTGACATTGATGGTGGTAGTGGTGATGAAATGGTTGATTTGGAAGATATGGGCAACATGGCATCCAAGATCAAAGCAGCTAAAGCCAAACGTGCTGAAGAGGATGAAGAGTATGAGAACAGTAAGGCAAGACCCAGACGTCAAATCGGCTCTGATGATACTGTTAAGAAGACTATTCAGCCCCGTGAAATGGTATCACCCATGATTCACAAGAACTTGACAAAACAAGGCTACAAAGTAGTTGGATCTCATTCGGGTGTCAAGATCTGTCGTTGGACAAAATCAGCTTTGCGTGGCCGTGGTTTCTGTTATAAACATGCTTTTTACGGTATTCAATCTCACTTGTGTATGGAAACTACACCTTCATTAGCATGCGCCAACAAATGTGTGTTCTGTTGGAGACATCATACAAATCCTGTTGGCACTACGTGGCGTTGGAAGGTAGACGATCCTCAATTTATTTTGGATGGTGCTATCGAAAACCACTACAAAATGATCAAGCAACTAAAAGGTGTACCTGGTGTGAAGGCTGAACGTTTCCAAGAAGCATTTACCATCCGTCACTGTGCTTTATCACTTGTAGGTGAACCTATTTTCTATCCTCATATCAACGAATTTGTTACCAAATTACACGAAAACAACATCTCATCTTTCTTGGTGACCAATGCTCAATTCCCAGACAAGATTGCTGAGATGGTTCCTGTCACACAACTCTACGTCAGTGTAGATGCTGCCACAAAAGAAAGCTTAAAGAAAATCGATCGTCCTTTGTTCAGAGACTTTTGGGAACGATTCTTGAACTGTTTAGAACAATTGTCGCTCAAGGGACAGCGTACTGTCTACCGTATGACATTGGTTAAGGGACACAATACAGCTGAAATTGATGGCTATGTTGAATTGATTCGTCGTGGCAAGCCTTCCTTTATTGAAGTGAAGGGTGTCACTTACTGTGGTTATAGTGGTGCCAGTGACTTGACCATGGCTAACGTTCCTTTCCATGTCGAAGTCATTGATTTCTGTCGTCAATTGGTTGCTAAATTGGACGGTGACTATGAGATTTCTGCTGAACATGCTCATTCTTGTTCTCTTTTGATTGCTCACAAGAGTTTCAAGGTGAATGGTGAATGGCACACCCATATTGATTATCCAAAGTTCTTTGAACTCGTCAAGAGTGGTAAGTCATTTAACAGTTTGGACTACATGGCCAAAACTCCTGAATGGGCTCTTCATGGTCATGAAGCCGCTGGCTTTGATCCTAATGAAACACGCCATTACCGTAAAAACAGAAAAATAGTTACACCACCTGTCATTCCTGCAGTTGAAACTGCTTAATTGTAAAATAAATGTTGTATAGTGTTGGACAATGCTGATAGATCTAAGTTTATTAAAAGAGTGTCTTGCGGGAAATAACAGATGCAATGCTTTCGACTAAAGCATATCTTGTAAAGAACATGGCTCCAAATGCAGTAGCATAAAGAGCAACTCTATAGCCTCGACCAATTCGGAACAAAGCATGAACTAAGAGGCGTAAGACATGGTTTGATAGGCCACATGTACAACTTACTTGGAGGAGGTGAAAAGATATAATTAAGATTCTGTCCTGATTTCAAAGCACATATGCTCAATACAGGTGAATGGAAGAAACTGTAAACAGAAAATGACAATAAAGCCATATTTTTCGAAGGTGGAAGTACTAAATATCTGCCAGAATAAATCATATACACAGGAGCCACCAAGATTAAGATGTGTTCTAGTAGAAAAAACAATAAACTCAGTACGTAATATAAGAGATTTTTTTTTTTTTTTTTTTTTTTTTTTTTTACCTGCAAAGAAATTAAATGTTTCCCCTATTAAGTAATGATCTCGCAAATCAGGAAAAACAAGTGCAGCAATAGCACCCCATTGTGTATGTAAATAGATATTGAACAAAATATTGGTCACCACAGATGATTTGTTTTGCCAGCAAAGTGTTGTCAACAATAAGCCTGCACTCATATGACAAGGTTGGAGCATAAACAATTTGTTTTTGCGAATGATCTTGTGAGCTGCAGTCAAGCCAAATGAGCCTAGTAAGGAAGCAATCAATAATTTTTCTGTGCGCGTTGCAGGGCCAACAGGCTGGAAACTACTCAGTAGCTGCCATGTGGTACTTGAAGGATCAAGTACTTTCTGTGCATAGTAGATGGAAGCTGTAATAAAGCCAGTTGAAAGAAACAAAAGCTCAATGGCATGCTGGCGTGGGTGTAAATACCTTAGAGGTATTTTTCTTTAGCAAGTCTATTATTTTTTTTTAATGAGATCTTACCAAGAGCCTCTTGTTGAGTCTTTCCAGTCGGTTTCCTCAGTAACGTTGGTTGCGACCGATCTTACCCAGATCTCTAAACGATCAAAGAGACAAGTAAGAGATTTACCAAGTACACTCACAACAGGCATAGCACCTTCAACAAAAAGAAGGAATTGACAGCTACTAAGCTCCAGAAAAATATATATAAAAAACCAAGCTCATTTTTTGGGGGAGCACAGATTCCTTTCAAATGTTGTTCAGGTACAATTGGTGGATGAGTTTATTTCTGTGACACAAATAAGGTCAAGTAAACACTATGGGAGGCACTGCTTCTTGCATGACAGAGGCTGTCATGTTCACATGCTTCATATATTCGGTGGGGAATTCAACAAGATGACCTCGTATATGATTTAATTTCGATTGGACTTGTTCATTTGTATTGTTCCATGGCTCTGCGATATGACCAGGCAAAGTTCTTGTGGGATCAGGCACAAACTGGCGATGTTGCTCAATGGAACGAACTGTTTCTTATTAGCAAACAGCTTCTATATACATATATGATTACCTGTATCATCTGGTACACATCGAAATACATCTCGATAAATAAGTGTGTTGTTTTCAGCAGTTCTGTTCCAAATATCATAATAAAACTCGTCATTTAAGGGATCCATAACAACAATATCTTCTCGCTTCATATTTTGATATTCTTTCAAATCTTCAAAAATAGCATCTTCTTCATATTTGCCCTTTTTCACCATATATGGACTGCAATTTAAAAGGCCTAGATGCTCTTTAAACAGCTGCATACGAAGTGTCAAGGCATATTTTGCAGCTTTGTACTATCCATGCATCAGTTACTTTCTTGTAGATTTAGGGAACTTACAGGTTTGTTATTCATTCGAGAGTCTACCAAATCCTTGTCTTCGATGACAACTGCAATCTCAGAGTCTCTGTTTCCTAATTGAGATCTGTGTGGATCGATGTCAAATCAAATGTTTTTGTTTGCGTTGATTTACCTGTCATTTAGATTGGCTATGGAATAGAACAAAATAAAAAAAAGTGAGTTATCGCTTCTAGTCTCTAAGTAATTTACCTGAACCACAAATAACCGTCTTATCGTCCACAATCATTAATTTAGAGTGAATATAAACTTGTTCAGTCATGAAATCCATTCTCCCATCATTGTATTGTTGTTGCTCTAAAAATGCTTTCATTTGCTGCTGATGCTCTTGTTGTAGCATATCTTCTGATGACTTATTCTGACTAGAGGATCTTGAATGTGTTCTTTTCCTACCAAGCATGCGGCGATTGCTAGTATTTGCCATTACAGGTGGAGGAGGTGGTGGTGGCGGCGGTATAACATGGCCATATTGATCTCTTAAAATCTTGGTTGATTTTTTGACTTTTCCCCAATTTCGTAGACTGTAGAACCCAATATAGTCTTTGATAGGCACATTGGCTTTTGTCAATTCTTCAAAAATAGAGTATTTACCACGACAAATAGAGCGATATTGGTATTGAGCCACGGATCTTTTTTTTTTTTTTTTATAAAAAGCAAAACGATTAGAATCAAGTTTTTTTTTGTATGAGTCACCTTAACGGCATGGATCGTCTGTCCACTTGAGCAAAATCACCTTCAAATCCAGGAGCAACAGGAATGACAACAATGACTCTAAATTTTTGTTTTTCTTGATGTGCTCGTTTAATCCTTTCTACAATGGCTTGTCCAATCTTGTTCTTAATCAATTTATCATGAGGATTTGTGGTTGTTACTGTAAGAGTCAGTCAGTGACTACAGAAATTCGAATGAAATACTTGCTAAAAAATTGGTTTTCAATATAAATAAAGTTTTTGGCTTTAAAGATAAATTCCATATAAGCATTGTAGATTGAATGCTAAACAAGTCATTAGATCTTGATCCATGATCATTCATGTTTACTTCTCTTATAATTCCCTGGCTCCATTGAGCGCTACTTCTTAATACTTGGATACGACAAGTACCCTTGAATTTGATTTCGTCTTTAAGTGAGACATATTCACCCTTTGGAAGTAAAAAAGGTACTTGATCTCTTTCTTTAGCTCTGTTTGATTTGATGAAATTCCATCTTTGAACAAAATGACGTGCTATGTCTCTGGCAGGTTGCCCAGTCTTCATTGGCAGGAGTGATGAGTTATCGTTCGTGATGTGTTGCATCTTACCATAGCGGTATGGATATCATGCCATGGCATTCTAGGAGCACTTCTTTTGTCAATGAGCTCCATATCGTACTGACTCACTATAGTTTTGTTCTTGTTCATCAAGCTTTGGTTCAAATACATAATAGCTTACCTTTCTGAAAGTCTTTCATTCTGGGGTTCGAATAATCTTGTCCAGGAAAAATCTCTTTTTCGTCGTAAGAAGGATAATCAGTCAAATCATGCTTTGTAGTATCGTAACGACTTTAGCAAAAAAAAAAAAAAAAAAAAAAAAAAAAAAAAAAAAAAAAAAAAAAAAACTATATCAGCTATAGGTTTCTCTAGTTGATCAACTTGCCCAAAACACAAGTCCAATCCTCCAACAAATGCTAGCCTATTGTCAATCACTAAAATTTTCTATATTAGAAAAAAAGGGTAGGTTTAGATCTGTAATACGCTATGTCCTTGTTACTTCATGATGCGCCCAAAAAGGTGAAGAAGTCAAGTTAGCATGTCTCTGGACTATGATGTTGGGATGAATATGTTGCATCCAGTCGCGAGTATATTGTGAATCGAGTGGTAAAGCCACAGAGACATTCTTGTAAATGACAATATAAATCATGACACCTTGACATGCCTTTCTTTTCAAAAGACGGTCGAGTCGATACTCTTCATTTCCTTTGGGTGGTCTACGCAAGTACTAGTCAAATGAGACTCTTTTGCCGTGCAATGATATAGTGCTGTTTTTTTTGCTTACCAATTGAGGGCTCTATGGAAAATATTCAATTACGCTTGTTCAATTGTATTTCAATACTTACTAGCCACCAATCTTCAATATAGATTTCAGATTTTGCAGATAAAATTGCTTGTGCAACTGCTTCAAAATAATCTGTTTGGATAAGTACTTTTCGTGTTGACATCGACTCTACCTTGCCCATCAACAAACCATCTAGCATTCGAACATTCCCTGATTGGTGCAAAAGATCCAAATCGATGATTCATAATCCATGGAGATTCTTTTTGTACTTTATTCAGGTTATCAATCCACTCATCCGTATGTCTTGAAGTAGGTGCTTTCACTTCAATTCGCCTTGAGGCATTGGAGATAATGAAGTGCGTCTGGTGTATGGATCCAAACGTACTTTGTGTTCGAGATACCTTGAGGTATTTGTCAAACAATAACACACCTGCAGGTGTATTGGATGAGATATCCTTGCAAAACGCAATATAAGAGTCGCGTAGAATGAGCCATTCTTTTTGCCATTTCTGCCATTTAAATAAGCGTAAAGAAGGCAAATTTGTGTTGTATTCCAAGTATCCTTCTTTACCTTTCCAGCCCATATCTTTGACAATCGAGACAGCACTGAGCTCTAGAAATTCACAAAGTTCGTAATTGACGTTCATGCTTGCATGTTGAATGAGTTCTTTAAGGTAAATTTCTAAAGCATCACGACGTTTGAGAGCGATATCTCTCCACATACTGTCTTCTTGTTCGCGAGCAATACGCATCGAAGTCAATGCAGCATTTGTAAGGTGAGCTAATTGACTAGGAAATGATGGAGGAGGTTCTGAAATGAAGCCAGAGATGTACTTAAACTTTAAGGTGAGGTGAAGGTTATAGAACTCGATAATGGTACGGTAAATCACCCATTTAATTTCTCCATACTGTATGTCTATGCGAAATGTCCATAGTCGATGGGATGAGTTGTGATCAATGGTTGAATCAGTAATGGATATCTGGAATGATATAGATTAGTATAATTAACATATGTCTTGTATTTACATTTAATGCATCAAATAAAATAGGGGGCTAAAGAGGACATGTAAGACAACAAACATACGCATTATTTTTATTGCTTACTGCTTTTCTGCCATGTTCATCTCGACATAATAAAGAAAGGTACCCTGGAGTAAATGCAGATGGATAGTAAGGTGCTAATGGCTGCCTTGTAGTCGTATAGTAAACTGTACTTGATCTTCTTCGAGTGGGCCCACCCAACGAATTGGCTAATTTTATCTTGTCAAATGTTTTTACCCATTCAACTTTTTGCTTCTGCAGCTTGGCAGAAACTATTTTTGTTGTGATTAATAGATACAATGCTTTTATGTCAAACCTTCAATCATGGATGGCGCTACATAGGCCTTGTGATCCTTTGGCTTTCTACTGTCATCTGTGATGGTACTAAGCGGGTGAACAGACTTGTTATTTTCCTCCTCATGAAGATACACTGTATCTGCATCTGAGTCAAATGGATTTTCGAAATAATTATGTGTACAAGGTGGACGCTCCATCGTTCCATCTTGAACGATTTCTTCCAAGTTTGGTAATGTATCGTCTTCCTCTTGTGTTTCATTCAATTCATTTCCATCACTATGAGGTATACTTAACATCAAGGCCCGTTCATGTTCAGAAGGATTATCCACAGTGCCTGATACAATTTCTTGCTCAGGAGTACCTTCATCTCGCTGTATATTGATAGACATGCGTCGAAAAATAGAGTGCCATTTACTTTCTGCGTCACTAGGTCGATGCCGAAAAGTAAAATAGTCTGTGGCATTGTCTTCTTGATAGAGTATTTGCTTAAGATATTCCATGTTATTGGAAATAGGATGTGACATGTTAAGGTGCAAAAGAGAGAAAAACGAAAACAATACTCTATTTGGTTATTATTATTATCTTAAAGAGAGAAAGAGGTTGCACAAAGACGAACGCGCATAAATGATCATGTTCTGCCTGATGACTACTTCAAAAGAAGTGGAATCCGTGTTCAATTGCTTAGCAGACTAAAATTTGTCCTGTCATTTGTTCATGACAAAAAGACATTTGATTTTATGCATGCAGTATATCTCGTTTAGTTTATTTATCAACAGGAAAGGACATACCATCAAAAAAAGTAAAGCGCCTTTTCAAGGGACAATTGGATAGGACAGGTGAAGCACTGAATAAATGGAACACAGAGTAACACAAACTTGTTTAGCTAACTGTGCATTGAAGAAGCAAAAAAAACCAAAAGAGGCCAAAAGAAATGACTCAAGACGATTGAATAAATCAACCAAACGAGATATTGTTTGTCAAGTTATGCATGATGATATCAACTCAATCAACATATATAGCATTTAAAGAAACAAAAAAAATAAGGCTTGTGTAGCATCTCTCAGCCTCAATTTTATTTTTGTACGCTTGTCTATTTTCCTCTTCTTCTTTCATTTTAATTTCATACATGTCTACACCGAAAATTATTGGGCAATTAGTCATTGTTGCCTATAAAGCTGTAAGTAAAGTCTTGACACGAGATGAAGACACTAAACGTTTCTATAGAAGCACTTGCCCGAGCGAGAGGTATTCTCGGTTCTTGTCCTTTTTTGTCGCAAAGAGTTTGACTAACACGCTTTTATATTAGATTGTGGGCAAGCAAGATCCTTTTGTCTTGTTTCGTATCGGAGAAGCAGTTGAAAGAACAAAAACAGATCTTCGAGGTGGTCAACATCCTGTTTGGGATGATCAGGTACAGAAAAAAGCGAGAGAAAACTATGTATTCATGCTTCAGGAACCATGTGTAGGTAACTTTGCCTATTCCTGAAAAAAAGACCAAGGTTGTTGTTCAAGTCTATGATGAAGACGGAAAAAGACAAGAGCTGATTTCAGAATGCGAATTAAATATTTCCAATGTCTTGGTTGAGGGTGAAGAAGATAGTAAGTTGGGTTTAATGTATAAGTCGATATTGAGATTGCGTTCATAGATTGGTATGAGTTGCAGTACAAAGGTAGACCTGCTGGAGAGATCTATTTGGAAATGACATTTTATGCTGCTGTAAGAAAGTAGTTGATATACAATCCATATCTGAATTTGTTCTTTAGCGTCCACCACCAAAACGTACACCCACAAGATTTGGTATGAATAAGCACTTGAAACAAGGCGGCTATGTTCCTCCTGTGCCTCCATCAGGTGCCATTCAACATCAAGCAAGACCTTATCATGCTTCTTCTCCATATCCTCCTCCTCCAGGTAGTGTAAGACCTATGGAATCCCATTCTACACCAGCATTTCATGGCACTGGCCCTTATCCACCTCAACAACAAAGACCACCTTATGGTGCACCTCAACCTTACCCTCCTGTCAATCCTACACCTTCTATCTCAGCTGGATCGCAACACACTTATCACCAACCATACCCTCCAGTGAACAATGGCCGTCCTAATTCTTACAGTGGTCCCTCTCCTCCACAAAACAACAATCGTCCTGCTTCTTACAGTGGTCCTTCTCCAGTCAATCCAAGCAGACCTACTTCTCCACCTATTCCTGGGGCAGGTGGATATGGTGATTCTGCATCAGGTAACTTGCACGCGCCTCTTTTATCATCTTCATATAGCCCTCAACATAACTCAACATCTGCTCGTCCTAATTATGGAGGTAAGCATATTACCTATATGGAAAAAAGTGAATTGACATTTCATATTAAGGTTATCCACCCCATCATGGTGGCTATCCACCTCAACAGATGAATGTGCCTGGCAATCGCAACAGCTTTCCTATCTACAATAGTCCTTATCCTCCCTCTCAACAGTTTGGTGGATTCCCTGAACCTCAACAGTTTTCAGGTGGCTATGCGCCCCATGCAGATACCTTGGGCACACCATTTGCAGCACATCAAGGTACTTATCCTCCTAGCAACAATACCAATCCTAATGGATATCCTCCTCAACTAAACAATGGAAATTATCCACCTCAACAAGGATTTCCTCCCAGTGGTTACCCACCTTATTAGTGAAAAGCAAATAGAAAATAAAATGTTTATGATTTGTCATGTCTAGAAGGAGATAAATAATCGAGTGAATGGCGCATAGGATCAATGTAGAAATCATGGTATGCGTCACTGACCATACCACTCATGGTTTTGATGGGTTGTTCTGGTTGATGCAATCCTTGTCGACTTGTATTTATGGAAGGAGAAGCAGACCGAAAAGAACTCTCGAAAGAGGGTCTACCTATACTTTGATGATACCCATTGTCCATCATTGTAAAATGGACAGGTTGACCAGCATAAGGATCTGGAATAGATACACTATGACCTATATTTAGCTTTTCGGTTGGAGTGACAGCTGTACGTGGGTCCAAGGGGTAATCAGCTTCAATAGGAGACATAGGCCTCATAAAATGCTTCATCGGGATGTCTTTGTCGTACAAAGTGGAAGCATCCGTAGTTGTCATGTCCTGTTTGTTTTTAGCTTCAATGAAACTGACAATACGTTGATTCGATCCTTTCGTCGGTTCTGAAGACCTTGAACTATCCATTTTTCTGCTTATTTGGCTATCGTGTCTTTTTTCTATATCTTGACGTGTATTGCTAGATGAATGTGTGCTTTTACCGTGCAGACTAGCATCTCTTTCTTCTCTTGTTCTTCGAGGATGAAAGATGGAGATCTAAAAATGTAGAGTTAGTTTTCCAGTTACTGCTTTAAATTCTTTATGCCTACACCAATTAGCCATATAAAAACAGTGCATGCATTGCAATTTGCAATTAACAAATCAGAAGCAAATTTGTTAGTATTAATCACCATGTGGTTTGTCAAACCATCTGCACAAAGGATCAGAAGGCCGAGGCCATCGAAAAAAAGAATAACAGTTAATAATGCATTCATGTCTCTGAAATAAGAAAGCTTTTCAACAACTACAGAAGCACCCGTACTCAAGTTGCGTGAAATATTTAACAATCTCTCGAAACGAAAGTGTGATCGAACACCCAAGAAAGCAGTAAGAAGAACTAGATAGAAGGAGAGTTATGTTTATTTGTCTCTTTTTATTGGTATTTACCTTCAATAGAGTATGCAAACTGAGGTACTGCTTCTCTTAACTGAATGTTTTCTCTATGATACCATTGCAAAATAGGAAAAATGGCTGCACTACCGAGAGCCCTAAAATAACAAGGTAAATGTGAGTTGTATAACAATTACGGCAATACCAAAAAATATAAAACTTGAATTCTCTTGAACTCATGAATGACTTCTTGGCTACTGAGTTTGACAAATAGTTCCAAAAGCATTGTAAGAGAAAGAATACACTCGTTTGCATTGAAAGATTAATACATTCAATATAATCAAATGCCTTTAGAATGTCAATGGATAACTTTTATCTTTTTTAACATACTTCAGCTATGTCTTGATGTTTGCTATCCCAAGCAACAAAAGGTGTGCTGATAATAGACAGCGTACCTGGTTCAACCATAAATTTTTCTTGATACTTGATCCATGTAGAAGCAATGTCTATAGATAGTTTAATTGAGTTTGTTTTACACCCTCCATATACCATAGGACATTTGCATAAAAAGCATAGTGATGTATAACAAGGTGATAATGCTTTTCAGATTGCCAGCAACAATCTTCTTTGGACTTAGACATCTCATTCCATCATTTACATAAACACTATGGAATAAAAAGAATGCAATATACACTTCAATGGCACATCGTTCTAAAATAAAATATGAAGCTTGTTTAGTTTTGATTTACAATTTAACTTACGAAGGTAGGAGAAATCACTAAATGGATTTTAGTCAATAAAAGTAAACGAATGTCATACCTCAAGTGAGTCATCTAAAGCTTGTCAAAAAGAAAAAAATAAAGAGAAGAAGGCTTCTTTTTGTATGTTCTGTCTTGTTCTGGTATCTTTCTTGTATCACCCATCAATGTGGGGGACTTTCTTTCAAGGCAGGTCTCCGTAGTACAATCTATTTTAACAATGTTAATCATTTTGTCATACTATAGTTTCATTATACCCATACTTTACACTAGGGTTTTCCACCGAAAGATAAAAAAAAATTCGAGCGCTTTGTCAAACATTGTGGCACACAATGATAATGAAAATGTTATTTCCCATATCCAATTGATCATCTCAGTATGAAGTTACACATACACAAAGAAAAAAACAATTGATTATTATGACAAATGAGACTTCTGTCCGTCGAGTTTCTGAAAAAACATACAATACTCTTGTCAATCAATACATCCATGAAAACCATTCTTAACATTCTTGCTCAAATTATCATCCTAGTATCATGAATGAGGATAATGTTAACCTCACATATTTTTTTTCATCTAACAAATCAAGAGAGATACAACATGTCGCTTTATAGAATCGATTTGAGTGGTATGATATTTGCCGTAAATGTATCAAACAATGTTTTTCTTACCTGGTCCATATTCATCATGCTCCCTTATGTGAGCAGATATAAAAAAGATTAACCAAAGCAACATTTGTAGTCCAAGAGAGGCACAGAATCCAAGAGATGAAGACAGCCGATACGCCCTTTAACGATGTTTAAGCCTAGTAGCACAATTGACAGGGCCTTGTTGATTAAATCTACACCCAATCAAATTGGCTCTTTCGTTTCTAACCATTTCGGTCTACATTAAGCACAGATAAATGGATTACAAGGTGAAAAAAAAGCGTGATGGAAATAAGAGCCACAGGCAATATAAGTTTATTTGATTTTGTCTTCTCTTCACTAATAACAGTATACATGGGTCGACTGACTATCAAAGAAAGTATCAGAATCTAACAGAAGGGGTACTGGATTAATTTCCATGTGTCTCAAGGACTTATGGATAAAGAAGAGGTATCATGAGTTAAAGGGCGACATAGGATGAAGACAAATTAAATAACATCAAAGAGACCAGTTGCTTCAACAGACCTGGCTATGTGCTAAATGACAGCATTATTCAAAATATAACACGTATTAAGGGGCATACACTATGATTTTAAATGTAAGCAAGTATCTGCCACAAAAAGAAACAACAATCTTCATTTTGTTGGCTTAAAAATTCTCTGAGTATAACTCTCTTTAAATGTGTACTAACAATCCTATTGAAAGGCTGTATACAAAATTAAGATTGAAAGAAAAGAGTTGAATCTCGGTTCTAGAATGACAGACACCTGTAGCAGATATCCTCTAAGCAATCTGAGTTATTTTCTTCGTATAATTCGATTTTTTATTATATATCAACCAAAGAAATGGTCCAAAAGACATTACTCAATATAAAGAAACGTTCTGAACTATTTACGCAATTGTGCATTGATTTTTTGGGGCCTTTCCCTTGACAATAAATTATTGACTTCTTCGAATCATCCAAATTACATTATGCTCTAAGCTGCATATATCTTCTACTATAGAAAAGTGAGTAATTGATGCGGAAATGTGAATATGGGGTAGTGTGTACATGTTTAATCTATGTTCCAAAGGCTATCTTTCATATATCATGGACCATAAAGTTAAAGTGAGTTTTTCATTGCTTTGAAGTTTTCATGTCTTTCTTTGATTTAAGAGGACCAAATGCCTTTCTGACAAGGCGTTTGTATGCTAGTAACCAATCCGGTATAATATTCATGTGATAGAGAGATTAGGCAAATACAGGCTTCAACAATCCATACAAATCCTTGACTTTTTCTTAGACAATATAAAGGTGCTTCAAAGCCTATTTATACACGCATAAGTTCTCAAAGTACCTGCAAATCATGCTTACTAACATATATGGTACACTTAGAGTTGATTTGGACCAAAAAAAGCGATTCGTAAAATTTGGCCAAAATGACCGTTCGACCAAAGGGTATTGTCATGAAAAAAGCTCGTTTAATCACTTTGGATTTTTTTTATCCATCTCTGATATCAAAGAGGTTCTTCTGTCCCTGGACTTTTCGTTCATCTGGTACTGCCAATGGAAAGGAATCAAACCATGCAGAATCCTCATAATAACTCTTTCACACATTTGGCTTGCTCATATGAGATTTATCTTAGACAAGACCCCCCATTGTATCCACAGCAATATTAGCAAGCATCCGATCCAATGTTCATCAAACCATTGAAGGGGATCAATGCCATTCACTCCTATAGCCTCTACATTGTTTATTTTATTTTAAATTTTTGTTTTATTTTATCGTATTTTTATTTGGTTAGCATTATCTCAATTGCACCCGCCTCTTCACTTTGACCATTACTCTTAGTGTACGCGGCTCAATCAATAAACGCAACTTAGAGAAATATCTTCTTTTTGATGCTCTAGAACGAAAAACAAAGCTATTGGCAAGGTTAAATACCTAAAATGAGCGCCAAATGTTACAGTTTTTGCTCAATGTGTTTGCTTAACAGTTGTAGTATGAAAATGGTATAGTACGAGCAAACCCATAGACGTTTTTGTCTATTTTCTCAATATTTTAGCAGCAAAGCTGTTGCATTCTTTATATCATCAGACTCAGAAAACAAAGATCTACAACTTTTGTCATTACAGCAAAGCCCAATATCCGTTCCTTTATGTAGTTCTTAGCAAAAGCTCGATTTTTGATGGGGCTGGATGAAGAGCTACCTTCCATTTCAATCTTCGCAATATAGCCGCCTGGTAAGTTCTATGTCTATCTACCTCACATTTTGCCTAGGTAGTGATGGATTAGGGTATACATACCTTCAACTCTTGTTTGGTTTTCCTTTTTGAAGCCCCTGATACTCCAGGTATACAATGATGCCAATACAAAGGATTTTTCTCAGTCATGGAAAGAAATTAGAGCTATTTGGCAGAATTAAAAAATTGGAGACCAATTTCATTGATCAACTGTGATGGTAAAATTTCCACAAGGCTCATTACCCAACGTCTAGCTCCTATAATGAATCGAATTATCAACCGCTTCAAAAGGGCTTCATCCAAGGACGTTTTATTGGCGAAAATGGGATGTACGTTCCACTTGGTTCTACAACAAGCAAGATATGAACATCATCAAGGTGTAGGTTTGCTTCTCGACCAGGAGAAGCCTATGATCGAGTATTACCAACATATCTTCAACAAGCTCTTGTGTCCCTAGGTTTCCTACCTTATTTATACAGAGTATTTATAATTTGTTCTTTGATAACTCAGTAGCAATCAATGTCAACGGATCCTTTACGGATCCAGTACATCAGCAACGTGGGTTAAGGCAGGGTGATCCTTTGTCCCTTTATTGTTCAACATCGCTTTGGAGCCGCTGATTCTTTCAATCCAGCGACCTACATACCAAGGTATGTCCCGACAATGAGCACTACGTTTCAACAGATCAAGTGCATCGCATATGCTGATGATATCTGTGTGTTTGTCAAGGATGCCACTGATTTTATGCGTCTCCAACATCACTTGACTAAGTATAGTGCTGTATCAAATGCAAGATTTAACAAGCACAAGACGGAAGCTTTCTCACTGAGTGGAGTCAAGTCAGAATCTTGGGAATCTTGCTTTTGAGTCATGATATCGAAACATACTACCACCATCATTCCCCTTCTGCTTTTTTTGGCTTTTATATGCCATACACAAATTCTCAACGGAATCGTGTCCAGGATATTTATTGGAAAAAGTGCGTACACGGGTTCATGGTTACTCAGCGTCACCTCTCGCTTCAAGGAAGAGCTACCGTTGCCAACACTTTGATTTTATCCAAAATTTGGTACTGCTTGCGGTTGTTTGCGCCTACTAAGCGATTTCTGAATGAACTTCGTTCGATTACTATGCTTACGTGTGGCAAAAGAAGTTTCCTTATGTTTCTTTTGACCAGTTATGTCTCCCTAAGATCAAGGTGGTGTAGGAGCTCAAACCTATCACACAATACTTGGTGCTGCAGATGAGATGGGTCTTTACTCTGTTTAGTTCGTCTAATCTACCTACTCAGCTCCGAGTGCTTATGACAGAACACTTTGGCATCATGTCTCCAGATGCTGACAATACATTGCTACCCTTTTTCTCTAGAACTCTTCGCCGTCATGATTTGTCATCCCACTTCAGTTGTCAATGGTATTTATGCTGCCTTTGATCACTTTGGTATCAACTTCAAACTTGATAATGTGCCTCTAGCCAACTTGCTTTACTTTCCGCTGATTAACATGTTTCAAGAGGTACCTCAGAACCACTGGCTTCATCGACATTCAAAAGTACCAGCATCTCTCTTCTTCCTCTTTGACGAACAGAGTAACCGGTTACGCCTGAAGGTTCGCCATGAATATGGGACATTGCCAGGATTGTGCCATCAGCTCTTTATAGACGTTCTTCGCAGACGAACAGTAAAACTTCAACTTTCCTGTGGCAATATATTACACAAGATGTGACACCATCTACTGTCTCTGTCTATGATGCTTTGACCAAGCAATTAACTGACACAAGATTGTGGCGCTCTTTCACTTCTAGGGATTTCTGCCTGCATCCTTATGAAGACAAAGCTAATCCCAAAAAAGGCTTCTCGTACTTCGCTCTCTCTGTTTTGGAGGACTCCAATGCTCCCTCAGGCTAGAACACTGTGGTATCGTGTGCTTCACAAGAAACTGCCCACTGCGTCCGAACTTTTCAAGATTGGTACTGTCTCTACTCCTGTCTGTCGGCTGTGCAAATCACAACCGGAATCGTATGATCATTTCATAGCCCACTGCTCTACCAAGTGGAGTGTTTGGTTGGAAATACTGAACTGCTACTACCCTCTGGTATACTTTACTCCTCCTTCCACAGGTCTTTCTCCTCCATTACAAACCGCTCCAAGCTTGTATCCATCGTTGCGATAGCTCAATGGAATATCTGGAAATCCTATTGGAACCTGATTCTCAACCAGGTTGCTTTTGAACATTCTTGTATCATTTCAGATACAATTTACCAGGTAGCCTTAGCTACAAAAAATGACTCCTTGCTAAAATAAC